ATCATGTTCGGCTTCTTCTCAGTTCCAAATAAATCGTAATTGAACGAATATTAGCAAATAAATGGTTTCCTAATATAGGAATCAACCATAATATTAATAATTATTATTTATTCTTCTTTTTTTCTTTTTTTTCGATTTTCTTTTTTTTCTTTTTTTTTCGATTTTCTTTTTTTTCTTTTTTTTCTTCTTTTTTTTTCTTTTTTTCTTTTTTCTTTTTTCGATTTTCTTTTTATTTTTTTATTTTTTTATTTTAATTTTTGTTTTTTTTTTATCATTAAATATATATTATATAGTTGTTTTCAATATATTATTCTTTTAAATGTTGCTCGTTCACACCAATCTCTCGCAGAACAGTCGTGTGATCTTTGTTGTTGCGCGAATCGCCGAGGTTCTTTTGGATCTTATTGAAACACTCGGGTCATTTTCGGGAAGTGGCGGATTCGCCAATGCCTCGTCCGCAATTGTTTGAATTTGCGGACTCAGCCCTTTCACGACGACTCGCAAAAGGTTAAGCTCCCTCGCCACATCCATACGCTCAGCCGCCGCCAGGTTGCTTGATTTTGAGCACAGAAATTTCCTGGCATTGGCGATCACGAACAGGCCGCAACTAAACCCGTCCGTCTGGGCCTCTTGGTGTTTTTGAGGAGCCCATCTGACACTCGAAAGTGTCGACGGATAGAGTGCGGCAAGAGCTCGTTTCAGCCCATTCGAGATGGTGGCCTTGGTTTTACGCGAGTGGCTTGCGACAAGCGAATCATAAATGACGCACTTGCCGGTCGCCACTGTATAGGCTGCGAGCAGCCAGTGCTGATGTTGGTGCACTGGCATGAGGAGCACCTCGCAATGCCTTCGGACTCCGGCAGTGCACTCCTTTAGCATGGTTGCAACATGCTTGCCGTCCTCGTCCACCGTCCGCTCGATGACAGCTTTCGTGGCCGACGGTAGGACCACACCGACCTTGCGGTTTTGCGACTGCACCAGGTTTAGAAGCCCGGCCGTCACAGCACCAGATGTTAATAAGGTCTGGTATCCCGTGGGCAGGTCATCATCAGTGATGAGACCTCGCAACGCGCCCATGATTTCGGGATGAAAGTGCCCCATCTCTAAATTGGCCACCACCACCTCTTCCTGAGCCTCCACTAACTCAGTCTGCCCTGACTGTCCTGCTCCTTCACTGCTGCCGGCCGCCATCTTTTCCTTCTCCTCCTCCGGCGCCACAACCAATGGAGGGCGGTCCTCTGCCACCGGAACCGCAGACCACAACTGATTGGCCTCGACGAGCTTCGCCTTCCTGTCTCGACGGGCACGGTACTCTGCCAGTAGCCGCATGGTGTTATGGTTGCGGCAGTTACTGGGCACGCACGGGCAGGTACCGTCACATTGCACCTCGTCGAGAAGACAGGGGCAACTCTCGGTGCAGCCAGACGCCTCCGAGCAGTGCGATCGGCACATCGGAACAACCGGCTCTGGCTCGGCCCACGTGTCGTCCTCCGGTCCAAAGCTTTCCTCGATGTCGATCTGGCTCCAGACAGCAGGTCGCTTGGGGCTGCTCGGCACATCTTTGAGCTTCGATATGCGAACTTCGATCAGATCGCCAGTAGTTCGCGTGCGTTTCTGGCCGATTTTCGGACCTTAAGACCGAAATTTTCGAACTCGAACAGATATTATTTGTTTTTTTTTGCCTCTAAACGACTTTAAAGGCGTTATCGCAGGATTGAATAAACGGAAACAACTCGCAAAACTGCCAAATTGAAGAAGAACGAAGAAACGACGAAGAAAATCCGAATCCATGCCGTCCGAGTCACCTTTAAAGTCGTTTAAAGAACCAAATGCTGGCTAGAAAAAAACGAAATGATCGATTGGAGGACTCCGTACAAAATTTACTCCCCAACTTTCACACATTGTTCTCACAAAATTCAAATTTTTTTAAAGATTATTCGCTCGAAAAAAGCGACGCACCAAAAATGCGAAAAATATTTTTATGAATATCATCTCAATCTCAACTCCGACCCACCACTTCTTAAAATTTTTCACTAACTCATTAAATTCTGATAACTGTGTTATTCTTGTTCTATTATCCCCTTAATTCTGCAGTATTTTCGAATTTCCACGCAATGTTTGATAAAAACTAAAGAAACTACGGAGAAGCTCAATACACAAATATTTAAGATCAGAGAACGTTTTAAATTTGAGAATAACCCTTTTGGCTATTGCAAATCGAAAGATATCACTCGAAATAAGAAATATTTTTAGCCAATTCGTTTCAAATTTTCTCGTTCTGACAACATTTTTTTGTACAATTGAGAGTAAATTTATTGCCGTTTTCTCGCTAGTAAATAATCATATAATGCGCTTGAATTTTCAAGATTTTTTTTTTGAAAAATATTTGATTTGAAGCAACATTTGCGAGAAAATGGCAATTAAGAAGAAATCTGGCGCACCTTCAATAATCTCGAGATGGACCTCAGTCACATCTCTTGTAAAGCAGACCCTCTTTGGTGGGATCGCATTATCATCATGAGCTTCTGAGCTCTTTCTCTTCATTGTCACGTTTGACATTCGGCTTGCTTGTATTGAATTAAGCGTAATGAATGAAAATGTGAATTTGTGATAACAGATCAGGATCACGTTTTTTAAATTTCGTGAGAATTCTTTTTTCATTTCTAAGCCAACTATCATTTCCATCATTTCTATCGTCAGCAGGTGACGCTGTTCAATTCGAATAAAAATCAAAAGCGTGAAAGGCTCGAATTGGATAAGTATTATTAGCTGAAATCAACTATTGGGAGAAAAATTAAGCTATTGGGTCAGATTTTTTTCAATTTTGACACCAATTTGCGTATTTCAAATCGAAGATCACCTATTCACATCTGCCTACTTAAAGGAACTGACTTATCCAAACGAGATGTTCTGCATTCAAGACGTTACTTAGTGCGAAGAAGCTCAGTATCAAACCCTTTTATTGTGTTTATTACGTTCTGCATCTCATTAATATACCTGCTCTTTTTGAAAAAAAACCGGCAATATTATTTGATCGAAAAACGAAAAATTATATGAAAATCACAAAGGATCTGAGAGGAACCTTATTCTGGTGGGGAATGTTGGGATTTGACAATCGAATACGAACCGGAAAAGTTCGAATTTCTTGAATGATAAATTCTCGATTGAAACCCAGTTTTTACCTAAGACTGTTTTTTTTTTGATTTTAGAAGTTGGCTCCATTTATAATTTTGCCCGAGTCATTACAGATTTCTTTGAACTTTCGTCTTGCCATCATTATATGAATAGATGAATGTCTTTCTTTATTGTGAATGATTTCAATTCTCGAAACACTGGCAAATAAAACGAAACTTATCGAAAAATTCTATTTTTGGCACATTGTATTCGAAGCCCTTGTGTGCCCTGCATATCATTATTATCAATTGAATCCATCGTCGTTTTTGCAGGTCGCAATACAAGGCATGCCCAAAGACGATTGCGATGGAAAGTTGAACGAACATCGTTCAAGTCAGACCAGTCCATCTACTCAATCTTATTCATAATTTTGCGGTGTTCCACTTGACTTTTGTGTCGTAATTTCTTCGATGATCGTTGTTTGATTTTTTCAATTCACATTACGTCAACAGTAGAGTTTTAAAATCAAAACAAAAACGCTTTGATAAGGCACTCAAAGCTTTTATTTCAATTTATTATTTGTTTTTTTCCTTTTTTGATTTTGTGTAGTTTAAAACAATCTCTTTTTTTCAGTCCGATTCGACTAGAATTTTCTCCTTTCTAGATGTCACAATTTTCTAAAAAAGTGCGAAATAAAAACTATTATAGTCGGCATCCGGCGACAGCTGTACGCGGGTAGATTTACGCGCATGCACCTTGAAAAGGTCTCGCCAAATTTGAACGCTTATTTTGCTGTTTTCACGTGAACTGCTTCATTTTTCTTGATGAGTTTTGCATTTCTTGGAATTTCTAACGTCATTCGATTTGAAAGTTATCGAACCGACCCATAAAATGCGAAATAACAAGCTAGTCCGTCCGAGACCAAGCGAAAGGAGCATCCCCGTAAATCTAGCCGCGTACAGCAGTCACCGGACGCCGACTATATAGCCTACTCAAAAGTAAATTCCATATATGGCACATGCTTAGTTTGTTAAAGTGGTTAGCCATGATGATACCAGAATGACCTCTCCCGGAACAGCTCAATTCAAACACGTTTGTTTAACACATTAGTCATGTGAAGAGTAAAATACATTGATATTGTCTTAAGCCTCTTACTTGAGAAATTGTCGTTGATATCGAATCAAATATACATATGTATGGTTTCAAAATACAGTATGATTTTAAATATTTATAGTTTTAACATATTGAGCTTAACATTTTTATCTCTTTTCTGTGAAATTTAAATTTGTAATACGTTAATTTTGAAGCTTCAAAACCGATCCGGGCAATGGTCACATCGAATGTCTAGTATTATAAAAATAAAAAAATAAAATTTCAAATACTTCGAAAAAGAATATCCGAAATTATGAAAACTTAATCTTCCAGATTCCGTTTACAATTTTGTGTAGATTTTTTTCGAATCTACCATTTTCTATGAGTATTTTTCTCAGACTTTTGTGTTTAATTTGTCTCGAATTTTTTAAACTTTCTAAAACCAAAATAATAATAACAAGTGAGCTTTGTATAGTTTTAAATATAATTATTTATGTAAATCTTTTATAAGATGTATCCCCAATTATGCAAAAAACATGCAATATGTATTGTCGAACCATGATTTGTGGTATCGCTAAATATTCCTATTGAAAATAAATTTTTTGAATAAAATATTTAATGTAATTTTCTGGTGGAATTTATTTCAGCCACACTTTAACTTTTCAGATTACCGTGGTTTTTCTTTCCTAATCCGCTTCGACGTATTCGTTGTCGTGATTAATTTCGGCGACCAACAAAAACCAAAACAAAATATCGTTATCAGTGACTCGAATGCTGGTTAGTCGCATGCTCCAATGCGTGCCAATCAATCGATATACGTGCTCATCAATTTCTGGCTTCTTGTTTCATCGAACACGAGCGTTCTGAATTTCGGCAAAGTCCACAAATCTTGCGTTCAATTGAATGGAACTGACGGATGCGAATGTATCGGAAAATTTCAGCCGGAATGCTGCTGTATGGGCAATTCGGTTGAACATCTTCCAACTACAATCTCACCTAATATGGTTTTCTTGTAAGTTTTTTTTTCTGTTAATCATATTTTATTCAATTTGGAAAAGTACTACAAATAATAGCATACAATTAGATTATTTTGATTCAAAATTACATAAATATTTTTGCAGCTATATGTACAACACAAGCATTCCTGAGGTCACATCAAACTTCTTCGCAAATTATACAAGACTCAAAGAGATGTGAGTATTGATTGCTTTAATTGAATATTATGTGCAATTATTGAAGAAGTCACATTTATAAGGGTGATCTTCTTGTTGGTCGTCTTTAAACTATTATTTAGCGAATAGTTGGCAACTATCTCACGCGGGTAGATTTACGAATGGTCCTTTCGAATTGGTCCCGTCGCGTTTGAATGCTTGTTTTGCAATTTTCACGTGATCTGTTTAATTTTTCTTTAGAATATAAGTATTTATTCATGTGTGGCGAGATCATTGCAAAAATCGTAAATCTACCAGGTTACAGCAGTCGCTGGACGATGACTAAATGCACAGTGATGTTTTTTTTTTGCAAAATTTCCAATCGATTGATGTCGGTGCCAAAGCTTCTAGTTATGGACCATCAACTTTAGCCGCTAAATTTTATTTACAAAATTTTTTGAAATTAGAAATAAAGAAGAATAATCTGGGTATGCGCCGGCAGGTACATCAAGTGAATGGAAACTTCCCAAAGAATCTGTATGCAAAAAATTGGAATGGTTTTGATGGACAATAAAAAATCAAAATCCTTATTAGAGCAACGTGAATCTTATAATAGTAATGTCGTTGTGTCTGAAACAAAATGCTCGTTTTTGCAGAGAAATCGAAGGATCGGAACACTTGCAACACTTCGACGCTTCATCTTTGTCTTCTTTGCGAAATTTGAGAAAAGTGTACGATTTGTGTGTTTATTTGCAAAATGCGTTCTCGGCAAACGCGTTCGACGAGATTTTCAGGCGAAACAAGCTGAACTCAGCCATTCGCCAACAAAAATAACCATCGTTTCATTGAAACCGAAAAAGCCGATTAATTTTGTTATTAATTTCTTTTATCGCTTCAAGACCCAAACAAATTTTTTGTTTTCGATTATCGACTATTAATATTTCATAGATTTTTTTCTATTTTTCATTTGTTTTAGATCCGTCACAAAATGCCCAAATTTGATAGAAATATCTGGAAAATTGCTCGTCAACAACACCAAAATACAGAATTTGTGAGTGATTGCTAGCTTGTTGTTAATTTGATTCAATTTCAGAATTTTGCGTAACAATGGAATTAAAACGATGCCATCTTTGAGAATGACCGATAGCCATCAGATTACACTGGACAGAATTGATTTATCCAACAATCAAGTGAACACACATTCATTAAAATCATGAGTCACACAAATGAATATACGATTCAGATCAAATTTATCAGTGATTCAAAAATAAGAAATGTTCGTGCAAGAGCATTCTATTTGAACAACAATAATTTGATTGAAATTTCGGGATATGCGTTCACAGAGAGTCGATTTGTGAGATTGTGAGAAATCGCTGAATTATGAGTTCGATTTACTCGATTGATTTCAGAATTCTTCGAGATAATCCCCATCTTTCCACAATATCAATTGACGCTTTCAAAAACATGGGCGGACTTCGCGAACTGTGTGATCGAATGAAATGTTTCTTTTCGTTGAAAATCAATTTCTACTTGCAGCGATTTATCAAGAACTTCAATCACAGTTTTGCCTATAAATGGATTGAAAAACTTGAAAACTCTGAAACTCACTGAAGTACCAACACTGCGCGTTAGTTTTGTTTCAGATTACTTTGTTCAAATCGAAGAGGTTCAATTTGAAATTTCGTCTTTTTCAGAGGCTACCATCAGTTTTGAGCTTCACTAATTTGGAAACCGCTCATTTCACCTACCCACACCATTGCTGTTTGTTCAAAGTATTTTGATTGTCTTTTCAATTTCAATAATTTTTAAGCATTTTTTTTAGTATGTCGACGATGTTACAATGATGGAACACGGAAAATATCAAAAAAATGCTAAAGAAATTCATAAACGAATTTGCAACGAGAAAAAAGAAACAAAGAGTGCAATGAGCAGAAATGTAGGTTTCAATTCTCACGTGGGAATGAGAATAATAATAATAAAAATTCTTGAATCAATCTCGTGCTTCAGAAGCGTCAAACACCTGATCAACAAGCATTTTTCGATCAGCTTCTGAAAGATTGGTTCGAAAATGATAATGGCACATACGGTGGTGATGATTCGATTGATGATGGAGAGCTACCTCGTAACTGCTTTTTTTCTCGTTAAAATATTATTTGATTTATTTAGCTTTCACTCAAATAGGAGCACAACCATGCTATTCTGTAATCGAGGAAGTTCAGAACTATTACAGTAACATCACATGCTATCCACAACCCGACTCGCTGAATCCTTGCGAGAATATTGTTGGGTAAGTTTCAGAGGAAAGTGCCGCCTAATCAATAATGCAATGCTTCCAGTTATCCGCTTCTCCGAATTGCCATTTGGGTGGTGTGCCTCTCTGCAATCGTCGGCAACATTATTGTATGGGTTACATTGGCTGTTGCGTATGAAAAACGAATGAAAGTCCATTACTTGTATATGGCAAACATGTCGATCGCTGATATGATCACTGGTAAAAAAAATATTTTTCAAGAATCTTCGGTAAACGCATTTTACAGGCGTCTATCTTGCTGTTCTCGCGATTTCTGATGCCAAGATGTCTGACGAATACTATCGTCATGCCGTGTGGTGGCAAACCGGTTGGGGGTGTCGATCCGCCGGATTTCTGGCTGTGTTCGCCTCCGAACTTGGAATCATTTCAATGTTTCTGATCGCTTTTGAAATGTCCTACAACACGAGGCAATCATTTCGCGGTCGACGACTTGGTGCAACAACTGGCGGATTATTGATGATTGGTGGTTGGATATTCGCAACAATTATGGGCATTCTTCCATGGTTTGGAGCATCGTCATATTCGGAAAGCAGTGTGTGTCTACCTCTCAGAGCCGCATCCATTTTTGACAAGGTATCTAAATTAGTCAATATTTCCAAATAAGGCCGGCGAATATGTATTCAGGCATATCTCATATTTGGATTAACATTCAATTGTCTCGCGTTCGTCGCCATGGCGGTTTCTTACGGCTTCATCGTCAAAATGTTGAAAGAAAACGAAACGAGAGACGAAGACAAAGCGCTTATTAAGAAGATGGTCCTTCTGGTAGTCACTGATTTGATATGTTGGTTCCCGACGTTGTTCTTCGGATTCACGGCGGCTATCGGCTATCCACTCATCTCATTGAGCAACGCGAAATTCGTGCTTGTTTTCTTCTTCCCAATCAATGCATTTGCCAATCCGTTCCTTTACGTCTTCTTCACAAAAGTGATCCAGAATCGTGTGCGAACTAAAACGCTGCCGGTTATTCGACGAATTACACCAAGATGCAACAAGTGATTAGATCTCAAACTGAAATGTCATTCATTTTTTTTCCAGCAGCCTCTCGAACTTCTACAATTCGCAGCCACCTTGTTCCCGACGACGTAGTGGTGACGATCCATCGAATCGCGCTCATCTTGCAGTAACTCAGGTAGGCCAGGTATATTCTTATTGAGTTCCATTTATGATTCTAATCAAAAAACACAATTCCGTTGTTTTTTCAGACAACTTCTTTGAATAGTACGCCAAGAGGATCAAATTGTTCGAGAGCAAGTGATGCTCTGTTATTCGAAGTGGAACCAAGAAATATGTAAAAGTCAACAAACAAAAATAAAACAGAATTTAAATGGTCGTTTTTCTAATTTTATAGTACAACACCGCGCGTTTCCTTCGATATTCCAATTTCTCCAACCACACCACGTTCGGATCGAAGAAAGCAAATTACTCTACTTCGACGATTTGTTTCCGCCATTCCCGAGGTGTTTTTTTATTAAATACTTTTTTCCGACCAAATCAGAATAATTTAATCCGTTTATTTAGGTATCCGATTTGTCGGAGCATTCCAGCGAAAGCCATCATGAGCATATTCCGAAGCCTCGAAAACGTCTTCAAAACTCGCTGAATCGAATTTTGGCGCTTGGAAATCGCACCGATCGTTGTGGAGGCGATTCTGGAAGAGGAAGTTTAGCTTCATCTGCAGATGTACTAACATATATCATTCGACATTACACATGTTTTTATGTTCAGAGGGAATTCGAAAGAGCGTCATTAAACAGCGCCGACAGTCGTTTATCCGAGCAGATGGAGCCAAGAAAGTTGATATTTCCACCAGATCGTACGATTGATAGAAGGAAATCAACACCGGCAATTCCTTTATTAGTAGTTTCTGAAGCGCCTTGATTAATTTATTTGATGTCGTAATACGGGTAAAATCAATAAATATCAACATTTCACTTCGCAGCTATACTCAGCTAATCAATGATTCCGAAAACCCATTGAAGCGATTGTATAACAAAATTATTTGAATTTCTAAATCTATTTTTTAAAATCGTGCTGAAACGAGGTCAGAGAAAACATGCCAATTCGCCTTGTCAAAACAGATAAACGACCGGATCGGATGATCCGCTGAGAAGATCCGAAGGAAACATGCTCACTATCAACACGAGACTGCTCTTGAGCCCACCATTTTCTAAACCCAAATTTTCCTTCTCAAAAACTTCACTTTTTCCCTCAATCATAATTTTTCCTGAGAATATTTATAATTTTGATATGAAATTCTGGAAAAACTCACGAATATTCTCAACATGTGAATTCCAAGAGTTATTGATGAACTCCAAATTATTGACGAAGACGTGTTGGCGTCGAGATCTCCTTTGTTAAATTTATTTCGCTCAAATATTTAGCTGAAATTCAGAATTGTTTCGACTTTTTCGTCATAGTGTTTTTGGAGCGAAGAATATGGTTTTTCTTGATTGAACTCGAACGAGCCAGTGAGTCCCAAGTCATATGAATCGATTCCGATTCTTTTTCTGAAATTTTTCTGAAAACACAACAACACATCATATTTCTCACAGCCTACGTAAATGAGTTTTTCTACTTTAATGATATTTGCATGCAGCTAAATTAGCCAATATTCGTGCCAAAATTCGATTATCACGAACAATAAAATGATACAAAACGCGCGCAATAATGAATGCCATGTTAAAATTACAATTTTTATTGAAAATTCTGCAAATTCTTGATATGTTGATGAAGGAACAAAAACAATCCGAAAATAAAAGTAAGTCGATTTGCAGTTAAAATTTTCATCGGTTAATATTCTTGTGTAATTATGCCTCTTCCAAATTGGCTTTTCAACTGGATAATTCTAGATAACATAAGTTTCAGCATTTTTTTGAAGATCAAAAAATTATTCTTTATCGGTTAAAAAAAATTCTTTCGCGAAATCTGTTTAGTATCATTGCTGATTTCCTAGTTTATTTAAGAACTTTGAACATTTAAAAAATCAAAAGTACTCGAAGAATAAAACTGTTCACTAATATAACCCGCTGGCTGGTTATATTGCATTACGTTCGTAGTTATTTGATAATCAGAAAGCAGAAAAAAATCCAATAATGCGATAACCATGATCGTCGAATTTCAAATTTCGTTTCCAAAATCATTTCTTCTGAAGTTTCGATGTTCTCCATTTTTCAAAGCGTACACTACATATAAAAATGAAAAACACTAGTATTGGCTGAAAATTCGAATTGAATGTTTTTTTTTTTCGGATCTCCATAGTTTTTTTTTTTGCTAGAAAGCAATAAAAGTTTTATGTTTTTCATTGTTTTGAACATATTCTAAATATTGAAAAGCATATTATGAAATTTATTTTATTATTAGAAATTGCAGCTGAAAAAAGGGAAATTCAAAAAAAATAAGTGGTTCGTACCAATCATCCAGCAAGTGTCACAAACGTGTTTATAGCTGCTCTACTATAGCGACAAAAAAACAACATTTTGATGGAAAAAATCCTCCAACGAAAAAATATATTTAATTAAATTTTTTTCGGATTGATTTCACTAAACCCTTCCGTATTATTTTGATGCATTTCGCATATGAAATTCATCCGATTTATGACATCATATTTACGGTTTTAAAAATGTTGAACCTCCAAAGAGAAAATTTGATGTCTTTTTCAATTTTCCATTCAGGTGACCTTTTATTGATGATAAATTAACACCTGCCTCTTTTATAGTTCACCTGAGTTTGTTTTTTTCTAGAATAATTCATATTTGATATTACCATTATATCAATGCCTTCATTCGGTCGTCGTTGTCTCAAATATTGTTCGCTGTGAGAAACATTTAAAGAGGCAATTATCGCGGAATTAAATTGCCCAAGGCATAGGTTCCACTCTCACATTTAATTCTACTCATTTTTTGCATTTTTTATAACAATTTTGAAGCGCAATCTCCATTGGTTTCGATATTTATCTCATTTCATTTGATCATTCGAAGAATCCGCAAAAAAAAAATAATTAGGAAAAAAATAAGCCGCTTATCAATTTTTTTTTTTGGCAGGCTTTCTGTAAAATTGATTAATCAATTAAAATTAATAGTAATTTGTAAAAAATTTTAAAAAAATGTATTTTGCAATTCGAATTTATTGATTTAAATTGAAAATTGAAAAGTCACAAATAAATGCGAAAATGGTTGTTTTCTCTTATTTTGCCACATAAAAAATGCAGTTCATGTCGCCAATTATCCCAATCTTTTTCAATTAGATATTTAAAGGCACATAAAAAAATCGTGTTGATCGAGAATATCGTAATTTATTCGGATTGTTGAAATCGCAAAGAAAAACAGTACCATTTCTGTTCGTCTTCCGATATGTTTTGGCGATTCTTTAGACACTACAATTTTTGACTAAAATTTATCATTTTTCAGACAAAATCCGGTCCGATTTCACAATTTTCTCTAGCAGCTCGGCATTTTTGCGAATTTTTTTCCAACCAGCGAATATCATGATTAATAGTGGGAATCTGTAAAGTATGAACCACATTAGTCCTGTCAGTTTTCCCTTTTTAAGCAACCACTAGAAAATGAGATAAATTGAATTGAAACCAATTCCGCAATACGGAACCTCTATTTTTCATTGGAATTTTAATAAAACCATGTATTCGAAACGATAAAAAAGATCCTACACGTTTTTATAGCAAGTGCCATTGAAATAAAATTGAAAAACATCCCCCGATATTTCGCGAAATGAGCTGCATTTATTGTCGCTGAATAAGAAAGTAGCCAAAAAAAATAATTTTCAATTCGCAGAAATGACAATTTTTCCGGCGTAAGTCGAAATATGCTCAAAATTATTACATGGATGATAATCGCTCCAAAAATTATATAGGGATTCTCATTTTTAAAAGCCCAAAAAAACTAACCAATAATTTTTCTGCAATGGTCCATAAAATGTGATCGATTTGAGATATAAAATTGTGGTTTTGACCCGTTTTCGAGCAAGGTTACCTTCCGAATCGTGTTTTTGTTTTAAAAATTCAATTATAGCAAATTTGTTGGAATTAAATGATGACGCGATTAGTATGAAAGAAATATTCACTTCAATTCATTTTTTTTAGTCTCATTTTATTTTTAATATGAAAAGTGGAGCTCATTTTTTAAACTTTCCTATATTTTTCACCTGACGTGAAATCGTCTGTTATTTTGTCGAATTGAATTTATCAATTGAATATATAGAGAAATAATATGTATAGAGTCGGCGTCCGACCCTTTTGCAATGATCTCGTCCCGGCTAACTAATTGGTATTCCATTTTTAGCATATTTTTAAGTACAATTTCGTGTCAACCTCATTGAAAAATCAAAAACGCCAAAAAAAAATTAAAAATGTCCCTGAGATATTATCAAAAACACCTGTGTTCGTAGTCGAATGAAAATATATTTATAATCAATATTCTATAATTGTGTTTCAATTAAATATATATCAATCATTCAAAACAATACAAATTTAGAGTAGTATGGTAATAATAACGAAATTTCGGGAATTTCTAGAATGGCAAGAATTTCTGAAAATTTTAGACGTTAAAAAATTGATTCTCACTTAACGATTATTTTTCAACGAAACATTCATTTGAAGCCGTCAATAAAATGTTTCAAGTGATGAAAAATCTGTGACGGGTGGTCAAATTTCGTTGTATTCGGGAATAGTGCAACAGAGCGAACTTGTTGATTTCTCGTATAATTCCGTTATTATCTCGTTGAAATTTAAACATTTTCTTCAATAAGTTTACTTTTTTTCCCCAAGTACGTAATGTGTGTCCTTTTTAAATATAAAAATTAACAAAAATTCACCTGTAATAGAAAGGACCCCATAATTAGTGTGGATTGATAAAGAAATTATTTTTAAAGTTTTCACATAGAGAGAGGATCTCTATGATCTTACTTTTTTGTGTTTTCAAAATTGTCGAATTTCCTCTTTTTGCCCCAATTCATTCGCAAAAAATTGGTGTCAAATTTGACGCAAGAAATGACTTCAACTTTCGCTTGACGCTAATGAAATCCATTAGACATTTTGCAAATATTTTAATTTTCTTCTCAAAATCATTAAAAAATATATTCGAATGACTTTTGTTTCAAATATTTACGGATTAGTGTAATTCGACGGAAGCAATTTGCATTTTCGCTCGCTCCGTGTCGTCAAAGGACACCACTGTCTTCTTCTTCGTCTTCTTCTTCTTCTTCTTCCTTGTTTGTTTCTTTCCATATGAAAAAAAAAGAATAAAACATTCAGTTTTCTGCGAATTTCATTTCTATCGGCTTATATATATACATGAGCTGGAGATTGAATCTTTTATTTTGCATTTTCTCCCCTACTTTCAAATCAAACCCAATTAACAATTATTCATGTGTTTTATTTGTGGATTTTGAGTATGAATATTCATATTAGTGCGATTTCAGTCGAAATGTACCCATTCAATCGAACAACATCGATTCATGCTGAAACTGCGATCGCCGACGCTGACGATGAGGATGAAGAAGGCCATCGCGGACAAGTCGCCACTTCCAAAATTGTTGATAATATTGATATAATAAGGGTGAGAATGTGTTTTTTTTTTTTGCTTCGACCGATTTTTTAAAAACTTCCTAGATTCAGCAGATGTTTCAAAAAAGAATATGTCTTATCAATTATAAGAGAATGCGGAACTAATGCTTATAGTACCCCTAAGTTAAATAATAGTATCATAGCTATAAATGAAATTAGTAAAAGTTACAGTAATCATTGGGCCTTTGAATCGTGTTTGATTTTATTTTGAGCATTTGAAAAGTATCATCAAAACAAATTCGTTTATAATCGGTTTCTGAAAGAAAAACGGCTAGTTCTGTCGTCAGACGCGTGTGATCGCATCCATTTTTTTCTTCGTTAGTAATTTTGCATACGAAACACGTCCCTGACAATATAGTTCTTAGAGCAGACGATTCTGGCAGGCGTTTTCTTTTTTGTAAAATTAGGCTATACCGTCTTTAAAAGAAAATCAGAATCTTGAACTTCTGACGCTTGATTTGTGCCAATTTATAGCGTGCCACATAAAAAATCGGTGATTTGTAAAGAATTTATTAATATAATTGAAATTATTCGTATTGGGGCAGATTTACGAGCATTCGTCTTCTTCTATGCCAATATGGCTCATTTCTTTCATTTGTTTTTCAATTATTCTATTCAAACAAAATAAATAGCAAATTTAAAAACAAAAATAAAACATTTCAGATAGAAATATTTAGTCTAAGCATTTTCAGATGGCGCGGTCATAGCGAAAGACGCACGCCCGTAAATCTATTCGTATAATCTGGCCTATTAAATAAAAAATTGAAACTTGTTTTTTGTGTTCAGCAATTACGAAAAATCAAAAAAAGACTTACTGTTTAATGGCATTGAGAATGGAGAATTTTGAATCTTGATGATCCCACGATTCGAAAAAAAATTGATGTCGTTAAAGCAGACTCCACGTCAACTATGCTCTATTTAGTACTAATTGGAATTCTCAATAGAGTCGCATTAATTGGATCGGGGCACATTCAACGATATGCCTTCATTTTTGAATGTTGTTTCAACTCACCGAATTTGGCATATTACCACCCGAAAACTTCCATTTTTTTCATTTCATTCGTCGTAGTTTCAATGGAATAACGGAATTGCGCATTGAGAAGCACTTTATATATGTATGAATGTGTTTCGTGAAATTGGTTTTCGCATGGATATTAGATTAAAAAGCAGCTTATACCTCCGTTCTATTTTTTTTGGTTTGCACAAAAACGAATTCAACCAAAAATCCATTCGAGTTTGATGTGATTTTGTAGATGCACGACGATTGGGATGATTCGATTCAGTTGCCGAAATCGCCGGTGGAAAAAACGATATTGGCGTCGATATTGGAATTGTCGACGATCAATGATCGATGGGTTCGGACGCTGTCGGCGAAACGCCGAGAACGAAGTGGATCGTACTTTGAATGCTCGTGGAGGTGCGTTTTTGTTCAAATAATTTTTTTTTCTTATTCGAGACGGGTCTAAAAATTAGAAAGCTTTTCGAATTTACTGATTTTGAGGCACTTCAAAAATGTGATTATGATGAATATCAAGGTGTCCTCAAAATTTCGAAGTAAAAATTGGTCCTCATTGTAGTCTAGACTTAATTTAAATGTATTTTTATAAAAAATGTTTGAAAAAGAGAGATTTTCAACATATTCAAAGAATTTTATTTTTATAAATACTAGAATGAAATCAAAAAATCAAAAAATGTTTTTTATCGTCATCCAACATTATTTTTTTGTAGAATTCGTTTAACAAATCGAATCAGAGATTTGAATTTTTCCAATTTTGTCAATGGTTCAAAATCAAACCAATAATAAAATATTTCCATATCCAATCTACAAATATTAAATAAAATTAGAAAATTTTGTTATTAACGAATTTGATTATTCGGCTCGGTCCGGAAACAACCAGCCTCCATTTTTTTTTACTTATTGGAATTTCTTACGTTTTCCTCAAATGTGGTTGAAACAGCAAATCGATGTTATCAAAAAACAACATATTTTTGAATTAAAAAAAAATAATTTTTGAAAAACAATTTTTTTGCTTTTTATTAGGGTAGTCGGAAAGTAATGGAGCACCTTAACACAAATTTTTGTTCGTATTATAATTTTATTAATTCCAAACTTCAATCAACAAAATAATCACCATTGTTATTGATAACCTTCGACCAACGGATGGGCAAGGTCCGTATGCCCTTCTGTCAAAACTCGGCGGGATAGAGACTCGATGAAAAATGGAATTGCGGAAATGGGGGTTATCGGGATATCGCGTTTGGGCTGCGCCTCAGCAGCCAGTCGGCGTGGCGCGACGTGTTGTCGTAGTGGACCCAGCTTCCATCTTCAGTAACCAAATCTTCCAGAAACTCCTTATATCTGAAGAAGAAGAGAAAGGGCGATGCTCACTCGTGGTTGACGATGGTCGTCCGTCAGCTTGTGCGGTATTCGCTTCGAGCGAACTTTGCGTTATCTGCCATTGTGCAGCCGAGTCAAGATGGTTCAGATCTCTCGTAGTTTCTTCGGAATTGATTGACAGCACATTTGACTGCACCATCGTCAAGGATGGGTGGGCGACTCGTACTTTTCAGATCGTCGTTGCGGATGAGAGCGAACCAGCGATGAGCTGCGGTGTTGTTAGCATTCCAATGCATCGTTGATGTTTCAGACGGTCTTTCGATGAGGCACGATCGAACTCTTAGTAGTACATAAATGGTGCGAACGTGCTCTTGTGAACGATGACTCATTATTGCAGCTTCACGTTGACCTACGGGGCTTATTTATAAGTCACTGAAAACTTCCGAAATCATTCTAAACTATGCGTGAAAAATATCGAACCTAACAGTAAAAACATTGGAAAAAATTATCAATTTACGCAAAAATGCTCCTATACTTTTCGAACACCCTAATATTTTTCCCTGTCTTTTTTTTTCAAAATATAACTTGTTGCTTATACCGGACGACACCCAATCGGGTCTTGATCAAACTTTCCAAGATAATTTGTTCCATTTAAAAACGATTATGAAAATGGAGAGAAAACACACATTTTTTCTGGAGAGATGCATTCAAGCTAAAGATTTTCTGGTCAAGAAATCCTTCAGAAATCTATAACTTCTAAAGACAGTTAGCTCGAATAAGTAGGAAAATTGGAATTTGTCTGAAAAAGAAGAAATACGGATGCCATAGTGACCTAATATACATATATTTATTTCATTTATTCCGTTTTTCCACTTAATTTGATTATTCGCCGCCTTTCACTTGCACATTTCTTCTGTTGTTTCGCTTCAAAAAAATGAGTTGAATTTCATTTGCTCGAAGATGTTCGAGAAAAAACCCCAATTTGGAAAGTTGAGACATTCTGAATTAAGTGAATAATATCGGGTTGCAAATAAATTGCTCAATTTTTCCCCCAATTTTCTGATGTGTTTATTTCCAAAATTTCCATTAGTTTTGCTAGAATTTCAATGAAATCGATCGTTTTAAACAATTTGCTAATCGGTTTTCTATAAGAGAATCCAATTTCTTCCCTTCTTCATTTTCATCCTCGTTCTTCAATCTTTTTTTCCTTACTGTCCATTACATTTTGGTTGTTTTGTAAATGCATGAGATATATCACATTAGGATTTATCCGAATGTGGAATTAAGAAAATCCCATAATACCTATTTCCGCACAAATGATGCCAACACAATTTTTCAATACAATGATATGGTAGGCAAAATTCATTAATTTCCTTTTTCGATTTCGCATGAGAGTCGATCAATAAGAGATACATTGGTTACATCTTGATTCCATATTTCGAAAAATTTGAATGTATTGCAACATTTGCTTAATCGGTTTCGTGGTCCCCAGAAAACTGTGAATTCCATATTTTGCAATTAATATTTTCCGTCAGGTTTCCCGAGGTTATCCACTGTAGATATCGATTTGACAATAAGATTCTCGATTAACACCTTCTATCTATTTGGCGAATTTCCTATACCGTATGTATATCGCTGGTAGTGGAATTTCATGAAACTCATTCAAGAAATTAATTAGTTTTCTGATGAACTTGCGATAATTACATTAGATAATTACCCATTTTTTATAATGAAACTTCATATAAGTTGATAGCATATTCGTTTTTTTCTCTCACAAACCTTTTAAAAAGTTTGTGTTTGTATTGTCCAAATAATGCAGTGTTTCTGAGAATTATTCGAAAAAAAATTAGAAATCTTGCGAAACTGTCGTTTTTCTTGCTCGCCAATGCATTTCCAAGACGTTGTCAATCCTTGGGTTTAATTAACTCATTAATTTAATATTTAATTGACTCGTTTGCCACGAAACATGCGTCAGCAATAATCAGCAAAATTTTTGATGGTTCCAATGAGAATTTCTTTTAATAAATTCTTATGTGTGTCCTATTTCATTTCTTCACATTTTCTTTCGAGATATAATTTTTTAAAAATCCGTCCTAATTTGGTATTCAGCCAAAAAAAATGAAAGTGAAAATTAGAGATATAAACTATATTTTAAATCGTCGCAAATAAAATGAAAATGAATCAATGAGATTTCGAGAATGTGATCCCACCAATTTGTTCACTGTACCACTTTTTGGGGTATTTTCAAAAAACCATACAGACAGCAATTGTGCTCGTTTCAAATTCAGCTTCATTGATTTTCTTGTGTTTTTGTTGCTCCCGTACTTTTAAAAATTCGGCTTGCAAATATAGAAAGATTCAAATAGGAAGTTCACCTATTGATTACAGTCTACTCACTTAGAAAAGTTGTCAGATTCGTTTTTGTTGTTGTTGTTCGAAACCTCGCCGAAAATATCCAAATACAAACCGATTTTCTTCCTTCACAAATTCTGTACTTTCGCATGAATTCAGCTGCCTCTTCTGGAAGAAAAAAAACAAGTCGAGCCGAATAACATTTCTCTTATTTTTTATTCGTATTTAATATTTCTCTCCAATAAATTAGATTTTTTTCTCGAAGTAAATGATAGTTTTGCATATCTCAACAGGCATTTATTTTCGATATTTTCCACTGCCCACTTGTTTTTTTTGCTGCAGCTTTTCTCCATAATTGTACTCCTCCGTGTTGATCATATATTCAGATACAAGTCTCTTAAATCCCATCAATAATATTATTCCATATTCCACTCGATACAAAATACCTACATAAAACCATTAAAATTCTCCGAATTCAATTGTTAAGAATCATAAGAACAGCAGGGAATTGATCGTTTCAATCATATCCAATTACCAGTGTCTACGTACAGCCGCGTTAATTGTATTTCCTTTTACTTGGTAATAAATTCCCTACATTTTAAGTTCAGGAGCATTTATAGTTTGGTCGGTCAAAAATGCCCCTTTTATTGATTATTTAATCGAATTTAAGAGTTTCTTCGAAATGTATGAAACAATAAAAGTTATTAAGGTGGTAATCACTGTAGTGAAGAAATGATGACTGAATGATCATGGAATCTCGAGTTGTGTCAGGCTGTCTCAGGTCCTATAGATTCGAGTGATTAGATTCAAGTGATTTCACGACAATCGTATTTCTATTCCGTAGAATCTCACTTCATACTAGCTTTTTGTGTGTTGTTTAAGTAAACAATTTTGAAAACAAAATTATTCACAGGTGGTTCTACATAATTCAATAGGTCTCATGATATCTTGAATTCAATTCCACGCATTTGTTTTTGTTTATTCGTTATGCGAACGAAAAAATTGTGATGGTTTAGCTAAAAATGGAAATATTTAAAACAATGGATGTGAACATTGCTCAAACGTCTCTTGATGAAGAGACAGTTGAAGCACAAAATGCTCTCGTCGATGCCACTGATTTTCATGAGAAAATATCGGAGAGGTAATGCAATTCATCGAAATCCAAATATTTTTTTAAATAACGTTTCGTGTTGTTTTATGCTTAAAATTTCAGAGGCGTTCACTGCGTTTCGAATTGTCTTCGACCACTGCTTTTTCTTTTTCGAATTCTCGCTGTATTTCCGACTTCTTTGGATAGAAATGTTCGACGAAAAAGGAATCATTCAGCTATTATCGTGAGTTTTCAATTTTCTGTTTTGACAGCGAGTTTACTTGAAGACTAAAATGTGAAGATAAATACAATTACTGGAACTCATTTTAAGCATTTCAGCCATAATTGACTTGAATTCCAATATTGATCATTTCAGAAGTGCATTCTCTATGTAAATTATATCATAATCGCTGTTTTAATCAACATGTTTCTTATAAAAATGAATTTGCGGATATTCTGGCTATTTAAGGTTGAACTCCAACACATTTTTCCTCTAATAATCCAAAAATTCAGGAGCGATTTGGATTGATGCATACAGGTACTGTGGCCAGTGTCATAACTGGCACCAAACCGGTGATTAGTGCTACTGTCATCGTATTCTCGGCGCTAAAATTTCGGTCGCATCAGAAACTGCTAAAGGTGAATACAAAACGCATTTTGGAATTAAAAAGAAAACAATTCATACTCATATAAAAATTGCAGACAGTCGACATGGTTGATGTGTGCTTCAGAAGCGCATTCAACGTCTCGCCACCACTTCGAATATACAAATTTATCATCTTCTTCATTCTACTTATCGTCATTATTTCTTCGCTTTCGCTGAAAGTCACTGAGCACATTTTGACCGATCAAAAGTTAGTTTTTTTTTATCGGAATAATTTCTTGAGTCGTCAGATGACGATATCGTAGGCGAGAAATTCATCGGCATTGAGAAAAAAAAATTTAAAAAAACCAAATACTTCTGCAGATGTTTAAAGGTGCACGTGGAAAAATACTTTTTTTTTAATCTTTGAAACTCCTTAAATAATCTTTAAAACTAATCTTTTTTCAATTTTGAAATTTTGTTTAATTTTTTGATATTCGAATATCAAGTTATTTCGATGAAACTTATGAGTAAGCTCAATTCAATCGCATAATTGAAAAAAATCAAATAATATTTTAAAGGCACATAATGCGTTATATGGATTGGGTCTCGCAACGATCGATTTTGGAATTTTCAGAAAAAAATTATGAAAAATATTTTGCTTCGTTCATTTTTTTTTTCATTTTTTTACAATAAAAAAATGATTTTTGCTGATCATTGAGGTTTTAGACAAATTTGTTGCAAAAAAAAACGAAAGTTCCAATGTTTTCCAGTTTTAACCGGAATTTTGAGCGAGAAAAATATTTTTCGAAACATTTTCAAAATGCGTTTTCAGACTCGGAGATTCGCTGCTGATGGATGCCTCATTCATTCTTGTTCCAATTCTGACACTATGGAATACAATTCCACTTCTTTATTATAATCTATTCAATATTCTTGTTCGATTCTATTGCCGAACTTTAATTCGATCAATGAATAAGGAGCACAAAATACGTCATTTCAGTTTGAAATTTTACTATGAGCAATTCATTCGGATTACCAATGTTCAAGTAAATCGGCAACCCAACGAGTCAATAGTTTTGATATATTCAGGAAGCAATCGGCGACGTATTCAATCCATTGCTTTTATTCTCACTCGCGTGGTCATTATTCGTCCTTTGCCTCACCATTTATTTCTTATCCGAATCCACATCGAAGTTGGTTTCCATTCTCGATTCCGATCGGTTTACTTTGTGTGCTCGTTTTCAGTCTTCGTGTGCCCATAACCGAAGAGCAAGTCACTAATGAGATTCTCCGCAATCGTCTCAACAACTCGGTGTTCGTTTTTATTTGTTGGTCGACGTTCCAAATTGTTATGGCTATTTTGCACATCGCCGTCATTTGCTCAACCGGATTTATGACCAATGAATGCGTAAGAGGATTCCTACGGCATACAGCAAAAAAATACCAACAATCGCTTCTCACAGACTCGACAAATCGTCAACGCAGTCCTTCGAATTGTTCCTGATGCGAACGCAGATCTTGATAGATTTCAAGTTCGACAAGTTCCATTTTTCGAATTTCAAATTTCGCTTATTTTCAGATATCATGTTTTGTACATAAAATGACCACCCAATTCATGTGGGGAATGACCGTCTGGAGGGCTTTTCCTCTTGAACGAACTACGTTTTTCACTGTCAGTCCGATTTTCTGCCTATTTGAAGCCCAAATTTCCGAATTTCAGCTGATATCTGTGATCGTCACCTACTCTCTGCTACTATTTCGGTTCAAAGATGATCTGGTTGTGAACCATCCGACAATTCTGATCCTCAATTCAACGTCCGTTCCGCCATCCGGCTGATCTCATTTCGTCTCAATGCTCGTGTTTCTACCCGCCCCTTTTTTTCCATATACCGGTTTCATGTAATAATATTTTGCTCGAATATTTTTTTTTGTAATTTTATTTTCAATAATAAATGTATGAAAGGGTGAATCTAATTGGAAATAGAAATAATAAAAGCGTCGCAAAATATTTGTCCAAATATGTCACGGATTACTCGTAGAGAAATTGATAAAAAAAAGCGATTTAAAGAAGCAAGAACTAATTGAAATTTGGAAAACAAAAAAAAGTTGATACGAATTTGGAAAATTAGATTATCAAAAATATGGAAATGACGGACGAAAGAATAATTTGATATTTCGAGTCGCTATTCATCGCCTTCTCTTTTTCAAGTTTCATCTTCAATTCAAGTTCAGCTTTTTCTTTTTCGATTCGCGCTTCTTCCTCCTTTTTTCTCTGCTCCTCTTCCTCCTCCATTCGCTCTTTCTCCTTCCTCTCTCGTTCCTCTCGTTCGCGTTTTCGTGTTGCCGGATCTGATAATTTCAAATTTCCCTCTTTTTTTGTTCTAATTTCCCGTTTTCACCTTTATATGGCTCATCTGCGACTTGTGTCACTTTCGACTTCTTCTTTTCTCCCGACTTCTTCTCGCCCGATGTCGTTCCATTCACTTCCGAGCTCTTCATCGAATTCATCCCTTTGCCTGATCCACTTCCGATTCCTCCGCCTTAATTTAAATGTCTCCATCGACAATCTAGTTATTGTTGTCAAACCAGTCTCCCTCAATCTCTGCTTCATCTGTGCAATCCATTCTTCTTTTCCGCTCGAGATTTTCTCCACATTCTTTCCATATTTCTCTTCAGGCGGTGTGTTACTTATGGCTAAAATCAAGTATTTTCTGAGGAAATAAAACAGAAAAATGCAAAACTAACCAACATCACAATTTTTGCCGCCAAATCCTTGAGCGCACTCGCAAAAGTAGGTGCTGTAGCCTTTAGTGGTCCGGCATGTTCCATTATTCAAACAGGGATTCGTTTCGCATGGTCCTTAGTTTGAACTCACATTGTTTCATAGCATAAATCAACATTCTGCTTACTTTCATCACATTTCGGACCACCGAATCCAGAAGCACAAAAGCATTCAAACGTTGGTTTCTCATCGACATCCTCGTCGTTGTACTTCGGCTGACACGTGGCGCCATTCATGCACGGTTTTTCAGCACATGGGTCGAAGTCTAAAAACATCGAGACGAGACTGTCGAATATTTCATTTCGCGATTTGTTACCTACGACTTTCTCGCAATTATTTCCATGAAATCCTGGATGGCATTTGCAAAAATGTTGATCTTTCCTCCATGAGAAAATGCAAGTTCCATTGTTTTTGCACGGATTTTTCGTGGCACAAATATCGGTCAAATTCGGCTCTAGAATTCAGAATCATTATGATATTCTCGAGATATTCAACAAAATGGCTTACTATGCATTTCAGTCAAAATCTCTTTCATTTTGAATTTATCGTTGTTATGCCATGGTTTCAACGCTGAAAATTGAGACAGCTGGAATTTGGTTGCGCAATTTTCAATTGGTTACGATCTTTGCTTGCCGGATTCTCGCATGTGTGAAGACAACTCAATTCGTCTTGGAATATATTTTCATTCGCCCCTTTGCAGCCGTCATACCAAAATGGGTGACATTTCTTGAAAAAAATTTAAGAATTAAACAAAAACTTAAAAAAAAAAATAAAATCTTTGAAATAAATATTTCAAAACGAAATTTGAGCACTCATCAAATCAATTATTTTAATTGCCTCTGATTTTTCATTGAAACGGTATAGTCGGCGTCCGGCGACTGCTGTACCCGGGTAGATTTACGGGAATTCGTCTTTCGAAATGGTCTCGCAAGGACTAACAGGTTATTTCAAATTTTATGCACCGGTTCGATAATATTTTAATCGAATATCGTTGGAAATTCAAGGAAATGCGAAAATCATCAAGAAGAATGAAGCAGTTCACGTGAAAACAGCAAAATAAGTATTCACGCGTGGCGAGACCTTTTCAAGGCGCATGCGCGTAAATCTATCCGCGTACAGCAGTCGTCGGACGCCGACTATAATTAAATATCACCTTTGTCTTCTTATCAAAATAATATTGTTGTCTCCATCGTCCTCCATTGCATTCCTTTTTGAGTCCTTCATCGAAATCCTCCAAGCAGGCTCCTGAAAAGGCGCAAAAAAAACGAATATTTGTTCGAGCGGCTCTCGATTAGGTGTCACATCATCATTCATGTTTGAATAATGAGGCTCGCTTTGTCTCCGACTTCCTCGACTTACTTGATTTATACATTGGCTGTGACTCACACAACCACTGGCAGGTCAAATGGTCGTCGAAGATGTTGCGCGAATCCGATCTACAACCATCATACCAAAATTGGCGACACGTTAGCGATGCATGATCAAAATAATAGCGTTGCTCCCAGCGTCCTGAAGGCAATATTGTTAATGGCAATTGGAATCATTCCTCTTGCCATTCAAACATTGATTCCTATAGTACATGTCGAATTTGTCCCAGCACACTTCTGAATGAGATATTACTAATTGAAGTTGATTCAATATCAGGATGAGTATCCGAAAATCGAGCGGAAACTTTGAATGGACGCGGAGAGCACGAGACGGCGATGAGCAACACGTTTGCGATGAGTCGTGCGACACCGACACCGTCGAATTCATCGCATTTTGATTGCGAACACGCCCACAATTCGATTGCGACAGCCGTCGAGCGGATTTCTCACAGATTCCAGATGGGCACTCAAATCGGAAAAAATGAATGAACGATCGAATCGAGGGAAAATCGAGGGAACGATATGAATCGAATAATTTGAGTGAGTACAAACATATGGAATTTGGAGAAGATTTGGCTGCATAGCAATTTCGAGCAGAATAAATTCAGGGAATTACTTCATAACTGAAATGGTTCGATTCAACATTCAATGGGAGGTTTATATTCATAAGAATTGTGCTCGATTCGTTCCAACTCGCATTTCCCTTCTCATACGTTTGTCGATCCATTTTTTGTGAGCGGCTTTCTTTTTCCAACATTTGATCGAGCAAAATTGCTGGCGTCGAAACCGAAATTTCTTTTTGCAAAAATGTTTGAGCGTCGTCATAAATTAGAAAAGAGTCGACCGGAACCGCGAAAAATGAAATTTGCACGAGACACACGCCGAAAAAAAAATTCGAACGGAAATACCACACACAATTTTTGCGAGCAAGAAAAATGCAAACGTAGGGGGGAGGGGGTCTTTTCAAAAAAAATGTTTTGCCGCCCCAACGAGAAAAAAATATGGTCATAATGGGTAAAATGAGAAACTTGTTGTGGTGGGTCGCTGGCGACCGAATTACTAATTCTTGAGCTTAATGGGCCGGCGGAGAACGCAAAAATTAAACAACTAATTATTGTGTTTTTTTAAAGAAAAAAAGCCTAGAAAAAATTGAGCTTCTCGAATTTGAAAAAAAAATACAAGGCTAAAAGCGATGATTGCAGACAAATTCAAAATTCAATTTTTCACGAACGAAAAAAATAAATAAAGTTGTTTGTTCGTGTCACAAAATAAATACGCAAACCGACTACTAGGCATGATCAAGTTTGCATGAGCATGTCAAAAAAAAAGCCCGTTGCTCTTATGAGGCACAGAAATACATAAATAAATATAGCAAATAATAATAATAATAATAACAACAACAACAATGAAGGAAAACGCTTCCATTTTATTTGAAGAACCAGAAGAACAAGACGAAGGAGTACTAGCATAAGAAGGCGGAGAAGAAGTAGGGGGGGGGTTGCCGTCGTCGTTGAGGAGAAGACGAAGAAGAAGAAGAAGAAGCCTCCGGGGATACAACCCGAAATGAGGCGTTTTTCGTTGGGATATCGCCTCCCGATTTCTCCATTTTTGGTGTGATCTCTTTTGTCGCATATGCGAGTGTGCAAATCTTGCATAAGAATCAAACATTCCAATTATTATATGTAAACATGATTATGGGCGAGGGTGGACCAAAATGGGCCAAAGAGGTCCCCGCCAGACTTCAGCTATATGTCGTTGCTATTAATCCGAGATTAATATTAAACTAATATCAAGAAAACCGAAATTGAGAACAAAATTGAAATTCACTTGTAACCATATTAAGAAAAATTCAAATTTGAAGCATCGTTTTGATTCCCCCATAGAAGAGAATATAAAACTGAAAAAAATCCCATATTCCATAAGGAATGCTAGTAGGAGGGCGACAATTTGTTAACGCATGAATGATCAAAAATGATTTTCTTTGGTGAAAAGAAGCGAAAATTAAAGAGGCTATAAATAAAGGTTGTTGATTGATCACCTCATACGAATAACTCAAATAAAGAAAAAGAGGTGGCGTCAGTCGAGCTCGTTCTTTTTTGAATGAGGTTGAGCCGAAAAAATTTCGAGAAAACGCTCTAAAAAGGTTTCACCGGAAGCCGTTTCGTTGGCCCACCAACAAACACAATTGGTCTTCGATACGAAAGTGTCAATTGAAATATTTCAAACCGCTCTCACCAACAACAAGTACTGACGATCGAATGAATGAATGGAGTGCGAAAAAAAAATGAGCAAAAGAAAACAAAACATCGAAAAAAGAAAGAAAGAAGCCGCGAGAATATATCGGATTCTCATGCCATTTCATCGGAAGAGAATTATGTTTGAGAACTTGAACTACGCGCTTCCGGTGGTACTGGAAAGAAAAACCAAAAGAGCATAAAGCTCTCCGCGCCCATAAAATATGGCAAGCAGATAATAAATGGTAAAATTGAATACCAGCTCGTGTGAGCACATTTGTCTCTTCGCACATTGTTGAGCATGTGTCATACTCGGAGAAAATGTTTCTTGATCGACCTTTGCAACCATCATACCAAAATTGTTCGCACCTGAATATTCCAAAATTGAATCATTTGTGGATATGAAGAGTTTACATTCGGGTCTCATGATTATAAAAGAAATGTGGCCGCCAATTCTCGTTTCCGCATGTGTCTTTATAATCATGATCAAATTTATCAAGACATGCATCTGGAAATGTATATTGAAACCAAAATTCCGGGATGACAAAGTGATGCATACTTTTGGATAGTGTACAGTTGTAACCATTTCCGGCATAACCTGGTAGACATGTGCAGATGAAGCTGCCTTCTCTATTCAAACATTCCGCATTCTTGTCGCATATTTCCGGACGACGAAGGCATTCATTCACGTCTAGCAAATTTCGAGATTTTTTGAAATGATAGCAGATTTTTGCGAATGCTTACGCGACAATTGTGGAATATTTGAAAATGTGAATTTGCCAGCTGATAAAACGAACCTCGAATTGGGAACAACACTCACCGGTGCAATTAAATCCATCTCCTTCATATCCTTCCTTGCACTGGCACACACCATTATTGCATGTTGCAAACGGCGAACACCCTTTGCAGTCAATGGAAGCTCTTCCCAATCCTACGTAGGTGCAATATTTGCCGTCGCCTCGATATGCCGCCATGCACTCGCATCGATATGAGCCGATCTCATTCACGCACCAGGCGTTTCGATCGCACACTCCTTTGAAACCTCGACATTCATCAATGTCTAATTAATAATTTATTAATTAGGGTAATTAGTTTAAGGCAAACCGATGCATTCACCGTATTCGTTCTTCTGATACCCACTTCGACACTCACAAGTGTAATTGAATTTCGAATGCGATTTGCAGAACGAGGTGCGAATATCACATTGATCGCACGCTGATTGAAATGTTAGACATATATATGCAATTTTTTATTCATTTAATATACCTATTTGTGGGGACAATCGTTCGGCACAAACTTTTCGACACATCTGAAGGCTGTAGAATTTATTGTCATTTCCGCCGCATCCATAGTAGAAGAATTTCTCGCATTCGCCCGATTCCGAATTGAAGAAATACCACCAATGACCATTCCTTTCATCGGGACAATGCCCTTGGTCAGCATCGAGAAGGCAAAGATCTCCAAAAATTAATTGTATAAAGAGAAATTATTTTCTAGTATGGGTTAAAATATACAACCAATCAGTGAGGCATAGAAATAAGCGGCAAATTGCTCTTATTTTTGGTTATATGAGGATCAACAATTAGCAAAAATGTCCATGAAATTCAAAGAATCTTCAGCCTGTTATAGCCAACTCAATGACTTCAATTAGACCAAATTTTGGCAATAGTGAAGACGCCTACCGGGAACTGCGACTGGGTTGAATAATTTATATCTGCACTGTTTCAAGCATTGCTGTTTACTGGCAAATCGGTTCTTCGTTCCCATGCAACCTCCGTAGTGGAACTCTTTACAATCCTGCGCAATTTCATCCCAAAACCATTGTATCTGATAATATTGACATGGTCCGGGATCCAATGGTTCGAGGCAAATATCCTCGCTGTCTGTGTGTCTTTTGATAGGTGAAATGCGACTATTCGATATACTTTTGATGAAAACTGGTTCATCTTTGGCAACCGTCGTTTGAAGGAGAAAGAATATGGTGGTGAGTATCATTGCGAAGATGAGCAAATGGCGAGCTCTCGGCGCACTTTTCGACCAATAATTAGAAATGCATGCGAAAACGGTTGATGATACACCAAACCGAAGAATAATCTTTTATATTATTCATCGCGTTTTTCGCCAAAAAATGTATGGAGAGTTGTTTCGAGGTGATTCTTCGCGAATAGCAAACAACACCCTTACGACTAGCGCATCACGAACAGTTTATGCCAAAAATATAGTATATCATCATCACAAATACCCATTATTTGTAGTAATAATAATCATTAGTACATGTTATAAAAGTTCAATTTTTCCTTCCTCGACAAGGTGTCTAATCGAGCTGAATGGAATCAAGTGAATAGAGTTCTTCGTCATTTCGAGGATCACTTCGGAGTTTGGATCGGACCAATCTGGCACAGATACATTTTCGACGTTGTCCTCTAGAACTCGAATGAATGACTGAAAATCGAATATTTAAACTCTCCAATATGGAAGAAAAATATTCAACTCACAAATTCCGTAGATAAATCATCCATAGGTACTGGAATTTTCTGGAGCGCTGCCGGCATGAAGCCAAGGACTGTTTTGCCGAATAATTGGGCTTCTGCATCCGCGTATTCTTTAGCAAATTTTAATTCCGATTCCGACAATAATTCCGGTTGTCCTAAAAAAAGGTATTGCATAATTTTCAATTTCTTGACAAACGTTTCAAAAAACCTTCTTCCAATCTCTTTTGATGTTCTTCGATAACACTTCTGGGATTCGCCTCTATTTTCCTTAACCGACATCGAATATAATCTGACGTCATAAAACTAATTCGTTGCAGTTCCATCTTATGAATTGAAATGCGAAGTTGAACCTGAAAATATGTTGGCTAAAATTCTCATTATAAACTACTAGAACAACTTTGTCTTTCTGCCTTCCGATATTTTCTTCCATCCCTTGAATTTGGTCAAGAAGAATATCGACAAGTTCCATCTGAGTTGGTAGAAGGCACGGCGAAGCCATCTCATTTTGCCACCATTGTGTCATTCGCTTAATAACCTGAAGAAACGAGAGTATTGGGGTTTTACCGATTTTTTTTTGGAAAACAATCACAATTCACTGCCTCTTTTGCCAATGGTTTAAAGTGCGAACTTGAAATCTGTTGAAGAATCCTCCAATTTTCTTCATTGTGAACTTTTAATCGATTATTTTCATTTCGCGATTGAATTAGTCATAATTTTTATGTGAATTTCTTGTTGTTCGAATATCAAAACATTGAACGAAATTATACGTCGATTAAGGTTTAGTAACAAAATTAAGGTATAGGCCGATTCTGCTAGTTTTTTTTTTCAGAAACAGTCTATAAAACGGGATATTGCAAAAGTTGCCCCCAAATTATGCAGCTTTATACAAATTATAAATTACCGCGTCAGGTGTAACATATTCTTCATTTTCATCGTCTTCTTCATTATCAAACTGCGACAAAATCTGAGATGAGCTTGCCGGCGTCTCTTCCATCTTAAATATTAATAATGAATGCCCTTTTTGAGATTTCCGATTGATATCAAACAGATTCAACGAACCGATTATCATCAAATAAATCGCAACTTGAAGAAATTCACATGAAATTTATTCAATTCTCAGTTTAAAATGGATCAAAACGAAAATAAAATTGAATTTCAAGCGTAGCAATTCTTGAAAGAATTCATATAATACTCATAATAAATAGATTAATTAATAGAAATAAATCATTTAAAAAATAGATAATACAAACAAAAAAAAAGAAACAATGGGGTATTGTAAATAAAAATGAAAAAGAAATTGAGATTACACAGTTGAATCAGTGGAGTAAATAGTACATATCTTTATATAATTTAGGTTTTAATTTAAATAGTCAGAAATTGTTTGGAACACACGACGTTTAAAAACATCAATCATGTGCACTACTGTTATATCGAAAATCAATTTCCAAATATATGAACTTTGGTGAACATGATTAATTTCGGGATATTTTAGGGGAAGTTGGTTAACAAAAGAAAACCGGCGACTATCAGTAGATCAATTTTGGTTGTGCAAGAACATCGATTGTTAATATCAACGAGTCATTACTCTTGCTTTTCGGGTTGACCCATCTGATCCTCACCGTGCGGTTGTTGCGGAGGATATCCCCCAGGAACCATTCCGCCGTACTGTCCCGGTGCTGGTGGATATGGATGTCCTGGTTGTTGAGGAGGATAACCATAGCCACCAGGGCGAGCTCCTGGTTGAGGATAAGGTTGACCCTGATACGGTGGTCGTTGTTGCGGTGGATAGCTTGCTCCAGGGTGAGGAGGATAGCCTTGTGGCTGTCCTGGTGGTGGATAATATCCAGGTTGAGCTGGATATCCATGTGGCTGTGGAGGATATCCTGGGTATCCCGGTTGTTGTCCTTGTGGTTGTGGGTAACGCGCTGGTGGTTGGCCATAGTTTTGGGGCGGTGGCCCGTATCCTCCTTGCGGTGGTGGTCCTCCGGGATATCCTGCAAATTGAAATGCTAAAAAAAAATTATTTAACGGCGAAATACCTTGTGGTGGTTGGGGAGGAGCCGGCTGCATTTGTGCGGGTGGCTGCTGCGGAGGTGGCTGCGAAACCTGCGGCGCTCCAGGAGTGTGTGGCTGATGTGAAGGTGGTGCAGTAGATGGTGGTGGCGCAGCACGAGCTGGTTCTTCAGATTTCTCAGGTTGGTCTGAAGCTTCTATAGCGTATAATTTAGAATGTTACATCGAAGGCAATGAACTCACTTTCATTCGATGGAGCCGAGACTTGAAGTTGCGGAGTTGGCTGTGGTGGTCCAGTGACTTCGAAGCCTGGTGGAAGACCCGCAGGAAGCTAAAACAAATTGAATTTAAAATTAAAGACCCATTTTACTTATATGTAAAAGTTCTCACCGTTCCAGCGGATGTCAACTTGGTATGAGCTTCATGCTTGGCACGATTCTCCAAATATTTGAGCTGATCCATATGGAACGCCTGTCGCTCAAGGATCAACTGATGTCTCTGATATTCCAACTGAAAGAACAAATTTCAGATTATACAACTTTTATTTTTAAAAAAAGACATACTGATTCACGCTCCTTATCCATAATTTGCTCAAGCTCATCGAAATGACGCAACTTCATTTCAAGTTTCTTCATTTGAGTTTCGACGAGTTGCGCAACCAGCGATTTAATTCTTCGCTCTTCAATTTGAGCCAAATGCTGAAAAATTAAAAAGTTTAAAAATATTAAATTTCAATCTCCTACCTTCGCTTTAACAGCAGCTGCAGCGAGAGCAGCGGCAGAAGCCGCTTGAACATTTGCAGAAATCGCTTCCTTAACTCTTTCTGGTGCAACTTCCTTATTCTCCTCATCTTCTTCTTCCTCTGGTTGAACGTCTGCCTTCTTTTCCTCTTCAGTATTCTCGTCAGGTTTCGCTTCAGTTCCATCAGAAGTGTCCATTTTCTCATCCTCATTTTCCTGTTTTTCCTCTTTCTTCTCCTCTTCGATTTGATCAATTCCAGCCTTGATAAGTCCAACATTTCCATCGACTTTTCCAGTCTTCTCGGCGATTGCAGCTACATTCTTTGTATGAGCTTCAACCACAAGTGGTGGAATCTCTTCTTTCAATTTCGCGTATTGTTCCATAGCCGCCTTAGTAGCCGCTGAAGCCACAGATGGATCGACAACAGAAGCCAAAAACGCGACAGTTGACATGATTGGGTTTCCAGATTGTGAGAACGGAACTGGCTGGAACGCAAGAGCTCCAAGAGCATCCTGGGCGGAAGGAGTTCCGTTATCATCGTCAACAGACAAATAAGGATCTTGAATTGGGAGTTGAAGGAATTTCATAACGCATTCGTTTTGTGTTCGAGTTCCAACGTGATCAGACACCTTATTCCAGTCATCCTTGAACATTTCCAAGGCTTCCAAAAGCAACAATGTTTCCTGATCTGTCCATTCTCTTCCAGGAAGGGATCCCTTCGACTAAAACATATTTGAATTCTGTTACTGAACGATTACGATTAAAGTTATTACCTTCATTGCGGAAAGCTGCTTTTGATATTGATCAAGCTTCAATCCATTTTCGGCTAGCCCATCAACTGGCTCTGTCTTGATATCCTTCACCTCTTTCTTCACTTCTGGAGCAGAAGTAGAGAAAGCCGAAGAAAGCGGATTAATTGGCTGTACTCCAGTGGGTGTATCGGCGAGAACCATAAAGTGCGAAGTTGGTGGTGGTGCAACAGGCGCCGGGCGCACTTCGGCATCAACTTGGTAATTAATGAGTCCCCACTGCTCAAGGAATTGATGAAGTCTCATTATGGAACAAACATCTCCCGCAAGATTCCGACGGCACGCAGTGGCTGACACATACTCAAATGGGTTCAATCTATAGGTGTCAACCATGAAGTTTCGATAAGCCAGATATCTAAAATTCACATTCAGATTTAGAAGAGACGCCGAACAAATTTTGCTTACACTTCTGGGGTTTTGCTTTTGTTCTTTCCATTGAAAAACTCTGGCAACGCCCGTTTTTCGATTTGATGAATCGCGTTATAGTCAAACCAAGATGCATATGATGGAACAACAATGTAATGAGTTTGTTCAATAACATTTCCTTCGGCTTCCTAAAATCAAATGCTTAAAATCAACATCGCATTTCCATCACTACCTTAGTTCCATTCTCATTTCGTGAATCGTCAAGATCGGTGAGCTTTGCGTTGCGCGGCACAGGTACTTCCGGCTCTTTTTCTTTTGCTAAAATATTGATTAATTCTAAATAATGATATCAACGACCAGATATTACGTTTTGGCACTTCGGCTTTCACCGTTGCACCTCGGCTGTCCTCATCGTCTCCTGTAATCGAAACTTCGCCGTCATCATCATCGCGTCTTCTTTTTCCACCGCTAAAAAATATAACTAATTATTTTTTTATTACAACTTTATTTACCCCTTCTTCATCGTTAGTAGAAATTGGCAATTCCTGCAAAGTATTATTTTTTAATTATAACTAAAAAAAAGTACTTAAAAATAAGAAACCGAAATGTGGAAGAACATTCATACTAAACTAAAAATACCAAATTTTGATACTGAAAATATAAACCAAATTTTGTGAATGATTAATAAAGAATCACGTTTTGATGTTAACGAAATGGAACTACAAGCGATAATAGGTAAAAATAGGCATGGTGGTACCAGAAATTCAAAAAAATGAGATGGCGGGCAATCGCGTCGCGTTCGAATAGAAAAAGGACGCGGAGATGCCGGGGAAGTGTGCGTGTGCGAGAAAGAGTATTTGTTCCGTAGAGGGGACGCGAGGAAGGGACGTAGGGGGCAGCTAGGACACTGGCCTCCTTCACGCAAGAAAAAACGCACCACTATGAACACCTGCTAAGAATGGTATTAGACTACTCAACACCAAAGTTACTTAAACACATCTACTGAAATGCGCCAAAAAGGACAATAAAATTAATTAGAATAGATTTTTAGTGTGATATACAGATTTTGGGAAAACACCAAAAAACTATACTTTAAAAACCCTAAACAGAGAAACTACTTATAATATTTCGACTTTTTCCCAAAATAGGCATAGTACCATAATAATAATAAGAAATTTGAATCAAAATCAATAATGAAAAAAATTTAAATTATAAAAAATTTGTATTGTAAATGGGATTTTCAGCAATCCGTAATGGACATGTTCATGATACACATTTTTTGGCACGAAAAATTTCACTAAGGACGAACGGACGATTTTGGCATAAACAAGGTGGTGAAACCATGCGAATTCCCAAAAAAATGGCCGCTGTGCGTGCAAGCATTTTTCACTCTATCTGTACGACACTCCAATCACACTCCGCCCTCAATTTAGCGTATTGAGCTAAACTGTGGTTTCTTGTGGATAAATTTACGAAAAAAAAGTGTAAAAATTTCATTTAATGTGTTTTTTTTTTCTGCATTGAAGAAATTTTTTGTTGTCTCTTGTTTGTTTCAAAGTGTTCCGCGAGTTAATATCACGCACAATTTTTATTTTCTCCATCATTGATATCGTCATCTTAATTTTCATTATATTGTTTATTAATTGTTTTTGTTAATTGAAAAAAAAAACGACTTTTTGAAAGTCATAGAAAAACAAAATCAAGTGAAAGACTCAATGTGCTAATGAAAGAAAACTGTGTGTGAAAAAGTCTTGGTTGTTTGTAGTAGACCCAATCTTGTTCAAATTTTGAAAACATTAGAAGAGATGATATCATAGTTAGGTTATTTATGCTTTACGAAAAAAAATCAAACATTGTATAAATGTCTTAAAACATGTTTTGGATTTTCTTTTCTCGCTCTTGTTTTCTTTTAGCATATGTTCTCCAAGCTTGTTGAATTTCTCGTGCAGCCAGGTCTGATAATTTCTCATAACTGAAAGCTTCCTGACTTTTCAAGTGGTCGATTATCTGCAATATCTTACGCTCATTGAAAAAAAATGAGGATCTAAAATTCTTACAATTTTATGATTGAACTCGGTTGCACAATCGAGAGGTGTTCTTTCAAATCCATCAATCGCATTGATTGCAGAACCGCCCTGAACAAAAATATATCAGTTCCGAATATTTCTTATTTTTTTTACTCTCAGCAACGACAAAACACAATCAATTTTTCCTGCGATACACGCTTCGTGAAGAGCAGTTTTCCCTTAAAAAAAACTACGAATTTTCATTGAATTCTTAATCTTTCGAACCGTCTTGATCTCTCCAACCAACCAATGGCGACTTGAGAAAATTGTCTTCTTGCTCAATCTGTGCACAATAATTGAATTTGTTTTCAGAATCGGCCAAATTACATTCAAAAGCACATTAATACATGCCGAATGTCCTGCAAAGGCAGCAGCATGAAGCGGAGTTCGACCAAGGGCATCGGTTATTGGTTTCGTATCGCTACTGAAATTAGGACAACATTAAATTTAAATCGTTCAAAAAGTACCCTCCAGGAGTTCGCCATTCAAAACTCAATTCCTTAATCATGCAATGAAGGGTGTGAGACTGTCCACCAAGACACGCCCAAAATACCGGGGTCCTTTAAACGAATTATTATGTAATTTTAAATATAAATGAAATCGACCTATCCATTGAGTCTCTATCATTCATGTTTGCTCCAGAAGTCACCAAACAACGTAGAACATCTGTATGCCCACGACCCGCTGCCAAATGAAGAGCAGTATTGTTTTGATTGTCTCTTTCCTAAGCAAGATGTTTTATGAAAAAATTAGGAAAATTAAAATCGTTTACCGAAATATTCCATCCTTGATTGATTAGAATTTTGCATATTTTTTCATTTCCTACCATTGCTGCTAAATGTAATGCGGTGTACCCATTTTTATCCTAGTTTTTACGATACATTTATCATGTGAAAAATTCTACGCTTTACCACTGCCCTTCTATCTGGGGCATCTTTTCTCTGTATTAAATAATGAATTGCATCAACATTTCCAGCACAGACTGCCCACATTAAACAACTTCGATCTTCGTTGTCTTTAACTTCCTGCAAATAGAATTATAATTCTGATAATAATAATCCAATATGTACCGAAATATTACTCATGGTTAGGATAATATTCAGGCATTCTGTGCTGAATTGAGCTGCATAATGTGCCGGCGTCACCCCAAACTTATCTCTAAAATGGAAAATATTAAAGTAATTTCGAATGAGATCACCTTGTTGAGTTTCTTGAGCCATTTTGTAGCAAATATTTCACGATTTCTGGATAACCTTGTTCCGCGGCATAGTGTAAAGGCGTCCGCTGCTCGTTGTCAACTAACTATATTCATATATCGATTTTTCGATTTTTCTTCGAAGACTGACTTACATCTGGAGAACAATCCAATTCCTCAATAAATAATTTAACAGCTGGTAAATTTCGCGCGGCAACTGCAATGTGTAGCGCCGTCTGTCCATCTTTATTCTGTCTTGTTTGTGATACAGGCTTTTTCCTTTTAAAAAATCAATAACGAAACACCAAGTAATGAATTACTTTGCAAGAAAACGAATGACAGGTATAATCTGAGGAAGATTGACTCCAACAGCAGCCATCAACGGCGTGATTCCATTTTTATCTCTTTGATCAATCGGAAATCCAAGAATCGGTCCGTCAAGCTGCGAGCAATTGTCGTCAGCGTCTATAAAATGAATCCATACGAATTTGTATTTGCTAATTAAATATTTACCAACAATGGTTCTGATATTATCGATATTGGCTCGAGCTGCTGCATAATGTAATGGCGATCGTCCCCTTTTATCCTGTGCAATTCTATAGACATCATCTGCTGGTGTAAGATTATCAACGAAACTCTGAAAATGAGATACTGCAATGAAATAGGGAGTATGTATTGAAAGTTGACCTTTAGAATTTTTGGATTCGATTTTGTCGCTGCAATGTGCAATGGAGTAACCCCGTCATTATCTTTGGCTAGAATTATTCTCGATGGTTGATCAATAAAAATTGAGAGAATTTCCTTGACAACCTAAAATTTTATTGTGGGGTGAGTTTTGAAGGGACGAATTCAGATAGAAACCTTTGCTGATGAATATTGCGTAGCCCAATGCATTACATTCGATCCATTATTATCTTCCATTTGCAGTATATTATCAGGTTTTAAGCAGGCTCTTCTTAAATAAATTCTATAGTTTTGATGAAATTTTTAAAATATTAAACAAACTTGATAACATATAAAAAATTCTTGATATTGTCTGTCATCGCCGCATAAAACAGCACATTCCTTCCACGATCGTCCTTTTCGTTTATCCACTGAATCTGATCTTTTTCACATTTCTTCAGTGAACTCTCAAATTCGCTCTGAAAATCGAAATCGTTTAAATATTGGATTTTAATGAAATGAACGGACATTGCTACCTTCTGATGCGTAATAAAGCACACTTTTTGGATCCATTATAAAGAAATTTGCAGTTAGTGAGGATGTTTCGGACAATAAAAGTGATGCGTATAATGAAATGAGAAGAACCGGTTTTATCAGCGTCGATTGAGATTGAGACTAGACGTTTTTGTGTTTTCAACCGACCGCAGGAGGCGTGGTATTCCATCTCAAAAGCTTCAAGATTTTTTGTTTAATGAATTATTTTTTAACAACGAATTTTCTCATTCAGCCTAGGCCGCGCTTGACTTCAAAAGAAATCTCAAATTTTTCCGCCACTGTTTCATTTCATTTTTAGTTTTACGCCGAATCCACTGTCGTAGTTCGTTTTTTTTTGGCATTTAGCCTACTTTCCGCAGTCGCGCGATACCGGCAATATGAATTTTTAAAAATTTTCAAATTTTTCAAATAAAAAGTTTTCAAATATCTATTCAATTGAAGATTTTCATAAATACGTGATATTAAATACACGTATAGCTTTTAATAATACGAATTTATTTCATTTTTATTCAAATTTCAATTGTTGTTCATATCTGAGTTTTGCAAAATGCGAGAGCAGTGCTATTTCGATCGTGTCCGATCGTCCACCTCCTCAGCATGCGACAAAATTATATCCGATGTGCCATTATTATTCGAAAACGATGAGAATATATACAATGTAAAAATTGCGAAGACAAATCAGCGAACATTGAACGAAATTCAGGGTAAAATGAAAAAAATGACGAAAATTGAAGGAGAGCTTCACATCAATTACAATACACCACCGGCTGTTTCATTGGATTATATGGAAAATGGTCCGATTTTCCATCTTTCTCAATTTGATTCATACAAATTTCGTCTCTCAAAGAATTTTCTTTCAGTGTCTGCAATTACGTGTAGAGATAGTTCTCTTACTTATTTGCTCACTCCTAAGGTTTTAATTTCTCGAAGAATCGGCGTAAAAATGAAATTCAGATGTCGAATGTATGGATGTATCTCGATAATTGTGATAATTTCATTCCCGACGAACAGCAAAGACCCTATGTGATTCGCGAGACGGAAACGACAAGTTTCGCGTGTACTTCTCAAATTTTTGTGTTCATTCGGATTTCAACATAATTTTTTTCAGCCACGGTGGCATATAATCCATCACATGAGATATTAGCTATTTCAATTTTCTTCGTCGTTCTCTTTTATTTGATGTTTTACCCAGTATTGGGTCATATCAATGACTTTTCTCTTTTAAAAGTGAGCAACATTGTCTTATTGGGCGCGTTTTTTATTCTGAAAATCATCGAAATCCGTTTCAGAAGCGAGAAAGAAAAATGATGGCGAGTTTGGTTGATATTCGAAATTCGGTGGTTTCTTTGGAATTATTGTATGTTTAAATTTTCGCATTTACTTGATTTTTGGGATGAATGATTTTGTAGGATGGAAACTCTTGAAAATGAGACATTAGTTGTAAGTTTTTTATTCGAAATTTTAGTGATGCTGAATTTTCATTTTTCACAATGTCAAGAAAGACGAAGACTCCATAATCTGATATAAAAAAAGACAGTTAATATCCAAAAATCTTTTTAAAAATTTGATAACTAGAGGCTTTAAACTTAAAATTTTTACAACATATGTATATCCAAAAAGCTGGGACTTTATTTAGCATCGGCACGTTCTTTGTGCTCTTAGAAGTGCCTTTTGGATAACACTATTTTCATTCTGTGGATTCTTGAAACGAGCATTGTAAATCGTTGCTTTTTGCAGTTCAACTATCCAGTGTTTTATAAATCGTCGAAAGGCATTCTGAAAGCCGCAAACTATTCTATTGTATCATCGTCCAAAAATGGTATGAAGTCTTAATAAGTGGTTAAAAATTATTTCTTCTCAGGTAAAATAGATAAAATGACTGACAAAAACCATCGAACCTCGTTGGAACATTCGACAGCTATTTCGAATAGCACTGAAAAATCCAAAGAGATGGGGACAGAGAAAGGATCGAAACTCAAAATCTCCAGTATTAAAGTTTGAATGAATGTTTATTTAAAAAAATTGGAAACTTAGGGGCATTCAATATATTATTGCTAATACATTGTAGCTTCGAATATTTAATTACACGAGACCCTATCAAAGTTTGTGTTTTTTTAATTGAACAAGATGAATGCGAAAATCCAAGACGTTATTTATTAATTCTATGATCTTTTAATTATTTTTCAAAAAACTCAAAAGTAAAAAATAAAACATTCGTCAATTTTTTGGGTCTTCGAAAATATAAAAAAAAACAAAAATGTAAAACTGGCACTGTTCACAATAAAAGCTTTTAACAAGTAAAAAATGAGAAATTTTCCATCCGAATTACAGATTTTCTGAAATATCGTTTGTCGGTGCATTCGGATGATTTTTGTCCGAATTTTCGCTCGCTGTTTTGATGATTTAAAAGTGCAGAATCTGAATTCGATGATGAGTAACAAACTCTAATCTCGTTCGCCCTTCAAAACAATATTTTTCGTCAACATTACTGTTATTCGTGTTCCACTACCATGTGTATGTTTTTGTCCAGTTCCACCTTCGTCAAACAGACAAAACGTGTGGTGCCACCTCGTTTTAATTAGTTAACAAAAATATTCATTGGGTGGTTATGATTGCCCCAAATCGCTATCGATATGTTGTGGTATTTTTGGGATTCGCATGCCTCACTTCTATTCTTTCCAATTATACTATCATTAACTTTACATTTATCTGTATGAAAGATGATCCACGAGGAATTACACAATTGGATAACGGCGTAAGTTGCTCAAAACTGAATAATACATGGTAGAATAATTTGCTTTATTTCAATATTCGAACTATTGCTCATTCCTATTTTTTCCTTTTTTTGAGTGCTATGAAGGGCATTCACAATATTGTCTTCTCTCCAAATATTATTTTTACTAGACGACGTATAATCGCTACGACTATTCTGTGAATGAGAAAAGTGCCATTGTTTGGGCCGTCGCAATCGGCACAATCGTCGGCACTGGTCCCATCAACTACGCGTATGTTCGATTCGGCGCGCGATGGCCGTTCTTCATTTCTGGAATCGTGTCAGCGGTGGCGACGATTCTAACGCCTCTCACAGCATACCTTGGAATTCCCTACTTATTAGTTATCCGATTTGTCCAAGTATTAAAATCAATGTGTATTGAGGAATCGAAATCACTTCTAATTATTAGGGTCTCTCATATTCGGCCGATTTTGCCGCAATTGGCATCATTTGTGTTCGCTGGGCTCCTTTGGCTCAAACAGGGCTGTTCATTTCGATTCTAACCAGTTTCAGTCCTGCATCTACAGTAGTCACGAATGCCGCTTCAGGATGGGTGCAACATACGATTTTTTAGATTAAAAAAATGACTAGAAAATTTCAGTTGTGCAAATCTGCATTTGGATGGCCATCGGCCTTCTATGTGCACGGCGTCATAGGAATATTCGCATTCGTTCTCTGGATCTTCCTATACACCGATGATCCACAAAATAGTGCGAAAGTGTCGACAAAAGAGTTGTCGAAAATTCAAGAGGGAAAGACAAAAGCTCACATTGAACGAGACTCATTTGTCCCATATTGGGTAAAACATCGCAATTTTCTGCATTGATTCGAGATTATAGGAAATCTGCAAGAATCCAGTGATAATTTGCGTATGGATGAATGCGTTCTTCGAAATGACAACGCTAATTCTCCTGCTAACCTACTCACCAATCTATTTTCGAAAAGTCTTGGATTTCAGTGTGTTGGAAACAGGTAACAATCTCAGAGTCTTCTGACGAGGCTTCAACGCCTTCTCACTTCTCACAGGTATGCTAATCTCGATGACAGCCGTCGCCCATGTTCCAACCAAACTTTTCACCGGATGGCTGTCCGACAAAAACTTCTGCTCCGAACGTGTCCGAATGTGGTTCTTCAATAGTTCGTCGGTGGGACTCGCCGGATTTATGTGTATGCTGCTCGCTTATATTCCGCAAACGTGGAAATACTCAAGTAGGGATTGTCGGAAATTGCAGTTCTCAAACGAGAATTTTCAGATGTCGCAATGTTTTGCCTCGTCTACACATTGATGGGAACGAATTGCGGCGGATTCTACAAATGCGGAACATTTGCGGCAAGGTTTCAACAATTTCAGACTCATCTCGAAATCAAATTGTCAGGCAATACGCTCATTTCGTATTGGCAATGATCCAATTCACCAAATGCATCGCCCTGTTCGTTGCTCCCGCCACAGTATCTCTGTTCGTCAGCGATGAGTCGTCGCACAAACAATGGGGCTACGTCTACATTCTCAACGGCGGTCTCATGTTTCTTGTTAGTTTACGCTATTGACAACGATGCATGACAATTTCAGGCAAATCTTCTATTTATTCCGATGGCAACCGAAAAACCCCAGGAATTCACCTTCATTACAAGAAACACAAAAAGGACAGTCACGCAAAGCGCGTCACCTTCCTAACCAACAAGAATTTTACAGTACACACTATAAATCGTTTTGCGCGCAAATTACCACAATAATGGGTTACATTAAAAAAAACTCATCGAATTCATGTTCTGCATTGTGTGATATGGGAATCATGAACACCAATCAAATTCTCAGAGTTTTAACACCTCAAATATATTATAGTTAAATTGCATTGAAAATCTACTATAACTCAGGGGTGTATCGTACAAAATAACAGGGAAAAAATAAAAAATAAATGAAAAATGCATATAAATCAATAAATTGAACGATAAAAATGATTTGGGAACATTAGAAGGAAGTCAATTTAAACATCAAGATTGAAAAAGCTTTTGTTGGAGTTTCGAGTTGAACGTCTTCTTGTATCGGGTGCTAAAAAATCTAACTGATTTGCTAATTGATAAATTGGGACTTAAACAAAATATTTTTCAATGAAAATTTTCGAAAAAAAAAACATACCAGAATCGTCACTGTCGTTATTTGAAATATCATCTTGGATTTCTAAGCGCATGTTCTTATTGGATGAACGCTTCCTATAAATCTGTTACATCAACATTATTGGGTTCTTATTTCGTACCTTCCCCTTCTTCGCTTTGGTGTAGCTGTTCGTTCCAGAAATGTCACAAATTAATTTTTATTTCATTTCTCTTACCCGCTTCATTATAAGTCCGTTTAGGGGGCGGAGCTTCGTCATCGCCATTATCAAAGTTTTGAGATCTCTTGCTTACTTCTCTAACTTCAACCTCTGGTGTCGAACGAAATGAATTCTGAACACTGTTCGATTCAACATCAATCAACTGCACATCCTGTGATTAGTTTATAAGCATTTCGATTGGAAACTCTTAATTACTTCCGTGTTTTTTTCATTGGCCAATCTGTTAATGTCACCACTGCCTAACTGCGAATCATTGCTCTTTTTCTGTAAAATAGGCGGTTTTGTTTTTTGAAAGTTTGCATATTTGATAGTACCGCGAAATCTGCACTGCGTCTTAAATCTTCTTGCTCCGGAGTAACGAACCGATGATCAACCATTGTTTGATTCGCAATTGAAGTTGGAACATCGCTTTGCTAAAAAGATGAGACTTAGATCTTCTTTTTATACGAAATGAGATACCGCTTGCATTCCAGCTTGGTTAATACGATTTTGCTGAAAAATGATTTTCTTTCATATTTTCAATAAATACGATTACCAGATGGTATCCAATTGCGTTCTGTGAAAACCCCTAAATAAGTTTATTTAATGTTTTTGAATTTACTTTGAAAAAATCATATTATTCCAAATATAAACTTACAAACATATTTGGTGTCATTGGAGGGAAATATCCCTGTGGAACAATGTTGGGATCCATTCCTTAAAAAATATGTAGACTATTTAATTAAATTAACATTTATACCCAATTGGCGCAAATAAAGTAGTTGATTACTTGGAGATTGTTGCATAGGCGATATAGTGTTTCTCTCAAGCTGAAATAATAAGTATTTACTATCATATGCATTCCAAAAGTGATACATTAGTGACTTTTTGTAAAATCTCTCGCATGAAATCGACATCCTCAGTCTGCGTGCTAATTTCTTTCGAATATTCGGCACCAGTCTGCGAAGAAGTTGTACATTTCAACACATATTCCGTTTGCATTCCACCGTCAACGACATCAACTTTTTCCGTCTGCATTCCTGCTCCCTTCGAGAGGACGACATCTGTCTCAATTCCTTTATCAGAACAAACGACATCCAATGTTTGCACTTCGGAGTTGCAAACTGCGATGTCAGGGTCCGTGCCACATTCGACGACGCTAGGGTTAGCCTGGCAGTAGGCATTTAATGTAAGAGATCTCTCATCAGTTTGCATTTCCGACTCCTTCTTGACTAACGCCGGAGGTCCACATCTGCCACAAGCTTGGCAAACACCATTATCTGTGAATAGAAATTGACTTGTATGATCTATACCGCTATGATACCATTGGAAACCATATTAGTGGCAAAAACAGCGGCATTATCAGTCTCAATATCCATTGAATGAACCTAAAATAATTAATAAACTATTAAAAAAAATGAAGGTCATAGTAAACGATTAATGAAACGGACATAGCATGTCATGTAAAGTTAATTCAAAAAAAAATATAATTATTTAAAATTAAAATCACAAATTGCTAAGTTTAGGTTAGCAGGTTCAGTAAAGGAAAAAAAAGTTGAACGACGGTACAGGCAAAGCTTTAAATTATTTTCGATTAAATCAATGAAATTGCTTTAAAAATAGTGTAAATAAAGATGAACATGCGAATCTATCCACCACACAACCTGAAAATATGAGAAGACGATGAAAATGCTTTGAAGTAATAAATACATGCATAATTAAAAATAAAGAGTATTCATTTCTTTACATAGATATTACCTCTTTAGAATTCAACTGTTTTTGCCAATAACTTGAGAATTTGTCGTCTTGTGTTGCAGAATTATTTTTTGAAGATTTCGAATAGAATTGATACAGTTCTGTTTTTCTTGGGCTTTCGAGAAGCGCGTTTTGTGCTTCGATAGTAGTCTAAAACAATAAGGTTTTCAAATAATCGTGTTAATCAATCAAACAAACATTTGAATTATCGGCATCCATATACTCCTCCTAAAAAAATTACATTTTTTTTAACAATAATTTTTAAACCTCGATATTTCCATTCTCGTCAATCAAAGTCGAAAAAGATAGACGGTTAGTCTGGCTTGGATCCGAAATTGCGGTTTCGAGCTCATTTTCAATGATATCAGCGGTATCTAAAATAGTTATTTCGAAAAAAAATGTTCGAAACTGGAATACCATGGTCGTTAACTGCAATATCACATTGGTCATCGTTATAGTCGCAAAGTTCATCTGCGGGGCCCGTTGAAAAATTCATACACGTATCATTTCCAGTTTCCTCAGCAATATCATTAACACCTTAAGTGTAAAATATATTAGAAAAAAGTAGTCAATAATAGTTCAATGACATAATTTTGGGTATTTTTTAAATTTTATACCAGCATCACCGTTCGTATGATCAGATGGTTCTGTATTGTCGCAACATTCCTCCATTGATTTCATCAAAAATTGCATACGAGCATGAACCTCGGCATCATTGGCATCTTAAATAAATAAATATATAATCAAAAATATGATAAAACAAACGAACAATTAAAAAGTTCATTTGTCATTGTGTACAGACTTACCATTATTATCATTATTACTTTCAGCGTTGCGGCTTTGCTCATCTTCTCTGGAAACATTTCCGACTTCACCCTTTTCAATTTGTTCTTTACTGGTTCCCGTAGACGCTGAACCAATATTTTTTCTGATATGTAATAAAAAATTTGCATATACATTCTTCTTCAGTTCTAGACAATATGGACGAAATTTGATGAGCAGGCAATCGAAAAATTGATGGCCGCTTTGGAGAATCCTTTTCTTTCGAGTTTTCTTCGACTGGATCCATCTCTATATGCTCTGAAAATAAATTCATTTTTTGAATATGATCGAACAAAAATTTCTTCTTATCATAATATTTTGAAAATATACGAAGTTACTACTAACGAAATAATAATCGAAAAAAAATAAGTAATTAATCAAAGGAAGAATTAAATGATAGACTTCACAAGAGTAAAAATAAACTTAAACCATGAGAACATTTTATACAATTCATTCGAAAACAATCTTAAGGTTCTTATAGCAATACATAAACTGGTTTCGAAGCGTTTTTATACAGCTGTAACATTAGCTACCGTAATCATTTATGGCAAATTGCCAACAGAAAATTTTAATTTTTTTGTAGATGCTAATTTTTGGCTGTTTTTTGAATTTATGTGCGGTATTTGAGGAATTTTATAATTGAGTACTTGTTTGATAAAGCCGTACGCATATCGTGGTTAGGGTATCAATTGGCGTAAATATACTGAAGAACTTCAATACACGTGTTTATTTTTTGACAAGAAATTATATCACAGTTTACAGAAAATATTCAACAGTATAATGAGGTGAGTAAACGTGCAAATTGATAAATATTCTAATTGTGATTTAAATGTGTTCTTCTGAAATGTAAAGCTCTTCTACTTGATATTCCTGGTTTCTTCGTCGTTCGCGGAATCTGGCAACGTCTTTTCTAGTAATGACACCGCGCAGCTATAATCACTAATTTAACGGGGCAGCCTAGATACTGCTTACATGATTGTCATCATTGATAACAAATAGGTATCGCAATCCTAATCCACGGAAAATGCGAAATATGAATGGCAAAGAAGTGTTCAGAGGGACTCTGAAAAAAATATGAATATAATGAGGACCGGTTCAATATATGAACCTATGAGGATGTGGATGCATATATGGACCCATATTCAGCCAACAAGACTCATCATATGCAGATAATCCAAGTTCGGAAATTGACTTCATTTGTCTAAAAAAATTGTTTTTTGATTTTTATAAATTAATATTACATGTCTTCATCTTGACACTCATAAAAGTCAGAAGGCAATTGTGGCGAAGACGATACAGATGTGTCGTCATCGAATATCTACAATTAATTAAAGATTTATAGATCTTTAGTTATCAACTCACTCTGTTTTCCAGCAATTTGATTAGCTGAGATCTCAAAATGTATCCTTTTAATCTACCGTAATCTGGCAAACTATCTGTTGGGGATTCTTCGATTCGGTCAACAATAGGGAATCCGTGATGATTTGTAGAACGGAGGATCTTAAATTACCTTTTTAAAAGAATAGAAACACCAAATAATACTTCAACAATTCTAGAAACTCGTTCTCTCGTTTCCAATGCGACAACATCACGACGCATAACTCGGCTGAATTATTATAATGAATAAAGCGTTATGTAATTAAACTAACTCGGCAAGAATATTTCTGCTCATTTTCGGAGGATTCCATCCAAGAATTGGGACTTCGGCTAGGTCAATATGAGAATCATAGAGTCCTTCATTGAACATATCTCCAACCCATTTGGTAATCATCAAAACTAACATAATGGGCAATCCGAAAGTTATATCCTAAAAATTTATTATCGTTTTGTCACAATTTGTTGACATTTTGCCAATTTTTCGAATAGTCATGGACGAATTTGGGGTGACATTTATTTATAATTTGAATTGTCATTTTAGTCTCGCATGAAAAATATTAGGAGCGGGTTTTATTTAATTCAGTCGTAATAGAAAACTGCATATAAAAAAAAGAATTTGAAGTATGTCATAGGACCACTTATGAACGTATTTCGTTTTACAGGACCAATTTATTGAGAGCCACGTAATTCACAGTTTCTACATTCGCGCATTCACGAATATAATATGAAAAAGTAAATTAAGCAAACCTTCGTAGCCTCCATAATAATAGCAGTGAGGGAAATTGTCATTCTGACAATTCCGCCGAGTTGAGCTGCAGCTCCAGCAAGTGCATACTTTCCAGGATCAATTCCGGTCTATAATTCAATAGCTATTAGGAACACTAGGCATACTTGAAAATTTGCTATGAATTTTTCATTTTCTCAACGTCAATCATACCACAGTCGGAAATAGTTGCTCCACAAATATTCCAAAAAGCCTTCCCCATGCTGCTCCGGTGAGAAGAGCTGGAATGAAAATTCCGGCTGGAACTGCAATTCCGAATGTCCACAATGTCAACATAAAATATTCAACTCCAAAGATAATAAGAGTCAGTGCGCCAAAAGAATCTAAAAATTAAAAATTCCCAAATATCTACTGGGACTAATCGGCAATACTTATTGGACTATGGAATAAACTCTTGACACTCTCTTCGGGGTTTTGGAAGAAAAGACTAGCCACTGCCGAATATTCGCCCTTTTGGCACCACATCTATAAAAGCAGATCGATCGAATATCAATGAAAATGCAAATCTTACCTGATTGATTTGTGTTGAAGTGGCCGTCGGATTCACACCGATTGGTTGACAATCATCAATGGCGAAAATTGTAAGAAAAGCGAGGAATGCTGAAATTGCTGCAACAAGAACGCATTCGAAAAGCCTCGCTCCTCTACTATTCACATAGCTAAACGAGTTTATACGCTTTTGAATTTTGAAAAAAAAATAATGCGCTACCGTTTCCGGAATTCTGCCAATCTCGTGTTGAGATAATTGAAAAGTGCACCGAGAACTCCTCCAATAACTCCGATCAGAAGAAAGAAGGGAATTTCCCAAATGTTGTAATCTTTATTTTCGAAAATTCCAAAGTTGGCGAGTCCGGTCCACGAGAGCCATCCACTACGTCCATTGAACCAACTCAAAATCCAACTAACCGTGAACGAAGAAATCATCGAAGAGAAGAACTTAACAATTTTCTGCTTAGTTTTTTTTTTAATTTTGAAAATTTCACACACCATTCTCCATGTTAAATTCTGATTCCAAAAACTCGCACCTTCCTCAAGAGAAAATAGTACTCCACCAATCGGAGCTCCGAAAGCAGCCGCCACTCCTGCAGCTGCGCCAGCAGACACAAAATCACGTCGTTCTCTTGAATTCAATATCTATACTCGAAGGCAAATCAATTGGCTTCATACCGATCGTTTCGAAATTCTTTGAACATCCCAGAATCGAGTCCAAGGGAAACACTTCGTCCTTGCGATACGCCTGCCCCAACAACAGCTCCCGAATGGATCATCGGGCCTTCCTTTCCAGCGCAAAGGCCGCCTCCGACCGAACAAGCAACTCCTATCGCCTTGCATATTAATGTCTTCAAACGAATTACTTCGGGAATCGCAATTCCATTGAGATAGCATTTGATTTGCGGTATTCCAGATCCACCAGCAATCGGCGAAATGAAAATCACCTATTGATACTGTGTGAATGAAGAGTAATACTAGATGACTATACCAAAATTGATGCAATTGTGACAAGAACGCAATTATAAACAATCCAGGCGATCATCACAGTCCACATGCATCCCGAGGTTGTTCCACGCTGCTCTTCGTTGCATTTCGACAAAACTAAACTGAATAATAATAACTATTTCAACATTTACGTAAAACCTACAATATTTGAGAATTGTGTTAAATTTGAACTCTTTACTGTAATGCACCATAATGTCAATGAATGCTGCCACTAAGGCCGTGAAGACACCAATGAAAAAACAGACAATCCATCGATTCCTTGATATTGTCCATAATGTCATCTAGAAACGTCTCACTTAACCAATGATTTATCCAAGGAAATATTAATCGAAAACCTGGTGCGTCTTTTTCTTCTCAGCGTCTCGGTAAAGCTGATTCTCGGAAACTTCATAATTCAAGCTTTCATAACGAGCGGAGAGAGCTTCATGCGATTCGGTACGATTGCTTATCATTGATCTCGTCGTGAATCGAAGTTCGTCTTGCTGGAAAACCCTTGAATTCCAATAATATCGACCAACACTTATAAATTTTCCAAAAACAATTTTTATTGAGAATCTTATTCTTTTTATTTATGCGACAAACAACCAACTTCTCTCCTCCTCCTTCTTGTCATTCCTTCAATATCCTGATTGGACATCACCCGCTCCAATCCGGCAACTGGATCCTCATTTGAATCAAGACTGAAATATCAACACAAGACTATTAATGGATAAGACTATCCAACCTATTCGACCACGTTCTCGTTCTTCCACTCGTCATACTAAATAAACAATTTCGTTTCTTTTTAAATTGGTCTCGAACACCATGTATAACCACCGATACGAAACAGTTCTCGTAAAATAACTAATTGTCATTTTATTTCATTTATTATTCACACAACAATCGAAAAATCTTTTAACTTTTGTTTTGCCGAAAAGCATATTAAATGTACAATTTTTTTGAGTATCAGGATTTCACAGAATACATAAATCAAAATTTAGTAGGCAGCAAATCTTCGACCGCGTCTGACAACTCGTTCCGTAACATATTGGAATGTCGGCACTCTCTGAACCTGAAAATAAAGAAATTAGTACTCGACTAGGTAATAGGAAACATCAAACCTCTCTGACGACCCTTCTGTTTCTGGCTGGAACCGCCACGGAATTGCGGAAGCGATCATTATTTCTACTGAACGAGCGGTTGGTCTGTCTAAACTGTTGGACTGGGACACGGCGTTCAACAACTCGCTCAACAACACGCTGATACTGAAAAAAAAACAAATAATTCGAAATAATTCGAAAATTTGTTCCGACTTGTGGCTGCGGTCGTACACGCTGAACTTGAACAACTTGTCTCTGGACACGCTGTCTTTGCTGAACTGGACGAGTCACAAACTGTCTGTTCTGTTGGCGTGGACGTTCGACAACTTGCTGAACGATGACCTGACGTGGTTGTGGTCTTCTAACCACACGCTGAGCTGGAGCCGGAGCAGTAATAACCTGGCGCACAACTTGTCTGCGCGGCTGCTGTTGCGGTGCAACGACTCTCTGTCTCTGTAGCACAACTTATTAGAGACGCCCGATTGGATGAAAAATTTTTACTTGCTGAACAACCCTCTGAACAGGCATGCGAATTGGCTTTCGTGAGATAGTTCTTGATTGTTGGAGGACTCTGCTAATCGGTGCTCTGTTGCGACGAGCGGCAATCGTGGATGGAGCAACTCCCTGAAACCATAAGGCTACTTACCCCAAAACGGGAATTGGGTTTGTGATCTGATGCAACGACTATTCAGGCGACGAGGGTTGGAATACATGGACAGTTTTCCTTCTCCGCTCAGTGGTGCATCAGCGCAACAAATCACTTCGGGGACGAAAATTTCTTGACTCGTTTTAGGCTTTTTATCGGGTTTTCAATAAACTCCATGTTTATTCGCCGCAAATGGAGCGTTTTTCTTTCGAAATGCTCCTGGTGGATATCTTGCGACACGAGAGGCGCGACTGTATTAGAGTTCACAGCAGCGAATCCAGCGTCTCTCGACCCAATCTATAGCCAAATTTCAAGGTCCCATTGTTATCTCATTGCCGGGTTTAGCCGAGATCATTATAAAACGAAGCAGAATCGCATAGTAAACGTACACCGCGTTTGCGCAACTGCGCTTTGGCTACTCCTGTTGCCCCCGTTTTGCGCAGAGCATTCTGAAAATATAAAACGATTGCGAAATAGGCAAATACTATAATTATTTACCTTGACAAGCTTCTGCACAAGCTTCTTGGTGGCCTGATTGACAACAGCTCCCTTCTTAATTCCTTGACGAACAGCTAGGGAGCGTTTAATGGCAACGGTAGCACGAGCTCCGCGTGCTCCAGCACCTCGGGCTACAGCACCTTTAGCTCCACGAGCCGCAACTCCTCTACGGACTGGGACCTGCTTTCCATTTTTGTTTAGGAATTTCTTTCCCTAAAACAAGTAGAATAAAAACTGAAACAATGTGCAAAAAATGTACCGGTTTTCCACCGTTCTTCTGTCCGTTATCCTTGCGATCTTCTTTCTTCTTCATTTTGATGATATCATCAAGAGTCATGTTCAACTTATCAGCCATCTTCTTCTGTTCGTGTTGGAGAGATAGTTCTGAAAACGACAAACAATAAAAAGGGAAAAACTATAGAATATTTTGAATACACGAATAAAAATAAACAATTGTTGGCAATTTATAAAATAACGGCAATAACGAATGTTTAGAACAACTGAATGCCAACTGAACACACGAGGCACCATTGTGACGAAAGAGAAAGCGGGGCGTGGTCGGAGAGTGGCAGACACAAGGCGAATATTGATTGATAGCGAGGCGTGCAAGACGCGGTCGGACGGCAGAAATGCTCGCTATTCGAGTGAGTAGAGTAGCCGGTCGGGGTCAATGGATTAGATTCGATAATAGATAGTGTAGGTATTACGATTATAACCCGAAATCGAAAAATTAAAAAAAAAAAACATTACAGAAGCATTATTAAAAAAAAATTATTGCGAAATTTATTTTCGAAAATTTTCGGATAACCGTTGAAATCCTACTTATTAAATTCGAAATAAAGAAAATAAATATTCATTAATTATTATGTTAATAGACAATTTTCAAATCATAAAAAATTTAATCGGGGAAACAGCGTACCGATGAATAAAAAAAGAATTCTTTTTTTAATATCGTTAGTATTAATACTACCGATATTAAAGGAGCAGGCGGTTTTTAAAATTAGGTCTTACCACTATACGTAGTACCGTAATTTTTATTATCGCGTTTGGGGCAACATCGCACGGACTGACAATTTTTATAAATAAATTTTCATTTGCAAATAGGAAATAGGAAATAATGTGAGTTTTGTGTAAAAATAAAACCCACGTTTTTGCTGCCAAAAAGATAATTCAATCATCCGTTGTCAAAACCGTAAATGTATTTCTATAACAAAAAGTGGATGACGGAAAATAATTTTTTTGTGTCACGTGCCAGTTTGTATGTAAACAAAATGTTCCTGCTAACCGGTTTCCACTTAACAAAAGAAAGAAGAATTAACATTTTATTATCAACGCGAGGAAGCGAATTTGCAAAGCGTACATTTAAAAGCAGAATAATGTACAATAAACGAAATATAGAAGTTTTAGTGAATTGCCAATGAACGAACGATTTTCGTTCATTGCGGGGTACGATTTCGCAAGGTCATCGTCATTTTTGGCTGATTAGCTGTTCTCGACAATTTGTCAGTTTTTTTCACACCCGATTTCGCACGTGGTGCACTCTTCTTTGGTGCATTTCTTTTCTTCGCGATCATTCTTCTTTGCTTGCGCTTTGGAGCCTTCTTTTCTTTCTAAAATAAAATTATTGTTTGGAAATCAATGTTTTTGAAAAATTGGTTCTTCACAAGAATGTATGATATTACTTCAGCAAAATTATAAGATTCCTAACCTTTTCCCAATTTTCGCTCGCAGATGAATTCGCAAGAAGCCGCTGAAGATCTTTTTCAGCCTCAATAGCTGGATTCAATGCGAAATTTCCATTTTCCTTAATTGTGTTTGCTAATTTCAAAAATATTTGGCTTATTTACATTTATCATCTCTCCATTTCCAACGACACCTGACAAATATCCGCGGAGTTGAGTTTTAAGCTTAAAATTTCGTAATGCAATTCATTTCAGTTGTTCACAATTTTTATACCTTCGGAAGATTTTCTCCGACATGGTAATTTTGAGCAATGTATTTGAGAATCGCCGCCGGACTGATTCCATTTTTACCGTTCAATGTTCGGATAGCTCTCTGAATTGAGCAAATATCGATGAATCGAAATTGCGAAATATAAAACCAAAAACAATTAGGTGTTCAATCAATAATCAAAAAAAAAATGATGAAATGTCCCAAACCTGAAACATTTCCAAATATGTCGGATGGTTCGGCAATTTTTCGTGTCGCGGTGCCCCAAGAAGCACATAATTGAGAGTTTCTTCGTTGTTGGATGCATCCAATCGGTTAACCATTCCCATCAAATCCATAGCCATTCTTGTCTGAAGTGAACACGACATTGTATACCAAAATGACGTTCAAAGCGATCACATGTTTGCAAACAGATTATTTGATGTTAGTTAGTTTTAATAGAAAGAAAAATCGAAGAATTTTTCGTCGAAAAGAAATGAGCGAAAAAAAAGACGGGCGGGAAACGAGACGAGTGTACCGATGAGAGTGTTTACCAAAAAAATATGTGAATCATTTTCCTCCAATCAACATTAGAGAATACGAGTTTGCACTTCTATTGATCAGAGTTCCTCGTAAATATTTTCAGCAAGAATTGTTTACAGTGCATTCACAAAAATCAGAGAATACTATTTTTTTATTTATTTTCGAGAAATTGTGTCCAATGTATTTTCTATTTTCAGTCAGGTCATTTTATTTCGAAACTAATATATTTTGATCGAGATCCTCGAAATCTCTTTTGAAGATCAATCACTGCTCATTAGAAAATTTAAATTGCGAAATTCTCGGAAAGTGAAATTTCTACAAATATTTTTTCGGGGAAATTTTGCGAACTCTCTGCTAATTCAAGCATCATATTTCAATATATCAATTTTTCATTTTTTTTGCTAATCAGTCAGCTTTTTACACCATGCATATTTAGATTTTTATTGAATATGAATACATTGCATAAATTATAAGGATAAGTGGCAAGGGAGTTGATTTGTTGGGACAAGTTTGAAATCAAACCAAATTTATTGATTTTTCCAATTTTTTGTAGTTGAACTGGGAATGAAGGACAATGTGAATGTGGAATGTTTTGGGAAGTTTTCACAAAAACAACCCCAATATGGGCTAGGCAACCATCTAAAATCGGAGCTGAGTGGCTTATTATTTAATTGCTTCTAGAACATTGATAATACCCGTAAATCAAACATAATTGATGTAGGGCTGTCTATAATCGAATAGCGAACATGAAAAAACAAAAGAGAAGAACGAAATTCAATTTTGAGGCGTGCAGAGAATGAGTCGAGTTACAACCATCTGTATCACAGGATTGAACGCATCCTTTATAATGATGACCTTCGTATTTGAAACTGCCACAATGAGATATCCGGACTATTTCTGAAATAATTCAAATCTTTGGTTTTAATTTCACATATTTTTGTATTGAAATATGCAGATTTAAAATAGGTAAATAGGAACCATCTAAAAAAGTCTAAAAATCCTGCCAAAAAAACTAGTTTTTTTTTTCAAAATATTGCCATAAATTTTGCAATGAATAGTTGATTTTTGAATAGAAAAATAGTTTGAAAATGTGGTATAAACATTTGGCGGCGAAAATCAAACAAATGTTTGATTAGATTACATTCTTCGAGTACGAAAGTTTCGAACCTGTATCAGCTGTTAGTGTTCCAGAATCGAGAGCACATGTTCGAATGACTAACGACTTGGATTGGTTTTCGGCTGAAATTGTGACACTCATTTTCTGAAATGCGAGATGCTCTTTCTCACCCCGATAACCTATAATTTTGATGCAATGATCAGCGGGAAATAGTCCATGTCGTCCTTTTTTGTACGCCCAGCATGGGTAATTATAGTTGGCGAGAGTCGAAGTCTCTCGATCCTGCAAATTCTTTTTAAAAAATCGCATTTTTCAAATTTATATAATGATGAGAGGAATTGTTACCCTAGTGTTGAGCTCCATTGTGGAATTGAATGGATCTTCACATCCTTTGTTTTCGCCGTCGAACGAGCTGCAGACGAAGCAACCGATTCCCGAAACTCCTAAAACGAAACTGTGTTCGAAAAAAAAAATAATAAAAACAATCATTCAGACTATCAATAATGAGTATATTCGGGATTAGTAGATCTAATTGATTGCAACAGCCAAAAAAAATGATATACCTACCTTCTATTTGATGAATGAGAAGCATCAAGAATAGATAGAATGCGCGACCGACGAGGGGAATCGTAGAAGTGCTCGATGTCGACGATGTCGATGACGCTGGAATTGAACGTGCCGGCGGCGACGTGGACGTTGACGGGTCGAGGCGGGACATGCACGACGCGTCGAATTCGCCGTCCCGCCTCCTTCGAATCGCGAGCCGACCGAAAGAGGTGTGGCGACGACAGCGATCGGGCTGTGGCGGTGGAGGTGGTGGTGGTGGTGGTGATGGTATCGGACAGCGGCGGCAGCGAACAGCACACCGGACAGCGACCGGCTGCGATTCTCAAACTCGTTCTGGAACAAATGACCAATAGAAAAATGTGATATATAGGAAAACAAAATATTGCGAGACGTCCTGAAATATTCCGAAATCTAATAAAAATATTTTTCATATGGCTATGCGATATAAATCCAAGAGAAAGAGAGGAAATTAGACAAAGATTAATTTGAAACAAACCAAGTTTTGGGGCTCAAAAAATATCATTTAATGTGGAACAAAAGAATTTTCAGCAAAATGAGAAAATAATCGAAATTGTCACGTTTAAGCGCCAAATTTGACAGATTTAATGTGATTGCATTGGGTAGAAATGACAAATTCCACAATATTCCTTCGATTGAATAGATCCATATAAAGTTATGATTTACTCCATGCGATACTGCGAAAATTGGTTTCTTTTTATATTGCTTAATATGATTGAGCAAGACAAATCATAAATATTTATATTCTCCCCCAGACGAACAATTTCTTTTTTTTTTTTTTGCAAAAATGTCTCGAATGGAGGGAAAGCGGAAAACTCGCAGAGAATTTTCTAAACGAGCATCGCTTGTATTTCCGGGTTCAAATTTGTGAAAGTAATTGAGCGAGTAATCAGATGAGCGAAAAAAAGGAACAAAAGGGAAAGATTGAAAACGACGGGTAAAAGTAGCAAGCGAGAGCGACAACAAAAAAACACACATAAATGCGGCATGGCAAAGAGTAATCGAATTTATGGCTACTTTTCGGTGACGAAGAGCATCGCCTCCGACTTGTGTACAACACGTCGCCGCAAGCTTCGAGACGCGTTTAGTCATATCAATTAACGAACATTGTCTCGCATCAGGAAATTAACGCCACTCAAAGGCACACGCATAGGCTGAAGCAGACGCTGTCACCATGTCTCACATTTTTCCCCTCATTTTTCACTCCTTATTTTGGCGCCTCAAAAGAGGAAGAAGCAATAAAACAGCACCAAAAAAAAATGCCGAGCCAAAATTAGATTAGCACCAAAGAGTGCAAAAAACGAAAAGAAATCAATTGCAAGTTTGCGGTCGGCTCAACGATGAATGAAATTTGGATTTATGGGTTGAAAGCTTTTAAATCGTACTAATTTGGACATATGGGGAAAACGCTAATGAACGCGGAATGAATGGGATAGTGATATTTGAATAAAAGAGAGGAATTGAGTGCTTTTGAATCAAACATATGCTATGGGATGTTCTTTGCAATTAGTGGTCCCATAAGGATAGCTTACAAGAGGTGTGTAACGAAAAATCTCTAGCTTTAATAAATCTATAGCAAATTTGCAGCAACGCTTCCAGGCTTCCATTCAAAAGAAACTCCTTGTAAACCAAATCTTGGAAACACTTCGGCAATTCCTGAATGTTGCATTCTCGGAATAGGGCTAAAAGCCTCTGGAAGAAAAAATGAAAACGAGAAGGATAATGTAAATAAGGACATGTATCCGTTTTGTGTCTTTTAGTTGATTCAAGTATATCAGATTACCAATTAGGGAGAGCCCAAATGACAGGTTCCGAATGAAAAAGAAACGTCGAAGACTGGAAAAAAGAGAAATTGACTAATATATGCAAGATGCATCAACTTCCTTCTCGAAGATCATTGTAGATGATTTAAGTTTTATTTTCGAATAAATATTTGCATATAATATTCTTCGATATCAAAACAAAATTCATATTTAAAAACAAAAAATAATATTTGCATTTATGCGAAAATATTTGCGCATATTCTGTGGCAACATTGTGACATGCGAGCTACAATGTGACGTATCGAAGCATTTGTCGAATATTAACAAATATGTACATCATATTAACTTGAAAATTGTATTATATTCGCAAAGAGCCGAAAATGGATGTCGATCCGATTTACGAGCGAAATTTTAATGAAAGAGGAAAGAAGCAATATGTTCGTATGCTTCTCGTAATATGTTTTTGGAAACGCTATAAAAAATATACGAAAATAATAATAATTACTATAGCATGTTAAAAAGCAACCTGAAAACCATGCAAAATCCTTCTAACCAGCTTTCGAAAATTGCAGAAACTCCAAATTTTAACCTGTTTTGTCATTTTAGTAATTCTCTGAAGATGTGAAAAAGATGGGCGTGGCTTAGAAAACTGATCTGAAAATAATAGGTTTCGTAGCAGATTTTCACAAGAAAATTACAGAAACTAAAATGTTGTGAGAGAGACATGACCTCATCAAATTATTTTGAAAAGAAAATTCAAACAAATTGATAAATACCAGGTTAAAATAGTTTTCCTGCATGGCTTGTTTAAAGCATATTTACAGATTTTTAAAGCTTTTTCCAAATTCACCATTGTCTCCTTACACATTGGATGCTGAAAACTACATAGTAGTAGCTCATGATAGCGAGTTATTTATAACTGGTCTGCTTGAAAGAAATACATAACGAATGAAGACGAAACAACAAAGGAAATCGACTTTGACTTTTGATTTTTGAGCTGACGACACCGGCCGAATTATTTCACGCCTCGCAACATTTGGTGAGCACCAAAAGGTGGGGACTTCGATGACGACGACAGCTACATAACATCAGTAGTCGGTGAATATATCAATCAGTCAGCAGCGGTGACGGCCAAAAAAAAACAAGATCCCAATTATTCTTGAAACTTTGTGTTTCATTTTGAAAAAGGGAGAGAGACACCGGTGAAACGCGAAACGACGAAAACGTATATTCTCGCTTTCATCGCAATACGCCGCCGGCGTCGGCGTCGAATTTTTTTTGTTGTGCTCCGCGTTTTGCTACACTTTTGCTCATTCATTCGAGCGAATTCCGAATCTTTGATTAGTACGCAAAAAAAGTCGCGCGAAAAAAAAACCAAACAAAAAGTGCAAAAAAAAATCTGCAAAAAAATGTGAAAACGAAGAATAAGAAGACGAAGAAGAAGCTGAAGAAGAACATAACTAATCAAGTCGCAGAAAAGTCAAAAGTTTTGTGTTTCCTTCAACGAGCTGCCATAAATATTTTATGACGGAAAGAGGACGCAAAATGACAAACAATACTATTAATCCAGTAAAGGAGAATTTATCGCGACAGCGTTCGTTTTCTCGGTTTCTTTTCTGATTAAAATGGTGGCTGGTGGGTTGAGCAAATTTCAATGGTAGCCGAGGTATTCTGCCGATGAAACTATCAATATTAATAGGCGGAAAATATGGCTTCATTTGAATATTTTTTAATAAATATGGAAATTTTCTCATTTACGGACCCATTAGAGCAGAAAACGAAGCAAGTCCATTTTCCAAAATTGGATGATCACACGCAATGTTCTTCAGTATAGATATTAAGACAATATTTAGTGAAAAGAGCTTCGCTGTGGAAATGAGGAGGCCACGCCCCCTCGTCGTGTCGATGTTTTTCTTCGAAAGTGAAAGTCTTATGTTTTTTTTATGAAGAACACGCAAATATAAGAGAAATTGGCTCATTTGAGCTCATACTAATGGGTCCCACTACGAAAGCTTTTAAAGATCACGGTGCCCTGCTAATCTGTTAGTATCTTCTGAATATGAAAATTGAGATTAATTTTGAAAACTTTTAGTCGATTTAATATTTTCATGATGAAAAAATTAGCGTGATCGTCCGCCAACCGCAACGCGTCTTACGATATGGGTCTTGCAGCGGCTGATTTTAGTTAACTGATTTTTTCTTCAGCAAGCAAAAAAAAAGGCGTGAGACATGTATTCTATAAAAATTCTCAAATGTTGTCGAGACTGTGTGTTTCTGTGTAAAAAAAAAAACTCTTAAAAATACTTGAGAGCTCACGTGAGACCTCAAAAACTTGTGACAAATTTCCATGGATTTTCTCGGCTATCGAAACTGAATCACAATTCTTGAATAATTTCTAATAGTGTAATGAGCTCAGTCGCAGTAACAAGTATGTTAATCAGGAAAATATTAGCGGAATTCTCGAATTGGAAAAAAAAAATGAACTAATTCGATTTCTCCGATAATTTCCGTTGAATAGATACCAAAATAGCAGAAGGTAAACCGAAACGACATAAAAACTAATTAAAACGACACGAAGATGATTGACAGAATCATTGGATTTGATGACGTCATGTTTATATGGATGTTGAGATTGGACGAAGAAAAAAGGAAAGAGAGAAGAGGAAGGTTGCGTATGCTCGTATGGATCCCGCTATTTGTGGAATTGTAAATGAAAAATGAAAAACGGAGGCCACAGAAAAACACGGAGAGTGCAAGAATGGTGAATAAAGCAACAATGAAATTGGGCTGAGAAACAACAATGGATTTCAGGATGTGAATTATTCAAAATATGAAAGCCACACTCCGGCGCCGACAAATTTTTTTCTCTTTTTTACGGCCCTTAAAATTCCCGAAAAAATTTTGATGAATTTTTGAGCGCCGTCTGTCGGCGGAAATGTATTCAGTTTCCGCATTCAACACGTAAAAATTGACAGGGGTCTCGTCGCGAATGAGTCCAATTAGTGTCGGGCAAGTTTCGCCCACACGAATAGAATTATCCATCCATGGAATGCATGCAAAATACTCATTGCAAGAAAACAAACAAGATTTTATAGATGGATTTAGCGAAAAAAAAGACATGAGAAAATGTTTTGCACGGCTGAAAAATTCCATTGGCTCAAAAATAAAACAACGAGTATAGATTGAAGCGGCGAATCGATTAACTGTTTAATTTCTTCCAAAACTGTATAATTTCTTCCAAAAAATATTACTTCTCATGTGATTTTCGGAGACGATTCTTTAAAAGACGAACAGTATTTATTTGAGTTTCGAATACTTACGGATCAATAAAACCTTTTTTCAAACTTTTAATTTTCGAATTTTTAAATTCAAATTATTGTAAACTATAATTTATACAATATATGTATTAATTTTCATTAGATGAAATAATTTTTGAAAATAGCATAGAATTAAAATAAAAATTGTTGATTACATATGGAAAAATTCTAAGGTAGCTGCTAATCAGAGTTGGGTGGAATTAAAATTTCAACTAGGATATAAAAAAAACAATGGAATAAATGCTTTGAAGCAAACCTACTATCAAAATGAAATTTAATGGGAAGAAGCTCGGAACTTCGTAGGAACTTGAGATGCCAAAATTGGTAGGTTGTCATAGCAGATGATGTGAATTGGAAAGGTACGAAAATATGCTGGCCGTAACCGCTAAATCGGCTCTATGTGCGGCCCAACTACAACACGAATATATGGGAAAAAAGATTTGAGAAAAACGAGAGAACGAGAAATAGAATGAGCTGGACGAGGGGTTTTCCCAATGTTTTTCCTTCTTCTTCTTCTTCTTCTTCTTCTTTTCCTTTCGTATTCCGCGTGTATTCGCGTTCTTTTTTTTGTTGTCGGAACTCGACCGATTCGGCTTCTGCAATTTCAGTATCCTCGCAGAATCGCTGAAATTGACTTCTTGTCGATGCCGCACAATTTGCCAGTTTTGCTTTTCGCAATGCTTTTTCTAACATGCCTCTTACGTATTTTATTCCGCCGTTTTCCGTCGCCGACGACATTTATTGCAATTGAAGTGAGTGGGATTTAGGGACCACAATAAACAAAGACAAATAAAAAGAGCCCCCCCCCTCGACAATTTTAGTTGGCGACGAGACATTTTCTATGGATGACGACAGCTTTTAAAACAAAAGCACTGAAGTCCAATTTATGGTATCAAAGACGTCATCAAGAGCAATCGGTAAAGAAAATAAAAACCTTATTTTAAGGGTAAAGAAAAATGAAAAAAAACGGTACAAGAGTTTATTTTTAGCTAAATAATGGACGCATGAAGGACTAAAAAATATGAAATAACTGACGAACCAACCGGCTGGTTGACAAGTGACATGATATTTAATAACATGCCGCTTTTGACCTAACAACAAATAAATTTGCACAAGAGGAGGAGGGCATAATACTGATGTGATGAGTGTCTTTTGATGATAATGTTGTAATCAAAGATGATTGGACAAAAATCAAAAGAAATTGGAAAATAAATGACGAGCAACAAGGTTGAGAGAAGATATCTGCTTGGAACATTTCTCGCATGTTTTGTATGAATTGAAATAAGAAAAAATTAAACTTGGATATTAGAAGATTCAATGAGGAGTAGGAATAGTCAAATGAGGAATAGTCAATGAAGAATAGAATTAAATGAGGTATATTGGAAGATTCAATGAGGAATGACTGAGAAACAAGCTGATCTTATTTTTCTAATTAAAAAATAACTGAAACAGGTGCTTCTTGTTGAAATTGAAGGATTCAAAAAATGAACTGCTCAAAAAATAACGAAATACAATTCTTTTGTCAAACCACGCACTTGTTTGAGTAATCTCTTATGCTGATCATTTGTTTAAAAACAAAAGCGAATGCTACGAATGGAACAAAATTGCAGCACAAAAAGGGCGCGAGAAGCACATCAAAGCGCTAGAGATGAAAAAGAAAAGCAATGGCACACACACACACACACACACACACACATGAAAAAACCGAGGAGTAGATAATCCGTGGTTGTGCCGTCTTCTTTTTTCTTGGAGCCGTCTCAAATTGCTATTCGTTTCGACAATCTCGCCTCCTCGCGGGTTTTTTTCGTCCTCTCGCTCTTGTCTGCTCTTGAAGTCTGCCAAAAAACTCTTGAAATGAGCACAAAAAGCACATGGAAAAGGCGACATGGAAAGCCCTTAAAATTGGTTTGGCGTTCAACTTTTCTTTTGGCGCTCAAATTCGCTTTGGAATCGTGCCAAGTGTGGGATTTGCGGAGGGAGGCGAAAAGAAAAGTGGAAAACTGCTACTAACGGAAGTTGTCGACACCAGATCCCGACGAATGTTTGAGCTAAACTAAAAGGATTATGAAGAATCGATGTTAGTTCGGCACTTTCAACATCGAATTGGAAAACACTAAGAATGAAAGAGGAAAAGTTCCGCATCATACCCTAAACTATTAATTAGCAATTATTGAGCATTTTGGACTTGAAGCTTTCATAATATGTTATAATCTCAAAATGATAGAGATACATTTCAAATTGCACTTGACGACTTTTTTTTTTTCACTGTGAATCACATGGCGTTTTTGATTTCTCAAAGGTTCAGCGAATCATTTTTACTCGAACCTATTCTGTGATGTATTCATCTTGCAAAATATTCCTTAAAAAACTAGTTATGCTGTAGGTGATTACAGTAACCTTGATATCATCCGGGACTCGCGAGCCAATCAGCACCAATATTGTGTTTTGAACTGATAGGTCTTATCTAGAACCGCCTTTTTCTTCACGTCTATAAAAATTTCTCCAACGCGGCCTCATTTGTGTCTAGATGTATACCGTTTTCGTCGCATTTTTTCTGTTTTCGTTCAGAATCGCATCTGGTGCAATCAAAGGACCGCTAAGCGACGATTTTCAGAAATGGCTTAAACGGTAAATGTTTATTTCTAGTGAAGGGTAGCTCGTATTTTTTTTTTAGCAATGGTTATGATAGTTGCGACTTTGCCCGAAGTGACTATGGTACTCAAGGGAGTTACGGCGGGAAAACAGTGAATGTGTCGGAAATGGTTAATATTCCCGTGGTTTTTGTTCATGGGAATTCAGACGCGGCACTTCATCGAAGCTCGAGCGCACCCGGATGGTCCAACTCGATAGAGTATTTCCTGGCCAATGGCTATACGCAAGCTGAGCTTTATGCAACTTCTTGGCAAGACTCAAATCCATTAAATGCTTCGAAAAGGTACTTTAAATTTTGAGGGTTGACATAGATTTTCAATTTAGGAAACATGACTGCGAAACAGTTACCAGAATACGAAAATTCTTTGAGGCAGTTCTTTCCTATACGGGATCAAAGAAAATATCAATTGTAAGCCATAGTATGGGAGTGACGATTGCCAGAAAAGCCGTCAAAGGCGGGAGGATTGAAGATGCCGATGGTAAAAAGAAAATAATCTCATACAAAAAACCAAATTCTCTTCTTAGGCCAATGCAATATTGGATTGCCTTTGAACAAGAAAATCGAGGTATTCGTGGGGCTCTCCGGTGCAAACTTCGGACTGTGCAATTGCGAAGGTCCACTGGCAAATCTACAAAAGACGTGCAACAAGCAAGACGGCTTCTGGCCTGGCGATTCATGCGGTTCGAACAAATTGAATTGCGGCGTGAACCCCCTTCCGAGCCCCTGTACAGCTGTCAGTTATTCGAAGTACCTGATGCAATTGAACAGTGATAGAATAAAGGAAGCAGACTATGTATTCAGTGTTTGGAGCTATGGTGAGCTGCTTCGAAATTAATAGCGTCTATTTTTGGTTTCAGCCGACGAACTTATTGGGTATAGTGATATGGTATGGGGCAGAGCCACTTCTTTGATCCCATTGTCCGATGGAAAGATCAATTATTCCAATTTAACTCACATGGAAAGCAAAGACAATACTTTTGCTGATCAATATCAAATGGTCAAATTCCATATCGTTCCCACCAATAATTAATATAAAAGCGTGTATTTCGAACATTTGATGCCGGTATTACTTGTGTTCTTTGGATTCCCTTATCTGTCCATATCTATATTGTACTAATAAACCAACTCTCCAAAATGTTGTGTATTGAACTCACTGATAACCAGAAACGAATGCGTTTCGGGAAGAAAACAATATAATCTTTGTTGCTTTTCTTTGGTGATACAAAAAATTTCGCCGTTCGAAAAGGGCTTGGATTCGATTGAAGTGTGCCAACTCAAATATCTTCCTTATTTTTGATCCTTCCAAAAAAGTTCAATATTGTACAAGTATCTTATTTTGACAATTTGCCGAATTTTCAAAGCTGCTGGATGAAGGAAAAATGGAAAATCGGAAATAGAAACCATTTTTGACTAATTAAAATTGTCGTGAACTGACGATTTTGAAAAACATTTAAATTGAATTGGCTACCAACTACTTTATGCTTAAATCCAGAAAATCTCCCATTCGAAAACGTAGCAAAATGGAATATTGGCCGATTGCTGTTGGGAAGAATTATTTTAATCAACTTATCCAACAATCGTCTATAAGAAAAAAACTTAAATGTCTGTAAGAAAAAAAGCTTTAAGAATCGAGTTGCTGGGCAACTAAAGAATAAAATCAATTTTGAGGTATTGAGAATTTTATATTTTCATAAAACATTTAATAAGAAACCTGAAAAGTCTCATAGCGAAGTAATAGAGAATCTTTCGAAAACGAATCACATTTTTATATAAATGTGCCTTTGCTTAGTGGCTTTTTGCATTATTAAAACCGTACGATATAAATTAGCAAAATGCCAAAAAAAAACTTAGGAATTTTTAACTTATCATTATGCTTGTTAGGCCCGTAAATCTACACTTTTAGTTTTGCACCAAGACCAATGTCATTGGTTTAAAAAACCGGTCGCGAAATTAAAATTTTTGCCAAGGAGGCATTTGTAAAAAAATTAATATTTTATAGTCCGTTTTTTAAAAGACAATCATCCAAACAATGATAAAACAAACCATACTTTTGACAGTTTTTTGTTTGAAATTCTCTCCTTTCAGGCACTGCCTGCTTCTTTTGTGTCTTTAACCCCTGACCGCTTCTTTTTCGAAAACCCGTAGAAGGTCATCACTATCTAATTGCATCGTCGCACTCGTTCAATTCATTTTCTTCTCGTGCCACGATCAACTCGTTGTCGTCTAGAATTTGAATTTGTTTTCTTCTTATTTTCGTCATATATACCACCAACCTACATATAGGTAACCAGGTCAGCCTATAGTTAAACTAATCGGGGTTATCATACAACCTTCGAATTCTCACCAAATCAATTGTGAAAACCAGTCCTTTTTCAAACTTTTCGATACCCCAATATTATTTGCCAAGTCAAACCGTAGATATTTGCAGTCTTTTTGACATTTTACACTTTCCGCCGAAGTAGATTAACATAAAATTATGCGTGCATTTCCAGACGGAAAATATTCGAATGCGAACCTTATTTGCGGTTAGCACGATATTCGCGATTATTGTCAGTGGTAGAGAATACACACAAGAATGCATTTTAAAGGTATTTTAAAAAGCTATAACTAAATACGATAGTTTTTGTAGGCAGAATATTCTTCATGTACCGTATTCAACTCTTGTTGTGATTTTCGGTGCAGCCGCTCATTTCAAAAACGTTCAACATGTACACTAAACAGTACTGGTATAAACACAGTTCAAACTGAATGCATATGGTTTAATAGTTTGAAAAACTTTCAAATAAATATATCATTTCAGCTCGCCTCCATTGCCAATCGGCCCTCACACTGCGAAGAAACCAAAACATTCCCGACTAGATTTGATTGCAGGTATCCTCTTCATATTTGTCATTGACATGTTATTGTTAAGTTTCACATTTTAAATTTGTTTTATCATGTACCGTTCGATCTCAATAAATTTAATAACAAATTTATGATCCAACAAAAACAGGAACTTAACGGTAAGACTTTTGGTAGCGAGCGCGGGCTCCTGGTCCTCCGAACTTCTTAGACTCGCATCTTCTTGGATCAGCAACCAAAAGCGACTTGTCGTAAGCGGCGAAGATCTCTTTCAGTTCTCTCTTGCTTTGCTCATCGACATACTTGTGGTAATAGGCAACCAAAGCCTTGGCGAGAGCCTGGCGGACAGCGTAGATCTGGGCAACATGTCCTCCGCCGTTGACGCGGATTCTGATGTCGACATCCTGGAAACGCTCCTTTCCGACCAGAAGAAGTGGCTCCTGAAAATTACGTTTTCTTGGTGAAATTAAACGGAATAAATACCTGTAACTTGATGCGAAGGATCTGTGGCTCCAAAAACTCCAACGGACGACCATTGACCTTGATAAGGCCCTGTCCTTTCTTGCAGTGAGCAACAGCGGTGGCGGTCTTCTTACGACCGAAAGTCTGTACCGATTGGACGGTCGACGTCATGACCCTTAATTAAGATTTAAGAAATTACAATACAAAAAAATGAAGTAGAACAAAGCGGTAAATAACCGGTAGCAACAAAATATATACAATAAAATTCAACAGTTTATTAAAAAGGTAAAACAATGAGATTAACGAAAAATTTAACAACATAACAACAGAAACAATTTACAATTATTGGTTAGTTTTTCTTCCCTTTAACTGGGCGATATGTTGCCACAACAACTGCGTGGTCACGCTCGTACGGTTCAAGAGTTACTTGTTCAAGTGGCTTGAACTTTTCTTCCTTCAACTTGTTTACCTCACCAGCGAAAACAGCTTCTGGTTCAGCAGTACTGTCAATGCAGTTAGCCTTAATGGAGATTACAGCATGACCACCATTTTTGAGGAAGTTGTGGGCATTGAGAGCGACAATTCTAGCTTGATCCGGCTGAGCAACGTCAGAGAAAATAACGTCGACCATTCCTATTGGCAAGAAAAGTATATAGAAAATTTAATCGAGAAAAGAATAACTTACCAACTAGCATGCGATACTTGTGTGGGTGTCTGGCATCTTCCACGATAGGAACGACATTAGGTCTCTTCTTAGCAACTCCGAGAAGGTCGCGACCACTTCTGTGCGAGAACTCAACAGCGTAAACAATTCCCTCCTAAATATATAAATAATATAACAATTAGAGGCTCGAGATTACCGGTCCAACAACGTCCGAGCAATGAGAAACTGTAGTACCAGAAGCGGCTCCAAGATAAAGCAACTTCGTTCCTGGTTTAATATGATTGTCTTCCAAGCCTCCCATAATGGAAGCAGCCAACTTGGAACGGAAAGGATTCCAAACACGGTATTCTACTGATGTTCCAGTTCCATCATCAACAGAAACTCTTTTCTCGCCATACACAGATTCTCCAACAACCATGTTTTTCGTAGCAAGAGCGTCTTCCTTTCCTTTTACAATAAACACTCCTAAAATTTAAATTGTTCCTATGCCTTCAATTTGCATTCAAGTAAAAAAAATACCTTCCAAACGATGCGGCTCTACAACTACAGTTTTTCCTCCTCTCATTCCACCGCCACCTCGGGGGGCACCGCGTCCTCTTCCACCCCTTGGGGATCCGCGTCCTCCGAAACCGCCTCTGAAAAATAAGTGGTCAATAATTTTTAACTTAATTTATTTTACCTGTCTCCCCCACGACCACCACGGAACCCTCCGCGATCACCACCACGGAATCCCCCACGTCCGCCGAATCCTCCACGACCGCCAAATCCACCACGATCACCGCCACGGAATCCTCCACGTCCTCCGCGATCTCCACCACGGAAACCGCCGCCACGACCGCCACGTCCTAGAAGAACAAATACTATCGATTAAAATATTTTAAAGGTACCTCTGTCGTTACCGCCAAAATCGGGACGTCCCATGCTTCAAGTAAAATGTTTAGTTTGTGAAAAACGAGATAATTTAACGAAATCATACCTCAGCCATGGTGAGCCGAGTATAATTGAGAATCATAAATCTCAGGCCTTAGAGTCATAGTTTTAATCATTTTTCCGATGAAAAACATCGAAAATCATTTCACTATTCTCAAAAATACTCAAAATATCCAAAAACATGAACATTTCGCACGAAATTCGACAGAAATCGGCTGAAATTCTTTAGGAAAAAGCGAAAAAAATGCGTTTTCTACAAAATAGACGCCGACGCGTTACTGTAGCTGCGGCTACCTAACGAGACCCACGCCGTTTTCTCAATAGAGCGTACTTGTCCGCCCTCAAATTCGAACTTTTAAATTTTACCATTGCAGGTAAGGAGTCGGTTGATATAGAAATGCGTCGTGAAAATTCTTCATTATTTTAAAATATTAAACAAATTATATTGAAACGTATTTAAGAAAAACCTTCCTTTTCTACAAATTAGGAATCTTTTCTGTTTAAATTTTGAAAAAGGATTTTTAAAAAACTTACTTTAGTTAGTTTTAGGATTCAATTTGATTTAATGTGAGCTGTTATATCATCTAAAATATTCTAGAAGCAATGATGGACGTAGAAAACGTTGGTCAGTTCAAAGTGGTATAATTTTTAAGGAAAAATTTCTTTGAGGGCCTTTTGATATCAGAATTCTCAAACAACCAACAGATGCGACAACAGAGGATTTTTCTGAAACCGAGGTTTAATGTAACAAATAATGTGAAAACTGCCCATTATTTTAGTTCTTCAAAAGAACAAAACACTGGGGTCTCTCGGTTCCAAGATTTAGTAAGAAATGTGTTATAATACGATAATTGTTATTATGATTTCAGCGTACAAATATCCTGTAAAGGATAAGATTGTGTACAACGATGAGAATGACGCTATTAAAAAAATGGGATACGGGATGTAGAAGGCAAATGCATAAAACTGATGACTGTTGAAAATTTTCAGGAATTCCAGGGAGAACCCAGATGGGCTTCTTTTACGAGAGAGAGTTCGCACGTTTCTTACGGAATACGATGGTAGAATGATTTGTAAAAAATTCGATATGAAGATTTGAAATTTAGGAGTCAACCATCTATTTTGTGCACATACTCGGTTTCAGCATGCATTCCAGTATTACTCAAATCCAATTATGTTATGTGCGATGAAAGTTTTATCAAGTATTCGTTCTGAAAATGCAAGAACATCTTCAAGTACTGTAGGAAATTGCAAATTTTCAGTATTTACTTCCAATTGTCATGGTTATCTGCAAATCATTCGAGTTGGCCAACATGTCGTGTACCGACGTTTGCACTGCGAGAAAGAGTATATTTTATATCTGTCCAATTTCAAAACTGAGTTTTTATAGAAGTAGATTTACGGGTCAGAATTGGTGTACGTCTTCTTGGCAAAGAAGAGGAAATAGATGAAAATGAAGGTTGCATTTTTTTCTTTTCGAGAATAAAATTTTAGAATTGAAGTTCCACCAGCTGATGATCCTGCAAATCCTCCACATCCTCGAATCCGTAAAAACGACATTATGTTTGGATCTGCTGATGATTGTTTGAAATTTTTAGAGGAATTAGAACCTTCCGAAGAGGTAAGTCGACAAATACCTAATATGCAGATTCGCTTTTTTTCAGCTAGCATGCCTGAAAGAAAAAATGCGGTATATTATTGTTGAGAATTGTGACGAGATTGCCACGAATGATTCATACGCGTTAACTGTTAGCAAAATTTTGCTCAATTTTGTGGTAAGATTTTGAATATATAAATGAACATCTAGATTTAAAAATTGAATATAATTTTTTTTAGAATGGTTCTACAACCATGTTATTCTTTGCTGACTCTTGCAAACCTAATCTCGACATATCGTTTGCCTTTTTCAAAGAAATAGTTACAACAAATGTTTTCTTGGAATTTGAGGATGCAACGTACACAAGTTCCTTTTTTTTCAACTAGCATGTGTTTGTTTCAGGGAGTTCGACATTTTTAAGTACATCAAATTCCACTTTGTGTCTGATGATCGCTTCTTAAACGCCTTGGCTTGCTCACCGAAAAGCGACGCGGAGTTAAAAAATTTCGAGTGTTCTAAGAAAGTGATGACAGTACTAATCCAAAAATTGGAATTATGCAATTTCGAAGTTGATCGTTTAACATTGCAAAGAGCTCAAGAAAGAGGAGGTTATTTTGTTGATTAGCAACTTTCCAATTCATATTATTTTAGGCGGTCGAGCTGAAAAAATTTTGGTTGTTACTAGCAATCAAAAAACTGCCAATTTGGTCGCACTTTATTTGAAGCACATCGGTAGAAATAAGAAAATTGGAATTCTCACAAAGTATTTACTTCTTTCCATGTTTTTTTTTTATTAATTGAAGTGAACATTTTCAGAAATATGGACCGCGAAAGAATGGAATATGTTAATTTCCAGTACCGCCGAAATGGGTATGATATCGTTGTGATCGACTACAAATCGATGCACGATATTGGGCGAGCAATTGTAGATGCGGTTATTTTATTCTAATTTAGATTTTTTTTTCAAGTAGTTTTCAGGTTATTTTATTCGATTTGCCTCAATTTAAATATTTTTCAACATTCATGGAAGACGAAATGTTTACGTTAATGTCACGAAATGCTGTTAGATTGAAGCTTCACGTTATGTTTGATGAAAATAAGGATATTTTTGCAGTTCCAAAATTCATGGCGGTACGTAAATTTGCCCGCACAATGAGATAATATGATTAAAGATGATGAAAAAATACAAAAAGGACATCCCAGGCGAATTTAAAGCACTTCAAGCTCGATATTTTTCGGCAATTCGCAGAGTTCGAGAGAACAATTTATTAAAGCAATCAGAGAAATTGCTAGATTCTCCTGAAAATGCTCGAATTACGGAAACGCAACATCAACAATCTTCTTCCAGTGATGTCGATGATCTAGAATATTCTAGTTAATACTGTATATACACATGTTTGGCGGGAATTTTGCATTTTCTTAAACTACTATCGTGATTTTCAGATTTTTAATTGTTCTCCTGGTTTTTTTCTGACAATTTTGAAAAACAAAAACAGAAGAATGTTTCGCTCAGAGATCAAGTTTTATCATTTTTCGTCATATTAATTTAGATATAAATATATTTTGAATAAAAAATTTTTTAACCTGAAAGATAATTGTTTATTGTTTACAACATTAATTTTAATATTTTGTGTGCTCGACTTTTCAGAATAAATTTTTTTTTCCGGATGGCTTCATCTTCGAATGAAAAATTTTTATTGACTCCGATAATGGTATGTTTCAATTAATAACAATTATAGAATAATGAATTGAGATAATGCTTCAGCTAGACTCTCCGGATCAATCGAAAAGTGACGTTCTCAAAATAATGAAATTAGTGCCAGTGATTGGCAAAGAAATCAAATCTTTGGATCCCAAAAATCCACATGGTAGAAATATATAATTAGGTTAACGAATTTATAAAATTTAGTTTACAGATAGAATATTAGTATACTCTAGTAGAAACAAAATGTGCCGCATGTTGGCGTTCAGTTTGGGTCAAGTCAATTTGATATCCAGCATATTTGAAAGGTTACTTTTGGCATTGTTTTTTTTTTATATTGAACAATTCCTTGATATTCAGTAATTGTCTTTTGGACACACGAGAGGCATATTTAAAAGAACAAAAAGATGTTTGGGAATCTGGTGCCAATTTGATTGCAGTTGCTCATTCCGATTTGGAGAAGGAGAAAACGCTCAGACTTTGCCGAAAAGTTGAAATTTTATGTGCCTATAGATTCTATGTAGAATAATTTTTAAGATTTACCTTCTTGACATTATTCCAACCGATCTCGCAATGAATCTGTGCGAGAGAATCAGTAAATTTGACGGTAACTTCAAATGCACAGTTATTCCTATTTTTACAACTTTCTCCGAACCACAGGAATACGTGAATGTTTCGGCGGTAATCACGTATAGTGAAATTATGGGGAAAAGTTTGAAAAATTTAGGAGATTTTCAGATATTGTCTAAATATGCCTGAATGGCTGATGGAATACGTAAAGTAAAACTTCATTATTCAAGTAATTTATAAATGTTTCCATTTTTTCAGAAACTGCAAAAAAATCGAGGAAGTGCAAGAAAATCCAGAGGCAAGATTCCGCAAAACAACGTATGTATGTAATTATTTTATTAATTTCAGATAATGTTGGAAGAGTTGGATGCAAATGACGGGAACGATTTCGAAGAAGAAAGTGACGGGCCAAGTCATAAAGAATACAGTAACGAAGCAGCCAATGCGTTTGCTCATATGAAGGTGATTTCGATTAAAATTTTCATGCCGGCCATTTTTAATATCCAGATTGTTATGGATAGTGATTGCGATGATGATGATGATGATGGACTTCCGATAGATCCCGATTATGACGAAGACGATTTTCCCTACTATTAACGACTGTTACGTTTTAAGAATATTGATTATGAGCCAAAATTTATGGATTCCTTTTTATTACGTGTACGTAGTAGATGCACATATTCAATGTATTTATTCTAGAAAAAATATAACTTTTTTTTGTTTAAAGATTGGTCTCGACTTGTAGATATTGTTTGCCTGAAAACGAGGGAGGTTTTCTCTCTGGTGATGTTCTACTGAAATTTGTGCTTCGTAATTTTTGAACATGAGTTTTGACATACGAATTTGCAGATCGTCTTCTTTTCAGTTGTGGTGAACTGGTGCTGGCTAGTGATTGTGTACGTGACCTCCATTCTTGAACTCGATCAACTGCTTCTGTGAATGTTAAAGATTTACCCATAGCCTACAAAAATTTTCAAATTTAACATTCATTTCCGAACTTTGCCTACGAACCATACTAATGATTCCGCACCATCCTTTCTTATCAATTTTCTGCAGTGGCTTCCTCAAGTGAATACAATAGATATGCTCAAGACCAAGAATGATAATGCTAATGATCTAGAAAAAACTAAAAGAATAATATTTTTTGAAGCTTTTGAATTACAATTCCAACACCAAGGAGAAAAAATGCTGACATGAAGTTCTCGATTCCGAGAGGTGCAGATTGCGTTTGACTATGACTGTCAGGGGTGCAAGCGCCGGTTAACCAAAAATTTTGAAGTCTTTCCAAATCGCCTAATTATTTAAATTGGTACATCACTGAATAAAGAAAGAGACAAACCATTCTGCTGGTAGCGAAGCATATGCTGATTCACCATTGCCGTATATGGAGAATTCTTCGGGAATCCAATGCCATATCCCGTCATGCTGGCCCATTTCCCTACCTATGAGAATTTGAATTAATCTAGTGATCTTTTGAGACAAACTGTCATTAATGCGCAATTCGCATCTTTTCCTGCCCAATAATCAAGAACAACCGCATCGTAAATGAAAGCATCCAATTCTCTGAAAAAAAAAGAAATTTTTTGGATACAATATTTCCATTATCACTCTTTTTTCACCGCGTCCACGCCTGCTGAAATGTTCATTCGGAAAAAATTGTTTCGCTTAACATATTCGTGCATTCTGAAACGAGTTTTCCAATAAATTGTAAATTCTCTAAAAATCCCACTGTTGCCAATTTCTCTTCATAGTTTCATGTGTATTTCCACCATCAACGGTTCCAAATCGAAAAGGGGGCTTCTGATCTTGCGGATAACTAAGCTAAAGAAAACAGGTTCAGAGGATGAATTAGAATACAATAAATTAACACCATTGGATCATGTATTCCACTTAAATCATAAAATTGAACTCGAGTTATCATGAAAGCTGCCAAATTAGCTGTATAAACCGCAAGGAATGTGAGACCAAAAGCTGCCCACACAAGAGCCATCAAACGGGATACGGTAGATTTCGGAACATCGGTAGATACACTTGCACTGAATAATGTCGCCCATACAAGCCAATACGAGCGAAATAATGAAAATTTATGTCCTAAAGCAATTCTCATTTGTTTTTGATTAGCTTTTTGAATTCTCACCTGGTGGCGGATACTTTTGCATGTTGAACGAGTAGGGCGAAACCCATTCGAATGCGAATATCGAAATTGCGGCAACGTGAATACAAACGAATAGAATGATAACCCAAGTGGAATATTCGAAAGGCTCCAAGAACGCTGTCGGCGACAGAACACCACTGCGAATTTTCACAATAATTGAAATTCCTGTATCGAGAAATGGTAATGAGAAGTCAATATCGCGAGCTCTTTCGGAATTCAGCTAAATTTTGAAACATGAAGTGGATGTTTTACTCGAATACCTTTAAAGAGGTTACACACATATCAGCTTTATTGTGCATCAAATCAGCAATTAACCCATTCCATCCCGTCTCCTAAACAATTTTAATTTCTTTCATTAAAATTGTTCCACAATTAGAAAAATGTGGAATGAAAATAATTGAATTAGGGAATTTTACCGATTTGAGCCCCCATTTCTCATCGCGAACTTTGTATAATGTATAAGTGAATCCAATATCTGTGGCCAGTTTATTTAAAAGATCTACACAATACCCAGAGCAACATTTCCACAACGTACGATTTCTGAAACAAAAATGCTCAGCTTGAAATTGTTCTTCTTTCATTGGAAAGCAATACTTCTTAATGCCACCTTCTGCCGTATATTCAACGTCTCCCCAATCGCAAATTGATCCTTGATTACCCGGGCATCTTCCAGTGTCTGGGTCTACATCAGAAACTATGATAAACGGAGGCTCATGAAGTGTAACTACCTAAATTGAATTTGAAAAGAAAGCTAATTTCACAAACTTAGTTTAAGCAAATTTGCTTACATTAACATGAAAGCTGTCTGCAGTTCCTTGTGGTGGATTTGCTCGTTTACCGGGCCATTGAACATCAGCCATGCTCAATTCATTATTAGTATAGATTCCAACCTAAAAGCTTGAAACACCTTTTATCTAATGAGCAGTTGAATTCAAACTTTTTCCCAATATTTTTCGCCTTTTGTATTAGTTCTCAAATTTGAAATTTGAAGAACCGAATTTTTCAATCGTCCGTTTTTGTCGAACACATAGAAAAATGAATCATGACCATCATTGGCATGAAACGGATTTCCTTTGACGAATGAAGATTTCATATGACTGAAAAAAACGAGAACTCAACAGCTATTTCAACAAATATGAACACACTCGTAAATTATTTTTCCGTTTTGCCAATACGGATCACCTTCATCGCGTCGACAAGAAACATTTGATCTTAGAGGAAAAGTTTCATTTTGACGAAGTTGCAAAAGCGCGGAACCAAATAACTGAAAGAATTTTTATCTCACACAATTTTTATGAGAGAAAAAGCAAAATCTTACTTTTGGCGCTAATTGGATGATAAGTGGGATGACATCTTCTTGAAGATAGAACATTGCATTAGAAACCGTATGAAAGTTGACGGAAAGCATTCCGGGAGGAGCTGCTGATTTAACTGTCTTATGGGTTCCTTTGACCGATTGGGTCCCTATCCACAAGTATTTCTCATTTGTCATTTTCAAGACGTCTGCGCGCTAAAATTGAGTGATCAAGATTTTTACGATGAGCCAGTTTACCGAAAATATTGCATTTGCCTGATGCACATTAGAATACAATAATATTATTTTTGCTTGATTCTTCCTGAGCTCAATTAAATTAACATCGATATCGGTTTTGTTTGTTGTATTTATATGGCAATAATGAAGCATTTCGAATCTGAATACAAACGTCTTCTCGTTTTTTTTTCGAAAATTATTATTGACTTCGTTGATCGATTTGAAAAATTCTCGAGCTCGTCTCGCACAGCGCCAACAAATTCTTCACCTCCTGCCATGTCCGAAGTCACAACTCCAAACTTTGGCCAATTATATCTTTGAAGCAAGGCAATCATTGCTCTAAAGTATGCGACTTTCGATTTTTCGTGGTCAAATAAGACCTTATTTGGTGTGCAATTGGCGGTGCCATTTGAATAATCCTGTAAGGCGACAAATCCTTTCCAAACGTGAATCCTGAATTGTCGGCGTTCCATGCGATTATCGGTATCCCCGTATAACTAGCCGCCGTCAAAAAATATTGTTCGGCCGCTGTCGTCGTGTCATACAACTCCGATGCGGTCATGAAGACAATTAGAGCCACCTAAACTTTTCATATATTCGCGTATGATCATCTCGCTCGCACATTATTCGCTGTCACATTATTGCAAAGACAATCGAGAACCTCTTTGACATTGAATGTGCCGGTTGGCAGAATACAATCAACCGCTGAGAAGACATAGCGCGTTGAGAGACGTCGCAGACTCCTTCAAAGGATAATAATGATAATTGACAAATATATAGATAGATACTTACGACACAGCTGTTGCGTCATTTATACTTCTTATTATGTCCTTTATCGCTTTGTCATAGGTTATAGATCGACCAACATAGTGCTTAATAAAAATAATAAGTATTAATAGGAAAATGGGACAACATTTGAAAAAAAAATACTGAATTACACTATTTTTTTGAAAAAAAACGGAATTATTATAGAGATAACTATTCGAATAAAAAATTACATAAAATGAACTTATGGGGCAAGATTACCTGATAAACGACTGCAATGCTCACTTCCTGTCTTGGTCCCGTTGGCTTCTGAAGACGTCGACTTGGGCCACCAATCTCGATGCTCGAAGAAAAAGCAATCAATAGACACAAATAAACGAACATAATAGGGTCTTTCGAAAACTGCAAAATGCGCGCAAACTCATCAACGTTTGTCGAAAACCCTATTACATATGAGGACCGCCGAAGTGTTTTCTCAATTTCCTCCAACTTTGCAATTTCGAACGACAACAGAAAAAAACGTTTATTGGAATGCGAAAGAAACAATTAATACCCATAATCAGTATACCTAATGTGTGATAATTCAAAGCGAAAACAAAAGTTTCGGTATTTATACAGAATTTGAGTTTTTGCCAGTTTTCTCAAAGAGTTCGAGACACTGAGAAAAATCGCGCGACCAATAGTCGCCAGTATACTTCCAGACGCCATCGACTTTTGAAAACCAGCTGAAAAAAGGAATCAATGTCAAATCAAAGAATTGGTTAATTACAGTGGCACATTCCCAGTATTCTTTGCTCTGCGCGCACGCTGTGCATCTTCATACTTGCGCTTGCATTCTTCAGCTTCATCTGAACAGAAAAAACACAATTTTAAAATGAAACTTTTTTCAAAGTAAACCATTTTTTCCATCCTCTAAAAATTTCATATCCTTCCTCAGCCTGCTGTCAGTTGGAGGTAGCTTCTCTGACAATCCATCGTACATCTCATTTAAAGTCAATGTGAAATATGTGAAGTGAAATTGCTGAAATTATTATCAATTTAAAGGTACAATTAGTCATTCTTGTATACCTCTTCGAAAAGTTTCGGAATCTGATTCGCCACCCACAAAATTTTGGATCCTGGTACAACTGGTCCCTGATTTGGTAAATTGACAGACTCCTACAAAATTTAATTGAAAAAAAAAACATTTTTTTTCCAAACGCACATTGAACAAATTTACGTATTCTTTTCTGCACGCTTTAAATTCATTAACGTCACAAGAAGCAAGGAATAACGTCCAATTTCCGTACAATGTTCTAATTTTGTTTTTTCTGAAAGCCGAACTGCCGTAAATTTAAAATCACTGAATAATGAAACCAACCCCTCGAAAATATGTCCTTCAACGTGAACATCTCCACCCTTGTGATTGTAATATCCCTTATTTTCAAATGAAAAAACGACATCGTAACCTCCTGTAGATTCGATTTTCATCTGACTTGTCTAAAAATGGATTTTCGTCACAAGTATCAATCAATACTATATACTTACAAAATTCATGTACATTTTTCCCATTATTACATTATAAATTGTACATTTTGGAGCTGACCAAGAGAAAATTTCGCCTGTTCTGTAAAAATTTCAAATAGGAGTCAATTTTAGATCTATTTGGTGAATGTGTTTCCAACAGAAATCTTACTTTTTAAATGTTAATTTCAAATGAGCATGCGGATTTGCGATTAGTTTGTTCATCCAGAATCCAATTGTCGGTTCAACAGTTCCCTACAATTCAATGTGACATTCATTATTTCTTGTCATATCCTCGTGCATTTCACATTTCACTTTTCTCCACAAAAAAATTGTTTCTGGGCGCCTACTAGAAATCGGGAACCGGTCATTTACGTAATGCCATCATCATTTCTCCACTCCCCCCTTTTCTCATTTTTTCGCATTTCGTCTTGTTACCTCAACAGTGAAGTCGTCCGATTCGGCGTAGACTGCGGAAATTGGCGGATGATGTGATACCTGTTCAGCAATGAATCGCACACCATTTCTGGAATCAAACAATGATCTAATCTGATTGCAACACTGTCGTTAGTGAACGCAACTGACTTATGAAATAAGAAAAAACAATTGCGAACGGAAGTTGGGAAGATTTCACGAAATATAGCTGTATGAAAAGATGGAGAAACTATTGCCTCGATCTATATCGTTAAAAATTATTAAATGCCGTCTACGGAAAAAAATTGTTGTGTCACCACCAAGATTAAAACAATTTTTAGTAAAACGTACCTTTCCAGTTCGAAAGTTTCCAGTAAAAGTGGATTGAATGGTTTGGAAAGTCGTTTGTGATTCGAGGAAATTGTGGCCAAAGCGAAAGCAGCGACATACTAAAAAAACATTTCGTATTGAGTTCGAGATTCTGGAAGATTCCGAAACCTCAATTCTCTCAAGATCATCATCACATTCCGCAGCTTTTTCTAGCAAATAATTGTATTGTACATTCTCTGATAATCTTTGTAGAAAGCAAAGAGGCTCATTCATGAACACAGGAACAGTAAAACGGGAAAAATCCTGCAAAATGAAATTAATGAAAAAATTAGTGAAAATCAATTGACTTTTCCCAAGTTTGACCGTATAATTTCCCAAATTGATACGTCTTCAGGAGCGACATATGTTGAAGGTAACCGTGTTCTGAAAGTTACTTTTTTAACCAGTAAAATATCTCTACCTAGAATCTATCACTATCAAAAGCCAAATTGAGAAGAAAAAAACGACTGATGATTCGGTTAAAGATTTTGAATTTTCCATATCAAATATACAAATTTACATTATACATAAAAAATAGAGAACATCCTCAGCGATTCGAAAAAAGACGAACCGTGGTTGGTTTTTGTTTAAACATTGGGATTACACGGGGTTCCCAAAAACTTTTTTACCCTGCGACTATCTTTGTTCAAAACACGTTAATTTATAGCGCATACTCTGTATTTGTGCGTCGGGTGTTGGCACGGAACGTATTAAAATTCAAAATCATCAGTCGAAATTTATTCTTCTTTCCGGAGTTTTTTTTTTCAATTTTTTCTTTTTTTGCGATGGAATTGCTTAATCAAATATTTCTTTTTAAAGTTATATTTTTCAAATTCTCATATTTTCCAATTTCTTATCAATTTTAGCTAAATTTTCTTCGTTAAAAAAATTTTTTTCATACTCCCACTTACCGTTGTCCCTTGTGAAGTACGAGTGAACGTTTGAACTCTTGTAAAACTGGTTTCACACCCATGTTTAAATCTAATTATGACGGTGGTTATAGGACACCTGTAATAATAAAAATTAATTTTTTACACGAAAACTATACGACGAAACTTGAAATGTTCGAAAATCTTTTAAACGATAATACTCCAAATGAGGTAAAATTAGAAAATGAAGAGATAAAAATTGGATAAACGTCAATTCAAAATTCGTACGTTGTTTCTGTTTCGGCAACAGCCAAAAAAACCGATAAAATCTGGTTTCGCGTGGTTGTCGGAGGAGGACGTTTATATACATATATATGTATATACCTGGTGCGCTAGTCCACTCCCATTTTCGCATATATCTCTCTCGGTCGAGTTATTAAAACATTATATGGACGCATTACATACTTACAAAATTAAAGATCATATTATAAATGGATTGGCGAATAAGAGTACAACGAGGAATGGGAAATGATGAAAAAGAGAGAGAGACATATAGAAATTCGGTTTCGCTTCTGCCGGCACCCCGACCTCGCACCTATCGAAACAAAGACATGAGAATTGCGGTGTGACGGGAGGAACAATGGCAAAACGCGGTTCTGTCGAGCCGGATTCGATGAAGCACCCTAACAAGTATGGTTAACCGCTGCTGCAGATGAAATGTGCTGCCCACAAAATGTGCCCATTTGAATAGCATGTTCTCATCTAGGAAACAATATCATTGGCGTAATTTGCTACAATAAAATATACACGCGCGACCACATAGGTCCGATATCCAAAAAATATGCTACGAAACAACCACCGTACCAAACATCAACAGACGCGCGATCCACGAACCAGAGAAGACATATCGCAATTATATGGCCCCTATCAATTATCCTAATGTCCCACGATGAACGTGCTGAGAAATTTCGCAAGCTTTTACAATTTATTTAATTTATAGACTTCTGCTAAAAAGTCGCCAATGTTTGCTATGAAATTGTCAGAAAATTATGGCAATTTCTTATAAAACCGTTGGCGATTTCATGGAAAACCTTCGACAACTTTTCTATAAGAATTTGCCGTCATTTAGTAGCTCCGACGCATTTAACCTGTGGCTCAACAGTCTTCCGGAGACTGATCTACCGTCGGAATGCACACGTGCCGGCTGATAAATTACAGAGCGAGAGAGACGGATGGCGTTCTATTGCATTGCCGACAAGAATAATAACAAAATCAATGAAAATTGCAAATGAAAGCGGCGGGGACGGCACGAAAAGGTAAATAAATAGAAATATAAGGCGATTTTGCTCAACAACTTTATTGACTTTTCTCTATACCACAGATTTCGCATCCTTTATGCGATGAATTAATTCCATTTCGATGTGGAAAATGCGTATTTTAAGCATTCGCTGAGATATCTGAAAACGGAAATTAGTTGATTGTCTCGAATCGAAAAAGAATTGTGTACGCGAAGACTGTTTTCAGCTTCTTGTAGTTGTTTTTCGATTTCTTCGCTATCATGTTTTATTCTTGCGAGAAATTCATCAAGATTTCCAAAGTATTCCTCTTCTGCCTCTTCGGGAAGGGAATCGTCTAGCAAATTATCTTTCGCAAGAATTTGTTTTCCTCAAAACAATTAGTAGGATATTTTCATACAGCTAATTAATTACCTTTTTCAATAAGCGATTGTTTTGCCTGCGGATATTCGCGAAGAGCTTCCCACAAATCTTCCTTATCCAGCACATATAAATCCGAATATCCTTTGGATCGCACTGATGCCGTCCGCAGATTTTTATTCTTATTCCCTGGTATGTTCAGGATTGAAAGTTCTCCAAACACGACGCCGGCACCAAGTGTGACGAAAACCTACGAGAAATGCTGCGTAAGAACAAATTAATTGGTCAACAGGAACCTTGGAGCCATCTTCATTCACCACCTCAACGAATCCTTCCTTCACTATATACATTTCTGTTCCAACTTCGCCTTTTTTGCAAATGTAATCCATAGGACTATAATAATATAATATAAATTCAGCCAAATATACCCTGGTTATTAATAGTTAGCGTTTTCACCTGTATACTCGTAATTGTAGCTTCAAAATAAGCTCATAAAGCAGCCGGGGATCGCAATCCTGAATCATATAAAGTTGAATTTTTAATTTAATAACATACCTCAAAAAGTTTAACTCTTTTCAATGTTTCCAAGTGAATCTCTGTTGCAATATCTCCAAAAAGTCGCGGTGGAAGAAATTCAGCGATTTCCTAAAAAAAAGTAATAGCTTGATTTTTGCAATTTGCTAAAAAAACCTCCTCATCGACTTGTGCTCCCCCATGATTCCAAATGTGTGCAAAAAACTGAACAGCTTTTTTTCGAAGACCTCCAGGAACGTTTCTAAATAGAGTCTCACTTGAAATTTTCAATAAACTGCAAACGAGACCTGTAAACCATAAATTGTTTGCATCCATCGAGCACATTATCGAAATCGGATTTTCGCAAATTAATTGCGACAACCATGTTACCGACATCTCCAACGATTACGGCAAAAATAACTAATCCCAAAAGCGTATCGAGAACTTCGAAAACGTTTTGAAACGTTGTACACGGTGAAGGCTGCAATTTGCACAAAAATAAAATATATTTGGATAAATTATTCAATAAGTATATTATTAATACAGGGTCGGGCATAATTACCGGTAGAAGTTCAAACGGATGTATTTCAAAAAGTAAAAGTCAGAATAAGTTGAGATTCAACTAAAAGTTTATCTGGGTAAAAACAAACATATAAATACTAAAGTTGTTCAACTCGGCCACCTTTCTGCTTGATGACGGCTCGAAGACGTTTTGGGTAGGCATCCACCACCGCACGCAAGTATTCCACTGACATCTTGTCCCATTCCTCGACCAACTTCTTTTTTAAATCCTCAACACTTGAATGGGGTGTGGCACAGACCTTCTTCTGCAAAATTCCCCTGACATAGTAATCCAGCGGATTCAAATCCGGCGAAGAAGCTGACCATTCGTCTGAAGCGATGATACTCGAAAAATTCGCTTTGCAACACTCTTGAGCGAATTTAGCTTTGTGAGCAGGGGCACCATCTTGTTGGAACATCCACGGTTGGCCTTTGAAATTATCTCGGCTCCAAGGCAATACGTGATCCTTCAAAATGTCAACGTAGACTTCCTCGTTGATTTTAACGCCTTTTTCAACGAATACGAGCGGACACTTTCCCGTGGAGCATAAACCGTTACACTGGCTCAATGGGAAGTGGTGTGAATGGTTCTGCCATTGTCAAAAGCATCTTGGGAGGTCGTAGCAAGAACACTGTGATTTTGGGAGTTGAATTCTTGCTCGACAGTGAAAAGCTTCTCGTCGGAGAACATGGTAACCAAATGTTCGCCGACTCGCGTGCGCTCATCAAGAAGTTTTCCTTTTTGGGGACTTTTTTGCTTATTGGCGGCAGAGGAATAGCTGCTTTTCGCACACGATATGTATTAAGACCCAATTTATCTTTGACAATCCTTGTCGTCGATCTTCGGGACATTCCCATCTCATGAGCCATCGTTGAGAGGCTCCGATGAGCGTTTCGTCTCACTCGTTCCTTCACGGCTTTCACCTTAGCTAGAGTCGTAACAGAAACTTTTCTTCCTCTCCCAAGTCTGTCATCAAGTCCTCCAGTCTCCTGATAGCGGTGAATCGTCGAATAACGGTGTTCGGAGGGAGTTTGAGGCGCTTATGATTAAGGGAATTTTGACTCCCTGATCGAATAGCGAGCAAAAAGTGACACGATGGATACTAGCCTTCACCATTTGGCAGAAAATTAGTATTTTTGTTCGAAACTTGGAAAAACAATAGAAAACACATTAAACAACTGGAAAAAAATTGTGAGTGCACAAAAAAACGCGACATCATGAGTCACCATGGCGCAAAAAAAATTACCGGTAATTATGCCCGACCCTGTAATAATAATACCTGTTCTCCAAGTGTGACTAGTGTTAATGCGGACCAATAAAAACTTAATACATATTGTCGAGAAAAATTCGAAAATTGAAGAGTTGTGGTTCTGAATATTGCTCATTTGAGGTAATCTCATAGAGCTGCGAGATTCTTCTACCTATTCTTCCATACGTTCATGTGCATGGAGACTGATGTCTGAACAAGCTCTTCCGGAAGCTGCGTGATGAATTCATCCTCAACGTCGCAATAATTGGAATCATATTTGTTGTCAGGAACACAATCCGCGATCACAGGTTCGATGATCTTGTCATAAGAGAATATCCAGTTTTCGAGTCTGGCATCTAAATTTAAGGGCCCCGCGTCTACACATCAATTCCAGAAAACCTTACCTTCAAACCCGTACTGTTTGCTTATATGAAAATACAAACATCCATTCCAATGGAAAATGACAAAGCAGATGAAGACGAGTTTGAGAAGACGAAAAGCATGCGGGGATGAAGTGCGAATTTCCGAAAGAGAAGCAAAATCAAGTAGACGATAACACTAAATAAAAATTTTCTTTAAATACAATGGTATAATGCAGCAAAAAATTTGACAAAGTCCAGTAAAAACTATTAAAACTCTAACCCTATGAGGATTTCACAAAAAAACAGGTTTTTTTTTTTAGTTTTTTGAGTTTTCTTCCCATAATCTGCATTGCACCATAAATTATACATATTTACCTTCAGAATGCGGTTAAGTCGTCCAAAAAATAAGCTTCCATCAACAAATGTAAAATATTCGGCTGGAAAAAGACACAAAACATCGAGAATGAAAGTACGTCTGAAATATTGGAAAAAAATGAATTGTCAAAATGTCTGAAATAGTACGATTTAACTCGATGATTCAATAGGAGCCGTGTATTCTTGATAGCTAATCCGTTGTCGACGTACTCTGCAAAACGATATCAAAATAGTTGTTGTCAATTATTTTCTTTTCGCACCCACTCTTGTTAGAATACACAAATCCAACAAGTATATCAAATCCGTTGCATAATTGATATAAGTGGTGGTTTTTAGAAAATGATGAGTATCATTGAAGATTGAGATTGATGTGAAAAACAAAGGATGTAGACTAATGAGACAGACGAAACAGGTCCAAATATAGAAGAACGTGCTGGTTTCATCAAACGTGAACAAAAATTTCGACCTGAAATTGCTGAAATTGGTCGGAATCATTTGAGCACTCTTACGGTTTTTCGGTTTGCACTTGCTCAGCGGCATTTGATGAATTTGCATTGTCAATGTCGGTTTTTGAAATTAGCAAAAGACGCTCGCGAGCACGGCGAAGCCATTTTCGAAAGGTCTGAGATATTTTTAAAATCAATCTCGATCTTTTGACCCCTTATATTAAAATGAACTCACTCTTTTTTTCACAACCACCCTTACTTTTTAAACTAGCGATATTAAAAAAAAGAGAGGGAGAGATGCGTTGCAGATCTATTTCAGAAGCATATGATTCACCTGTTCGCATCGGAGCTCATATGCTTAGGTGATCATCCTATACGCTTCAGAAATTAGACTTCAAGTCGCGCTAACGGCTATTGATAGTCTCGAAGAATTTTTCGGGAAAAATGTCTATCGGTAGCGGTAATTCAAATTTCGATTTAAATAGTGGGGTATTATTGTTTCGCATTTATCATAATTCGCATATAAAACCCATTTTAATTAACACAAGAATGCTCGAAACAATTTGAAAAAAAAACTAACGTATATCCGAAAAACGAAACTGCCGAATTTGGAATTTTCGGCGTTTTCGGCGTGCATTCCAAATCGATTATGTTTTGCTCGCGTGCTCATTTCTAATATGATCCGACATGCCATCTTCCTGTTTCTTAATGTGAGCACATTTCCGTTTGGCACGACACGAAACTCAGAAAATTCGCAGATATCATTTATTATTCATTTCACATTTCAATGTTTGAAAACTCGAGAAACAATTAGAATGGATACTGACACTACAAACGATTACGGAATTCTCGAAAAACCTGCATGGGATGCTAAACTCCCTGACAAATTTCCAGTTGAAAAAAAACGTGAATAACAATGTAATAGCTCATGCTTACAGGAAATTGCAAGTGTAGTCGCCAAGACAAAATCAGAAGATAATCGAGAGTCAAACATTGATCTATAATACAACTGGTAAATTTGTACAAAAGTCAATAAAATAAAGAAATGAGAAGATTAAGTGAATTCCTTAAAATTGGCCAAGTTTAAATGTTGAATGATTTTATGCAGTGTTAATCCAATGTCATGGAAACATTCTTGATAGCACTGAAACGATAACTTTTCAATTTAAGTAAAAATAATGGTTCACCTCTGGACAGTCAAGTGAGCTATGAAGCTTCGAATGGACATCATACAATTCTTTCGATGAAAAGAATAATGCCTTATTATTTTCATTTTTGAAATAGTATGGACAGTGTGTGCATTCGACTTTATGGCTGGAAATATAAAATCATTGAAACCTATTGACAACATTTTTTTAGTCATGGATGGACGAATTTGAAAAAATCTGAACTCTGCGTTCTGACATTAACATGGACCCGTAAAATTACAGGTTACAATGCTTGGTTAAAATAAACCCGAGTATTTCCATACAGGGCCTAAGACGACAATTAAAATTATAAATCAATCGCATCCCTAATTAATGCATAATTGCCAATATGTCCTAAATGTATTCAATGACTAGATACTGTAAAAGTTGATTATATCAGTCCGAATTATTACCACGCTTTTTCGACTTTTACAATGTTACGAGTTGATTTTTCAATTCTTACGTTTCACTTCGTTCCCTCCTTGCATCTTCTCTCAAAATTTCCAATTCGTTACGTGTAACGCCACATTCTGCAGCAAATTTCTCCTCCCATTCGGCATCGTTTATTTGTAGAACTTTACTTGCTTCCTTCAAATTTTCCTCTGAATAGAACAAATCAATTTGAAATTAATCTGAAAATTTTGCAAAATACCTGTAATCCGAAGCATCTGCTCAATTATACGTTCAAAAACACTGCTAAATGTCTTGGAGTTGAGCTTTTTATAGGTTCCCAAAAATCGGAAATAACCGCCATGATAGAAGAATTCTATCCAACCATAAATGAGCAATTCCTAGAAACAACAGATGTACTCAAAAATATACTAATATTTGAACTCTACAAATCGTTTTCGAATATTTTCCACTGTTGAAACTTCAAGTGTCGATTTTGAAGCTAAACGAAGTGTGCTTTCAATCATAACACCTATCAGCATGTTTTTCGTTGTATTTATGATGTCCTGAAAAAATCAAGCATGATAAACGATAGTGACATGATTTTAATTGCCTTATCTGTTTTTGAAAGTGTAGAAAGAGGAAGCATATTTCTAAAATCCTTGAAAAATTCTTCAAACGAATCACAAATTTTATAAAAGTCTCTCGGCGTTAACTGCAATTCTGTATGGATATTTTACAATAAAGAAAACTTACCCCGTCGGTAAGGACATTGGGAATTGCACATCGTTTGCGTAACTCTCCGGTATAATTAATGTAACTTTTCCCTGCAATTTGTGTTTATTTTTTGGACACCTCTTAAAGACTACATTCGGGATCAGTTAACCATCCATCTGGAGGACTTGTAGCTAGAAATTCGATAAATTCTTCGGTGAAATCCGAAGTTCTATTTTCCAACGCAAATGTTCTCGCTAAATATAACATATTTATAAACATTGAATGATTTGAACAGGAAAAATGAATTTTCCTGATTTTTAATAATATTGTCAAAGAAAGACAACTGTTGGTTGGGCGCGGGAATTTTCAAATGCCAAACCATAATTCCTCGTTCAAATTTCTAAGGAAATCTTCACGGAAGTTGTCTGCCTTTAGAATATGAAAATTTGATTTTTTTTACATACTGAAAATCTGGGTATCTTCCTTGAAAACTGTCATCACCAATCGACCAAATTGGACCGCGTCTGTCGAAAAAATTTCTGGAAACTCAAAAATAATGAATAAAAAAACGAATGCAAACCATTCATCTTCGAATTAAGCCAGGAGTTCATAAAAAAGGTGTGAACGTTTTCAGAATTATGCGGCTCTGGAAGATAAAAATAAAAAAAATGCATATTTTTTATATGCAAAATACTCGGTTTCGATACATAATCTCCCTCGATGATTGTAAGCGGCTTCGGTTTCGGCACTTTATAATTAGCATCAACTAACATACAACTTAAAATTTAGTGTATTACTACACCCAACTTAAGAAAATCTCGCAACTTCAGCACAGACTGATTGAAATATTTCGGCAAGAGGATATACAGTCAAAGACAGAAACTGTTTGAAATTGAAGCCATTTATTACCCTCCTTCGCAAAACTCTTCCATTTCTCTCGAACGAAATTCCGATGACAACACAAAGCGAAATATTGTACAATCACGCCGCATGAACTACACGGACTTGCATTTTAATCTAGGCTTGAATATTTCAATTGAAGTCTGGCTAGAAGTTTGCGATTTTTTCTGCGAAAGAACAACTTACTCATCATTTGGATCATCTGGTTCATGTTTCCGTACAATCTGAAAATTCGTGCAATAAAAAAAGGTAAACACATTTTTTTCGATGCAGGATAGTAAAAAATGAATATTTTATGTAAATTTTTTAAAATATAATTTTTGTAAAACTTACATTTCATGTAATTGGACTTTCGTACTGGTAAAAACTGTTTAATTAGTACTGTTTAGAAATTTTAGTTCGAAAAAAGACAGTTTTTGGAAACTTAATACCTTATTCAAACCGAAAACAACGGATAGTCCATCTCAAATAGATTAGTTTGTAAATACTCACCGCTTCTACTGCCATTTCTTGATTTCCTTGATTCTCATTTTCTTCAGCTTCTCTTCTCCTACGCTTTGATGGTCTTGTCGTTGGCATTTGGCTTTCCAACTCTGCTACGCTCGGTTTCTGCTCACTAAACATTTTAATTAAAATATTCAACATAAAAATCGTAATATAGCAATTGTTACACATTTAATGTATATACATAATCAGTACAAGATTTCTTTTTAACCTAAAAATTGCTCCGATTTGCTCAAAAATCAAATGAAAAGGAATCACATTAACGGAAACGCGCTTTTAAAGAGACGAGCAATATTTCGCCACGGCTTATCATGCCGATTAATCGTCCGGCCGTAGCAATTTGAAGAAAGAGCACAGTTGTCACGGCAACAGAAAAAAAGTTGAATTGCGCGGACTTTGAAACAATTGGTCATTCACCGTTCAAACCTCAGTGAACTTTTCAATTTCAAAACATATATTCTCTCTAATAAATCTATATACTGTCGAACTCGCGATCACGCAGTCTAAGTGTGGATTTACGAGTGGGGACATTTACGAAGCGTTGTTTAGTGTTGCGTAGTGCACAGACGCAACTCATCGGGATATTGGCTAACCCAAGAGAAACGATTACAGTGGTCTTGGCTAAAACTGAAGGTTTACGGATCAGTATAAGGATGGGTTAAAGGCGCACACGGCGCTCTATGAACTCTCCTCGAATTTTTTGGCATTATGTAAATTTTCAGCAATCGTGCGACGCATTACTACGTTTACAATATACAATAGCAAAAAGATTCTCGTAATTCAACAAAACTAACTTGTCAGCTGGGTCTTCCGGTGGCGGTTGGGGTTCCTCGATAGGGAAAGCGGCAGCAGCGGTCGCCTGTATTGCTTCGACGTTGAATTCTTCAAAATTATTCATAAACAATGAACTTTGCGATGACAATTTTTGAACTTGTTCCTCGACTCGAATTGACGATACTTGAGACATACTGTCGGATGCTGAAACGAACAATAATTGATGCGAATATTCAATTCAGAATTCGATTAAGTTATATTAAAAAAAAAACAGACCATCGTTCTCATTCACATTCGTTTCGACGCCTCGCGCAACATCAGCTCTCCGAGATCTTGGTGTTGGGTTATACTTCGATATATAAGATCTTCTTGATCGTATAGAAGGAATGTTATCGATCACTTCTGCAGATTGATTTCATTAATTAAATTTCTCAAAAATTTGGAAAACCTTGCTTCTTCGCTCTTTTCTTCTTTTTGGATGTTTTAATTTTTGTCGATTCTGCTGCATCTGGTGATACAACTGATCGTTCTTCATTCTCAAATGTTGATCGTCTCAACCGCCTTTTAGATTCTTCAGGCGTAGACGATGGTGCAGATGGCTCTTGAGAAGGTTCACAACTTGCATTGGTCAGTGTCTCACTTTGCGATGCAACTGCCATACAATCCAATTTTTCGGTACTTTCTATAGAATATTTTAATTATTTTAATATATTTTTTAGATTAAAAATGGAAATCAGTTCGCTCTGTGTCTAAATAGTTATTGTCGGCGTCAAACCACTGAACCAAATTAAAATAAATTATTGGCAATCTACCAATGTGTCTCGAGGCAGCGAGAAGTACGGGAAAATTTGAAGACCCCGCCTCCCTTAAAACGTTTGACGCCGACAATAAGTCTTTGTAAAAAAAAGCACCTCTTCTCGTAGCAGATTTTTGCGAATCAGTTAATTTTGGTGAATTACGGGCACTCAATGTAGCTGGAGTATCTGGTTGATCCATTTGCACAGAGACTGTAGCTGTAAAACATGGATTTATCGACTAACAAAACCAAAAAAAAATACGTTGATCATTTTCAGCGTTATGGATCTCTTCGGTTTGTTTTTCAAAAGTCGCTGATTCCGTAACTTCAAAGTTTGAATCATTTTCCGCATTTTCTGTGGCCTTCAACGCATTTTCCTTATTTGGCGAAGTTGGCTCAGTATTATGAGTAACTTCATAGCCATGATCAGAAGTCCGCTTCAAAACGAGCTTCGGAACTCTCTTATTTCGTCTTGGATCTTAAATAGTAGAAATCTTTCCGAAATTATTTTTATAACTTACTAAATTCGACGTTTCCAAATGCGTTTTGAACTGGAAAAAAAATATTAGAAATAAATTTAAGTTGATGCATTTTTAATCAATTGATTAAACATTTTTTGTATTTAATTGCGGTATTTTTAAACGGTATAAAACTGTTCATTATTGTTAAAATACGTTACTTTATCCGCTTCCATGAGCGAGTCTTACGCTCGTAGAAAACCTTATTTAATAATGAAAATTTTACTATTTTCGATTTTGAATGAAACAAATTTGTTGGCACGCAATAATAATATATATTATGTGAAATAAAATATAATTTAAATTCTTACCAATAGTGTGCCATGAATTTTCTGGTTTCTCTGAAGCATGAGGGTCACTCGGTGTAGAATTTATTGGTTCCGTCGCAGTTAATGGCGAAGTAGTCAGTTCTTCATTTCCCACAGAAGTACAAGAATGTGCATCCAACTCCGTTGTGGCATCATTCACGGAAATCGCGTCCATTATAGGAGTAAGCTCTTCCGTGGGATCTTGAATGGGAGCTGATTCCTCAAAAAAGGCGTCTTCTTGAAAATTCGCAGTATCTCCAGCACAAACTATTCCCGACTCTTCTTCCACAGTAACCTCTTGGTCAGTGTTTTCGATTCGTACCTCAGTAAGTTCCTCTGGTGGTGAAATCGACGTTGTATAGTTTAAAATATTGAAAGGTAGGAGATACTTTTTACCATTAATCAAATACAAGTAATGCTTCCGATCTTTAGTGATGTCCAATGATGGGCTATGATAAAATACCGCGCGGCATTTCATATCTTTTCCATAAAGGTATTTGACTGAAGAAAACTGGGGCCCAAAAGGAAGAATTGGTCGATCGGAAGATGTTCTTTGATAATCATGGTAATATTCTTCATAATTTTCTTCTACTGATTCTCGAGTTGGTCGATCAGAATATGTATGGTAATCTTCTTCATAATCTTCCTCCACCGATTCTTGAACTGATAGATCAGAAGATGCTCTTTGAAGATCGCAAAACTCCCCTTCAAAATTCTCTAACACCAAATAATGCATTGGTTGTTGGGTAGACGTTCCATGAAAATCCCTTTGAATATATTTCTCCAAAAGCTCCTGGATTTCTTGTTGAGAAATTTCCAATATATGATCATATTCATTTGGGTCGTTATTCTCTATCACAGCAATAGCAAGTGGTTGTTTAGAAGAGGGTAGTGGCCGAAAGTTGTCATCTAACGTTGAACAGTCCAATATCAGATTGTTTAGAGTAATCTCGTGTGGTGCTGCAGAAGAATCGCCAAAAAATATTGCGGCATCGGGATTAACTATACTCTCTGCATGTTCACAATCGTCGGCATATTGTTCATCATCAATACGTTCATCTTCCATATGATCATCAGCATTTCGATTATTTTCATCCTCAATTCGATTATCAGAAACTGCATAATCTTCTTCTTCAATTGAATAACGAGCAACCCGATTATTTAAATCTTCCATGTGATCATCAGCAACTCCATTATCTTCTCGCTCTAACCGATAATCAACAACTCCATCATCTTCTTCCTCATTTCGATAATCATTAACTCCAAAGTTATTCACCGCAATTTCATGAATCGACATGTCGTCACCAAATTCTTCCTCAAAGTCATCTTCATATTCGTATGGAATATAATATGGCGAAAAGTATTCCGATTCTTCTTCTATATATTCTTGCGCCTTTCTCCTAAATTCCTGCTCATCGCCATTATTGACAACGCTTTCTTTAAATGCTTGAAGTAATTCCGACGGTATGCCAAAAAATTCGTGTCCCGGGTTATTTTCAATGGCGCAAGTGAATTTCGCTAGAAATTTTTTCACCGCTTCTTCTCTCTTTTCACAATATAACTTCAATTTTCGTTTTCTTGCTTCTCTCATTTCTTCTGGCGTAAGACGTTTTGGTAATGGGAACATTTCCAATTCCTTTTCTGGGGTTAATATTGGAATCGCTGCAATTTCAGACTCCTCGTCACAAACTGCACGCAGCTTCGTTGGAAATCCAAATTCGTTTGTTTCATGAAGTCGATACCACATTTTTGAAATAAATCGTATTTGGTGAGGCCGATTTTTCTCTCTTCCCTTACTTCTTTTGATAACTTCTTTTGCAAAAGTATAAACTTTGGGCATCTAAAAAAGTGAATGTTTATCAAAGATTTGCCAATTAATATAATTTTATTACTATTGGTATGACATGAAACAAAAAATATATGAATTCATTCGTTTCAATATTTATTTGACTTTCTTGCTTATTCTGGTTTATAAAAAATTCATTTTTTAATTTAATTTTTAATTTAACAGAGATGCATACTGTATTTCTAGCCAAATGGCGAGCCATAGTTATCATAGTTATATTATTAATTTATTCTGCATTCTCATCCAAAGAAAAAAATGAAACTTACCGCTCTCATGTACGCCCACTTCAGTAACTTCTTTTCTTTATCTTGGCTAGCTGAAATAAATACCAATTTGTCATTTTTTATATTTTCCATTAAATTTGTCGACAGAGGGTTCGAAATTCGACAAGTATCTTATCAACGTTATGATTGTAAATGGAATATGCTTTACTCAATCTATTTCAACCATAATTTACTTCATCAACTTTAATTTCTTAAAATTACTTACAGTCGTCGTCTTGGAAATCCGGAAGATCTTCGTCGTCTGAATCAGAAGATGGATCGTTTTCCATTGATTCGTCGTTCCCGACTTCTTCAGTTCCCGCCATTTTTCTCTTCTCTTCAATCTCATTCAAGCACATCATGAATTTTTTGTATTCGGCTTCTTCGTCCAGAATTGCATACTTCACCGCCTCATCCCACACTTTCTTGTTCCTCTCATCACCTGCACGTATAATTCACGTTTTTTCACTTTTTATCAATACGAAAAACTGACTATATTTTTGTTCCAAAAATTCTATTGTTTTTATTGAATCCGGACGGCGATCGAAAGTGTTTTCTCGAGCCAATTTCCTTAAAATCATTTCTTCATTTACAAACGTGTAGTTGGCATCCAGAGATTGCGGTACACGGGTAGACTTAAGAGACATGCGTCTTTTGCGGTGACGGATAAACATGCTATTTTGCATTCTAGCGCTCATTTACTCGTAGATAAAACCGTAAATTTGTGCTGGGTCGAAGGGAATCGAGGTAGAAGACAATTCACCGTCTTTTTTGCGCTTTATTCGCATTAGCGAATAATTGCGCGAGGATGAGTTCACTAAAAAATGCATGCCGTAATTCTACCCGCACACAGCAGTCGAATGCCCCCCACTATACCAATTTTTTTTATGGAACCGGGCTTTTGCATAAATTTTTCTAATATTGAAAATTCAAATTTTTTAAAAATTGATTATCTTTAAATATAGAAGTGTGCAAAAAAAGTTACAAAAATTGCAAAAAAATCATACGCTCGACATTTCCTTATTGCTTTCTCAGTGGTAATTTCTATGACATCGATATAGGCAGTTTCTTTCCACTTCTTAATTTCTTGTTTCCTCTTTTCATTATATTTTTCTTCAGCAAATCGAAAATCATTGCCTTCCAAAATAATATCCATCGCATTTTTTCCTTCTTCCTGAAATGAAATCAGTCTTCAAATACTCATAACAATTTTATACCTTTTCGATAAAATAGTCGGATGAAAATTTGAAAACGACAGGAACATTGTCAGCGGTTTTGTCAATACATATTTTCAGTGGCTTCTTACGAGCTGCGTATAGCTATAATTTGATAGATGTATCTAGTATATCAGAATTGAGCGTTATCATTAATTAGTATTTAGTTATAGTCGGCGTCCGGCGACTGCTGTACGCGGATAAATTTACGCGCATGCGCCTTGAAAAGGTCTCGCCACTTGTGAACGCTTATTTTCCTGTTTTCACGTGAACGATTTATTTTTTCTTGATGAGTTTCACATTTCCTTGAATATCCAACGTCATTTGATTGAAAAATTATAAAACTGATCGATAAAATTTGAATTAGTCCTTCCGTATGTCTACCCGCGTACAGCAGTCGCCGGACGCCGACTATGGTTTTCTTACAAATTTGAATTACACAACTTGGGAGAAGCTGTAATATTCGACAGTTGTGCCCTACATTAATTGAAATTTCGAAAATTAAATAGCCTACGACCTGCGATTGCTGTAGGCGGGTAGCTTTACGGGCATGGGCATTTCGCGATGGTCTCGCCCAGACGTACATGTTAGTTAGGGGTCGATAGTTTCTAATTCCAGTAACGTTAGATATGAAGGAAATAATACACTAATCAGGAAAAATAAAACAGTTCACGTGAAAATAGAAAAAATAAGTTCACACGTAGCGATACCATTTCAAAAGTTGAACTCGTAAATCTGCCCGTGTGCGTCAGTCGAAGGGTTCCGATTCTCAATAAATCCTGTAATTTGAAAATAAAAGCTCACTAAGGCTGGATACTCCTCGTTTCCGTAATTGATAGGTGAATCCGGACGTTCTGGATCTTGTTTTCGACTTTGCTGAAACATTATCATTTGCTTTAACATAATATTTGTTGAGAAATTCAGAAGCTTCTCATCAGTAGACAATCGATCGTCATTTGAAAACTATTTTTAAATCTCACACAGGGTATATGCAATTCAGCACGATTGCGCTCATAATTTTCCTCGAAAAGTTGAGCTTCCGCCATACTGTATCTATAAAACCACCGCTCGTGAGATTCCTTCTTAAAAATATCGATATCTTCTATTTTTACTTTCGGGTTAAGAACGAAATCTTGAATTTTCACTTTGGCAGGTTGAGCTGAATAAAAAGAACACATTTTGAAAACAAAACGTGAGTAAATTACGATATTCCAACGGATATTTCGGATTGTATACAAAATCTGGATCCAGTTCGTAAGTTATTGCCTCAGGATCAAAGAACATAGGCGAAATAAAATATTCTGAAAATATTTCATAAAATTGATTGAAGAGAATATTGAAAATTCTACTTTTCTTCGTTCTCAACCTTCCTTTGTTATACAATTCTCTGGAAAGTGGCACATATTTCCTCGCGATAGGAAAATTATGGTGTATGCAAAGGTGGACCTGAATATATTTGTATACTTGAAGCAATGATGCGATTAATTATTTTTTTACTAACGATATCTTCTCCCGATTTGTTGGCGTCGTCCAATTCTCTCATAAAATCAAAATTCAAACCCTTCGGCTTCCTTTCTTTACTCATCTGAAATCAGATGAATATTTCAAAGCATCGAATTCTCTTACTACCTTTGACATTAGTATTGTTGTGTTATATACATATAAAATGAAGTGCCTGTAAACTAATTATGATATATGAAATTCAGAATAAGCCATAAGAGAAATAGAGTAATATGCGTGTCCAAAACCGAGAAATTCTCATTTTTCATGAACTTTCTGGTTTTAGCATTTAAATATATTTAGCGAGGCCTAGTAAAATCATGATAGAAAATTCGGCCACATTTTCCGAATTTGAATAATACACTGCAGTGTGCTGTACTAAATTTGGTACATTTAAAATAATATATGAGATTGAACCATTCACCCTTATATAAGATTCAAATACATACTAAAATCAAAATAAAAAACCTATTAAAAAATTGAGTAAGATATTTAATAATAAGAAAAATCATTGAAAACATAGAATGTGCAAATTTCCGCGTTAACTGTTTATCAAACACGCGTACGCATTTCTTCTCGCTTCGAAATATTGTCAACATTTTTAAAGTTTTTTTTTAAGTTTTTTATTTTAAGTTTAAGACGTTTAAATCCGACAGTCACAATCATTTGAACTATTAAAATTGACAAACATTTATCAATCTGAAATGTTTTCGAATAAAAATGACAGTTCAATTACGCGCTAATGTTTTTATGGCCGAAATTTAGGGTAAGTTCCTCGGTCATGTAAATGATGTACTCCACACGGAATAATCTTTATCTGCAATTTTCATTACCGGCAATAATTTATTGCAACATTTTTGACAAACCTCCAATTACAATTAATAACTTGAATTCCAATTTATTGTTTTCAGTATTCACCTAATCCGGATAACCATGAATGCCGCCGGTGACAGCCGAAAAAGTGTTTTCACAACGCTCGGCACAACAACAACGGTATGTCTTCTTATCTATCATTCCACTGCTTTTTTGAACGTGTATGCAGGCATATCATATTAGAGGGCACTCCATAATGTTTTTTATTTAGATAAAATTGATCATAGCCCATAATATTATTTGATTTTCAGAGTTTCAACTCAGTATCATATAAGCAAGCACCTTTGATCAACATGCAAAAATCGATAATCCTTGATTTTGAATACTCAAACATTACGGAAATCAATACCCATTGCGATAATTGTTTTTTTCTACGAAATGAGCTAACTCCAATTCGTGGAAGATATGTTGATTTGCTCGAATTTTCCAATGTTAGTATATTTTTTTAAACTTATGTTAATAATTCAAATAATTGCAGTTTAATGGCATCCCATATCCAGTAATTGATGAATCGAAAAAACCAAAACGATGGCTTGCTGATTTACGGTAGACGGGTTTCACAAATAAAATTCATTTTTTTTTGCAAATCTAGCTACACGTGGTCTACTCCGCTTCCGTACGATTATCCATCAGTTACCCAAGAGGTTCTGAACTCTGACAGGTGAATAAGAGTGCTTGAAAACAGTACCAAAATTTTCCAATCACTTTTTTCTAACAGTATACTAATAGAATCATTGTCTTTATAAACGTTGACAATATTCATTTTTCTTAAAGAAATTCCTCTTTTTATTAGTTCATATATATGACACCAAAAACTTTAGGGTGAATGGAGTCATCAAAAAGATGCAAGTGGAGAAACCCGAACTGACAGTATCGGAAATGAAAAAACGCGCAACGCGTTTTTTCTACGAAATGCGCGCGAGTCTTTCAAAATTTGTGTGCAAAATTTGTGCCTATATCTTATACAAAGTTTCAAAAAACCCTTTTCATGTTTTTTGGATTGCATTTTCTAGGTTTTTCGACGATTGATAAGCAAATTGTTGGTTTGTCCTGAGGAAATTGAGCGGGTTCAAAAGGCCGAATCGGTGAAATGAAAATACATATTGTTATTAATAGAAAATGGATACAATCTTGCAGACTGGAATACCATTGGTATATTTGCCACTGCATCGAAGCCATCTCGATTATCTTTTGATCACATGGTGTGCCTGGCATTTCCGTCTCAAACTTCCACACATTGCTTCTGGAGATAATCTAAATCTGAGCGGGCTCGGATGGCTTCTCCGTGCAACAGGAGCATTTTTTATTCGTCGGCGTATGAATCCGGACGACGAAGGAGGAAAGGACGTATTCTATCGAGCTGTTCTTCACTCTTACATTGAACAAATTTTAAAGAAAAACCTCCCAATTGAATTTTTCCTCGAAGGAACCAGGTTGGAATGCTAAAAGAACTACTAGGCCTATTATAGATTTTGAAAGAAATCGTTTTGGAAAAGCCCTCACCCCTAAAAACGGGCTCATATCCAATGTCGTCGAAGCAGTTCAACACGGAATCATTAAGGATTGTTACCTTGTTCCTGTTTCTTATACATATGACGCTGTTGTCGAAGGTATTTTCTTGAATGAGTTGATGGGAATTCCAAAGGTATTCAACTCATTGATTTTAAAAAATTATTCAATGACTTGAAAGGTACGCGAAAGCGTTTTCGGCGTTTTCAAGGGAATATTCAAGGGATTCAGTAAATCCCAACAATGCGGAATTGTGCGAATGCATTATGGAAGACCAATTCGACTAACGGTAATACAGTTTCAAGCAAAAAACAACTATTCTTTAATTCGAGAACATTTTTTTTAGAATTATTTGGCTTCATTAACGGCTGCACTCAGTTGTAAGCACTCTCGTCCAGCAAATCTATCCAGAATGCCGCATTCATTCTCCTACCGTGAACTCGTTCCATGGCATCACACACATTCCGAAGCAATGGATGATAGAACTCTGATTCGGGCTATCGGATTCCACGTAGTTTATGGTTAGTTAATTAAATTTTTAATCGAAAACTCTGCTATCATAATTTCTTGTTTAAATGATAAACGTCCTAGTTTCATTCCAATATAATGCGATAGCATGATTAAAACAAAAATAATCGCGTGTTGCAAAAAATGAATGTCGCGCCATATTTTATTGCCGATAAGCAGCTTCCTGTTCAATTGGAAGGAACTCCAAAAAACCAACAAAACTTTTCAGAAGCTCAAAGAATGTGTTCAATCTCGTCAGTTTCTGTTGTAGCTGGACTACTTTTGTGTAAATTCCGAGACGTTAGACATTTCAAAAAATCAGAAAAAATTGAAACGTTTGAAGGGGGCTAATAGAAGCACACTGGCGCAGGACGTACAATGGCTTTGTGAAATGATAATTGCTGAAGGCGGAGATGTGATGGGATACGAATCAAAAGTCACCGATCCATTCGTAGTTCTTGACGTAAAACAAACAAAAGTATTTACTTTTATAATTGAGTTTTCAGTATGCTCTTTGTAAATTAGAGCCTTGTTTGGAGCTGTTGAAAGATGGGTGTTTTATTCGGCCAATCAATTGTCATCGCCAGTTCATTCATCTTGCTTATATGAAAAATGCTCTAATTGCTCGGTTTTCAATCAAAGCTGCTGTTGGTATCGAGAAATCATTCGTTTCTACAAATGTATGATTCTTGTTCAGCACTGGCCATCGTTTGTCGAGGAACACTGAAAGTGCATCAAACGGGTGAAATTGTTGAAGACGTTTTCTCAATTTGCGACTGGCTTCAGTTTGATTTTCTCTTCTGTAGAGTTAGTTTCTTCAGTTGTATTCCAAAAACCTTTTTATTTAGCCTTGTGATGATCTTCGACAATTAATTCATGATATTCTTGGTGAAGAGCAATGGGCTCATCCCGTCAAAGGCTATTTACAGCTAGAATCTGAGGATGAAGGCCTCTTTGGAGCTGGAGATGGAACCATTACAAAATTGTTTAAGGTGAACTAAATTTACTAAATTTGTTTTTTTTAATATTCTTTTTGTTTAGATTCGAGATGAACGATCAGTTGAAATTCTCGAATTTTTTGCAAATTTTATTCGCCCATTTGTCCAGTCATTGTACATTGTTACATCGTTTGTCGCTTCTGAAAAATGCAGTGAAACCCCAATTCGCGGTATTCAATTATATTATGAACTTGCTATTTATTTTGGATTTCAGAAACCGAATTTGTGAGAGAACTTTGCAAGGATTCATTGGCCAAAAAGATTCCTCTTCCATTCGAAGCTTTAGGTTTATTTTTTGAAATGAAAACTCCTAACTCGTTGATTTTGAAATATTTCAGTCGAATCGATTAATTCGGATTCTTTCACAAACTCTATTCGCATCCTTCGCGATAAGGGATTTATCAAGACGGAGCCAGCGAAAGTGTGCCGTTCACGAAATGTTCACATCAAAGAAGTTGTATTGAATTTGCAGAGAGTTTTGCAGATTCTTTAATTTTCATATACTTCACTCTTTGTATTTGATTTTTTTTTTCGCATTCTTTGATTCCATGTCAGTTTTCGATACCCCTGTGCATCGAATCCCTGTGACTCTTGATGATCTTCGTTCAATATTCCTAAACAATTGCTTCAAATCAATGTTGATTAGGTTATTAATTTATTGTATAGCATATGTTTAGCAATTTTTAGAAAATTTAAATAAGATGTTTTAATGAATAAAAACACTTAATTAATACACAAATTGAGAGTAGTAATATCGGAAACAGAAATATAGTTGGAGTTCGTCGACTGCTGTACGCGGGTAAATTTACGCGCATGCGCCTTGAAAAGGTCTCGCCAAATTTGAACGCTTATTTTCCTGTTTTCATGTGAACGATTTATTTTTTCTTGATGAGTTTCACATTTCCTTTAATTTCCAACTTCATTTGATTGAAAAAAACTGATCGATAAAATTTGAATTATCCTGTTTGTCCTTCCGAGACCATTTCGAAGTACGCATTCCCGTACGTCTACCCGCGTGCAGCAGTCGCCGGAAGCCGATTATAAAAGCTTTTCAGAAAATATTTTGGCAGTTCGCCGGAGAGTAGAAGGGCAAACTGTTGCGGCCGGTCCCGCCCACAATTCCTACACACGCGATACTGTTTGACCGGTGAAAGGGACAATTGAAATAAAATTAAATAATTTCACATTATTGCATTGGGTAAAAATGAGAAATCGACAATTTTGCGAACACCGAATTGATCCTGGTTTCAAAACGTGCTAAAATTGTTAGAAAGGAATCATAGGGGATTTCAATTCGAAGAAAAAAAACGCAATTAACGGATCTTCTCAGGCCTCGTAAGTGGGACCACCTGAAGCGGGCCGTTCATTGTATTCCGGAAAATGTCCACAGATGCTAAAAATGTTAGAAGTTACCTAATATATCTGTTGCCACTGATTTTGTGGGAAATACTTGGTATCATGGATATAAACGTTCATCAAGAATTTTTAGTATTATTGAATTAAAAATGTTCTCCTATTTTTATTTGTCAGATGCACAAATAATGAGTACAAACAATCCATCATTTCAATTGATCGAAACTCGTTTTTTTATTCTTGTTTGACGAAACGTCTGCCCAAAATTTGTCGAATTCACAAGCAAAATAACAACAACAAACATTGAAAAATCGATAGATTTTTAACGATCGATGTGGGACGAAGAAAACCATAAATATTTCGCGTATGCCATTATTGTCACATCGCTCCACATTTACATACTAGTTTCTTCTCGTTTTATTATCTTTATATTTGATACTAAAATGTGCAATGTTCAGATGAAAACAACAATATTCATCTTGATTCTTGCATGTGCTGTCAATGGATTCGAAATCAAAAACGACGCGTTTCCAATGAGAGCCGATTACGAAGAGGAAAAAATGAAATTCGGCGGACGAGATCCGCCGAAATTCGAAAAAACTTACCATCGAGAGTATGGCAATCATTTCAAAAAAAAAAAGAAGAATTATATCATTTTCCAGAATTCCTGGTGGAATTGAGACTGCTGAAATTAAGACGGAAAATTCGCCAAATGGGAAATCGATTAAAACTTCCTACAGAAAGTAAGCTTTTGTTCCATATTCTCAAATTCTAATTCATATCTTACGCAAAAAAATATATGCGTCATTTCTAATTAGGAAAAAAACGAAAAGTAGTGAAATCATAAATTATTTGAAACTATGTAAGCATGAATCAGAATTTTTTGCAGGAGTCAATCATTCGGAAGCAGTGTAAGTCAATTAGGCTTATTTATTTTCAGCTTCATTGTCGCTAACCCGCCACTAATCCCAAGTTTCAGTCGTCAGATAAAAGTGTTTCAACGATAATTCGTGACAAAGACGGAAATATAATCCATGAATCTGTGCAAAAATCAAGTAGTGCTGATAGCAAGGTTGCATCGCTTCTCGAAGAGGGAAGGAGAGTGTTTCCTCTAAAAAAATATCAAAGAAACTTGATAGAAAACCAACAAATGTTTTTTTTAATGACGGATATTTCCTTTTCTAGACAGTTTCTGAAATATTTTGATGATTTTAGCAGACATTCTCCTCACCCCTCTCATTAAACTAACAAACACGCATGCTAACCTGCTTTGTTCTAGCCAAACATCAAATCATTCGAGGAAATTCGAAAAGATATTGAGAAATCACAAAAGGTGCAATTTACGAAAATTGTTCTAAAAGGAATATAGCATAAATCGATGTTTAGGAAGCTTCGAATCGCGCCAAAGAAATGATGGAAAACATGAAAAAGTCTCATGAAGAATTGATGAAGGTTGAATGATTTCATTTATCGAAGAATTATGAAAGAAACATTTCAGAAAGTGCAATCTTCATTCTCCGGATTTAACGCATTCCGTAGGTTTTTTTTTCATTTTTCAACAGAAAAATAAGAGAGAACATGTAAAATCCTTGTGCGGGCAGGTAAATTTAAAATGTAGGACTCGTAAATTGGATTTACTTCGAGACACTTGGCACATTGATAAATAATTGGTTCAATTTTTTCGCCTTTTGTTTCTCCCGGAATTTCTTTCGCCGAGACAAGTCCATTGGAATTTAAAAGTTATCAAAATGAGCCCTAGATTGCGAAGTAACTAATTAGTCTGGTAGGGACCAACAGTCAAAGGCGCATTCTCGTAAATTTACCAGCCTACCGCAGTCAAACGCATGAAAATTTGATTATTCGATTTATTTCTGTGTACATACATTAGTAATTAAAAATTTATTACCTCCGCATTACGTTTTAAACAATTCTTTCAGCGAATTTCAAGGTATGAGGTAACAATTTGGTTCTCGTCACGATTATTTTCCAGATAACCTAATTGCTAATCCATGCACTACTAATAAACTTGCTAATCACACCGCTTCTTTTTTATACTAAAAAAATATTTCATGTCTTCAATTTCAGCTTCATTTTCTTCCATTTCCAATGCCATTCGAGGTTTTGTTTACGAATCATTTCGTGATTCCCAATTCTCATTTTTTTCAGGACGTCATCATTATCCCTCAAACAATTCCGAGAGTGATTCCAGTTGTTGGTAGACAATTGTACAAATTTCTGAAGACGATTGTCGAATTTTTAAGATACGAAAGCACAGGCTGAAAGTGTCGAAAATTCAAAAGAAGAAAATGTTGCAGCGTTCGGAAAGATTAAGAGTTTTCACTAAAATATTGGATAATGAAATATTTGCGAATATCCGTTGGCTGAAATGCCAAATTCTGGAAATAATGTCTTTCTCTTTCACTAAATCTTAATTTTTCTTTAAAAAAAGACGGGGACCTGGTTGTTAACAAAAGTGAGATATGGCGGAAAATAAGCCCATTGACTTGGCGGCCTATTAAATAGTAACCAGTACATTTTTAATTTATTTAATTATTGTTAAAAAAATTACTTTATGCATTTTAAAAGAAATCGGCGTAGTCACTTTAAAAAGTGTATTAAAAAAAAGTCACTTTAAAAAGTGTATAAAAAGGGAGCTATAAAATTTTAAAAAATTTCGAAATAATGGCGGACGTGAAATGTGCCATGGCCGAATAATTCGCGGCCGCGGGTGGCTTTTTTTTTGAAAAAATTTGCATTCCATGAAATAATGCATTTTAAAAGAAAATTAATAGGTGTTAAATAAATTTTGTGCCAAATTGGGTCAGTGTGTAAATTAAATTTTACGGAATGAATGCATATGAAGCATTTGATGAGTGTAAGAAATTAGTTTATATCGTTTGCGTATACTTTACTATTTCCTTAATTGGTGTGAAATTACAGGCTGCGAGACATCTCTTTCTATATACATACGCAAAATTGGCAAAGTATTTGCATAGCTAAGCGCGCGAATTTAAAATTTCTTCTTTGAACTGACTATGGTCCAGCTCGGCTTTGAAACACCAAGGCTGTTAATTTCTAGGAAAGGAAGGAATCATTGAAGATAGAGATTTTTAATCAATGACAATTGGTTCTGAAGAATCATCACTTATAATCTTTTTTGCGTTTATCGATGATGAAAAGAACAAGATAATTGAAGAAGAAGAAGAAGAATAATTCTTGACGTTGGTGTGACATAAATTGGATTAGAATGTGAAGAGTCGACGATGAGTATTTCTGGAGAACAACAGGATTAGCTCGCTTATTTTCGAATGTTTTTTCGTATATGAATGTGTTATTCGAGAATAGAAAGGGCGATGGTCAGAAAACATTCTATTACTAATGGAATACATTTATCTATATTAATATTAAATCCGTTTACAGTAAGATTCGTACGCAGTATAGTAAAATGCCACCAATATTAAGAAATTAAACCCAGAAGATTACAAATATCAAGTTATTTGTTTTATTTTACTGATCCAGTTTGTTTTTTTTTCCAGCACTTTAAAGGGATTATCAGATCAGTTTTTAACTAATTTTTGTTTATTTATGTTCCGACAATTTACACTTTCTAGTTAACAACAATATAAAAATCACATAATTTCGTAATTTTTTATTGTTGAACCAATTTTCAGAAATGTGTACCCTTCTTTCAAAAAATAAGAAGTCAAAGTACGAATTCAAATTCTGATAGTACCATAGTAGGGAATTTGAAAACGCCAAGAAACTCAGTATTCTCCTCGATTTTTTTTTTTTTTTAATTTAATTTGTCGGAAAGGTAGAAATTCGTTTCAACCGATAAAAATCCATGTTTCATTTGGTCAATGCAATGTCTTTAAACACGAAAAAAATCTTTTCGATCTATTATTTGCCATTGCGAAATTTAAAAAAAAAACTCGAATATTTCGAAATACGTCTTCACGTTATTTAAGTTTTCAAAAAAATAATTCTAGATTTCGCATGAATTATCAAATTTTTGAACAGGGCCAATTCCTAGAAGCTATTATAGTAATGCAGATATCCCAAGATTATTTAGAAATATTTAATACTAATTTATCGTTGCATGAAGTAATAAATGGTAACATATACATACATACATATGTGTGTGTTGCACGAAAACATCAATTCGACATCTCCTGATAACCATTCATTCGAGTGTTCCAATAAAAATCCGTCTAAACAAATCGAATAATGCGAGCCTCGTTCATTTTTCTATGAAAGAGGGGATGAAAAAACCACACCCACCATAATAATAATCCTTTTCGTCTATATATCGCCTCTGAGGAAAAAAAGAGAGACAGGGCGGAGCCTCGGCTTCACTTTCTTCTTCTTCTCCTCATTGGTCGTCTTTTTGAGCTCATTTCTACACACTATCCGCTCTTTAAATGCTCGTCATTGCCAAAAAGTAAGTTTAAAAACTATTGATAATGAATAATGAATAATTGAGATAATTCGCAGAATTTCCAAACAACTTCAAAACCGATCGGTCGTTTTTCTGACGATTTGGACCAGCTTAAGCTTTTTTCTATTCCTAATAGTACTTGGTATTGAATTCATCAAACAGGTTGATTTTTTATTAATCAAAAACCATTGCTACTTGGTATTTTTCAGCGGTCCGAATTGATTCCATCGAAATCGACAGGCACTGTGACGAAAAAATCAGTGTATCGAGGTACATCAGCAATTCGTGTTCCAATCAATTAAAAAAAAAACAATTTCTCAGACCCGATAATTCTCATTCCGTTCATCCTTATCCCGACAGTCTGCTTATCCCTTTTCACCCGATCGATCCCCATCGTCTTCTCGATTCTCTGCTCGATGACCCTTCAATTATCGATCACCTCGTTAAGCACATTGGAAACTCGACCGGAATTCCTAGTGATCCTCGGATATATTTCGATAGCAAATACAATATTTCTCAGACGATGCTGGGAAAAATATCGGTGAGTAGGTGTCGAAATTTGTGTTTCCGCCATGCCGCTTGTAGAAATTATCCCCTTGAGGTAGCTCCTTGCAAAAGTTTTACCCAGTAGATATGTGACATTCAATAGTGTGAAATGAGAATATTAAAATAGATTAAATTGAAGTCGGAAGGTTAAGAAGATTAACTGAAAAAACGCAATAAAAATACAATAAAGTGCAAAAGATGATTTCAGACGAGGTCCGTGCTCATCGACAATTTATCGCATAATTCTGGCAACCGTCGATCGTTCTCTTCCAATGATTCTGACTTCAACCCTCTGCGCTTCATTCATCCCTCTGATATCAATCCTTCTCCTTTCTCAAACCCTTCAATCAATATACTTGTCGGTCTCGACGCTAATCAGCAACATATGCGTTCAATCGTTGGTCCTTTCAGTACTTCTCATACGGAATACATATAATTGGGTAAGAGAATTATACGAAGAAAAAGAAAAAGAAATATTCAATCGAAAGAGATTAAATTGTTTATACGCAGAGGAACTAAAATGTGTATTTGAATGACGCAAAGAAAAGACGCATTTGCATGGATTACGAACACTTACCAAAATGGAATAGATCAATTTTTAAACATTATCAAGCCCTTACCAATCGGCTTAAATTAATATTATAATAATCTTTCAGTGTTTTCCGTCCATCGGTACAAATTTTCCGTTACGCCAATGTCAAGCTTTCATCGAGGAAAAGCTTGTATATATTGCGCACTTCATCATCAAATTATGTCAAGATCTTCTTTCTTCTCGCCTCAAAATTCCCATCTTCATTTTTTATATGATGGCAATTCTCAGCTATTTGTAAGAATCATTATCCTCAAAAAATGAAACAGCAAGTATGTCAAATATCAAGTTTCAGGGGAGTTCTTTTCCTTCGGATCTACACACATGTCAACTCTCTAATAAGACATAACAAAATGCAAATCCTTCTCGAATTCCATTCATATTATCCAATAATTCTCTCGATTTGCTTATTCGTCATTCCGCTTGCTGTTCTCATATCGATCAATCGACTCCAGATTCACACAATTGTCACGATGCTCGGGTTCAGTTTCAGCATGATTGTTCTTGATGTTTCAAGGGTATGTCAGCGAACAGGCGCAAAGAAAAAAACCAATCAAAATGATTAAAGGAACTGCTACTTTATGATCGTCCTCTCAAACCGGTAGAGTACATTCTAGCTACTGTGATACCGATCGATGGTTGTATTCGTTTCTCTCTTGCTTACCGATTGTCTAGAAAGAAGATCCATGCGGCAAAGGTATTGAAAATAGCTGAACTCGAAACTGCATAGAAGAGATTATTGCAGGTACTGGATGCGACTGACATCTCATTCTCACAGACGACACTCTCTTCAATATCCTCAATATCTTCGCTGATGTTCATTTTCATATACATGAATTCTGTCAAATTCATACCAATTTTGGCTACAGTGATCGCTTCAAATTGGTTGAACACAGTGGTATTTTACCCCGTCGCAACTACATTAATCGGTGCGTTCGAATTCGGAAAACGGCGACGGAATAGTCAACTATCGGAAACGAGGTGGGCGAAAGCCGGAAATGGCGAAAATAGTTTAAAATTTTAAATATTTATTAACACGAAAAATGTCTAGAATACAAAATGTTGTAGATCATTTCACACCGATCGATTCTCATCTCATTTCTTGCTTGAAAACAACGCGGATTACACCAAAAAATACAATAGCACCAATTATTATGGTACGTTCAATTTTTCATCGAAATTCTCAAATTGCTGTTTTAAAGGAAATGCGAAACAAAAACGGTCCTACAATGTGGTGATCACCGATTCAAGAAGAGCTTCAATGCCGGTTTCGGTGCATAAAATTTCAATAACCGATCCAAATGATCCAATTCTCAAAAAGTGAGCATCATGTTGCCAAAACCTCTAATATGCATTATTGCTAATTAAGGAGATCGTGGGCAAATGGAGCACACTTCTCAATGGACACCACACTAACAATGACGGCTCGAGAAGCATTACATCTGATTCGGAAACAGGAATCAATCACATCGGACAATATATTGGCCAAAGAATTGGCGCTTTATTAGAACAATTTCACACACACACAGACAATTTTATGCGGAAAAATATGAGAAATAGAAACACATATATAAAGTATTCGTTTGTTCAAAAAAAATTATAGAGATGTGAAGGGCAAAGGGCGAGTCGAAAAACAGAAAAAATATGAAACATTACTAAGCATAGGTGTCAATTTCGGATTCTAGCTTGAACATCTTATCGGGAGTGTCGGAGACTTCGGCTGAGCATTCGGTGATCTCGCTGGTTTTCGCTGGGAACACTATGCGCGATTCATGATCTGGTCCGATTTCGTAGCTGAATGTCCTATAAGCTTCGATATCCGATTCGCAATCGACAAATCTGAAAATTTCGGTTTTGTAAGACAAAACCTTGGCATTGGTATCGTTCATACCTGACATTCTGCCTTGATGGTATATAAAATATGTCTCCTCGTTTTACTTTATATTTGCTAACCTGAAAAAAATTAAACTAAAAAAATAATAGCACAAAGCCCAAAAAGATATTGAATAGCTAAAAGGGCAAAGCTGCGAAATTCAAAGCTTCATCTAATATCTTGATCAAGGTTCGATACGCGATTTTTTTTTGAACGATTTGATCTGGCGAGAATGTGTTCATCATCATCATCATCTCACTTATCATCTCCTCTTCCCCTCCCTTCTCCTCTATTGAATCAAATCAATTGAAAACAGTACCAATTCCTCGTTGGGCGTCGTCTCTTCTACAACAGCTTTTCCACTAACAATGACTAGAATGGAAGCACAATCGAGGGATGGAAGTGCCGCTTCTTCACGTTCCACATTTTTTGACACATTGATTTTGTGCAATTGGAAATCTTTACAGTCTGGTGCGTATTCGGCGACGCACGATGTCAACTTCGTCGGCTCGACGAGATACTTGTGTGGCTCTGTCATTTTGTAATTCAGCACCTGCAACAACCTCATTTCATGTTGAATCTTCAAGCGACCAATCAACCTCGCAGAGTGCATCCCGATCGATGTACTTTGGCGTCATTGCCGCGCGAATTGTGTTGTTCGAGCAACCGACGCATTCAACGCATTCGCCGCTGAGGTAAGCATGAAGCTCTTCGGCAGCATAATAGCAGCATTGACCCGGTTCGAGAATCATGTGATTGAGAAATAGCGGAGAGAAGATGCCGATATCGTTGGGAAAATCGAACGACATCTTCCGAATCACTTCTACCGTGTTTTCTTGAAGTGCACCGCGGAGTCCATTATCGAGATCATCGAGCAGCTCGTTCACCAGAATCTACAGAATCAAAAGTTGAAAACCATTAGCTGGAACAACCTTATTACCTTGACGTCTTTTGCTTTAACCATCATCATGTACCGGAATGAGGCCGCCAATGCCTGTCGACACTTCAAAGAGTTTGCTGGGAACTGTTGGATGCAGCTTTCCAACTTTCCTGCCAATCTGTCGCCTCCCATGAGTAACCTGAATGATGGGAACGCTGCAAAACGGCCGAAAATAGAATTCAAGAATCGGATTGCATTCAAATTACTCTGAAGATTTTCGATAATCTCTGGAGCTGGCCGAAATCCACAAAGAAGCTCAAATCTTGTTAAAGCATACGCTAATTCTGGCTTATGGTTTCTATCGGGATAATTTATCGGATCTCGTTCGTGCAATCGTTTGGCTTGCTCCTAGAAAAAATTTTCGTTTGATTGACGGTACTCGACCTACTTTTGTTGGATGAACTTGAAGTGAAAGTGTGGTTCTGATCGACATAATTTTCATAATAAATGGCAAATGAATATTTTTGGCAGAATTATTATTCGTCAATGATGATGGATTTTTGGCCAAGTGTGTTGAAAGTTTTGTGGAACATTTTTTGAGCTGCGCTGGACCATCCGGATGAGTTCCCATCCATAACTGAAAACAATCAAGTTTTTGAACGAAATTGAATAAATTACTAATGCAGTCGTTCTAAGACGTTTTAATTGAGTATTCCACATGTTCCTTTAAACGATTTTTTAAGTAAACATTTTTTTGCATTTAGTTAATTAGAAGTAATTTTGAAAATTGGGCAACGAAAAAAATTTGATTTTTGGAATATAGTTAATTTAAAATGTGACGTGTGGTAATACTGAATTGATTTCAAAAACCACGTCATTTCGCTACATGATCTAAATCGCTTGCTGAACAGATTAAAGTTTCGTTTTTATGCTGTGCGCGTGGTTGTGCTCGTCTATCGATTTCACCTCAGCATACGGCTCCTCCTGCTCAATTCGGAATTGCTCGTGGCCATCGGCGAAGAGTCGCGCCACCTCGCTATCCTCACCGAACTTGCCCCACGCGTACTGCTTGACGTGGCATTTGAGCTGTTCCATTCGGGCTAATCACCGAAACCAACACCAATCAACTGAAAACAATTGATGTGGGTTTCAAAAATGGGGTGAATCGAATAAAATGACTAGAATTAAACGATAAGACCTCAAGATGAATCAAGAAACTTGTGAGTCCAAAAAGTGTACGAGGTCAAACAAGTGGGGGATGAATAAGAAGATGTCGGTCGAATCTCGCAATGGAAGGCGAAAAATTGAGAGATTCGAGAGGGTATACGAGATGAAAGATGGACGATTTTTAGGATGAAACAAAATCAGAACAGCATTGTCCCCCCCCCAGATTGCAAACCGCGAAAGTGTGTCAAAACGCGACGACGACAGATCAGTCGCGCATCTTATTATCGAGTGCCGACATCAGGCCCGGCCGAAGATATCACAGCCCAATAATTCGCCTCCGTTTTCATTCCGCGCCACCAGCAACCCTCTATCTTCTCCCCAACCGACGTCCCCGCACAAATCGACGTATTGATTTTGGCGATGCGAAGCAGAATCGCCAAAAATGGGGCCATACGGCGACAAACAATTTGTATTTGAACTTTTTTGCAGTTATGTTGGTATGATGAGTTTGACGAACAACCGATTGAGAAAGGCGAGTTGAGAGGGAAGGGGGGAGGGGCAAATTAGAAAATAGATTTTGATTGAAATTTTTAGTTGGGAATGCAGCGCCGCACCCTGTTTTCTGCGAACAATGGGCTAGAAATCACATGACTCAATTCAAATTCGGCGGTGGTTCGAGTTCAATTTTCTACAAAACCAACGAACGCTGCAATTCCGCGTTTTCTTGCTTCTACCGGTTGGCACTCGTGTTCTGTGCTTTGATCAACTGTTTTGACGCCCTCTCTAGAAGATTTGATTGAATTTCACACAACGACCTTTAAAAATTATATGCGATAAAATCAAGGCAAACATAAACACACACAGATCACAACATTGATAAATATTTGTTGGCAGAATACCAACAATACACCAAGAAAATAAGTGATGACGAGAAATGAACTTTGATTTTAGGTGCGCATCACGATTGTGACGTATTCGCCGAAAATGATATCGTCGTGGCACGGCACGGCATGGTTCGATATATCACTTCAATTTATAAAATTCAGAAAAAGGTCTGCTTATCGAATTGTCGATCGAATTTGATACAAACTATGTATAGGCGAAACAAGGTGAACTACCAAGGATATCCAATATGGATGACTGCAAGCATGTGCTGTGGATAATCCAGAGTCTATCGAAAAAGATATTCATAGTCCCTTGTTCTTTTTGATGGTTTTGTTCTAACCCAATGTTTTCAATCGAGCGCTGATTCGAATTGGACTAACTTTGTCAAATCCGAATTGGAAATTCAAGTAGTTGCGAAGAAATTGAGATTTTCAGATTGGCGAATTTTATTGTTCGAAAAATGTCAGGATTCGAAAATGATATAAAAAAAATATCATTTCGAAAAGCCTTTCAACGATTTATTTCTTATCTTTGATGCAAAATGTGATTATAAACTGGTTTTACTATACAGATTCTGGTAATGAAAAAGGTTTATGCAAAAGAGTTAACTTCTTTTAAATTGTTCTGTAGGATATTGAAACATAATTAAAGTTGCTAGTCAGAAACTTTTAGAAATTTTCTGACCTTTGCAAAAGAAGATTGGAAACGATAGCAATTTTTGCGAAAAAAACGCACTCATGAAGAAGACGGGGGGGGAATGGATCGGGAAAATGGGGCAGGATGTAGGTCAGATCTCAGATATTTATAAAGAAACGAGATTATCAAATTCTCAACAAACACACTGATCTTTTTAAATGGGGTTTTTTTTTAATTGTTGTGAGAAGCTGAAAATGATGCTGGAAAATGAACAAAGTTGTCGTGAAGTTTGTCGAACATCGGACTCGACGTCATCTCTACTGTCAAAAATTAATGGGTTTCGCATGAAAATCGAAACCTGTTGAGATGCTTCTTTCTCTCAAACCATTTTCTCTACATGTTTGGTTTTTTCTTGACGTTGCGCATCTCCATCACAAAGAAAGGTGCAGGTCATTGAATGGAGGGGAGGTGGGAGGAAAATTGGAAAACGCGAGGGCGTTGGGACGAAGAAGATGGAGCGAAGGGGGGCATCGAGAATAGTACAGATACGATCCCTCGACGAAATTCGCTGATGACCATCTTCGTTTTTCGACCGACTTGATCTCTATCAAATGTTCGAGACAGGCGACGCACACACTCAAACATACCCGCCTTACAAGGTCAAATTCAATTCAGTCGCCACGAGGATTTGCGAGACCTCAAGTGTTCGGTGAATTTCTATGCTTCATAACATTGTTGTGTACTATGAAATAATTTTAAGAATATGCATTTATCGCGAATAAACGACTGGATTCGAAATCAAAACGCAGGAATCAGATTATGTAAATTTCCCTAATTAAATGCTGGAGTTTCGATCTCCTCAAACACCACACGAAGTTAAGAATTTTGGGAGAAAATTTGAAATGAAGATATTTTATTGAAGAGAAGAGAAAACTTTTACCAAAAACTTGGTTAATTCTCTCCTTTAAAATGTTGCATCTTGACTCCTTCTTTCTTCTTCATTTCATCATCATAGCACCAAGGCCGTTGTTCATTCACAGAACGAAATGTCTTCAGCGGATTTTGAAGGCCGTTCAGACATTCATAAAATATCGAGAACCATTTTAATGTAGATTTTATTATACACAATGGGTGACTAGCTATTTACAATAATATGACTACAAAAGGAACAGTGTACTTGTTACACTGACGAAGCAACAAACAGAAGTGGGAGAACATTTTTTGGGTTGTTGCCTACACGATAAAGACGGGAAAATAAGAAAAATTCGGGTAGAATTTTTTTTAAAGAATGCTGTCGGGAAATACAATCAGATATCGATTTCAAGTTTTGTATTTTGAAGTGCCGGCATTTTCTGCAGTTTTTCGGCCATCTTCGATTTACCATGAACACCTTTCAGGTTGGTGAGAATCAGTCGATCGAGAGCGCTGAAAACAAGACGAAATATTCTTTGAACTAAATTGGAAAACAAGGAATACCTGAAATATTTCAAATGTTCCAATCCGAATTCGGTAATTCTTCGGCAATCGCTTATTTGGAGAACTTTCAAGCGATCTCCAACATGTTGTCCGATGTATTCAATTCCAAAGTCATGCAGATTTTTGCAGCCAATGAAATGCGCGTTTTTGATCGATTTCAGGTTCTCTGAAAGTGTACAGAACTACAAACTACATTATTAGTTTTTTGTGTTGTTGATGTTGGATTATAAACTACAATTTCCAATTAAAAAAAAATACACGATTTCTCATAAGCTGCTGGATAATAATGAGGCATTCATAAAAATTTAACAACAACAAATTTCTAGGGGATAAAATCAAAAGATTAAAAACTGATAAAGTAGAGGGCAAATGCGAAATTGCGGAAAATTGGGCCAAAAAGGCCGCTTAAAAAATTTAAACGAAAAAGAATCTGACAACAATTTTTAAGTCATCCGATAATGCCTAATTATTCTAAATTTGTTTCTAGTTTAATGGAATTTCTTCCTTTTCTGAAAGAATTAGGAATTTTAAGAAAATGAATTGAGATCGAAACCTTGGATGTTAAAATTAATTTTTTTAGGATTCGAGAAACATTGTTAATTTTTAAACATGGAAAATTTTTCTGAACCTACATATTTTTAATAAAGCTTAAATAATTTTACTAAGTGATGAATTGGATTGAAAAAATACCGAAATGTCTGCACCCAAATCCAGTAACACTAGCATTTTCCGCCCAGATCGTTTCAATTGTTACGTTATCAGCAGGAACTCTTGGGTCCAATTGCGCGGTGCGCTTGATCAAAACGTTATAGTCATCGAAGTTATCACCGATTTCAGCGAATTTGACTTTTCCACCACAACGAACAATCCATTCTGCAGCCGCACGTTCAGCGCCAACTTCTTTCACTCGTTGAGTATCATAACTAAGCATCATTAATTAGATAATTATCAAACGACAAAAGAGTTAACTAATTGAATCCTTCTAAAACCCATCGAAGACCCGGAATATTATGCTGACCCAGAGCAACGATAAATTTGTCTTGAAGACGTCGTATTCCCATCATCTATGCAGGTAGTCAAATAAGTTTGACAGGTCGATAAAGAAATTTGTCGGTAATGCCAGTAGCTCGAAACAAGACTGATGAACAATCATTTTATATTGAGATCGTTATTCAATACTCATATACAATTATTGCTTAATCCATATAAGGCTTCGGTGACCAGTCTTTCGGGTGTTCAACACGAGCATCTGGGTTAGCGTTGAGTCTCGGTAAATCACTGCGCAGCATGAATTCGCGCACTTTCCATCGTAGTGATAACCGGCGCATTTCTCCTGGAGCGGGATGACGTTTCCATTCTTCTCTGAGATTTTCGGCATTTTATAAAAACTTTGGAGGCAATTTTCTTTACTTGTATAAGTGAAACCTAGTAACAGGGTCAAACTTATAAGGAGCTCTTCCAGGTTTAGGGTCCAAAACAGGGCGAACACCTGAAATTGAATTGTTAATTCTATTGCGCGGAATTGTTGACATACTTGGATCAATTATAATCGGCTTCACAGGTTGGGTACCCTCCGAATCGCTTGCAGGAATATCAATCTCTTCATCTATAATTTCACAATTCTGTTCGTCTTCTTGTTCTTCATCGTCGGCTGACGACATTGACTGCATAATCTGAAGAAAATTATACTTATTCAGTGTTTGAAAACATATAAAAACTTCAAATGGTTCTGGAGAAGCATTTTTTCCAAATTCTTCTTGAACAGTTTCTTTTTTATCAAACACTTTATGTTTAATTTTATTGAATGTCGATTTGGCGTAATTTTTGATGGACAGAAGCATGGCAAAAAAATGAAAATTATTTACCCGTGAGACATTTTCGGCGTTTCGGCAGGTGTTGTATATCCGACCAATGCTTTTATACGCTTCAGCAATCAGCGTGTTGACTTCGGAATCTGTCTTTTCTTCGTCAGCCTTAAAATTGAATTTAACTGCTGTTTAATATAAAAAATAAAAAGAAAAACCTCGAAATCATCTGGATATTCAACCTCTACAAGTTCTTCATGGTTTCCTCGACGCCTACGATTAACAATCGGAGAAGGACAGTAATCCGACTGTCGGTTGTTTCTGGTTAAAAATAATAATAAATCGAATAAAGCGTACGATTACTGTGTAGAATCTGAATCGATGCATAGTGACGCGAATAATGACTGATTCAAATCATCTTCTTGACCATCCGATGAACTTATACCGTCAAGAATTTTGTCGATTTCTTAAAATTTATCTATATCAAACAATTTAAATAATGAATATACCGTTTTTTAACTTATGAAGTGAAATTGGATCTGTTACATGTTGGCCCATCCGCTCAATAATATCGTAAAGTTCATTTTCGGAATAGTCGCTCGTCATAGGATCTGAATTTGAAAAGTATGAATTTGACAGAAATAATTTGTTCGGTCATGTGAAATACGCAGCTTCCGTTAAAAACCGATCTCGACCTTTTTGCGATGAATAAAAAACGAGAACATGAACAATGATGACGCTGTTCGGTGGAGCGAGTATCCCAACTTGAAGACAATCGCGGAATGACGCGCCTTCACAGTGAAAATCTAGCAAAACCACATCTCGCCTAATTAATTTGTCGACTTTATCCAAATTCTTTTTTAAATATCACTTTATTATTTAAGTTAAAATGGGGGCAATGCGTTTACAACGGAGTGTCGTTTTTTTTTAAATTTTCACGTGAAGCGCGATCGATCGGTTTTAAATATACAATTCATAAAGTTTTTCAGAAACTATAAATTGTACAGTTGTAAATCTTCGGATAAACAACTATGTAATAACTTGAGAAGCTAAAATTACTCAGTAATTCATTAGTTATTTAAATTATTTGTTTTTTATTTTTTAATAATTCTTAATTGCAATTTTAAAGTTTCATTGATGTCAAATTTAAGAGTTAAATGTCATTAAAAACATTTTTATTTTATTTCTTATAATTTTGCCGAAAATAAATAATCGTGACGTTCACATGGCTATTGGGTTTCGCTGAGAAAGAAGTCAGAATGAAATGCTCATAAATCTGTTAAAAAAGTTGTAAACGGTAAGAAACCATCCAAGTGGACGCCACATTATGTCACCTGATTATTCTTTGTTTAAAACAATACATATATATGTCTATTTACAGAGATTCTTTCGTCCATTAGAAAGTTAACACACGCGAAGCTCATGCCTCGTATTAAAAGTGAAAGAGAAAGCATGAAAAGGCAAATTGAGCAACTGTTTGGCGGTGGCGTATCTTCTGCAGAAGAAGATGAAAGCCTTTGTAAGAATATGATCAAAAATTGAAGAAAAAAATGGATGATTTTCAGATACTTCGCCAAAACCAACCATAAAAAGTCCGCAAAAAAGTCTAGAAAGAAAGCCATATCTTTTTTATAAGCTGGTTAAATTGAATGGAGAATATTTAACATCGAGAGGTGTGCATTTTCTAAATATCAAAAAAAAAACATTACGGGAATTTCGAGCTTTCAGATATGGCCGATTTGGTTCAACATTCAGTTTTTGGCTCACTTGTTCAAAAAGCGAAGTGGGTGAACATTTTCCATCATCGAAAACTGCTTCAAACACTTGTAATTAGAGTAGATTGTCCTGTGGAATATATCGTGGGATTTAAGAAATATAGTTAAAATAAAACATATAAAATTTATTAGGAAAGCTCCTCAATGCCATCTATTGACAAGTTTTTCAATCGATCTTGGTTTCAAACCGCTAATAATGTTAATAATCGAAGAGAATTCTGGAAAGAAATGCTTACAGTGCCAGTAAGTATTCAGGAAAGAGTACTAGAGAAGAGCAAGGTATTTCTTTTATTTTCCACGTCCAAAGAAAATTTCGATTCATTTTTAGAACGCCGAAACGAATAAGAGCAATGGAATCTCATATAAATCAGATTTTTTAATGAAAATAGGAGAATTGGCTGAAATGAATTATCCATTTCCCGATGGAGATTCGATCGTACCAACAAAAGAAAAGTTATCAAGTTGCAATAAACGCTTATATCGAATAATTTCGTTTTCATATATTCACCGGTCACCGATTCATCTCCAATGTTCGCGATTGATTGCGAGATGTGCATCACTGAAGTGTCGAATTCCGAGCTAACAAGGATTTCAGTGGTAAATGAAGACGGCGATATTCTTCTCGACACATTGGTAATGCCGAAATCTCGAATAGTTAATTATCTAACGGAATGGTCTGGAATCACACCCGAGCTGATGGAAGGTGTTACTGGTAATTCGTCATTCCATTTTTTTAAGTTGCCAATTATAATTTAGTAACCCTGAAAGACGTCCAAGCTGCTCTTCGTCGCATCTTGCCTCCTGATGCAATTCTTGTTGGGCACTCATTGGAGCACGATCTTCGAGCTCTCAAAATGGCTCATCCTTATTGCATCGACGCTTCAATGTTGTTGAATTATGGCGGACAACGGAAAGAAAGACACAGCCTCAAAAATTTGGCAGAATTGTTTCTTAAAGAGAAAATTCAAATGGGCTACGGTCATTGTTCGTATGAAGACGCCTGGGCAGCAATGAAGTTGGTCAAGTTAAAACTTGATAAAGGGTAACTTTTTAATCGCCCAAAAAAGTGTATATGAAGTAAATTCTTTTTTTTTCAGGTTAATTTTCGGTAACGTCAGCTATGGCTGGGATTATTCGAAATATTTGAAAGATAACGATCGCGAGCATATTCCAGCGAAAAAAAGGCGAACGTCAAAACGTAAGAATTTTAATATTTATTTGAAAAAATTGTTTAAATAATTCATATTTTAGCAAAATCAGTAGTGTTATCGACAAAAAAGATTCCAAAATGTCAAACGTGTGATTCGAGGACAATCGTGAATTGTACTGTTCGAGATTGCGAATGTGTTCGAAGCGCAGGACCGGTGACATGCGCAGTTTGCTATGTCGATAAAAACACTGAAGAAGGAACCATAAATTGGGAGTGAGTTTTTCTCGTTTCACTTTTTTTTTCAAATGAGAGTAAAAAGTTCGTATGAGAAAAAACTCCTAATTTCTACAAATAGCAATTCGTTTCATTCATGATCATTAATCAACCGTAATGGTATTTCGGAGTTTTTCGAAAAAAAAAATTCTCAAAAAAACTGGTTAAATTGGTATTTTCCGCTATCTAATCTACGGCTACGCCTTGTCTGATTTTATTTTTAAGCAATTTAGAGACGCTTTACTTGTCGACGACAAAGCAGACAAAGAGAAACACGTGAAAACTTTCTTGGATGGCGAAAAAGCAAAAACGGTGCTATGCGGATTTCGTTCAAATAGTCTAAAGAAGGAAAGGACGAAAGGGTACTCATTTTAAAATTGAAAATTACGAACGCCTTTAAAATTATTTTTAGAATTATCCACAAACCTCGAAAAAAGCATGAATCGCATGAGGATTATGTGGAACGGATGCTTTCAGAAATCTTGGCGCACAATTTAGCACTTATCGAGATGAACTATGATGAGAAAGAGGTTAAACTAATTGTAAATGAATTGCAAATCGAGAGGTATATATGAATTATATTGACTTACCTTAATTTCTTAATTGATATAATTTCAGTGATAAAGAAATACAAGCGACAATCGCTGAAAAGATGGACACAAATATAGAGAGGCTCATCAACGGAGCCAGCCAGAACTCCCTAATCTTACTGGTCCTTACAAGTCCCGAAAAATCAATCCTTTATATAAATATTAAGTAATAGTTCTCATATTGGTTTATCCTCGTTTACCTTTTTCTTGTTGTTTCTTTTGCTGTTATTACTGCATTGTGAATGCGGGTCAAATAAATTTTTTTTTTTGAAATAAAACATAACAACTGGTAACAAAAATTAACAATAATAACGGATAAGCGAAACCTTGAATCAGCTTTTGTTCTTTTTAGCCTTCTTCTTGAGTTTCTCAAGATCCAAAGGAGCAGCTTCTCGTTTTCTCGTTGCCTTCTCTCGTGGTGCTTCTTCCTTTGCTTGATAAACCTTGAGCTTCTTCTGTTGATTCTCGGCAGATTTGACGACTGACGCCTCAATCTTCGAGCGCTTCTTGTTTAGTTTGCGCTCATTTTCCCGAATAAAGTATTCTCCCGATTCAAGCTGCTTATCAATCTTGAAAAACTCTATTGATCGACATCAAATCTCCAACAATCGTTACCTTGCTAAGAACTGGAGCAGGTGGGTACGGAGTGTATTCGCCCTTCTTCTTTATCTTCATCGCCTTCTTCTTCTTCGCTTCTCTCGTGCTGGCCGCTGCTTGCACCTTCTTTCGATATTTCGGCAAATATGGCTCCCAGTTCGCATCCGCCAAATCTTCTCGTTTTGCCAATTCACGTTTGATCATCATCGTTTTGATATTGTAGATTGGATGAATATTATTCATGCAATCGGTTACAATTTGACTAAATCCATAATTTTTATGGTAAAACTTGTACTACGAAAAACAAACGAGCACCTTGAAAATTCGTGGACCATCGAATTTTTTCGAAACGGTCATTGAAATTTCAATTCCAACAATGGGAATTCGGATACCTACTACAGATAATTTGCTCATCAAACTTAAGGTAAATCTACACAGGGCGCTCGTTTTTTTTCGCAATTGAAATAATTTCTTACTTAATTTGTTTTAATCCAGGAAGGTTGCCTACAGCACACACAGTGCCTCCTTGAACACATACGTAACAATTGGTAAGAAGCTCCAAAGCTTTGAGAGTGGCGCCTTCGTTACCAATGAGACGAGCTCGTCGTTTCACAAAGCGCTCCTAAAAACGTTATTTATGCGTTTGAAAAATATAAAATAGTCTAGCATCATCTCTATTTTGTCAAAAAAGAAAATTTTACAAAAAATGTTGATAAATTTATATACAATAACAAAGCTAATTAAAATAACACCAAATTCACGTGCTTTTGTGATTTCAATTGTTGTTATTTATACAAAATTTAATATTTTAATAACAAATATATAAATAATCGATTTGTTTTGAATGTTACCTTGTTTCTAACCATAGACGAGATTTTCAAGATCTCGCAGAATATCTCGTCTTCGAGTACTCGAATTGCTTGCTCGTAGGGAACACTGCGTGCTAATAATTTGAGAACATCACGAGCCTTCATTATAATATACGGATCCCATGTTTTTCTCGTCGTTTTCACCGTCATTGTGCCTTCAAGAAGATCGAGATCAGCTTTCAAATAGTGCTCCGAAAATGCTTTTTCGATAAGCGGCCACGACTCTCGAATATATTTTTCGCGGTATTTTGGGAAAAGACACGAAAATGAGGATTCTTGAAGAAGACCATGCGGATTATCCTCCTACAATCATATTCTAATATGTAAACCATCATTATATAAGCAAACCTTGCTAAATGTGTTGATATCCCACCATTTCGGGTCCTTATTTGCACCAAATGCTACAGCTGTGCTTTTACGCTCTTTTCTGAATACTGAGAAATTAATATTATTTTTCGCTACTCTACTTACTTTTCGTTATCGTTAGGTGTATCAGCCCAATCCGGGACAAATTCATTTTTTTCTTCAGTCATGCTTCTAAACAACATTTAACGTTATAAAGTAGAATAAAAAACTCTCAAAAAAAGAAATATCACTTGAAATTTTAAAAATTGCGTAAATCCATTTAATTATGCTAAAAACACAATCAACAAATCGTTACGTAGAAACTCGTTTTTGTGAAACGGTGGTTAAAAGTAATATCTCTATCTCTCAAGTATTTTTTCTTCGGCGATTCATATAAACAGACAACTCAATCACGATTCTACTGTACGATTTGCTGAGGATTAAAATGATTTGGAGAGTAAAATAAAGAAAAATTAATTGCAGAATCAAAATATAATAATTATGCGGTGATTGCGAAAAAGTATGCCCGAATTGCAAACAACGCTCCGCCCCAACATTATCTGACGTTCTTTTTTTTTTATTTTTCTGTTGAATAGCTGATTTTGTTTAAATGGAATTTTGAGAAGTAAAAAAATAAGCTGAAAAAACAAGTATTTGTAGTCAACATATTCAAAACATCACAGTTTGAAAAAAATCGATATTGAATTTATTCTATTGCTCCTGAAATATTTAGATAACCTCCTGTGACTGTTTTCGTTAAATTACGTGGCAAAATCTAAATGATATTTTTCAGGCTAATGCAAACCGAAAATGGTGAAGAAGAGGGGAAGGTAATTGAAAAGACTAGCATAAATAATGAAGATGCATCAGAAGCTATCATTTCTGAGTAAGGAAAAATTTAATAACTATTTTTCAAAAGGGATTAATTATCTCATTTAGGAACAAAATTTGTGATGAAAATCTTGAATCTTCTTCATCTTGTTCGTCGTCGTCTTCGAAGGAAAACGCTAAATTATCAGGACCGCCTTCAGCCAGCAGCAAACAGGCTGATGATGATTCTGTTGTTCTATGCCCAGAATGTGGAAGTGCTACGGATTTAAGGCAATTGAAAAAATCTTCTTATAAGGTGAATAAAATGTCTTCCAATAATGCAATAATCTTTGATTTAAGCCTCGTCGTCGTTCACAGGTTGTTTGGATTTATAGAGCTCTGTGCTCAAATATTTCTTGCGGGACATGGACGGGACCGTATAGGCGATTTGAGAATTCGTCATTTATTGATGTCGATGAAGGTTTGTCCATTTTTAGTCGGAAAGTTTACATTTCTCAACAGATGGTAGACCTCTCAATGAGAATAATAAGAATTCCGATGTGCCTGAGACTTCAGAAGTAGGGGAAGAAGATACTAATGTTCCAATAGAAGAAAAATCAGAAACGAATTTGGAAGAAATAATCTTCTCTGATACAGATAAATCGGAGTCATCAAATAGTAGGGAAAACGATTTTTAAAATCATTACATTCCAAAATTTGAAGAACGTCCGCCAATGAGAACACGGAAAAAACCTTTTATTGAATCGAAATCGTCGACGCAGAAATCCAAACAGCCCAAATGTAAAACGCCAGTAAAAAATAGCGAAACAAATCGGGGTGAAACTTCAAAAAAAGATCAAAAGCGGCTTGCGATTGATGTAAGTGTACTAATAGTTTCACTAATCAAAAATTTTCATTTTTTCAGACAGTAGCTTCAAGACTTCGAAAATCTGTTGAAGAAATGGGTGATTGTGGTTCAAAGAAGAGTAAATTGATCGAAAAATCGCCACCTAAAAATGCCAAATCAAAAAGCAAGTTTCTCTTTCAAAAAAAATTGTTTTTTAATTGTTGATTAAAGAAATTCGAGTTCCCCGAATTTTGTTAAATAAAAAAGAAAAAAAAGTTGCTTCAATGAACCTAACTTATGTTTTAAGGAGGAGCATCTGTAACAGAAGTTCGAAAAAGGAAGTTAGGCAATGAGCCTATTGCTGTCCAAATTATACAACAACAAGTTGTTCAAGTGCCAAAGAATACATCGATTGCTGAAACTCAGACTGAGAGTCGCGAATTTGTCACATCCGCTTTAATACGGGAGGTCATCGACAAAGAATTATTGATTGATTTTTTCGACAACGAAGACTTGATGCTCAATGCCACCCCGTTAAAGCTTAAAAAACAGATATTCATCGCCAAATCTATAATGGAAAATCAGAAACGGGAAATTCAAATGTTAAAAGAAAATCAGAACAAATATCGAGAAGTAACCAAAAAATTTTCGGAGGCGAATAGAGCATTGCGGTTGGTTCGTTGAACTAGATTTTCAGAAATAGAATTTTTAAGGATGACATACAATGATCAACTGGGACGCTTAAAAGATGATATTAACGAGTTACGTGAAGAATTTAGCGCGCACCATCTTGAAGTGATTTCCGAGACAAAAAAGAACAAAATGAAATTTGAGGTTTCATCTAAATTATTCCTTTTTTTTTACAAAAAAAAACGTTTGGTTTAGAAGGAAAAGGAACTTTTGCGACAACGTTATGATGATTTGGAACTGAAAAATCAAAAATTGGAAGCTGATTTGGAATATCGCGACAAATTGGTTGAATATGAACGAGCAAGAGCCGAATTTTTCTTAAGGCAGAAAGATATTTTCGAGCAGGTAAATAAATGTGAAAGATTTCGTTATATTAGGAAAAATTTCGAAAAAGTTTTTTTTTTGGGAGGCATAAAATCGAGAAATAATAACATTTTCTGGATGACTCATATGATATGACCGTGGCCGTCTAACATTTTTTGCGAGACGGTCATCAGGAATAAAAAAAATTAAAAAAATGCATCGATAATTTTTTGATCAATTGTTATAGAGGCAAAATGCTGCGAAAGAGTATGCAGAGGAGATGAAAGCCAAAATGGAAGACAAACTTTACATTAGTAATAGAAGACGACAATCATTATTTAGTTAATTATATGAATTTGAGAGAATAATGAAATGTGCACAAAATGCCAATGTGTGGAGAAATCTCGCAAAAAGTTGGCGGCGGAAATGGCAGCGATGACACTTTCCTTGGAGCAAGCAATTCGAGAGAAAAATGAGGTATTGTCTTGATAGTTTTACAATTGAAATAATGTTGTATTAAGAGCATTGAGAGACGCGAAAAAGCTGAACGAGTATCCCAAATTCTTGGCCAAGAAGTGGATAAAAACTCGTACGAAATGCGAACTTGGAAAGCACAAGCCGAAAAGTTTAAAAAAGAATGTGCGAGCCTCACTCAGACTATTAAAGGTTTGAAAATATTGTCGAGCATCTGATTATTACTAATTCAATGACATTTAGAAATGAAAGATGCAAAAATGAAAGCTTCTCAGAATATAATGAAGGCCGATTTTATGCCGAGAACACCCGGCGGAACTCCTGAAACTGCAATTCGGACACCAGTATCGGAAGTAATGAAAGGAACACCTAAAGTATGTGGAATAGAAATTACGATTGGCAACAATAATGTGTTTTTAGAGCGTCTCTTGTACCCCAAGCACTGCAGAAATTGAGCGCGAAACTCCGGAAGATAGTGAAATAGTTGAGAACACTTCATCTCCACGTGTATTGAATGGATTGAAGGCTAAATTGAATTTGAAATCACCGAAGCCGTATGAGTTAATACTTCCGAAACCACCAGAACCACCAGCTCCGATTGCTGAAGGATTTGCCTCGTGGATTCCGAAGGAGAAACTATCCGCTCCTGCTCCGCTTTTGAATGCGTTTGGACTTCCGATTGAGATGGAGAAACCTGAGCCGAAACAAGAAACACCAGTGATTCCTCCATCTCAGGTGCCGGCGCCATGGGAGAAGACCAACAATATCAATCCGAAGGGCTCGTCCGCTTTGGCGTTGGCAGCAGCGAGAGTTGAAGCAGCCGACTTTTTGGGAGGATCGACTCTTCCGAAAGCGAGAAGTCGAGCGCTTGAAGAGGTGCGAAATCGGGAGGATTCGACAGGAGGCGAAACAATGAGCAAGGTTTTGACAACACAAATATGATCAAATGAAAGGTGTTTAATCATTGAAATTAAGAGAGCCAAAAAGCGAGAACGAAAGGAGATAATGGCAAAAATGCGGGCTGTGCCTGAGATGAAATTTATTGAATCTGCGTCATCGTCACCTGTGCAAAAACGTAAAAATTTGTTCGAGAAAAAAGTCGTAATGAGAAATAGTATGGAGCTAATGCAAATTGTATAGATAATAATTTCGATTATTACATAGGTCCTGTACAATCTTCGCCTTCAGTTCCTCCTCTATACGGTGAATCAATGAAAAAGATCCCGAAAAAGTCGTCTGCTCCAACACCAGCAACGAACAGCGATGATGAACCTGGTACTCCTAATGAGATTCCTGGTCTTTCGCTTTTAAAGCCATCATTACGAGAAGGTGATATTTGCTAGATTTCTCTTTTTACATTCATATTCTTCCAGAAGATGCTGGCCCTTCTTTTTCTCCGTCTGCTTCGACTTTTCAAGAAGTATCATCGATACCAGCTCGTTCTAGAAATAGTTCGACGAGTTCGACGAAACCTCCACTGCGTCCAGCAGAAATTCGAGGAAATCCATTCGGAATTCAGCCGGCAGTTCGAAAACTCAGTCCGTTACGTGTGACACCGGAAATGACACGGCATCACTCAGAAAACCCTCGACCTGCTCCGTTTATCGATCGACGTGGCCCAACGTCAAATTGCACCGAATGGACTGATTCTCGTCCACTGCCGCCGGATCGAAGTTTCTCCTATTTACCATGGCATCGGACTTCTCCTGCGAATCATCAGCCGCCAAGACAACAATATGAATCACCATTCGGGATTGTGACATATAAGAATGATGGTTGGTATTTTTTTAATGATTTGGATTAAGCAGGCACCGATGTTGATTGTAATCTTACAGATTCGTGGGGACGACCTTTTCCGGTGCCCGAATCACACCGGCGAGACGAATCTTGGAATCGGTCATCATCTGTTAGCTTTTTTTCAAGACCTTCAGAGCAGCCACAGGACCCTCGATTTGGACCGAAGCGTTCATTTTGGGAATAATATGTGCCTTTTTTAATAAAATGTAATTATATATATATATATACATAATATAATATATATTATATATGTTATAGGTTTCATCTTTCCATCCTTTAACTTTTGTCATGCACGAATACCCAAGAACAATATTTGATTTGTGATTATAATAGAATCCAACCTAGATTTTAATCATTCAACAATGATCTCAATTTTTCTTTCATTGTATTACTAATTTTGATAATTATTTTTGTTATTGAGATTAATTAAAAAAATTTGTCTGAACTGTAAATAATTATAAAATTGCAGAAGTTTTTTGAAAAATATCGGCGCTATACCAATTTTGGTTGATATGTTTATTAAGAGTGTTTCTTACTCAAGTAATAAATCATAATAAGTATGTTTCGAAGAATAATTTAGAGTTCTTCTTTTGATGCTCTGATTAATTTGTCGAGTTGAAGATCAAAGTGGAGATTGGCGTTTGGTGGGATTCTTGGTGGACGCCCCTTCTCACCATAGGCTGTAAAAATAATTCGTTTGATTTGGAATTAACTTTTAGTATATACCAAGCTCTGGTGGGATGATAACCTTTCTTCGTTCTCCTTGACACATTCCAGCCATAGCAATATCCATTCCAGGAATCACCTACAACTTTTTTTTGGAAAAAATGAAATCTCTCTCTCTCTCTTCTAGAAATAACACAAGAAAGGTATCAAACGACTGATCGAAATTCAGAAAATTGATTTTCCTTGGCCATTTTCAATTTTTTGATAACTCAAAACCAATGGGATCCGAATTAGACAAGGGGATCTGATTGATTCTGGAGCCAAATTTTGTCGGATCCGATTGGTTTTGAGTTTTGAGAGGTTTAAGGAATTTCGACTGAAAAAATGAAAAAAAAACGGTAGAATGAAATGCGAGTTGACGTTTATAAATATCTCACCTGTCCTGTTCCCATTTTGAAAATGAATGGGCGATTTCTACTCCAGCTTGAATCGACGAAAGTTCCGTCTTCGAGTGTCAGTGTATATTGTTGGTGGAGAGTGTCACCAGCTTCAGCTTTGACCTCACAATCTTTAATTTCATGGGTCACCTTAAAATTATCAATTAAGTGTGCAAATTAAAAGATCGGAATACATGGATGTGGACGCCCTCCTCCGTGATCCATTTGTCTCCCGGTTGAGGTCGAAAAATGCTTTTAAGCTCAACGAAATAATACAAAGTATCTCCAGTCTAAATTTTCTTATAAAATAAAAAGAAAAAGCATTGAAATTAATGTACCCCTTCAACTTCCTCACCGTCGTCATCGAATCCTTGCTCTGGTGGAATCACAACTTTTCTCTGTTCACCAACGCACATTCCTTCCATCGCAATATCCATTCCATGAATAACTTCGCCATGGCCAAGAGTGAACGTAAATCTAAACAAATTTCATCATATTCTGAATTGAATTTAAAAAAATAAGTTTTTGGCTAGTTTTTGCAGATTTATTTTTCTAAAACTAACGGTTTTTGTCCAAAATTGCTTCCAATCACTTTTCCTTCTTTATTAGTGAGCTTGTAGAATTGCTCAAGCTGATCGCCACTTTGACTTTTAATTTTGCATTTTGAATCTAAACATTCTTCATAAAATATTGTCCATTGAATACGCACCAACCTCCAATTTTCTTAATAATTTCAATTTTGATGCCTTCGTCTGTTGTCCACGAACGGTCGCTGCCCGCCGCGTGACACACGGCGGCAATTGCTAACAGAATACAGCAAATCTTCATACTATGCCTAATTTGGTCGGTTTAGCTACTGAAATACGCATATATTCGGGTGAGAGTATCAACTTCTTTCAATAGTTTTCATTTTAAAACGTTACAACTGTTTAAAAAAACAAAGAAAAATAAGGAAACACGTGGAAGTGATTGAGAATGTAGAAGAAAAGAGGAAGATGGTGAGATGTCCTCCTTTGCGGTATCCAGTTTTGACCCGATCGCCGCAAATACTATTCGATGACGAGAGACTTTCTATAGCTATTATATGTATGCAGTTCTAACCTTTATCTCCGGCATCTCAACTTATCAACAAGACCAACGGACCATCCAAATTTTCATAGAACAATTTGAACATGTTTGAAGTTCTTCTTGTCACATTGAAAGCCGCATTTCAATTGTGCTGATTTGTTGTACCATTGTATTTTTTCATAGAAACGCTTGTAACCGATTTCTCTAACGTCCAATCCATTTTTTAAGTTGTTAATTTTCATCCCGTTAATCTTAAGGAAATTATAACCAAAGCCTTTCCTTCCCAGCAACGAAATAGAAGAGATTTGAGGTGAACTCGAATACTTCGATTCTTGCTAAAAAAAGACTTTAATTCCTTCCATCATATGGTTAATCATTATTTGATTTAGGAGACGAGACAGGCAGGCTATATACCACACATAGAATATGATAAATGTGTCAGTCTCCGACAATAATTCGATAGACTTTTTATTTTTTACCAAAGCACTACAAATACCAGCATAATTATAATATTTTCACCGGTAGAAATTTTTACAATTTAGCGAGTTCTAAGGCTCTGAGATATTGAAACATTCATGACAACTGTCGTGTTTTTTTGCGCAATCGCTTCCTTGATTCGCTTGTAGTTCAATATATACATTACTCCTCTGAAAAACTTGAAATCCATTATTTGGAATACAAAATTAAATCACCCATCAAGTAGATGAATAAATAACAATGATCCTGTTCCACAATAAAATGCCCAAAGATAGAAGGGAAATATATCATAGAATATATATGCACATGAAATATCGACGAGATGCATGTTGTCTTGGATTAAACACTGAAAAATAAATTATAAAAAAAAAAGTGATATACCTGTATTATCATAATTCGCGTTTTCTTTCGTTGACTTTTTGACATTGATTGCGACAAATTTGGATTTTTCTGGAACATTTTCTCATTATTTTTTAGCATCCACAGCGCATGCTTCTCACATTTTGCTGAATAATTCTATAAGAGCTACAAATATTCAAACCGATGTTGAGAAATGAAAAGAAAAAAACAAAATACATAATGGTTGGTCCAATAATAACTCCGCATTCAGTTTCCATCGGTATCCAAATGAACAAATAAAGGTCAAACAACAAAGCACATCCAGCTGAAATTAGAATTCGCTTGATTTGATTGCTAATTAGTTGCCTATATTCGAAATTGTTCAACTTCTCAAGTAACAATTCTAACGGTTCATTTTATTGAAATATTACTATAAAAGTCTTACGCAAGAATGAAACCATTGATGTAATCGTCACAAAAATCCACGTAACGAGTATAATTGCCTAAAGATTCCATAAAATGCATTTGGTGAATAATGAGACAATAAAAACCAGTGATCGTTCGAGTTGTGATTTGAATTTGGTTGGAGCGAACACAGCAATGCATCTATTTACGGATAAACATAATTGCGTTAATGGTCCTGAACAAAAATTGAAGGAGAATTTTTTTCGATTATTTATTGATTGATTACCAACAAAATAGATAATGAAACCTACAGTTAAACCAGCAAGAACTTGAAAAAAGTGAGGCAGAAAATATTTGGACCTGAAATAATTGAAAAAAAAAACTCCATTTTGTAGCCAATTTCTATTTTAGCATAATTAACGCGATGATTTCATTTTCATCTCGCAATAGTTGTACTATAATTTGGCATATTATCTCACAAAACAATTGCGGATCCTTCCGATTGAACTCGAATTGACGATCGAGCTATATTGGCTACTGATTCAAAATGAAACATCTGCTGGGTTCATTGATCAATTAATTCTAAAATAATCCGTAGAAAAACAACAAAATAATCAGAATTGGTAAAATAATCACGAGAAAACAAACAAAAGGTGTTCTTATATACTCATTTTTAAGTCGTATTTGAAATTTTCTCATTTAAACGGGGCAGAAAATGAGAGAATGTATGTATATGGATAACAGGGGCTCAAACAATCGATTTAGGTGAATTCAAAACTGGAATTTCTGAAATTCTGAGAAGCTGTGAATTTCAATTCCACTTTTGAATTTAAGCTATCATTTTTTTACATTCTCAAAAAAAAAACAAAAAAAAACTTACATCAACATAACGGGTACCACGTAGAAAACATAAACGACGCAAGCAGTCAAATTACAGATTGCTTTTGAAATACAAAATTTGTAAAAACCCGACTGGGATTTGTGTAAGAGAACGAAGCTTTGAACAATGGAAACATTGAAATACATTCCTCCGAGACCCAACTGAAAATTATTAACTCGAGAATAACGTGATAAACTCGAGAACAAATCAATTACCATAAGAAGTACGAATGCTAGGACGGTTTTCTCATTTTCGCTGGGCCCGAATTTATCAGGTTCGCTCGAGTTCATGAAAATAATGAAGAAGTTGGGTGAAATTTCGTTAGCCAACGAATTCACCTGTCTCTCCTTGTCATATACAAATTATGGGTAGCAATAAAACATTATGATTATTCTAGAAAATGTTTCAAAAAATTAATTAATTCTGAAGTATTATACAAGATCAATATATTATCGAATTGCACGAAAACCAAGTGGTAAAAGGCGAATTGTTCTCATCACCAGGAAAAAACAAAAATAATCATGAATTGCCCCGCTGACTGGGTCAATTTAGGAAAGATTGGTTTGTGATCGTTTATGATTGAAATTTAATCATTTTCAACTGGATTTAGAATAAAATCAAAACATGTAGTTTTATATTAAAGACGTGTAAAAAAAAATTTAAGATCGTGAAGAGATTAAAAATAGTACTCATCATTTAAATTTGTAAAACGGTTAGACCCGGATTTTCGAACTTTGAACAATGTGTATTTAGTAAAAAAAAATATATGTATTATGGTAAAAAGCTTCAATTTTAATTCGATTGTTTCAAAAGTTTTCTGAACGAATTGATGTATCTAATTATATAAAACGATTCTGGAAATTTTGCAACAAAAATTTTGAAATTTTTGAAAAGTTCTCAATAGCGCCTCAGTAAATAATTCAACGGCGTCGATGGTCTTTTTTTAAGGTAATTATTTTTTAAATTCTATATTTGATTTAAAAAAAATGTCCTTTAACGGTATCTATTTTTTATCGGTCACATACTCACACTCCTGAATTCATTTTGAAATCGTTGGCTTATATTTTCTTGTATATGCAAATAATCGATTGGATGTCAGATCGTGCTTGCAAAATTATTCTATTGTTTTTGTCAAATACTTATCGTATAGCAATTGTATTTTCTTTCCTAGCGTAAATTTTAATTTCCGCGCAAGGGTATTTTAGTTAATTTCCGCGCAACATGTCATAAATAGTGTTCTATTAAACCAGCTCGTTGATTTCGATGAACAACATCATTGCGTACGGTGGAATTACCACAATTCCTCTTTACAATTGCAGGTATTTCAATAAGTTTCGAAAAACACTCTGAATAAATTAGCCGGTTTTCACCTGCCGAATGGTCCCTTCGCGATGGAATGAAACGGCCAATTCTTGGATCAATTAGTATGATCTACGGGATTGTGACAATCGTGAGTTTTCTAAAATGTATACTTTATCGAAATGATTAAGTAATTTTAGGTAATTTATTTTCCTGTTAAATTAGCGCTAATTGACAAGGATTATTGCCATATATCATGCTTCAAGATAATGGCATTTCTAGCAATTATCGACGATTTGTCTCTAGGTTATTATTATTTTTCAAATTTTATTTTTCAAAATTAAACACAGTTGTAAACTCGATTATCACGGGATATCTTTCGATAGAAGGAGCTGTGTTCTGCACCCATCCTGTATTGATATATATTGCGGGAATGTTCGGACTCGGTCTTTGGGGTTGTTGCTGCATTACCGTTCTCATACTTGTGCTGAATCGGATAATCGATCTCACCAATTCATACCTTATCGTTCTTCTATTCAAAGGGTAAATCTTAGAACTACTCAAAGAACAAAACGCGAAATAAAATTGAAATATTTATATTCAAATATTGAGCTATCGCACATTCGTATGGCTAATTATTCCAATAACGTATGGATGTTATTTCATTGCCTTCACAAAACCGATTGCATTTTCTTCAAAATACTTCACATGGTTTTTCAATCCGATGATAATGGAAGGGAGTGACACCGATGTTGATAGATTCAATTTTAGACCTCATATCCCCTTGTTTCAGTACATCAATTTTGCTCACACCGCAAATAATTTGTTCGTTGTCGCAATCACTAATGTCACGTATATCGTGTTCTGTTTTGTCGTCAATACGAAGATGAACGAAATGTCGAGGCAATCGCGTTCGAAATTATTGGTATGACAATCGAATTTTTGATAGAAATTGTATTACATTATTATAATTCTTATTTTCATTCGCAAAAAAGAAGCCCTGGTGTCGATTTACGGCGAGTTTGATTCGCAAATTATCCGTAGTAGGGTACTCGAATTCCGACTGTTGAAATCGAAATTCTAATGAGTGCCCCGAAAAAAATAGAATGGTCCAAAATTAGTCAATTTGTTTGCCTGTTTTTTGCGTTTGTAATAATAGTAAAAGATAATTATTAATTTTGAACAAGAGAGTAAAAATATTACTCTATTCTGCGAACTGAAAGAATGTCCTTTTTTGTTTTTTTTTTTCAATTTAAAATTTAAAAATATACATGTTTTTCAATTCACAAAATATGTACATACAGTACTGGCCATAATGATGTTCGCCTAGTGTTTTTTGAGCATAACTTGGCTCAAACGCAGCCGATTTGGCTGAAATTTTTACTGTAAACGCTAAACACAGTTGCGCAACTTTGGAAACATTAAAACTGCCTCATGTTGAAAAATTAATTTTTTTAAAATTTTTTTTGTTTTTTTCGATTTTACCAATTTTTCATTTTTTTCAAACTTTGTCCATAAATTTTTTTTATTTGAAATTTGAACCTGAAACATGTTTTTAGTAATTTTTCAACCTTCAGGAAAGAAAAATTTCACGGCAGACGTTCAAAAAGCCATCGTTAATGGTCATAAGACTGGGTCGTCCAGAAGCCTTCTGGCTCAGCAGTTCCTGTGCTCCCGAAGAGGAATCCAAAAAGTTTTGCAACGATTAAGACAAAATGTACGATTTTTTAATCATTCTGGACTATTTCTAATCTATTGGGCTGCATTTTTGTTAAGAAATCACATGGTAGACCTTACAAAACAACTAGGCTCCAAGATCGGAACATCTGTCGTGCTTCAAGAGAAGATCCTAGACGGACTTCAGCAGATATCCAGATGCTTGTGGCAACGCCAAATTCTTCAATTCCATCCAGAAGAACAATTCGACGTCGTTTGTTGGAGAATGGACTTCATGGAAGACGCCCGGTGAAGAAACCATTGATCAGTGAGAAGAACCAAAAGACGAGGGTGGCATGGTGCAAGGATCATCTGAACTGGGGACGATGTGAATGGGCCAAATACATTTATAGCGATGAATCGAGGTTCGACTTGTTCGGAAGTGATGAAATCAAGTGGATTCGACGACCTATCGGAGCCAGATTCATGCCAAAGTACCACCTCCGAACGGTGAAGCATCTTGCAGGGTCTGGAGCTGCTTCTCCGACACCGCCATGGGACCGCTCCGACGTGTAAATGGAATCATGGATCGGTACCAGTACAAGGATATCCTGGTAACCACAATGAGACCTTGGGCATTAGCAAACGTCGGACGTGCATTCGTTTTCCAGCAAGACAACGACCCTGAGCGCATGTCTGGACATGTAAAGAATTGGTTCCAACGTCGCCGAGTTGATGTTCTTGCGTGGCCATCACAGATTTCTGACCATAATTCGATCGAACATCTCTGGGAAGAACTAGTACGCATGGTTAGAGGGCTCCGAGCATCAATCGCCGACGAGAAGTTCGATCAACTCGAAGCCGCATGGAGTGCCATTCCGATGCAGTGATCCGCACCCTCTTGGACTCGATGCCTCGCAGATGCCAAGCGGTTATTGATGCCAGGGGATACGCAAACAAGTATTGATGAATTAAAAACCGGTTTTCTACACATTTGTAATGTTTTCGGGTTTCTGAGACTTTCAAATCACATTGTGTCATTTTTTCCATTTTCTGCATTTTTATGAAATTTGTGATTTTTCGAAAAAAAAACTTTCCTGCAGTATGCGATATCATTCAAACGCATTTTCAACGCGTTTTAAAGATATGGTAAAAATTTCAGCCCGATCGGCTGCGTTTGAGCCAAGTTATGCTCAAAAAACACTAGGCGAACATCATTATGGCCAGTACTGTAGATCTAATAGATGTATTCTTAATTTTCCATGTTCAGTCTCGCCAAATTTACACACAATCAACACTGATTTGTCTAGTGAATCAAGTGGCATCAGCAATTTATGTCGTAATGAATTATATGGAATTACCACAATGGGTTACCACTTTGGGCCATATTTTATGGCAAATATCACATGGTAAATCCATTATTCTAGAGTTTTATTTTCCAATTTTCAGGATGCCCAGTATTTATCTATCTGACAATGAACATGACGATACGGAAAACTGCATTGAAAAAAATTGGCGTCTCAGTAGGGCATTCAACATTATTTCTTCTTAAAATTCGAGATTTATTCGTTCAGAGACTTCATTCGATATTCAGTAGTTACGAAGAAACTATTTATACATTCTCATCGTTTCGATAATTTTATTGAATGCGTTTTTTTTCCGAAATAAATCAACTACTTCAAATTAGGAAACAGTTTCTGTTGATGCTCTACGATTGACATCGGCTCGAGTTTAGGCCAGAAGCCGCGGGCATCACCAACGGATACCGATTCATTTGCATGGAGCTTCGGATTCTTATTAGACGAGTGACGATTCCTGAATATCAATTGAAATTTTGCAAAAAAAACCACCGTATCAAATGTTCTCACCTACTACGACGACTTGAAAATTGTTTTCCGCAACCTGCGATTGTGCAAATGTGCATTTCGCGCAGGTGCACCGCTGATGTGTGGATCTTCAGAGCACCCTTGTCGCAGAATGTTTTGCCGCACGATTCGCACACTACGCGTCGCTTCATTTTGATTAGATCGGCAGACTCAATTGATTATAATTAATATTGAAATTTCAAATATTCTTGCTACCTCACAATTGTCCGCTTCATATTTTGGCGCCTTCTTTGCTCTTGGCACCGAATTTTCTCTGGCGGCTTTCCTGAAACGAAACCTTAAAGTGATTTCAATATTTCAGTGAATTCCATGTCAAGTATTCTAAAATGAGGGATCCAGGTACTATTTTTCAATAGGAATTTTAGATGTCAAACACACACCGTTTTTTGATATTGCACGTTTGAGGTTGAGCCATTGAAGACGTCGAAACTGGAATAGGTTCTTGTTTCGCAATCGGCTGGAATTGAGCTGCTTTCGAGATGTTCTGGAATGTCAGCCTGAACACGATCGACGTTCAGATGCGATCAGATTGAATGACTTGCCACGATGTGTAGATGATATGAGGCATTGTGATGAATAAAGGTGGGAATCTCGAATTCATTATGTTTAGCGGATCCATCGCATTCTAATCGACGAAACGAAATATCGATGGTGGCAGAATGTCAGCGAGAAAATGGGCGTGGTGGTGTGTTTCTTTTCATCGCCTCATTTGCAAGAGACAAAAACTCGGAGACGCTCATCCCGCAGGGATTGCCGGCTCTCGGGCTCCGCGCGCCGCCCCTCCACAAAAAAAGCGACATGAACGGATGTGACTTGTGGAATGCTCGGGACACATGACCCCCTCGGGGGACACATTTGCCACTTCGCTTGTCGACACCCGGCAACCAGCCATGATTTTGAGTTATGATTTCGAAGTGGCGATGGCTTGACAAACCGCCACCGCCACTTGTTCCGATCTTGAATATTGCGCTCGATGGATTTGAACGAAGAAAAAGTGCAAATTTTGGCGGACAAAAATCGCCAAGATAATATTTAACTTAGATGAAATATGAGAAATGCCGTCGCAGCATTCCTAATTGCCCACAACTATAATTTTTCAAAGTTCACGTTTAATCAAATTCTATTCTTGAGTCGACATTTTGACATATCAGAATAATCAGAATAACAAACAACTTAAAACCTTTGAGACCAAATATTTTCAAAAAATAAATTATTCAAAATTTGGGTCTCGCTTCGATTCAAATTTTTAACTATTCGTGATGAGAAAAACCGTTTCATCTGTCATTTTTCTCTTCAAACCTCTTAGGCGAATTCCCAAAGATCGCCTTTTTCCATCCCATTTTTTGATAATTGCAATTAAAATTTGCTGCTCAACGAATCACATGTCTGCCGTTTCTAGGAAACATTAACTTGATTAATTCAATTGTTTTTCGAACACCAATAATGACAATTTCGGTTGGTTGTTAGTGTTTCGGTTCGTCGAAAATCTCGTCGAAATCGTTGAGGAAACACAAGGAGAAGATGAGATGACAAGTGGCAAACGACGTGCTGAATAATCCGCCTTCCATTTTTCTGCCTCGGGTCGTCGTCGCCGCCGTCGCCGTTATTCCCGATGGACCGCCTAACACCAAAAAAAAATACGGTGGCTCGAATGAGTGCGCAAAATGTTTGGTGATATCGGGCTAATCGACGCGAAGGCGGGGGGCCCATTTGTCAACCGTCCGGAAATTAGACTCCGTTTTCTAATTAGCGCCTTTGATTTGCTTCGTCTAAATAACTAATTGTGCTCGAGTACAGCAAGGGACTTCTCAAATTGTTTATCATTTCAGCTTCCAAATGATTTGTGATTTAATTGGGACGAGGTTATGCCTTCATTATTTTTCTCGCCACTCAAGGGAATTCATCAAGTGCATTTGATTATTCGTTGACGTTTTTTGACGATCACAAACGGGGGATTTTGAGAAGTAACTTGATGGGAGATTTGGAAACAAATGTGAATGATGCATGCTAATAAATTTCAATTGAATCGAAAGAGATTCTATTGCTTGTTGACACAGGATCCCATCTTCTTAATCTTATCGCTAGAAGTTCATTGGCCCCAGACGCACGCAAGAAAGAATTCACATAACAACGAAGAAATTTGAACTACACGGGCTGGCATTTAATTGGTTCAAAAAAAGCTCTCAGGGTACATAAAATTCATTTATGGTCTTTTTCATGTAATGTTTCTTTTCGTTCCAAAAAAATGTTAAAAAAATACATTAAATGTATATATATTGAATTTTTTCTATTTTTTTTAATTGCATGAATATTGTTAGCGCCAAACGACTGAAAAGAGGCGGAGCCTTAAAATTCTCGAAATCAGTGTAGATTTAAATTAATCGTTGACTGAATATTTAATGCGCGTACGCTATAATGCAATGTACGCAATCTCGCTGCCTCGAGACGAATTGGCACATAGCCAGTCGTTTGACTGCGACGGTATGTCAATTAAACAATTATGCTGTTTAGCAATATGATTGCGGAAACTGCAAATCTTGCTCCTATTCAGGGATGAAACCGGGAACTCACGATGGATTGCTTTCGTCTAGTGGTTGAGGCAAATTAGAACCAAATACCATATGAACAGTTTTTGGAAAATCAATAAAATTTCTAACTTTTATCAATATTCATGCTTTTACCTGATATTCTTTTTCATTCATATATGCACATTCATACCGATTTTGACGTGTTCGCAAAAATTTCTTTTTCGATTTATATTTCACATGTCACACAAAAAACCTGGCTAGGCACACTTTAAAAAAAAGAAGTAGAGAATATAAATTTGAGAATGATTTTGTTTTAATTTGGTTAAAATTGAAGAGTCGAATTCGCCGCAACTACGAAAAATTGGCTAGATGCCAAAAGTAGAAAAAAGAAATAAGAATAGAGTTGATTTGAGGATTTAGGTATGGATTTGCCTAAGTAAAGAGAAGTTTAAAATTATTTGCTTAAAATTTTTCGGCGTTTAGCCAATGTTCCGCAAAAATATTTTAAAATGAAAATAATGATTGACATAAAAGTTATTGAATGAAATGATTGGATGAGGTGCGGAAGTTCATAAAATTTAATTCACTCACTTCAGGTCAGGCCCCGCATCAGACATCATTTCCAATCCTCCACATTTCTCCAAGGTTTTCTGAAGTAGCCAAGTTCTCCAAACAAGCCAGTTGTCTTTTCATATATTCGTTGAACTCGTCATCATTTGAGGAGGCCGAAAACCCCGCAGTTGAGTTTTGATTCGACAACCTCTGATGAATATGAATACGTTCGACGATTAATTATTATGATCATGCAAGACGGAAGCTGTCGAAAACATTTTATGAGAAATTACCAACCAATTTGTCTTCTATTGGTCTCGCAGCGAATTTATTATATTCTATTTATCAATGTTGATATTTTTCGAATTTAATTGAGATTTTGAGCATTCGGCGAGAGCGTACACGAGTATTTTTGAAAATAATTAAATTTTCAAGTTTTTTTTTTAGTTTTTTTTTTCGCGAAAAGACATTTTCAAAAGTTTTTTTTCGTAAAATATTTATATATTTTTATTTTTACTGTTGTCCTTTCAATTCACAAAACCCACAAAATCCGTTTTTTTTTCGCAAGAATTGTTTTGTTCAAAATTGGCCATCAATCATACGGACTCGATATGTTTCATTAATCTACAATTATTTTGTGCAATTTTTACGGATATGTGCGTTGGCTGTTCTGCAAAAGAAAAAAACCACGAAAAAAAGGAAACAAAATGCACTTTGATTCGATTTGCTCTATTCTTTTTTCCGATGTCAATTCGACGTTTATCTTAAGCGATTCATTAAATATTCTAATTAGGAATGTCTCAAACAACATTTTTTTTGACTATCTGGAGTAGATCAGCAATTTTACCTAGACATTGATTAATTTTAGTAGAATTGGGTGAATAAAATTAGAAAAGGAATAAGAATCATTAATAATTTCTCAGTTTTCTGCTAGACTCATTTTGTCAAAATCGTGAGTCGTGAAAAATATGCTTATTTTGCATATCTCTTCAATTCTTTTCGACATTTAATACTAAACGTGGTCAAAAAATGATTATTTTTAACATTTCACATTTGATTTTTACATTTTTAGATTTCATAATTTTTTTGCTGTTATTGTTTAAAATTGAACCCTTTCTTTTCATGAGATACAATTTCTAAAGTTGATGTAAATTTGAGATTTGAGAAAAACCACTGATTTTAGACAAGCCACTCAAGTCCTTTAAAATTATTCAAGGTCTATAATGATTTTTATTTTTATTGTATTTCAATTACAATTTGTTTCTCATTTGTGCATTTATTTTTCAAAATTTCAGGCTATAAAGAACGACTTTCTTATTTTTTTTTCAATCGTGTGTGTGTGTATTCATTATCATTAATGGACCTATTCATACCATAAAAATGTTTTCAAAATATCACATTTTTACAATGCAAAGGTTTAAAAATATTGCAAATTTAATGTAATTATTAACATTGTTTTTGTAAAAAAAATTTCATTAATTTGTCCACAACAATATGAATGTGTAAATTCACAAAAAAATGATGTTGAGAGGACTCAATTTGTTCTATTTTTAGTAAAAACTTGTGTTTAGCTGAAATTTGCCTAAAATCATACCTAAAATAAAATATCCGTTTGAGTTGGTCCCTAATTTTCTTCCATAAACTCCATTTAATCATAGCTACCCGAAAAAATTGTGTCCAATTTTTCACGCAAATAACGAATGAAAATCCCATTTTTCATGAAGCCACTTCGATCGAAAACCTCGTTCTCCGTCTATTTTTTTCTTTGACCCTCAAGTCATAAATTTTGACTTAATCATTGGATATGGATTTCTTTCACATATTTCTTGACATGTCAACTCGAAGCCAACCCAAAGAAGAGGGTGAGAAAAAAAAAACAACCGACGAAATTATATATTTGAAATGGAAAATCGTTTTTCAATCCGCTTGCTGTTCGTGTTCGTCAAAAAAAGATTTATGCACTTCCGTTTATTATATACTGCGCTTGAAGAGGAATATGCTCGAAGCAGCAGCCTATCACAACCAGTATTAATCGACGCATTAACACTCAACGGTTTGTTGTCCATATATGTATGTTCATAAAAAACCACATAATATGCCAAATATTTGGGCAGAATTAATCATTTAATGATGTTTACGCTAACATTCGCGAAATGCTCATTTTTGCATAAAATTCCGATTCTTCGATATAAGTTTATTGTCTTTTTATGGACAAATTACTTCAAAATGTGAATTTTCAAAGAATCGTTAACCTTTTCAATCGAGTATTTATGAGCTTTTAAGCCTTGCCCGGGCTCCATTAGCAACTGCAAATCGAGCTTAACCTATGGTTTTCATTACTTCCCCGCTTTTTGCAGCAAACTCCACCCGACCAGTTCATATTCCTTCTTTGAATGTTTCACATAACGTCGAGTAATGCTCAGAAATGTATTTCTATATGTTCGCCATTCATATAAATATTTTTTTGTTTTCCAATGAAAAATTGGGTGAGAAAACTTGTAAGGGATTCCTGTTGTGTAAGGCAACAAGAAAACCGCACATTTTTGATTAAACGTGTTTTTTTCATTCGCTCCTCAGATGCTTCTCGGATCTCTGCTAAACAACAACTTCATTGAAGGTATTTGCATTAGCTGATGAACGTTTCATTTTGGTTGAAATTCATCGGCTTTCAAACTTTCGAACTGGTACAACTACCCATCTCACTTTCCTCGTTTTTTTATTTATTTAACAATACAAGTTTTCCTCTACCGTAATCGTTTTTAACGTCTAAGACAACGTTTAAATAAGGAGTTTAGAATTTAATAACGAATTGAAATTGTTAATGAATTTTTTTTTTGACGAGTAGCATTTAGCAAGCAGATAAAAATTCGCCTGATCATAACAATATTTCAATATTCTAAAAGCATGCTCTCTCTATTCATAATTCAAAATACTCAGCGATTCGAAAAGGACAAGCTGTGGTTGGTTTCGGTTTAAACGTTCCATGGGGTTCCCAAAAACTTCCGCGGTTTGTCTCAAAACTTTTTCACTCTATCAGTACGACACTCCAATTACACAATGCCCCCAATTTAGCGTGTCGGGGGAAAACCGTGGTCGAATTTCGTTTTTTTTGTGACTAATTTGAATTGTTTCCCCTGTTTGGACCAAAATTTTGCCAGGTTTTCCAAAACCAAAAAGTGTCCTCTGATCGAATCACTGAGTATATTATGGATCTATTCAGTGAATGTAAATTAAACAAAAACGATAAATTTTCATTAGGCAGCGATGTCGTTTTTGTCGCAATAACCGCTTAGTTTTACTGAGGGGTACTGTAGATCGCGGGTCGATATTTCAAAAAAATTGGCACGTGCTCCTTGAATATCGATTTTTTAAATATTTTTTATATTAAAATTTTACAGAAACGAAAATTGATTATATTGCAGAAAAGAAAACAACATTAAAACATTTTTTTATCATATTCTTTTGACATTTTAAAAATTGGCCTATAAAATACTTGGATATGTAAAAGTTATTTCAATTTATTGAATCATAGACCCTAAACAAAAAGAGATGTAGTAGATGTTCTTTTTTTCTTGCAAATTGACCCCCCGGCTGTCCAACTCTGCGCCGAGTCCATTATGACCCATCGAATCATCCATTAGTCGTGTCAAGCTGATTCCATTCATCTCTGTGCCGCGATGTTTCTCCTACAACAATTGTTTTGTTAGGCGAAAGCAATGCTAAAATAACAACAGAGGGTGATGATGATCATCATTTAATTTTCGTTGTTCACAAGCAAAAAGTGGAGGCACACCACCGGCATCTGCACTCATACGCACATTCGTCCACCTCACTCGCTCACTCGCTCACTCACGTAAATACGTACTCGCCAAACGAATCGACTCCACCCATTTTCTTAATCCAGATATCATTCAACTTGCCGTTTTATTGCCTGCCTTCCTATTTGCCTGCCTGCCCGAAGGCCATCCAGACCCCGGGGCCTTCGCTTGTCCCATTTTGCCTCTTTTTGTCGAATCCGTCTGCGGTTTGGTCGATTGAGATGAATGAACATCTGGAATCATTCCAATGTTTATTTTATAGGTGCATCGAATCCGGCTCTCGAAATTAAACAAACTATTATTAGGGCTTGAGGGAATATTCGAATCCAATCAAAAGATGTTATTATGAGTTTCGGCCTTCTAAACATTTTTTTTCATTATCGCATGCCTACATCCCCAACGATTTGGTCTCATTAGACTATTGAGCAAACCTTTAATTTTTGAAAATTTCAGAAATTGGCATTCGTCTGATTCTATTATTCAAACAAACTGTGAGTGTTTTACATATTATTCAAACAAACTGTGAGTGTTTAATTTAAAAAAAATTTCATTTAGATGCTCGACAAGTAGAGATTCTTACGAGATTCCATGACTTTGATTACTGTATTGTGTCGAATCCGAATGTTTAGTATGCAAAGGCCATTTTTCAAAGAAAAAAAATGAACGAATGATCTATTTTAGTAATTCTTCAATAAGTCATAAATAAAAGAGCAACCCTTCATTTTTTTTTCGTTTTTAATCTCGCATCATTCCTCATTTCAACTCATTTAAAAATTCAGTGTTCTTCTACAATGAGAAAAGCGAAAAAACATAATAACAAGTAGCAGCATTCAATGCAATTTTTATTTTCAAGGGCCACGCTCCGCCTACTTCTGATGTGAGGGGTCTTTCGTGTTTTTCTCTTGAATGCTTTCCAGACAAAGTTTTTAGATATTTTTTACAATGAAGCGTGTAAAAAGTGGTTTGGAAAATATTCTTGATTTCTCTTTCTTGGTTTTCTTGTGTTTTTTTTGTTGTCTTTAAAAATGGTCGCCGAAAAGTGCATTATTTTGCTTAATCCCTTCGATAGTATCAAAGAGCGACAAAAAGGTGAAGTTTCGGAGATTTTATGGGAATTTTGTAAAATTTGTTTTGAGCAAATAAATCTGAAAAAAACCAAACGGCCAGCTTACAATAACAAAGATTTCAAATATTTTGACGATGGTCCTCAATTACTCAGGGCGCTTGAATTTTTTTCTTCGATGGTAATAATTTGAAATGAAATAGTGCTCGCCGATGCTCCAATTGGCTATATATTCCAAGAAGTAAGAAACTTTATAAATAATAATGAAATAAGCTTCTACGGTTGATTTGAATGGATTATTCTAATCCTACGTTAAAAGCTTAGGCAAACTAGAGCAACAAACCGTCATCTCTTAATTCATGTGTTAATCGCGTTGCATTTCTTTCTTCCGGAATTTGTCGAAAGAAGAAGCTAGCAAGTTTGAGCTCAAATAAGAAATCACAAGAAATCTCATAGAAAGAGTTGCTCGATTTTCACCGTTCAAATCATTTCCCTTAAGACATTTTTGGCCTCGAAACTTGCTTGAAAAAAATCGTGTAAAACGCTCATTTCAAGAACATAACCAGATAAATTTGCAGATTTATAACAAAAAAAAGTTATAGTGGGAGGTTGTCGAAAAAGGGGGGGGGAGGGGGGGGTAAATGGGGATGTGCTGGAACATAAAAAGCGTCCTGTTAGTAATCTCTTGTCATTTGCTGTTTGCCTGCATCGTGCTTCACCCTGCTTCTCCCCAGGATCCCTAACTCGATTATATCTTTTTTCCGTGCTGTTTCGCCGCATGACAACACAAAAAATACGATGTTTTATTAGGTTCATTATTAGGTTTCTTTAGTTTCGTTCCCATGTTTCAAGTTGTTGCTTGTTCTGAAATCAATAATGCTGAAACAAGCGTCGAGGTGAGAATGGGAAAAACGTGAATAATTTATTTTCAGCTTCTCCGCTTTTTTCAAGTGCGAAAAGGAACTCAGTCTTGTTGGACCGAAAAATTGGCGCTTCCTCTTTTTTTTTCGTTTTCTTTTCATTCTTCTTCATGCGTTAGTTTTTCGTTGTTGTTCTGAACCTTGTTAATGATTTCATATGAGTTTCGGTTGTCGACGGAAATTCTTGGAATCCGGAGATATCGGGGCTCCGACTTCCACATCCAATTCGATTCTGGTTGGGCTACTCAATCGTCCGCCTAAACTTTTCAATTTATTCGTCGTCGGATAATTGAGTAACCGCCGCCGCTTGTTCCGCCACTCGTCTTGTGTCGTGTATTCGTTTTTCGACACGAGATACCTTTGCAAAAGCAAAACCTTATTTTTTTCCTGAACCTCTTTTCATGAATCTGGGTGGTCTATTGTAGGAATTCGAAATTAGTTTTCCGGATGATCGAAAGAATCCACATATCTCAGCGACTTATTCTGTACACATTTTTACTTCCAGAAAATTCTTATAGAGCTCCTTCTCAAATATTGATTATTCTCTTCGAGCACTGACATCAATCTCACATGTATACTTGTCAAAGGAATAGCCTAATTTTCCACATTGTATCGGGGTAATTATGGGATTCAGAGCAGTAGGAAGGACGTGGTTTGCACGTGCTACTTCCATTTAATCGTTTTTCGTCTCCTTAAAATGGTCTTCACACTTGAACCTTGGACTTGATTCTTCGTATTCATAATTATTCAATTTAGATTCAATCAAACAATTAAATTAATATAAATGGATTAATTGATTGCAGATTTCGCCAATGCACACACATGCATCCAAGCTTTCTCATATACATAATTAATATTTGCGTTTGTTACAGTCAATTCGAGACAAGGGTAAGTCGCTAGTTGTTTCCGAATGGCTTGTTTATCCCAGTGGGTGTTGTTTGTTTACATATCTGCAGTCCGAATCTTTCGAGTTGACCAAAGGTGCATCCGAATTGGCTAATCGGGTTGCTTCCGTCGAATCGGTCCTCCTTTCCCCCTGGGGTCTTATTATGTGATTAATTTGAGCAGTCTCGCAGAGTTAAATTGCAGAAAGTGAATAACGCGGAATTCTTGAAACGAAAACACATACAGCAGCTACGAGACTCCAGGAAAACAGCAGAGTACTATAACCAGTTTGTAAGTGTTTTTTCAGGTGTGAGTAACCTGAATCAATCGAATTTTTGGAAAATATAATAAAAATTATTGGAATCTTCACAAACATTTTGTTTTAATAACAAGAAATATATTAAGAAATGTCATATAGAACCAATTTGAACATTTTCGTTTCGAACGATTAAGCTGAAAAATTAATTAATGGATTTTTTTTCAGATTGAACCTCCACTAAAATATGCCGAATCATTTGGGCGCAGGATACGCGAAAACGTGGAAAAGTAATAAAAATTGCGCAAATTCTATGAATATAATGGGTTTTCAGACACGACGAGGAAAATTTGTTAAAGAAGTTTGCGTATGATCCGAACTACAAGATCCATGAGCTCTGCGAGCCGGAGCGGTCTGGAAATCAAGCTGATACGCTCACATGGACAGAGTCCGGCGATCGTTTATTAAAAGTGATAGGCAACGGGGTAGTCGAAGACGGGTACAATATGTTTATGGCTCCTGGACAATCGCAAGGTTTTTTTTCGAAAATTTCTTTTTCGCAAATTTGGATAATTTCAGGTCGTCGAACTGATGTTCATGTTGCAGTCTATATTGAATCAATGTCGTCGTTCAAAGCGCAATCAATGGTTGGAAATAATTAGTGATTTCATTTCCTTCAAATATATTCAAATGTAGGATTTCGAAGTCGACATGTATCTCGTGATGGCCTGGTTCGATCGACGGCTAGCTCACAATTGCACGTATCCGATTCTGGTGACCAGCAAATTGATAGCAGATCGTGTCTGGTATCCGGATTTGTATTTCGTCAATAGCAAATACGCCTATCTACAAGAGGTCATTTTTTTTGTTGTTATATCATTAACCTATAAGGGAACAAATTTAATGCGCTCTTGGTTAAAAAAAAGAAATGACCTCGAGTTTTAGTTGAAAATTTTTCAGGTGACAATTCCAAATATAATGCTCATTGTTTATCCAGACGGGTTGATATTCAAATCAATGAGGTTTCTAGAAATAAATCTCATCTCAAATATTATCGACTTTCAGACTTGATGTTACCTTAAGTTGTATGATGGATCTAAAGCTTTTCCCGTTGGATTATCAAGAGTGTCCACTAACTATTCAGAGCTGTTAGTAAAAATAAAGGCCCTCAAAGTGATATTTGTCTGAATATTATTTTCAGTTGCTTACATAGAGCAAATTGTGAATTTGACATGGCATGATGATCCTCCGAACTTTCCAATTGGTTTCAATACAGAAATCAAGGTAAACTCTAATCATTTTATCTTAAAATTACTTGAATTTTTCAGCTGAATGATATGCAAATCATCGACAAACGCTTCGAAAAATGTGCGGGACCATATCCAATGTTCCGGGGTGATGGTATGTGCAATTAGCAAGTAATGCGTTATACATAATTAACTGATTTCAGCACTTTGGAGTTGCATTCGAGGATTCATTGTGATGAAACGGCTCGTTCTTTTCCATATTATTCAAACCTACATTCCAACTGGTGCGATAATTCCGGTCAAAGTAATTCCGAAAAAAATACTCGCAATTTAGGAATGCTAGTATCGATATCGTGGATGTCATTCTGGCTGGATCCACGAGCAAGTCCTGCTCGAATAACACTCACCATCACATCGCTGCTGACATTAACAACAATGAGTAATGGGGCTCGACAGGATTTACCTCAGGTGCCATATATTTTGCCATACAATTTTGCATTATTTTCAACATCAGGTATCATACATCAAAGCGTTGGATATCTGGCTAACATTTTCGCAAGCACTCATTTTCCTTGTGCTTTTGGAATATTCGTTCGTCTCTTATTATATGACGAAACGGACCACCTATTGTAAACATAGGAATCTTATTTTTGAGGAAAAACCAACGAAACGGAAGGACGATAAGGTAATCTTGGGATTGTTTGATATATGTGCATTTCATAGTCATTTCCAGATGCGGAAAAACAATTTATCAGCGAAAAGCTCGAGTCAAAGTATTGATGGAGAACTAAAAAACAAAAACCCGCAGCAATTTTCGATAGGTCATGGAATTGCTTCTTCTGTGAATGATTCAACAGCTAATAGCTACATCTAAAAATTTAAAATACAAGCCTTCTTTTAGACTCTCATATCAGCTAGTAATGGCCCCCGTCAACATTTCAAGCTTGATCCACTGAAACCTTGTCCAAAGTGTACGATCATGAATGAGAAAACGGCCCTTAAGATTGACGAGTGTAAGACCATCGTTATAATCGAAAAAAATTGCTGCAATCTTTGAAAAATTGCTATTTTCAGATAGCCGCTGGTTGTTTCCGTCGGTATTCACATCGTTTTGTGTGTTTTACTGGCTTTACTTTACATGGCGATCGTCTTTCAACTAGAATCTATTAATAATGATTTTTCCCTTTATTCATAATATTACTATTATTATTATTACTAATTGCTCACTGATTAAACTTATAAAAATATTAATAAACAAATATTATATTATCAGTATTTTCAATAAAACTTTTACGATTTATTATAGTTTTGTTTAAAGATGTAAAAGGTTTGCTAACAAGAAATGTTAAGATTGCTACGAAGTTGTCTTTAAGAATTGGAAATTTCTTAGCCGTTTTCAAGTCGCCCGCGCACGTGATGTGCACGCCATGCGAAAAAATGACCACGGTCGCACATCACTCACTCTAATTTATACAAGGGCTTATGTTTTTTTTGCACATGTTATCAGCAATCGTGCGGGACAAACAAAAGGAGTTTTTCTGCCGTCTATTGGTGAAAAAAAAACCCGTCGTTTCTTGATAAAAAAAATTTTGACTGTCGGTCGCAAAAGCAACGTGTCAAAATTGACCAAAGAAAATACATATTTTTTATTTTTTTTTCCTTATTAAATAAATGCTTACCCATAAATTATAACTGTAATGGTCGTATTCACGATATGTCAAAAAATAAAAATATGATTAGTATATTTTTATTTTTTGACATATCGTGAATCGATCCATTTGAGAAATCGGTCGTGCACGTCTGGAACAGCTATTGCGGAAAATGTGGTGTCATCTCCGCAATACAACACCTCGGTGTTAGCACGCCCATGTAATTTTTTCATTTATTTTAAATTTGTACCTGAATTAGAGCGCGTTTTTCCGTCTTAATGATATTTGCGATGAATACTGGTTTTTTGAGTTTTAAATATTTATTGCAGGTATGACCTCAATTATTAAACTACAAATATTTGCCGGTGCGAAGGATGAAGGACCTTTGTGCTATCTCCTTCAGGTTTTTTTCTAGTTGTCTCTATAATTTATAATCGACTTTTAGGTTGACGGTGATTATATTTTGCTTGATTGCGGTTGGGATGAGCGATTTGACGTGAAATACATAGAAGACTTAAAACCATTTATTCCAAAAATCAGTGCGGTATTAATATCGCATCCAGACCCTCTTCATCTTGGAGCGCTACCTTATCTTGTAGCAAAATGTGGACTTCAGGCACCTGTATACGCTACAGTATGTTTTTACTGAGAAATCGCTATCAAGGAGATTTATTTTTACAGGTTCCCGTGTACAAAATGGGTCAAATGTTTATGTACGATCTTGTGAACAGTCATTTGAGTGTTGAAGAATTTGAATATTACACTCTTGACGATGTCGATATGGCTTTTGAAAAAGTTGAACAAGTTAAATACAATCAAACTGTCGTGTTGAAAGGAGATTCCGGTGTTCACTTCACTGCCCTTCCAGCAGGACACATGATTGGAGGTTTCTTAAACAGATTTTTTTTAAACATTCAAATAAATTATAACATTTGAGGTTCAATGTGGAGAATTTGTCGAGTAACCGGAGAAGATATTGTGTACTGTGTCGATTTCAATCATAAAAAAGAGCGGCATTTGAATGGTTGCTCGTTTGATTCATTGAATCGGCCCCATTTGCTCATTACGGGTGCTCATCACATTTCGCTTCCACAAATGAGAAGAAAAGATCGAGATGAGCAATTGGTGACCAAAATCTTGCGGTAATTCTGACACATTTTCAGGCAACATCTAAATCTATCCCAGTTGTTTTCAGAACTGTTCGACAAAAAGGTGATTGTCTGATTGTTATCGACACCGCCGGAAGAGTTCTTGAATTGGCTCATTTGCTAGATCAATTATGGTCGAAGTAGGAATAATCAAACCGATTTTTTTTAAATTGAAAATGAATTAATTGAATTTCAGCACCGAAGCTGGTCTATCGACCTATAATTTAGTCATGATGTCACATGTTGCATCATCCGTCGTGCAATTCGCCAAATCGCAGTTGGAATGGATGAACGAAAAACTTCTCAAATACGATTCAGCTCGAGCAAATCCATTTTCGTTGAAAAATGTGCATTTGTGTCATTCGAATCTTGAATTGATGAGAGTTCGATCACCAAAGGTTAGTTAGTATTAAAAAAAATTTCATTGAGAGTTTGAAAACTTTTAAGGTCGTATTATGCAGTAGTCAAGATATGGAATCCGGATTTTCGCGAGAATTATTTCTTGAATGGTGTTCGGACTCTCGAAACGGTGTGATTCTAACTGGAAGAACTGCTTCAAACACACTTGCCGCTAAATTAGTAAATCTGGCCGAAAATTCAGTCGATGGAAAACTCGTACGGATTTCTCAAAAATATTTCATTTTTTATTATTATACCCTTTCAGACCACCGACGATCGATTTTTGAGTCTTGTTGTCAAGAAGCGAGTACCTTTAGAAGGCGAGGAATTGTTTGAATATAAACGAAGAAAAGCCGAGCGAGATGCCGAAGAGACACGACTGCGGTAGATCAATATTGATTAATATTCATTGTCGTTGCAATTTTTATAGTATGGAACGAGTTCGTCGTCAAATGCAGACAGAGAACAACGAATCGGATGAAAGTGACGACGAGGAAATCTCGTCGTCGCTTGTTCTGCGACAACCAGCCGAGAAAGATGCCCGATTCGAGCTGAACAACGAAATTACCAATAATGATGTGCATTGCTTCGATATTATGGCAAAATGGGATAATCAGCAAAAGTGCGTTTCTTTTTCGTTTTTTTTTAAGTGAAACAAATCTCAAATAATTTCAGAACTTCCTTCTTCAAATCAACAAAGAAGTCGTTTCCAATGTTTCCATATCTTGAGGAAAAAATTCGATGCGACGAATATGGAGAGATTATTAAACCGGAAGAATACACGATTCACATGAAGGTCGATACTCGAAAAGCGCCTAATAATAATCAAGACGAAAACGCACCGGTTGTGGTGAAGAAACAAGAGCAGGAAGAGGAAGAATATGTTGAAGTTGTTGAAGAAATGCCAACAAAATGTGTAGAATTTAAACAAAGGATAGAGGTAATTAAATAATTAATTAATCACTGAATAATTACTTGATTTGTTAGGTTCTGTGTCGAGTTGAGTTCATCGAATACGAAGGCATCTCAGATGGCGAATCGACGAAAAAGTTGTTAGCTGGTCTAGATCCTCGTCAGATTATCATTGTTCATGGATCAATACAAGACACACGAGAATTGTACGGCTATTTTTCTGATAACGGAATCGCCAAGGTATCATACATTTTCAAATATTTTATATACATCTGGAAAGTTGTTTTCAGGGTAAAATAGAAGCACCGAGCACTGGACAACTCGTCGATGCTTCCGTTGAATCATTCATCTACCAAGTCGCTCTTAGCGACCAACTTCTGGCTGATATTCAATTCAAAGAAGTTTCTGATGGCAACGGTCTCGCCTGGATCGATGCTCGTGTTATTGAAAAAGAGATGATCGATGGGGTGTTAACATCCAGTGCTGCACAACTCTCAATAGATGATCACGCAAATCGAAAGGTTAGTTTGAATTTTATTAAAAAAAATAATTTTTGAATAAGATGAAAATAGTACTATTATCTGAATTTGAAGATGATTATATTAGTGTTATCCGAGATGTAATTATGACTTGTGACTTATTGTGTTTTTCGAATTAGTGAGCGCATTTTAACAATGTCGGCGACGCATTAAACGTGTTATCTAATTTGTTTATTGACGCACTTTACGAGAGACGTCAAAAAAAAAAACTAACTGTGCTGCGATTAGATATGGTATGGCGCAAGCAAGGTTTAGAAAAAAGGTCCTTTGGTTTTCCTTGGGAGACGGATGCTCTCAGATATATTTTCATTGAATTTCCGCTAACATAAAAATAAACAATGAGCGGAAGCAACGAACACGGTTCTGTTGTTAATACCGGAAAATGTCCGAAGACCCCCTTTTGCTTTTGGGTTTTTCCTTGTTTTGATTTAAAAGAAATAGGGGACATCGGTGGGCCGAGAAATTTTTAGTGTCCTTGGAGCAAGAAATCGTGTATATATATATGTAGTATATGTGTTTCTGGAAACATATATTGTTATCGTCTTAGGATTCTGAGAATGAACCAATGGATACGGAACAAGAGGAGGGATCTAGCCAGCAAAATCAAAAGTCGTTGAAGGAAAGACTTCGTGGAAATTTGATTCTCGATATCCTTCCTAATCGACAAATTCCGTGCCACGATGTGAGTTTCATTGGAATATTTCCTTATTTTTTTTATACTTTCAGGCGGTGTTTGTAAATGATCCGAAATTATCAGATTTCAAAAATATTCTAGTCGATCGCGGCTACAAGGCAGAGTTTTTGAGCGGAACTCTGCTCATCAACGGCGGTAAATGCTCAATTCGGCGATGTGAAACGGGACTGTTTTTAATGGAAGGCGCGATTTCCAAGGATTATTACGCTCTTCGACATTTGTTTTATGATCAATTTGCTGTTTTATAGTTATCATTTCGTTTTGTTGTTGTTGTGCTTTTCGTTATGTATGTTCATTGATCTCCATTTGAATTCGAATGAAGTATTCAATTTTGTCAGGTTCTTCGCTCGTTATTTCCGTGAAAAATGAAATCAAATACTGGTCGCAAATTTAGTTGTCCAATTTTATTATAATTATTGTCCTGGACATGCAGCGGCGACAAAAAAGACAAGAGGCAAGCCATAAAACTCGAGCCGTATTTAGACAGTGTTCGCGAGCATTGAAAGGACCTTCTTCCCCGTCTTACTGTAACTGAATATATTGTAGTTTGATGTTTCATTTTCAAATTGTCGTCTTTCCATTTTCGGATAAAAGTAGTTTGAAACATTGCATGATTTAAACGTCGAAATAATCTAATACAACTTTGAACTTAAAAAATTCTTTTGATTTTTAAATTATTAACAATACCATTTTTTTTCTGAAAATATTTCCAATCTCATATTTGAGTATATAAAGAATATTGGAATGCCGGAAAGGAAAGAAACTTATTGTGAAGAAGTCTTGTTTCATACAAAGTGGTGAGATTTTTAAATTTGCACAACAGAAAAAATGTGAATTTGTTTTTTTTTTTCAGACAATGAAATATTTAATGCCTTCTAAGAATCCACGAGCCGAATTTGCTGAGAATTTGTCGAGCCGCTCTACTTCACATTTCAGCTGACAATGTGTATATTTTAGAATATGTATTACATATTTGAGTGTCTCAGTCTGATTCGTTTTTCACAAACCTCTCAATTTAAAATGTTTTGGTCAATTTTGAATCGCGGGATTCGTTAGGCAAAATGGGGGAATAATTTCAAGATATTGAACCCAATAACCATTCGAGATTATTGCCGAAAAAAAAACGATATGGGTAAAATTCAATTATGGGGTCATTGACAGAAAAAAAAATAGAAAAGCTATAGTTAGTCAGAGTTTGACTGTATGCAATATTAAAAAGATATGTAATAGTTCAGGTATTATCATCGACCATTGAAAAAATGAAAAATGTCAGTGTAATGGAAGAAAAAATTCATATCAAATGTTCTTTTTTTCAATAAATCATCTTTGTTTCCATCGTGACAATATATTTCATGGAAATTTCTCATTTTTTTTCAAGACCAAATACACAACAAGCCTTTTTTCCGAGACACATTCGCCTTTTTCGCATTTCCGGCCTTATCTTGACTGTATGAACATTCTTTGTGATAATGAACCGAGTGCAAAAACTTGGGGCGGAGCTCAAAAACACATCTATAAATATCGACGAAACAATGGAAGTGGAATTGTTTGTTAACGAAATCGAAAATGGACATCGGAATAATATTTGATGTCATTACGAGCACCTCCGGTGATGTATTCAATATTCAAGATTTTCGAGTGAGTTTTTAAAATTCGAAGAGAGTTTATCCCAATTTTCTGATTTTTTTCAGCATGTCTTCTTATGGGCACTGATTGTTGGAATTATATTGGCATTCATGTTGGGCTTCGGAATGGGAGCAAACGACGTCTCGAATGCGTTTGGTACATCTGTTGGTAGGATTTTGACACATTAAAAATAATTGCGAATTGGGATTATAGGAAGCGGTGCGTTGACACTTATACAAGCTTACATTCTCGCAACAATATTTGAAACACTGGGATCCGTTTTAGTTGGTAAGATTTTCAAAAAAAAAAAGAGTTTGTCAAAGCACATGAATAAAACGTTTTAGGATATAATGTGATTGATACAATGCGAAAAGGAGTGGTGGATGTGGGCCTCTACAACAACTCGGCCGGTGAATTCCTTGTGGGACAAGTTGCGACTCTCGGAGGGTGTGCTTCATGGCTCATGATAGCAACCTTCCTGAATCTTCCAGTTTCGACAACACATGCCATTGTCGGCGCAACTCTTGGATTCTCTATTGCGTGTAAAGGACTCGAAGGAATCAGATGGATGAAAGTAGTTGATATTGGTATGTGTAGTTAGTCAAATTATGTGCGATTTTCAAACATAAAAAGTAGTATGCAAATATATATATATATATATATATATATATATACGATTGATAAAAAAAGTAATCAATTTTGTTTATATCATAAATACTAAATTTGGAACTGTTGATAAGAAATAAAATCTACACAAAGTCAGAGTTCGAAGATTAAATTTTAAACGAATGTTTGCAGTTGCTTCCTGGTTTATCTCTCCCTTATTTGCTGGAATTGTCTCGTTGATTCTCTATCTTTTCGTGGATCATATGATTCTTCGGACGGTAAAATTCTTACCAGAACTGCTAGCCAACTCATGCATTTCAGTCTGATCCTATCAAAAATGGTCTCGCGTGGCTCCCAGTATTCTATTTCGTATGTCTCACGTTCAACACATTTATGATATCGTATCAAGGCTCTCGAGGTATCGCCAATTTTCCGATGAATTTAAATTGATCAAAATTTAGTTCTCCATTTATCAACCGTCCCTATTTGGATTGCATTGCTGATCAGTTTTGGAATTGGAATAATATCATCAATTGTTTGCTACTTCATTATTAATCCGAGGATACGCAAATTCGTTGAAGGTAAAATATTTAAATCGAGAAATTTTCAATTTTCAAATTTCAGAAGGGAAACAGAAAGATTTGCGATCGGCTACAGTGGCCACTATAGAAAGCTGTGAAGTGGCAAAAAGGAGCTGGTCAGAATCGAGCCAAGAAACTGTTCCAAAATTCAAAACCGAACCGACGACGTGTAAGTACTTTCGTGTGAAACACCAAAAATTATAAATGATTCATGTTATTTTTTTAAATTTCTAATTTATAGCTGTCGCAAAATTTTTCCGTTGGTTGCTACCGGATCAAATGCGCAGAGAAAGTGCCGACACATTGCGAATGTTCACTTCTGTTCAAACTCTGACCGCTTGTTTCGCCGGTTTTGCACACGGAGCCAACGATGTCTGGTAAGAAGTTTCAATGCGTCCAAAAGGCAAAGAACAGTTTCTTATCAAACGGATTACGGAGTTTATTAAAAATACAAAATCACCGGAAATCAATTGTGAAAGAGATTATTTTGATAATGACCAATCGGAGTTTTGGGCGCGATAAATGATAAATGTACTAAAGAAACTCTTACAATCGCAAACTATTATTTCAGTAATGCGATTGCCCCGCTAGTCGCCTTGATCGCCGTGTATCGCGACCACGACGTTTACCAGCATAGCGAAACACCGATATACGTGCTTCTTTACGGTGTGCTCGCCATTTGCATTGGATTGTGGTGCCTCGGACACAAGGTGATTGATAAATCAGTGATAAATTGGCAATCGGTCTTGATTCAGGTGATTCGCACTGTGGGCACAAAAATGTCGGAAGTGAATCCAGCATCGGGATTCTGCATCGAATTCGGCGCGGCTGTCACAGCACTCATCGCATCCAAATTAGGAATGCCCATCTCGACAACACACAGTCTTGTTGGAGCTGTAGTAGCTGTAGGAAGTGTCAAGAGTGGCAAGAAAATCGATTGGAGAATTTTTCGAAGTGTTGCTCTCTCATGGGTCGTCACACTTCCTGTTGCAGGTTTTACAAACTTGCAATTTCGCTATACAACTAGGTTTTTTGCAGGAGGTCTCGCCGCGCTTTACGTCTGGCTTCTCAAATTTGCAATCCCCGATCGTTACCGGTAAATTATGAAACAATGACAGTCTGCAAGTGTCATGAATCAACTTCTAATAATACAATAATGCTCTTCGTTGAGCTACCGCACTACCATTATTAATATTTTGTAAGGTTTTATCGTTAATGTAAAAATGAAGGTTTTGACTTGTGAGAAAAAAACACGTAATTCCATAGTTTTACATATACATTTAATACAAGGGTTTAAGAGAGAAGTTTCGCATATTCTGAGTTCCAATCTCTATCGAAAATCGCTTGAAGTCTGTAATCAACTAAAAATTAAAAGAAAAATCGGTTCAAATTTAACTTTTTAGCTGATTGATCCTGTTTAAATACAATTGCAACACCCGCAGTTGTGATAAAATAGTCACCGGACCAGTTCGAGGTTCCAATATAGGCAATTTCTTCAGTTACCATATACTTCGCATGGTTTACCCGTGTAAATGGAATAGTTTTTTGTTTTTCCGATGAAGGAACTGTGAAGATTTTCTGAAATTCTCCAGCTGTTGACCTTCATATTTTCCATCGAAAACTTACAATTTCAATATTTCCTCGTTTACCGTGTCTCAATGGCATCGCATCATTAATAGCTAGAAGACTTCGTAGAAATGGAATAATTTCTTTGCGTGAATGGTCCCAATGCGAAATCAGCATTTTCACATTAACTCCGCGATACGCAGCATCTCGAACGGCATCATCGATTTCCGGCCAAAAGCTGAAAATTAGAAAATAAGAAAATCCAACTTATCGATATTATTATCGATATTATTCTTATTGATATATTGTAATAATTTATAGTATATGTATTGTCGAAGTCAAACGACTTGACGAAATTTTAAAAATTATTGACAATGTGCCAATGCGTCTCGAGGCAGCGAGATTGCGTACATTGCATAATAGCGTACGCGCATTGAATTCAGTCGACCAAAAATTTAAATCTACACTGGTTTCGCAAATTTGAAGGCCCCGCCTCCATTCAGTCTTTTGACGCCGACAATACATATTATGCTACAAAAAACAAGATTTCGTGTTAGAAATTGTCGTAACATTGTCCTGTTGAAAACATGATGAACATTTGTTTCAAATTGAATGTAAGATCATTCATTCCTTTCTAAAAAGTAATGTTCGCGTTGCACCATTCTTCGAATGCACATCGGACAAATACGGGAATATCTCGTTTTGGTTGAAACGCGCAAATTACACTGTATCGCATCAAAATTTTCTAATGGACCTATTCATGCAATGAAAAAAAAATTTAAAAAAAATCAATTTTTTTCATTTGAATTCCCTATACACGCACGTCGAAAATTACAAAAAATTGACGTGATATAGCGTAATTCTCCGCTATTTATTTTCACGTCGCGAAGTCGGTACAGTATTTTTTTAATGGCTGTTTTTTTTTCGAAATTTTGAGCGTTTAAAACGTTTTTTTTTGGAAATCTGTAAAGTATTTTGTTTAATCGACGCTAACAAAATGACGTGACCTGCGCAACTTTTCGCGTACACCTTTGAAAATAAATAGCGGAGAATTACGATATATCGCGTCATTTTTTTGTAATTTTCGACGTGCGTGCATAGGGAATTCAAATGAAAAAAAAAATTTATTTTTTTTTTAATTTTTTTCATTGCATGAATAGGTCCATTAGAAAATTTTGATTTTCAATATTTACCTATTTCCATTCTTCATGTACAATGTCGTCGGAATATAATCCATTACCGATATCGCAACAGTCTCTTTAGCATGTTTAATAACGGCTCGAATCGCCTCCAAATCGTGCTCTCTTCCTTTCGGATTAAACGGTTGAGGTGAGCTCTGAAATGTATTAATTAAAACATTTCGAGAACAAATGCAATGATACCGATATGAAATAATTCGCCGGTTCGCCGTTTAATGTTAATGGTCCCATATGTGTGAAATTATAAGGAGTACGATAGGAAAGTGGCCATTTGTGTGGAATAACCGAATTATGCGCACCGAGTTTCCAATAACCAGAAAAAATTTTGTACAAGTCAGCAGCCACGCAAGGACAGTTCTCGACGACAACTCCAAGTTCTTTCACCTCGCTCAACGACTTCCAATCCATATTAGCGGATCCAACATAAATTGTGCGAATATCCGATATAAGGAATTTCGTGTGCACAATTCCCGACCCTAACAACCTTGTCATGTTGATACTTCGCACTTCTGCCAATTTGTTATCGGCAAGATATTTCGATTCTTTGTTGTCCGACAAATTCGAGTCACCGTCTTGTATAATTCGCACCTATTATAAATTATTAACTATATTTGTGTTCAAATTTTTAAATCAAAACCTTCACCCCTCGTTTCGCTGCTCGTATCAGCGCTTCATACACTTGTTTTCCATGAAAAGCAGTCTCATAATCCGAAGTATTCAAGTTCCAATACATTACAGACATATCAAGGTACCTTGAAAAACAAATCTTAAAATATTTCAAAACATCTCGACTCACTTTTCGGTGCTATCAATCATTTTGATCCAAGTGTCGGCTGTCGAATTCAGAGTATTAAACTTCACATCTGTGGGAATCGTTTCAATCAGATACGATCAAAAAACCGAACGATTGGAAAAAAAAACAAGCTTTTCAAAAACCTGCATTTTTTGCTACATTCCGTTGTTAGTTTGATCGGCGACGCCAAATCCTCTTCGTTAAAAAGCGGCAAAAATACCAAGGCAATGATGAGCAAAGAGAGTACAGTAATCGGCACGCAGGCTGGCTTGATAATGCTATTGCGAGATGAGCTGTAACAAATTGAAATTTAGAAAACCTATCATCGACGGCAAACGACTGAAAGCAGGCATTGATTTCAGACTCGCAAAATTAGCGTAAATTTACAGAAAACTTGAATTTTTTTCAAATATTTTTCTAAATTCAAATCAGTCGTATGACGCCGGCATTAATCAAATGGAATTCAAAGTTGTCCATACGCTCAATTTCGGCTTGGCCGGAATTCTACAATAATTTAATAAGCACAGATAAAGCGCACGAAATATGTATCAGTAATGGACCTATTCATGCAATGAAAAAAATTTAAAAAAAATACATTTTTTTTTTCATTTGAATTCCCTATGCACGCACGTCAAAAATTACAAAAATATCGTAATTCTCCGTTATTTATTTTTAAAGGCGCACGCGAAAAGTTGCGCGGGTCACGTCGCGAAGTCGGTACTGTATTTTTTAATGGGTGTTTTTTTCTGATTTTTTTTTAATTTTTTAAGCGTTTAAGACATTTTCTTTTGGAAATCTGTAAAAGTATTTTGTTTAATCAACACTAAAGGTTCATCAGAAGCGTCATCGAGCGAAGTCTGCTTCAAATCAACACAAAAATCACTATTTTTCATGATAATTGGCATCTAAATGACGAAACATAGACTTATATTGTCGAATTAGAAGTAATTATACCAATAATAATTGTTTTTACTCGTTCTTAAATTTGTTACTCATTTTCTCTTCAAAGTTTTAGAAAAATACGGAAAAATAGCACACAGAATGAAAAATAAAAAATACAGTACCGACTTCGCGACGTGACCTGCGCAACTTTTCGCGTGCGCCTTTAAAAATAAATAGCGGAGAATTACGATATACCGCGTCAATTTTTTGTAATTTTTGACGTGCGTGCATAGGGAATTCAAATGAAAAAATTGATTTTTTTTTTACATTTTTTTCATTGCATGAATAGGTCCATAAGAATAAAATTTTCTTGGATATAACAGTCAATAAACCCCTTGGATATAACAGTCAATAACCCAAAAAAAAGCAAATTAATAGAACAATGGGTTCCGTACATTTAAATTTAAATTTTCAATTGTTATATTATGTGACCCTTTTGTACAAAGTAATTCAATAGTTTCTTCGTGATATTCCTTAACATGCTTGCTTGTTTTGCGGAAATAAAATGCGTAAGTTCATTAGGAAATGGCTTAAAATACAAAACCAGAGAAAGTATTTTGAATGCATTCTAATCTTACGCCAAACTGAATTCGACTTACAATAAATTATACAAAATTTTAGAATACCTCGATTTACTAATTGGGGTAAGTCTTCGTGTTTACAGTTTCAGCACTTCAGTATATCCGCGCGAACGCTAAAAATGCGCAACGGAAAATTAGCTAAATGTCAAACAAATAAGAAGAGAGGGTGCACGGGATGCGCCTTTAACCTATGCTTATGCATAACCAAGAAAATCTACATTTTTAGTTTTGCGCCAAGGCCACTATCCGCAGTCGCGGGACGTCGAAAATGTTTTGTATAAATTTCGTTCAGCCGTTTGAAGCCGACAATATGTATAGAGAAATTAATTATAATAAAGAGGAACTAAACTATGCGAAATCTTGCGTGACATAATCAGCAGCACAAAAAGCGTCATGCAACATCACATTTAGATATTAAAAAAACAATGGTAGGAAGAACTTTCATCATTCGCTCGCCTTAAGGCACTTAACTACACAAGACGCAAAACCGTCTTCATGCAACTTCAAAATTTGCAGAAAAAGAAAAAAAGCACAACGATGGATATGCGAGAATCTCACGAACCATGTGATTTTGTAGCTTCCGATTCCTTTGACGATACCAAAACGCCTAAATGCTGTCGCGCTACCGTGTTTTCATAGAGCATTTTTGAAAAACTAGACCCAACACTAACCCGCAAAACTTCGATTTGTTCTCTTCCTCATTTTTCTCCAATTTGATCTCATTTATCCTTGTGTCGAACAAGTCCATCTCAAAGTTCGTCATGTCAGCCCGCCCATCATGAGTCTGAATACATTCCTTTTGATTATCTATTTCTTGATTCAAACATTTGTTTTCTTAAATATCTCGTAATGCCAAAATCAGATTACGTTCTATTCAAAATAATTTCTAATGTCAAATCTACATTACGAATTTACTATTTCTCGACGTTTTCAAACATTAAAAAAATAAAACTACTTAACAAGAGGTTTTGGAAAATTTTAATTACTATAATTTTAAGATTGCTAATAGTATTGCTAACATTTTCTGAGAAGTAGGTAAAAACATGGGCCGAGCCGGTATGTCAGATTGGTGGAGAATTGGAGGGGGGGATTATTTTTTTAAATAATAAATTACCTCTCCAATTGGTATCATCGCGATTTACTCGTAATCGTAAAAATACAAAAACGGAATAATAAAATCGAAGAAGAAATCTAATCGAAAAGCCTATGGGCTAGAATTCGCTATAGTTGCACATCGATTCGTGGTGAAAAAAACCACACGCGAATATGACACCAACTGGCTAAAAATTAAGAGGAAAAGAAAGGTGTGCGCCTGCGGCTCTCCGTTTCTATTCGGCACTTCCTCTCTCATTTGAATGGCTCACGGACGGGGCGAAAAAAAAAAACAACGCACACACATACATACGCACACATATGAAGGAAGGAAATAATCGATTTTCACAACTAAACAACCCACGTCGTCTGATTGACGCCGTCTTAATTCAAATATGCACACACAAACCGGATTAAGTGCTAATTTCAGCATCGAAATTTTTCCAATTATTTCGATTAGCGACATTATTTGAATTGAGAATATGAGAGAGAATCTAATAAATATATTGAAAGGAATAACTCTCCAGTCGGATGTTTATCACGAACCCGGTTAATTCAGGAAAAGAATTAAAGTACTCGGAAATTGAAAAAATAGGAGGAGAAACATGGCTAATATTACTGATATGATGTAAATAGATTATTCGAAAAGTCAAAAAATGTGAAAATAAACCAAATCTGATAGAAAATTCTAAGGAGTAGAACTTATTTAAGTTTTTGAGTAACATGCCAATTTTCAAAAATTCACAAATCATAGATTTTTAACTAAAATAGTATGTTGAAACATAACAGATATTAAAATAAGTGTTTAAATTGAAAAAGTTTGGACATTTTTTTAAAAACACGTTTTATTATTAGTTTTTTTTTTATTGTATTGTGAATAGACTATTATTGCTTTTTATTTAAAAAATAATCAAATGTGTGCAATTTTGCGTTCGTGTGTATGAACTTTCACCAACGGGACGAGGACCGCGCTGTTTTGACATGCATTTTTTTCACCGAGCTTCAACCCTTCCTTAATAAAGATATGATAAGAAATAATTTACAAATTTTGAAAGATTTTATTGTGATTCAAAACCATTTGTATGAAACAGAAGAGAGTTCGAAATTTTATTAGAATAGTATTCAAATATTTAGCCATTATCTTATTGTTTTCTCATAATTTTTCAGTTTGGAAAAGGAGTGAACATTGTGCTCGGTGTTCGAATTTAACAAATCTTCATGCTTAGCTCGTAAATCCACCTTTAGTTTTGCGAAAAGACACTGTCATTATTTTTCTGGCATTTAGCCAATTTTCCGCAGTCACGCGATGCCCGCAATGATAATAAGTCATGCCTACTATCTATGCATATTTTAATGCATATATTAAAAACATTACCATTAGAATGATAAGTATGAAATATTGTCTTATTGTTAAAAAATATATTCTCTCAATATAATTGTCATTAGTCCTGCTGGTAACAAAAAATGGCTATACGAATCTCAAACGTCTGGCAGCGGCACATCTGGCAGCCGAAAAAGATCATCACGTTGATTTATTGCGAGAACGTAATAATAAATGTTATTATTGTTATAAAATTAAGCCTCTTTGGTTATCGAAAAAAATAAAAAAAAACCAATACGATATGAAGTGAATTTCTTACTTTCAGTTTCGTAGGAACTGTCATTGTTGAAAATGTGACAATATGGGCAAGTTTACGAACAAAAACAAGGCAACTGGTTGCGAAACTTGAATATTGTGAAATTGACTACTTTCTATTTAATGTTCGAATTGCATAGATCATCTCGAAATAAATTATCCTTTCTCTATGCTCTGAAAAAGGGGCTACAGGAATCAGTCGCAACAAGACCTAGATCGTTTTCAGCGTTAGAAGTCTTTAATCAATTATAGTCGGCGTCGTGCGACTGTTGTACGCGGGTAGATTTACGGGTGCGTCTTTCGCTATGATCTTGCGAGTGACGAGTGACTAGGCGCCATATGAATTTTCACGTGAAAAGTTAATTTTTCTTGATGAGTTTTAATTTCCGAGAACTTTGCAAACTTTTTTCTTTAATTATTTGAAATCACTTTTTCTTTTCATTCAACCGAAAAAAAGTCGAGAATTTTTCGAATTGAAATTGAATTTACTCTACATTACCAAGAAGTCTTATATTGACGTTTTTGATAAATTCGAATTATAAATTGTAAAATTTATCAAAAAAAAATCATGAAATGTTTCATAGTCAGAAGTCCCAAAACATACCCGCGTTCCTCAAAGGGCCCTTGCTTGAGTTCTTATAATCGTGCAAAATTTCAGGTTTTCAACCTGAAATACGCACAGGTTGAAAACGTCTATTAGATTTTTGCTAGATTTAACTTGCTCCCCCCCCTAACAGCTAAAATAAGTGGAAATCGAATAAGAAGTCCCAAATAACGAAAACGAAGCCAATCATGTTCCTTAAATGATGTGGTATGACATGAAAACTAAATACTTCTAAATTGACACTTTTTAAAATGTCCAGCGAAAAAAATTAGAAAATTGCAGTTCTGTTGACCTTGTTGTAATCCTTCGAAATTGCAAAAGTTCATCAATTAACACCAATTAAGATGAATGTGATAGGAAATCACATTCTAATATTCGAAACCTCAAAATAAGCGAATATTCAGTTAACATCCATGTAACAAGTTTTTCATGCGATTAAGCCTTTTGAAGAGGATCACATGATTTCGAAAGAAAGTATTAGTTTAAACCTGCACATTCTTATCTTATAAATAGAAATCTCGAAAATCGCGCCCGTTTCATGCAAAACTTCAATTTCCATCAATGATTCTCGTCAAATTTATTTCAAAACCTTATCGGTAATCAAGAAAAAAACAATATAATCGGAATTCTTACGCTCATAATCTAATAACAGCCTAATCTATAGTTGTTCCAGAAATGGAAAACCTACTTCGGAGAAGTCCCAATAAACCATTCGGCGCCGATTTGGACAATCCTTGGTGGTGGTGGAAAGGAGACAATTCGCGTACCGCATTTATGAAAATCACACCAAACTGTTAGCTGAATATTCGGCGATTTATGCGCTTCATAACTGTGGCCTCATTCTTCAGCAGGCACTCTTCTCTCGTTTCCTAGTAACCTCTTACTCTTCCTCCTCCTCATCCTCTTTTCGCGTCCGCTTCCAACCCCTTGTTTTTGATTGTTTTTCAAATTTAAGCTTCTCATCAAGTTTTAATGAGGGTTTTTATACCAACTATAATTCCATACTACATGATTCTGAGAACTCCAAAGACTCAATGATTACGCACTGATTAATTGCGCACAACGAAAATATTCGGACCGCCCCCAAAAAATGTCAAAAACGAAAAAGCACGACATTCGAAATTGCATGTTTTATGGGGTTTCGCCCGCCAAAAAATGGAAATACCAATTTCCGGTATCGTTTGAAATGAGAATGCAATATCCGCGCATTGGCGATTAATATGTTCGACAAATGAAGAGAACGTGTGAATCAATTGCAATTTTTCAAATGACTTAATTACAACGTTCAAAACCTAAAATTTCATTTTTGATGTTACTGAAAACGAAAAAGAAATGCAATTTAAAAAAATCAGTACGATATTAATAATAGTTTTATTGTAGGAGAGTTTGGAGAAATTTATTGAGCTCAATCACTAGGTTGACTTATCTTCATGAAAGCACCTACTCGGGGATAAAATAGCAAATTCACGGTTCATTCGTCCTATTTTCGACCCAATTTGGGCGACATCTCAGGATTCAAGGAGCGAAATTACCAATATCGCCGATTGGAGCCAGAAAAGCGCGAGCAAAACGCAAATTCGCCTTTACCTCGAACTAAATTCGCGGTTGTATAAACCGAAACATTTCATTTTTGACGTTTATCAGTGTATGTGTAGGAAAAAGCAATACCCCTCCTATTTTTCATTAGATTTTTAACAAATTAACTCTTTCAGTAATACACCAAATCCAATTATCACATAGTTTAAAATTTATTTAACTTAAATACGGCTGTACGCATCAGTGTTGCTCGGAATTTCATTACCAGTGTATCTACACGGGACTGGATTTCCCGGGATCCCGGGAAATCCCGGGACTCCAATTCCGGGTCTCGTCCCGGTTTCGTCCCGCAACTACCCGGGAAATTCTTTTCCCGGGATGAGCGGGTTCCCGGGAATCCCGGGAAAAAGTCTGCAAACACCGCACGCGCAAACGCACACTCTTCGAATATTGCGTATTCTCGTTTTTTTAATGAATTTTTTTATTTTAAAAAGATTCCAATGCTTAGAAAATGGCGTAGGAAGTCCCTATTTGGAATTTTTAAAATTTAACAGAAAAATGAGCACAATTGCAATGTGCAAATAACGATTTTTCCAAATTAGCAAGAATTTTATACGAAATAATGGTTTTCTCAGGCAAATCAAATAAAATATTTGGAGAATCAAATATTCAGTGATAAACTCTAAAATATTTTGAGAAATTCTAAAGTCTATTGATACTTTCTAAAACTTATTGAGAATCAATAAATTTTAAAAATTTGGAATTTGTAAATTAAATCTTTTGAGAAAGTTAAATCTTTTGAGAAAGTGTAAAGTATCTCAATATATTGTGAGACTTTAAAATTTGAATAGGGCCCTTATGACTTCCACTGACGCAATTTGCGGCGTCTCTTTTTAAGATCTCCCAAATTCCAATAAATAATTTATGTTTTTGATGTTCCTTCCGTTTTTTTTAGCTTTTTGTAATAGTTTCTTCACTTCAGTGATGGACGTATTCATGAAATGCAAGTTTTTATAATAAATGTTTAACACTACCTTAAATCTGCATTGTTTTACATGCTGAATTTGAAACAGTTGTGTCTAAACATGTCATTGCATGAACAGGTTCATGAATTTTAAAAATACGCACAATTATTACAATTAATTACAATTATACTTCAGTTTCTAATGATTTCGATATTTTAGAAGATCGGGAAAAGTGTGGAACAAACATTCCAGAAACATTGGCCGATAGATTTAAGGAACGAGGTAAATACAGCAAATTCAATGAGCAGGTGCCCATGTGGATCACGGCCATGGATATTTTCCACCTTTTTCACGAGGGAACACGTATAATAAAAGGTACTTCAATTATGTCTCTCCTTTTTCAGCATTTAAAAATTGAAGATTGTCTTTTAGAAGTCTTCGTTAAAAACGAAATAAATATTTTTCGATGCGAAGCTATTGATGTGAAAGCGAGACTGCCATCTTCGGTAAAGTCGCTATCAGGAAAATTCAATGACATTAATAGGTCCGAAAAAGCTAGTGTAAGTTAATTTACCACTTGCAATTATCATCCTTTGAAGATTTTTGAAGTGAAAATTGTTTCTAACGCCATGATCGGAACCATCCCTCCGTTAGGTTCAGCTGTTGTGTTGCTTATACATGCCTGCTACCGATGGATGGTGTCACCGACTCGCTAGTAATATAACAAAGTAATATGGGATCGTTAGCTATGTACATAATAGAAAATTTTTATTTCAGATCGCAGGTATTTGCAAATTATTAGAAATTCTAATTTGAGATGGGGCGCCTCAATTGTTTTCTGGTTCAAAAGTGCACGTAAGTCGTTTTTTTTACTAATGATTACTGTATTTATTGTTTCAGCAACTTATATACCATTTGTACAGTAATGTCAGGCGGTGTGGTCAGCTGTCGGCAATATGCACGCAAGCGCATGAGCACATTTATCACGTTATCAAGAGAAACATGTGCTCGGAACAGACAAACGGGATTGGATATAGTATTTTGAGAAAGTTAGACTCATTCAGTTATTTTTTAAAACTGACAATTTTCAGCTATAAACTATATCACGAGATTTCATTGAAAATGCGTTTCAACGCGAATCCGGATTTAATTAAGAAGGCATTTTATCGCAAAGAACTCATGAAATTAATCGAAAAACGACAAATTCAATCATCAAAATTTGTAAGTTCAACATTTTCTTTCAATATATGCAACGAATTCCTTACAGCAACGTTGTGCGTCATTCGCAGAAAATGGAGAAAATGCGAAAAGAATAAATTGATTCATTTATTTTTTTTCTGATTTTTATTATTAATATATTCATTTCGCATTAATATTGTAATAAATGAAATGTTCATACATATTCAATTATTATGGATGTTATTACATTCTATTTGTGTGAAAATTGCTCGATAACGTATGATATTACATAATATCGGACAGAGTTTATTGAGAACAATCTAAAATTTATTGATATATTCTAAAGTTTATTGAGACAAATCTAAAACTTATTGATAAACTTTAAAGTCTCACAATATTCATTGAAACTTATTGATAAATTCTAAAATCTTATGAGATTTCATAAAGTTTATTGAGACAAATCTAAAATATTATAGAGACACGTTAGCCTCTCAACGAACCTCATAAGATTTTAGAATTGTCTCAAAATATTTTTTTTCATTTGCCTGAGTTAAACTTTCTTCAATAGACTATTTCAACAAAAAAATGTATTGGAGATCGATGAAGTAAACAGTAAATTATATTAATATATAATATACAATAAATTATAATAATATATAATATCGCATCGCGTTCAATTTAAACCAGACCTGTGAATCACAAGTAATTAATGAAGTGCATCGTTTTCGTGAATTTGTGCCGTTTTTCGCAGGGCTGATTCAAAAAGACCTTTCGTCTTTATCGATCACATTCACTATCATCTCCTCTTGGCGCAGATTCAAAATTTTCCAAATAGGGACTTCCTTTTTTCCCGGGATCCCTTAAGTTTCAATGAGTCCCGGGAAAATTTTCTCGGGAATTTCCCGAGAACCCGGCCATTCCCGGGAAACTTCGTCCCGGGTAGACACACTGTTCATTACTAGATAAAAATTTTTATCGTTTCCATTGTTTGACGGAAGGAAGTTATTTCCATGCAACCCTGGAGTATGCTTCAAGTTATACACGAAACACCTGATTAACATTCGTATAACGTTGAATTACGAAAGCGAAAACATCAATTAACAATTCACTACGTTATATATTTAAAACAAAATTTAAAAAATAGCGAATGTACTCGAGAGTCGTGGGATACTTTGGAAACTTTGATAAATCAAAGTCAATCGGATAAGATGTAGCAAATTATGCAAACAGAAAAGAAACATTACCAATCGGTTGCAAGACTAATCGTATTCAAACACGTTCAGAAACAAGTTGGACACGATACTTTTGTGGATCTATTCATGAAAATTTTACAAAAAATAAAAAAATACATCAAATTTGCATTTTTTACAACTTTGTATAAGAAAAATGTGTAATTTTTACATTTTTTTAATATTTCCAAAGTAGGTTCATTATAACCAGCATCGAGAGATTGACCGTATTCGGCACCTTTTTAAACGAGCGTCCTCCGCAATTGTTCAAGAAGCTCGTTTTTCTTGCGATGGTAATATTTTGCCAACGTTAAACGACTGAAAGAAGGAGAGGCCTTCAATTTCGCGAAATCTATGTATACTTAAATTTACGCGAAGCACTCGTACTTTTCGTTGTCTCAGACGGATTGACGACCCTTTTTTCGCCTTTCAATAGACATAAAATATAATAGAAAACAGATTTAAAAAAAAAAAACAAAAAATTCTACGTTAATTAATCGCGGAGAAAGACGATCGCGAAGTAAATGGGGATACAAAATTCAAATACGAAATGCTTAATCACGTGAAAATTCCACGAGCTAAGGAAAAAAAAAACTATTGGACAGTCCAGGATTCTATTGTCCTCGTTGCGCGATTGCGGAAAATTGGTTACATGTAAAAAAACAATGGCTTGTGGTCTTAACGCAAAACTAAGGTTCGATTTACGGGCATATGTATAAGAATAAATTAAAGGTGCATATTGAGATCTCTTTTTAATTTTTTTTGGCGTTTAGCCAATTTTTCCGAAGTCGCGCGACGCCGAAAATACCTACCTCACACTGCAGTGGGTTCTTCTCGCCTGTCGTAACCTTGGTCATTTCTAAATATTCGAGATTCTCGTAATCAATCGTTACAACAAATATCGCATGGACAAGGTATACTAACACGATTTCAAGGGATCAATGTTGGATACATGTGGTTTATTCAATTGTTATCATTGAAACAAACAACGAGGTGAAAGGGAAAATATGAAAAAGTAAAAATTGGAAGTAAAAAAACGAGAAAACGCATCTCTCGAGATCAATTTACAAACATTTTTAAGATTATTGGAATCTAAAAACAATCGAACTCAGCAATTTCGAGTTAACAAATCAGAATTAAAATGTAAAACGTATATTTGGAGTTATGTATATATGTATATGTGTATATATATATATATATATGTAAGGACTGAAATAAATATTAAATTAACAGTTATTAAGAACATGATTACTAGAATACTTTGTGGTTAATAATAGATTAACATATCCCTGCAGATAGTACAGTATATAACAGAATAGAACACAAAAGAAATGAAAAGAAGCAATGAAGAGTAAAAATAGAGCAAATAGGTGGAAAAGGATAAACACCGATCGGCATAAAACAAATAAATTGCCACTGTTAAAAGTCAAGCATTTTCGTTTTACTCTTCATCGTCATCGTCTCCGTCGCATTTGACGCGCTTCTTCGGAGATTCTTCATAGTCCTCATCATCAGTAGCCTAAATTAAAAAATAACTTAACAAAAACACTTTATCTGCTAACCGATGCTTTCTTTGCCGGTCTTCCTCGACGTCCACCACGTCCACCAGCAGCACCTCCACGTGTGCGCTCTGAAAATTATTTTAAAACAAGCACAGAAATAAACTATTGGAATATGGAATATAAATATATTTTTTTAAACTTACTGGTTCCTCTCTTTTTCCCGAATTCAACATCATCTGAATCGCTCGGCGCCCCATCGGAATCAGAATAATAATCCGTGCGCGATTTTGCCTTCCGGGTGTTCTAAGAAAAAAAAATTTGATCATAAATTAAAAAAAAAAACATGCCTTGAAGAGCTTTCCTGGAATTTCATCGTCAACCTCAGCGAGAACAGTGCTAGTGTCTGGATTCGCATAATCGATTTTTGTGGTAGAGCGTCTTGGACGAGTCGAAGCGATTGAGTTCGCTGCCTAAACAATTAATTTTCTACTAATTCCATTACATTAAATTTTTTTTACATCAATCGGCTTCGAAGTTCTCGGAGCTCGTGGAGTTTTTGGCTCTCCTGACCCACCAGCTGGTCTACCTCGACCGCGACCTCGGCCGCGTCCTCTACCGCGACCTCTCCCACGCCCAGAAGCAGGAGCGGCAGCCTCCCCTTCTCCAACTGCCTCGAAATCTTCCGCGTTATCACCCCCATCGGTGTTTCCTCCATCAGCCTACGAATTAAACGACAATTTCATAAGTTTTGAATTACAACTGATTACCTCCTTATTTTCGTCCTCTGGTTTACCATCATCTCCGGCTTCGCCAGTTTTCTCCTCTGAATCCTCTTTCGTTTCTTCAGATGACTCTTTAATCTCCTCTCCTTTCTCCTCAGGAGCATCCTCTTCTTTCTTGTCCTCAGTTTCTGCGTTGACTTCCACTTCTTTACTTTCTCCTAATTCCGGAGTCTCCGTTGCCTCCTTTATCGCGAGCACCTTGGATTCTTCATTTTCAGTCTTGGCTGGCTCAACGTCTTCTGCAGCTTCTTCATTCTAAACGTATAAAGGTGATAATTATCAAAAATATTTTATCTACCTCCTCGGCTTGTTTTCCTTCTTCTGGTGCAGCGACGGAGTCGGCGTTATTGCCATTTGCCTCTTGTGATTTCTGTTCTTCAGCTAGTGGTTCATCTATTTTAATTTTTTTGTAAGCAATAGTTAATTTAAAAATATACCTATAACACCAGACGCAGCCTTTTCCGGCAGAGCTGCCTCAACTTTTGAAACTTCAGAAACAGCTGGGGCTTCGTCAGACATTTCAAGCTGCAAATGTTGAAATTAACGTAAACAAGTACGAGGTAATGATATTAGAGGAACTTATTGATAGACTATGAAAGATTAACATCAAACACCGGATAAATAATATTAAGATTAATTGTTTGTCAGTTTCGAATTAATGCGCTTTAACTATTGTCAAACTAAATCAAAGATTATAATAAAAAATCATTTTTCGATTTTTGGAATGGTTAACAGAAAATCAATCACTTTACATATTGAAAAACGTGTTACAATATTTTAAGCGAATATAATATTTTAACGAGTAAACTTTCCATTTTTTATTCAAATCAATTACTAAAGTATTGTTTTAATTATTATAACCGAAAAAAAAATAAAACAAAGGGTATAAACTAAAAAGAAAATAAAATGTTTGTTGAGTAAACATATTTTTAAATATCAACGCTTCAAAAATTTTCGCGGGAGCGACCTGACGCCATGAAAAACGCATCGCGTGACAGACGCGTCGCGTGCCTGCGTATCAACTCATCTCAATAGAAAGGCGATACGCAGTTTTCGATTTATTTTGTATTTTTTTAAATATTTCCTCGAATTGAATAATCGAGCACGCTGTTCTGGGAATGTTCAAAAAGTTTTGCCTATTAATGTTATAAATTGAAACGATAATTGAAAATTAGTGTTGCAACGAAAACTTATCAAATTAAGGTGGACAGAATTAAATTATCTCATATTATCTCACTTAAATTTTTAAGTTGTTATAGTAGGGACTTCTTATTTTTTTTGAAATTTTAAATACTTTAACATCCTATTTATTTCAGAATGGCACCGTTTTTCCCAGACTTCCGTAAAATTCGAAAACGCGTAAAGAGATCGCTGAGCTACGGGTCCAGACAGCCGACTAACTTAAATTTTCCACTTTCTCGTAAGCTTCCAAATATTTCCCAAAATTTCGATACATTTGAATAATTGTTAGAATTTGTTGTTGAATATTTCGACAAAAAATGTACGTTCGATTACATGGAGCCGGAGACTTCGACTTCGATTTCAAAGAAAGGCTATGCCGATCCATGCACATTGGTTGTCGCTCTTGTTTATTTGGACAGATTACGAGTACAAAACAAAGTCAGTCTTTGAAAAACTTTGAAACCTGTTTACTATTAAAGTATTTTAGCAATTTTTCGAATCAACTGATCCGACTGCTCTGTACGTCCCCGCTCTGATTCTTGCCTCTAAGTACATACATGATGCTGATACCTACGATCGTGTACCAAATTCGGACTGGGCTGAATCTTTACAAATCCCTGCTGATGATTTAAACAACATGGAATGGGACTTCGTTAAAAACCTTGACTGGAATGTTTCCGTGAAATGCGAAGAATTCGAGAAGTATTTATTCTCGTTGGAATCTTGGATGGCAGTGTTTCATATCAAGAAGAACAATTCTGTGACCTACAATGAGTTATCTATTTTGGTAATAAGTTGCAATCCATTTAATCCAACATGTTTTATATTTCAGTCATCAACTCTACCGCTTTTGGATATTCTGAAATACTTATTTGAAGTTATTAGTGCCGCCTCAATATTTTATTGCTTCTCTTTAATGATCATGTCGACAACGATCCAGACCTTATGCACACCATCTTCTGAATCTACCGATAAGAGCAACACAACTACAATCATCATGCCTTCTGTATCTCTTTCCGATGATGGAACTGGTGCTGAAAACGTGATCGAGGATAGCTGGTTTAATAATCCAATTTTTGAAATCTGCGATGATGGTGAAGACGATTTAATTAATTCAACATTCATGGTTGAAACTCGAACGGCTAAATCAATTCAAGATGCTGTAATGTTTCGTATTCCGAGTTTCTCATGTAATCAGTTCAATTTTATTGTTAAATAATGCTTCTGTTAAGCCTAATAACATATCCGTTGAACATCTTAAATGTGCCTAGAACCTCTTAAATAAACAAGGTTTTGATTTAATAAACGTAGGTAAAGTACAATTATCTAAGATGTGCTGCGTTATCAATTCAGTTTCGGGCACTTAATTTGATTATGTCCCGCTCCCCTCTTCACCCGTTACCCCCCTCCTTTTTTTCATCTGATAAAAACTGTTGCTCTATCGAAGTGTGCATTGATTTCGTTTCGAATAATTTCAGGGAAAAGTCTGGATGCGTTGGTAGATGCGGTTTTTCCAGGTGCGGAATGTCGACGCTTCTCTCACATTTGTCCTTTTTCTTACCTCTGTCGCATTTGCCGCTCAATTTTGTGGTACGTTTTGATGCATTGTGATAAGTGCAGAAATCAATCAATAAATGTCAAACTTTTCGATCAGATTGATGACGCTTCGTTTAAGACACTGATAATCGCATGTTAATCAAAAATTTCTCAAAGGAGCGCGATGCTCAATCAATTTCACGTATAGAAGGATCTGATTCTGCAAAATGTGAACATGATGCTTAACAATAGACAAATTTCCAGCATCAGATGGAAGTGACGAGCCGATTATTACTGATAATCGATATTGGTGTAATGTCACAAATTTCGCTGAAATTCTAATGCCTCCACCGAAACTGTACAATAAATCCGACGATTATGTAACTATTTCCAAATAATTGTTCAGATTATTTACCAGTAAAATTTAGCCAGTTCATTATTGTGATATGGTCTTTCTTCTTGATCTTGATCAGACTCTGACGTCCGAAGATGATTATGGTCAAGTGATTCAATTCATCAGTGGTGCAACGACTACGTGCATGGATCGTGGAATCGGCTACAAAATATTTGCCTGGCCGATGTTTAACAATTCAAATTTTGTTCGTGTATAATTTTTATTCGAATTTGCTATATTTACAAATTGAAGACGACCGAAACCGTCTGCTGTGAGCAATCGATCTGCTATCAAATGTTCGGTTTCATGAATTATCGAAATTACGTTGGACAATACGATACATTGGATCCAATTCAACCGATTACTTCCAAATTCAATTTCTCATACACGTTGATAGGCGACGTTTGATCTTTTTTTAATTTACATTAATCAGATTAGATATTTTCAGCTGAAACGAATTGGCACACCGCCTGCCGCATGTTTATACAACAATTACATAATGATAACAAATAGGTTGTTCAATATGACCGGTACCCAGGAAATAACGAAAGAAATCAGCGAAATTCTTAGCGTTGGGTGTATAACGTTTACAGTAATCACTGTCGGGAACAACCAAATTAACACCAAAATGATGTACGATGAATATAAAGGCATCACGTATAACACATACGTTGTTCCCAGTTTTAACTGTCTTGATGTACTTGTGGTAGGCAAAAAAGCATAAATCTTCAAAGCTCATTTAAATAATATTTTGGGATTGCATAAAACCTTGTGGCTCTCGAGGATCGAATTCATGTGATCAACAGTACCAAAAAAATTGCCCTATACCGACAACTACAACTCCCGGAACTACTGTTACAACAGCGACAACACCTGCTCCTACCGTATGTCAACCCGATTTTTATATTCTCTAGAAAACGATTTCCAAAATTTCAATGAATCTACTCATAATATTGACATTTTCTTCATAGCATTGTTGTGTTGCTAATGACTTTTGTTTCCTCATGTGTGTGAAACATTCATATTTCGAAATTTCAGCTTGATCCTGAATACGAGGATTATTGGCAAGTGATATATCTATTTGCTATTTCGAACCGAACAACCAGTGAGCAGTTCGACAGAATGGTCCGATATGTCTCGGAGCCATTAAGACAGTGTGAAGTATGTGATTTTTTTCAATTAAAAACTTTATCATAATACTCGAATTTGTTTTCTTTTGGATCGTGTGTTTTTTCTTTTGGGTCGTGTGATACCACCCAATATGATGCAGAATATTAATCCTGTAGACTCACATCCTGACTCCATAGTTCGTAAATTTTTCTGATAAAAACTGTTTACCTAACAGATTTATGAATCTTAAAAATGTTTAAGATCAAATGAGCATAAGCCAAATGTATAAATTTAAAACATTTTCAATCATATTATGTATACATTTGCTGATAATTTAATAAAAACGTAGTTGTAAATTTTGCAAAACGTCAAGTACGAGAAAACTGCATACGTAATCATACCTCAGAACATCGAAAATCATAGCAAAGCCAGGAAATTTTATCAAAAAAAATCTTGAAATTTCAAATGTTCGGTTTTTTAAAGTTAAAGTTGTAAACAATTGATTTTTTGCTTTCGGAGAATAAAATACTCACCATTTCTTCGATTCTTTCTTATAGTTCACATAGTAAGTTGATCATTCTCTTTCAGGGACATGAAATAATTGTACGATTTCTCGCAAGCAATAATTCTGATTCCGGATGGATCACAGATCTTACGACAACTGGCGTTTACATTCGCGGATTAGTGGGAAATGAATTGTTGATCGAACAAGGTAAATAAACGAAACACTCCAATCATTAATAAACATCTAGATGGCAATCAGTTAGTCGGTGATAGTGTAAATGCGACACTCGACATGATTGTAAGAGCAGTCTCGATACCAGTGAATATCGGCGAAGAAAGTGGAGCAAGAGTTCCAAGAATTACATTACTTACCGATTTTGTTTCACAGGTTATTAGTAGTTGGAATTAATTTTAAAAAATTGGTTCTCAGAGCTTCGTTGGTCAATACAATGATTTGATAGTAAAGTTGGAAGTGTACGATTTTGTCATAATTGCCTTTACACAAGATGCATATGATGGATATCGCTCACTGGCTATCAAGTTAACTCAAGTTATTAATGATGCCGGTTTTGGAGATTCGAAATTACTACGAATGTGCGAAAGTAAGTGCAATTATCAAAAAAAAATCTTCGCACATAATTCAGTGATTTTTTTGAAAAACAATTGTTTTTGCAGGTTCATCAACTGTCACCACAATTATGATAATAATTATTGGAACTTGTGCTGGAGCTTTGCTTATTCTCGTTCTTCTAACGGTTCTTTACCGACAAAAATACATGTGGATGAGAAAACTTAAGCGATTCAAAACATCTCATATTGTTCACCACGACGAGAATGCAATGTCTAATAGATGTCGTAATTTAAAACATAAGATAATTTTTTCAGCATTGATTACTGGGAACTTTCGTGGGATAGAATAATTTTGAAAAATGACAAACTTGGCAACGGAGCGTACGGACAGGTTTTCAAGGGTAGAATTACTTTCAAACTTAATAAAGATACCTTGAATTTTAGGCAAAATTCGAGGTGTTCCACCAGCCATTGAGAAATTTAATCAATCTGAAATTCTTGCTTACACCGACTGCGACTGTGCTGTCAAGATGCTTCCAAGAGGTGCATCTGAGACTGCTAAATCGGAATTTCGACATGAAATTGAGCTGGTGAATTTTAGATTAATAATAAAATTAAATTGATAGTTCAGATGAAAAGCATCGGATACAATGAACATATTGTGAATATGCTTGGATGCATAACAGCTGATCTTAAGCCTTGCCTAGTAATGGAGTACTGCGCAAATCGAGATCTACTCAAATATGTTAGATATAAAAAAGCGGAGCTCGATATCGTAAGTTTTTTGTTTTGGAATTGTTTTGCCGACGAAAAACCACATGTTCAGTCTAGAAGTGTGGACGATCTATTCGATTGTCATAAAGAATTTCTAAATTTGGCTTGGCAAATCGCTCAAGGAATGTGTTTCCTCGTTGAGAAGAAAATTATTCATCGCGATCTCGCCGCTCGGAATATTTTGATTTCCTCATTTGCTGGAATGAAAACTGCGAAAGTTGGCGATTTTGGTTTGGCCATTTCGAAGAATTATATGGAAAATAACCAAGTAGCAGCTTCTGATCAACTTCCTATAAAGTGGTTAGCTTTGGAAAGTTTGGAAAAAGCCGAATTCTCTCATAAAACCGATGTGTAAGGCTTTGTCATCACAAAAAATTTAATATCACCACAAAAATATTTAGATGGTCGTTTGGGATAGTCATATTTGAAATGTATTCTCTCGGTGATGTTCCATTCGCTGATGTCGAGCCAACCGAACTTGTTACGTATCTAAGAAACGGCGGCCGACCGAAAATTCCGCCATTAGCAACTGATAAAGTGTGAGTAAAAACTAATAAATTAAAATGTTTTCTCTCATTTTAGAGCGGAAATTATGAATAAATGCTGGGAAGAGAAACCAATGAAACGTCCTGATTTCGATGAGCTCGTTTCATTTTTCGCCGATCAACTCGAAATTTCGGCAGAGAATTATGGGTATTTAGTGCTTCAAAAGACAGAAGATTATCGAGTGATTCCTGAAGTAATCGAAGAAACGCCACCTGAAATTAAAATTGAAACTACCGATGAAGTGCCCCAAGGATTCCGAAACCGATCGCTTACTTGCAAATCTCGCGAGAAAGGAAGCAATGTGAAGCTGAACCGCGAGTACAGCTTAACAGAAAGTATATATATTATTTTACACTCATTAAAAATATAATAATTTTGTAACATAGGCGAATCTCGGAAGAAATCGAAACATGAAGAAGCTTCAGCGAACAATGAACAACAAAAGAAACGAAAATCATATTTGAATCTTCCAAAAGCACATAACCTCATTCCTTCTTTGAATGCAATCAATCCATTTAACAAGGACAATGAATTCAAGAAGACATTCAAAAGGAAAAAGAATTCCAGAAGAGGTTCCGTGCCATATTAATACTTTTCTGCAATCTTAATATTTTCAAAATCAATAATTCCTCACAAACTACGGTTCTTTGACGTCAATATTTTTCAGTGTACATATTTACAAACTGTATTACGGTGATTATACTTTAAGAAATTCTAAAAGATTGTTTATAATTTATTTATTTTGTAGTTGCTACAAATACATAGAGTAAACAAATAAATAAAAGTGAAATTAAAACATACAATTAATCGGTACAGGAAAAAATCACAGAAAACAAAAAATATATAATATTAATAACAAATAAAGTCATAAAATCTACTCGTATTGATAATTGCTGCATTCTTAAAAATAATAAGCCACGTTTTTTTTCTACATTAAGCAGTTTCCGCACCAAACATTGTCAGTTTGATCTTTGGCTGCGCCACAGTAGGAGCACCAGTCTTCGCCGCCTCGGTCGCTTTAAGTTTAGTGGTTTGGTGAGCGTGGCGAGTGGCCTGAAGTGCCATAGCACTCTCAAGCTTCATCTTAAGCTCGCCATCCCAATCAATGACCCGTTTGAATTCCATTGGCCATAACGAAGCGGCAGCATTTAGTCTTCCAATCGCCATTTCATGCAGCTTCTTCTCAATCGGTCCAGCCTGCCGCCATTCTTGATGCGTAGTGGCACGCAAAAGCCGAACCAAAGTCTGCACCAAAAGACAAATTACCTGAGTTCCTGCAAATAATGCAATTTTTAATATTCTTATCAGGTTTCATAAATACGTTTCGTTTCTTGAGCATTAATCGCTAGAACCTCAATCACTTTTACGCATTCATTAATCACGGCAACGTCGGTCTCGGAAATTTTAGCCTAAAATTGTGTTTTGTTAAATTCGGATCGCGATATATTACATTTTCATCGTCAATTCGAACAAGACATCCTTTAACAACAGCCATAATCTCTTTGCCAAGATGCTTCACAAAAATTCCACCAAATGCTTTTCGACTGAATATCGAAGTAAGTGATTGAAGGGTTTTGAGAACCACCTGAAATTTAAAGATTGTTACTTTATCCCTTGCATAATAAAAAAACCGGCACAGATTCCGAGTGCAAATGCCTTTTGAGAAGCACTATGAATTTATTGAATGAATCGCTATGACCAAGTACAACATCTACCGATGCAGAAGTGGCAAAAACAACTGCAGCAAGCATTATCACACTTTTATCAAGTGAAACACGATTTCCAGACCCATCTTCATCTGAATCATACGTTATTTCAAAAAACTCTACGATGCTAAAACTAGACCGTTTGTCAAATTAACCACTGAATAGAATGTATTTCTCATTATAGATTTCCACTGCGGCAAAGTTCCATCATTCGGAGGCTGGCTTAATATTGCCCTAGTCGATTGAATAGAAGACGTTGCCACAGCATTCAAACTGCCTGTGCTTCTCCCACAAGCTGTTTCATCAAATCTCGCAGACTCCCTAATGAAAGACACCAGAAGGTACATAATCACGGGAAGAATTGTGATTTTTGCTTGAGGTGAGCACAAGGCGGGAACCTTAAATCATTTCAATGCTTATTAATTTCACATTCAAAACTTTAAAAAAACCTGAATAAGAATCTGCATGCTTTTGATAACCAGATGCATGCTTTCCGCCGACATCCTTCCGACTTTTCGAAGGTGCAACGCTGCCACGCTATTTGTTTTGAGATGGTTTGCATTGACTTGTGGCATCTAAATAATAAAACAGTAAAATTTTTAATATTCGAACGCACCTGTTTGAAAATAATACAGACACACAACTCAAGAATTGCGTAACTGATAGTTGAAATTTCGGAGTTATCCAATTTCTGTCCCTTTGGAGTTACAATTTTACCATCCTCGCCGCCTTCATTTCCTCCAAACAAATTGTTGGGAATATTTCGATTGCTGCTGATATCATTTCCGTTAGAAATATCTGAAAAAAAAAAACCCCTAAAAAAATGATTTTCAAAAAATTGCCCACCTCGAGATGAAACGATTCTCATAGAAAGTTGAGCAGCATCAATTATAGCACTTGCACACTCGATGCACAAAATTTGGGTCGCAGCGTTGTCTCGTGTTAAGATGACTCTGTGAAGAACGCTGAGAATTTCGACCGCTGCCGGAATGTCGCTCATGAGGTACATTTGACACCATTCGGATGTGAGTAAGCATGTCAGTGACTTTACAGACATCTGTATCGTCTCATCCTCAATCTGTCGTGTTCGGTTGCTCAAGGACTCAATTGCAATTCCAACAAGCAAGTAGAATCTTGACACGTTTCCTTCGTCCTTCCAAATCGTTCCCGTTTCTTCGGTTAGAACAATTTCGGAAGGAATCTCGAAATTCTTCTTGCTCAACCAGGTACTGGATGCAAATAGAATTGGAGGCCAACTAAGCCGATAGTATTCACGGCAAGCCTACAAAATTATAATGAATTGGGCTTTTGAATTCATTTTACATCTGCACTGTGCGAATTGAAAAATGCGCCTCCTCGATTTTGGAATTGCTCCGAATAATGATGAGGAAGAGCTAGAAGAGCCGAATCATTTAAAGCTGCCAACCAATAGACAATCAACGAGTTTGCTTCCGGTTCGACAAGTGACAACAGCGAACAGTTTCCAGTATTACCTGTACAATGAATCGTGAAGACCCCAAATAGTAAACACAAGTAATAATTACCATAGTGATCAGTCTTGTCCGTTTCCTTTTTGTTCTCTTCTTGATCGATAGCTGTCACATACACTTCCGCCCAAGCCTTTAGAATGGACAATTTTTCTAGGGTCGCAGCACTTTCGCTATACAATTGCACATTTATAGATCCATGCTTCAGCTTTCCCAAAGAAGATACCAGAAGCTGCAATCTCATAAATCATTTTCCAAGCAACATTAAAATGAGATACCTGATGAACCCTTTTGAGATCGTTTAAATCTCGCGCCACTCCGCTTCCGATCCATGTACTGCACACCTGGCATGCGACAGATGTTACATTACTGGGCGTCTCATCTGCGAACGCTGGTCTAAGTGCGGCCCCAACTTGCGCTTGAAATTGCTCCAAAATCATATGACCCGGGAATTCAGGTTCAGGCACAGACGAAAATCGATTAATCACTTCCTTCAAAAAATGAATAAAATAAAATAATTAAATAGACAAGCGCACCTCTAAAGAACGAAGACCGGCAATTCTTAGCGGCCAATTGTCACTCGTGGCAGCCATAAACGACATTCTAACAAGGTCTGACAAATGGAGAACAAGATAGTCGTTTTTCCCAGCAGATGTCATTTGAAGCTCCTTGGCTAATGCAATATCCAAATGTGCACGTTCGGTATCACACACACTCATTAAGCGATTGACTATCTTTAAAAAAATATTTTTGGCAATATATAGGACTTTGTTTTATACCTCCATTGTGAACACTTTCGTCGGCCACCGTGGTTGCACTTTTCCTTTGTCTTCTTCGACCGTTTGAATTCCAGCCAAATTCGTATCGTCATCTCCACTTTCATCATCTTCTTCGTCAGCTTCTCCTTCAACAACGCTTACTTCTTTCATCTTTCGACGATTTTGCTCATTTGATGTCGCCAAAATATCCTTGCATAGAGTCAGCCAGTTGTTAAGAAGTTCTCCACTAGTTCCTTGTACCAAAGAAATTATTGTCTCCTAAGGTTTTTAGAATGAAAAATTATTTTTAATCGTAAATATTAACCTCAATGTGATTGCGTAAGTCTTGTTTCACCTCTAAATCAAGCATCGCGAACAACGCCCCTTCTAATCCCGAATCCGGTAATGGAAACTTTTTGCGATTCGTCTCAACAACTGCCTGAGGTACAAGTTCTTGCGCGTGGTTGCGGACTTCCTTCGATTCTCGCTGCACAAGTTGACGAAGGCAACAAACTGCTTGTTGGCGAATCACCAGATGCCTCGAATTGAGAAGAGAACAAATATCAACGACTAGTTGGTTTAAGTGAACGTAGCGCGGTGCGAACAAGTGCATTTGCTGCAATCCGGATATCGCTTCTGCTTTTACGTGAGGATCCGAATGCGACAGTTGAATGGCACAAGCTGCCAGCAGAGATGTTCGAACACCATCAATAACTCCTGGACAACTCAATTCAGGACCAACACAAGTAATAAGAGCCGTAAGCTAAAGATTAGATGTTATAGGGCATAATTGCTATTGAGACCTCACCAATTTGCTGATTCCCTGAATAACATCAACAACAAATGTGGGAGTAGAGATGAGAAGTTTGAGGCACATGCTGAGAACGACCTCGACAAATCCACGAAACATTCCACCACCAGTCTCAGCAATAAGAGCCATCGAAATTAGAGCGCATGTCTAGAAAAAAAAATAATGATAAATAAATTATATCGACCGACATATTCAATACCTGCACACTGGGATAAGTGGTTTCTTGCGATAAAGCCAAAACCAGTTGAAAGCCGGTGTTCAAATGCTGCCCAGTTCCTAATGATCCTACATGCCGATAAATGCATCCGAGCGCCAAAACATGACCAGACCGATTGATAGCATCCCTACATTTCCCCAATTGCTCAAAACAATATTGCGCAATATCAGCCACAAACTGTAATTTGTTCAAATTGGACATTTCAGATCTGAAAGTCAACCTTGGGATTTGCCACTGCTTGACACAAACGGGCCAACGACTCCGCGCCAACAAGACGAACCGTCGGGCAAGAGTTAGACAATGCCGGGAAAATGAGCATTTGGCATGCTTTTTGAAGATTCGCGTTTTCCGCATTCTTCCGGATATCGCACATTGTCTTGAATGCCAGCATTGTTCCCGTTAGCGCATTCAAAAGTATCTGAATGCAATACTTATGTCCAAAAAAAATTCAAAATTTTCAAACCGCTTGCTGACGTGCAGTGTTCTTGCAATTTTTAAGGACATCAACGAAATGCTCAATAATTTGAATTTTGTGTTTCGTATAAACCAGAGGAAAAATTTTTCCAAACGTATGAAGTGCAATATTGAGACAAACTAATGGAATCGAATCGTTCTCTGGCCAAGTATCACCAATTCTGGATGATGATGTTCTGAATAAAAATAACCAAATTAAAAAATAAAAACCAAATTACCTTATTAAAGCTGTGAGGTCATCATCAATGTTTCCGACATCAATAGAAGGAGCGTGAAGCTGAAAAATTGGAAGCAATTAGGAACTATTCATTTTGTCTAACCAGATTTTCAACCATCGCATAGTCGGTAGCTGCAAACCACGGCGACAATAGAACTTTCTCGACTCCATTGAACATATTTGGTGGAATTGTGGTTATTGTGCTGCTCTGCGAATTATCCGACAGTGTGATATCCGCAACAAGCTCCCTGAGCAAAGAAACATAGCACCCCTCGATAGCCTTATGGGGCAGAATCATAAGCAATTTGTATACACGTATTCTGATGACACTGTTTAATTGACGCATTCGATTACCATAAGAGCGGATCAGAGTTCCAACTCTGGAAATTTAGTTGTCGACATTCAAAAATATCAACTAATTATAGTTACTGTGACATCATAATTAAACTGCATTCAATGGGAACTCTAATGGATTCGATTGCATTGTTCGTTGCACTTAATTCCGGGTTCATTGCAACAGCTTCCATCACAGAAAGAGCTCCGGCTTGTCCAATCATGGCACACTGCCACGAGAATGCATCACCTATTGTCAATTGTAACTAAATTATTCAGGAAGATGATTACCTCGATTATTCTCGGCTTCCGCTTCCTTTGCACTTCTCGGAAATTCTGCTTTCCATAGTCGAATCACTCGGTGCAAGTGGTCTTTAATTACAGGTGCTCCCATTAAGACGATCGCATAAATTAAATTCCATCCCGCTTCGAGTTTCGCGATAGTCAGACGTGTTTGTTGCGTTGACGTCTTCAGCATTTCTTCGGCAATGTCAAGGACATTCAATGGTTTCATGATTGGAATTCCGAGTTTGCTGCTGTCATTCGATGCAGCTAGAAGAGCAGCCAATGCCATAGAATATCCGCTAATAGCATCCGACGACGATTTCATCTGTTCAAGTCTACAATTTTCTCGCTTTCATTTTACTATGCAATATAATTTTAGAAAACCTTAAAATGCAACGGTCTACAAGTGGAGTCATTAGATTTGGCACGGCATTCGCAATACATCTCAAGCACCAAGCAGTCGCAAATCTCGCCGATGATATTGGGTGAAGTAAGCATCCAAAAACTTGCTCCATAATGCCAGTCGCCTCAACAAACAACGACATAACCGATGAACCAATTTGGCGAACGAGAACAGATATCTCCTGGAGAATGACGATTGCTGCAAATGCGCTTCCATGCATATCTCCATCGATCACTTCGTTTCCTAAAATAGAATCAACTGATTTTTTTTATTAAAAAAAAACTCAACCTCCATCAGAAATTCGAATAGAAGAAACATATGTGGACAACAAAGATCCAAGGGTTTTGCACGCCAAAGTTTGTGCATTTTCTCCAAGTAATGTTCCAACAGTTTGCCGCAAAATGAACGAGATGCATCGACGAAGTACAAGCGCTTCAGTCAATTGCGGTGCACTTCTGCAAATTATTTTTCCAGATTTGTTCAAATAATAAAACCGAACTGTGTGTATGCCAAATGGCCGCATTTCGATGCCAAATCCACTAAATGATGACAGACTACTCCCAAGTTTTTCTCAAGCCAATTCGGCCCCATTTCGCGTATCATTTCAACATAACACTGAAAAAAGAGTCAAAACACATTGGGCACATTCTGCAGATGATTCTTACAATCGAGACGCCAATGCGAACATCAGTGAGTCCACCGGATGTCGGGAAGTTGGACGAATTCCCTTTCAAAAAACCACCAATTCCTCCTCGAATAAAACCGGAAGCAAGCAAATTCAGAGAGTCAACAGCACTTGCAGGCTTAACAGGAATCATCTGATTCGATTTTCCAGCTAAACATAAGTATTTTGGAAATAAATCACGTCTGGCATCTTACGTATAACCGCGCCGGCTGGTGGGACCATTGACGTCGCCAATAGTTGAGCGGTGAATTTGGCAACTGCACTTCTCAGTTCATACGTCGATCCTTCCAATACCTTAATGCACATCGTGCAAGCAGCTTCGAGCTCTGTTGTGAAGAGGGGCGTATAAACAGGAACTAATGCGGTGAGACACTCAAGAGATGCTATTTTAACAGACATCGATCTGTCCTGAATGCTGTGTTTCGCCAATTTGTAAATGTCCTTGTGAGAAGACGACTCGCAACTTCCTAATCCTTTCACCATGCTCGTCAACGTATTCATAATATGAGCACGAGAGTGGGACTTCAATTGAATATAATTCGCATAAAAACAAAAGAAAATGCGAAAACCTCAGCACTTTTCATCCATTTCTGTAGAATTGCCAAAGTTTCTTCAAAACTTCGACCAACTAATCGACCCATAGTATCATAAAGTGCAGATAAGCATGCAAGAGCATTTCTGAAATAGATATATTTTCAATAAAAAATAAACTTTCGACTAAATTCTTACAATTTGCTCTGCACCTGCGTCGGCGATTCATCTTTCACCCGAAGTGTGTCATTACACGAATTAATAGTTGTCAAAAGTGCATTAGTATCTCCGCTGAGATAATAGACGCGTGCGATACATCTAAATACAAAACTTTATTGGAACAAAAATGAAAATGGTAGGAGAAACCTTGAAATAAGTTTTCTTGTCGGTGGACCAGTAACACTATTTAACCGCGATTCGAGTTGTAATTGCAGCTTCTTTTGTACATTCTTAAGATCGTCTCGTTCGGTTATTGGCAGAATGCGATCAAGATATCGCAGCCATTCATATATAAAAATCGATCGTTTGCTCTCAGGACATGCCTAAAAATTTTCTTAACTCATTTGTTTACTATAAAAGCAAAAAGTTCGGTGACCATCATTTTCAGTATTTTGTATAATTTGAATAATATTTGATAGAACTTCATGATTCCATAATCTCTCCTCCCGTTATTCGCATTGAAAACGAATCCGAAATTTTGCGGCATTTCTCATTTTTTATTCAATTTATCCAATTTCATCCACTCGGTTCATCTCATTTATATTTTAAAGCATCTTCTTTTCCTATGAATCCAAATTTACCTCAAAAGCTTCCTCGTTCAGCAAAAAGCTGTGGCTTTCATCCATCAAAGTGGCAATTCAGACTGAAAATGAAGAGATTGAAATAAGAAAACCAAAAAAATGAGGTCTCGAAAAAAAGCCAAAATGTAGGACAGAAAATAAATATAAGCTATTCGATAGTAGTAAACAAAACATGGAACACATACGTTCAAAGGAAAAGATAGAAATGTAGACAAGGAATTGAAACCTTTGAAAAGCAAGAATAAACAAGAAAAACCATAACTCTTTATTTTTTATAACCCGGGTTATTATACAAATATTCACAAAAATATCATAAGTGATTGGAATCGAAGAAAATATGCACAAACACCGCTTTTTTCAGAATAAGTGAAAATAACAGAAGAATATTCATGTAGAGTAAAAAGTGCAACTTCATGAGAAAAAAACTTGTCAAAACTTCGGACACAATGTTTAATGAAGCATTTCGTGCGCAACAAATCGGGACTACAGCAAATCGCCTCAAAAGGAATGGGAGAGCACATCCGAAAAATGTGACATTGGTCCATGCACGAGATATTCTGACTAGCGAAGAGGGAGCCGAGTGGTCTCGTCGGGCGAACAAAAAGAAGGCGAAACGAAGGCATCGCCAACGATAATAGCACACAATATTCTGTGTATTCTCGCGCATGTCTTTCTTGCCAAAAAATTCGCGTCTCTGCCAGCGATAACTTACAAACTTTTGAAATCACTTTTTTTTTGTGCACCCAATTGTTCAAGGCTCTCATGGGAAAGTGGAGCAAAAAATGTTCGAGGGCGTTTTCTCCAGAATTTTAATGAGAAATACCGAAATAATCTTAGCTAATCATATCAACTATAATTAACGAACCAGTCTACATGGAATATATTTTATATGAAAATCGTATACATTTTCTCCGTTGAATCCATGTCCGTTATGCCTAAGCCTTGCGTACTTATAAATTCCCATACTTTCTATGCGTTAGAGTTGCAGCAAAAAAGCCAAAAGCCAAGTTATCGAGAAAGAAAACGCGAATTTAACAAAAATGCTCGAACAATTTCTTGGGGAATGTACAAACATATGGCCACTTGAGCATGAGAGAACCCCTAATACTAATGATGGACGTTGCCCAAATTAAATTAAGTCCTACATGTTTGTATAATAGACATTTCGAAATAGAACTGGAACGTCGAAAAAACCCGAAATTGAGGCTATCGTTGGAGCCGGCGCACCCTAGGGCGCACGACGCTGTCTCAACATGTCGCGTTCAAAGTGTTCAGCAGTCAACTGTCCGGGAAGTCGTTCACATTCCTTGTTGAACACTGAATAAGCGCTCAGCTCGCCCCGCTTGCGGCGTCCCGTGTTGTGATAGACAAACATGAGGGCGGCGATGATGAAGAAGACAAGCCCAAATTCAATCCTGAAAATAGTGGCCTTGGAAAACAAACTCAAATGGACAGTTTAAAAAGAAAAAATCTCAAGTGACAGATATGTCAACCAATTGTTAAACGAAATTTTTGCCGATTCGAAAATGTATTTTCCTAACAAAACATAAAATAAATCAAACATTTACCAGATAAATAAAGTTTGTCCGATAAGATAAATGACAAGCTGGAGCCAAAGCGGTACGCAATTACAGGAATCTGCAACTTTTTTCATTTTTTTTTTGAAACAAACGAAGCCAATTCCTCACAGAAAATTCATTATTTTTAGGCTTTGGCAATAGTTGTCGGAAAACACGAAGCAGTCCATATTCATAGAAATGCGATAAAACTTGGAGAGCAAAATTAGCATTTTCACGCAAGGATGAAAATAATGTGCCAACACTTTGATTGCTTTCATCAAATTATTAAAAACAAAAGAAAACATCATCATATACTCGAAAGAAAAATGTACGCTAAGTACAATAAAAACACCGAAGAAAACCACAATAACCCAATAAAAAGTGCATACAATATGCTCGTTTCAATTCTTCATAAACTTTTATAAGGGGCAATTAAAAACTCATGGCACATGTGGTAAATAGAAAAGTTCGAACTCACCATCATCACTATCAAAATCGGGAACGTACCACGGTTTTTTAAGAATTTCCGGTTTTTCCGCAACTTCTTCTTCTTCTTCTTTTCGCTTCTGAATCGGAATTTATTTAGATGACTTATTCTATTAGGACACCTCGGGCTCAATCTTTCGTCGATTTCGAAATTCTTGTAACTTCTGCGCAGTTTCTTGAAGTGACATCTAATAAAAAAATAATTTCGAATAACAAAAAATTATATAAATTAGATAGATTTGGTATTTTTACCGATTTCATTAATGACAAATAACCAAATTATCAATTTTATAAAGAAATTTTAACAACAATGCAAAGGAACGATTTTTAACTCCAAAATCCCGATAATAATATGTATATAAACAAATTCTTCGAAATATTATCTACAAATTATTACAATCGCAAAAAAGCGAGCACTCTAGCATTACTTAGTCGAATTCCCACTGTTATAATCGAAATTTGAATTTTCGCACCGAAAAAAAGGCGATAATCCACTATTATTGAAGTGATCGTTTATTTTGCGAAAATAATACTCAAAAATGCTTAAATAAGGCACTGGGTTAGAAACAACATTCCAGAAAAGGTAACATTCGCTCCTTACCATATGAAGAAGATTAACTCCAATTTTGTTATTTTCAAAACTTCAGACTTATTTCACCAATTTTTCTAAATTTATGATTCCATCTTCTCCTGGGGAGTTCTGCAAATTCAAATTGGTATAACAATTAGAATATCTAATATACCTTCGAATTTCTACAATTATTAGTTTATTGACTTCGTTTGGTTTTTTAACAAAGTACTTGAAATTCCTTTTTATCTGAAAGTCAAAAACAATCAATCAAATCCAATTAAAGAACCAACCATATTTTCAATTATAGGATTAATTCCGCCAGAAACTGTAACCGTGGCGTGATTGATAGATCTCTTTTCAATCAATCGACCGATCAACATGCTTGGAATTGGCGTATCGAAAACAAAATTGCACAAAACGGCAAATTCGCTTAATATCTTGAAATCGAATGATTATTTAAAATATCGAGTCTTTAAATTTACAAAGTTATAACAGGTTGTACTGGAGCACTTTTTGGAATTCGTTAATACCAAGGATGTAAGCGATTTTCCAAGATTCTATAAAAAATTAAATATGGAATTTTGAAATTTGATTTCAAACCTCAGCAAGACATTCAATCATATTTTTTGACACCAGTACACCACCCAGCTTCAGCGTTTTGAGGGATAAAGGCAAATTCCGCATAAGGTTATTAAAATCTTCTGGAACTGATCCATGTTCAATATTTCTGAAAACCTGGAATATATTGAGGAGGACATACAAAAAATTAGGTTACTCGATTCTGAATTCCTTAAGCTTTGTGTAGGATTTCAAGCAATTGGACAAACATCGTAAAATCTCATTGTCATGGATTCCTCCAACATGTAAATATTCCAGATTCGGCAAATTTTTCAAATTTGAGAATGCGGTGATATAATTAGAAACATGCCGCATTTTCATTTCAGGGAATACACATGAGAATTTCGTTATCTAAATAGGGTTTTGTGAAAAAAAGACTGATTCTGAACCTACATTGGTCGATTTTGTTGCCATCGCTGCCATCTGGCTCATTTCTACAAACTTTGGAAAAGTCTCTTTCCTAGCTATTAAATGCAGATGAACATGTCTAGTTCGGGAGCTCATTTCTCGCAAAAACGCAATCACTTCAATCACTCTAAAAATGGTTATTATTGTCGTAAAACAAATTTAACAAATTCGAATGCGTAATAACGGAAAACTTTTTTAGTCCTAACCCAAAATAAAAGGCTCGCTAAATTCGTCGTATAAATTTTTCACATTGAAACTTACTTTTTGGCATAGATCAAATAGAACTCAAATACATCAAGATGAAGGTTGAGTTCTTTAATTCTACATAAAACACAATCTAGAAAGTGATGATTTGCAACAATTCCAAGTCGAAGATTTTTGAGAGATGCAGTTAGAAAACTCTGAAAGCATAATTTCTTTAAAAGGTTCAAATATGAAATACCGTAAGATTGCTTGGAATTTCATTAGGAGACTCGAATGATTCTGATGATGTAATAAATGTGACGCTTTGTAGTCTGTTTTTTGCCGAAAAACCTTCGGATTTAACTGAAATTTGTGATTGTAACTAAAAAACACAAAATTGCTCACATACCGTATTCCATTGCTTCCTTGGAGAATTCCACGAAAAGAAACTGGATCTCTTTTAAATTTGGAAGTTGTTCAAAACATTGAAGCAATCTAGGTTCAACTTGAAACTATAAAATAATATATGTTGAGATTTCTAAAAATTGTTACTCTAATGTTTTCCGAAGCTGGTATTTCCTGGATTGACAGGGTTGAACTGATAATAATCCGGCTAATGAATGTTCCAATTCGAGTGAACATTATTTCTAAAGCCAAGTCTGAAAGAAAATAATTGTAACTTCGTATTATAAATATTAATACACAAATTTTCTGAGTGGCTGTACTTTTCTTTGTAATTGCGCTGATAAACTAATGGATACAACGAAACATCACCGATTTGAACAGAGACAATTGAAGGATTTTCCTAAAATTTAAATGAAAATGTTTTTTCAAAAGTTTTCTTCATAATCAAAATTGAATATTACTTAAAAACAAGACAGAAACAAAGTATCAGTTCTCAAATTTCATATTTAAATATGTAAAATCTTTACCGATAGTTCAATACGCATTGTTCTGTTATTATCGGAAGCATTGAATGGCGCATGTTTCGATAACTCATTCATCCATCTCGATGATCTTTCGATGCGAATTCGATCTTTTACGCTTGTGACGTATCCGATAATTTTTCTCATCACTACTTCGTTACTTATTAATTTCAATGTGACTGCTTCAATATCGCCACTGGATAATTTTGGTTCAGCATTCTGCAAATAGTGATATCTGATAATATCTTATTTTTAAGAAATAATTTGTATTAATAATTCGGCAAAATCGCAGTTTGTTTAAATTTTCACCAAAATTGAGAATAAAATCTTGCAGAGAATTACATTCAACAAATATATTGACTGTAAAATTTTCGAGCTGTCTATACATCTTTATAAATCATTACGAATTGATTAATAATTGCCGAAAAGGCCTAAAACAGGCCTAAGGCCTTGTAAGAGACTTTATACAAACATTCAAGCAAGGTTTATTAGAAACTACGCAAAAGATGAACAATGAGCGAGACATGCGAGTTTTACATTCACTCCCATTGGTTGAGCATATGTGGCAATTCCAAAAAGTTTACCTTTTCACACATCCCATGACAAGATATTCGACTCTCGCAATCACTTTCATTTTTTACAATCATCTGGAAAAATTACATTACTTATCAACTAACGATGAAAATAATATAATTTTCAGACGTTTGTGTTTAAAAACGTTAAAAGAGGCACCGGATATGATAAATTTAAAATTGGATTACTATAAGAACAAATATGAGAATAATTTTTGAATTTCGTGTGCTGTCCTAATAGGAGAATTCATCAATTAATTGAAAGTCTTAAAACTGATAAAACAACTTAAATGATATAGATCATGACAATTTAATGTCAATATGAAAGGATTCAACAATACGTCTGGAGTCATTACTCATTCAGCTAAACGAGAACGCGAGCCAAAGATAAATAATGTAAATAAAACAGAATAATAGAAAAACACGAGGAATGCGTCAGCTCACAGGATATGCGTAAGCCTCAATTAACACTGACACAACTTTCGATTATTCATTTTTCAATTTATGGCATAAATGGTTAATGAAGATAATATTTTTAAAAATGACTTTTTTCCACATGGAAACTTTGTTTTTCTTTTTCTCTTCATTGCTTCACAATGAAACGTTTCGCTTAAAAAATACGATTCTTGTTTTTTTTTTTAATACATTAGCCTTGACCGAGTTTTATTGTTCTCCATTTATAGTTAAAACATATTTTTTCAGTATTTACTTGTTGGAGACGTGGCCTTGACACGTCACGTGACATTTTTTTTCTTCAAATTTAAAAAATTATGAATTTCTTATTTAACTAATATCTTACTATTTGCCCATAAAATGTCATTAATATCTTTAGAGTCGATACGTTTGCAATGGTATCTCGAAATCCTTGGTTTGCTGATCCGAACAGCTCATTCGATGATGATAAGGAATATTTAATCGATGCCCTTACCAGTCAAATTGATGAAACCACAGTCCAGACAATAATCGATACCCAAAGGCAAAGGTTGGTTTTATAGCGAATAAAATGAATATGTAATAAGTTTGCAGCCTGAAGCGATTCGAAAAGACTAATGAGATGCTGGTGAATTGCGCACAGCTGGGCGATCGGCGAATTGAGAAAGCAAAAAAAGACTCGATTGCGCATAAGGCAACGATTTTGCAGGTTTGAGAAGGCTCTTATCAAAACCAAAATTTTTAAATTTGAACCAATTTGATACATGTGAGCCGTCAAATTTTAGCTAATTAATGAAAATAATTGATGTTTCAATAGCGCAGAAAACAATTTTAACACGATTTTCACAATAACAAATAAACAATTGTTCATAATACAAAACTATTTAAAAGTAAAATTTGAACAAAGCAATGATTAATGATTATAGATGAAAGCCGATTTGGATTTCATTTTCAAAAAGATTCGAGTGTTCAAGTCGATTCTTGCTACAAAATATCCCGACATTTACAAAGACGGTAAGTGATGTCAAAAATGCTACAAAATACGATTACAACTATTCAGTTGCTGAACAATACAAACAAGAGCCGGAAAATGATGATTAAAAACAGTTTCCCATACAAATTTTTGAATGTAACAGAAAATGTGTACAAAATTTGATCTCATACATTAATAAAATTTTGTGATTTTTCTTAACAGCTCGGCGATCTTTTTCTCTTGTGATGCTTCCTCTTATCACTTTTTCCAGAATCGGCATAAGCTTCAGATTCATCAGATGACGAAGAATTTTGACGCGTTCTTCTACTCCTTTTCTTTGTTTTTCGCTCTTCCTCCAAATCCGAATCTGAAATTGAAGTGCTAAAACTTCCATGTCTTCGCTTCCTCTTCTTCTTCTTCTTTTTCTTCTTTCGTTCTTCCTCGTCAGAATCAGAATCAGATGAATCTTTAGCTCGTCTTTTCTTTGTTTTCTTCTTGTGTTTCTTGTTCTTCTTTTCTTTTTTCTCTTTCTTTCTTTTCTTTTTTGTATCTTTCACTAAATGGAAATACAGTGGAACAATTGCAATTCCAAATTTCACAAACCTAGCGGTGTTTCTTCTTCATCGCTTTCATCCGAAGAAGTTGAGCTTAGCTCATAAGCAACAGTCGAAACATTTGGTTTGAGTTGAATGTAATTCCGACACTGAAAATTTGCAAGTCATTGCACCATTCGAATAAAATTTACCTGGTAAGCCAAATGACCGGGATATCCGCATTTCTTGCATGCTCCAGTTACGACGGGTCGAACAATGGCAGAACCGGAAGCATCTGAACATAAAAATAAAATTTCGTAAAAAACTTTGAAACGAACCAACAAATGCATTCGGATCGTAAATTGGAGGAGGAGCCGGCTCAAGATCAGCCAACGTTCGAGAACTCGAAGAAGCCGCCTCATTTCCAAATTTTCTTCGAAAAGGCATCGGTTCAAAATTGGAATTCGACATCTTGAATTAATCCTTTAAAACAGAAAATTAAATTTTTTTGAGATATTTAAAGATATCAAAATCTTTTTTACGATATAAACTCGATAAGGTCTTAATGTTTATTAATAAATTAAATGTACATATATTAAAGCTATTATTAACACATATTCTTCATATACAATGAGGTAGTATTGCGATTGGGTAGAGGTAAACATATATGAGATAATTACAAATTTACATTAATTCCATTTGATGGAAGACATTTTCTTCTTTGTTTTCGTGTGGTACGAAGGATGTTGCAGATTCCTGAAATAAAACATGAAATCTCGGGAAAGAACCATTAATTTTCTTACCGGCACTGACACATTTTTTGGCTGAAGTTTTTCAACAACTCGTAAAAAATCATCGCTATATCGTTCAACATCACAATGTGAACCCAAAACTACTTTTCCGTTTATTGGCTGTATGATATCCATCATTTGAAGACAAATCGGCACACCCCAAATGAATCCGAGCTGATTTATCAAGCGCAAAACCAAGTATTTGATGTCTTCATCTTTCTAAAAATAAAAAATTGTATACTTTGTTCAAAAAATACTTACATCAAGATTTGCCTGGATGATTTCTTGAATAATTATTTGGTGGAAAGTTGCATTTTTTGCTAACAAAGGTTCGAATTGATGAGATAATATAATACAATGAACAAGCAAATGCCCCCAAACTCCTTTTGAAGTTATCTGAAAGCAATTTACCACTTGTAACTTCATAAATGAATTTCGAACCGTTTTGAATACAGTTGGAAGTTGACTGAAATATCGTAGAAGGCCTGAAATATTGTAATATATTTATGAAGAATTAGTTGAAAGTACCTGGAAAATCCATGAAATCTGGTTCTTTTGGCAAAATTGAAAGACAATGATGCAGCCATAAAATACAAGCAAGTTCCGAATTCTAATATTTGACTTTTCAAATGTTTCAAAAAATCTAAAGAATTACTTCAAGCCATTGGATAACCTCATCTGGTGGATTCTTGCTATAATTTGCGATTGTAATATCTGGAGAATCGCCTGAAAAACGACAATTTCTGAATTCCGCAAAAATCGAAATGAAAACCAACATGGTTCCGTATTGCGTTTATATAGCTCATTTCTAATAGTATCTTCACACAACATTGCCGAAAAACTCGGTAAGAACTCCGTGATGAACTTAATAGTTTGGTTATCTTCGTCACTTGGAACCAGCCAAGAATCAGAAATTTTCTAAAAAAAAGTTATAACGTTTTACAATGACATCAACATTTAGGATACATAGAGCTGAGCAGAGACAACAAGAAGTTGGACAATTACTTGAATAGGAACAGATTCGCGGGGAAGATTTGATCCAATCTAAAATATAACGAATTTCAATGCAGATTACTTCGAAGACTTAAAGAAAAATAAGCTTCGAAGACTTAAAGAAAAATAAGTTTCTAAATTGCCAAGAAACGATGGAGATGTTTTGGATTAAGACTAAAAAAGGAATAATCTCAGTAATCCGGATTAATTGAGAGCGAATTAATAATCGATAACAAGAATTTGGTCATATTGAAACATTTTAGACTTACATCTTTCACTTTTTTGGCTAGAAGTGTGTTTAAAAAATGAACGACGTGTGAATCAGATGCAATCATTGAATAATCCAGATATTTCTACGAGAATCGTTTTTATACGCTAAAATTAATAGAAAGCTTACCTCGACCTCCTCATTCGACATCATAGCATCAAGTAATGATTTAAGTTTTTGTAAATGCGATGTGTCGAGTTTCTTATCACGAATAAGAGTATCTAATGCCCATGCAAACCCATGTAAATGATCTAAGTTTTGATTTAATTAATATTTGTTAAGGTTTATATTACCGTAATTAGTTATTCGTTCCATATTTAGATCGTGAGCAGCCATGATGATTTCCATTCTTAATAAATTCATTAATGTTTTTGTTGCTGATATGATTTTTTTAAAACAAAAGTATGAGACCCAGTTTCATATGTATCTCACCTTAGAGAACATAAATGTAAATCCTTCGTTTCAACAAAAAGATTTCTGATGTATTGCACAAACATTTCATAATATTCAGGCGCATATGAGATAAGCTCCAAAATTTCCTGTATTTGTTTCCATTGCCTCCTTGATTTTGTGGTTTCCCTTGTAAAAAATGACGTTTGCGAATGATCAATTGCACAGATTATATCCTGTTTCTCTCTAAATAGAATTGCACTAAATTTAAAATCGATTAATTTAACAAACTTTATATAACTATCGATAATTGGTTGAATCGAATCAAGGAACAAATGTTGGTTGTGTTTCCACGCGGCTCTTTTAACTTGCAATCCACACGAATTATACAAAGACGGATCTGCGCATACAATATTTACATATCTGAAAACAAAAAAAAATCAAGAAACTTATATCCCCAATTTTCTTACTTTTCCTGCAATTCAGGAACCGTTTCCAAAAGTTTCACCACAATTGGTCGAAAATAAGGTATTCTATAGGTGTAGAAATATCGTTCAAGAAGTGTTTCAAGTTTTCGTCGATCTTAATAGACTTGAATTTCAGGAAAAAATCATTTAAATTAGAAATTACTTTATAAACTTGAAAATTTTTACCTTCTTCTTTGTCGCTTTCGCTAAGTTGTTCAATCCTTTCGATAATTTTTTCGCAAAGTTTTTGGATACTCTTAATATCCATTTTTTTATTCAACCAAATTTGACAATCTTACCGCTTCATAGAACTCAAATCTGCTAATTTTTTGATTATCCAAGAGTTCAAGAGCTGGACGTAGATGTTTCATCTATACTAGCAATAAATTGAAGACAAATTTAGCACATCTCCTACCTGAATACGATTTTCCAGTTCAAATTTGCCGATCGCGCCACAAAATGTGTTGACCTTGCGCGATTTTGATAAAAACTGTTTCAGCTTTGTCGATCCACTAATACGAAATCCAAGCTGCTCCAATTCATTTGCCGCTCTTGTAACGTCAACATCGTCGTTCATTTACAACTAAAAATTTGGATTTACATTTGGAATTTTACCAAAAAAAAGAAGCGAAATTGATTACGAATAAGGATTTTTTAAAAGTTCAATTTTTACATTTCTAAAATAATAATTTTATTTACACGATTATTCTTTCTACGCTCTCTTCCTCACATTTAATAATCCTAATTTATCGTGGGATTCATTGTGCCCCACCCGCTGATCAATATCAGCGAGTGGCGATTTGCGTTTCGTAAAACGAGAGTTTGAGGCTCGCGGGGTAAGCGGGCGAACTCCTCCAAATACTTTCTCTTTTCCTCTCAGTGTTGTTGTCATTCTCAAGCACTCAGTCTTCTTCCGCGTGTTTCTTATCTTGCCGACTACAAATTGTATATTCAAGTTGAAATAAATCGAAATGCAGGTTAGTAGTATTTTTTTAAATTTACTTAAAAGTAATTCAAAAAAGTTTCATGGGTGTTTCATAAAATTTTAATAAATACGATTTATGGAATTTTGATAATTTAATGTTAAGCTTAAAAATACTAAAATAAATATTTAATTTCATCTTTCTCCTGTTTCAGCAAAAACCATACGATTATGGAGCCCTTCTGGTCAAGGTTAGCGCAGGGTTTGTCTGTTTTGTATCTTTCACACTTATTCTGCTGGTCGTTGGCAATCTTGTCTACAACAGTTTAACTCAAAAAGTCTATCTTCAAGAGAAGGTGAGATTTTTCTTAATCATTGTGATAAATATTCCAGAAATTTATTTTTTAGCGTTCACGATAAAGGAACGACGAAAGATATGACCTCTATCTACATTCCGAAAATTTTCTTTAGATTTATTTATTGGTTTCACGATATGATTGTTAACATATAAATAAATTTGTTAAAAGAAAAATATAAATAGATTCAAAAGACTATACTTCGAATTGGAAAAAGGGTGTGTGTACTTTTTTCAAATGTATTTTAACGTTCGTTAATAATAGAAAACAAAAAACATTTTTTTCAATTCGCAGTATAGATCCATTGTGGAAAACCTAAAAATAATTGAAAAAATTGTTGAAAAGTTGCAAACGCAAGAAATTTGAATGAGCGCGTACAGCAAACCTGCTCCGCGGATAATGTGTGATGTAGCATTATGGAAAATTTTAGATGTGCTGAAAAGCTAAAATAAAATTATTTTTAGATACGAACCCTATTGTGTAATGAAACACCTGAATAGTATCGATAAGAATTTAAGGGAAATTTAAAGATATATCGGCACGACTTGTAATTAATTTCTGAAAAATAGTCTTTAATTTATAAATGCAGAAATTTCGCACCGCTGTAAATTTACTATGATACTGTTTTATATAAATCAGTACAAATTGGCATTTTTTGATTATATGCAATTTCCTACCATTTCGATAGCGTCCATCCATCACTTTGCCCGAATGCCTGGGAATATCAACCCCTGTTTCGCCGTACTATTTTTTTTTTAAATAAAATTCTCTCACTTATAGTTTTTCCATCGTTTAGCCGTGGCGGCGAACGTCTAATTGATAAAAAAAACTTGCCAATCGTTGCAATTTTTGTCTCTTCGTTTGATCATAAGCAGAAGGAGGTCTTCAAATTGTCTCGATTACAAAATGGCGTTTTCTCATAGGAAGAAAACAAGCAAGTTCCCTGCGTAAATGGGAAATTAATTAAATTCCGAACGATCAGCTAACTAGATGCCCATTTGCCTCATCTGTTACAATCGCAATACCGTATTAAACATGGTGGGAGAAGGAAGTAATCAGTAAGGGAGGCAGTCCGCTGTAAAAAAAAACTGACTATTTCGCGCGCGCCATTTTTTTTCGCCATGTTCACAAGAAAAAAACGCGCAAGATGGGCGGGATAGTGGCGATATAAAAGGAAAAAAAACTGCTGGGTGGCGTATCGGAAATCATGCTTTCCAATACTGCTATCGGTTCGGTGACCGCGGTGTCAGGAGTTGCCATTTTTGGATGTCTCATTTATTTGGCAGTTCTCTTCAACGATATCAATGAGCTTCATGATGTCGTCATGAATGACATGTATGAGTTTGAGGTATCAGTAAAAATATGGCATTTTCTTACTTGATACATTTTTTTATACTTTCGCTAATGATGCATGGACTTCCATGATCACCATGGGAACAAGCAACACCGCAAACCGTCCAGCTCTTCTCTTCGGCCGTAACAAGAGAAACGCCGAGTGCAACTGCGGAACACAGCCATCCAACTGCCCAGCTGGACCACCAGGACCACCAGGAGAGCCAGGAGCGCAGGGAGATGATGGTGAGCAAGGACAGGCAGGAACACCAGGACAAAACGCCGTCATCCCAAGCATCACACCAGATGCTACTGAATGCATCAAGTGCCCAGCTGGAGAGCCAGGACCACAAGGACCACCAGGAATCAGCGGACCACCAGGACAAGATGGACAGCCAGGACAAAATGGATACCCAGGACAACCAGGACAGATAGGAACTCCAGGACCACAAGGAGATGCTGGTGTTCCAGGACAGCCAGGAAGTAACGGACAGCCAGGACGTCCAGGACAAAACGGGCGTCGTGGACGTGGAGCTCCAGGAGCCCCAGGTCCAGCTGGTCCAGCTGGAAACGCTGGAGCCCCAGGACAACCAGGACAAAATGGAGCACCAGGACAGCGGGGAGCTCCAGGACCAGCCGGAATTCCAGGACAACCAGGAGCTCCAGGAGGAGACGGAACTCCAGGACAAAACGGATCCGATGGAGTTCCCGGATCTGATGCTGCCTATTGCCCGTGCCCAGCCAGGACTGGCGCTGCCATCGAAGTCCCGCCAGCTAAGGAGCAGTACAGAAGACGATTCGCCAACTAATTTTCGTGCCATTGATCAAGATTGTTTGTATAATAAAGTAATTTCATTTCTATGACTTGACTTTTTTAGCGCAAGTACGACAGCAGATTTCGCGAAAAGCCTTCGATTTACAAAAATGTTTCAATTTGGATGCAGAGTATCGCGTGCACGTCTTTGCGTTGAGATCCTTGCAATCCAACCACTTCTTCGGATTTCGAACACATTCTCCTTCGATGCACCACTGAAATAATAATGATTGATCAAGAAATCAAAGTCCTTTTTTTGAAGAGAATATTACTGTAGGTATTTAAAGATGGACGCATGTGTTAAACAATGAAAAAAAAAATTCAAATGTTGAATAGGCTTTCGTTATTTTTTGCGGGTTTCTATTCGAACAACAACAATTTCAGATAATTCAAATCTTGACTTAAACAGATATTACACCATACTACTGATAGCCTACACGTCAAACTGGGGGAGAATTTTAAATTTCAGCAACCAGGGTTCTCAATTTTTGTGTCGCATGCAAATAGTTGTTCATTTTCATGCGAAGAAACAAACTGATTATAATTTCCTATTTAGGTCAAATTGACAATCAATCGTATTATAATTAAAAACGATTCTTACCATATTATATCCACACTCGGTTCCATCAAACGCTGGGAAATAATTGAGTGTTGTACACTGATCGTTTGATTTGTCATTTCTATTCGAGCACCATACTCGCTCGCAAATGGATTTTCCATGATAATATCCCAAATTCAAGCAATTCCCATATGTTGGACCAAATGATATTTGACATTGCTGCATTATTGTGATAGATTCACCCGGCTTTCTGAAAGGAAAAAATTGGACTTATTATTGATGCTCATTCTCAATACTTTGCGAACTCCTTGTGAACCTTCTTCTCAGATTTCGATTTCCATTTTTTGATGCAACTGGCACTTGGATTTCTTAAAATATGCGACGATTGTAAAGATGTATTGTAAAGCCTATGATTGCCCAGCGGGCAACTTGAATTCCATCTTCAATCACCAGAAACATTTAAAACTGTATGATAGAATTTCCAGAAAGAAACTTTATTAATTGATCAAGCTGGGTTTTCTACATAGACTTTTTGGACCATCGTATAAGTCGAATAGCAAAGCCACTAACCGTAGATTCTTCATTATTGATTCAATGCTGCAATTGCTCATTCTTCGACTATTTAGAAAAGTTTCACGATTAGAGCTCCCTCAAAAAATAATTTGATTACTTTCGAACTAAAACTATGAAAATACCAGAAACCGATGTTGCTAGAAGATAGTTGTCATTCGAATCGCAATCTTTTGCTTCAGAAGAGCCGTCATGAAAAGCACCCAAACTAAATTTCAAATAAAATTAAAGACTTCTGCTATCATTTTAGAGACTTACGAATGACCAATTTCATGTGCGGCGATGAGTGCCGTTAATGAAGCGCCAATATCTTCAACAACCGAACTCGACTCGCCAAGTTGACAAATATGTCCAACATAAGCCATTCCTTGGGTCGCGGAATGCCCATTCACAGTGACCAAATCGAATCTTAATTACACTGAGGAAGTGAGAAAAAAGCAGAATTTCGGATCAAACTTTGTAATAAGAACAGCGTGTTCATGTTTCGGAAGGAATTCGGCGTACTTTTTGATCCATAACGTGAACTTGTCAATTGCTTTTTTGGAATCGATTTGTAGCGTCATACTAAATTTGTTTTGATTAATTATACTTTGAGCAATTTTACTCTGTTGTGTTGGCTTCTTGTAGCTCATCAAGTGTCACATCGACATAACTGTTGAACTTTTGGCCGCTTGTTCCATTTGTGGCGAACACGTCTGTCGAATTCGAAAATTCTGTGGAATTATCATAATCGAATTCGTCAAGGAGTTCCTTATCCGCTTCAAGTTCTTCTTGCCAGCTAAGCCACAACGGACAATCTTCCTCTCTTAACAAAATCGAATAAATGTTTTTTTTCTGAAATCCTGAGTAAACCTGTAAGCGGTGAAAGTTCCAGAAAACGTCAGTTTTAAAGTTTTGTCTCCAAATTTAAAATTTTCGTAGATTAGCTTCGTCTGGAAAAAAATACATATATGTATGTGTATAATACAGTACGGTATAGATATATTTGAATAATTTAAACTACAATTAAAGACGCAATAAATTGATTTACATAAATCAAAACGTAAAATTATGATTAAAATGCCATATTAAACCTGCTCAAAAATGGCTCCAAGATAAATATTCACGTAGTGCTGCGCGCTTCCGACATCACCGTTTGTCATTTCCAAAAACGCTTGGTACGTTGAGAAATCAGCCACAAATAATACGTCAAGCGACAATTCTTGTGTCATGTTTGCGTTCAAATTTTGCTTCATATCGACAATTGTCTCATTCGTGTATTTAACAATCTGAAATGTTCTAACATTTACGTTTTTTTTCGATTTGCCAATGACCCGTGAAAATTTGAGCCCATCATGAACTCGTTTTTTGATGAGCGAAACAGCTGTGTCTGCTCCTGCAATTGAATGTTTTGTTTCGTGATGATTAATAGCTTTCAATGTGTCAAGCTTACCTATTATTAGTATTGAAAAGATAAATATAAGATGCTTCATCGTAATAGCATATTCAAGGCATCCAAATCGGTCCCAGATGCAGTTGAGCTCATAAAATGAAGAGTTTCGGGTGTTCCTATTGACCAGCAGCTGGGATTACACTAAAATCTATCTATTGATTCTCTCCGCAACATGTCTCACTCGTTTAAATTATTATATCATTTTCAAATAAGAATATTCAATTTATTAGCTAAATCGGCCAATGATCGCTATTTCGATATTTATAAAATTCTATAATAAAACCCTAATATAATCCCTAATATAATTATATATTAAATATAATAAATTCAATGTCTTTGAAATATTAAAAAAAACATTTCTTCAAGCTCCACATATAATATAATTATTGATAATATAAAAAAAAATATGGAAAAATTAATATGCAAAATTTAAGTATTGTTATCATGCAAAGTAAAATAATATATAATGTAATAAACAAGATATCGTTATTTCTGTATTGGGATATTTTAAAAATATTCTCTTTAGAAATGTGAATACAGTGCGTTTCACATTTATAAAGCCACCCCTGTTTTTGGGTGTAACTTTGTCAATTATGAAAATTTTTAAATTCTGTTTTCAAAATTGAATTCAGAACTAAAAAATACGTATATCTACCAATTTTCATTATGATATCTGAAAAATTGGCCGAGTGGCATGGAAAACACTGAAAATTGGTCACTTGCAACCGTTTCACATTTATAAAGCCACCCCCGTGAACGCAGTAAAAACTCTATTATAAAGCCAGATTATTATTTAGTTGCGGTTTCTTTCAAAGAAATAAGGTCGTAAATACGATTTGGCATCGATTGGACCAGGTTTTCCATATTTTGGGTGGTCTTGGTGTTGAGTTTCTGCTCCAATAGATCCCACTCGTCGGTAATCGCCGTTTTCAATTTATCAATGGGTCGATATTGCTTGCCATGACGATAAAAGCTGCTAACCAGCTCTCCCTAACCATTCTTCATCGAATTTAAGTCTGGTGAGCACGCTGGCCACCTCAAAACGTCGATATTTGCTTTGCTGAGCCAATCCAAAATTGATCGACTCGCATGAGTTGAGGCATTGCCTGTTGGAATACGAACTTTCTTAGGCGAAATCGTCATCGATATTGTAATAGATGGTCCTCTAACACTTGCTGATAGTCCAGCGAGTTTATCCGAAAGTTGACAACCGCTAGCTTGAGAAATCCCGCCGAAGAGAATGCTCTCCAGACCATGAGATTCTCGCCACCAATGTCCCGCTTTGAAAAAATTGGGTTGTCCTTCCGTAAATCGTGCCAATAACACTTATTTCCATCGGGACCATCTAGGTTGAACTTTTTCTCATCCGAGAAAATGATCTAATGATAATCGTATTGTTTTTTAAGAAAAATTTGGTTAAAAAGTTACCTTTGTCCAATCAATAGCCATGTTGTCTCGAGCAATTCGAGACGACGCAACTTGTGATGGTCCTGGAGGCTCGGAGCTGGACGCGTAACTGCCCGGATGATGTTGGGATCATCATTAAGTGTCCTCCAAGTCGTCGTTTTACTAACATCAAGATTCCGCTCGTTTTTGATGTCGTTGCATGACTTCATCGTGTTGGATGCTACTCGGATGATCGATCTTCGGTCTCGGGAATTCAGTTTCGCCTTCGATCCGGGATTTTTTTTGTGATGGTTTTTGTCGATCTTGTTGACAAAATTAATAATGCATGTTTTTGACCGCTTCAGGTGCGAAGAAATCCTTCGGTTAGACCATCCAGCGAATTTTAAGGAATCTATGGTAGCCTTTTCGGCATCGGCGAGCAAAAATCCCCGGGACAAGTCCAAATGTTGGTTAAAATACGCGGAAAAAAAGAAAAATATCTTACAGTACTCTATTTATAACTACACTGCTCATTCTTCTTCAGGTCTCCACATTTTCAGACATTTCACTGGGGTGGCTTTATAAATGTGAAACGGTTGCAAGTGACCAATTTTCAGTGTTTTCCATGCCACTCGGCCAATTTTTCAGATATCATAATGAAAATTGGTAGATATACGTATTTTTTAGTTCTGAATTCAATTTTGAAAACAGAATTTAAAAATTTTCATAATTGACAAAGTTACACCCAAAAACAGGGGTGGCTTTATAAATGTGAAACGCACTGTATATACTGTATAATATATTGAAAAATGCACCATGTGAATACGAATAAGATTCGTATAGAAATTTCTTAATGAATTCTAACATAGTAGATCCCCAAAAATAGTAAAATTTCTATTTAGATAATTAAGTTTTTTTTGTCATGATGTATATCAAATAATCCATTAAGTTGTTCGATTGATTCATTCGCTTCATTTAAGCGGCCCATTTTGTCTATTCGTAATTTTCTTTTCAAACTGTCCAACGTCCAAAGCGAAATAAAGATATTGGTTTTGTGAGTGTCACTCATCGGGTTCACCAAAAATAATTGAATTCGTTGGCGAGTCCTCTCGGCTCTTAGCTCTTCCTGTAATCCGAGAACCATTCTTCTCGCCAGACGAGCCCTTTATATGCTCATAATATAATTTTAGGAGAGAACATCTTTTCTATACAATTTTTGCCCGTTTTTCTGCTTATGAATTTATTTGACCTCACACCCATCATGTCACCCAACATGAATGTATACATCTTGGCCGTTGGCGCTATTCCAAGACGCCTTCGTTTTCACTTTTTTTTCACTTCCGAAGACCCACCGAGAGGGTTGGGCACATCGAGAAGCGCAGAGAGGGCACCCCCCGATTCGGCGGGCCCGACGCACAACCACTTTGAGCTTATTTCACTGCTTTGTGCACCCAATACTCTTCTATGTATGTTTTGATGTCTCTCCTTCCAACTTTTACCACATATTTTTTCGCGCCCCATTTCTCGTCAAATTTGATGAATTCTCAACAAATTCATCATGAAGATCTATATATATATATATATATATGGAAAATGGAATTCGAGCTCGAGAAATACACACGAGCTTATTTATTTCGGCAGCAACAAAAAGACAAATCCCTGAAATATCCAAATATATTTTGGAGAAAAAAAATTAAAAAATGTTAAAAATGTTTCTAGATTGCAACATTATTTTATTTTTCATATAATACATTTCATTTTTTTTTATTTTCTATCGAATTTTTATTTAAAGATCAAACGGGTCGAAGAAACAAATTAGAATTGTTTTTTCGCACACTTGTAAAATATTTTATTCGATTCCACGTCGTAAAACAATACATTTGCAGAGGTATGTAATTCATACGGCTGTTCTCAACTTTCGTGCCACATTTCGAAACAAATTTGATGTTTTCAACGCCTCTTTTTGTTTTCTTTCCTGTTGTCAAAAGAGAATTTGAAGAATTGAATTTGAATATTCTTCTATGATTCTACTAATAATTTTGGTTGCCAATCTACAAATCATGAGCCCTACGAATAAATGTTGCATTGGTTTCGAATTACGAAGCTCAATGAGAGCGTTCTATTTTTAAATGTGCATTCGTCTTCGATTCCCTTCCGTGAAATGCTAACCGACCTTTTCGCCAATTTTACTAATAGAAGAATGTAAAAAAACGGCGAATGTGATTAACATGAATGGAAGAAACTCTTGAGATAATTGAAAATTGTTTCTATTGAGTTCTGTTTCTGTTCTCTTGCTCACTGTTAGGACATCTTTTTGCAATCGTTGGAGACTTTAATTTCCGAAAAGTGTATTTCCGTTCTCTTTTCGCGTCATTTTCAAGCACCCTTGTTCGTATAATCCACCACCCAAGTTTTGGTCCGGACGAAATAAATTAGTTTCTCACTGGATCGTCGCCTTCCTCTTTGCACAAAACATAATCTATTTGGCCACGCAAAGGTTTCTACGATGAATTGAGTATGTCTTATCATATTTTTTCTTACTGATATTTTTTTTCCAATAATATAATAATAGTATTTCAATTCTGGGTTATATCGAAATGTATTGTTAAACAACTAAAGGGAGGCGCTGCCTTCAAATTCGGTCAATCAGTGTAGATTTAAATTAATCGTTGACTGGATTTTAAATGCGCGTACGCTATAATGCAATGTACGCAGTCTCGCGTATTTCTTGCTGCCTCGAGACGCATTGGCACATAGCCAATCATTTTTTGAATTTCGTCAAGTCGTTTGACTCCGACAATATGGAAAAAAGATGATTTCGAGAAATGCATTACATAAAATGGAGGCGATCCGGTGTGGAAGAAAAATGAAAAAGAATTTTCAATTCTTTTTTCCACAACTGAATCGACCCTCGTCTTTGTATATAAACACATTATTATCATTTTTAAATTGTTTATTTTCGTATATTTTGAGTCTGCGATTTGCAATGATGTCCTATTACATAATTTATTTGCCTCCACAAAAAAAATGATTTTGTCTGTATTGAAGACAAAAAAAACCCGACGCCGCGAATCGTCGAAGAATAATAGTAGTAGTTTGTGGGAGGGGAACACAGCAGAAAACCAAAAGCGAGGAGAGGGTGAGTTCCGCGCAAGTCTAATTCCCACTTTCCGGTCGAACAATTTGCGAGGAGCAACGACGCCATACTGCTCTACTACACGACATTCTTGCCTCATGTTCAATCACAAAACTCTTAACATTTTTTGCTTTTATCTGCTTCATGAACACATTTGTTTTAGAATAAAAATCGCCGAATCGAAATCGAACATCTGCTGCGTTGATTTTTTTTCTCTTGGAAGAAGCGGACAATTGAAATTGGACGTACACTTTGAAAGCATGTTCGGGCTGCTCGTCAAGCGGTACTTTAGTTCTTGATTCTCTTAAAAGAAAAAAAAACGAATGCTTATAAATGCAGCAAATTGTTTATAAGAAAAGCAAATTCTTTCACATTGCTTCTGCTAGAAATCTGAGGGAAACTGAAGGACGTGGTCCTATTGAAAAAGTGCTCCCCCGGGTATTGGTGGGGCAACCCGCGACCACTTGGTGCATATATATTTTGTCCTTCTTCTTCCTCTCTTCCTTCTTCTTTCTCCAAGTGCACATAATACTCATCAACAAATTTTTTAACGGCCGTCTTCTCCTTCGCCCAATTCAATTTTGTTTTATGACCTTACTTTTCGTTTTTTCCCTCCTCTTCTTGTAATCGTTTCGTCGAATTTCAGTCGAATGAAGAGGTTCTTCTCGCGCAAGAAATTACGCAAATCCAAGTCGGACTTCACCAGTGACAAGACCGCAGAGAAGCAAGAGATCGATGATGGCTCGCAGCATCAGCAAAACGGAGCGGTGCCGACGTCGGATGCGATTCCGATACCGCAATCAAAGTCATCGAATATTGTGCAGTATGTCATTTTGTGCGAATATCTGTGATTGAAGTTGTGGTTTAGACACATTTCCAATTCCTATGGGGACGACTATGAAGCAGTCTGTTCATCGATAGGCGATGAATCGCGCAAAAATTTTGATGCGCAGTTAGACAAACACATGATGCAGACAATCACCGATGTTAAATATATGATTAAAAAGAGCAAGTACACTGCATTGGGTAATATATTAGACACTTTCGAAAAAATGCATTGGAAAACCAATTTCAGGCGAGGTGAATTTCCAAAGATCGTGTCTCGATGCGCACAATGAATGCAGACAGCGTTACGGTAACGATAGTTTATGCTGGTCAACAGAGCTCGCTGAAATGGCTCACGCATGGGCAGTGAAACTCGCCGATCGCGGTAGGATGCTGTACCCGGAATTACCCGGAATCGGTGAAAACATATTGATGAAAGAAGCAAATCACGCGTCGCATCTTCCCACTGGACCCGAGGTCATTGAAGAGTGGGAGAAGGAGGCACAATATTTTGATTTCGATAAACCGCGATGGAATTCAAGTGGGGAGAAGAAATGAATTGAATCTCATTGAACACTTATTTTTTCAGAATGCCAGCGATTCTCGCAAGTTGTGTGGAAAGACACCACTGAATTAGGAGCGGCTCGGTAAATTCCCGCAAATCATTCGATTCAATTGATTGGTTATTCAGATATTGGAACACAACGAACAACTGCGTCGCTGTAGTATGCTTCTATCGTCCAGCCGGAAACTCGAATGCTCCTGGAGAGTTCGCGTCAAATGTGCCGTCTCGCGAATGCTCAATGTCGCCGATACGCAGCCAGTTCAAACGTCACGTCACGATTTCAACTCCGGAGAAAACCGTCAACTAGGAACTCGAACGAATTCTACACGCGCGCTTTGTTTCTACGGGTCATTCTAGTTTTTTTCCCTTTCTTTTAAATATTTATAAATAGCCAATCGGTGTCAATATCTGTATTTTCATGAAACGACCCTTTTTCGGTAATAATGAGCCTTTCTTGTATGCTTCAAAATTTGTCTGCCTGAATCTGCAAAGCTTTCGTCTATTTATTCGGCTTCCGGTTTTTTTGATCTCCATTTTTCATCCCAACAGATTTTTTGATTGATAAAATAAAATGCTCTCCAAAAACCGACATTTTTAAATGCTCGATCTATAAAAAGTATCGCTGAAAAAAATACAAAATAATTAATTTTTAACTTTTAACTTTTAAATGAGTGATCCAATTGATGTGAAAGTTTTTGTTCTCATGGATTCGATCGGGACGAACAGGGGACACTTTTTGGTTTTGGATAATCGACGGAACATTTAAGTACAAACAGGGGAAACTATTCAATTAGTTGAAAAAAAAGTCGCCCACGGTTTCGACCCGCCACGCTAAATTGAGGGCGATGTGTAATTGGAGTGTCGTACTGATAGGGTAAAAAATTTTGGAGTTTTTGGGAACCCCCGTGGAACAAGCCAAAATTCAAAACCAATCACGGTTCGTCTTTTTTGAATCGCTGAATACATTACGGAAATTATTTTTTTTCAAGAATATATCGCAAAAAAGCCAAATTTCAGAAACTTATTAAATACCATTAAATTTATCGATTTTTCCATTTTGTTTAGATTAATAAAAATAGTCCGCAAAAATGTCTTTTTTCGAACTACAGTAATTCGCTTTACGATTTATTTTTTCAATTGTGTTTTTGGCTTCGAGTAAAAATTTCCCATTGATATTACCACTCCTTCAAATTTTATGAAGAAAAGAGGATTTCGTGTATTTTTCTGTATAGAGGTTTGTTTCCTGTGACGAAGACTACCGTAGAAGGTATTCGAATCGTTTCTATTCAACTTGGTTGTTGATCTTGTTTGAAATCGATTAGCGTTCATCGAAGTTTTCATTTCGATTCTCGTCTGCTACCGGTTCAGTTTTTCTTAAAATCAAATTCGGTTCCTTCAAAACATTTTATTACCAAATATGGTTTTGTTGCGCCGATCCTGAAGAAATTGAACAATTCTATGACGCTGTGGAAGAAGCTTACCGTTCTTGTAGGAGCGACTACAAGCTAGTCATCGGTGACTTCAACGCACGCGTAGGGGCCAGAAGTAATGAGAATGAGCGGTTCATCGGAGTCAATTCGATGGAACCGCGCAATGACGCTGGTGAACTCCTCGCGACCTTCTGTGAAACAAACCGCTTATGGCACACAAACTCGCTTTTCCAAAAGCCAGCCCATAAGCGTTGGACTTTCATAAGTCCAGATGGCCTCTTCAAGCACGAAATCGATCACATCCTCGCCAACGGGAGGTTTGTAACAGATACTTCGGTGCTGCCATCATTCACAGTAGGAAGCGACCACCGCCTTCTCCGTGCGAACATCCACTTCAACATAAATTGGCTGAAGTACGATAAAAGCAGAAAGAGAAAGGCGCCGAAGAAAGTATTGGACCCGGAGATGGCTAAAACAATAAGCTCGATTGTTAGTCTTCCAGTAGCCAACAGCGTTGACGAAGATTACTCTAATCTAACAACGCTACTCAGGAAACTACAAGACCAAGCCATTGTTAAACCATCAAACCACCGGACCAATAGGATCTCTGTAGAAACACAACAATTGCTCTCGCGCAGACGAAACATGAGCAGGTCCGATCCCAATTTTAAGAACCTCTCAAAACAGTGCCGAGAAGCAATCGAACGAGATCACAAGGAGTTCACCAATTCCCGGTTACTAGGAGCAGCCGATCAACGCAAAAGCTTGAAGAGAGTAGCGCGAGACATGAACGAATACAAATCACTGATTCCATGCCTCAAATGCTCTACTACAGGCAGAACTCTCACCTCTAGAACAGAAATGGAGAAGGAAGTGGAATCGTTTTACACGAAGCTCTTTGCGAGTAGAGCCCCACAAGCGCCTACGCCTACGACAACGCAAGTCAAGGATAGGCCCCTTCCATTTCTACGAGAGGAGATCGTTTCGGCACTTCGGTCCTTCCCAAATGGGAAATCAGCTGGTAGTGATAAAATAAGCGCAGACTTCCTCAAATGCTGCCACGAAAACACTATCGCGCTGATAACGGACCGATTTAACCGCTACCTAGAAACCGGATCAATACCGAGACTGTGGACCAAGTCAGAGACAACTATCATCTTCAAGAAAGGTGATAGATACTCCCTGGAGAACTACAGGCCAATCACGGTACTCCCTGTTCTATACAAGGCTTTCACAAAATGCATCTTGAATAGAATCAGGAGTAAACTAGAAGCCAATCAACCTGTAGAACAAGCTGGGTTCCGCAAGGGCTTCTCAACAGTGGATCACATCCACTCTGTCCAAAGACTGCTAGAAGTGGGACGAGAATATCAAATCCCACTCACACTTGTCTTCGTTGATTTCAAGAAGGCGTTCGACAGTGTTGAGCATTCAGCAGTGTGGCAGAGCCTAAGAGACCAAGGCGTTGAAGAAGCGTATATCCAGCTACTCCAAAGTTGTTACTCTGACTGTTCCACAAGCATCACGCCATTCCATCGACAGGTAGAGATACCTGTTCGAAGAGGAGTAAGGCAAGGTGACCCAATCTCGCCGAACCTTTTCTCCGCGTGCCTGGAGCAAGTTTTCCGTGAATTGTCTTGGAGTCAATTCAAAAACGACTCAGAAGACAATACGAACACTCCAGGATTACGAGTGAATGGCCGCAACCTCACACACCTGCGGTTTGCAGACGACGTCGTGCTCATAGCGCACAGTCCGCAAGCGGCATCCGAGATGCTAAGTGAGACAACAACGTGAACAAGATCTTCATCGAGAGGACATCCGCATCATGTCTAAAGTTCGGGACCCCCTACACCACATCACGAAGAGGAAGATGACCTGGGCTGGACACGTTGCTAGAAGAACAGATGGAAGATGGACTACTCTTCTAACGGAGTGGCGGCCGTGGAATTGGACCCGGCCAAGAGGAAGGCCTCCCATGAGATGGTCGGACTCGCTTCGGAAGGAGATCACTTCAAGAACAGCTGAAGGAGCCGTTATCACCCCCTGGTCCACCCAAGCCAAGGACCGAAAAGCTTGGAAAGCTGTGGTTCGCGCCTCAACAGGCGAAGGACGAACCGACTAAGTGACTAAGTAAGTAAGTAACTTTTAAATGAGTGATCCAATTGATGTGAAAGTTTTTGTTCTCATGGATTCGATCGGGACGAACAGGGGACACTTTTTGGTTTTGGATAATCGACGGAACATTTAAGTACAAACAGGGGAAACTATTCAATTAGTTGAAAAAAAAGTCGCCCACGGTTTCGACCCGCCACGCTAAATTGAGGGCGATGTGTAATTGGAGTGTCGTACTGATAGGGTAAAAAATTTTGGAGTTTTTGGGAACCCCCGTGGAACAAGCCAAAATTCAAAACCAATCACGGTTCGTCTTTTTTGAATCGCTGAATACATTACGGAAATTATTTTTTTCAAGAATATATCGCAAAAAAGCCAAATTTCAGAAACTTATTAAATACCATTAAATTTATCGATTTTTCCATTTTGTTTAGATTAAAAAAAAAATAGTCCGCAAACATGTCTTTTTTCGAACTACAGTAATTCGCTTTACGATTTATTTTTTCAATTGTGTTTGTGGCTTCGAGTAAAAATTTCCCATTGATATTACCACTCCTTCAAATTTTATGAAGAAAAGAGGATTTCGTGTATTTTTCTGTATAGAGGTTTGTTTCCTGTGACGAAGACTACCGTAGAAGGTATTCGAATCGTTTCTATTCAACTTGGTTGTTGATCTTGTTTGAAATCGATTAGCGTTCATCGAAGTTTTCATTTCGATTCTCGTCTGCTACCGGTTCAGTTTTTCTTAAAATCAAATGCGGTTCCTTCAAAACATTTTATTACCAAATATGGTTTTGTTGCGTTAAAAATTCAACACAATTACGCAGAATTGCTAAAAAAAATGGTTTTTAACTAATTTTATTATCAATATTTCAATGGATTTTCTCAAAATTTCATTGAGGATGATTCAAACAATTTGAGAAAAATTATGCTCGAAAAATCAAAAGTTTGGGCGGTTCTTTACATTATGATCATTTTTGGCAAATATTTGTTTTTTACAACAAATGAAATAAAACATTCAATTTTGTACGAAAATTCGTTTATGATAATCAAAAAGAATTTAATAAAATGATTCAAAGTCTCGATGGACTTGTTCTCGACTTTGAAACGGCGAGTTCATTCTAAAATTGGTTATTAAACTTTGTTTAATTTTGATATTTCTTAAATCACCTCATCTTGAACCAAAGTCTCAACGGTTGATCCTTTCATTAGCACCTTCCTCGCCAAGTTATTAATATTTTGGACCTTCTTCAGCAAATCCTGATGAACAGGGTGGCCATTATCAAGGGTATACGCTGCTTCAGATAGAATCTGTTAACTCATCATGTCAGCTATTCTGGATTTTCTAAAATACCTCATCAATGAGTGCTTTAAGGGTTCCACATTGTCGTCTTGTATGATTGCTTGCCTTTTTATCTTGTTCCAAATCATCAAAACTTGTGCGAAGTTTCTAAACCACTTTCTAAACCATTCACATCTGAATAGTTATCATTCGTACTGTCAAGACTGGAATACATAGGCAAAGTTTCCTTTTGTCTTTTTCGGTGGCGCTCGGTTTCGATTCCGAATTCTCAGTTCGACACGAGCCATTCGGAGTATGCGATGATTGATAATCAATCTCTTTCGCTTTTTCTTTCAAGTATGAAGACGCTTCAGTGATTATATCAATGTGCTTAATATTGAAATTCAAAGAAAATTTGACGAATTATTAAAAAACCGACGCCTTCGATCCCTTTACTATTTTGTTGTATGAGACAAAACGCATTTCAATTTTCTCCATGTCGTCTCCAATTTTTTTCTTTTTGATAACAACACATTTTCGAGCATTGCTATCGCCATCTGATATAGCTTCAAATGCGAGTTTGAGACAATCACAATAGATTTATTAGGTTTACCAGTAATATCTGCGCTGCTCATCGGCTGAATTGCCATTTTGATCTACGTATTGATGTTGTGCAGATGTATCGAAATAATAATGCGCTCATTTCAATGTCAGATCATCACGCGAATCTCCCAATTTTGACCGTGATCATAAACTGCTCGCCAATACGGCATGCACTTGAAAAGCTCACATATCCTCAACTTCCGGTGATGTTCACCTCAAGTGTTGTCAATTGCCTGAGAGAGGAGTGAGGAGAGGAGGACCCGGCATAATCTCAAAGGTAAATAATCCAAAAACTTTTTGCGCGTTCTCAAATTTGGTACACATTGCTCCCGTAGTGATGGTGTCAATAACAATGTTATCTCTAGACATTTCGATTCCCTTTTTATTTCATTAAATCCATTTGAAATTTTTTAAGGATTCAAATGCACTCTTAGCTATTTCAAGACAATTTACAATTTGTAATTATAAGTTTCAGAATAGCTTTTTCAGTGAGGTAAAAAAAAACAGTGACCCGGCCCGCCCGCCCCCCCCCCTTGAGAACCCTGGGTTGTGGAAAATCTTTTCATAATCCAAAACAAAATAAGTTCGCTGATAATGCTAGATCGGTTTATTTGAACCTCGCTAAATAAATTTTGGTGAATTCTGGCAAAATTTTGGTTCATCGGTCAAAAATTGTTTGTTTCCACCCATCAGAATCGATGTGAATTTCGATTAATGATTTGCAAAACTCGTAAATAACCGACACGCGATCGAGACGAAGACAGCGAGAGCGAAACAAGAGAAAATGAGAGACCGTGTGGCGCACCGAGGTGAATCGTTTCACCAATTTTAATGATGGTGCCTGTTTTCGTATTTTTTCAATATTCGAACTGACACCTACACAATTTTAGATATTGCCAATTCACACAACTTTTATTTGTTTGATTATAGCTCGGCAATTTTAAAACGGCGATCATTTTACGATCTTAAATTGACATCATTTTTCGAGAAAAATGTTGATTTTTAACAAAAGACCAAAATTTGCTAATTGTTTCTTATCAAAATGTTGATTTATTTGGAACTTGTTTTTTTTTTCTTTCCATTTTTTTGCGAACAACTGTCACCCGACCATCTCTCTTCATTTCGTTTTTCAAACGTGCGGGTTGCGTACAACGAGATGGCATTTGCACGGGTGTGAGAATAATTAAAGTGAGGACATTGCTAACTAAGAGCTGTTGAAAAATTACGCTGTTTTTTTTTTCAAAAATGAATAATTGATGTTTGATCTTCGTCTTCCGATTAGTGTTTTTCTTTTATGAATGAATATTTTTTAAAAGAATTTGTATTCCTCACAAACTTTTTGGATATGTTCTTTAATAGATTCAAATATTATTGATATCACGAAATTTCCAAGGTTTTGAGGTAACTCGAAATGGTAATGATCGAGACATTCCTTGGCATGGCCAAGTACTTGTCTCCAAGACAGGACGACGACTGGTCGGATCGTCTCAATTACCTTCTCACTCCGAACATTCTGCTCGCGTTCTCCGTTCTCATCTCATTCAAACAATTTGGTGGAAGACCTATTGAGTGCATGTTTCCCAACAAATTTCCTGGCAGTTGGGAGCAGGTAAACAACATTTGATGATCGCCTCGCAATTGTTTGCTTCTACAGTATGCTGAGAATTATTGCTGGTCACAAGACACTTATTTCGTCGAGCCGACACAACATGTTGAGCTTCTCAAGGCAGAAGAAAGGTACACGCCGGAAAGACAATTGTCCTATTATCAATGGGTGCCTTTTTTTCTTCTCGTCCAAGCTGCATTTTTTCGAGCTCCCAGCTATTTGTGGCAATATTTTTCGAATCATTCTGGTTTGAAAAATATGGAAATTATATTATAATATGTGAATTCAGGTATTCGCATTCATGAAGTAGTTGAAAAAGCCAAAGATTCGAGTAATCTTGAAGAGGATGTTCGCGAAAAAAACATTTTGGTTCTTAAGAGGCATCTGTGCAACGCCCTCCGATTCCAGCGTCGAATGCAGAGAAAAAAGGCAATTTCTTTCAATATTAGCATGATAATTATTGGCTATTCAGGTCGTCGTACATCGTACGGTAACTTGTCTCAATTATCAATACTCGTCAAGTTTTATTTCTTCAATCTATCTTCTAACAAAAACTTTATACGTTGTCAACGTGTTCGCTCAACTTTGGCTCATGAATAAGTGCGAAATATAACATATTTGTCCATTTTTTTTCAATTTTCAGTTTTCTGGGAACCTCTAAATACCAATGGTACGGTTTAGGCGTTGTTCGCGATATTATTTCAGGAGTTGCTTGGGAGAGAAGTGGCTATTTTCCACGGTCTGCCGTTTGCGATTTTGAGGTAGTAATTCACACCAATTTCATCAAATCAAACTGAATTTGAAGGTCCGTCAAGTAGGAAACATTCAGAAGTATTCTGTTCAATGCGTTCTTGTCATTAATATTTTTAATGAGAAAATTTTCGTTCTTCTCTGGTTTTGGTGAGTGAGACTCCGCCCATTTTGCCTTGAAAACATAGAGTGTCGCGATACCCGCAAAGTGTCCGCAGCGACAATGAGAAAGGCGGCGACCTCCGCCGTCTGCCGTAGCTTCCATGATCGATAACAAACCCAGCTCTCTGAATGATTTGTGAGGATGGAAAACTGCTGAGAGGCTCGATATTTTAAAAATATGATTATAGAATGGATGTGATACGATAAAAAAAGAACAAATTTAGGTATTTGCTGCTGCTGTTCAGTTCAGTTGTTTCGTTTATCCAATGGCTCGTACTTTTGTGCTTCCCATGCTTCTCACGCTGGTTTGTTTCTCAACATCTGGAGCTCAGCTCTTTGCACAACTTTGCGCCATCAACACGCAAATCCGCCAAAGACGTCGAGCATTTTGTCAATAATTACCTGCATCGCGATGGAATTTTCGTGCTTCGAATGGTTTCCGCACATGCGGGAATCATTTTCGGAACAGATCTCGTTTTGGCGCTATGGAAAACATTCTACGGTATCGAGGAGAAGGGTGACGAATCAGAATTAGAAAGTCCGATGACCGGAGAAAGCACAACAATATCATCGGTGCGAAATCGTAAAAAGAAGTCGATGATCGACTACATTGAGGTTGGTACGAAAAACAATAAAAAAAATCTAATAAATCAGTAGCCACATAGTGAAATTGAAGGATTTCCGACTTTCTACCACATGTTACCACATTAAATCATCAATAATGTTGAGAATAGGGCAATTCAAAAGATTTCAAATATTTTTCGCGGTTTAAACTAATAGAAAATTTAAGCGAGTTTCCAGGGAAATTTCTAAAATCATGCTGGTTTCAGAATGGAGAATTCAGCACAGAATTAGTTGCCGAAAAGGATGGATACGAATCATCGTCATCATCATCGGAAGACACGAAACGCGCAAGCAATGTGGCATCAATCTAATTGCATATTATGTTTATTTGTTAGAATTTCAACGGGTGTTTAATGCTCACTTTATACCCTTTATTCACTTAAAACTTATAATTAAAAAAAAAAAAAAACAAAACAATCTATTAACAAAACAAATAAAAAACATTCTAAATTCTACGAATCTTCCTGGGCCGGGGTCCAAGTTCTCCAAGAGGCGTGTGATCTGTGATGCTCACAACATGTACTCCAGCTACTGTAAGTCCCTTGACACAAGTCATTCTTCCAGGTCCAAGACCTTTAACCTAAATTGGATTTTTTCGTAATAAATCAAATATGTTCTTTTGTCAAAATACCTCAACTCGAACCGTCCGAATTCCTCTTCTCACCAATCTCTGCCCAGCAGCGACGCCAGTTGTTTGTCCGGCAATTGTCGTCTTCTTTCTGGCATTCTTAAATCCTTCAAGTCTGCACGATGTATACGTGATAACTTCGTTCTTATTGTCCATTACAGTCACCAGTGTGTTATTTTTTGTTGCCTTTATATACACAATCGGTAGTTCAGCGTACAAAATTCCATCGAATTCGGTTTTCAATGTTTCGGCAGTCGGAAAGCGCGATTCCACCGATTTGAGATTGATGGCAGTTTGCATTCCAGCGCCAGTTGTTCCTTCCATGACTTCCTAAACTCAAAATTCGTCTTTTTTATGTAGACAAGATTTATAGAACCCAATAGACCATTTAATCAATAATTTGCTACCTGCTGAGCGCCAACTATTTTTGTTCCTTGTCTATGATTATCACGAATACTGTCCGGCAGACATGTCGATGTTTGAATTCGCCGACATTGAAGTTTGGGAAAATTTAAAGACGCTAAAGCTGCTTTCAAGGCGATCAATCAATAATCCGGTCTTACCTTTAAAGAAATTCTGCGCAGACGAATTAAGGCACATTCGACCAATGTCTAAGGTAAGACGTCGAATCGACATCTTAAGAATTCACTGGTTTTTAATAGAACTTTTCAACCAATAAAGGGAATTTAACCCAAAACGAGAAATACAAAAGGAAATAAAAAACAAAACTTTATAAGCCATAAGTTTAAAAGAAAGAAAATTTAAATTTGGAATTCAGCTCCAGAAGTTGGCGTTATAGTTCATCTCATGTCTACAAGGCTCTGTCAATGCTTCATCATCACTTAATTCATCAGCTATTGGCAAAAGGGTGATATCTCCTCTTCCATATTGGGCATGTGCTGGCTCATGCTTATCAAGACCTTCAAGTTGTTTCTGATTTTTATAAGAAAGCAATAAGTATTTACTTTTTCCCGGCCGATAAGCTAGTCGATTTCTGTTCGGAAATACGGTGATTGGCTTATTATCTTCCAAAACCTTATCCATAAGAGAATTATGCAAGGTTTGAAATCGAATGAACAATGATCTCAGATTCGTTATATTCATAGTACTTGATTTTTTCTGAACAAATACAAAATCTTTAAATATTGAACAATAAATGTCATACCAATAAATCTAATTTGAAGGCTTCGATTTCCTCCAGAAAGCTGTTTGTCAAGCGACTGGAGGGACAATCAATCATTCCGACTTGCTCTGAATATTCTTTAAGACGACGGGTTAAAAGAAAAATTAATATTACCCATGTGATCCTCGTGAGATGTTCCAGGAATATTCCTTTGCTCCATTTGCATTTTTATATCATCGTCAACAATTACAACGTCCTCGTTTGGGTCTAAAGCAGAAAAATTGCATTGTAAAAAATATGATGAAAAACAATAATTAAAAAAAAAATAAAGATTACTTTCTAAAATGATTTGCTCTTCTTCGTATAAATCTTCATGTTTATTTTTTTCAGCGCCAACGTTTTCCAATCGAGATGACGACGGTGTTTCCACTTCAACTCGAACATCATGTCGGCTAGATTGTTTACAAAAAATATTTTTAAAAAATAAAGAAAAATCCTACATTATTCGATTTGAATATTCATCATTAGCGTCTTCTATCCCTCGTTCTTCGTATGGTTCTTCAGTATATTCATCCTAAAATCATAATTTCGAGTCAATAAAATCAGTAAATTGTCAAAATTACCACATCAATATCGTCGTATCTCGTATCGTCAACACCGTTTCCTTCGGCATCTGGTATAAATCCATTCTGAAATTTTTTATCCATTTAATACGACATTGAAAAAATGACATACAGCAGATAATAAAGAAGTTTCTCCTCCTTCATCTGCCCTAGTCATATCAATTGGAACTAATGATCCATCTTCGGCTCGAATTTTGGCGACGAAAACTCTCGGTCGAGGCCATTGCTAAATAATGAAAATTTTCTAATTAAACTGATTAATTTGAAACCTCTTCAACAGCAATATCACTTGTCGTTTTTTCATTATAATCTCGAAGTCTTGGAACACCTTCTCGAACGATTCCAGCTCGATCGAGAAGCTCTTCCTCCCAAATTTCGCACTTTTGCGGAATCATCCCAGCCGCATCCCATTTTTTGGTGTATGATAGAAATATCGACTTTAGTTCTTCATGATCGACAAAGCAAATGCGTTGAGCATAGATATTATCATGTGCAAAATTTAAAAAATGCCTTCTTAAATAGCCAATAATTTCACTATTTGTTTCACCTTCTAATTGCTTGTGTGCAACAATATACTTGATAATCTGAAATACATGTTTAAAACTTAAATTTTGACAGAAATGACAGATCTTCTGAATTTCCAAAAATTAAAGAAAATCTTACATTTGGTAATCTCATTCTCGCATCGTGTCCGTAATGATCACCACAAACTTCTGCACTAACACGTCTTAAAATACAATGAAAAAATGTTTTTTTTTGAAGATTAGTACCCATCGGCAAACTCCGTTGCATGAATATAAGCTGTGCAAGAATATCCAAGACGAAATGGGCCGGTCCTTTCGCGATTCATAGGGATTTGATTAGAATTAACATAACCACTACGATTGCATGCCATAAAGATTCCCTTTCCGCGTTGTCGACGCTTTGTTCCAGATTTGTGTCGAAAATGCGCTCCGCCTTCCATTTCGAGCCAACGAACGAATCTCTGAAATTTATAAGATTAACGGGAATTTCAAATCATAATTACATCAAATGTTGTTCTGTCCTTAAAATGAAGCTGATGTATATCAGGATGAACATCGTGTTCCATTCGAAGATGAGCATGAAACTCAAATCTTGTTACAAATTCAACGTAACAAACTCCGCAGCAATAATATCGTTTTTTGAGGTCAGGATTGTTGAATGCACTTTCCGTCTTTCGTCCACACTGCAAAATGTTTGCTTTATTTATAATAATTTTTCTTATAACTGTGCTAACCCCGTTATTTTTGTGATAATCAATTGTTCGCATTGCTACTAGCTTTCCACAACCATAAGGACACAAATAACGCGCCCCAGGTTGCCTTTTTTGACAAAATTCAATAGTTTGACCCATTCCGTGCACTTTGAGATCATCCATATAACCGTCGACATCTAATTCTTCTTGTAAACCAGCGTCATCCATTTCTGTCATCTGCAAATTCTGCAATTTAGATTTAAAATTTAGATATACATGATTAACGCAAATAATAAATTCTAATTTTAGTTTTTGCATATATTGAACACGTACAGAAACAGAAAATGTTATGTTGTGGGATAATCGAGTAATTAAGAAAATAAATTAAACAACTGTTTCGAATGCAGAAAATGTTTTGCATTTGCGCCAGACAAGAACGCACTGACGCATATTTCGTGCACTCGAAGTGCGTCATTAGACAAATCGATAAGTATGTCGACCAGCGTTTGTTTATAAATGATTTTACTGTTATATTTTGATCTTCAAAGTTTAAAAAAAAATTTAGAACTGAAATGTAAGGTGTCTATTTAACGAAATTGAAAAAAATGGAAAAATTTATAATTATTATTTTTAGAGTAAATGTTCTTTATTTGTAATCTTTTCGCTGAACGTTCAACAGGTCTTTCTTAAACAACTGCATTTTCTATAAAAAAAAGTTATGTTATCCATAAATATGTTTATTTATAGTGTTTCAACTTTCATTCAGCATGGCGTTTCGGCCAGGCGGCTATTCCATGCCTTTTCAATGTAAGTGGCTTTGATTCAATCATTGATATCAAAAAAAAACTTCTTAGCGTATGGAGCACCTATAATGTTCGGCCAAATGCGAATGCCGACAGCCGCACCGAAGCAAATGGAGCCAATGCCTGTATTTGTGGGAAATATTTCTGAAAAATGTTCAGAAGAATTTTTGCAAAAAATGCTAGAGGTAATTCGGTTATACATTCTTTTTCATTTATTGTTTAAGGAGTGCGGAAAAGTATCAAGTTGGAAACGAGTTCAAGGGACAAATGGAAAACTTCAAGGTTTTGGCTTTTGTAATTTCGCAGAGCCTGAAGGTACATTACGAGCTCTCCGTATATTAAACGATTTTCATCTCGGCGATAAAAAGTTAACTGTGAAAGTTTGTTGTTAAATTTTTCTTCCGATTATAATTCAATATTTTCAGGCTGAAGAAAAGGTTAGGAAAGAGCTTCGAAATTGGTCTATAAGTCATAGGAGGGCACTTGGTGATAACACTAAAAACTCTTCTCATCAAGATATTGTTTTATAGGCAAGAAAGACATAAAATTACAAGATAATGAGCTTCCTGCTGATGAAGACGATCTTAAGAAAGACGAAGAAATTCGACTAAAAATACTGAATTGGATCGAAAATGATTATCCGGAATTGTTAACACTCGCCGAAGGTGATTTATTAAATACAATATTTTTATTTTCTTATATCTGAATTCAGATGGAGAAATATCGGAGAAAGAAGCCAAGGACAAAAAAGAAGAGAAACAGCGCAACAACGGTGATCGTAAAAAGGTACATAATTGATTAATTATTTTAGAGATTTTTTCGCACCTAAGAGAATCAGGTTTGCTTGTAGTCGAAATTGAATCTTTTTATTTCGAAAAATCCTTAGCTTCTGATTTTTGACATATAGGGACTATTCGAAAAAAACAACAACCTCATGGGAGTTTGCTCGTAAGTTTTGTACATGTTTTCTTTTATATATAATTTAAACATAATAATTTATTTAAAAATTCTAAAACTGAAACTGTTTAAACCATCTGAAATAGAATACTATCGTACATTCCGTATTTTCTATTACGATCAATATATTTATATCTATATATACATATATCATTATCATTGTTATTATTATTATTATTATTATTATTATTATTATTATTATTATTATTTATATTAAGTCCTTTGTTTCGTTTCTAACTCTGCTCCCCTTGCGCTGCTCTTCTCATTTGTCCTCACTGCTTTTTTAAAACTACTATTAACAAACACTTGGGTGCCAATTGGTGCCGAATGGCTTCAGGGTGTAATCGCGTTGTAAAATGTGACAAAAAAAAACAGAACTAACGATATGAATGGTTGTTGTTGTGTGGTGTGGTAATTGGATGAAGCATGCGTTTGCGGTGTGTCAATTTCTTCATGTTTGGTGTATTTCCTCTATCGGCGTCCCAACAACTTCTTGATGTGTCTAGACGCTTTATTTCACACACAGCGCACCATCACAATTTGTCGAAATGGCTTTTAAAATTTCTAAAGCAAGAGATCCACCAAGCTATAAATCTCTCAAAATTTGTATAAGGTGTAAAAAGTGATTTTCAGATAAGAAATAAGTCCTATTGGAGGCGTTGCGAGCCGGAGTCGTAAGTCGAACTCGAATCTATATATATGAAACTTATAATCGAACTGAATCCGAGATGAGCGGTGTTGATCAAAATTTGCAGCCATTCATTTTTCCCTTGCTTTTTCGATTTTTAACGCCGCTCATTTCGTCTCATCTTCTTTGCTACGTCCTCTGCATGTATTTTGTGTTTTTAATTGAATTTTTCCCAACAAATAGCCTTGATCGGGTTTGTTAAATTGGCTATATTCGGTATGTGTGTCTATGTCCAAATCCGCAAACGAAATTCCATTTTCGGCCACAAAATTTGGAATCAAACATGAATTATTATTATATGTTGAAATTGAACATTTCTGAAGATTTTCGCGATAACCAATGATTTGAAACGCCAATTTCGCATTTGATTGCCTGATTATGTCATTTTTCAGCTTGATCGAGAGAAACGACGAAGGTCGCGAAGCAGAAGCGAAGGGAGGAAGAGGTCCAGAAGTCCGGCGACACCGAGAAATAAGTGAGTTTCCGTGTATTTAATTGTTTCAAACAAAAGTTTCCAATCGCCCGAAATTGTTGAAAAAAGGTTTTAATTTATGAAGTGAAAATGAGCAGGAAACAAGAGGCAAAACGATTAATATTCAAAAAATTCTATTGAACATTATTTTTAATAACAATAGCGAATCAGGATTCTTCTTGTTGCTTAACGCAAACGTTATTGCCATTTTTTGTTTTTTTTTCTAAATATGTTTTGATGATTCAATTGTAGAATAAACAAACTTTTTGCGCACACCTTAAAATTATCAATATTTTCTGCAAATCTGAATAAAATGAAGAAAGGGAAAGTGGCGCAATTAGTTTTGATATCAAATGTTTCATTTCAGGAGATCTCGTAGAAGTCGCTCTGCTTCTAGTTCCTCAACTGCCAGTAGATCGTCGAGCACGTCGGAAAGTGGGTCGTCTGACTCGTCAAGATCCCGTTCACCTATTCGTAACAAATCGTCAAAACGTAGAAGAGATCGTAGCGGAACTAGGTGAGATTAACAAAATTAGTTGTTCTTACATTTCAATATTTTTAGAAGCTCTGAAGATAGCGATGAGGCCAGGGAACGTCGTGCCATACGTCATCAGGTAAAAGAAAAGGAAGTGGCTTATATGCAACGATTACATCGATGGGAAGCAAGGGAAAAACAAAGAGCCAAAATGTATGAGAGAGCTGAGAGGAAGGAGAAGGAGAGGTTCGTTTTTTTTTCTCTTAATAGCTTTGACGAATCGAATTATTTCAGAAAGAAAGAACTTCAGAAAGAAGCAAAAAGATTACGACACTTCTTGGAAGATTATGATGATGAGAAAGACGATCCTAAATATTACAAGTAGTAATTATCTTTTTGTCTCTTTTAGAAATTTTTTATAGAAGTTCGTCGTTGTTCCAACGAAAACGCGATTTCGAAAAGGAGCGGGAGGCTGATCAGAAGGATCGGCTGCGCGAGCAACACGAAATTGAGGAGCTTAAGAAACAGATTCTTGCTGAAAACTCGACAAATTCCATCGATGTTGAAGAAGAGGCACGAAAGCGACACCAGCGAAAGGAGGAGGAAGCATTGCGAAAGTATCGTGGAGACAGTGGAAGCCCGAATCCGCACAAACCACTTGGACATTCTGAAGTTGTTCCGCGCGAAGAGAGCTCATCTAGTGAAGATGAAGGAAGTAGCGATGAGGAGAAGACAAATGATGAGCCGGCGGAAGCAGTAGAAACCGCGACACCGGGCGAATTCTCGCAAAAACCAAATGGCGGATGGAAAGCTATTGGTGGAATCGGTGAAGAGCAGATGGATATTGCAAGGCCTCCTCCCAGACGAGATAGCCCGCAAGTCGGCATAAGTTCAGTTCAACCAATTGCCCAAAGACTTAATGGTGTTTTTGGTAGGATTTTTGTGTTATTTGGCCGTACGGCGCGGAAATTTATTACTCTACAAACTTAAGAATGGTTCATAAATCAAAATTCCATCTTTTTGCAGGTAATGATGATCCAGAAGAAGATGAAATTTATAAACGGAAGAAGCTGAAACCATTCCAAATTACCCGCGAAGAACGCATGCAGGTGATGACGGCTGAGGAGAAAAAAGAGCTAACTCGTGGAATTATTAAGAAAATTCCTACTTCTAAAGGTTGACTCTGTTTCAATTGTTAAATTCATTTCGAACCTTGTTTAGATGAATTATTTGCAACCCCAATTGAATGGGATTTCATCGACGCGGCAGCTATGGAGCAGAGGGTCAAACCATGGGTTGCGAAAAAGGTTCAAGAATTTCTTGGAGAAGAGGAAAAACAATTGGTCGATTTTATTTGCGAAAAAATTGAAGCTAGAACTCCACCGGATCAAATCCTTAAAGATATTGCTATGGTAAAAGCTATTTTTATTAGAAAAAAAGAAATGTTGAATTGTTTCAGATCATTGATGATGATGCAGATATGTTTGTTGTAAAAATGTGGAGATTACTAGTGTTTGAAGGTCAATCGCGAAAACTTGGAATAAATCCGTAAAGCATGATTCCCGGTATTGATCTATATTTAAGTTTCGGGTTTTATTATTTTTTGTCTTCCTCTTATTTTGTTGTTGTTCGCAGAGTTGTAACGAGAATCTCATAGTTGCATTAGCTGTCTTATTCATTTATTTCCTTTTACCTGTTCAAGTATTTCTTTTTAATCATCAGCAATAATTATGTTTCTGTATGCCTTTTATTCTGATAATAATAATAATTTTTATTTTCCTCTGTTTTTTTTCATACGTATAAATTAATATAAATATGTAAACTCGTCGTTTTTTAGTTGTCTGCTATTATTGCTGGTTTAGTGCATTCTCGGATAATTGGCATAATCGGCGTTTCAGAATTGTATAAAGGGCATTTTGAAGGTATTGAAAAAAGGAAGCAGCAATGCACAATTTAAGATGGGCGGTCTCTCTTAGCGAGGTTTACTTTCAGATTATTAGACATAAATTAGTTTTAAGAGTTTCGCTTTCGAAAAATAGTTTTTTTAAATGATTTTTTTTTAATATCATAGTTTTTATTTTAAGTCTTCGTCGTTGCAAAACTTTGAACATCTTTTCCGAAAAGCAATAATGTGCGTTACCGAAGAAGATGTTAAACAGCAAAGAAGCTTCATGTATCGCCAGGATGCATTAGCATGTCTTATCGGTCGTCTGCTCTCAAGGTGAGACTTTTTCATGAATGCTTGTACTGCATTTTTTTTTTAGAAAAGCTGCCGTCGAATGTTTGAAAATACCATGGGAGGATATCGAATTCGGTCGAACAAATCGAGGCAAACCATTCGTGAAAAATGAAAGTGTTAAAAGCATTCCTTATAATTTCAATGTTTCGCATCAAGGTGATATTGTCATATTAGGATGTTCCCCATATCCCATTGGTAATTTTAATACATATTTGAGAAACATAACGTATATTTATAATTATTCTAGGTGTTGATGTTATGGAAATCAACCAAAATCGCAGTAAGACAGCTGCAGAATTAATTGATACTTTCAAGCGCCAATTCACCACCCAGGAAGTTATTGTGATGCGCTCAAAACCAACCGAGCTTGAAAGGTGAATTTATTTATTCCACGACACTTTTGCATACTTCCTAGATGCGTTATATGCTTGCATGAGTTGTAATAAATGAACTGCCCGAATCAGAAAACGTACTAGACCACCAGAGCATCATTTCTGTAATTGCTTCTATTTTTTTGTAACATCGAGAATCTATTGAAAATCAAGCGGAAAGAAAATCAAACGTTAATAGACTGGTGCAATTTTCTGGAAATAATAAGAACACACACACAGGAATTTCTTTAGATGGAGAGGATTTTATCGAATCTGGTGTTTGAAGGAAGCGATACTGAAAGCAACTGGAATTGGTTTAACAAGAGATCTAAGAAAATTCGACTTTGTAGTAAATGAAGAACTGAAGCCAGGTAAGATTTTCAGAATGTTCTCGTTTGTGGAAATTTATTTTGTTTAAGGTGACTTTGTTACCAATTCACAGTATTATTATGATTCGGAGCTTCAAACTGATTGGATTCTCGAAGAGAGTTTCGTGAATGAAGATCATTGTGCTGCTGTCGCAATGTATTATGAGTGATCTGTTCACTTGAATTGTTTTATTTTTATTTTTAGAAATACTCCTGCAAGTGACGCGATGGTAGAAAAGCGATCGTTTGAAATTCTAAGCTTTGCTGATGTATTAAAAGATGCTGCCTTTTTAAATATTGGTCTCGATGATAATGACGTTGACGAACTCGACGCATTTTTAGCCAAATCCAACAAACGCTTTTAATAAAATCGGTTGTTTTTATTATTATTGTCGAATATTAAAAACAAAAAGTAATCACTGCGAAATTGTTCCAATTGCTGTTTTCTTTTCTGAGCTATGAAACGTCATATTCGACGATTAATCGGAATAAGCGACTAGTTATGGTGCTGGTTCATTCTGAATTTCCAGGTATATCATGGAACATTTTCTGTGTTCGAACCTAAGTTAGCCAGTCTCCGCATATCTATGGAGAATTGTTTTTTTTCCACTAGAAAACATTATTTTTGAACGACGAACTTGGTAATTTACAAGAAACCCGCAATTTCGGTTTCTGTTTTTCATTTAAAAACCAAAATCTCATTATTTTTATGGTTACGTTCTTCTAAAGAGATAAATAAGCGATCTTCTATTTTTCGTAAAATATTCTGTCTCAAATATTGACTCAAATAAATATATTTTTTTTACATATTTAGTATACCTAGGCAAAACACGCATTATTTATAATGATGGATCTTTGGAATGTGTCTTGAGCTGAATTTCTGAGAATTCAAATGTTGCAACATTTGCCAAAAATTAATACATTTTTGCTTTCATACGATGAGTTTTCCAAAACCGGTTATTCATTCGTGCATAATGAAAAACGTTTTTGCTCCTTTAAACTTCAGCCTTTATGGATCCATCAATCTTTTCTTCAAACATCGTTGCCAATTTGCACGTTTTACCAACTGAAATAGATGCCATCATAATTTATTCGCTACCTATTCAACAAAATGTCGCATGATGTCAAGTAGTTTTGAGCCGAAAAGCTGAATAGAAGGAAGAGAAGATAAGTGAACACGGTAATTGATATGTAGCACATACCATATCTTCAAATAGCGAGAGTCCTTTAATCGAACTTTATATTTTTATTTTTCAATTCCTCCAATCACCGGCAGTCTTCGGACACACATTATCAAGAAATCTAGTAACCCTCTAATTTTGGAAAAGCTTTAAAAGGAAAAGAGATAGCTTGACATCATCATCGTCATATATCATCGCGAATAGTTTTGGATCCATCATTCATTTTTTGAAAAGAATTTGGGATGCGCTTCAGCTGGTATAAATGCTTCATTTTATGTCCATTCGGCTCATATTTTATATTCTATCCACTCGTAAAAAACTTTATTCTTTTCAGGTAATGTTTCTTCGCTCGATTCTTCTTTTAATTTTCATCGCCATCGCTTACTCGTTGCCGTACTATCCAGTACCGGCCGAACTTGAAAACGACAACTCCGCAGACTATGTAAGCTGCTGAGTTCTTCAATTTCACAAAAAAACATTCTCAAAATCGTTGCAGGACTATAACGGAGCCAAGGAGTTTTTATCGTTCGGAAAACGTAACATTGCTATCGGACGTGGCGATGGTTTTCGACCAGGAAAATAAATTCTGAATTATTATAAATTTACATCTTGCTCATAATATAAACATCTATTATACGCAAATTATTGTTTTTCGAGTGAGTCTTGTTTGGCGATGTTTCCGAAGCTGTTTCGCTGAAAATAAATCGTTTTCGCAATTGTTAAATCAATTGAGTTCAATACAAATAAAGACCTGATAATAAACTACCGAAATACTAATTTGCAATCGGAACTTAATCTCATCCAGAACTGTTTTTTACATTTTCTTAAAAAAACATTAGAATAAACGAAAATTAGATAAATATTGAGTAATTTGTAACAGTTTTCGTAATGAGAACGTCTATTCTCACAAAACACAAAAAAAACATTAATTTGGTTGGATCTGAATCGATGGGACATTAAATGTTTGCCGGAGTCCATTAATCAATGAGCAATTTAACAGTTTCAAAACTTCAAAAGAAAGTTCATGAAGTTTGAAAAGCTTTTTTTTTATTCAAAAAATATTTACAGAATTCTGTATAATTATTTTTTTCAAATAATAAAGTACATTGGCCTTTTTTTGTTGAGCATTGAAAACTTTCAATGAAATCTTTGTTTGTCATATTTCGAATAAAAGAAACTTTCTAATATAAAAGGAAACCGAAACCTTCTAAAAGTATCACAATCATTGTTTCAAGAAATATTCAAATCAGTTTCAGATGATTAATTTGGCGATTATTGCTCTATTTTTCTCTCAAGGTTACTCAATTTCAACTCCAGCTCCATCTGGAATTCAAGTAATTTTTCTTTAGCCAATCTATGCTTACAAATGAAATTTCTAGAATCCAGATGAACCCGAAATCAAATTGGTGAATCTTCACAAAAAAGGAACGATTAAATACCGAATTGAAGGTGATCTACTATACAGAGAGTAAGAAATTACAGTATAATTCGAAAGAAAACGTAAAATGAATTTTTGAGAAGAAATGCCACGGAGAATCAACGAATCAAACGACAAATAGAACCCAATGTTCGGAAATGGACGAATGCTATAGTCTATTATTCTTTGGCAGCGAATAAACGAAGCTACAAAAGACATATACTCACTGAAGCAATGAAATACATCAGTTCGAAGACATGCGTCAAATTTTATGAAAATCGACGAGCAAGAAATTTAGTTTATATCGAAGAGTAACACGTTTGATGGAATTCCTTTGTTGACAAGAATCTTTTTCAGTGGGCATAATTGCTCGGCCGAGCTTGGAATGGTTGGTGGAATACAATATTTGGAATTTGCAAGGCATTGCGAATACGTACGTTTTTGGTAAAATGGTCCGATGGAAACTGAGGTTACAGATTGGAATTGCTATACACGAGTTGATGCACGTGCTAGGAGTTCATCACACAATGGTACGAATGGATCGTGACAAATATGTGACAATAAACCCACACATAAGTGATGTATGGGATGGTTCAAAACCAAACCGTTTAGAGCTCAATTTTCAGTCATTTTTCAAATATAATACGAGAATTACGAAAACCAAAAACATTGTACCATATGAATATGCAAGTGTAATGCATTATGAAAGCAAATAGTAAGTTAGCGCTATATGTACAGTAGAAGGTAATAAATAATGTGGAATTTTAAGCGAAGGGCAACCCTCAATTTTTCCCAAAGACACAAATTATACTCGTTCGTTGGGTCGTCCAATTGCTACATTTTATGACATCAAAGCAATCAATGATTTCTACGAATGTAAATGTGAGCCAGTGTTTTCTTATAAGTATCTATTATAAAAAATTCGCTTTTCTTTTGTTCCAGGCGATTCGGCAAATTTGCAATGTGAAAATGGCGGTTATCCGAATCCAGCGGACTGCTCAAACTGTCTTTGCCCCCTCGGATATGGCGGAAAACTGTGCAATGAAATTGTTAGCAAATAAAAAAGTCTGGTTGGCGATAATTTTGAACTTGTAGCCTGAAAATGGAGAAACGCTCGAAGCTTCAACAGAATGGAAGACACATAGAAGCTCCATTGGAAGCCCATCATATTACCTAAAAGACGATTTCGAGTTCAAAACAATTCATATTAAGGTTTACTGCGTTTTCTAGCCTAATTTTAGATCAGCTTTCAGGCTCCTGAAAATACCACAATTCACATTAAAATAGACAGTATCAATGCGTTTGATTGTGTGAATGCTTGCTTTTATAACGGAATTGAGGATAATATCTGGCCGATCCTCGTATTGCAAATCCAACGTAAATAATGAAACATAACATTGAAAAAAAAAAACAATTTATTACAGAATTTGCTGTCGGAATCAAATTAGAAAAGAAATTAGTTCTAAATTGAACCCAACTCCCATCATTGTCTATTCGATGTACGACTATCAAACATTCTCCGTTCAATACCGTTACGTGAACACTCCGAATGTCGCTGGAGTGACTCAGACCAATGGATACGATTCATTTAAATTTAAAATTTGAAGCTTCCAATAAAAAGTCTTAACTTTTGTAGAATTTTTATCTCACAATCTGAGCACAACTATTCGATTTATTCGGGGATGGGTTTCCATTCTGCACCGCGCTGTATTGTCCTCATGGTCTTCAGAAGTCATTTACTTTAAATACATATTTTAACAGATTTGGTACAATATAACCGAATTTGATCTACCTACGATATCATACGAAGATTTTGGTTTATTGAGAAATTCAACAAATATCGAAACTTGATAGTTATTTTTATTAGACAAACTCCTAGTTTTTTTGCAGCAATGCCCATATTTCACAATTACATATGCCGACAATAGTCGATTTATTTTCAAAAACATACTGTAAAAGAAACATTTTTTCAAATTCAGTGCTCATAATTAGGCCATTATTATTTAATGTTATTAGTTTTTGGGAGTATAAAATGAGTTGAATTTTCGAAATAAGTCATTCATTTCTACTGTTCATAATGAATTTCTTGGTAAGACCCTTTTCCTTAAATTTTCTCCCTCTGTATTCCTCATTTCCAGGCTCTTCTTCTCGTCGTCATCTGCTCGATCGCAATGGTTGAAGCTCTCGATTCGAGAACGATAAGATTCAAACAGCACCGAAAAATTTCATCGAGACCGCACTACAACATCCGCAAATCTTACTCAGGAAGCATGAGATGCCATGAAGAATCCGACTGTCCCGACGATCGAATCTGCGATGACGGATTCTGTTTGAATGTCGATCAGCTCTTCGAGAAATACGACAATTCTAATGAATACTAGTCATTTATATATCAATAAATCATTCCAACGCATGTTTTTCTGCATTTAGCGCCAGAGCAGATGTTTATCGTGTAAGCATCAAATTGGTATAGCTTTAGGTCATTAATTACCGAAATCTTTATACAAAAAAGCATATCAAAAATTAATATGACACAATGCAAAATACACGACTTAATTATGTTTGAAATTTTGATGGAAAATCAATCAATTTGGCTTAGTTTTAGTTGATTATATTCGTTAGGGAATAATTTTGGAAATAAGTGGTACGCGTCAACTAGATGATTTTGAAGAATAAGTCGAACAACATCGAAATTCGAGCGATCTAGTCCTTCTTTTTCGTTCTAAAACATCGATTTCGAAATATTTTAAATTATGATCGAAAAAGTTGCATACCGGTAATCCCTCATCGACGTCACCATTCAATAACTCCCGATGGTAATGCTCAATAGTTGTTTGTGTTAAACCTCGACCCTGAAATTAACACTCATAATTTTAGAGTGAGCATCTATTTACGCGTAAATTTACCCGCTCGCAAATCTACACTGACTTTGCGAAAGAGAGAGGAATGCCCCCACATTAATCGTTGAACCCGGATAATAAAAAAAATGACATACCATTAAAAACTTCCATATTTCTAATAATAATAAATATGTTTCATGAGCATCACAAAAATATTCGAGATCGCAAAGATACGAAAAATGGGCCGGCACAATTCCAGCCTTGCAGCTCATCAGCATCCAACGATGAAGTCGCGCTCGAACCATTTCCGAGCATCGTGATCGGTCCGAATTTTTCTAAACAATAATATCTGAAGGCACTCTTGTTAAAAAAAATTACCTCAGCGTCGTTGATAATTACTGCTAGTTGGGCTTTAATAATTGGAAGGCAATAAGCAAAACTTCGAGTATCACTCAAAACCCTCATTATTCCATCGCAAAGTATACTCCGTTGCACTTTTCGATCAATTTCCACAAATCTTAAAAATACTCATTTTAAAGAAAATGTTAAAAGTATAAACCTATGAATGAATTCAGATTCAAGATCCCAATCTTCAATTTTCATATCTCCAACCAAAGCATCCTTGCAGATGAGTTCGACAAACACCATTGCCACTTGTTTGCTGTTATTAAGTTTCATCTCCAACGATCCTGTCATGCACATCGCGCGCAAAGCGTCAAGAAGCACAAAAACCCTCTGTCGTTGGTTTTCCTAAAGCATGCATATAAATATTTTTTTATTCCATCTAAAACATACACATATCACTTCTTCTTCGGGAGTCATTTTCTTATTGAAGCCGGCTTGAACTTTCCTCCTTTTTAATTGCCCACTGTGAACCATATCCAATGCGGAATCCTGCACTCGAATTTGTCGAATCTTCTCAAGAACCGAAGGTCCGTCCTTAAGCAATTAAATAATAAAAAAAAACGTAATTTGATACCTCGAGTTGAAACATATTGAACAATTTATTATTTCCAACCTCATCAAGTAGACATTCCATATTTTCATCAATTGTTTCTCCAAATAGCCGTTCTGAATCCTATAAAATCGTAAGTCATTTTAATTTTCTGCATTCGTTTTAAATTCGTACCGAAAAACAAGAAAGGACGAACAAATTGGTGAAAATCGGAACAAATTTCGTTAGCTGCGAATCAAGATGATCGTTGTAAAGAAATATAAGGAATGATGTTCGCATTTCTTCGAAAACTGTTATCCCTTGTGGAACTTCTCGGCTAATAAGGAAAAGGCTCATTTTTAGCAGAATAGACAGTTGTGACATCAGTTTGTACCAATTTGACAGGTTTGTCAAGAATTTTCGTCCCTAAATATTTAAAATGTTATGATCAAAAAATCAAAATTTCGAATGAAAATAATTACCGATGCATGCTTATTCGAGTTTACAGAACACACCGCTTCAATTAGTTTGGTGACCATTCGGAACACGGTAAGCGCCTTTTCGGGATTATTATTCTGAAAAATATTTAGATTTTAAAATATGTGCAATGCAAACTCACATCTATTCCTTCATTCGCGATTAATATTGAATCCGCAAGGATTGTATTCAAAAGCTCGCCGATAGTTTCGCCAGGATACACTCGGAGAAACGCAATGGGGCTTGAGTCCTCCGAAGCAGCGTCCCATTCGAAAAGAACTCGAAGGTTGTTGAGAAGATTCAAATGGAACTTCCATTTGTCAGAATCTAAAAGATAAACGATAACTACGGTCGACGTCGCACGACTTCAAAAAATTGGCTAAATGCCAAAAAAAAAACAACTGACAGCGGCCTTGGCGCAAAACTAAACGTGTAGATTACGACAAATAAGGGTACGTTAAAAGTGTATAGTTAGCGTCCGGCGACAGATGCAGGTGGGTAGATTTACGGGAACACGTTTTTCTCTTGCTCTCGCGCGGGCTAACTGAATATTTTCCGTTTTATTGATCGGCTCGACAATTTTTTAAACGAATGACGATGGAAATTCAAGAAAATGCCAAACTCATCAAGAAAAAATTGAAAACGTGAAAATAGCAAAAAAAGTGTTCACGTGTAGCGAGACCATTTCTAAAGGCGCACTCGTAAATCTACTCGCGTACAGCAGTCGTTGGACGCCGACTATGCGTCGACAATAATTTGATGATTTAATATTTGAAAAAAAAACGAGTTGTGACAGAAATGATTATTTTACCATCTGGAAAACCAAATTCAACTAATGTTTTCAATGCATCCATTTCTCGATACATGTAATCCATAAAAGTAGGGAAGAATGGCGCAGTCGTTGAAATATAAGCCATTAGAACGTACATCTGAAATAATGATAAAATTGAGTATCACGCTTAGGTTAGTATGACTTACATATTTTGGTTCGCTGAAATCAATAGTCAGGAGAAATCTGAACGTAATTTCACTAGCCTTCATTTCTCCGAACGAGATTGCAATTGCGTGCAAATGTCGAATAATTGAAGAAGATCTGAATAAAAACGATAATAATCAATTTTAATATTCGCATTTGAATACCTATCGACATTATCTGGTATTGCATCAATAATAAATTGAAGTTTGTCCGAGTGAGCAAATGCCTTCACCGCTGGATGTTGAGATGGACAGTTGGCTCGACCTGTAGCATGGGCAATTCGCACAATCCGATTCATCATCACTTCCTCAAATTTAATAATAAAAAATGGCAACAACATAATTAATACCAATATTTCCTTTGAGTTCTCAACGAGAATTTTGTTATACTCAATATTCTTTGGATCTGTCTCATCTGAATAATCGGATTTTCCGTGGTCTCATTCTCGAGTACAAATAGATTTTCAGTAATAATTTTGGATTATAGTAATCCAAAAATACCAAAAACGTATTTTTTCATCATTGGATGAGCACAAAATGTTCAATGACAAATTATAAAAAATAATTTACCAGCAAACATCCTTTTATCATAAATGATCGTGTTGAGCATTTGAAAAACCAATCCGTGCGTGTCGGGATCGATGACTTCAACCACCTTTTTCATAAAATCGACGTATTGCAAAGTTGTAAGAATCGTTGATTTCTCAACAGTGGCTATCTGACGAAAAGCTCGAATCGCATTCCAAGGGGTAACCAGCGTTTGATTTGACGTAATCAAAATTCGTAAGGTTTCCATGGAAAATGTGACGAGTTTAAAGAAAAATGCAAAACTCAAATCGTCGTAGAGACCGGTTTTCTCATTAAATTTCGAATCGAGGCTTTTCTGCAATTTCAGATTCATAAGAGCACACATAAGCAAAACGTTTACCGTTATCATTGCAGTAACGACTTCTTGGAGTTCCGGATTTCGTTTTCTCATCAAAAAATTGAATACATCGGATATTGCGAGGAATTTTGCCTGATACTCCATATGAAGAACATTTAAAACATTAGGTGGTGCCTACAAACATAATTTTGAGAAAAAAAATGAATTGAGAAGATTTTGCAAAAATGTAACAAGATATGTAAGATATTTTAAGGAAAAAATAAGTACCTTGGCTGCCTTACGACTAGCGGTGTCTTCGGCGTAAATTCTGAATTGCTGCGCTCCATTACGTAGCAAATGTTTTACAATCGTGCCAGGAAACGTCATCCTATATCTAATTGGTGGAATTCGAAAATCAATAGCTTTTACTTACGCAATATGAAGCCAAACCCAATTGAAATGAGGCCCATGCCGACTTGCATCGAAAAGAACTTTCATGCAGGTGTCAGGATCTATTTCTAACCTAAAAATGAAAAATAGTCAAGTTCAAGTTTAAAAAGAGGAAAAAGTACATTGAATGAATGATGACGTCGAGCAGCGACATTAATTTTGCAATAGATTCGCATGATTGGAATGATTTTAGAACAATGTCTGGCCCATTTGTTGTTTTCATAACACTTGGACGTCCGGAATTATGAACCGAAAGCTCGGCGCAGAGTGAGCAAACCCACTAAAAATAAAAGATTTCAATAACGAAAATGTTTAGTTAAAATTAAATATACCGTAAGAATCTCAGAGAGAGCTCTCGTACTTCTAGAATCGTTGGCAAACTTTTGAAACCAATCCATAATTTTAATAGTTGCATCTCTTAGTGCAACACAGGAAGTCGCTGCAAAAAATTAAAAAATAAAATATATACAATTGGATTTTATTTTACTTTGTTGAGGATTTTCTCGCTTATTGAATGTTGTGTGAGCACTTTCGTGAATCAAAAGTCCCACAAAACTATAGACTGCTAGCCGCGATGAGGGAAATTCCTTGAACATGCTGAGAGTTGAATTAATCAAATGGCTACGCTTTTGGGAAACCCAACATGGCCGACCTCTATAGATTGAGGGCAAATCACCCAAAGACACCAGCTCATTGAATAATTCATACATTTTTTGAAGATTTTTGTACTTCTAAAGCAATTTTATCTTGCGCTGATTTCTAATCGGTTCACCTCGTTCAGCTTTTCACTTAATGCGTCCCGTTTTGATTTTTGTTCTTCTTCTGGCGTCATTTCTCTTTCTTTCTGAATTTCATTTTTAAAAGTTTTACTGTATAAACAGATACTTCGACATGTTTCACTTCTTTTATTTCCTCAATTTCCTCCTTTATTGTTGGAACCTCTTCTTCCGATTTTATTTCAGTTGTTGGAATTTCGGGGATTGTTGGAACAGGATCGGGTGATTCAGGAGATAAAATTTCTTCATTGTTTACCTCGGGTTGGGGCGATGCTGGCGAATCCACTTCCATCACCTATAATTAAAAATGAATCCCGTTCTCGTATAGAAATAAATAGAAATATATATATATATATTTAAGTTGCAAGAAAATTTCGAAAATAAGCGATGGCCTAACTTTACTCACATATGAGCCTAGTCCACGCGTAAAAGGTTCTTCGGCCACGTAATTTTTTCCATTTTTTTTTCATCCATAATTCATTTTGAAATTATTGAGCAATGGATCTGGATACAAATGTTTATTTAGAAAAAAACTTAAATAAGCAAAAATAAACATAGTATTACATTTTTGATTTGCTTAGTTTTTCTTATTATTTTGGGTAAATTATATAGACCAAAATGTGACACAACAGATATAATCCCATGGTTGAATCTTTGATTGTCGAATTACCGTTGTTTAACAGACGAAAAAACACCGGAAAACTACACTAATTGTTTTGATACACGTTTCGATGATTTTAATCCTGTTTTACAAATCTATAAAAAGCGACTGAAACGCAAGCGAACCCACAATAGAAAATGCGCTTCGTTATTATTTTATTATCAATCTCTTCATTAGCTGTCGCCACAAAGCGCATGGATTTTTGCCAAAAAATTGTCAAATTTGGTATGAAATTCTATAAAGCAAACGAACTCGAACCGGTAAGTCGGCAAAATGTTTTTTCATGTAATTCACAAAATAATTGAAGATTTTGAAATGTATTGAGCCAACGATTTATAAGACCCCGAATAATAATACTGCAATTATGTCGGAGGCAAAAAGCTGTATTTTGAATAACTCTGGAAATAAGGCTGTTCAAGCTCTTAGTCTTTACAATAACGGTATTCATATTAGCAATTCTGAATTCGATCGAAATTTAGTGAATAAATGTCTGGATCCCGAAAGTCTCGATAGTCTTGCTGATAAATTGTGTGATCCTCTTGTGAAACAGAATCAACCGTTAATAAAGAAAATGAAAAGCACATTGGCTGACTGCAAAAAGAATAATAAGAAGACAGGAGCGGCGAAGCAAGAGGCTTGTGCTCAAAAAGTGTATGAAGTCATGCTTGCCAGCATGACGAAGAAGTACATCGACAATCAGTGCATCAAGCTAGTGAATAATGTCAGACTTCGAACAATTTATTCCACTTAACCAAAATTTGAATTCAGAATGTCACCAAGCAAGAATGGAATTGCGCATTGCAGTATACCCCACAAGTATTCAATATCAGTGGCTTTGAATGCTCAAATATTAAGAAATAGTTATTTTATGCTGAAGTTTTATATGAAAATGATAACTAGAATTCCAATGAACATACACTGCAAATGTATTGACTAATTAAAAAAATGATATATGTAAATAAAAATAAATAACCGTGAAATCGAAACAAAGAGAATAATTTTTGAAACAATGACGGTCTGTAAAAGTAGTTGGAATCGGCTCGAACGATCCTCTGGTAACGCAAAACCAATCGGATCCGACAAAATTCGGCTCCGGAATCAACCCGATCCGATTGGTAATTCTACGGATAAGATTTGTATTTTTCGGATCCGATTTGTAATTTCTCGGATCCGACTGGTAAATGTTCTGATCAGATTGAAAATTGTTCTGATCAGATTTGTTTAGATAATTCGGATCCGATTCGAAATTCCTCGGATCCGATTCGATTTTTGTATTATTTCAGATCCGATTGGTAATTTCTCGGATCCGATTGGTATTGAGTTACCAGAGGAGACACGATTAAATTGCATCTAACAGCTGTGGGTGTCATCTGGCATCAATGGGATTTTTTTTGTTTGATTCATTGTTCTAAAACCGACGAGTTCGATACGTTTCTGCTTAAATAGTTTGCGATTTCTTAAAACCGTAATATGAAAGATCATATTGTTGGCGTCGCGTAAAATTGGCTAAAATTTGATTAATTCAATTTTTCACGTTAAATGTCTGACCGAACAATTCGTAGCCGCGACCAGGAGTTTTAAAAACAACTGTTCAAATTCGTACTCTACCCCGAATCGAATTGGGCTTGCTGCTCGAACTGAAAAACTTTACCGACTCATATTTACATAAATTCATAAAAATGACGCTTCGCTTAGCATTAGAATATGCAAAATGAAAAGGAGTTCCTACAACGGTTTTTTATACGCGAACCGAGGCGGAAATTCAAATGATAAACCGATCGTATCAGAAAATGAAATAACTCACTAAAAACCAAGTCAGATTTCAGAATTTATTTAAAATTGAGATAATAATAAAATGCATAAATGGATCACATAAATAAATCGTTGGATGCATGATATAATTTGGCATGGCAATTGAAATGAAATTCGAATAGAAAGAACCTGAGTTGACCACTTCTCCAAACATTTGAAGAGAATGTACCCATAAGTTATCACAAAATACAGTTAAATAATTTGTCAATAATCTATCAAATCATGAGAATCCATGTGATGAGTAGAATCGAAGTGATCCATCGATATCCGACGTGAGCTCCGCTGTTACAGTAATCTGTGTTGCAGCAGCAAACTTCTCCAAGATCGCCGGCATTAAAGCACATCTGCATGGGTGCGCGTCGTTGATTTCGAGTCAGAGATGACGATCCTGAAAACATCAATCTGAATCACATTCGGAATTGTCACAAACCTGATTTAGAAATGGTCGATGGACCTCCCATTGAGATCGGGTAGTTGGAGTAGTCGACTTGCACCCGCGGGATACTGTGCATTGCATACATTGAACACAGCGAAACTTGTGAAATTGCATTTCCTGAATTTTTTCATTCGACGAGTTTGAAACAACTTAACACAACATTTTGAAAATATAAAAATATACCGGAAAATACAACTACAATACAAATACAATACGAAATACTGGCTATAGCCAACCGTGGCGTTTGAATTTTTTGAAAAAGAAAATGAAATCCAAAACTAGGTCCTGGCCGGGTTCGAACCGTCGACCTTCTGCGTGTGAAGCAGACGTGATGACCACTACACCACAGGACCCCTGGCATCTCATATATAACTTGTGTTCATGTGTCTGCCCCTCACTCACCGTCGCACGAACGCTGGACTGGGCCGGTCTTCGATGTGATAGTGACGCAGTAGGACTGCGAAGTGCATTGAGTCGGGTACCGAGAATGACCTAAAATAGAATTCTTGTATGTTTGAACTTCGTCTAATTATTAGTCTTTAAAATAAGTCAGAAATATTGCATACTTTTGTTTACACAGGATCCAACAATTTTAAAAATTTTGTGTAACATATATTATATCAATTTTTTGCAAAACTTATATTTATTCTTTCAAATTTTAAGGCATAACGGTGTTATTTCATTGCGCCTATTAACTCGGTAGAAAAAAATTGCTGCGATTTGGGCGTAAATTCGGCTCTAGTTCGACGGCGGAACTGCTACAAAATCACGCCCGAACGGGAGCAAAGCGTCTCCCGATTGATAGCAGACTCGGCAATTTGTTGCAATTCGGTTAGCGATTTACACCAACACCGCTCTCTAATTTCGCCAGAATTTTTCCCAGATTTCTCCCAATTCGTAACAGTGAAATCTTTATTTAAAAAATATATAATACAAAAAAAATTTAATTTGAAATCAAATAACATTTTTTAAACTTTGCATTAGCCACTTAGTCGGTTCGTCCTTCGCTTATTAAGGCGCGCACCACAGCTTTCCAAGCTTTTCGGTCCTTGGCTATACCATAGAACTATGAGTAACTTTTAAATTATCCATGTGTATTGAGCTCCTCGATGATACAACGTCTTCTTTTTTGACATCTACTTCAGGAACTCTTCTCTGAAATGTGCAGTATGTTATAAATTATGTATAATACTAATTATTAATCTACAGTGCTCCACATAACTCCACATAAGTTACATTCACAAAATTCAACAAAAAATAACAATTTAAAAAATTTCGTCATTTTCACGAAAAAATGGAAAAAAATTTTCCACAAAACTATATACCCACTCAATTTTTTTTTTGCGTTTTTTCGATATTTTTTTTCGTATTTTCGAATTTTTTGCAATTTTACTGTTCTTTTTTAGACATGCCTTTTGAAAAGCCGCTCACCGACTTTGAAAAAGATAAAATTGTAGCAAAGCTGGCTCAAGTTCTCTCTTATCGACAGATTGGGAATGAACTGGAACGCAATCACAATGTTACTGGGGTTTATAGTAAAGAAGATTTACGATTGCAACAAGTATTTTCATTCAATTACGGATCTCAAAAAGGCAATCGTGGAAGCCTGGAAGCTTGTCGATCAACAGCTTCTTGACAACCTTTATTTATCAATGGACTGCCGAATTTTTGACGTAACACGACTCAATGGAGGTCCAGTTAATTACTAAATTATTTTTTGTTGAATTTCGTGAATGTAACATGAAACTAATAATAAATGCGCATATTTTTCTAATTGAAACCATTTCTGGAGGTATTCGCGTTTTCGAGTTATTCGACAAAATTGGGGTCGGTATATAGTTATGTGGGGCACTGTATAAAACTTTCAAATTCAGTTGTGAGGCAAAATAGCGTATAAAAAATGAAATTCTAGAAGGTTTTTTTTTAATATTATCGGCGTTTTGATTTTGTTTACTTTTTTTACGCTGACATCACGTGACTACGAAAAAGACGTTAAAATTGCAACGCCGCATTAATACTAGTTTAACCTTAACGTTTAACCCAGAGCCCCATTGTGTCAAACAAAAAAAGCTGAGCGGATTAAATTCACATTCATATTAATAATAATTTTGAGTGTCTGATCACAGGCAAACGATAATAAACTCTACAAATGCTCTTTAATGATATTCCGTGACTCTATTATGTTTTAGATCGTTTGCCTGAGTCAACTAGCCCAATTATAAATGAATCAATTTTACCTTCCAAAGAAACCGCAACCGAACGAAGTAGTACTGTGTATTTCCATGGCGGGATAGTCATCTGAAACAACTATTCCTCATGACAGAAGATTAACTGTGTGCGCACCTTCATGAGTATCTCTCTAATCAAGCGCCCTAATTGATTGAATATCGCCAACGGTGATTTTGTGACGAGCGTATATCTGATTCAAGGAAATGATCTAAATAGCATTAATATTGTTGTACTCTATCAAGTGAATATCTTCAACCTCGAAGGGATCCGGTCCGTTCGCAACATATACAACCATACATATTTTGCCATATATTTAATACCTAATTCCTCGTTAAGCGATGACACAATTCGTTTCGTTGTTCCGGAGGAATCTTTAAGAAAAAACATGTATTATTTATTTAAAGACTAGTTTTATTAAAAACGAAAAGTAATAAAAAAAATTGAAAAAAAATTTAAAAGAAAAAAATTAAAAGTTCAGTTTAAATTTGCACTGCATTTGCGCTTTAGTAGAACTTCACTGACGTTTTCGGTAGGTGAATTGCCTGCGATTCCGCTATCAATTTATAGCAATTGGGCCCAAGTAAAAAAAGGTGTAAGAATTTCAAATGAATTGCTGTGGTTTGGGTGCTTGCGCCCGAATTGCACTGATTGCACATAGATGAGTGCTTACTTCTGCTCCCAATCGAGTGCAATTCGCCTCCAATTCGGGTTATGTGAATAATGGGAGCAAATCGGGAGAATCTCTGCACCAAATTTTGTGAATTTAGCCAAATTGCACCCGAACAAGTGTACTGCTCCCGTTCGGGAGTGTTTTTGCACCCGATCGGCCGCTTACGCCCGAATTGTAGCATTTCAATTCTACCGAGTAATATATATTCAAAAAGTTTTATGATGTCGTAAAAACACAATAATTACCTGAGAGACAACGTAGAACAGCGCTAACCGGCAAAAACGTGTAAAGAATTGAGAGGAGGACACTGTAGCTGATGCGCATAATTGTCTGCAGTTTTACGTAAAATACGATATTTACGGAAGACACGAGAAAAAATCGAGTTCCTGGCGAAGTTTTGGTCCAACAGTGATTTAAAATTCCCTCTCAACATATATGCATTCGTCTCAAATTTTCACATGCACGAAAAATGATTCCCTATTTAGAATGCCATGTGCTTTTTTGGGAAGAAACAATGCAACATTTTGTGAACTATCAAAACGAAAATCAATTTGGGAGAAGAAAGAAAAGAAGAAAAAAAAAACGCCGAACGACGCAAATTAGGTTTATATGCGATTTTTTTGTCGTTTTAGAGCTTGAAAAGTATGCGATATGACACACGATATACATATACACCTGCGCAACTCAACGACGTTTGCGGCGGCTCCGACGAAAAACATTTGCCGTGATTTGCGCAAAGTATCAAAAAAGTACAAAGTCAAGAAAGGTGTGGTTCTCATTATTTTTTGAATATCCATCTCCAACCGCGTCCCAAATGGATCCTATTTTTGTCCATTTTACGGCACGCGGTTGCCCGTGACGAACGCCATCAAACAACTTTATTCGTTTTTCCGAAATAATCCGATTTCAAGTTTGACATCGCGGCGACGCCTCATTTCTGCAGAAGTTCTTTAGAAATGCTTTGGTTCTGTTGATAATCATTTCTTCTTCTCATCAAGAACGTCTTCGGCTCAAACACGAGCACAATCTATTTATTTATTTGCACTTTCCATTATCGTCATGCGCATTTGCGCATATGATGACATAATAAAAAAAAAACTATTGTTGAAAAATGACAAATGTATCCAGGTGTCGTAGGATCCTGCGTTTTGTACGCAATGCTAAGAGACAATTACCGTAATCCTCGAAGCGATTTACGGGGACTTTTTTTTTAATTTCGCATATTCATTTTTTTATTTTTCGCTCAATTTTCGTATTTTCCTTCGAAATTTTGTTATTTAAATTTTGCAGAAACCGAGTTTAATAATTTATTTAGCAGAATAAGCACTTTTAAACGATATTTTTTTGGTAAAAACAGCAGAGATTAAAAAGAAAACATTTTTGTCGTTAATAAAATTATTTATTCGTGTTTTGCTTTTTGTACGCGTTTCTATTATCTTGTTTTTGTATTCTTCATTTTCGAAATAATTTTTAGAGCGACAAAATCTTCACGAAAATTCCCAACTCAACTGGACAAATGGAAAAGTTCATATTCTGAAAAATAAATAATTAAATTCGGTTTCTAAAGGTTTTAAATAAAAGATTTCTAAAAAAAATTATAAAATACAGCAAAAAATTGAAAGAAAATTTAAAAAAAAAATCTCCGTAAATCGCTGCGAGGATTACGGTAACTTTCTCTTAGCATTGCGTACAAAACGCAGGATCCTACGACACCTGGATACATTTGTCATTTCTCAACAATAACTGTGGCATTGCGCACGTGGCCATTCATTGATAGCAAAGTGGCGGTAGATACCATAAAAGAATTCGTCGATAATATTAATAATAATCTTATGAAACAAATATTTTAAAAATAAAGGATTCGCCTAAAAAATGAAAAGAAAGATCAAGCAAATTTTGTCGGGGATTTTATCCTAAAGAAGATGACATTAACAGCATGTTTATTAATTATGGTTTGAATATTTATTGGAATTTGAATTTTTGAAATAAAAAAATTTACACAAATTCTAGGGGGAAATTTAGTTGATCCGAATAGTCGAAATAAATTGAAAAACATAAAAGTGATAGATGTGATATAAAAACAGAACAGTATGTATATGGTATATGGGAAGGCGTGTCCGATCCTCAAGTATAAAGTAAACAAACATTGCGCAACATCAAAAAAGTGTGCGTGTTTGCTCAAACAATTACTGTATTTGGAATGCGTCAAGAAGGTGGAAGGGTGGCTCTCGAATACCGACAAAGCGATGAATATAAAAAGGAAACGTAAAAATAAAGCAGGTGAGAGTCGATGAGAGCAGAAGCCGCCTTAATGATGTTGTCAACATGCTTCAATGGCTTTTTGTTATGTGATAATGAGCGTCTCGAGCTCATGCTCCGAGTGCCGAGTTTGACCTATTTCATTTGATAAATTGCAGTTTTATGGCGGATTTCGGGGCGATCGGAGTGCGACGAATGGCGGCGAGATGCCATTGCCTCGCGAAATCCCCATAAAATTTTTGGATTTGCGGTCAAAATATTGCTGCACACCGTATGATATATTCATTTCCGTTACAATTCTTTCTTGTGTATATATTATCTGACTTTCCGCAAACAAGATGATGAATGAACATTATGGCAAATTTTTAATAAAATTGTGGTTAAGAAACTCAACAAAAACACACACAAACGGAAAAAGCGAGTATAACTCGGAATTAAAAACGCGCGATATGCTTTTGGGCATTCGACCGTGACAAAAAAAAGTCGAAGACGAAATTAATGAAAGGAGTTGGTGGAGAATGGGCGGCGACTAGAAGAAAAGTGCGGAAAACGCGAAACGAAAATGGATAAAAGTATGTAGAACTCAATGGACTTTTGAAGGCAACAATTGTTGAATAATTGTTGCCGGCGACAATTAGGAAGAGCCATTGAATTCAAAGCAAAAAAAAAAGTGCGAATAGAAGGTGAAAAATGGTCGCAAATTACACAATTCAGACAATTTTTGACAACGTTTTTTTTTCGAAATCTTGCGATGAACAGAAAACGCTTTTAACATTCAAAAAGGTTAAACAGAGTCCATAGAAGAATTTGAGGTAAAGCGATATTCGTGTTTCACTTTACATTATTCAATTTATAAATATTTCGAAACATAGGAAACCTGTCTTATTTTCGATTTTTTCTGCATTAAACAGCAAATCACGTAAAATTCAAGTAAACTTTGAGTTCTTCAATCAAATAAAATCGAGTAAAATAACATAAATCGTCGGCATTGTCATCTACGTGAATATTTTTTTAATCTAAATGAATTTTATTAGCCTAGAAATACCAATTAAAATTTTGGGAAAAACATGTTTAAAATATATGTATAGATATGCAGTGTTAAAATGTAAAATCAGTGTAGACTTCTATAAATTAATTTGCAAAAAAAATCGAGAGTCATGTTGAAAGTCTTTTAAATAAAATATGATTTGAATAGCCATTATTGAAATTGTTCAAGCAAAAATCATAGGTGTGAATCGAGGAAATAGAAGAATTCATTGTGTCATATCTCTCCTGTTGAGCAAGTTGGCGTATAATGCGCGAACCGGCGCGCATTTAATTGCGTTAAAAGAGCACCGCTTCATCCGTGCCTTCATCATGTCGCATCTTTCGACATATTCCATCATTCGAGCCAAATTAACTTTTGCATTATAACAATGGAAATATGGGTGAAAAACGGCAGAAAGGGATGTGCACTAAGCCATTTTCGGCGCGAATATGATTAGACAACCGAACGCGATCGGTGCGAGTCACCTGAAGAACAACGCGGTATTTCGGCGAATAAATCAGAGGAATTGTGCGATTGTTACACACTCAAAGGTGAACAATATTGAAGCGAAAAATGCAGGCGAACATCGTTAATTTTTTTTTCGTTTCGCTTAATTTCTTTTTGGCGGAACAGTTGGCATCGCGATGAGTGTGTTTCAACGAAGCACACGCATCGCACGATTTATCATTTTTTTTTGTAAAAAAAAAACGAACTACTAGAATCACCACATTATTACTTTGGATAATCACTTTGAAGTTCATAAATTTTTAAACATTATTCAAAATCAGAAACAAAGAAAAAAAAAATGGGCAAACTAGCATATTTGAACTAAATTTAGTATATTGATTCCCAGAACACTATTAAATTAAGGCGAATAAAAAATGAAAATTTCTTTGAAAAATAATTGATTTCAATCAATAGTTTATAAAGAAATACAATGAATGCCAATTTTACATAGGAAGTCTCAACAAATTCGAAAAAGTTTGGGAATCATCACGAACCCAAAGTTCGACAAATATTTAACGGGGGAAAAAAAGAAAAGAAGAATAGGATGGATGCATAAACGAATTCATATGTGAAATCACAGAGTAAACCTCAGAAGATTGCATGAAAATTCGTAAAAGTAGCCGAAATGGGCGCCCCCATATAAATATGCAAAGTAAACAATATATAATGTCATCGATATATAAATTTCAAGAAACCACTCACTTTCCCATTTCCTTTCATATATTCTGCGTTTCCCAATTTTCTTATTTTTCGCTTTTTTTTCGAGATTTTAATCGGCATTAAATGAAATGCGAAAAAAATTAGTAGAGAGAATTGCTAGGCTAGTTGTTTTGGCGAGTAGAAACACAACGAAGGAAATAAAAAAAATAAAGCAAGAAATTAGATTTGTTGCTGGCTGGAATAGGACAGATCGCAACAAAAACAAATCTATATAAATTAGTTGGCGGGAAATAAAAAAAGCTGGAATAAATAAATGAAGGGATACATTTTTTTGGGCGCTACGTATTTACTGAAAATGACACTTTTATGCCAAATAAGATGGGAGTGGAAAGAGTTATGAAAAAATTATGAACATGTTTAGATGTTGGGCATAACATTTTGAAATTTTGATTTCATGTTTTAGAAAAATACCTTCAAATATCCAAAGATGGATTATTTGGGAAATTTTTCTTCAACTAAGTTACACAATCCCAATTATATGAATTTTAAATGTACCGATTAATGTAAATTTTCGAAATTTTTCAAAGCTTCATAAGCAGTTTCCTCATCATTAAATAATCGAAAATGCGTTGAAAAAATTATTAGAAAATTTAATGAATCGAACTACGGTATGATGGCGTGGTGTAGTCGGAATTAGTAATGGAGAGATAACCTTGGCTGGACGAGAAGAGATGTTGAGCGATTTGCATAAATTCGTCGAAAAGAAGATGAAAAACGAATAATAATTAGTGGGAATCGGAATGCGGACACCTACAAATACATACACACACAAAGAACAAGCCAAGGGGGTTCCTTGACGAGACGGGACAAAAATTGTAGAGCAAAATATGCACATCGAGTCCGGATCGTGAATTTATTCGGAATTCGAGAAAATTGTTCAAGATTTTCGTAATCTTTTGGGTTGGAAAACAACAACAGCTGAAAAAATAGCATGGCACATTAGCAATTTACAAGATTCAAGAAGCTAATGGATTCATCGAGCTCATTATTCTCTAATCTTCCGTTATTTTTGTTTTTGCACTTTATTGTTATGATGTTTAATGCCATAGCGTAGCCAACTGGTATAAATATTTATTTTTTTTGATAAAAATTTTCATATCAATTTCCCATCTCAATTTTGTCATTATGACTTTGAATATTTCTTCCGATGGCCAAATGTTGAGCAAATCGCAAAAACAATTTTACAATCAAAATGGATATGTTGTGGTGAAAGGACTCATTCCAAAGGAGGCCATTGAAGTGTACATAAATCGATTTACAGTAGTCCTTATTCGGAGAATTTTGATTGTATTTGAATGTTTCAGGATATTTGCTCCGGAAAAGTGAAAGTTTCACCGTTAGTGATGCTGATGCGAGATGTTGCGATTAATAAGAATAAAACCAAGCAAATATGTAATTCAGACCGTTTTTTTTTTTCATTTCGAAAATAACACTGCGAATTTTAGCGGAACGAGTCCTCACGAAAATGACGAATTTCCATGAAGACGAAGTTCTTTGGCAATATTGTCAGCAGCCTGAAGTATGTTGTACCGCATAGAAGTTGAGCATGGAAATTTGAAGTTCAGATAATTGGAGGTGTACAAGATTTGATTGGAAACGGAAAATCAACAATTCTCGCAATGAACACAATGGTTATCAATAAACCGCCGGATGCAGGTTTGTCCAAAAAAAAAACAAATTCAACACATCTATATATATAAGGTCAATTGTCTTCACGTCATCCTCTTCATCAGGATCTTCACTACTTTCCTTTCCGTCCCGCAGACTTCATTTGTTGTGCTTGGACTGCTATGGAACGCATAACCCGCGCCAATGGATGCCTAGTGGTAGTTCCCGGATCGCACAAGGGACCCTTGCTGGAGCACGATTATCCTGAATGGAAAGGAGCTGTGAATAGTGTTTATCATGGAATAAAAGCATATTCTGCGGACTTGAACATGGTTCATTTGGAAATGGACACTGGTGATACTGTATTCTTTCATCCATTGTTAATCCATGGATCAGGAGCAAATCGAACCAGCGGTGAGGAAAATCAAAACTAGATTGTTGGAAATTCCGCAGTTCAGGTTATAGAAAAGCGATAACAGGCCATTTCGCAAACGATGACGTCTGCAGATATATTGACTATGAAGATTTAACAACGAAATTGGCGGCGAAAGAATTTGAAGAAATCTCGAAAAAAGTAATGAAGCGCTTCGATGCAGATGTCAAATTCACGTATCACGATTTTTGGCGAATTCGCGCCAAAGAAATTAGTGGTGTTCGATCGAATTTGTAATAACAAATAATTCATTTGAAAAGCAAATTTAGTATAAATTATTCAGAAATAAAGTCATTAGGGTAGATTTCGTTCTTCACACGATCCATGTACTCAACGATTTTTGGGAACTCTCCATCCAAAATTTCAGAAAAACGAGTTGGGAATAGATAATAGACGCTGGCGAGTTGTCCAAAAACGGTAGCATCGACTGGTGCGATTTTGTCACCAAACAGGAATTTGCCTTTTATCGAGTCCTCAATTGCCTTGAGGTCTCGCTTCAGCAACATTTCTCTTTCGTGTGGCTCAAAATCACCGATGGCAGCCTTGGCACGAGCATAAACCTAAAAAATTGAAATTAATCTACATACTTGCTTTCAACATTTCAATGGACCTTGCTTGAAAACCTCCTCTTCACCAACGGACCAACTGCAGACTTAACAAATGACGGCATTTCAACCATATTAATAATCATTTTGTGAAACTCATCGCATTGAATTTTGAAGACAATTCCCAAGCTGCAAGCACCGACATTATTTATGATACGAAGTTAGTCATACTAGAAGAGGTGATTGTCGGCCATTCGAGAAATTGCAACGGCATGAGCTTCCTCGGCAGGCGGCAAACTCTATAGATAGAATAATCCGATAAACTAAATTTTAAAGGATCTATAAAAATGATTTAAAGGAATCAAACGACTTTTGATTTTTTTGTGAGTTTCTCGATTGATTGATTTTTTTTTGGGTATCAACGGAGACTTATAAAAGGTTTTTGATGGTCCTGAATTCGTATATGCAATTCTCCACTTATCAATTATTATGATCTTATTAAAAACTGTCAAATTCGTGGTTGGTATATCATTATGACGCAAACTTTTCTTTTGTATTATTTTTTTGTAATTGGAACTTTAAAAAAACTGAAAAAAAATCAACATTCCAACTTTTCAATTTTTTTCATTGCTTGAATAGTTTAAATTGTATTTTCTAGGTAGATTTTAGGCGTCAACCAGATGAAAAGAAGATTTTTTTTTCGTTTTTTCTCTTTATTTTCATTGACGCCTTAATCTTTTGAACTTTTCATAACATGTCGTTCTTAATAAATTGCGAAATTAGACTGATGATGATAAGAGGCTACAATTGACTATACTCACGGGAATCTTGAAGTGTTCTCTTAAGCGAACTTCGATCAAATCAGAATCAGCGATATGCTCTCCATTGAGTTCGATGAATGGCAATGTTCCATTACGAGATCGTTGTCTGACCACATTGATTACCTAGAATAGGCAAAATGAAGGGAAAATGAACATATGGCAGACTTCGTAATCAATTCCAAATGCTCTGCAAAGAATTTCGATTTTCAAGCAGAATGGAGACAGATTCGGGCAATTCTTGACACGTGGGAACTGATACAAATAGACGGTGTCCTTCTTGTAATCCTTCTTGCGAACCTAGTGTGTATATTTGATCGATAGATGAAACCTCATTTTTTATTGCGAACCTCTGGTTTTGACGAAATTCGAGGAGTTGATTGTATGAACATCTTATAGATGAAGTAGGCGATTCCTCCGATGATGAGAACATTCGTGATAGGACAATCACAGCAAACCATTTCTAAAAAGAAATAATTGCGAAATGTCAATAAAATAATGATTTTATACAGACACTCGGCGAACAAACATCACTTAAATGTAGGCGGACGCAGGGATATCGAAAGATCAATTCGATTTCGAAAGTAGTAAATGGGAACAAAATATTCGGTCGAAATTTGGTTCAAAATCACAAATCATGCAAGTTTCAGTTGTGATCAAATTACTTGAAAAAAAAAACTTGAAAACAACCATACATTACGAAATTGCTTATTTTGAATGCCACTAACAATCGTATTTACTTGGTCAGGATAACATTTTTTTCGCGGTTTCAATTCACAAAACGCGATGGAAAAATCAAACAAGTTTTCGGAATAATTATAGAATTTGAAAAAAAAAATCTGGTCGCAGAATGGGATAATTTTGGAGGGTGGACCTGCGCACCACGATCACAAAAAAAAGATCAAATCGAACAAAAAAATTAATTGATGTTTTTGATTGAAAAAAAAAAAAACATAGAAATGAGATAGGAGGGTATTTGAATAATTCTTCACCGGAGAAAAATGTTTGATATATTCCGAGTAATTTTTGATGTGGAACGGTTTTGGAGAAAATTGTCATAAGCGATCAACGAAATTAATTGAGCCGACAAAAAGCGGGTCATAGAAACGAAGGGAAAAGAGAGATTCGGCGAAACACGGATGGAATGCAATGTCTTCGTCTCTCCCCATCAAACACTCTATCAAACGCTCTGTTCCACATCGTGCGATTTCCTGAAGATTTCAGAATTCGCTACCAAGATATACAGAAAATTTTGTTAAAAAAGCTTTGCATTTGATAATCTTCTATATTTTAATTAAAGTGAACACTAAAACGAACGATGATCGTTTTCACTCCACCGTATTAGACCCAAGCACGTGGCGCGTTTTTGCAGACGTGCAAAAATGCGAAAAACCGAAAAGATAGTATGAGGGAAGAGACCGGTTGTGGCGTATCGATATGACGAGCTTCACAATCAAACTTTTTTGGTGTGTGCGATTACAAAATGGGTACTCATGAAAAATGTGAATATATGTATGTAGCTAAATAGGTTTTCAATGGTCCTAAATTTAGAAATGCAATTGTTTATCTTCACTATTGGCGTAGTCAAATTGCCGTGGATAGACTGTTTCAAACATTTTAGTTTAATAGTCGACTTCAAATAATAAAAATAAAAATAATGCAATACTCAATAGATGTAGTGAGAGCATTCAAATTTCGTAGAATTTATGTTTATATCCGAAATGTTCGGAATCGATCCTTCGGGAAAATTTTCGAGAAAACTTCTCGGAATTTCGAGCAAATCGGAAATTTCTCAGTTCATTTTTTGACTGTTATATTCGCACAAAAACGAGCACTCAGCGTCGATTGACAATGAGTTTGATTTGCAGGTTATCTATAGTACGGCACCCAAAAACCACTGATAGAATAGAGTATCATAACAAGTGCGATTGTCCATAATTATGCAAGAAAATGGAATAGATATCGAAAAAGAATGCATTGGAATAAAATCAGAACATTGAAACGATTTATAGAGAATTTCTTAGATTTTCAGTTATAAAGGTCTTTTTGAAATAGATAAGTAGAATTTAAATAATTTTCTATGTATATGAATTGGTATATTCAATTATTTTATATTGAAATGAGTAATAATTTATTTTTGATTTCCAAATATTATTCACGCCAAATTTCATATGATTTATTATGCGAGTTAGTAGGTAAAAATGCAATTAGCAGAATTCATTTTTCGACATCAATTCATCGTGATTTCTTGTCACTCTATTGATTTTCATAACATTTTTTTTTCATTTAATGCTGAAATAAGACGAATATCGACAAAATTGATGTGTGCGGATGACAATTAGTTAGAAATAGCCTATATGTATAATTATAATGGTGCTTGTCAGTGCTATGCCATTTTATTAAATTATGGGATTTTTCGCGAATTTTGCCCGCCTATTGCCGAATTCGGTCAACAGAAGGGAAATAAACGTGCTGGGTTCATTTAGATTGTTTGCACATTGATTCTTAATTAAAGAAATTGTAAAGTGTACGCAAATGAAAATTTGAAATTGGCCCTACAGGGTCGGGTAGGAATCTTGTTGTTTTTTTTTGACAACGATGTGCAATGTAGCATCCGTAGGAATTAGAAATTTGAGCCACAATCCACATACATATATCACTTGCCTATTTTTCATTACTATTTCTTTATAGAAATATGTTTTAAAATATTGTGGAAGGCAAACAACTCTCGGAAATTCTACAAATTTTTGTCAAATAATTCGAATTCAATTATGGGTGCGAAATTAAAAAAATTTTTTGCGATTTCGAAGAACCACAGCTTTCCAAGATTTTCGATACTTGGCTTGGGTGGACCACGGGGTGATAACGTCTCCTTCAACTGTTCTTGAGGTGTCCGAAGCGAGTCCGACCATCTCATGGGAGGCCTTCCTCTTGGCCGGGTCCAATTCCACGGCCGCCACTCCGTTAGAAGAGTAGTACATCTTCCATCTGTTCTTAGAACGATGGAATCAAAGAGCTGTGCTCGGGTTTTTCTTACAAGAAATCAAATCGGTGCGGTTCTTGATTCCATTAAACGCTGCTCAAGCTGCTCTTCTCTTTGGAAGATCTCCTTGACCAGCTCGTTTTTGGGAGCGTTTTGGGAGTAGTCTTCCAAGGTACACGTATTCGTCAACATCGTCAATGATTCTGGCCGAATTCTGGGGCGTTAGGGTAACCTTATTGGGAGACCAATAATTTTTGCCTTGTTTTTCGAGTTACCCTCTTGTCTGCCTTCGATAATGTGTAGAATCATTTCTAATTTGTTTCAGATGGATCCACTGAAAACTAACGAAGACTACATCTATCAGGAACAAGTATTGGACATTTACGTCATTGTTCTCAAAACATTAGCAATAGTAACGTTGCCGGTTTATATCGAAACCGTCTATTGTCTTATGTTCAAAAGTCCACATTTTCGCAAGTCTTATATTAGTCTTCTCATCCTGCATGTTGTTCTGTAAAGATTTTTTTGCTTCAAATTGAATTATTCCATTTCGCAGTTTTCAGATCTTTCGCATCGCAGACATATGGCGGCCTCATTTATTGTCCAGTGGTTGTTTCTCCAATCGTTGGATTCTACAGTCGAGGATTTTTCTCTGAATATTTCAACCCGCTGATACAAATTATGATATTCTTCATAATGTTCCATAGTTGTTTTTTTTTTTTCATTTATTCAATTCGATATGATTTTCTTCCAGCGAATGCAGCCGTATTGACAAACTTGTATGTGCTTCGTCTCAAGATGATAATACCTCCCACTTGGAAGTTCTATTCATTGGTGGTTCCAGTCTTCTGGATTTTCATTATTTTCTCATACTTGGTGGCTTTCCTGCCAGCTATAAGTTTTCTATTATTAATTGAAAATCAAACAGAGGCAAAAATGTATTATGCGACTGTATGTTCGTTGAAAATCAATACAAAATTGAATATTTTGATAGAATTACGATCATCTGCCAAGTAATTTTTGGTCCGAATCATATGCAGTAAACAGTGCAGCAACCCCCGAATTCTCGATGTTCATCATTATATGTATCATTAATTATTCGTATTATGTGATCGGTTGCTCAACTTTTTTATATATTGCATTTCGGGTTCTTGAGAGATCAAGTCACGCACTTTCCGACAAAGTCGTTGAAGCTCACAAAATATTTCTCAAATCGAGTGTATTTTCGGTAATTCATGCGATTCTCTTGAAATAAACCGAAACATTTTGCAGATGTTTACAGCATTCACATTCATGGTAATTCCATGCATAACCATTGTTTTGACCATTGAATTCAAGTGGGACGATCCAAGTAGACACAATCTACTTAAGGGTCCATGCAGAAAAAAAAACCTTTTTTTCATTCCATCTGCATTGGCCCTGTACTAGTGGTGATAATATTTTACGATTTCAGTTATTTTATCAGTCTCATTGATTTTTTCGATATTCCACGGCGTTGCATCCACTGTTGCTTTGTTGTTTTCAAATGCGCCTTATCGTCATATAATGAAGAAACAATTTTTAAGAGGTGACAATAATTCTTACGTATAATTTCATATAATCAGACTTTCAGTGTTTTGTTGTAAAAATATCAAGACAACCAGCTCGGATCAATCAGTCGCACTTCGTCGGGTTTCCACTGTTTATTCACATAAAAACTGATAATGATCGAATTGATCTCAAAAGTTCAATTTAATACGGAATTACGCGTATTGGGCTGGGAATCAAATAAATTTGTTTTTCGTACTCAGACTAAAATTGAATATATGAAATCAAAAAATATTGGGTACATGCGTACATTGCTTTTTAAAGTATGAGCAAATAATGCTAACAAATTCGTCGATCTATGTACACTGATTTTGCCAACTTAAATTTCCCGCCACCGAATATTCGTTAAGCATCAAATAATCGGTAACAACATATGATAACATCACAAAAAGATACAATAAAATATATTCGCTGAAATATTATAGTCGGCGTCCGGCAACTGCTGTACACGGGTAGATGCGTTTTTCTCTTGGACTCGCCCGGACTAACCGGTCATTTTGCATATTATAGACATCTCAATTTTTAAATCGAATGACGCTGCAAATTCACACGCTTACAGTAGCCGTTGGACGCTGACAATAACAACAAGGTTATTTTGTGGCCTGCGGTTTCCCGCGCTGGGAGAATTGCAAGCAAACACCGGAGTTTCCGTCGTCATTCTGGGAGTCGTCCTGTATGACGATCGTTCTGCCGTCTTTCTCGTTTATTCCTAATTCTGCGCTTGTTTGTTGGTGGTTAAACATTAAACATGTGTATTGTCGAAATCGCGCGATGTGGATTATTGTAGAGTTGGGTCACGCAACATACTATGTATCGATGCTCTTTTCGTTTCGAGATCATAGCCGGCGTTACGCGATTTGCCGCAGACCTTTCAGGAAAGAGTTTGCGCAGACTTCGAGCAGACTCTTAAGAAACTGCGCAATGTCTGCTGAAGGTTTGCGCGGACTTTGCAGTTTCTCAATAGAGAGGCTCGAGTTTGCGCAGTTTCTTATAAGAGTGCTGAAGGTCTGCTAAATTAAATCGAAAATTTGAGCACCAGATTCTTCAGTAACTATACCTTTTGACGGATTTGATTGAGCACTAATCATCGGTCTTACGAGATTTTTTTGATGACGAATGCAATTATAATTTTAGGTTTCAATATTTTGCATTTTGATCTGAACGCGTTTTCAGTTCAAAGTCGACTTGTGACTTATGATAATTCAATTTTACAAGGCTTTCTAACGTTGGCATGGATATTTGCTGTCAACTTTCCTAAAAAGCCCCGCCGAAGTTTTCATATGATTCAGAATAAGCTGCACGCGTTTAATTGACCAATTCGACTACAGCCCAGACGCGCCCAATTTGTTTCGATTCAACCCTTTAAATATTTAAGATGGATTTTTTGCTCAACAGCGCCGAGCACCAAGAACAAATTTGGGGAATATACAAAAAATTGATAAAGGTTTTATCAATTGCAACATTGCCCATTTATCTCGAAGCAGTTTTTTGTCTTTTATACAAAAGCCCACATTTCGACAAAACTTATATCATTCTTCTCACAGCGAATGTTGTGTTGTAAGTTGAATTCAAAATTGCCTATCTCACAAAATATTCTGAGACAGATCGTATTCGGCACAATTTTATGGCGGAATCCTTCTCGGACCTGTTGTAATTGTTCCATTCATCGGATTCTACGCGAGCGGGATCCTTCAGACGATGTTCCATGTCAATCCGCTCATTCAGCTCACTGTGTTTTATATGATTTTCCACGGTAATCAATCAACTTGCTAGCCTCACAAATGGCATTTTCTTCAGCGAATGCCGCTGTGATGAACCATTTATTCATTCAACGCCTCAAAATGATCGTTCCACCGACATGGAAGCATTGCGATTTTGTTTGCCGAGTGTTCACCGTATTCTTGACAATTTCCTACCTATGTGCAATACTTCCAATCTTCACTTCTCTCCTGTTAATTGAAGATCAATACAGTGCAAAAATGTATTATGTGACAGTAAGTGGATAAACAAATGACATCCCGAAGGTAGCCGATTCTCTAGACTTATCGTGACGTTCCAATCAATTTCTGGACAGATGCTTATGCAGTTAACTCAGCAAGAAGCCGCGAATTCTCGATATCGATGACTATTTCGTCCCTCACATTTGTATATTATGCGATTGCATGTGCTACATTCCCTATAATTGCGTTCAAAGTGCTCGAAAAATCGAAAAATACTCTTTCCGATAGGATCGTTGAAGCACATCGAGCCTTCTTTAAATCTACGTTAATAATGGTGACGTTTGAAATCCAGCCAATTCTTGTGTTTTTTAACGAAGTCATATAGGTTTTTACATCGTTTGCTTTCATCATTATACCATGCGTGATTTTCATGGTAACAATTAAAAATCGACTCGATCATCCGAGTAATTTAACAATTCAGTAAGCCAATAATTCGAATGATCTGAAATTTCAGTGATTGCAACAATTTCACTAATCATTCTCATATTCCATGGCGTCGGATCCACCATTGCCCTTCTACTCTCAAATAAGCCGTATCGCGAAATCATGAGAGGCCAAATATCGAAAAGTCTCGCTAATCCAATTGTCTACGTTTCGTTAAACTAATCATTGCATTTTACAGTATTCTGCTTACGCTCGAAATCAACGAAAAACATTGACAATTCTTCGTCAATGCAACATATTTCAAAAACATCCACGAGGTCGATTTAGAATTGCGACATTTCAACTTTTATTCTGAGCATTCAGCGTGTGTGTATTTTTGGAAAATGAATAAACTCATTAAATATTTATTAATTTCGATCAGAAGTCAGGTGTAATATAATAATAACATATAACATATTTCAAAAAAATGATAAATACAAATATTTATAAGAGTGAGTATTGTCAGCGAATGAGTATGAGAATTAAACGATTGAACAAAAAATTAAAAAAAAAAAAAACTTTGCCCGGTGTCTCGAGGCAAAGAGACATGCGCGTGTGTGCATTTTAATATACGCGCAGTATTTTCTAGATCTGGTGGCAAAAAATTTAAGAAGAGGTCTCGGTGCGCGGGGGTGCGCCTTTAACTTATCCTTACCTCGTAAATCTACACTTATTGTTTTGCACCAAGACAAATGCCATTATATTTTGCTCATTTCACAAGTTTTCCGTTGCGATGTCGACAATAGATCTATACTGATTTTTGCGAACTCAGTGATTCGTCGCCGACAATCCTAGACTTAAAGAAGTTATGACAAAAAAAATGCCTAGAAGGTATATCGAGTTGATTCGGCACCAACAACCGATATTATCGATTGGCGTTTTTGATATGTTCTAAATAAAACGGTCTTCGTATATTCTCTATATGGTGTGATAACGTAGATCATAACGATCGAATCAAGGAATCCGTGAAGGGACATTATCATGAAGCAAATGTTGTTAAGTGCTTGCGAATGAAATTGTTTGAACATTGAGAATGTGAAATAGACGACCGGAAGAACACAGACGGCCAAAGGGATGATCACCTTCAATTAATTTGGTTTAAAATTGAATTCGTCGATTCAAAATAAGAAAAACCTGAATCGAAACTGCGAGAAGAAATTTGCGTTGTAATTTTCGCGTCTTTTCAGAAACTCTCGAATTTTTCATAGTATTCGACAAACACCAAAACGAATGAATCGCGAAGAACAGGATTTGAACGAAAGCGAGGAATAATGCAGCAGAGACAAGCTTGAAAGACATGGTTTGTTGGACGATGAGCACAAATACTTTATCGGAGAAGAAATGAATAGTAGGGCAAGGAATAAGCTGAAAAAAATATTCGCGCTTAACATTTTCAAAATTCACGTACTTGCAATAATTCCATTTTTGCAGTTTCTTGGTCCGGGACGTCGAGAAATGCGGGAATCGGAAACGATATCATGAAGGCATAGTTGAGAGTGTAGAATAAGAAGCGAGAGGATTTATTTTGAATTCGGAACCAACTTTCCGAGATCATGCTGTTTTGACGATTCTCGAACATGAATGCGATTGCGAAACCAACACCAGCTACTGCCACAACGAATGTATAGATTTGAAATGGCTGAGGAACATTGAGGTCCGAGAGCAAACCGGCTCCGTGACCAGCGCATAATGGGACCAATGTATAAGGGACCACGAATACTCCCGAGAGTAGGTCAGTGAAAAAACACCACGAATGTAGATGTAATAGACAGTATTTCATTTGTTGAAGTTTCCGCGGAGTTTTTACAATTATCAGATAAGTCGCGTAGACATTCATCGGAAGTGTGAACAGCGATATGATATGACAAGACCATGTATGGAAGGTCGGACTGTCGAAAAATGTTGATTTTGGGCATTTCGTATAGTTGGTCCGAAAATAGTCGGTTATTGTTGATGTATGATCAGAAGCGTTCATCGACGAAACACTGAAAATGCGATCTGTGAGAGCACCAAACAGCACGGCGAACAGGCAATAATTGGATTCTGGAAAGCAATTTCGTACGCCTTCCAATTGTGGTCTGCTATTTAATTTTGTGTCGACAAAAAATGTTTCTTAAAATTCAGAGATTGATTATTGAACATATATGCAATTCGTGTGTGCGATTTCCTAATTGTGAAGTCTCAAAGATCCTAAACTTTTGATTTTGATGATCTCTTGGTTTTCAAAGAAGCGATGTCGATGCCAAAATATAAAAAGTGCTCATACTGTGCCAATTCGACACTTTCGCTAAAAACCAAAGTACTTATAATTCACAAAAATACACTTTCATTAACAAAATGGCTCCAAACATTTTTTCCATTCGACAGAAATCGACAAATCAAATGCTTCGAGTTTGCTTCACAGCTCATATGGTATAGCGTTTTCACCCGGACGGCAAAAATTGTAAAAATGCTCGCATGGAAAAAAACAACCTCTAATCTTAAAAAATCAAAAATTTAATTAACTAAATTATTTTTCATATAGATATAGTTGGCGTCCGGCCAAACTCATCAAGAAAAAATAAATCGTTCACGTGAAAATAAAAAAAATAAATCATATGTTACTTTAATTTATAGAAATTTCAAGTTAAACGTTTAGAATAGAAAGAAAATCAATAATTGATATGATTTGTGATAATCATATGCTGGAAACAAAGATGTTTGTTGCAATAAATATGTTTAATAAATGATGATGGTATTTATTCTGGTCGGCCAACGGGCACTTCAGAGAGCGTCACTGAATGTTGGAAAACGAATGAAAAGGTATCTGTGGATTCCCTGTTTCGAGTAGTAAGTGGTCCATCAAATTCACATATCCGCTACATATAAGAATGCCAGAACACATCATTCATTAAACGTATTTATTGCAACAATCATCATTGTTTCCAACAATTGATTTTCAAAAATGATATCAATTGTTGATTTTCTTTCTATTCTAAACGTTTAACTTGAAATTTCTATAAATTTTCCGCTCCATATAAGTGAATATATAAGCAAGAGTAAGTATGTATAAGCAGATGGAGTAAAAAAGCAATGGTACAATCAAGTGGCAAATCTGAAATTTTGGACTCGATGTTTTTAGCCTTTTTGAAATCTCTGCATGGCATAGAACACACGATAGCCAATTTTGCGAAATAATTGTGCGAAAAATTAGAAAAAATTCCAAACCCCTAGGTAAAATTATTTGACTTGTAAGCCTTTTCTTGAAAATGGGCAACTAATTGGGAATATGAAAAATAATCCACACTTCCCCTTCCAAAAAATAGTAATCTTGGGTTTTGTCTGGAATTTCGGGTTCTGATATCATTGGGAATTGAACATTTTGAGGTAGCCAATAATGCTGACACGTCATGCCCCCAACCAGCACTGCACGTTGGAAAATTCTCGAAACAGGAAACCTTTTCATTCGTTTTCCAACATTCAGTGGCGCTCTCTGAGGTGCCTGTTGGCCGGCCAGGATAAATATCTTAATTGGCAGAAAAATGGAAGAAAAAATTGGTAGTAAAATTTGAAGTCAAAAATATCCGTCAAAGGCCAATGAATATTCTTGGATGTGTTCTTTGACTTGTTTTATTTAGAACAAGTAACGCTTTGGCCGAAAATCAAATTCCTAGTTTCTGAATATCAACTATAGTCCAATAGACAAGGAAATAATGGAAAATGTTGTTTTTGTCGGAGTCGATTGCTGAAAATTGGCAAAATGCCAAAGCATTTAATGAGAGGTTTTGATGTGTTAACCTATCATTATTTATCAACCCTTGTTTAATAGAAAAAATAATTGGTTTTTAGCCTATTTTCCTTAATCGCTCGACGCTTAAAATCTAATCAAACGACTAGAGGTTGACGGAATCTTTCTTTTTTCGAGTGTTGATTTATGTGCCGGCAAATTTAATCTGGAAATTAATTCTAGGCACGTTGAAATGCATCTCTCTTAGCTTCAAGACCCTTATCTCATTGCCAATTTTTTCAAGATTATATTAGTCGTTTCCGAGGTCATGAATGTTGAAATTGCAGGGAATATTTCGTATATCTCGCGAACCAAAAATATTTCTATCAGTTCTGAAATGTGTATACGAATGATTCAACATTTAATCCAAAAAAGCATGGCAAGAAATTAAGAAATTTCGAAAAATGTGGGTCTTCGTTGAATCCTTTTTATGAAAAATTGAAATTCGAAATTCGAATGGCTTCCCACACATTTCATTTCGTCAATCAACACCATCATGTTGTTACTACTTCTTTTATTTTTGCCATCATTTTGCGAAATTCTTCAAGTTGGACTCATCGCGGCACCGGATGATAATTCTGAATTAAATAGGGTATCTGTCGCTGAAGACTCATTAACTAAATGGACAATTGCAGTTTTTGGGATGGTCTCAAGTTGCCGGAGGACTCGGTGTGGCATGGGACCGAATTAAAGATTTACAGATTCTTCCTAGTTATGAATCGATGAAGTATTGGAAAAAAATAAATTGAATCATGAAAAAATGAATTTCAGTTTAACCTGGGTGATCAACTCGTGCAGTGAATCTGAATCAATTGGAGCCGTCATAAACTACTACGATGCAAAAGCTCATGTGATCTTGGGCCCTCCATGTACAAGACGTACATTCTTAAAATCAATTTCTACAATTTTCAAAAGAGTTTTTCAGCCGCCAAAGTGGCTGGATCGGTTGCAAAATACTTGAACATGCCTCTAATCTTATGGGGTCCACCATTTGATTCAGGTCTTCTGGATCAATATGAATATCCAACTATTGCAACAACATCTTCTAGCACTATCTAGTTCAAAATATGTACTACTATTTTCATTAGCTTCGTTTTTTAATTTTTAGCCAAGCAATGTCGATTATCCGACTTTTGCAATACTTCCAATGGACCGAATTTGCATTAATCTACTATCTTGCTCGTGCGGACCTCATTCATCGCTGTGGTCCACTGATATCGGATCTCGATCTTCTTGTCAGCAACAATGATAATCTAACAGTCACTTATCGTCGACAAATGAGTGTCATAACGAACAACAGTTTCGCGAATGCGTTGAAAAACATGAAAGAACTCGCCAGAATCGCAATTGTGTGTCTAGAATCGAACGAGGCACGCCGGAATCTAATGATCGCTGTCGCTGAATCGGGTCTCGACACTAATGAATTTCTATTTATCATGGCTGAATCGAGAAGAGTCGGGTTTGGTTAGTTTGAATTAAAATGGGGTTTTGGAAATTTGAAATATTACAGCATCATCAATTTGGAATGGAACGGATGGCAAGAATGAAATAGCACTACGAGGAGCTAATAGATTCCTATTGGTAAGCTAACTAATTAATTAGAGGTTCATTTTTGAAAATACTTTAAAAAATCGTGTTATCATCAATGTCAAATACCATATTATTATAAAATCATTAATTTCGTTAGTTGTGGAGCGACTTGTTTTGAGTGCATCGTGTGGATTATTGTTAAGTAGAAGAGATCTTCTTGATAGGAGCCTTTTAATTGTCTTGCACACTGTTTAAATGTTTTTATCCGACGTTTCGATCTTTAGATCATCATCAGGGAAGGTCAATTTACCTCAAACATGGGTAATTAAACCGGCTTAAGGAAACGTCGGATAAAAACATTTAAACAGTGTGCAAGACAATTAAAAGGGACCTATCAAGAAGATCTCTTCTACTTAACAAAAATCATTAATGTATACATACGTAGTTGGACAATCAAAAGTTCAACGACACTTCTCTATTCTCTTCGCAAATCATCGACGCCATCAAAAAACCGCCGTTCAACTGTCAGAATTGTACTTCAGTCGGTATATTTTTGAAATCAGGCTTAATGACAACGTTGAATTTGAAGATGTTCTATACTCTCAAGCCGGACAACTAGCTGATGCATTGCTGTTATATGCACATGCATTGAATATTTCAATACAGTCTGGCAATGCAAAACCCGGTGGAGTCGAAATATGTAACATAATGAAAGGAATCACTTTTAAAGGTATTATTAATTGTTTTTTAATTCACTTTGAGATATTCCATTTAGGATTCACTGGAACTGTGATAATCAATCAGAACTCAACGAGAACTCCTGTATTCTATTTATACAATTTGGATGATAATTATAATGAGTTTCCAATATTAAAAATGGAGGAAGATCTTGATAAGGATGCTGAGCCGGTATTCAATTAATAGCAATTTATTGAGAAAACAAATTATTCGAAGATTGTTCTCTTGGCTTCACTCGAAAAAATTTGGGCCACATGGGGTGGATCGAAGCCATTAAGTACACCGCTTTGTGGATTTCTCGGCGATGAATGTCCGAAATCGTTTGCCGAACAATATTTGGCTATTATATTAGGCTGCACCGCAGCGGCGATTGTCATGTTAATTGCAATTATAGCAGCTATTGTATTCTTTATCAAGTAGGAAATAGTAACAATGAGGAAAGTATCAGATTCGCGATTTTTCGTTAGGTCAAAGCGGAAGGAAGAGGAACGTCTCAATCAGCTATGGCATGTGCCTTTCAATAGTCTAACAAAACCACCCCAAAAGGTTTGATTTAAGTGTAATAGCGAATACGAAATCTAGAATATTTTCAGAATACAATGCATAGTTCGAGATCGCTCAGTAGTACAGTGACATCAAGTACAAAAGTGACAATCAACTCGAAAAAAGACACCGAAAGACACGCATTCTATTTTCTTGGAGGGGATTCGGTTGTCGCCAGAAAACATAATTTTCGGATCGCATTCACTAAATCGGATAACGCCGAATTTCGAAAGGTTTTGAAATTCAAACTAAACACATAAAGTAATAAAAATCATATGCATTTAATGTTCATTCTCTTCATAATTTTGCCAGTTGATTAACTTCGAAATGCGAAGAAAACTTGAGTTCTATGAATGGTTTATTTTAGATGCGAAATATGGACCATGATAATGTTTGCAAATTCATTGGATTGTCTATCGATTCTCCTCAATTGCTCTCGATATGGCGCTTTTGTTCTCGTGGATCTCTTGCTGATGTTATCACCAAAGGATCGCTTCAAATGGATTGGTTCTTTAAGTATTCATTGATGAGGGATGTCTCCGAAGCCATGTTCTACATTCATCATTCCTCGATTGGTCCTCATGGATGGCTGAGTTCTTCAACATGTCTTGTTGATGAACGCTGGCAAGTCAAAGTCAGTTTTCATGGATTGACTGCTATCAAACGATTTGAAATGAAAGAGCCTAGAGGTTTTTTTTTAAATCATAAACGGTTTCAAATCAGTGTGCTCGGATGGGTTTCAGATTTATTACATACGGCTCCTGAGCATATTCGAGACAACTCTTTGCCACCAACTAAGGAAGGTGATGTTTATAGGTAAACAATTATGTACCCGTTTTTCTTAAAAAAAAACTGAAAATTTTAAATGACGCGGGAACACTACATATAATAATCATTTTTTGGTGAGATAACGGTATTCTATTGTATTTGGAAAGTAGAAAATTGATTGGTCGTCTGGCAATTATTTCAAAAATCTAATATAGTCGGCGTCCGGCGACTGCTGTACGCGGGTAGATTTACGCGCATGTGCCTTGAAAAGGTCTCGCCACATGTGAATGCTTATTTTGCTGTTTTCACGTGAACGATTTGTTTTTGCTTGATGAGTTTGGCATTATTTGGAATTTCTAATGTCGTTCAATTTAAAAATTATCGAACCGGTCAATAAAATTTTAAATGACCTGCTAGTCCGTGCGTGACCAAGAGAAAGAAGCATCCCCGTAAATCTACCCGCGTACAGAGGACGCAGACTATACGCCAAATTGAAAAATCTACCAGAAAATGTTTTGTAATGAAATGCGAGTTGTTTGAAATTCAGTTTTGCAATTATTTGCTCCGAAATCATTACAAAAAAGTCTGCATGGGATTTGGAAAACGAGCAATTTGATGTCGATGAATTGGTGTATAAAATCAAAAAAGGCGGAAGGAACCCGATAAGACCTTCTCTGGACACCGAGGATGAGCACAATGGATCGATGTCTCTTCTAGTTCGAGACTGCTGGAATGAAATCCCCGATCAGCGGCCGACAAGCGATCAAATCAAAACATTAATGAAGAGCATGAATCATAACAGATCTTCAAACTTAATGGATCACGTGTTCAATGTTCTTGAGCAATATGCTTCGAACCTTGAAGAAGAAGTTCAAGCAAGAATGAAGGAATTGACGGAGGAGAAGAAGCGAAGTGATGTTCTTCTATACAGAATGCTACCAAAGTGAGAAATACAAAGAATCGGAGAAATCGAATCATTTTCAGGCAAGTGGCAGAAAAACTGAAACTTGGGCAAAGTGTTGAGCCGGAAACCTTCGACTGCGTTACCATATTCTTCTCCGATGTGGTCTCTTTCACAACACTCGCAAGTCGATGCACACCGCTTCAGGTTTTTTTTGAAAAATGAGCACTTCGAATTGATAATTCTTGCCTTAATTGCTTGTTGGGGGTTGTTTGGTAAAAAATTGCTTTTGTTTTTATAATTATCCGCTGAAAGAATTTTTAGCAAAACTTTTTTAGCAAACCAATTTTCTTGCAGGTTGTCAATTTACTCAACGATTTATACACAACATTCGACGCTATAATTGATAATCACGATGTTTATAAGGTTTGTCTACTAGTTGCCTTTCATTTTGATTCGTTCTCATTGCAGGTTGAAACCATTGGCGATGGATATTTATGCGTCTCTGGGCTTCCGCATCGAAACGGAAACGAGCACGCGCGAGAAATCGCCGAAATGTCGTTCTCGCTCCTCCGCGCGATCAAAACATTCCGAATTCCCCATTTGCCGAAAGAACGAATCAATATTCGCGTCGGTTTGCATACGGGACCCGTCGTCACCGGAGTCGTCGGTCTCACAATGCCCCGTTATTGCCTTTTTGGCGATTCGGTGAACACAGCGAGCCGAATGGAGAGTAATGGAAAACGTATGAAGAAGAATGTTAAATGTGTTAGAAAATTGAAATCAAATTCAGCTGGAAGAGTGCATATCTCGACAGAATGCATGAAATTCCTCACTGAAGTCATTGGTGGATACCAGACAGAAGTTCGAGGAGAAGTCATTGTAAAGGTAAATGATCATCTTTGGATCACATACAGTACTGGCCATAAAGAATGTCCCAAATGGTTTTCCGAGCATACGTTTTCTAAAAGTAAACCGATCATTCTAAAAAATTAGCACAGTCTCTCTGACACTAAAATACAATATTTAAAAAATCGTAGCCAATCGTTTCGACAGATTTGACCAAAAAACAGAAATTTATGATAAACGTCTAAGACCGGTAAAATGGAAAATCAACTGTGGAAGAGCAGAAAACATTTTCTATCAAAAACTAGAATTCAAAAGAAACTCCAGAAAAAAAATTTAAAAATTAAAAACGAAAAAAGTCGAAAAATCGAAAAAATAATTATAAAAAATAATTTTCCGCACATTTCTTCAAACAGAAGAGCTGCAAATATGCGTATTGTGTGTACATCAGGAATTAATGATCTACTCCAAAAAAAGTTATGCTCGATAACCCGTTTGGGACATTCTTTATGGCCAGTACTGTATATTATGAAGATACATTTTACAAGTTTTTATTTTTGTTTCTACATTATCTTATTTAATCCTTTCGATGAAAATACTCCAATCATCAAAAGATGTCCATTTTTGGTATTTTCCATAATTTCCTGTTTCATTTAAATGTTTTTTTTCCAATTTCGTTTATCTTGAATTTTTCCAGGGAAAAGGCGCTGTTCAGACGCACTGGCTTCTAACCAAAGAGGAAATTGAAGCAAGAGGCGAATCAGCAATCTGAATAATTTTAATAATTGCGCTAATCTATTAATATTATTGTTTTTCAAAAAATAAACTATTCTATTTGTCGTCGAATCGGACGAGATTCGCGCATTTCATCTGCGTCTCTATTGCAATTGTTTCAAAATCGGGACGCCACCCAAAAATTTAATATATTTCTACATATTGTGACAACACGCGCGTATTTGAAACAACAGCGACAAGACAGGAATTTTCGGGGGGCTTCTTTTCCAAATTTGTACATGCAAACATGATTCATCGACAACTACTACGATGACGGCCAATAAGGTTTGTTTGAATTAATTAGACAGAAAAAAAAACACCGAAACCGTTATAGAATCTTATCAATTCGTGTTTGTTTGATTTCAAACTAGTTTTTTTGTTCAATTTTTGGTTACGATTTTGCATGGAAATTCTTTAAAAGTCGCCATTTCCTTATTTTCAACATTTCATTTGAAATTTGTAGTTTTTATCAAGTCCAAAAATGCATTTCCGAAGGTTCCGATTCCCAAAACAATGCGCTTAAATATGAGAATTTTATTATTTCAAAAATGTAATTTCAAATACCAAGACAAACAATTTCCAGCAACCCGACGTGTACGTGACTCACGTTTCCACGGAGAGGTTCGAGATCGAAGAAGAAGCTCGCGTAGCTAATTCTCAAAATCCGCCATCAAGCGGTTTCAGACAGTAAGTGGGCGATATATCCGTTGGCGAATCGCGTCGGATCGCGCCGACTCATCCATCATTCCTCTGTCATCACTGTCCCCGATTTCGTTGTTTGGTGTTTTTTAGTTGGTTCGCAGACGTCCGTCTCACTTCTGATCATCTGATAATATCGATGAGACCGCTGCTATTGCTGCGAGTAATCCAGTTGGCCACCGAAAAGCTTCCGGCCTCAACAATTTTCTGTTTGATTTTGCCAGCAAACACTAACAACCATGCGTTCTCGTCCTCGCGTTCGTGATAATTTTTGACACAATTTTGCAAAGATCACTCTCATTTATCGAAATATGCTCAAATTTAGGTTCGCGTGTCGAATTGGATTGGGTGTTTTAATTATGACTATATTACTTCTTCTACTATTCCTGTTCGCCGCACCAATTGCTTCAGCACCAAATGATGGTCCAAACTCGGTTAGTTTTCATTAAGAATCTTTTTTCAATTCATGCAAAATCAAAATATGCCCAATATTTTCTTTTAGAATTTTTGGTAGCACAAATCGTTTAATAATTTCTCTCATGCATATCTGTTCTTTGCAAAAATGTTTAAAGAGCAAGTCAAATAAGACTAAATGTTCCACTCTCAAGACCAGCTATTGTTCAAACATACTATTTCCAACCCAAAAAAGAGAATGTCTATGGACCATCGAATGCGTTCAGAGTGGTCTTTTTTTGATTTCAACTTTGGGAATTAATAATCCGTACTACGGATTAAACAAATTCACGGTGTATCTTTATTTTTCGTTTTGATGATAATTCAGAACAAATAGACAAAAAATGATGAATTTAAAATGATTTATTCTTTTATATAATAGCAAGCAATATTTAAAGTTTTAATTCATAGTCCGGTTCTGAAAAAAAGAGCGGCAATCAAAATTGGCCGCTGTGAGATCTTTTTTTGGGTGCGGTGAAATATTCTATGAAATGCTATTAAAAATTGTTGTTAATTTATGAATTTAGAGTCAAATTTTAAAAATTTACTCAATTTTTTATAGAGTGAATCAGAAACATTGTACAAATGGCCGGGACCATCGAATTCAACGCAAAAGAAATTCGAGAAGGCCGCGATAACGTGTGATAACGCGGCGTGCTCTAAAATTGGAGGGTAAATTAATTTCGAATTTCGGATGCTCATAAAGCTTTGAAGGGATATTCTCAATAAGGGCGGAAATGCGATCGAAGCGGCTATCGCTGCCATGTTTTGTCTCGGCGTCGTGAATCCGCAAAGTTCGGGAATTGGCGGCGGATTTCTCATGACATTCTATAATGGGTATTCATTGAATTTTGTTGGTTGAACTCGCCCATTTATGTATGTCTTTTTTAGGCAACAAGGTGATTGCTATGCAATTGATGCTCGCGAGACAGCGCCGGCGGCTGCTCACAAAAACATGTTTTTGAATGATAGCGACGGCTCGAAATACGGTTATTAATAGTAGGCAGAAGAAGCCAAACAAATAATCGATTATTACAGGTTTTAAAGCCGCTGGAATTCCTGGCGAAATTGCCGGCTATTGGCATTCATTTACGAAACACGGATCGGGAAAAGTGAGCTGGAAAGAGCTCGTGACACCCTCGATCGAACTCGCTTCTAAAGGACATCCTGTTTCTGAATTTCTCAGCGATGTGATGAAGGTCAAGGAGAGACATTTCAGATTGTTCCCATCAGTGAAGTAAGATCGGATTCACCAATTTTGCAAAAATTTATTTTATATGTATAGTGATTATAATTAAGGCATTGGATCAATCCGGAAACCAACGACACCTATAAAACAGGCAATATTTTGAAGCGACCGAAACTTGCTGAAACGTTGCAATTGATTGCGGATTCATCGGATCCGGTCGAATTATTTTATCATGGAGATATGGCGAAGACGATTGCGAACGAATTCAAAGAAGGTGGAGGACTCATCACTGAGGAGGATTTAGCAAACTATAGAGTACGAGAATATGCAAACTCGAACTCGAATGAAAAATTCCGTGGATCTCTTTCGATGTGCGGCGGACCACCGCCATCCTCTTTCGGTGTTACTCAACTTATCATTTCTGTGATGAGCAGTAAGTTTCATAAAGTTTTAAATACAATTAAGACCTTGTGATTCCTTTAGAATTATTCCCCGAAGGACATAAGGATGACATTTACCAAGATCCGCTCGTCATTCATAAATATATTGAATCGATGAAATTCGCTTATGCGCAAAGAACATTGCTCGGCGATCACGACTACGTTAAAGGCGCATTGGAATTGTCGAGAAATTTGACGACACCGGAATACACACAATGGGTTATTGATCGGATGACAGATAAAGCGCAGCCGTCGAAAAACTATGGAGGAATTGCGCAATATCAAGTCAGAAATCGTGCCATTTTTAATAATTATATAATTTGATTTTTTTAAAATTTCTAGCCCCCCGATCATGGAACTTCTCACGTTTCTGTGTTGGACCAATATGGAAATGCCGTTTCCGCAACAACGACTATTAACAGATGGTAAGTAATACTCTCATACGGCGTCCAGTTCTAATAATAAGATTATATTCAGGTTTGGCGCTGCCGTTGAATCGACTAAATACGGAATTTTGTGGAACGACGAGATGGATGACTTCAGCACACCTGGCATGGAAAATGGGTAATTTGCGGTTGCAATTTCATGATTGACATTCAATTTGACAGATTTGGGTTCGCCCCATCGGAAACCAACTACATTGCACCTGGAAAACGTCCGATGAGCTCAATGAGCCCATTAGTCATTTTCAATTCGGAAAATAAAAAGGTCCGAATGGTCATTGGAGCATCTGGAGGAGCCAAGATTATCTCGTCGCTCTCGAAAGCCGTCGTCCGCAGTTTGATATTCAATGACTCTATCAAGAAGGCTATTGATTCCCTAATGATCCACAATCAATTCACACCAGACATTACTCAACTTGACGATGGATTCCCCGAAGGAATGAAAAAGATTCTAGAGAAGGAGCATTTGCAGAAATTCCGAGCCACGAATGGATTTGAGGGGGTTATTCAGGGAATTGACGTCAAGTTTGTTTTTTTTTCCGATTTTGAATAGCCCATGAAATGTCGGTTCGTTTTCAGGGAAGACGGGATCTATGCTTGCGGAGACTATCGACGCAAAACCGAACAAATCCCGCAAGGATTCTAGATTTCATTCGCAAGACATCTTTCAATGCATAGTTTCCGATCACTATGGGTACTTACGTTGATTTTATTTATTATTTAAAATACAATCTGGAAAAGAATAGAATAAAATAGCAACCCGAATAAAAACGAAAACAATGGAAACTAGAAAGTCTATGCACATGACCCGAAACTACTAATGTTTTGAATGATTTCGACAGTTAGAAAAACAAAAAATGGAGAACGGGGATCAGAAGAATCAAAATGATGTAAGATGCCGATGACGAGTTGCACAGGTCTCCGCTACAACAGCAAATGTAGCCGAGGTTCGGAATGGTGTCGCAGGTCTCGACAATCCTGTAGGTTTGGCAGATTGAGCTCACGCCGGTTCCATCGCAATATCGAACCTTTAAATTTTAGAAAATTATGTTAAATTCGTTTTTTTCTTGAGAAAAAGAACTATGCAGAGAACCCCCTTCATTGCGCGTTTTATTCTTGTTCGAATAAACAAAATTTGCATAATTGCCGAAATGTTTAATTCAATATTCAAGTTGTCGGTGTAACTTGGCGTTTCTTCAAATGTTAAGTGTTTTTGTAGGTCTATTAGAAACCACCCCGACTTTTTAACCCCCACCCCTGCTATTCCTCCCCGACTTTTTAACCCCTCTTTTTATTTATGATACCACCCCCACTTTTTCACCCCCCCCCCCACTTCTTCGCCGAAATTCAAAATTTGCAGTTTCTAACAATAATGTTTAGCAGTAAAATTTTTAAATTTTTTTAAAATTTGCGATAATTCAAGTTATCAAGAGGAGATTCGCAGGTCTAAATTAGATTTTTCAGAAATTATGTAGTGTTCTTATGAAAGGCTGAAAATTTTAACAATTAATGAACTATTCTCTAAAAACCCAGTTCAGAACGATTTCGTATTTCGTAAGATTTTCGTATTTTCCAACAATTGTCAATATTTCAAGTGTCCAATTGTGCATTTTGATATTAAGCTTCTTTGCAAGCCTACATAGTTTCTGAAAAATCTAATTTAGACATCAATTTTGCCAATTTCCTCTTGATAACTTGAATTATTGAAAATTAAAATATTTTTCTGTTAAAAATTACTGTTTGAAACTGCAAATTTTAAAGTGCGGTGAAAAAGTGGGGGGGGGGTGAAACCTAAAAATTGGAGGTGAAAAAGTGGGGGTGGTATCATAAATAAAAGGAGGGGTTAAAAAGTCGGGGTGGAATAGCAGGGGTGGGGGTTAAAAAGTAGGGGTGGTTTCTAATAGACCGTTTTTGTACGCATCTCTTCTGTGTTTCAATCGCACCAAATTTCGCGCCCATCCGACTCGTACACCGCCATCAGACAACCTTCCGATGTTGACTTAATAAGCATGAATTTGTTCTAATTATACGGTATACCGTCGAGTATTATGGTATGGAATTTGACGCGATTCTGGGTTCATTGCGCAGATGGGAATGTGTTGTGGGTGTCAATCAAAAATCAAATTGACAGGGGCTAGCCAGGATTAAATAGTGTCCCTTGAGGCGGCCGATGCTCGCACGATTTCTCGCCGCCAGTGCAACATATTTTCGATGTATTTGTGAATCAGTTCGTCCGGCGGCGCCACTCTACCGTAACTAATCGCTTGTTTTGCCAACAATACAACTTACCGTGTCGAGACCGAGTGTTTGTTTGATGCATGAGACAGACGGACAATTTATGACTTGTAGTTGCGAGCCGGAGTAGCATTCGATGGCGAACGCGATCGATGGAAGGATGGCGATTAGAAGCAACAATTGTAGGCAACTCATGGCTACTGCAATAAAAAGAATGAAGTATTCATGGAATAGTAAAGGAAATTACAGGCAATTTACGACAGTGCGAGGATATGAAAAAGTTTTCTTAGCATTGCTGGAATAGAAAAAAATATCGAAAAATTTAAAACAAATAATGCAATTAGAGTTTCTACGCAAAAAAGAATTGATTTAGCAATGTGCTCAAACTATACATGGGAATTTCAAACACGTTTTTACATTTGATAATTTTCGGAAGTGAGAGTAGACATTCGGCAAAAAATCACCGATCATGGATGGATCATTCATACAATTGTTTGCCGAAAATCTCAGGTTTCGATCATCTTTTGTTAATTCCTGAAGTAGCCTTTTACACAAAAAAAATGTTTACTCAAATCGAATGAAAAAAAGAAACAGAATTAAAAGCGCTGGAGAAGCTCTATTCGACGAATAAGCTCTCCACCAATTAGGTGTATTTTTTGAAGGGATTATGAATACGAATATTGACACATCGACACCACCACAACCATGTACACATATTTACACTCGCTAATTAGGCTTCACAAAAGAATTTGTGCAAAAATCAGTTTAGACAGAGAGTAAACATAACATTATGCTTTGTGTTGTTGTTGTGGAGAGCGAGAAAAACGAAATGCACTGAGAATGGCGGGATGGCAAAGATGTGATTCGGTTAGCGGGGGGAGAAGGAATTCCAGAATACGTAAGTAGTCTTGACCAACACCGTCAAGACTGGATCCACTTGATATAGAAAAGACGCCTGAATTGTCAAGTAGGAGGACTCCGCCCAGCTTTGAAGTTGGTTCAATGAGAATCTTCCAAATCGAGAGGGATTCGACGAATTTGAAGAAAACAACAAAAAATGCATTTTTTATAATGGGATGGGTCTCGTAAAGAATAACGGCGAATACTAATGAATAACGCAAAACGGAAAAAAAATTGAAAAGATTTTTTCCAAATTCAAAAATGTCCGAAAGACTATTTCAGAGTGTCATTTAAAATAATGTTGCAAATTTTTTATAGGTAATATTTTAATCCTAAGATGAAAACCTTATTGTGTGACACACTTTCATCGGATTTCGTTCCAAAAAGTCCACAAAAGAAGAGAATAGATTTAATTACGACAATTTGGCGCGAAAAAACTGAATCGGAGGAGGGCGTCGAACTCTCCAAAAAAGTTAGAAATGAGGGCATAATTCAAACGAACACTTATTCGGTTCCATCAACAACACCTTCGACGGCGAGAAGAAGAAGAAGAAGAAGAAGACGGCGACGAATGAGAGGAGAAACACCAAACAAAAAAGTCGAATAATTTCATTTTCAAGGACTCTTTTCATTCAAGTTTACGCCCCGAAATAATTAGACATCGACCCAGTGACGGCGCCATAAAAGGGCAATGTCTTACGTTTTTATAATGATGATCCACATAGTAAAATAATCAAATGAGGAATAGCCGGGCTTACTAATTAACGAATAAAATTGAAATGAAATGAAAGGGACAAATTGGGAGTTGCGAGTTTTTATGATCATTAATAAATCATACATTATTTCTATTTCGAATCAATTTGCGCGCCTTTGCGATTTTTGAGATCCAAAAATAATTTGTTTTAATATTTGTAATCATTTTTTGTATGTAAAAGTTTGTGTAAAAATGTAAAAAGAACGATTCTGCAAAAAAGGGAATTGCGAAAAAAATTCTATCAACAATTTGAAAATTTGCAACATTTCACTCAATCGAGCAACAACAAAACAAATCAAATCAATTGGCCATTTGGCAAATGAATATTATGGTACCTCTGGGAGACAAGCTCTCCGGCGATGATTTCGCGGTGCGAGCGCACAACGAAAGCAGCAAGAAGTGGGCGTGTCTTGCGGATGCGCGGGTCTCGCGCAGGAAGTCGCTGCGAAATTGGCGAACAATGGCACGACAGATTGGCTGGCCTCCGACGACCCGACGAATCCGTCCGAATTTTCACACTCGAAAGAGCGCTTTTGTTGCCGAATTGATTTACATCGACGGCCTTCAATAGTTCCGGGCGCATAATCGAAACGCAATTTTTTTTTCGGGTTGGCACTAATCAAATAAGTTCAAATATGTTGTACGTATTACGAGCAATAGATATATATATATATATTTTACATAATACAATTCAACTATCATAATTGGGGGAAATGGGAAAAAGCGTGTGGCGGATTTCTCACATTCATCGACACCCGATGGCTTTTTTCAACGACATCTGGTCCGCTAGATTCGGCTTATGGGATCACCTGCGTAACCGGCTGGATAACCCATATTGAAGCCGATTACCTTGTAAGGATTTAGAGAGGGGGGGGTCGCTTCCGGCGAAATCATCCCGCCGAATTAGGATTGTATTGAGTCGGGGCAAGTGCGCGAAGGAACACTTCTCAAATTACACAAGGCCACACCGACCTGGTCTTTCCGGTGCATTGATGTTCTGTTTCAATTCGAATAAGACAATAGAGATTCTTGTTCAATGAATATACATATAGTATTCATTATTACTAATAACAATAAAAATAATAATCAACTCATAAGGGTCCTTAGAATAAACGTTTGGGTGGAACTTTCTAGGATGATGTTTGAAATGATTAATAATCGAAACCAAGCCAATTATCGCGTGAAACCCGACTAGCACACCATAAATGGAAACAAATAAAATTGTAATGATCGTACAAATAAATCCAGCGGTAACACAAAGTAAAAGTTGATGACCGGTAGGCGGTCGAAAACCGGTTGGATTTCAATAATTTTTTCCTCTTTCCTCACTTCTTTTTCTAAAGCGACTAAAGCGATTAAATGGCAGCGTTTATTATGAATCGAATACTAGTGTGGAATTGCACAAATGAATGAGATTATTGAATTAACGAATGCAAGAAGGCGAAGCAGGTAACGTCGTCGTTGCCGGCTTCGCAGAATAATTGAGTGTTGGCCAGATACGAGAAGTCGTGTGCCGAGCAGATCACATCGAATAATCCGCCAATCTCCTCGGCTGCCGCCTTCTGGATTTTCCGTTTCGACGTTGAAGGATTCTCGTCGACATTCTGAATATATATAAATCAACTCAAATACGCTTTAAATGGACCCTTACATCTTCGATAATTCTCTTCAACCTGTCATCGTTGCATTTCTCGCTGACAGCTTGACGACGAACTGGCTGTCGGTAACCGTCTAAAAGCATTTCTTGTATGGATATGTATGCTAATTATGCTAACTATTTGGTTCGGATTCGAATACGTGGTCGACGACATTGTGGAGAACTGGTGGAGGTGGCTGACAATCTTCCGGATTCTCAAGCTCGACGTATCTGAAATTCGAAAAATGTGATTTTTTTTGGAAATTTTATATTGGACATTCGATTATGAAATAGTATTCGAATTTTGGAACTGGAATATTCGTCACATGCATAAAAAAACAACTCAAGTTTCGTAATCCGTTCCTACAGTAACCCTTTTTAGCGTTCAAATGATTCAACGAACCAGTTTTCAAACAAATTTGAGTCCCATCGAATTCTAATTCAAATTAGCATTTTAAGTGTTTCTGAGTTAAACGATTTCAAACCAGACAATGAAAATTGGCCTTATTAAAAACTAAAATTATTCAATCGTTTTGATTTGGGGAAGGGTAAAATTAACTACTTAGAAAACGATTAAACTGGTAAATAATTCTCACTTTTCACTTGGAAGTGTTGATGGCCGAATTGTGGTTGAATCCTGAATCACCAATGGCGGTTCTGTTCCGGCTTCAACGTATTGCTGAACTGGTGGTGCCTGTGGAGCGGGAGGTGGTGGAGGTGGTGGTGGCTGCTGAGGAGCATAAGGTTCCCGGATCTGCGCAGTTGGTGGTTGATTAATGCCAACCAACGCTTCCTGTCCATTTACTGGCGGCGAGATCGCAGGTGGCAGTTGCTGTGGTGATTGGGTGACCGCAAATGGCGCGAAAGTGGCGAACGTCGGTAGAGTGGGAAGTGCGGCGAACATATTGCACGGCGGCGAGCTGGGACACGGCGGAGACGGCGGACAGTTGAAGGTGATCGGAGTCGGGCATTGCAAGCCGACTTGTCCGTTCGGACAGTGGCACATTGGCGGCGAACAATACACGATGGTTGTTATCAGCAGAAAACTGGCAAAACGCAGCATGTCGATTTCTCGATAAAATCCAACGCAATTGCCTAAATATACGGCCGCAAGAACTGGCTTATCAACGAGTGTACAAGTTTATTTATTATTGGTTATATAGGAAGCAGTACACCAGTTTATTCATCATCTTCGTCATTCGGATCCTCCGCTCCGGAACCCTCGTTTTGTTGATCCCGTTTCGTGGAGTTGTACGCGAGACAGGTGATCTCATTTTTGGTCACCTCGCAATATTTGCTCGCTTCGATGTAGTACGAGAAGATTCCTTTCGCACAGATCACGTCGAATTGAGAATTGAATTCGCGTTCTGCTCGCTCTGATATCACCATTTTCGAAGTGCTCAAACTTGAGGATATACTCTGCAAAAAAAATGAGAAATAACAAATCTGAAATTTCGGGAAAAAACGAAGAACCAATTGTAGTATCTGCTCAAGTTCTTCGCTGTTGCATTTTCTGTTCAAAAGAATCACATCGTCTTGTCTAGAAAATGCCTTAAAATCTCTGGAATGGTATCGGATTCGGTGGGTTGATGCTGAAATAATTTCATTGTGGAAGTCCGGAATAACATCTGAAATAAAGTGGCCTTGCAGAAAAACGAGTCATTTTGAGCAATTGTGGACCAACGAATTGTTTCAGGGCGGCCAATTAATTTTCGATTCAAACAATAGAAATTCGGGTTCCGTACTAACCAAATCAAAGCTTCTCGTTTTTTTTTTGTCATTGTAATAATTGAATGAAAACAAAATTAGGTGTCAAAAAGAAAGATAATCAATTTTGAAAATTGTAATTCGAGACAGACAATTGTCAGAAATTTACTTGGATAAACTCACGGGCAACAGTGTGTTCTCCAGGAGACGTCATTTTCAAAGAGACCGCATTCTTCTCAATCTCATCTGTCTAAAATGTCGAATGTTGAATATACATATTGTCATCTGAATACCGTTTTGGGTGCCGGAATCGGAAGGGGCGTCGGCTGAGTGACAGTGGCCGCAGATGCGACACAAACAAGCAAAAAGAGATGAAGCATAGTTGATTAATGACTGAAAGCCTCGAGTTTCGGGTTTCTTTTATACTCGACCCCCAAAAATGGAATAGAGAGAGAGCGAGCGCAAACATTACTTATTTAAAAGCAAAATTCGAGTTTTGTTTAGTTGTGACTTCAAAAATTAGCAATTCCTGTTTTCTTTCGACTAATTCCAATTGATACAGTGCACTTGGTTCACTCAAAAAAAAAATGAAAAACGGGTCAGGATGATAATTGGAAACGTGTGAAGCAATTAGCGAGGAACTTGTTGAATCCATTTATCAAATTTTGGATGTAGTTTAATATTGAAAAAAAAAACAGAATTTAATTATGATTTCTGCGTGAAAAAGACGGGCAGCTGAATTTTTTGTGGTCAAAAAATTAGAAATTCTTGCCAAATTGATTACGGTAGTTTAGTGTTGCCTCAATGTGTTTCAGCAGGTGAAATTGATAGCTTTTACATTCAAAATTCTAAACTCATCAACACCGCAACTGCGAAAAGGGCGAAAATAGTTTTTCCAAAAAAGGATAAAAGTAGATATTTTCATAGTTCAAGCCATTTTCTATTCAATTTTTAACAATTTTTGGCATTTTGCGAGCTACAGTGAAGAAAAACTTTTCTTCCGAAAATGAGTACTGTTTCGAGACTATTGCTCGTAAATCTACCCAATTAGAATAGTCGCCGACAATATTTTTTTTTAATTCGAGGATAAAGCTCAAAAAAGTTTTAACATATGCATTGAAGATTTAACAATAAATAATAAAATAAAACAAAGAAGCCCTGCAGTAATCAATTTATCAAATTAATTGGTATCATTTTTTAATTCATGAAAAAAATTTATTCGGGAAAATTTATTAAATTATTAAAAATTTATTAATTGATTATTCATCAAAATAATTTAGAAATATTTATTTGAAATTAAGAAAAAAGGATTTGCGTCAACAAGGATTTGCAAAAATGTTTGATAATTTGGAAAAAAATAATCTGAAAAATTAAAGATTTTTTTAAACATTTAATATTTAAGCTATAGTAAATTATGAATTTCACTATGACCATTTATCTTTTTTTTATCACGGTTTGTTTTTAATGATCTAGAATGAGGTCGAAAAAAACATAATAGTTATCTTATTGCTGCAATTCATTGATTCAGCAATAGAAATCGTCAAAATTGGAACTTAAATTATTTTTAGTCTTAAAAAAATAAAGCTGGTAGTAAAGAAATGTTGTGTTGAAGCATAATATATGCTCCTCTGATTCTCTCCCATTTATTTCCTTTAATAATTTGGCCACTTGCAATTTTTTTATTCGCACACCCGACCACTTGAGCCGTTTTTGACGATGCATCTGCTTCTGGATGGCATATTTGAAAATGCGAAATTAAAAAAATATGCCGGCTTCTACAATTATTCTTTTCCGATTTCATATAAAATGAAAGAAAAACGAAAATCGATGAAATTTAATTGTGGTCCGAATCGCGAACTAAATTATTAAAACCGCATTCATAAATTGATGAAAAGTAGTTTGAAGTATCATTCCCCCAAGGCTATTATGAAGTGCATTCAAATGCTTTTTCTCTAATTATTTGCCATCAAATAACAATTATTTCCAAATTAATATTCTCGAAAATTTCAATTTTGGTTTATTTTTAATAAAAAACTATGTGTTAATAACAATATTTGATGTCAGGTTTATAAAATGGATTCAGAAATAAAATATTTTTTGTTTAACCTCATTAAAATTGTCTATTTTTGTTTGTTTGTTTATTTTGTTGTTGTTTTATATCAACCTATACATAAAATCTAATTTTTTTCAAAAATTTATAAAAATTACACATTTTTCCAATACAGGGTTATAACAAATTACAAATTTAATCCCTTGTATTTTTTCGTCATTTTAACCAATGCAAACTGGTAAAACTTGTCAAATTTACATCTAAAAATGATTTGTTCGACTATTTATTTATTACGCTGAATTGGTACAAATGAGTTGATAGTTTTGTTCAACAAGGATTCATATTTTTCTTATCTGCAATGATTAATTTCTTCAGGCATATTGCAGAAACAAAATCCAATTCGGTACCTATAATCACGTAAAAATATGATCGTGAATCCTCTCAATTATGCATTAATTATTGCGGTAAATCGAAAAAAAAAAGAACATATTGTGAATAATGTATTCAATTAATTCAATTGGATTTTGAGAATTTCAGAAATGATTTCTATTTCTTCACTTTTCTGAAATGCGTTTTATAATTTGAAACATTCTTTAATTATGCTGCTTTGTTTCAATGCTTATGCTAAACTCGTGTTAGCGGATATCCGAATTACTCAATCCGTCATTGCTAATGCATCATAATCAACGTGCAATTCCCGAAGATGTTATCTGTGTCGAAACCAAAATGCTAGCTAGCCAGCCAACAATTTCATTTTTCGCCTCGTCCCTTCGTCGTCTCCTTCGAACGCCGAATTAGTAGTATTTCTGTTATCAAGACACCAAATCTGAATATGTTTGAGGAATGATGTTCGTTTCGAACGACGGGAGGGGAGGGGATGACGAGGAGAAGGACGAGGACGAGGAGGAAGCATAATCTATCCAAAATTTATACGCAATTTACATTTTCAAGAGCCCCCATCGCCCCACAACTCTTCGGGGATTTCATATGGCACTTTCTATTAGATTCCTCCATGCTACTTTATTACATATATACACATCTTCGTGCTTTCATATCAAAAGTTCATCCTCCAAAAAAGGTCATGCTCCTCCTACTAGTTCGACCAATCAATGAATGGCATTGCGCAATTGTCATATAGAAAGTGAAAATATGACATGTTGTCGAACAGCTTTTTTTTTGATGATGATGAACTCCCATTATGAGAGTTATATTACCTCGTCGACCATCTAATAATAATAATAATAATAAAAATGTACGAACATCTACCTAGTGAATCATTCCTTCCCTCATTTGTCACTTTCGTTCTGATTCTGTGTAATAGGCTGTTTTTGATCAAGTCACAGAAAAAACACCTTTGTCGCGATGATCCTTTAATCAAGTGTTTGTTCTGTTAGGGGGTTTTAGTCCTTCAGAAAATCGTCATCTATTTCGATGTTCTAGTTTTTGACAACACAAATACTATGACAATATACATTTTTGGTATACAATACCGCTAAAATATCAAAAACCCGACTTCCAACAACAATCGATCAAAAAATTAGTCACGCGATTTACAACAAAAAATGTGACCAATCGAGGGATTTCATATTTTGTTACATTGAATTCCATCTGAAACCATCTCTAATTATCATCCCAATCGATTGAGCGATCCAAGCATCGCTATCAGAATGGATTAATATGAAATGAAGAACTCTTCTAATCGAATTAGAGAGAATCTCTATTAATGACTAGAATTGAATGTGTATTTAGAAATTTATAGACATCTCATGAGAATCTTCACAAAGCTTTGATTGAATGTCGAAGTTCACTCTTGAGAATTTGAATATGTTGCTTTACACCGGCCAGATTTGATGGTCTGATTAAATTCAGATGACAATGCCTGCCTCTACTCAATGATGGGTAGTGCTGGAAGTGAAAGTCGAAACGACAGGTATACTACATCAAACACAATAGTCAGAAATAGCGCGACAGTCTCATCGTTTACAGTTTCAGTTTGTTATGTCTGTCTGTGTGTTGTTTCCCAATTAATATTCATTTTGACTTTCGCTTTTTCGATACATTCATTTTTGGCTCGATAATTCATCAAAAAACTTGATTGTAATTTTTTTTTGATGAATTCCCCTCATTAACAAGAAACATGATAACCGTTTTTTTGCCTCCTTTTCTGGAACTGATTTCGTTTTGTAATGAAACTGGTTTTTCTTGTGAAAAGAAGCCTATTTGATTCTCTTTTTGGCAACAATGTTTCAACTTTTCAGTTCGCTCATTTCCCAAAAAATTATCTGAAAACAATTCTCATCGGACGCCTCCTTTTTTGGTGAAGAGAATGAAAAAATCAAATGATGAAAATTTAGTTATGCAAAACCACAGAATATATTGATGCCAATCGGATTGAATCCAATAAAAAAACATGAAAAAATTATGTAGTCTCGTTGGATTTTTCACAATTAAAAAAGCAGAACAAAAAACATCATTTCGTCAAAGTTTTCTATTTATTTCGTTTTTTATAAATTGTTAAAGTGCTTAAAAATACATTGTTCTTTTAAGATGCAATGTTTTAAATAATTATAGAGGTCGAATTTAAAGGAGCATATCTTTGAATCCAGCCAATCCCAAATTTAAAGGAGCATCTTTGAATCCAGCCAATCCCAATAAAATCCAAATTCTCCGCGCCAATATCGCTTAATTATAGGTTTCGAATCGATTCTCGTAAAACTATTTAAAAATATTTATTTACCTCAGTTTAACTACGCATATGCATGTGTTTTATAGTAATAATAATAATAAAATGCATTCGAATTCAAAAACAAATAATATTAGACAATAGTCACTTGAACCGTTACGAATTCCCACGCGGCGGACGATTCGCGACTCATTCATTCGTGACTCAATTCGATTTACCATGCTTCTGCTTTTTATTCTCCTGCTGCCAAAACGCATCTTCGAACATTTTGACGCTTCTAAAAAGTGACCTAGAAGAAGAAGAAGAAGAAGAAGGCAGACCGCAGGAATTGCGCAATGTTTGCCGCGCGGCTTGACGTACGACGCCCCCCGATCGCCTCGTTTTTTGCACGGTTCTTCGCGCACCCAGAAACAATGCCATTCGGCTGCTTATCAAACGATATTCTGGCTGAAAAGGTGCGGCGTCTATTTGCCTTCGAATCGATTCGTTCGGGGCACTGTTTAACAAACATTCGTATAGTTTCCATAAACATCTGATAATCGCCCGACCATTTTCGTTGTAATCCAACAATTCCTCGAAATTTTTCGGCATGCAAAATAGGAACTGGTTGATTCGAAGAAGAAGTTTACAACGAGATACCCTTTCATTTCTATTTGTAACACCATCAATTTGGCATTTTCATTTGCTACTATTGATTTTCGCCAACTTCCTTATTTGGCGGTCAATGAGGTTCGCATTTTTTGTGTTCTTGAAGGACAAAACCAATGTTTTAAACATTCTTTCACAATTTGGAAGACATTTTGAATGTCCAATATTCTTTATATCTAATTCTAAAACGTTTCGCTTTTTATCAAACACAATTTATAATAAAAATAAAAAATAATTGGCCATGGTGTATATTTGTGTTCGTTGGAAACTTGTAAATTTTCTCTCTCGTAATTCTACACCGATTCAGTCAAATTCTAAAGCGCCGCCTTCCGTTCGAAAATTTCCACCCCTCATTAGCGGTAATTATTGAACTCCTCAGGCAATCCGAATCACTCGTGTCAGCCAATATTTTTTTTCATGTTCCAGATTTTGACAGGCAATTCCTCAAAGATCAACAAAAAATTGAAATGAAGAGTATTGGTAGGATTGCAAATGTGTGAAAACCGATGCTCTCGGGAACCAGTCGGTCACCAACCTGACTGATCAATTTTGTGAGTGTGTGTGTGTGCGCAAATACCTCTCACACACTCGGAATTTTTATCCGGTGTGCCGCGGATTTCCGTCCGTCCGCTCGATTATTTTTTTTGGCAAACCGCGTTCGCCAACCATGAGCCGATTAAATGAGCATGTTTCATGTGTTGTGGTGGGCGCACTTCAAAAATTCGAGAACCGACTGAATGGAAACGGACTCAAAACAATAGGGCGAAATTCGACCCGCTACCTCGTTTCTTTCTCGTTTCCCCGCATTATTAATATTGTTATTATAGGTAGTATTATTACTATTATTTTATTGTTCAGTGTATGGGTTGCACGAGTTTTAATAAAACCAAAGAAAAACAATCAAGCGAGTCAGTAATTCTGACCTATAGCATGACGTTCTTCGAAGAATGTGTTTGTTCTCTCAAAATCAGGTTTAGTCGTTTCGAGACCTTGCAATTACCCTGCATCTTTGCTATATTGTTCATGGTACTCATAATTTAATCACATTGTGAATCTCTATCCCTTATTATTAAAGTAGCTCTCCAGTTTCATTTTTTTGAATTTGTGGATTTTTTTTAGTACTGTTGTCGAATCTATCTAATTTTCGGTGGGTTAAGCCACTCATAAATCGATTCGACTCCTCAATTTTTTTTCATCATTCCACTAAACTCGTTTTGTTCATTCATTTGCCACTTCTTTATTCACTCATAATATGTATGTTTTTTTTTTTTGGCGAGCGACGAAATCGGATGCATAAAACCGCTCATTATCATCACACCGATTTGCGCGCATTTGCGTATTCTCGTCAAATGAAGCCGAAAAAATGAGGGAGAGAAAGACAGACAGATGAAGATGATGATGAAAAAGGGAAAAGATTGGCCTTGGGCGGTGAAAATTGAATATATTTTATTGTGTTGAGTGAGCACTTTCATTGTGTTGAGTGAGCACTTTGATATCAAATCGAGGTTCTCTATTTTTTGGGCGGATATTTTTTTCCGTTTCATTTGTGCAATTCCATTAGTACCGCCCGTTTGTCGTCTCCCTCGTCCATCATTTAATATTACAACACACTTTTGTATTTGGTACCAATCCAATTGTTCCTCTTTGCAATCCAATTTTCTGCCAGTTTAATGCCGATCGTTCGACGCCCCAACCGCCAATTCTTTTTCATTTTTTTTCTCGTCCCTTTCTGCCACCCGTTTTGGTATGAAACTTTTCCAAGTTTTTTCTAGACTATATTTCTGAACATAAATAATTTATATCCTCAAAACAGGGTTCATAAAATCAAAACAAAATTACACAATGGTTTGATCGAAAAATAATAAAAAGCCGATTATTGTGAACCATTGTGTTTTATACATTCAATGTTTCACATTACTGATTTTGAATTGGTTTTCCGTGTTACAAAATATCTTCAAACGCACACACACACACGAATTGTTCGAAATTTTTTGATCGACAAGCAAATTACAATTTTGCTTTGTTTAATCCATAATTTTGCAAAAAGCAATTTTCATTCTGCCATTTTTATCTCAATTTTTTTGAATGCCAAAGAGAAGGAAGCTACTTGGAAGTGTTTCGTTCACATTTTTTTTACAAAATGATTTCAATATGAAATATTGTGACATTCAATTGATTTTCACACAAATTGCCGTCTCACCGGCTTCACAACAATTTTTTAATTGATTTTCATCGTAGCAGCTTTTCGAATCGTCATTTCATTTCATTTCCTTCTCATTCTCCTCCAGACGACGTTCAAAGAATACTTTGAACCTTATTGACCCTCACACGATGTTGTTTGCTCTTCTCATTTCTACTGAATATTGAAATTCGTGTTTTCAGAATATACGATAGGAATCGGATTGTCGTTGTAGCATTTTTCTTATTCGAAATCGACTCGACTCGATTCGAAACGATAAATGGAATATAGGGAAACTCGAGTATTATTAAAAATATTATGCCCACATTGACGACGTTCACAGTGCTCATTTTGATTGCACATTACGCGTATTCTGATGTCGATTCTGTTGCAAAGGGTGAGCAGTCTTTTGTTTGACAAAATGATACAAATACGTCTATACGCTGTGATCCGAAACTCAAACACAATTGATCAAATTCTATAATGATAGTGTTATAGAAACTCTGCCGACAAGGGCTCCGAAACCGCGGCACGGTGTCGATTTCTTGGGACCACTATGGCTGTCGAGAACATATAAAATCACATGTTGCCGACGCGGCACTCCTATCGCCGAGAATCCCAAGGTAGGCGTCGATAACTATTTGAATTTATTGGATTTTCAAGAAGACATTGACAATAAAAAATCATAGATATTTTATTTAAAAAATGTCTATTGACACAGATTGATTTAGCTATACATACATATAAAAAGAGAAATGAATTGCTTTGCGCTTGAAATTTAAAAATTTCTAGTTGGAAACCCGAGCTTTTGTAAATATTCGACAGTAGAGACAAGATCAAATGAGAAAATCCATCTCAATTTTTTCGAAAACACATGCATGATATCATTTTCACAAAGGGGGAATTCGACGATTTTTTTAAATTTCATTTTTTAATGAAAACATGGAGATAATGAGCATCAAATTAAAAAAAAAACTCACATCAAGTGTGCATTATAATATCTATCTGGTTTTCTTAAAAGATACTCACCCTTTTCCCAAACTGGACGAACCGTTAGAACTGCTTATATGGCATTTATTATGTGTCCAATAATAGTATGAAACTAGATTAAAAAAAAAACTAGATTTTAAAAAGTTTTTAAACATTTCAACTTTACTACAAAAAACCCGATTTTAATTCCAATTTTTTCTCATTTTTTTAAATGTTTGAGCGTTAAAAAATGAATCAAAGACCAAAAATAAAATTAAATTAGCGGGAAAATTCAAAAAATATTGCTAATTCGCAAACACTGCTGTTTTGGCGGCAATTCAAACGCCTTTATAATTTCATGCAAGTTTTCAAGTCGACGTGGTGTCCTTAATTTATCAGTTCAACTATGATTATTATATTTTATAAATTTTCAGCTAGTGAGCAATTGGACTGAAACTGCATTGGATTATGCTGTCGATGAGAGCGTCGTCGGCACAAATCGCGATGATCACTGCCGAGTGTTCCAAGGAACATTCCTTCTTTCAGCCGCAGCCCTTTACAATTCGAGTTTCATGGGATACGGTGTCCAATGCAAATGTCCCGAATCGGACCAGCAGCTCGATCAGCACTGCCGTCAACTTCCACCATGCCAAAACGAAGGCTACCGTAGTCAATCGATGGGCCGTCGATGCTCGTGCCCGCAGCCGTATTTTGGCGAGTTTTGCGAAAAGGTTTGCGATCAAGGACAAGTGCTCGTCGGCATCGACGGACACAGTTACTGTAGTTGCTTGCCATTCTATCAAGGAGAGACGTGCGAGGATCTCGTGTGTTTGAACGGAGGTTTCGAGATGAGAGGACGATGCAGCTGCCCTCACAACTTCCTAGGATACCATTGCGAGATTGACACGAATCGAACGAGGTCAAACTCGAGATTCCAGCGATACGGACAACAAAACAATGAAGTATTTATAGCTCTATAATAAACTAAAAAAAAACAACAACCATTTTAGAACGGCGAACTGTTCAGTCGTGATATTTCGGGAACCGTGTTCAGCCTCGTCATGATCATCGTTCTAGTGGTCTCAATGTACCTTCTAATGAAGCATCGCATGCAGGTGCAATCGCAATTCGCCAACTCTCGAAGAGAAGAAATAAATCGCGCCGCAGCGATTTACGGTGCAGAACGCGGTGGTGGTGGAACGACAATCAGTCGTGACGACATGAGGATTCTGCCATTCGTTTCAGCTGGAATCCAACCGCCGCCGCCATATCAGCCAGCCAGAACTCGAAGGGTTCCAGAGAATCTTCCGCCATTGCCATCTTATGAGGATGCAACAAAGGACACAATCATTACGTAATCACAACGAAATAGAAACCAACTAAATATGAATATATGAATGTAGATCAACGTCTGCTGGAATCGAAATGCAACCTCGCACATCACCAACGACCGAGGGCAGCAATCGAGAGGGGCATGCCGAAAATGATCACAACACTCCATCGGGATCCTCACCTCCTCCACCTTTCTTAGAATCGGAAACGCCAACAATCCATAGGAACGTTTCAACTCGTCGTAGTCTCTAGAAAATTTGTCTATTTTTGGTTGCTTCTATTTCTCATTCATACATGGTATTTTTGACTCAGTATTGTCATTTCCTAATATTTTCTCGTCTACTAATTTTGTTTTTTGAATTTCATTTGGCTCAAACAACAAAGGAACCACAACACACATAATTTTGCGGGTATCGATACATTTGTATGTCTGTATGTATGTATGACTTTTCGTTTTCTTCTTCTGAATGTTTTTTTCGGAAATAAAAGTTTGCTGAACAAAAGAAGAAACGCCGGGGGATGAGCTGATGATCAAATAATTGTGTGGGTTTGACATACACAATGACGGCGGTTAGTCGCGCTTCTCGTTTTGCGTCGTGTTCCCTTGTTTTAATGTCACCTCAATTAACCGCCTCGAAATTGATTTTGAGCAGGTACGGTAGACATCACAAATCTCCACATTTCTTCGTTTCTCCTTCATCATCTCAAAATGCACGGGTCGAAGAAAAATGAAAAGAATCAAAATATGTATGTGAACATTGGATAGTGTGTGACCGTGAATATCAACCGGTTTTTCGGATTTCTTCCTTCATTTTTCAATATTTTTATATGACCAACAAAACATTTTCGCTCATAATAAGTACGTAGTTGTGATAGGTGTGAATCACGTGGTTTTATCACATTTTCGCAGGGTTCCACAAAAATAAAAATGAGCCAAAATTGGAGAATATTCATTGATGTAGATTGATTTCGTTTGGAAATCATGAGGAAATAAAAAATGAAATTTAAATTCGAGGCTTTTCTATGGCACTAAACGACAGGAAAATAAACATTTTTTGAATAAAAAGAAAGAGAATAAAGTAAGAATTTTTGGACGTATGAGCATCATGAACAGATTCCATGATGCTCTATCTCTGCTTCTTCGATCTTCTCACAGTCCAACCACTTTTGGAGTTTTCTGTTTGGATTTTAATTCTCCAGAAATTCTCAAAAGCACGTTTTATACGTAATTCAATACAAAGAAAAAACCATTGAAAATTTGTCTATTTCTTTCGAAATTTCTATTGTGCGAAGAAACAATTCATTTGTTTCCTTCCAATAGTTGATACCTCCTCCTCCATCCTTTTTTTTTACCATAAATGTCACAATTTGTTCAGCTTCTCTACTCGTCTCTCATTCGCATTCCAATCTCTAGCGATCATTCTATTTTTGGTAGGCATCACCTTCGAGATCTCAAAACAGCCACGCTGTACATATTTACTTGCCAAAATTATTACAACAACAACATTCGAAAAAAAAGGAATCGTGATATTGTCTGTGGCATCTTCCAATAGGACAACCCAACTTCTTCGCCTCGTTTTTTTTTCTATTTTCGGCCCACATGTGGCGATCAATCATCCTTTGTCATCGTCCGTCTCCAGCCCATATGCCGCGCGTTGTTCGCTATTGTATTTCAGGAAAATTGGCGTATTGGCGCCGGCATGGTGTTTCAATCGGGCGGGTTGCGCCAAAAAAGGCGCCGCCACCGCTTTTTCTTCTTATTCATCTTGTTTATGAGCTTTTTATTGCTTCGGCATTTTCGCGCTTTGTCACATTCAAATCAATGACTAGATGTTCAACCAATTTCACGGTAATCCGTTCATCGTTCCTCTTTTTATTTAAATCGAAATACATACAATTGTTCGAGTTCAAATCCGACGACTTGCAAAAAGCGCCGCCAATTTTTGCAGATGTGTTGCTTCTTCGACATTTGTTATCAAGACAGCTTTCTTGCAACTATCTCACACCATTTATCTTCGGAAACACTTGTAATTTTATAAATGACATCGAATGGTAATTCGACGACTCAATTCTGAATATTTTTCATCATAAAGGTCATTGTTCTAAAAATATAAATAAATGTTTCCTTATAGGTAAACAAGTCGGGTTCGAACTGTACGTTGACCATTTCGAATTGTCTGACGACCAATTCGATTGAAATAATTCTCAATAAAGGCTTACTAGTTCTCACGTACTTCAATCTCCACTTGGTTCTCTCATTTCACAACGTTCCATATATCCAGATAGAGCCCATCCTCTCCCTAGATCTCATGGCAAAATCTGTACTCTCGAACATGTGCTACAAAATGCAATCGATCACCCATGTGTTTCTTTTTAAGCAATATGTGTTCGATGCCATATTTTGGCAACACAGAAAAATAACCCTATTGAAAACTGGAGGCGAGACCTGAAAAAGCCTCATATCGGCAAACTCCTTCGGGAGCACACGAAAGGCGACATTAATCACGGTCGCGTCGGCAGCGGGACGCGCCACAGACGCGCCAATTGCCTTCACTTTTATCTTTTTGTTTCCGAATTGCGTTGCACAAAAAAGTGTTGCATTTTTCGCGTCTCGCTGAAATATGGTTTCGAGTCTCGGAATCACCGCCACAAATCAATTGGCAACGTGTGCCATTCGACTATTCGCCTACCGATTCGATTTAATCAATCTATCCGTTGCTCGCATTCGCCGCCGAGAAATTTGTTATATCGGACCTTCAACATTTTTTCTTAATGATCTACCAATCTTGCCATTTTTTTTTCATACCAATCTCGTGTTCTCGTAAATAATGTTTCTTCGTTCCGGCTTCTTGTGTGAATCTCCTCAATCATTCAGCTAAATAATGAGTTCATCTCTCTTCCCTCCGTGTGCTCTCAAAATAAAAGCAAATCGAAAAGTCCTAAAGCCCCCCTCAAATATAAAAATAACTGGTAAATTTCATCGCTTCCTAATTGACTCATATTATAATAAAATAGTTTGAGTAATGTTATTTCGATTTCTTTTCGATGCTTCTCAAATATTGCTGTGTAATTCTAATTGATACCAGTTGATTGCTTCGAGACGCCATGATTATTTTTAATTGAATCTTTTCTCATATTGATAAAACAAAGATCACTAGTATATAGAACTTCATTCAATTGTCAAATCTCTATTTTCCTTACTGTTTCTCAAATAATTTCCACATTCGCCTTCTTTCTAGTTTTTCTCATTATTCCCGCACAGTTTTACTTAACATCTTATGATTTTTGTCGCGTTGTCGCCATCGGTGCCCCTTTTTCCTGAGTTCGAAAGTGTAGGTCATTTATCACGGGCTCCGATTTGCGATTCGGTCACACACACATACAAACTCTCTCTCACACACACACAGACACACGCGCGCTCAAGTTATCCAAAACGATTTTTTTCGTTCGTTGTGTGTATTTCATATCAGTTTGATCATTGAAACATCATCCAATCATTCGAAGTTACACGAGATTTCAACTGAACACAACAACAAACAAACAAATAAACAACAACAATAAAAATAAACAAACGGAAGAAACACTTTATACAGTGATATTTTATGTTGCACTCACAAAAAAAACATATTGGGAGTTGAGTTTATTAAAAACTGCCCTGAACTAATTGAAATCGGATATTTTTGAAAACCCAAATTACTTCCTAGTTCATGTTCTGAAGCTCTGCTTCGAATCGTCGTCGTTTTCTTAATTGGCTGAATTGGAAACGCGCATTTCTTGAATAGTACATCCCACGCGTTCTTTCCAAAACCGATTATGACATTAACCACCATGCACGAAAACGAAATATGCGAGAACAAAAGATAATATCTCTTTCAATTTTTTGCTAGTTCCCACCCGTGCATCCATTTGTCGATAATTCAATTTTTGTTGACCCACATAGATGTTTTTCTTAGATTCGCCAACCATTACCAAAACCCAATTATGGCAAAGTGCACATTTGGGCTTTCGAATTCGTCACTTGATTAAAATAAATGCAGCCAAACTCCACCCACTTTTGTGTGAGCGATTTCGATTGAAATTGAAACTGACGCTGGTCCCATGTGTTCTCGAAAACTTTCGTCATTCGCTGACTATAAAATTGCGCCGCGATTCATGAACACTCTCATTCGGTATTAAAAAAAGCTCAATTCAGATTGTCGTATGTGTGTTTGTGTATGTCTGCCTATAATTATCAACACAGTGCATCTAATCGCTGGTTCATAAACTGGGACTTGTCAAGATGTTTTTTTCTTCCACGAAATCCGTGACCTTTGTAATGTGGCGCCGATGTGTCGCACAATATAATTTCGGCCCACCCATCGCTAATACCATTTACAGTAATCCAACATCGCACGAATCGATTTCCTGTATGTGGCGCATTTGGCCTCGATTTCACCGGTTACGGTATACCATTCCTTTTTAGGCTATTTTTATTATTGCTGTAAGAAAGCGGAATAAGTACTGTGAAAAAATATTTCTAGAATGTTCGCGATTATTCGCTGAAACGTTTTTCTCTCAAAAAATATGCAAATGTTTGGTGTACATACAGTTTAATATATATACTGGAATCTTCAGTTCTAAGGCTTTTATTTCTTCTTTATTTATTCCTCAACCCTCAGTCTATATAATTTGACATTCATTTGTTGCAGCTTACCATGCCGAATTGAACGCTTCTCTGCGCTTTATCAGAATTTGAGCACCACTTCCTTATTAGGAAACAAATGAGGAACAAGATTTGTCGAACTTTTTTCTCTTCGTCAAATTCTAACAACTTGCATAAGACTTCTGTTGGTGCTCTCCATTCTCTTCGTTCCCATCCGATGAATGTTCTTCTATTTATTCGTATCGAAATTATCGCAATCTCACGGTGTCGTCACACGTTCATGTTCTTGCCTATCGTTTCACCAACTCGCACTCATTCCGCCCCTGAAATCCCAGCTCTTCAGTCTTCTGATCGCGGTTTTGATCTCGCCGACAATGCGGTATCGAATGACGCGGTCGGCGACAAGCGCGGCGGCCGCCGCAAAACATTTGCGCCGGTGTCAAAATCGCATTCCGAAGGTCTGTTTGGATTCACATTCTTCAGTGTTGCCATATCATATTCATGCATGGATCAGCACGGCACGACGGTCCCCTCCCAAATAGCCGGCAGTACTCCTTTATTGTGTCACGTTCCCATCAGATCATGTTCTTAAGCTCTAAATGTTCAAGCGATTCTCAAAAAAAAAATTCGCGAGCCGTCAAACTTGACATATTCCTTTTACGGAAATTGCAGCTAATCTGAAATTACAGTATTTAAAATTATCCAGTTTTCAGTTAATTCTAGTCAATTTCTATAAGAGTTTGAGGTTGATTGTCGCCTACAGTAACCGCGCCTTCCATTCAAGGAAATAAGCTCCGCCCATTTAAAAGAATTTTAGCGGGTATTAGAATATCTTTCATTTGAGTTAGAATGCTTAATAATTAATATAAAAATTAAAAATTAAATTCCATCGTGACCTAATGAATCACGTGGAGCCGATGTTAACGTCATTCGCTAATCGTTTGAGATTCTCCCATATTTCGATTTCTATGGTTTTTTTCCTTCTCGAATGTTCTCCACGAAAAAAAACGACTTGGCAACATTTTGTGCTCGATTGTAACCTTTCCCAACAAAACCCAACCATTATTTTTGCAGAATTCACACACACAAACACAAAAAAAAAACACTCCCAATAGTGCGATTTATCATTCATTTGGGCACCGAGTGGCTCCCAAAAAAACAATATTTCCAAGTGCACTTCGTTTTTTTTTTCGCCTTCATCTTTCTGGTTGCTATCTTTGGTTTTTCGTTGCGCATTCCACCCACCCTCGAAAAATGTTCGTCTATTTTTAGGCATATTTATAAATTGGCGACGAATTTGCGAAGGCGCATCATTTCTTGTGTGTTTTTTTCTTACATAATATTACGCTGATGCGCGCATTTATGTGAAATCGAATATTCTTGACGCGAACGTGACGTTTGAATCTCTCCACCCACACCCAAATCATGCTCACGATCTCTTCTTCACTACAAACCGATTCCGATTGCGACATTCGACATATTCATTTTTCAGCCTGATGCGTTAAGAACCCCGCGCGTTTTTTGAGTAAAACGGCGGCCACCCACCTCACTTGACTTCTCTCAACTTCACGATTCCCCTAATATGTCAAAAGGCTGCCGTCTGATGCGCCGGACCCAACTATGAACGACGCGCTGAAGACGACAAGAGCCCGACAAAAAACTCTCGTCTCGCGTTCATCTACTCCTCCATTTCCATTGCTTCTCTACCCGAATTTCGCCGCGCTCGTTTTGATCTGCCTTACGATGGCATCGACGTCGTCGGCGTTCAACGAGTTGCTCGATCGTCAGCCGCCGAATCAACGCCAACACGTTCCCGATCATGTTTGGGAGCTGTATGAGCTCGGTGAGCACGACTCCGACTGGCTGCGTCACTACTACCCACGTCGGATCGACGACACCTCAACCGGAGTCGTTCTCATGTATAATCTGACAGCGGCGACGCGCAATTCACGACATGAGCATGTCACTCGAGCAATTCTGAAGGTAAATCGGAATTTGAGATTAAATAATATCAATAAATGTTATCTAGCTCAAATTACGAACAAATGGAATGGAGGCAATGAAACGGGACCACATCGATTTATATGAATATGACAATAGCACGAAGGTATTACATAAAAGTGTGTTCTCATCTGAAGCTCAATCATGATTTTCTAGACGAAGCAAATAATTGGGAGTGTCGAAGTGCGCGATTTTAATAATTGGATTGATATCGATGTGACCAACGCATTCGCGGGTGGATCCGACATTGTAAATCGATGAGACTCTCAAATTGAAATTAATTATTTAATTAATCCAGGTTCGAATTGTTGTTGATCTACCTGATGGAATAGAGATTGACGAGACACCTAGCGACTCATTGAGCTGGCTACCATATGCTAATGCTCAGAGTGCTCCATTAATTGTTTTTAGGTATGATTGTCATTCTCAATTTCTATCATACCAATTATTGCAGTGACAACTCTGAACCATCGAGTGTGCGTCGGAAACGCAGCGCACAGGCCAGCGAACGAAAATCACGGAAGAAGGTTGAGTTCGCCCGCTATTGTAGGCATATTGCTGAAATGTTTCAGGGACGAAAACATCAGAGCTATTCGCCGGACACGAGTCTTTGCAAGAAAACCGAATTATATGTGGATTTCGAGCAACTTGGTTGGCAAAGTTGGTTGATCGCGCCGAGTAAGAACGAAATGATCACAAGTGTCCACATTGACGTGAGAATATTCAGAAGGCTACGAGGCTGGTCAATGCCAAGGATCGTGCCCGAGTCCGATGCCGGGACATCTGAATGCCACGAATCATGCCATTATTCAATCGTTGCTGCATTCGCTGAATCCGGATGATGTAAGATTGAAAAGTTTCGCAGTTCAAAGATTTTTTGGGATGTTTTGAAAACATTTCAAAGATGTCAAGAGAGCACTTTTTGCTGTTCCGAACACATCAGAGAGCATCCGAAAAAAAAGGATGGACAGCGATTTCTTGATTTCTAGCACATGTGGCAAAAATTGAAACACAAAAATAATTGTTTCTCGAGAATCAACGGAATGAAGACAAATGCTTTCGAACATATGTTTATGTACGGAAATTGAGAAATATCGATGATTTCAGGTGCCTCCTCCGTGTTGTGTTCCCACCGAAACGAGCCCTCTTTCAGTTCTTTTCATGGATATAGAAAATGTGTAAGTTATTACTGTTTTAATAGAGAAAATCGAGCACCATATTCAAATAAGCAAAAAATTTTCAGAATAGTGATAAAAGAATATGCCGATATGCGGGTCGAAACTTGCGGGTGCCGCTGAGCCCATCCATCCCATTACAAAACTAACAACATTTAATCACTTTTTGTTTTGTCATCATCATTTAACACTTGAAAATCCGAAACGGGTGCGATTCGTCGTTTTCTCATGCCCTTCCAAAAAAAACAACCCCCCTCCCTTTTCCCTTCCGTCAAACTCCGACAAAAATTGAAAATGCTTCCTTCACTCGTTACCAATTTATTTGTTTGCCTGTGATTCTTCTTTCACATGTACTATTTTGCTCTTCCAAATATTTCCTTTCCTTATTTGTATTTTTTTTTGTTATCCATCCCTCATCCGAAGGTTTGTTATTTTTCTTCTTCATGATAGTTACAAAAAGAAACCGTTGATGATCTCGCATTTGAAGTATGAACCGATTATTAATAAATGAATTCATTTGAGGAATGTGAGTAGCATGGAAATGTTCAAAATATTGAATATAAGAAGCATGGCGGTTTGAATCCGATGATACGAATTCCTCCAAAGCCTCTGCCTCCATTCTGCTGATGAGTGTTGATTGATTGTCTCCTCGAGAAGACTCATTGTGAATTTCAATTCTGCCTAGACAAAAATTTCAAAAAAATGTGCTGTTAATATCAAAAAATTCTTACCATACACATATCGAAGTTTGCAATTCGAGGGCTTCTCACGCTATCAATTCTAGCTGAATCCAATGCTGCGTGACATCTGAGCGATTCATTTTTTTAAATTTTCTAGTTTGAATGTTTCACTTTGATCTCTCAGTATCTAAGCTGAATTGCACACCGGGAGATGGATATTTTGGTGGATTCGGATCGGATTCCATTGGACAACATCTCAAATAAAATACGAAGAACGGTAGAAGTTGTTGCGACAATTCAATTATTACAGATAAAATGATGAAGGCAAGAAGACGAGATTCTGAAAAAAAAAACGAGATTATATGAATCCACTAAATCGTTTACCAAAGGTTGTTAAATATATCGAATGCGGAGTTGAAAAAGACGAGATCAAACCAATAATCAGTTGAATGATTGGAAAGAAACACTGAAAATCGAATGTGAAATTGTTGAAATGGACAGTAGGCAACCATAAGATCATTCGATTCCATTTTGAAAACTGGAAATTTTGCAAAAATTTGAATTAGATTTGCGAGAAATATGCAGACAATTGGCATTCGAGTGAATGAATTCTGTTGACGAGAAATTTTGAACTCAAATATTGTCTGAAACAATTTTTTTTTGAATAATTTTGCTTGAAATACCTGTTCAAAAGAATCATTGTGATGAACAATCCATTGCACGTACGTTTTAGTGCACGATAAATTCCATTCAAGACTATTCTAAAGTGAGAAGCTCAACCAAAAAATATCGAAACCAAAGAAGACCTGGACACTATCCATTGCGAAATGCGGAATCAGCGTTAATTGGCTGGAATTTTTCAAAACCGAAGAAAGTCGAAGCGAAAATGTGTGAGTGTCTTCGGGATAATCAGTTATATTATATTGAGAAGAATCGAAAATTGATAGCAAAACGTTTGAATATAAATGCGTTGTGTTCTGATTAATAGTTCGAACCACTGGAGACGATCGAAGCAAATTTCTGAAAAAAATTTGTTGAGATAACTTCTCAAATTCAATTTTTTCAACTAGCCCGTTCTCAAAAACAATTCCGAAATTGTAAAGAGAATCCCCAAAATCGACAAGACTTTTCCCAATATTCGCATTTTTCCTTTCTTGGTCCCATTCCATTATAACATCAAATCGCATTTCGTACTCGCTACGCTCAATATTCTGAATTCAATTAAATTATTTGAATGGCTGAGTCTATATTTTTGAATACCGCCTGAATCATTTTAGGGTTCTCAATAATTATAATCAATTCTATCGGATTCGAGAATACATAATTTATGAGGAGAATCAACAAAATGGTTGGGATGCGCATATTTGGAAGCTAAATGGAAAAGGTGGCAAGGAAGTGAAGAATATAGAATATCAGGTTTCTCAATATTGAATTTCCAATTAATTTATTTATTTGCTCTCAAACAGATACATACATCGATTTGATCATTTTAAGAATTTTAAGGCAATGCTCATGTTCAGGGAACACCTCAAGAGCTTTTGTGATGAGCCTCCGACAATCGTCATATTTTCCTTGTTGATACGAGACCATTCCTAAGTTGAAATTTGCCTCGAACATTTGCGGGTTTTTCGAAACTGCCGCCTGATATAACGATCGCGCTTCGTCAATTTTACCTAAAAGAAAAATAATTAATTTAATACTCATGTATGTACATAGAGCTTTTGTCCAATTTTGCTAATTTCTTATAGGCCTATAAATGCATTTAAAGATGTGAAGAAAATGTACATTTTTCCAATTTAGGATTTTTTTAAATGCAAATTTAATGTTATATTTGACATTGGATTTTTGTAAAAAGGCCTGTTTTCATTTCAAAATTGTCATTTTCAAAGTTCAAATTGTTTAATGTAGAAATTCTAAAGGAATCGCTCCGCGAAAACAGATACCATCTTGGTGTTTGAGAATTCCCAAATTAACGAGCGATTCGCAATGATCTGGGTCCATAGACAACGCGATGCGATAAGCTCTCGCTGCATATCTCAAATCGCCGACTTCAACCATTACATGCCCAATATTATACCAAATGTCTGCCCCAACATCTTCAGTCATTGTAGCTTGTGCTCTGAGAATTGATAGTTGTAAGAATATGCAATTCAATTCCAAAGAAAACCTCATAATCGAGGAAAGAGCAAAATCGAATTGTTGAGCTGCAAGGCAACAAAGTCCGATATTCATGAACAATTCCGCCGAGGAAACGCCCATTTGAAGAATTCTTCTGAATTTTTACCAAAAAATAATGATTTCTATAAATCGTTGATAATAATTACCTATAATATCTCAAAGCAATTTCGGGTTTTCCAGAATAATAATGCGTTGTTGCGACACATGCGATCGCTTCAATATTATTCGCTTGAACTTCCAGAACCTTCTTATAGATATTGATCGAGTCGTCGTATTCTCCGAGCAACTCTTTCACTCTCGCCATTCCGGTTAGCAGTGTGACGTCGTGCTCGAATTGCGACAATCCTTCCGAGTAACTCTTGAGCGCCGCCACTGGCTGATCCATTCGGTTGTAGACTTTTCCGAGGAACGCAAATGTCTCAACCACGTACATTTGTTTCGCTGAGGAAAGAAGTTGTTTCTCGGCGTCAGGAAGCATTCCAAGCCTAAAAACATGAAACTTTGAATCACATATAAAAATATAAATTGGTTTTCACCTATAATAGCATTTGGCTAGTTGATTCTTCCAATAATAATCTTCGTATTCAGCGGCTCTTGTTGCGCATCCAGCAATCTGATGAGCCACCTTGATATCACCAACAAAATAGAAGACATATTCAAACAATTGTCGATTGACCTGAACAATTAAGTCGAGTAGAAATCTCAGAATGGCTCATAACGCTAACTTGTTTATCAGAAGCGTATTTTTCGATGTTGAGCCTCGCGAGATTCACAAATTCACCATCAGCTCCAGCGGCCATTGAAGCCGTTCCAAGTCGCATATTTCGAGCAGAAGTACTGCTAACAGCTCGTGCGGTTTTCGCTGTTCTAAATCAAATTTCTCATTAATATATTTTATTTTCTAAATAAAACAAATGTAACCATTTTGAATATGATATTCACTTTTAACGTTCTTATATTGTATAGAAAAAATATATATTTATATATGTATTTAAGAAATTTTAGGTACTTTGCATATTTTGAATCATCAAAAATTATTTCTACCAAAAAAATTAAATTCGGAAGAATTTTCGATGTTTAGAGCACCTGGCAGTTCTTATAGCTTGTTCCATGGTTCCTTGTCTCATGGTTTGCGGCCTTACTATTCCGGAAAGCGGTCTTCCGGCATTTGTCGTTGGCCTCATTATCGGATTCATCCCTTTAGCGGTAGTCGTCGGGCGTTGGAAACTCGTGCCCGGACGAGTATTCGTCGCAATCACATTCTGATCCAGAAACGCCTCGGCCAATCCGACGTCTTCGTTTTCGAGCTCATCGACGTACGTCGCATCCGAAAGGCATTGTAACTTAAGAGCCCATGTCGCCTGAAAAATCCCTCCGTCAATATTGCGTTTGTCTCCACTATCACATCTTCTTGTTTTTGATCTGTCTGTCTTCATCTTCCAAGATGTGCCGAGAGAAATCCTGCGCCTACACATTCCATTATTACACTTCGGCACGCCGTTGGCATTTCTTGGCACTCGAGAGAACGCGGCAGAGGGAGAGAGTGCGCAGAGAAATAGACAAAGCAGCGTAGTGATCACCGACTTCTCGATAAATTACCTAACACACAATAAGTTTTCGAGCAAAATTCAACTCAGTGCTCTTATCAAAAAAAGAATTCTGATAATGCGCATTTAATATTGAAGGTGGTACGAACATTGAATACATCTGCATTTAATTGGTATGCTCTGCCGTCCGATTTACACATAAAATGATTGAGTGATGGGGGTTCCGAATGCACTTTCATTTCATTTCACGATTTTCTCTCAACGAACTAGCTTCTTTGTGCATTCATCTTCCATAGAAAAGAATTAGTATTCTGAAGCAGTATTTAAAGAATAATGATTATGTCATGAATAAGGGTTCAATAATCATGAAATTCTTATAGATTTGTCTGTTTTGGCAACAATTTGCTTAATTGGGACCCGGATAATTTAAATTTCCAATTTGAACAAATCCAAACATTGACCGGCAATCTCTCTTTCTTTTTCTCTTTTATGGATAATTGAAAAATACCTGATCCAATGGATTTTTCCTCAATAATTCGGTACAAACTGCCTCAGCTTCTGCCAGTTTGTTGTTTCGAAATAGTCGATATGCTTTAACAAATCCTTCGAAGCGAATATTTTTCTCAGCGCTCATTTCGTCAAATCACAGTGTGGCAGTCTGTCGCAAGTGTTCGCCACCATAAATGGGGGAGTGTGGACCCTCGTTTCCATAGCAACTATGACGCTCGTAATTCTACTCAGAAATGTTCATGGACTAGTGAGAGTATGAAAGAAAGAAAGAAAAATTGAAGGGATGGGGGGGGGAGGGGGCGGATAAAAGACAACATTCCCAAGACTAGACTGAATTCATGCATTTATTAATATAATACAATCAATAATCTGGACGAAAACAAACACAGCGAAGGAAAGAAGGTTTGGTGATGATGATAATAATTATTATTATTTGATCTACCACATACGACGCACATATTCTCCGCGAACATCACGAGGTGTACCGAAGGCTGTCATACCGGTCTAGAAATTCGTCAATTTAGATTAACATCATCCCGAAGATGAGGCGATGTACCTGGTTAGCATGTTCAGCTTCACGTTGTCCGGACCAGAATGGAACGTCTGGTTGACGAGCAAGATCGGCAGGGAGATCCTCGTGAGTGTCGTCGACAAATGGAGTGTACACCTGAAAACATGCGCATTACATCACGGCGGCTGCTCAGCGTTGCTACTTGTCTTGGCTGTCCGAATCCAGTCTTTCCAGCTTGCGACTCGAGGAAGTTGACTCCCATCTGGTATGGGATCATTCCCTGTGATCGTTGATCTTGAGCCTGCATGAACGCCACGGTGTTGTTACGGAAAGCTCCGAAGCCAGACATGCCAGCCTGCGAAGCTCCCTCCTTCCATCCAGACGTTTGTCGGGAAAGGGATCCCTCGTCGTGTGGCATCTCTCCTCGAACCTCATCCTTGTACCTAAGTATGCTATTAGAACCGGCCTACTTCTGTCGATTTCTTACTTGGTAATGTTGTGTCTTGGCATTCCGAATCCAGTCATTCCAGCTTGATTGGCAAACTTGTTGGTTCCCATCTGCAAGTGGATGAATCCCTGAGAATCACGGTCTTGGTCGGCAGTTCGTCGAACTAAACGTTAGCAAAATATAATTCAAAGATTTTTCTCTAACGAACCATCAACAATTCTTGGCATTCCGATTCCGGTCATTCCAGCCTGAGAAGCCAACTTGTTGGTACCAGATTGGAGCGGGACGATTCCATCAGAAGCGCGAGCCTTCTCTTCTGGAACTTCGCTGGCACCACCGGTTCCTTTGGTGAGATAGTTGACATCTCTTGGGCAACCGAATCCGGTTTGTCCTTTCTGGGAAGCAAACTTGTTGGTTCCCGATTGGAGCCAGGTCGAGGCCTTAAGGGCGGCGATCTTCTTTTCATCGGTGATCTCGGCGAGATTGTCCGACTTGACCTTGTCGATGACGTCACGAGGAACACCAAATCCGGTCATTCCCTTTTGGGAAGCATATTTGTTCGATCCGGCCTGGATTGGGATGATTCCCTCGGAACGCATGAGCTTTTCCTTGGTGTGAACAGTCGATGGCTTTCCAGACGAGTAGTTTTGTTGTCTGGAAAAAACCGTCAGCATTTCCCCAATTATTCGTTTTCAGTTTCATACTTTCGCTGAACACTCAAAGGAATGCTTGGAGTGAATTGGATCTGCCGGCCTGGAGTCGGACTCTTAAGGCTCGATGGTGGCACAGCAGCCTTCGGAGAAGCGGCGGCTGGAGCATCGGCTTCTGGAGCCTTGGCCTCTTCCTTTGGCTCTTCTTTCGCCTGCAAAAATCGCAATTTCCCAACGCAAACTTGATTTCCCGCATTTTGGTGTAACTTTACAACATTACGCCACACGGCGATTGTTTCGAGTTTGCGGAAATTAATAGAGGAGAACTCCGTCAGGTGTAACATTGATTGGAGCAAAACATTTTAGATAAACACCACAAATTTTGAAGAATACTTGTCTTGTGCAAAAAGCGACAAATAAGAGGTTGCTCAGAATTTCATTCGAACATGGATCAACAAGGGCAATTTAAGCATTAAACGACTTAAAAGAAAATATCAAATATAAAATTACCTCTGGCTGCTTGTTCTCGTCGGCTTGAGGTTCCTCTTCCTCGTACTCCTCCTCATCCTCGTACTCATCCTCGACGTCCGACATGTTGGCTTAGCGAGACAATTCACAAAACTCGTGAATGAAAGCGGTTTGACTCGACGGCACCCGGCCGAGAGCACAAATGGGCGTGGCCTCGAGGATCTCGCCCACAGATGAACGAAACGATTGCTCGTCGCCGCTCTCCGTTTCTTCTATGTAATATTGGTTTGCCATTGTGCCGCTCAAAAATGAGGCAACGCGTGAATTGCGGAGGATGTCGGAGCAGGCCTCTCCTCGTCTTCACAGGATCACTTGCCAAAGCAAATCGCTATTCGATTATCGAGGAAGAGAAAATGAAAAAAAAACTGAGTGATCGGGTTGAGATCGACATATCAAAATAATAAAAATTCGAATTATAAAGTCAAACGATCGACATGAGAATTCAAGAATCGAACTCTTTTCCGATTTTCTTGTAAATCTCTGATTTGAGATTTTCGACGAATCTTCTGTCTGATTCCTTCCTCGGGCTTAATCAAAGCAGAAAAATTTTATAAGGGCACAATTCTCTCTCATTGATAATAATTGTAAGCATTTTACAACCAGCCGATTTTACAACATGAACCCATTTGTTTCAGCGTGTTTACACTTGTCATTATTCAAAAGACGAGGGCTCAAAAAGCCGCAAAACATCGTGATAAATATATAGATATATTGAAATTCTTCTCATATCTCTTCTTTCAGTGTTCCTTGATTTTTTTCTCTGTGTGTGTGTTTGGTGCTTATGTTGTACAACGACACGACATGTGCATTCAATTTTCTCGAGGCGACCGATTTTTATTGAATAGAACAACACGGAGACGCAGAAGGGGGGATTCATCGACAGGAATCCCACTGATATCTCAATGTGCACTTCACGTCATTTCACCGAATCGGACGAAACGCGATAATGAACCTCTTGACGAGTGACTTCAAGATTCGAATTGAACTTATTAATTGATAACGATATCAACATACTGATCCTCAAATGTCTCGCGATCATCTTTCGATAAGGCTTGTTCGTGATAAGTAATGTCGTCGTTGAAGAAAATCCATGAAAGTTGATCAAGAAAAACACAGTGCTAGTAAGAACTGAAAATATTCAATATGAGATTTATACATTATTAAGAAAGTAGAAAATTACTTTGATCATACAAATTCAATTCCGTGCAGACGACTATACAAGCGAATGGGATGAGCACGAATACGAAGAAAATAATAGCCTGACATTTATTACATTTAAAGAAAAACGAAGAGACGAATACCGTGAATAGTGTGTTTTTCAGGAATTCTTTGTGAGCTTTTGCGACAACTTCAGATGTTGAATCTTTACACGAATAAAGTATCGAATAAGCGACAATTGGGAATGCGCAAGACACAACTACTGCGTATAGAACATCGATCATTAGAATTTTGACAGCAATCTTGAAATTTGGAGTCGTCGTTGTTGTAGCGATGAAATTCTTCGAAAAGAAGTTAGGAGGCACATTATTCGAGAGAATCTGAATTATGGGTTCATTCTCAAATCACTAAGAGAATCTTACATTTAAATAAAATTGCTTAACTTCATGCTGATCTTCAATCATTAAAATAGCCGCAAATATTGGGTTTATGGCTAGAAGGTAAGTCATAAATATACCAAAATTGGATAAAATTTTAATAAATGTGAAATAACTGGCGGTTGGCGGAACAATTAGTTTGACACGTAATGCGAACGCATGAACCAATGTGCCACAATTCACTAAAAATCCTTGCATTCTGTTGTTGCTTTTTTTGTTCCAAAATACTTTGAAAAAGAATATAAAATCCAGTAATTTGAGTCAGTGGATGAACATCAATCAAGTCGAGAAGACCGTTTGTATAATATCCAATTATTGGTAAATTCACATTGATTCTCATAAGAAAAACGCCATAGATTTCGGAGAATAAACTTCTGCAACAAGTAACACATTCGTAATAAAATAAAACAGCAATTCCTTTACGGAAAAAAATCGATTTCTGAACGTGCATTTAAGTTCGGTCAAAACCCGACGAACAAATTCAGTTTACGCGTCATTAACTATTTATTATTCTTGCGCAAAGCGATTTTTTCTACTAAAAGTCAGAGGATTTCGAAAGAAATACCATCGTGTCTTGGCGCAACTGAACATACGCTTGATTAGCTTTTTCTTAGCAGTTGAAAAATTTTCACTTTTTTCTCCTCGGAATTGTCAATCAATTTTTTTCTTGACGAAAATCCTATATTTTTCTGCTTTTTTGTATTACTATTTTTGAAAAAAATCAAAAATAAGTATTTTCACTGATGAAGTGGGCAAAACAAGAAAATAATTACTTTCTCATTCGAACCACCGTTATGAATTTTACTCATATAATATGAAAGTGCTTACATGAAAATATGCGCGGCAATTAGGAATCGATAGCATCTGAGAAAATGGGGACTTTTGAATAAAACTCCATAGAGAGCTTCAAGATAAATAGGAATTGTAATGATTGAAACGATAGCCGAAAAATACCAAAAATAGCGGTTAGAATTTTCTTGATCAGCATAATCCATAGTTGGCACATGACATTTCATTCAATTTGGCTCTATTTATACGTAAATTTTGGTTGTTATGATTACAAAGTTAAATGAATAATATTATAATTGCATTGATACCTCTGATTTATTGTGTGTATGTGCACCCAAAGAACAATTTTTACGCATTCTACTGGTCCAGAGATCAGCAAATAATGTCATTCTGGTGTTTTTATCATCACTGGTTTGAATGTTTGAAGTTGGTTCGATTGGAATCTCGTTTTGACACATCACTGCAAAATTGCCATTTTAAGTGTTGGTCTTGTTTGAAAATACCTACATTTCCCATAAAATAGCTTTTCGAAGGCTTATAAGAGGGAAAACGAACTCGGTAAATCATATCGACGTCTGTTCTGATGCTACTGCTCATCCGTTACAGCATCAACGCGGTGTCAAAATTTCTACTACAGAAACCCGACCGTGTTCAGCTAGGTTTCATTTTTTATTATTTTCAAAAGTACAAAGGGGGGGGGGCATAATTACCGGTAGAAGTTCAAACGGATGTATTTCAAAAAGTAAAAGTCAGAACAAGTTGAGATTCAACTAAAAGATTATCTGGGTAAAAACAAACATATAAAAACTAACGTTGTTCAACTCGGCCTCCTTTCTACTTGATGATGGCTCGAAGACGTTTTGGGTAGGCATCTGCCGCCACACGCAAATATCCGACTGACATCATGCCCCATTCCTCGACCAACTTCTTTTTTAAAATCTCAACACTTGAATGGGGTGTGGCACAGACCTTCTTCTGCAAAATTCCCCTGACATAGTAATCCAGCGGATTCAAATGCGGCTACGAAGCTGACCATTCGTCTGAAGCGATGATACTCGAAAAATTCGCTTTGCAACACTCTTGAGCGAATTTAGCTTTGTGAGCAAGGGCAACATCTTGTTGGAACATCCACGGTTGGCCTTTGAAATTATCTCGGCTCCAAGGCAATACGTGATCCTTCAAAATGTCAACGTAGACTTCCTCGTTGCTTTTAACGCCTTTTTCAGCGAATACGACTTTCTCGTGCAGCATATAGCGCCAAATACCATCACACTGGCTGGATGGGAAGTGGTGTGAATAGTTCTGCCATTGTCAAAAGCATCTTGGGAGGTCGTAGCAAGAACCCTGTGATTTTGGGAGTTGAATTCTTGCTCGACTGTGAAAAGATTCTCGTCGGAGAACACGGTAACCAAATGTTCGCCGACTCGCGTGCGCTCCACAAGAAGTTTTACCTTTTGGAGTATTTTTTGCTTATTGGTGGCAGAGAGAATAGCTGGTTTTCGCACACGATATGGGGTAAGACTCAATTTATCTTTGACAATCCTTGTCATCGATCTTCGGGACATTCCCATCTCATGAGCCATCGTTGAGAGGTTCCGATGAGCGTTTCGTCTCACACGTTCCTTCACGGTTTCACCTTAGTTGGAGTTCTAACAGAAACTTTTCTTCCTCTCCCAAGTCTGTCATCAAGTCCTCCAGTCTCCTGATAGCGGCGAATCGTCGAATAAACTATGTTCGGATGGAGTTTGAGGAGCTTGATGATCATGGGAATTTTGACTCCCTGATCGAATAGCGAGCAAACAGTGACTCGATGGATACTAGTCTTTACCATTATGGCAGAAAATTAGTATTTTTGTCCGAAACTTGGAAAAACAATAGAAAACACTTTAAACAACTGGAAAAAAAATGTGAGCGCTCAAAAAAACGCGACATCATGAGTCACCATGGCGCAAAAAAATTACCGGTAATTATGCCCGACCCTGTACATTCAATTGCAGATTTAACGAAAAATGAAAATGACTACAAACTATAATCACTATACGAAATGACGAGATTAACGGAAATACTATAACGGGTATTTTCTCCCATGAATCATTTAAACTATTAGATAAAACAGTAAAGAAAATAAACTGTAGATTGCATACTTGCAAATTTCCGGGTCGGGGCAGGGCGGGTCAGTAAAAAATTTCGCGACCCGCCCCCGCCCCGCCGACACGCAACGACACTCCAAGTTTACAGCGAGGCCCTTGTTTAGCAAAAAAAAATTTCGAATTACGGGTCGGGGCGGGTCGTTAGAATTTTCACTCTGACCCGCCCTGCCCTGCCCCGACCCGCCCCGTTGCAAGTATGGTAGATTGTGTCTTAATAACTTATTGACGATTATATAACAGAATTTGCAACCAACTTAAACAATCGATTTTATTTGACTGTGATCACGGTTGATCGCGACAACTTTCATACAACTATCTGAACTGTATGTACATTGCGGCCGTTTTTAGCGACGCCGAAACAAAAACAACGATTTCGCAGGATTTTTACCGAAAAAGTAAAAATTGCAAGAATGTTGTCGCGAATGGGATGGCCACTCGAGTAGCACAACTTCTCAATCCACATCAATTCGGAGCCAGGTAACGATCTTTTCAGAGAGAAGGTTAAAGTAAGTTTGTGCGCGCGCGCGAGCAACGCAATAAACGCTGAAGGCGCAGTTGCTGGATCATGGATTATAAAAAGTGACAGAAATTTTAACATATTATTCGCCGAGGGCGCAGGAATTTTTTCAATATAGACGCCGAGGGCGCAGGTAAAATTTGTATGCGAATTAAGATAAACGCCGAGGGCGCAGGTAAAATTTGTATGCGAATTAAGATAGACGCCGAGGCCGCAGCTAATGGATACATTGCCGAGGGCAGGTCCATTCAAAAAAAAAAAACAACAGCGAATCTATAATAGTGATTTATGAACTAAATATAACAAAACGTAGGCGAAAAGGTACTTGGCGTGGTGGACGAATTGAACAGTAGTGGAGGAGTGGTTTCGACGTATCTGCAACTAAATAATTTGACATTTATGAAGATAACGATGGGAATTATATAGATACGAAAGGAAGAGCATACATGAAGAAGACATGTATGAAGAATAAACGGCCATTTTGGGAAAGAATCGTGAAGGTATTGTTGAAAAATGACAAATGTATCCAGGTGTCGTAGGATCCTGCGTTTTGTACGCAATGCTAAGAGACAGTTACCGTAATCCTCGCAGCGATTTACGGGGACAATTTATCTAATTTCGCATATTCATTTTTTTTATTTTTCGCTCAACTTCCGTATTTCCTTTCGAAATTTTGTTATTTAAATTTTGCAGAAACCGAGTTTAATAATTTATTTAGCAGAATAAGCACTTTTAAACGATATTTTTTGGTAAAAACAGCAGAGATTTAAAAGAAAACATTTTTGTCGTTAATAAATTTATTTTTTCGTGTTTTGCTTTTTGCACGCGTTTCTATTATCTTGTTTTTGTATTCTTTATTTTCAAAATAATTATTAGAGCGTCAAAATCTGCACAATAATTCCCAACTCAACTGGACAAGTGGAAAAGTGCATATTCTGAAAATTAAATAATTAAACTCGGTTTCTACAGGTTTTTAATATAAGATTTCTAAAGAAAATAAGAAAATTCAGCAAAAAAAATTGAAAGCAAATTTAAAAAAAAAACTCCGTAAATCGCTACGAGGATTACGGTAACTGTCTCTTAGCATTGCGTACAAAACGCAGGATCCTACAACACCTGGATACATTTGTCATTTCTCAACAATAAACGAGGAAGTGCGATAACGCGGTAACGGAAAATCGCCGAGCGCGCGAAAAAATTCATACCGTTTCCCACGCGGACGACACCACGCGAGTGCGGAGCGGTTGCGACGCGGTGCATACCGTAACGGCTATTTCAGAATTTCAGAATTTAGGAATGCGGTACGTGACTTTTTTCTTTTTCTTTCTGTTCCGGTGGTTGATTGCCGTGATATTTATTTTTTCCTTCGATTTCTTCCCATTTTCTTGGTACCTCACTAAATATTATAGTAATTTACAATCTTTCTGTTCTCCGTTCTTTTTTTCTCGGCTCGAACTTTTATTTCATCCACATTTAATGGCCACAACTGCCGTGGAAGTACAAGAGTAGTATGCTTAGTTATGATTATTGCCCAACTAATGCCTAACAATTCCTGCCTCCTGCCCAGCAACTTAAGCGTGCAACAACAATCGTTATCCAATAACACTGCCCATAACTCTTTTCTGATAACTAACGCTATTTCGTGCATAACTTTTTTACCGTACCGTCGAATTTCAACGTGCCTCAATCAAATATAACTTATATAGGGGTTGGCGGACGATCTTCGTCGTCTGGAAAAGGCATTGTTAGATGATGACATGGACGTCGAAGTTGATGAAGCAGAACAAAGTGCCGAGACTGTCAAGACGACGAAAGCGGAGCACGCAGCGGATGAGACGCCCGTCAAAGATCGGGGAGACGGCAACGCTCGCCAGTGGAAGATGCTTAATGAGAATATCGCAGCACTGCGCCGGACGATTGAGCAGGCGGTTAGCCATTGGATGGCCATCTCGAAAACGCCGACAACTGAGCACGGATCACGTGCAACGGGCGAGATGCGCTCGCCACATGGGGCATGGGAGACTTTCGAGCAGCGACAGCCGACCGGTGGTCCGGATAGAGCAAGCGCCTCATCGCGCCACTGCTCATTTTGCCGCGGCGATCACAGGTTGGCTGATTGCCACATTTTCACCAACTGGAAGCAGCGCAAGGAGGTACTGTGCCAACTTGCACGAACTGCACGAAGCACAGCAACTGCAAGGCCTCCATGGAGCCGAAGGCAAAGTGCAAACCTTGTCCCCCGATTGTAACTGAGGTGGTGAATCCTCATTACCTGTCCCTTACGCCCCAACTTGTTGATTATTTGATCCAATAAACTGTGATTAGCTCAATAAACTAATTTATGTGAAACCACTGAACCACACCATAGGATGCCGGCCCAGCAGAGCCGCATTCTGTGCCAATTATTAGCAAAAAATCGAGCACCTTGCATAAGTAAGTATGGATCATGGCACTTTTTCGAGACGGAAATTCAAATTTTATTTTTTAAATAGTGTGAATTGAGTACTGTACTACGGTCAACCGTGAAATAAAACTCACCGTAGTTCGTATGGCGCTCGTTTTTTGGCAATGTATTAATTCTTTTTCCCTGGAATAAATTTTCTATATCGTCCATGTCTGAAATGGCAAAACGAGAAGTTTTCAGAAGAAAAAAGAGTTGTGAAAGGAGTTGCCAAGCGACATTACACTCGATATGTGTATGTGATAATTAAATTCTAGGCACCGCTGCTTAGAAAATCTAAAAAAATGCAGGAAAGTTGAGCGGAAAATTGAATGTTTATGGTTTTTCTTCTTAAAACAAATAATCACCTGCAATCGAGAATTTCATTTCTTTTTCAGGTCCATCTGCCTTGAGCATTGTTGCCAAGGTGAAGGGTGGAAATCAAATAGCCGGAATGATTGTCATATAAGAAAGTCAGACATGTGTCTTCTGGACCAGTACCATTCCAAATTGACCGATACGGACTACAATTCGCTCATCAAGAAGAATCAAGTTATGGTGTTTTAAAAAAATTTTTGGATCCAATATTTTGCACCAAACCACCATTAAAACTTCACCATCAAAAATTGTCTAGAAATAGATATGGAATAGAAAAAAACAAATAATGGAGCAGAATTGGTACGAAAACTATTGAAATGCATTTATTTTTCGAAGAGTCTTAACGTTTTTACTGCCGTCTTTTTCGTAGTGTACACAATTATTGTTAGAACACGAAACATTGTTATTCTTAGTTTTTTTCTTTCCGTACGCTTAATTCATTGCCGTAGACAGATAGTTGATAGTTTATTTTTTTCAAAATTACTCTTAAAAGCGGACAATGCTTAAATTTTTGTGCGCAGTGCATAAAATTGATGTAAAACTAGCTCAATCGCTGTCGTATCGGCAATTTTCATAAGATGTGTGTTGTTCGTAAGATAATTTTACGCAATGCCAATTTTTTTGTGCGTGATACCAACTATTCATATGTTAGTATGTACATGTATGTACATGTATGTCTCTTCTCACAAGCCGAGAAAAACGTATTATCGGTTGTTCGACTTTTGATGGTTCGACGACTAGCATCATCTTGCTTGATAGTGAAGTTGTTGTGGTTTTTTTGGTACAAAAAAGTCCCAAAAGGGTTCACATCTCACTGAAAATTTGTGGTCAGCACGGTCAATTTTTTTTAATAAAAAACCATAACTTTTCTCGACGAACCAATCGTAGTCCGTAACGTGGAATCTTCTCCTTCGTAGTTACTCCTTTCTCAAACTCCACCCATACTTTTAATACATGCGTTAGAAAAGCAAAAAATTTTCCTTTTCCCTCCAGAAAAACTCATTTGAGCGTCTCAAACCACACTAAAAATTCAGTTCTGGAGAGCCGATACGACCGTGCTTTTTTTACAATTTCATTTTTTCGCACTCGGCAAGCTTCTTTTTTGGCACAGACCAAATTTCACACTGTGAAAGTCCATTAAAACCATAAAAAAGATTAATACAATTAAAAAAGAATCCGACAGATATCTCAATGTGCACTTCACGTCATTTCACCGAATCGGACGAAACGCGATAATGAACCTCTTGACGAGTGACTTCAAGATTCGAATTGAACTTATTAATTGGTAAAGATATCAACATACTGATCCTCAAATGTCTCGCGATCATCTTTCGATAAGGCTTGTTCGTGATAAGTAATGTCGTCGTTGAAGCAAATCCATGAATGTTTATAAAGAAAATCACAGCATTTGTAAGAACTGAAATTATTTGAAATTCAACGTCAAATTATTGAGAAAAAATTCTCACTTTGATCATACAGTTTCAATTCCGTACAGACGACCAAACAAGCAAATGGGATGAGCACAAACACAAAGAAAATAATAGCCTGGAATTTATTAAATTTGATATTGAATATTCTCAAATATACCGTGAATAATGTGCTTCTCAAAAAAACCTTGTGAGCTTTTGCAACAACTTCTGATATTGAATCTTTACACGAATAAAGTATCGAATAAGCGACAATTGGGAATGCGCAAGACACAACTACTGCGTATAGAACATCGATCATTAGAATTTTGACAGCAATCTTGAAGTTGGGTGTCGACGCTGTTGAGGCGACAAAACTGTTCGAAAAAAAGTTCGGCGGCACATTAGCCGACAGAATCTGAAATAGATTAACTTTCTCGAATTACTAAAATAGTCAGTCTTACGTTGAAATAAAACATCTTAACTGTATACTGATCTTCAATCATTAAAATTACCACAAGTATTGGGTTTAACGCGAGAAGGTAGGTCATAAATATATCAAGATTGGATAGATACTTAATAAAAGTGAAATAACTCGAGGTTGGTGGTACAACAAGTTTGACGCGTAATGCGGAAGCATGAACCAATGTGGCACAATTCACTGAAAATAATGTTTTATATCCTGAATTCGAAATGTTGTTTCCGAAAACCTTGAAAAAGTATAAAAAATATAGCTATTTGAGTCAGTGGATGAACATCAATCAAGTCGAGAAGACCGTTTGTATAATATCCAATTATTGGTAAATTCACATTGATTCTCATAAGAAAAACGCCATAGAATTGTGAGAACAAGCTTCTGTAACAAGTATCACATAATAAATAACATTTGGTGGTTCGTAATCAAATCAGTTGCGAATTAGTCGTACAATTGTGTACTAGCCACAGGTCAACGCGTTGGATTCCCCCCGTTATTAAATAAAAAACTAAACCTCATTACCGACATTTTCTGGAATCAACATTTATTTCGTAAAATTAACTATAATAAATTCAAACAGGGACCCAAAGAGACTCAGGTCGATGTCGTGTTGCGGAAAATGAAAACCTGAATGAAAATCTATATTCTTTTTTTTTCATTTTTTTAATTGAATTTCCTTTGTTTCTTTTTTCTTTATTTTTCACTGATGAATTTAAGAGGTTTTCATCGACAACTTGAACTTTTTTAAGATAATTTAAACATACAATGTGACGTGCGAAGCGAGTAGAAATCTGTAGGATCTGAGAAAATGGGGACTTTTGAATAAAACTCCATAGAGAGCTTCAAGATAAATCGGAATTGTAATGATTGAAACGATAGCCGAAAAATACCAAAAATAGCGGTTAGAATTTTCCTGATCAGTATAATCCATAGTTGGCACATGACATTTATTTCAATTTGGCGCTATTTATACGTAAATTTTGGTTGTCATGATTACCAAATAAGTGAATAATACTATAATTGCATTGAAACTTTCAATTTTATTGGTTGTACACAAAGACCGATTATTTTTGCAAACTTATTTGTAATCAGAACATAAAAAGTGTTTCATTCCGGCGCTTTTTTATCTTCGGAGAATGCGCTGATTGGCGGCTTTGAATTTGTCGTTGGTTCGATTGGAATCTCGTTTTGGCACATCACTGCAAAATTGCCAATTTCAAGTGTTGGCATTCCTTCGCGAATCCCTACATTTTCTTATTTGATTCCTCATACTTGCTCGAAATGGCTTATGCGATAATATTAAAATCATTATACAAGGAAGTCCTTGAAAAAGGACAATTAATGTCGCCGTTAAAGAAAGACCTAAAACAGCGAGTATATGAAAACATATTTCAACAGCAATTCTCACCAGAACTATTAATACCAGCTTGTCCACAAACAATACAAACAGCACATGCTGATATTATTAGAAGGAAGTGGAAAATCGTCTGCATATCGTCTTTAGATTCGACACATGTAATTTCACGCACTCACCATTGCTAATAATGACTTTAACAATTTATAACTGACATTGATGGCTTCTGGCTTCACTCTTTTCATTGAAGACGCGGTTATTGCAACTGCTGTTATAATTGTGTAGACAAATACGAAGAAAATGATATATTCGGATATTTGAAATACCGATGTGATTGGCGAAACGACGGCGAACTCGTCTAGCCAGAAATTCGGCGGAAGATTTTCAACAGTCTGTCAAAAATTAATCAAAATATTTTTGAGCGATATTGCTATTTTTGGCATGACAACTCACCATAAAATAATATGTTTTCGCCAATGTCTGATTTTGAATGGCGAACATTGCGACAAATATGGGGGCCAGCATTAGACTATATCCCATAAACATTATTACCCGGACATTTTTTGATTCTTCTTCTACCAAATGTTGATAATTTGCTGCATATAAATGAATAAGAACAGTGTAATTCACTAAATTTCCATTTCTCATAACAAAAAAACAAATCGGATAATTACTTTGGAATAAAATGATGAATCCAGCAAACTGAAGGGTCGGCGACATTCCGGAAAAAATGCCACGTGAATAAAATCCGAAAATTGGCGGATGGATCATCGGACGCATTAAGATTGCACCGTATAATTCAAGAACAATATTACTAAAATATATGCAGCATAGTTAAAAGGAATAATCAATTGAATGTTACATTAAGATGTTAGCCGATAACAGGATCCGACAATTCTTTGGAAGATGCGTACTTTTGAAAACAACCAAGAAAAGGGCTTCTGCGTACATTGGCAGGCTTAAAAGAGAGATAACGATGGTAATATTGTAGTATAACTCTTCAATATCGTCCATGTCTGAAATGGCAAAACGAGAAGTTTTCAGAAGAAAAAAGAGTTGTGAAAGGAGTTGCCAAGCGACATTACACTCGATATGTGTATGTGATAATTAAATTCTAGGCACCGCTGCTTAGAAAATCTAAAAAAATGCAGGAAAGTTTAGCGGAAAATTGAATGTTTATGGTTTTTCTTCTTAAAACAAATAATCACCTGCAATCGAGAAATTCATTTCTTTTTCAGGTCCATCTGCCTTGAACATTGTTGCCAAGGTGAAGACTGGAAATCAAATAGCCGGAATGATTGCCATATAAGAAAGTCAGACATGTATCTTGAATGAGTTCTTTTTTAATAATACTTTAAAAATTGAAAAAAAAAACTACTCAAGTTGGATATTTCGATTTTCAGCACTTACGATTACAAAAAAGCAACATGTGAATCAATTTTATTCTTGAAAAATTAAATTTCCAGAAACATGAATTAAAATCGGAGAGCATTGAAGAGAGCAAGAGCAAATGCTGAGAGAACGCTTACTGAAAGAAAATATTTAATTATCAATGTTTATCTTACTAAATTAGTCGATTACCAAAGAAAGACGATTTGCCAATTTTAAATTTAATATATGAATCCAGCGAGGTTCCTTGGTACTGAACTCTCATATGGTTTCCGATTGCCTCAACGATTCCATTTGAACTTTTGTCCTGTGGATATTTATTGTCGACAGCTTCATTTCCATTGTTCGGCCCGATTTTTAAACTCAAACTATCTCCAGGCAAGAATTTCATATTGCCCATGTCAACAGTAAACTTATGTGTTCCCGTGCTATCATCTTAATGTTAAAAATCAAATTTTGAATTAAAAGTAATTTAGACTAACTGAAATTATAATCGTATGATTTTGATGAAGCATGATTCCATACACTTGGTGCAAATATGAAGCCGGTTCGTTCATCGTATGGTTTTAGCCAATTACCTAAAATACCATTTTTTCAGAAATACTTTTAAGATATTAATTCCTACCATCATCGAATGTTGAAAACATTATATTGACTTTTGACATGTAAACAAGAAGTGTGAACGTCTGGCTTGGAATCAATTGTGGCATTTGGTTATCAGTGTAATTTTGAACACTGAAAATTATTTTTTTTAATATACAGTTTTTAGAAAGAAATCAGAAGCTTACACATATTGAAGAAGTCCAGGATATTTATGCGTTGGCGTCATTCCTCTAAAGTTCAAATAGCCCGTATTCTAAATATTTTTCTGTTTGATTATGATTTTGTAAAATTCAAATTCACAAATGTTCCCAATGAGTCGAAAGTCACATTTTTAATGTAAAACTCGTAGCAATTTGTGCAGTAAACTGTGTACAAGGCACCATTATTCGAATAGTCATTAAGTTTTGCAGATAAATTTCCACCTTTTCTTGTTACTACTAATGAGTGGCTTCCATAATTTGCAACAGCTAAAATTGAGAAATTTAAAATAACTAGTGATAAGAGGAAAAATTACTCGAGTTGTCATCTGCGAGAACATAACATTCTCCAGCGAAATTGCTTTTATAAAAGGTAGTAAGCGAAATAACATTTGAACTTGGTTTTGGATTGTATTTGAGAAATGCGGTCAATCTGTAGAATTTCATAATTTCCTATTCGCAAGCAATAAAATTCCTTACGTTCCCAAAAATGTTCCATTAATCGGATCGGCTCCGTCAAAAACCATAATTTGACCAAGCTCGAGCTCATAATTTTCATCAGTACAGTCTGCACTCAACGTTGGCTGAATTGATCTCAAATCGGTCATTTCGATTAAATAATACTTACAAAGTAATTCAAATTTGATTGGATCGATACAAAATTAGTCTGCAGAAGTCCTAATGATACTATGTCTCCAGAATGTCGTTTTTCTGTTCGAAGCGGTGCAACTGAAGGCACAATTTATATTGCAATAATATTTAGATGGCTTCTCCTTACTTTGTTTAGCTTTATATGTAATGTATAACTGGAAATTATCTGTTCGACTTGTAACTCCTATTGAAACTTTTGGTGCGGTTCCAAAAGCGATTGCGTTGTTCACAGGTTCGCGAACCCTTTAAAAGCATTAAATGTAGAATTCGTAGACTAACAATTTCTTATATTACTTGTAGACAGTTCCACTAGCATCTGTATAAGTCAATGATTCGTTTTTCGCAATACTATATCGCGCTGCGAACTTGAGTGTTACAACTAATCCTTTCGGAATATTAAACTGTAGAATATTAAAATTGCTTCGAGGATTTCAAACTTCTAAAAATGTACCACGAACGAGCAATTTGTGCCCGCTGCCACTGATGTCAAATTTGTCGCATTTTCTGGAATTGCGCCATTTGTCCCATTTTGCACATTTATATACTGTATTCCATCTCGGCACACTGAAATATGTTCTTTGGAATTTTTATCTAGAATTAGAAATTAAATAAAATCAGTCATTGTCTGTTCCTTTGGAGAGATAAGGGAAAATTAGAGGACATTTAAAAACGACGAAATTTGTTTTTTTTTTAATCATTTACCAGAATAATTGTTAACATCATGATTTTTCAAAAACTAAGCCACGCATATTTAGAAATGATTGGTTTGAATTGTATATTTCATGTCAATTCTTGGCAATATTAACGGGGCATTATGGGTTTGTTTTTTTTCTCTTAAATTAAACTTACAAGATTGAGCAACAATATAATTGGATAATACTAGGAGAAATAGGGATGCTTGAAGAGTATACAGGGTGTCATTTAAGTTCCCGCACAAAAGTTTGACACCATGAAGAGCTTGGCTGGCGCACTTTTCGTGCACCAATACAATTTATTTTTATTAAATAAGGTATATTTTACTTACTTTCCAAGTTTCACCTCATTCGGATGTGTTTCCGAGAAATGGCGAAGGCTAACATCCATCGCGCTTCCATTATCGAACTTCATAAGCAAAATGTGAGCCCGAGAGACATCATTCAACGCCTCGGTGTGCCTCGTAGAACGGTTTGCGACATCATCAAACGTTTCAAGGAGCTAAATACGACCAGTGACCGTCCCAGACAAGGAAGACTCGTCTCAGTAACCACTCCTCAGAAGATCAACGCCGCTAAATCGAGGATCAGGCGAAACCCACACAGGAGCATGAGAAAGATGGCGTCAGATATGGGAATGAGCATCTTTGCTATGGAACAAATCGTCAAAACAAAGCTTGTACTGACCCCATATCGTGTCCAAAAAGCGGCAATTCTATCGGCCGTCAACAAACAGAAACGCTTTGAAAAAGCAAAACGACTTCTTGCTCGCACGCGGTCTGGAGAACACCTCGTCACTGTCTTCTCCGACGAGAAGCTATTCACTGTGGAGGCGGCATTCAACTCACAAAACCATCGAGTACTTGCCCAGACATCCCAGCAAGCTTCTGAGAAAGAAAGATCATATCATCCAGCCTCACATCCTGCCAGTGTGATGGTTTTCGGTGCCATCTGCTCAACCGTGATGTGCCCCTGGATTTCGTGGATCAGGGGGTGAAAATGAACAGAGAAGTCTACGTTCGGGACATTTTGGAGAAGCATGTGATACCCTGGACCCAAACGCATTTCGGTGGGCAGAAATGGGTCTTTCAACAGGACGGAGCACCCGCCCCTACTGCCAAAACTACTCAGGAGTGGTGCCAGACCCATTTTCCCGACTTCATCAAGTCATCCGAATGGCCTGATTGCTCCCCAGATCTGAACCCGCTTGACTTTCCCGTGATGGGGTCTTGCAGGAGAAGGTCAACGCAAAACCCCATTCAAGTGTAGAGGCTCTGAAGAAGACATTACTGGCGGAATGGGACAATCTTTCCATCGAATACCTGCGTACCACAGTCGAATCCAACCCGAAGCGTCTCCGTGAAGTCATAGCTGCGAAAGGAGGCCGAATCAAAAAGAGTTTATAGATAAATATTTGTTATACTATAGATAAAAAATATTTTGAGTCTCGTTTGATTTGGACTTTTAGTTTCAGAAATATACGTCTTCAAAGTTGTGCGGGAACTTAAATGACACCCTGTACGTCATGACCTTAAGAGCAAAATGTTCTACGTGATAGTGAATGTCCGAATGATACGACTCATGTGCATTAAATACACACAAAACTATTTGAAGTGACGTCCAATAGCCCGCCTTTCCCTATCAGTCGGTGATTAAATGAATCAACTTTCGACCAGCAAAAAAAAACAATGCTTGCATATTCCACTCATCCTGGAAGACGTGATCCTTAAGAACAAACAAACGCGAATGAATAGGGTATAAATAAATCGCGCGCTTCGGCGGCTAGTTGCAACGCCACTTGAACCATTTTCAAACCGATCCGCCAAATCTTCACTGTCTCTCTACTAAATATGGTTGTGCTACTGCTAATAGCCATGCTTGTTAAATTCGTGATTTGCCTCTCTGATTTCGAAGGTCGCCGCCTCAATGACTCATTATTTGATAGTTTGTCAGGAACCAGCAACAAGGCTTTTTTGAAATCAAGGTTTGAATTTCTTATCAGGTTGATATATATTTACATTGACGTGAAATTATGGTTTTTGATATGAAAAATCAAGCGATCAACATTTTGAACTTTTATCGGCATTTAAATATTACAATGAGTGTCGGTGAAATGTCTAGATAAACCACCGAAGACTCTCGGGAAAGGGCTACAACTGGATTGCCCAAGAAACTTACTCCCGAGAGCACACACTGATTGTACATATTTATAAATACATAAAACTTGCTCTTAATATGCTTGTACTCTGTGACACAAAAATTTGTGGAAACTTGATTTTATAACTCGCATGTTAAAATTCGTCATATCAAAGATTTATATATTTCAGAATTTCAATAAACACATATGTATTGGATCATTTAAGAAATTAAATTTCGTTTACAGACTACTCGAGAATTTGAACAATTTTTTTCCATCGGTCGAACCGGCAGAACAACTCGAAATGCTTAATAAGCCCTCGCAACAAGCAACTCCCGATACTGACCCTTTGGTCACAGAATTACCGTCATTTCCAACTCTTCTTCCAAGAGAACCCGATTCGGACCCGAATGTCGAATTGGAAATGGCGACAGCGCCTTCAACCAAAATACGATCTGAAGGGAGAATTCCGACAGATAGACTTGACACCGTTCGGAGCTGGAGAAAAAGACTTTATAAGGCATTCAAGAATCGATCAAGAGCCAGTCAGAGAATTATAAAATCACCGGAAGTAGAAGATCTCACCGATACAAGCCCAATAATAGTGGACAAGAACCGACAATTTCTAATGGCAAGACCAAACTGGCAAAGTGCAAGAGAGAATGTCCACACATATGGAAGGGATCCCAATGGAAAGCTGATACCTTTATACGAATTAGAAGTGCCGAAATCTTCATCATCAGGAATTCCAGGGCAATCGATCATCGAGTAATCAATTGAAAAGTATTTCAAGTGATCTTGAATTGAATTATAGACCGTATCCACCAAAGGAAATCCGTTATGCCTATCGGACTCCTCAAGGCCAACATGTTGTCTACGTGCCATCTGCTCCTACACGAAGCCAGGAGACAATTCCAGTACCGGTTGCCTCTTATCTTGTCACAGTAGAATATTGCCTTTTTCGACTTTTCACAAATCAACTAATACTTGAATTCGTTTGTTTCAGACAAAGCCTCAACAACCAATCCAATTGCAAATTGTGCCCGAACAAAAACCGCTACAGGTACTAATGTCCTGCAAAATGTTATTGGTATTCTGCGTATATTTTCAGTTCATTTTTTCGCCTGCACCAAATCAACAACACCAGAATATCTTACAGCCAATGATTACGGTATGCTTACAATAGTATTGATTTATTCAAACAGAAAACTCAACGAATTAGCCGAAATAGGAGATACATCAATTTGTTTCCCGCTGTCCTCTAATATTGCTCCCGTAATAAAAAATGTGAATTGTTCTCTTTAGAATTTTTCAATATTAAGTGAAAATTTGAACATACTTTTATGTTGATTGTGATATTGATTTAATCATCCAGGCACCTCCATTATCATATTTCGCAACATCCACTCAAATGCCATACTCAACATTTGCTCCAATTGAAATCAACGATGCTCCACAGAAACAGAACAATGTGAGTTAATTTGAACAGCTTCAGTGCACAAGAAATGCATTTTGAAGTGTGGATCTTGCGGTGGCGATGTTAACGAGATTCCGATAGGCAATGACGAGAAGTGCAACAGTCTTCGGCTTCGAACAATCATAATGAACGTAAGCTATGATTTATTAATATCGGTTTCAAACGACTGATCGAAATTTGAAAAAAATATTGGCTATGCGACAAGTCGTCTCGAAACAAAAAATATTACGCAGGACGTGCATTTAAAATTCAGTCAACGTTCAATATAAACCTGCACATTGTTTTACTGAATTTATTTAATTTAAATTACATGTAAAAATAAAAACAATTTTACTTTGATATTTTAAAAGTCTTTTCATGCATTATTTAATTTTGTATTTTATTTTATTATATCAATTTGTTAAATCTGCACATCACTTCTAATTTTTTCCAGAATATAGTCATCAACGACGCAGAAGCGTCGAAACGAGCTGTACAGAGTTCGGCTGAAGCTGAGACTGGACAATATTTCGATGCAATATGCGGAACAGGCTTCTTCAGCTACATCGGTACCATTTTCAGTAACAAATGGTTCGAATTTAGTGAAATTTCAGCACACACTGATGAATTTTGCCTAGCTTCTTCAGGCGGTGTCAACTGTTACGTATTTTCTCCAATTTGCTCACAAGATTCAATGATGAAAACGAGAAGAAGAGTGTTTCTCAACAAAAATTGACAAATGATCCGCTTATCGCTCTGTTCACGATTTCCATTCATTTCGTCCGGGTCATGTATACATATAAGTATAACAACAGGTTTTAATATTTATAGTAAATGCCGCTTTTCTTATGTAGTGGTTCTTTTCGAAAAATTTAATTAATTGAAACGATTGACGTTGGAAACATTTTGTGTCATCATCTACCAGGTCATGCCGTTCTTCTTTTGCATGGTTCGAAGTGGTTCGCCTTGAAGGTATGGGTTGATCTTATGCTGGCCCAGAGGAGCCGATCTCTTTCGTCGAGGCACATACTGAAAATAATCAAGTATATCGAGAACACCGATTTTAAGAGAATCCGAATATATCGACTAGATGATAATCCTGTCAATATAAAGCCTCGAACCTCGTCGGAGGATCGCTTCTCATGGAATTTCTTCGCGATCGTGTTTGCGTGCATTCCATTTTCTTCGAGTAGCTTCTGGAGTGTCTCGCTGACTTGTTCAGCTTCCTTTTCAGCGCAGCTGTAAGTTCATGATTCTATTTATCCATTATGAATATCTTACTTGAACATGTGCTCTTGATCACAGAGGCAATGTTGCTGGGCTTGATAGGCCCGCGAGAATTCGGCGGTATTCTCAAAGTCCTCGAGGCATCCTTGCTCTTTCGTGAAACCAACTGGACACGGATTCGGTGGTTCGCAGTAGGCGGGAAGAACCGAATCGCTCTTCACCTCCTGCCTCTCTCGGTAGTCATCCTCCTCAAGCAATTTTTGCGATCCCTCGCCAGCTCCGCCTAAAAAATGATTTTTGTATGTTTAAGGAAAAAAATCAGCAAATCGCGGTAATAAAAATGAGAAAATGACAGCTGAATTTCGTTGATAATTTTGTATCACAAGAAGTCAAAAACATATGCTTCTTGAGATTTCGAATTCTGAGAAACCAGTATTAATATAAGGAAAATCCATTAATAAAAGATTGCGTGCGTAATGGTGATGTCAACCACGATTAAACGAAAAAAAAAACTATATTTATGTTATATAATTATATTATAATATACACATATTATGTACATATGTATATAGAAATAACTATTGTCAAAGTCGAACGAATTAGCCGTAATCAAATGAACAATTACCATTTTTGGATCAAAAACACGATTATTTTTAGAGTCTTTGAAGTCTACTTTCGATTTTAATGAAAAAAGGAGCAAAGCGAAAAAGATTACGAGAAAATTTAAATCATATGAGACTCATCATAAATTTGACCGTCAATATAAATAAATAGAAATTTTGTGGAATCTAGAATGAAATAATTCTAATAAATCAAAATGAAACACTTTGATTATTTTTAATATTCCGCAATTAATTTCAAACATTCGAGACGATAAATTGGGAAAATTACAATTGTTAATGAATTTCTGATTTATTGGAGATAAAATATTTAATTATTTTGCTTTATTTTTTTTATCCAAATTTTCTTGTCTTGAATTTTTAAGATTTTGGATTTTTTAATCGAATAAGAAAAGAAATGATTTTACTACATAATAAACAATTTCGGCCTACATTTTAATTTTTAAATTAATTAGATTACCTCCTCTTTTTTAAATTTTTTTATTTAAAATCCATACATTCGTCACACATCCTTTTCTCATTTCACAAACGCCAATAAATATTGGGGATAGTGCAATTGCGGTCGTTTTCTTCGCCGGCCGCGAAAAAACGCAGCTGGTCTTCAAGATTTATGCGATGCGAATCAAATTGAAAAAATGAAAAACGCGGGTTGTGGGGCCGTATTTGTGACATTAGAAACCAACGAACCCGAAATGTGCTTTGCGCCGAATGCCGCGAGGTCCGGCAGGCTCTCAGCATCTCGCGAGATCAGATCGATGAAATCGCTGCCAGATGGCATCATTAAGTCATTCGGCTGAATTCCAATTATTCAAATTAAATTTTTACAATTGGATAAGAACTTACACTCTCGACATTTAATCCATTTGCAACCTGAATAAATAGGAAAGTCGACAGAACAAGGCCTAGCATATCAAGGCCTATGTGTGTGTGTGTGTGTGTGGTGTGTTTTTTGGGCGGCAGCGGCAAATTGGACGCAAGAGAAGCAGAGCCAACCGAATAAGGAATGTGTTGTGAGAGTATGAGTGTGCTCGCCGCGCCACACTCGATCAATATTCTGATGGCAGCACGTGCGACGAAGAGGAGCCTGAAAGATTTTAGGACGAGGGAAACGTCATCTCCAATTTTTTTTGAATGAAAACATGAAAAAAATTATGAATGGACGTTGAATTATACTTCGATTCTAGAGAATTTCGGATAAAAATGAAAAATTGCATTAAAATTAGAATAATTGAATTATTCTTTAAACAAGCGTATAATGTTTATGAAATGATTACCATGAATGTGTTCTGAATAATATTAAATACGTGAGAATTTAATTTCAAAGTACATTGTCAAATGTCTTTTCCGTTTCTCTGAACTTCAAACAATCAAGTGTTCACTTTTATTTCTTTTCGTTTTTGAGTCAAGTTTTGCAGTTGTTTGTTTAAAATCCTTTTAGTGGTTTTTCAGAAATTAACATTTCAAAGGGAAGCTTTGATGATTGTTGTTAGCACAGTAATAGGATAGAATTTGCTGTTTTTTTTATTTTTTGATTTTTTATCAAATAATAAGTATGCGGTTTTTTACCCTATCCATTCAACAAATATTTAAAAATGTTGTCATTCCATCGAAATTTCATTTGAGTAGATTAGTTAAAGAGTAAATCGCTTTCGTTTTCAAGAAGACGGCATTTGATTGGAACCATATGCTGATATACATATTTTTTTAACCTATAATTTTTATGAACACGAAATTTAAAGATGTTTATTACATATCAGCGAAATACTTCACATGCCATTTTCATCATGTGTAATTAAATAATTAAGAGGTTTCAATATATTGATTCCGGTATTTTCTCGTTAGATAATCTCTCCTTTAATACCATAGCAAAAAAGCGTCATGAATAATTGTGGGCTATTGCACTATTTCGGGAAGGTAATTCAAATTTCGATTTAAATAGTGGAATTCGGGTACCATAATCTGGATAACCTGCGAATCAAACTCACCGTAAATCGGCGCAGGGTGCTCGTTTCTTTGTGAATGTAACATTCCTTCTTAAAATTTCTACCGAATTTCAGTATAAATTAAAGAATTTTCTAAACGATGGAAATCTTCATTACAAAATTATTAAATTGTTAAATTCGAGTTCCAACAATAACCATATTGTCCAGATATCAATCAATTTTCAACCAATCCATTGTTTGCTATTGATCAGGCGTTGCTCTTTGATTTCGATTAATCGATGACTCGTTATCATTCTGTTCAATACGGCTAATCTGTTGCAGCCGAACGTCCTCTTCAATTGTTTCTTATAATTAACCATCATATTGAAACATAGAAGAATGGTAAGAATTTTTGGTTTTTTTTATTGGAAAGCGTGGATGAATCAGCTCTATTGAATTGTATTCAAAATTTCCAAAATAAAAAAAACGAGACAACAAAAACGGAACCAACCTTTAAATTGGCAACTGATTGACACATTCGGTTATCAATTGGTTTTATTTCTTATTTGTCGTCAGTTTTTATGTCGAAATGGAAAACCCATGGCACATTTATTCCATTAATGGATTTGGTGCTAGTCCACCAAATATTGCCGCAATGTTTATGAGAGAGAACAACAAGACAATGCACAGAAAAGGTTCTAAAAAGAAGGTATATATATTTATCTAATAGGCATAACATAGAAAGCACGTTTACGTAAAAAATATCCGTCTCTGTTAAAACCGTCAATAAATCGAAATTGATTAACAGTTAATGCAAAATTGAAATTGTGTGAATCGGATAAATACAAATAAATATTTTTGCGGTAAATTTTACGGCCAACGAATTAAAGAATGGCGTGATAGTGATAAGAAGGGATTATATGGTGTTATCGAATATTTTGTGAAATTTCAGTTTAAGTAAAATCGCTCCGTTCTCGCAATTTTCATAATGGAACAATGATCCTTCACGGCTGTTTTTTTTCGCTACCAAATATTCACTAAAAAATGGTAGTGAAGTATCATTGGTCCACAATGTTGACAACCATTTTAAACTTTTTATTTCTAAAATTATTATATTTTTGGTAAAGAAATGAAAATTCTATTGTCAACGTCGTGTAACTGCGGAAAATTAGCTAAATGCCAAAAAAACGGTGGCAGTGATCTTGGTGCAAAATAAATGTGTCAAATTAAAGGCCTAAGTATAAGGATCGATCAAAGGCGCACGCCGCGCACCGAGGCCTCTTTTTAAGTTTTTCTGTCATTTAGCCAATTTTTCATGGTTTTTTTTACAACATATATTGTAAGCTCCTTTGAAAATAATATGCATATATGCATATAAAAATTTTTGGAAATAAATTGAAAAAAAAGTCAAATTACGCTAAATTTCGAGAAAATTATGAAACAGGATGAACCTGAACTAAAATGCAATGAAAACCGTCACTAAATTTGGAAAAAAAATCTTATGCGAAAAACATTTTTTACTTCAAAAATGAAATAAGTAGTTTAATAAATTTGACTTTGCAGAGCTCAACATCAATGATTGTGCCATTTGTGAAACATTCATTTCGGCATTCCGAAAGCGCTGAAGAGTATGGAAGCGATTTTCAGGTAATAAACAGCGTCTTTGATAAACGTCTAGTCGGCCATTTTATTAACTTTTTTTCAAAAAAAAAAACTGTCACAAAGAGCATATTTTCAATTTATATTGATTTTTTATCATCCATAAAAGATTTTTTTATTGAATTTGCAATCAAACTGCCCAATTTGAATATGAACATTCGACTGACAACTTTCACCGAATTCTATACAAACATCGGGCAATAACTTGTCTTCTTTCCCATTTGTGCCATCAATTTGATGAATATTATGATAAAAACTATTCGACAACCGAGCGACTAAATCAGCGAGGGAATGTGCGCAATGAGAGATGCTAAAGAGAAATGCGGACCGTAACCGATACGACCTGCGCTTTTTTCCACATTTTCATAAGTTTCACATTTATTAATATAACTATGAATCAACGAGATGCATTTATGCAATTATTTACGTTTTTTTGTTCATTTAAAATATTAAGTTAGTCCGATGTGCGAAAGAATTTTTTATTAATTTGTTTCCTAGCGACGAGTCAATATTGATCAGCTATAGAAGCAATTCGTTGCAAAGTGCAATTCATAATTTGGTCTGCTCCTTTAAAGTTTTTATTACAGTAATTCATTGCTTCGTGATTTAATAAATAAATATATGATTGATATTTATATCAAATGCTAATTTTATTTCAAACATTTTTCGATTGCATTTTTTTTGTTTCTTTATGAAATTTTTTCAGGGGATGAGCAATGCATCTGGAAACATATTTGCACGAAGCCTCGCTCGACTTTCACGACGAAAGAAGAAGTCTATAAAAATCCCAAATAAAGGCCTCGTCGAATCATCGGAGCCTCCGCAGGCGTTTGAGTCTCATAATTCATCGTATGTCATTTTTTAGTTGGAAAATAACACCCAGAATGATCGCCCTTCGGGATAATTGGCTCTAATTTTGCCTCTCATTTTTCGATTGTCGCTGTCGCATTGCGTCGATCCTCCGTTAGTGGGCAAGTGCGCTCCAGTGTCACTGAGTTATGCATTTGAACAATGCAAAATTGAAGCGTTTTTCGCGTATTTCATTTATATTATTCACATAATTATTATTTATAATAATTAATTTTCAGAACGTTGTTTGAAAAAATGAATCGATTGCGGCGGTCCCTAAGACTGCCGCGTCGACGGGATCGGAGTAACGATCGACATCTCAGTCCACAAGTAGATTAAATTTAGTTTTCTAATTTAAATCAGGAATTAAGGCAACGGGAGGTTCAAAACAATACCAATGGCAACCGGATGAAAGTGCGGTTCGAACAGGGTGCTGCAGTTTCAATGTAAAAGTAATATTTATTATAACCTTAAGAGAAATATTTTTTTAATGAGACGAAATTTTCGTGTTAATTTTCTTCAGCACAAACGAAACTAATATATTAGTTATCTTACGTTTTTTGCATAAAATTCTGCAAGACAATGGCAAGATTTGATTAAAAGAAAAAAGATCGATCGTCGTTTAATTAATTTGGATTTCTCATTATTGTACCGAAATTGTTTTTAGTATCTCGGTGCTGTTGAAGTTTTCGAGTCTCGTGGTATGCAAGTATGTGAAGGAGCTCTCAAATCCATGAAAGCTTCGAAACGAAAACCGGTTAAAGCTGTTCTTTACGTTTCGGGAGACGGATTACGGGTTGTTGATCAAGGAAATAGCAGAGGTCTTCTTGTAGATCAAACAATAGAGAAGGTATCACGTAAAATATCATTCACCAATTAATTTTTAAATTTTGTAGGTATCATTCTGTGCTCCGGACCGCAACAATGATAAAGGTTTTGCCTATATATGTAGAGATGGAGCTTCAAGACGATGGATGTGTCATGGATTCTTAGCTACTAAAGAATCGGTAAAATTTTTCCAGCTATTCCTTATTTTTCAATAAAATATTCCGTTTGAAGGGTGAACGGCTGTCACACGCCGTAGGATGCGCTTTCGCAATTTGTCTCGAGAGGAAGAAAAAAAGAGATGAGGAAAATGCAATTGGTTCCTCTAATGGGAGCGCTTCGACTAGTTCAGCGAAGGTGGAAGCCGCATTAAATCCAAATTGGGATGAACCGAAAACGTATGAAAATGTAAAAAACATAGTAATTATTCAAAAATTGTCATTTTAGTGAGGCCACGACTTCCAGATCGAATTTAGCATATCAATCGTTCCGGAAGCATGTTCCTATGGAAGCCAGATACCTCGTAAATTTTTCATTTTACCAGAATCTCAAGACAGTATTAAATTTAGGATCCGCAATCTGTCATAGTAAACGAGGCTCCAGCATGCAGTCATAACGATACATTTAAAACTATGGCCAAGCCTCGACCTACTTCCAATCCGGCTCTTTTTGCAAGACAAGGATCGTTGCGTGCTCCAGATATTCCGACAAGATCCGATCAATTTAGACGAAATTTTTCTTTACGTACTAACTCGACATTCGACACTTCTCCCTCTAAGAAGGTAATATTTTTCTAACTTAAACAATTTAGAGTATATCATTAAAATACTCCAAAACTGTCATCAAACGACAGAACGAAATCAAAAAGTGTCTTGAAGAAAAGAGGAATGTGTGTCTCCGAACTCTGCATTTTAGCATACGCGCAGATAATATTTTGCCGCGCGTAAATTTACAAATTTGTAATTCTACACCGATTTGCGAATTTAAATCTGCCTCCATCAATAGGTCCTTTGATGCTAGCAATAGGATTTGAACTTCTCTAGTAAATGGAAATCAAGTTCGAAAAAGATAAAATAAAGAAATTTACAAATATGCATATCCCTTTCATTTTTCGCAGAGATTCAAAATTAATTTACAAAGTGCCCCTTTATGTTTCATCGACGTACTCTTTAATATATCGTCATGAATCTGACTCTCTGACTAAAATTTCGAGATATTTCGCGAGTTTAAACCAATGAATATTAAACATGCCTGCCTTTCAAAAACTAGTAGTTCGGTTTTTTGTCATGAGTAAAATCAACTGCGCATTTGCATATTTGCGACCTCGTAATCATAAAACACATCTGTCGACTATCATTTTTGCTTCGAATCATGCCGCCAATCGATGTTGAGTATATTCAAGCCGTCGTCCACAACATTTCCGATCGTGCTCGACGAGGCGTGGCATCCAGAATTCGAGCACTTAAAGTTGCTCATTCTAAAGCACGCCTTCGGTCGTACTCGCAAGCTTGCGAAAGAGCCGCTTATATTGATGGACGAGATGAATTTTATCCCACGTTGGCGATTTGTTATCGTGAAAAGTTCGACGAAGATCAACAAAAAAGAGATCGCATTTTTTGCGAATTCGCCAATGTCGATCTCAATGTAAACACGACAAGTCCGGATTATTCATATGATATTCCGAACAATTTTAGCAATGATGCGTTTGCAAAATTGCCAAAAATGAAGCAGAGAGCCTACTCTCTCGACTGTGTGAGAATTTTTATTTAAAAAAACATATACTTTGTAGTTCGCTTAATTTGTGCTTTCGACTGAAAAGAATGAGACTAAACAACACCAGTTAGATGTATTTTTTAAAATTAATTTTCTTGCAGACGTTCGGTCAATCTCTACACAACGAACCGATATATGAAGGAGACGAGGATCCTTTGGGTTTAGGAATCTCGTCATCGGCAACTAACTCCGCTTCAACCAACCCTGTAGAGAAGAATGGGCTTGTTGGTTTAGATTTTGGATGGAATTCGAAACCAGCACCACTTCCTGAGGCTAATTCAAGTTTTGTTGGAAACCAAATTGGTTAGTCATATGCAAGTTATTTCGAGAAATTTTAATTAAAAATTATGAACAATTTGGAAAAAACGAATGATTATCCATGTACTAGATTTTGCAGCCAATTTTGCTCAATGGCCAGACTCTAATGTGTCCTCACCGCTTGATGACATTCAAAAGCAATTCGAACAGTTCTCGATGGTTGCTAAAACGGGAAACTCATCAATGACGAACTCGGTTTCTCGATCGAAAGCCGACGAATGGCTGGATGATGTTTTGCGCGTGTCGATGACAATGTCGCCTACATCAAATGTAATTGTATAATTATAATTATTACAATTTTGGTTATAGTTATTGTTTGTACATATTGCCAAACTGCAGGGTTCTTCCGGAGTGACACCTTCAACATCATTCTCAGGCCCACCACCTTCGCATGCTCCTCCTCCGCTTCCTGTCAAACAGGCGGTCTCAAATGGAAATCCGTCTCTTTATCAAAACGTTAGTTTAGAAAGAGTTTTTGATAAGTTATTGAAAAATAAATTATAAAATGAACCAAATAAATTGGATATTTCATATCATCGTTCATATTGCAGACTCCAGTGTCGGTGAGCCCAAACCCTTCTGGAATCAATTGGGATGTTGCTCCAAGTTTACCACCAGTACCCCAAAAACCAACTGACCCTTTTGACGTACACTGGAGTAAATCGGCGGTTTCTTCAAAAAGCTCCAACTAATTAAATGTAGTTCAATAGTGATTGGTCCCGGTGAAATTATATACGTTTTACGTATTTAATATTAAGCTTTTATTTGTTTATTATCGCCCATATATTAATTATAATATTACTAATAATAGTTGTAATAATTTTATACTAACTAATATTGTTTTTTTGAATCCCCCCTTTTACATTTGATGTCTGTCTGCGCGCTTTTTCTTGTCAATTGCTCTTCGTACAGGTTATATATGTATAGCCAAGATGTTAATTATGATCGCGGAAAGAAAATGAACACTAACAAATGTCTTAACAGCTTCTTTTATAAAAATTTTGTTTGTCCATTTTTTCCAATTAGCGTATTTGACGATTTGGTTGTTTACCTTTGTGTTAGGTTATCTGAAGATAAGTCATGCTAAAAAAAATGTTTGGGGTTTGCAGATGCTCTCTAGAATAAGTGGACTGTTGTCGAATTGTGCGAGTACTATTTCGCCTGTGAGAATTGCTGGGTAATTTTTTACGGACAAATATAAGGGCAATGCAGTAAAAATAATGGTTTTATTTCTACTGTATTGTCCAATAATGTGTTGATTATTATCTATATTAAACGTGGTCTTCTCTGGTAACTCGAAACCAATTGGATGTCAATCGTGACCGACCGATAAATTTGCGGGCAAGATTGCAAAATTGTCGCATCCGATATATACATATATATTCCTATTCCATTGGTGGCGAAAACGCAGATTAGGTAGATACCCTGCCAAGAACATGCCCTCGTTTTCAGAATAGGCTCCAAAATACATTAGAAATGGGGACCTATAATGAATGAGGGGACGTGTTCTTGGCTGTTGGGTTCGATAATAGATAGGAACTCTAAATTATCTACGGGGACTCATATTGAACTAGTTTTCCATGGTAAGGGGACCTGATCAAAGATTACAGGCGAAAACGTAGATTAGGTCCCAATCATGTGCTGCATAGGGGTCCCCACAAGATTCAAAATAAGTTTGAATTTGAGGAACTGAACTGCGCATTGCGGGGACTTCAACTAATTTGCTTTATGTACAACTCACGCTAGGATAGCTGCCTGCTGATTATTCGTCCAGTTCTTGTCGTCATATGGAAATAAAATAAATCTTTTTCACGTTCAATGATAATTATAACTTCATCTGTGCCAATTGACAGCAACACGTCACATGAGAACCAATTTTGAATATTTAACCATTTCCCGTATTGGTTTACAAAATCTGTCCAATTTCGGCCCGATTAGTTTTGAGTTTTCAGAGCTGCAATAATTTTGATTCGAAATTCATTGAAATCTGTATATCGAGGCGTAAGTTCATGAGAGATCTTTAAACCGTCCTATCTACAAGGTTCTCTCAAAAATTTACAATATATATATATATATATATATATATATATATATATATATATATATATATATATATATATATATATATATATATATATATATATATATATATATATATATATATATTATATATATTATATTATATATTATATTATTTATTATATTATATATATATTATATATATATTATTATATATATATATATATATATATATATATATATATATATATATATTATTTACGTATTTCCTGTGAAAATAACCTATGAGATACTTGGTATTTTATTGGATTTTATTGAACCTCATTTAAACCGATTGTTTTCTTTTAGGTTAGTTCCCACCTCTTCGAGTGCATCATTCTTTACTCAGATCTCTTCGTTTGCAACGTCCCTCAGTTTTGCCAGGAACAACTTTCTTCAGGTTAGTATAAATATATTAAAACGATAATATGATTAATTTTAAATTAAGTTCATTCATTATCGCAATGGCCCTCCAAAAAGGCGCGCAAGAAGTAAAGATAAAAGTCCAATTAGCGGATACAATCATTTTAAAGGAATTGTATTAAAAAGTACGTTAATCATGATTAGCTATATGAATAAGATATTTAGCTGTTATTCGTCATCCTAAGAAGCCGAACTCCGGAAATCGAAAATGTGCTATTGTTCGCTTATCGACTGGTGCTGAAGTTTGTGCATACATTCCGAATGTTGGGCACAATCTCCAGGAGCATTCCCAGGTTTATAAATCTTAAGATTCACATATTTTGTAAAAATATTGTTGAAGTCGTGCTACAACGGAAAATTTGCGAAATGCCAAAAAACAATGTAATTTGACATGGCGCAAAACAAAGATTGAAGATTTACGGGCCAAAGTATAAGGACTGGTTGACGGCGCATACCGCTCACCGAATTTTTCCTAAATTTTTTTTGGCATTTAGCCGATTTTCCGCAGTGGTGCGGCGTCGAAAATAATACGTTTTTCAAGGTTCTCGTTAGAGGTGGCCGAAGACGTGATTTGATCTCTGTGAAAGCAAATATTGTCCGCGGAAAATTCGATTGCGCCCCTTCAACTGGTGGAAGAAAATAGATAAAAAATGAAAATGTAGATTTAGGTTTTGTATAGCCCATTTTACTGTTTACTGTTAATAAATGTTGAAGTTTCTTTTCACTGCTGATTTGCATTATTGGTCGTACACCTTGAATTAGCTAACACATATTCCCCGTTGAAAAATTAACGAGAGTTTAGGTGGGATGGATGTGCATTTGAGCGATGACGAAAAGTTGTTCTTAATCAGTGGATGTGAAGAAAATTTGCGGAATGATGGAAGAGCGCAAGTTTTATTATTTATTTTTAAAGTTTAATGCGCAGTTTAGCATTTTTCTTTGTTATACCATTGCAAAAAAGCGCGCCTTGAATAGGTGTTGGCCATCATTTTTTCGGGACCATAATTCAAGTTTAAATTTAAACAGTGGGAATTGGTACTGCTGATAACCTGCAAATTAAACTCACCGTAAATCGGCACAAGGCGTTCAATTTTTTCGAATAATAATATTAAAACCTGAATATATTGATTATAGATGTTGTGATTACCGCCAGATTATTCTCGAACGAGGTGTTCTCTCTGGAACCGATGGATCGTGTAGAGTGCAACTCGGGCACACAACCGATGTTCTTGTAAATGCTCATTTTACAATCAGAGATTTTAAAAGATTTTTAACAGGCCGGAATTAAATTGGAATTGGAGCAGTATGATCCATTGAATGAATCGAAGCCAAAACAGCCAATAAAATTTTTCGTGGATTTTTCTGCGAATGCCAGCTCACAGTTTGCAGGTTTGATTGTCTCGATAATCTAATAATGAAACTATTAAAAGTTTAGGAAAAGGAGGCGACAGTTACGCAGAGGAAATTGCGGCTGCTCTTCAAACTGCATATTCGGAATCATTGAGCATTTTTCCGAATTTGGAAAGGTTTTCTAATTTTTAATGTTTCAATTATTAAACAGACTTTAAGGACTCAAATTGTGGATGGATATCGGTGGAAAATTTATGCCGATGTGACAGTTTTGCAATGGAATGGAAGCGTTATCGATGCTATTTCTCTTGCGGTACGTTTCGTATTTTTGATATGTTCAATCTCGTGTTCTGGTTATTTTTGTTTTTATATTTGCACTCTTATGTTGTAACGAATAAATATGACTTTTTAGGTTCTTGGAGCTCTCAGTGATCTCAACATTCCCGAGGTCGATGTAGCTCCGGATGATGGCGGGAAAGTATCAATCGTCCTAAAGAGACCTCGAAAGGGAGGAAACGTTCGAGATGAAGAAGTCCCAGTTGCCATGTGGAAACTTGATATTTCTAGGTTGGTTACCCAGTTTATCTAATGCATCTATTCATGAGAAATAATCTGTTACATGTTGTAAAAAAAATGCACGTTAAATTGTATTTTTTTTTACATTTTTTTCGTTATGCTCAAAAATAACCAACTCGTTAGATATTTTCAATTTGAGTAACATTTCTCATGCAAATGCATTGTTGAATTTTTTTGAGTGTGAATTCCTTACGTGATCTTTTGTTATTTTAATTTTAGATGTCCCATTATAATCACCGTTTCAAAAATTGGATGTGCAAATGTTGTTGATAATACACCGGAAGAAGAGACTTGTGTTCGATCTCAACTCTGGATTGGAGTTGTTGTTCCTTCCAAATCGATCGTAAAGGGGCCGAATACTGATTTCGAGATCACTTGTGTCAAGCAGGTTGGAAATTTCAACAGAATATATTTTTCATCCACAATTATAGGTTGGCGGAGGACTCTTGGAATCTGAATCAATATCAGATATGATCAAGTTGGCTAAAGCATCAGCTCAGGGACTTCATGAAGCTCTCCTCCAACGAATTAAGACGGAGGAATATCGAAAGCCTGGACATTCGTTCTTGTTATAATTTTTGGTCCAATCTCTTTTTTGTGGATGTTGTTAATTGTTGAAATTATGTATCAGATTCATGAAAATGTTGAAGGTGAGAAACCTAAGAAAAGAAAGAAGGTCGAATGGCACCGCGGGATTCCTAGGCTATTATTATGACACGCCAATTAAACAAAAACGATGAACACGTACAACCATACACAAACATGAAAAAGCGTAGAAGGAATATCTGTCTGAAGGACGATTCGATTGAAGGGCGGGAATTACTGTGGGACACAATTCGACTTTTGCCTTATGTTCATCGTGGTTTTGAATTTATTTGCATGTTCATTTTCGAAAAAGAAATGCTAAAGTATCTTTTATCTATCGATTTTTCAAAAAATTGTATTTATTCCCTGAAGACACCTCTTCCGGGTCTGTTCAGTGTTTGCAAAATTGTCGAATTTCGTCAGTTTTACCCAGTGCATGTGCGTCAAATTTGACGCAAAATGAAAATTTCGACAAATTTGTATTACACTTCTGAATTGCCATGTATTGATCCCAAATTTAAATGATGGATTTTTATCATTCTTTACTACGATCTCCATTCCAAGGTATAATGAGATCGAAAAATGAAGAAGCGAAAAAGACAAGAACACAAGTCGTGATTGAAAACGCTTGAGACCCCCGCGAGAGGCAAACATTTATGCACAGGTGAATAATAGGGAGCATCGGGAGAAAAGAGGGAGCCTTAAGAGGAGCAGGAGCTGCTGCAGCAGCCGATGTTTGACGAGGAATCTGTGGAGGCGGATTTTCCAAAATTATTATTATGCTGCCGCCGACGGGCCCCTATTTGCATGCTCCGATCTGTTTCGTGTCCTTCTTCTTTCCAAATTCGGTTGCTTCTCTTTTTTTAATGTTTAAGTCACTCATTTGCTAGAATCAAATTTCAATAGGATTGCTTTTACAAAATGTAATAATTTTTAGTTTTGATGACAATCCAAAATTAAAAATTTTGAAGTCTTAGGCTATATAATTTCAGCGTCGCCAGACTGCGTAGTGACTAAATTCCTATAAAAAAAGTGAGGTTAAAGTATTGGCGCACGATATGCGAATTTAACATACTCTTATGTTTTTTTTTGTGAATTTGCGCGACGTCGACAATTAACGAAAAAAATCTTTTTAAATTATCTTGCCGAATCAAGTCGAACATGTATGATGAAAACAAATCATTTTTGTACAAATTTTTCAAAAAAGTCATATATTTTGAAATTCGCATTTTATTTGATAAAAAGTCATTATTTCAAAAAAATATTTATTTTTCATGAATATTAAGTTTTGAAATACTCAAACTCAAAGAAGGGGGATTAGGCCATCTTTGATCCCCCAATTCCGGAAGATCCATCTCAAGTTTTGCGCTTTCAATAAGTGAGTGTGTGTCTTGTTTTTTTTTCGATGCCATCTCCTTCCTGTATACATAAGCTTCAATCGTCACCCCCGCGGGAAAAAGAGAGCAATAGAATGTGAGAGCACCATATACGTGAGTCTGCGCGTCTTCGTCCTCAATGCATCTCACAGGCATGCCGTAATGAGTGTGGCTTCTGCGATCGCATCGCTCGCGCGCGCGGGCGCCCTGGCGCTTCAAATGGAAAACGTGAAACTGGAGAGCGTGTGCTCCGCACAGACGCAGACACATTTCATCTCTTCCCCGGGAGCCCATGTGTGTGTATTTGTCTTAAGAACAAAGTCGGACGCCTCTGGAAGCATATATTAGGCAATGTAGAAATACGGTAGTGCGCAGACAATGACGAAATTTTGCGGTGGTGAATTGCCAAATACGCAACACCGACGTGCGGATTAGCGATTTCCAAGAAGACTGGATTCATGTTTACAGTCAAGTCATTAAACGAGCATCTTTTTTGATGTTGTATTAACACATGGGGCTTGAGCATATACTTGTTTTTTTTGAAACAAACTTAGGATAAAGAAAAATAAATATTTCACTTTAACAGTTAAGACAGAGAGAGAGAGAGAGAGCCAACAGTTCTAGAATATCCGAATTTCCAACTATTATCAACGTAAAAAAATACAAGCACCTTGAACTATTGTGGACTATTTTTTTCGAGCGGTGTTTTAAATTTCGACTTAAACACTGGTAATTTGGATACCGTACTATGGAGCAAATTCACCATAAATCTAAACAGAGACTCTCTTTTTTTGGGACTATAATGATTATATTACATTTATGTGGCTAGATCGTTTCAGATATATAACACTTCAGTATTCGTTTTCTTTTTTGCTCATCGGTTTGCATCTGAACCCCAAAATGAATGCGATTGTCTCCATCGCATATCGAACCAAATCCATAAATCAGCGCAGTGGAAAAGTCTCCTAAACGAATAAAACAGCCTCGCCTCTCATAAAAATGGCGGAAAAAGGCGAGTGGCGAGCAATGTGCCATATGTGCCAGAAAACCATATGCAGCGGCATCTGCACAAAACTTCTTGCGAAGATCCATCCACTCGCGGTTATATTGGAACCAGCTGAAGTTGGATGACACAAATGGCAGATAAACCTAGAAGGAGACAAACCGAGTAGTTGAAATGTCTGAATCAGATCGACGCTGTGGACTTATGTATTAAAAGAATGATAATAAATTAACAGTTTTCTGAATACAACAAAAAGAGAAAAATTGATGAAAGCCAGATTGATTGTTTAACAAAATCCTTCGACGTACGTTTCTCCGACGGATCCCCCCGTCCCTAGTTTGCCCTCTTTTCCCACATGCATTCGGAATTCCGGTCTGTTACAGTATACACGCATTTGCGTGTGTATGTGTGTTTTTTTCTTACCGCTGGCGCCCGTCTACTATGTATGTCATTCGCCATTATTTACCGTAATCTTCATGACGCGTCATCCTCCCTCCCCGCCGTCGCTGCCAGCCGCCTTCCCGGCCCGCCGGCTCCGCCCTTTTTTATTGACCAAAAACTTGTGTGTGTGGTCGACTCACGTTTTGTAAAGCTTTTCATCAAACCTCGTACTTCTTCATCCTTTTATATCCAAGATTGTTATCTCCAACCTCGTCATTGTCAGTAGGTTCATAATACCACTGAAAACAATGTTTAAATTCAAGAAATTCTGTGATCATTTGAAAGTGAAATACTTTATAAAAACGTCACATATTTTGGAATTAGTCATGTGTATCGATTTTTGAACAAAATTAGAAATAACTCGTATGTTTTAATCCTGATCAATAATAATAAAAACTTGAAAAATAACAGTAAAAATTGATTTTTAGTGGAGGAAGTTTTACATCTCAAGGAGCTTCACATTTTAAGATATTTCAAGCTTTTCGGTACACCGTTGATATTAAGCGTTGATTCTTTGATTTCTGCAGTCCAACGATTTCTTGTGCGTCGACTTTCATCCCATCTCTTCTTCTCTTCTCAGCTGTGCCCTTGATCTGCTCCTTTAATGTTGTCATCCGATCGGCGTATGGGGTGTATGGAGAGAGGGGGATTGTGCTCAAAAACGGCCAATTTATTACAATGCGGGTTGAGCCCCTGGGAGCCCACGAGGGCCGCGGTAAACAGGAGGCGAAAGACGCCTTCGACTTTACACTTAAACGGCTCGCCTGTTCCCCCATCAATGGGAACCCGTGCGAGAAAAGCGGGCACACATTCACCCACAGAAAGTGTAAATTGGAATGTGACGGCGATGAGCAAAACGCCACATGTTTGGCGTTTTTTGCTCCAAGTCAGGCGTCTTTAACAGGAAAAATTGATGAAGAGAAGAGATTCGAGCAAAATATACGAATCGCGATCAACACGATGAAACGCGACCAAAATGAAAACAAAATTGTTTTGTATGAACAACGATTCTTTTTATAGATTCACAGTTATATATGTCTCATCATTTTTTTTATTTCAAATTTTGCAATGCCAGTCGATCAATGATGATTGATATTTAGCTATCTGTAAAAAAGTAACACTTTTAACACACATCCTTCGTTTTTTTTTTCGATTGACAATTTTCTCATACAATGCAATTTTAATTAACACATTTTTTCTTATCTAGTAGGATGTATTCCATAAAATATGACCCAAAACGCTCCCAAGACTTTTTTCATATTTGCCGACCTACATTTATATTTGCAATTAGCTCAATGTTGTGCCTCGTTTTCAAAATGTCAACATTATCAATATCGTTTTGGGGAACGAGCGACTGCTCGGTAAAAAAGTTTTTTTGCGCGTCTCCAAAAGCGTCTCCGACGTGTATCATTGCACCATATGCCTGGTTTGCTGCTCTTTGATCTCGCACGCCACAAGTTTCTTATTACAATTGGACCATATAAAGATCCGCCAGAAATTGCACAATCGTATATCAGTCGCCAGACTCGGATTCGGTGCGGCTTTCGATTGTAAAAGGGAAGACGCGCTTCGCCAGCCGTGCACACTTTTTTTGCGGGCCAACAGTTGGTTTTTTTGACGGCATTCGATACCAAATCGATTCAGATCCATCATTTCCTCTTTTCGCCTATCCATAGAGAATGATAAAGAGCACGTCTCGAAGCGTTTTCGATTTCGATTTCTTCTCGCAGATGTGTCGCACACTTTTTGTCTCGTTCAGGAATGCATCTATCATTATTTCTCTCATTTCTGGAATATCATGACCTTCTTCTTTTCGCTTTCCATTAGTCACCTTCAGTTCCCCTGGTGCAAAGTGTACTGCGACAGTTGTCGTTTTCAACTACTAAAAACATTTCCAATATCGGGTACTGTACTTGTAAAGTGTGCACAATTACGTAAGTGTGTATGAATTATTTTTCGCAAAAAAAACTATTACAATATTTTCTCATTTTTCCCTAAGTTGCGTAAATTTTATAATAACTATTGCTATTTTTTTCAATCTACAATAAAAGGTAAACCATATAAAATAATTGGAACATTGCTGCGTGAATAATTTGGCGAAAACTCGCAAAGTAAACATATATAGTAACCATGATAATCATCATGACTCATCGATATATCATCGCTTCCTCCTCAGACAAATTAGCCAATCATTCGTAACCTTTCTGGTAATATGTCACATTTTGCTACATTACCAACCATCTTCGCTATCTCGAGTATAATACCAGGCCCCGCCCACATCTACCGTAGGAGGCTGTCGATGCGCGTGTGGCCACAAGAGGGCGGCGTCGAATCCTAAGTTTGTAACACACCACGAATATTACAACGTGAATAGGCTCGTTGTCGTCCTGCATTCCTTTTCTTTCATTCCCATACCACCGTACCCGATTTCCTTTAATTGTGTCGTCGTGGTGTCGTCCTACCGTATACCAGTCTTGCCTCCCGTATTCCCTAAAAAACCGACCGACGATGATTATAGTAGTTATATGAATGCAGTCGTAGTCGGCCCCAAGTAGTTGTGCTTCTTTTATTGGTTTCTTCTCGATGTGTTCGACCCGATTCCGCCCCTCCCCTTGTTCATCAACATTCATATTTGCAGAATGTCGGAGACTGACGATTTCGCTCAACTCATGCAACAACTTCAGTCAGCGGCGGCTCCTGCCAACGTTGGAATGATCAAGGAGGAACTACCCGAATCGCCACCGACGACGTCGACAACGACGACCAATGGTTTGCTTCCAAATGGCAAAAAGACCAAGGGACGCGTCAAGATCAAGATGGAATATATCGGCAACAAGCTTAGAAGATATACTACTTTCAGCAAAAGAAAAACTGGAATTATGAAAAAGGTTAGTAAATATTGTTTTTTCTTGATTGCCTATATTTATCCATTATTTACTTCAGGCTTTCGAACTTTCAACACTAACGGGTACGCAGGTCATGCTCCTAGTCGCCTCCGAAACGGGTCACGTCTATACCTATGCCACAAAGAAGCTGCAACCGATGATTAATTCAGAAGCAGGAAAAGCTTTAATTCAAACCTGCTTGAATGCTCCAGGAGGTAACTATTATGAGCTTGTTAACTAAATCTCATTTTAATTTCTTTAAGAAGGTAACGATTTGCAACCAAGTCGAACAGAGTTCACATTCGAAGCAGGAAATGGAGCTGGGAATCCAAGAAAACGCAAGATTGCCGACGTTATGGAACAAAACCCGGTATGTTTATTTTCAAAATGAAAAACTCCAATATCACTGAGAAGGAATTACACTTGAAAATATCACTCTTTATTTGCCATTTGCCCATTTTTCGCTTTCGCTCCCAATCGGCAACCCAAAAAAATCACGGTACTCATTCTTGATCCTCTCGACTTTTCCAATATTTTCCAAGTAAAGTAAACATGTACTGGGTGAGTTGCCGAGCCCCAAGTGATGTGAAAAGGAGAAGCTTCAAAAATAGGTAGCATGTGACGCGTCGCCTATCTCCGATTCCCTAAAAATCATTACACAGCGCGTGCGCCGTCGGCGGCATCGGCTCGTCGCGAAACGGAGGGGCCCCACAAAAACACTAAAATGGGCTCGTTGTACCCTCACAACTCGTGGGCCCGCTACTTGCCGCTGTTTCTCTGACTGGTGTCGCGTTTTTGACGGCCGTACGGCTCGGTGTACATCCGTCCCGGGAAGTGTGTAATGCATTTGGGAGGGCGCGCCTGCTTCCTTGCTCATCTAATGGATCAGCAGCACAAGGAGATTCGAAACGATTTTAAACTAATCCCATATCTCCACAAGCGGGAGGGAACAACATATACGAAAATGAATTATCGGAGGGATAAATGAAAAGTGAATCGGTGCACATTTTAATGTTATATTTAACTAGAAAAAAAAACAAAGCAGTTAATAAAACGTTATTAGAAATACGATAAAGCTCGCTTTAGGTCGGCTCACATTAGTATTATGTAAAACTCGAAACTAAAGTTATGAGTATGATTTACTTAATACTTAAAATGAAAATATTACCAACGCAAAAAAAAACAAAAACCGTAATATTTTCGAACAATCGTATATTTCTCGAGACGGTTATTCAAATTAATTTCGATTTACATAGTATGATTTAGTGTACCGTACTACGGATAAGTTGCGAATGAAATTCAAAACGGGGTTTTTTGCTAATGTAATCGAATATGTGGATAATTTCCCTTTAGTTTCAGAGTGCTTCGTTCCCTGCATTTCTGCCAACTATGGTACCTTCAACTCTTTTCTCGTCGTTCGGAGAAGACGACTACAACAACGATGAAAGCGGCGACGATTCGGATTCCGAAGAGGCTGCCAGCGAAATCAAATATGATGAAGAAGGATCGCCAAAACGCGACGATGAGAACGTTGCGGCGAATCTGCAGCAAACTCTCAAAGACGCTCTCAAGGCTGCTGCCAGCAACCGACAACAGCAGCAGAAACGCGCTAAAATGCAACAGCAACAGCAAGTTCAAAAACAGACACCTGAACGAAAACCATCGTTCCTTCCAAGTTTCCTACTTCAAGGTTCGTCATATCCTTAAATCGCACTTTCACTGAATGCAACCCTTTTCTCCCTCTAGGTCTAACATCTGCCTCTTCTAACAATGGCACAGGATTCAATTTTACCAGCATGTACGCCAATGCTTCTGAAGGTTTGTGCTATCTTCTTTCTTTTTTTTTCATTCCCAAGTATTCTATTTTCAATTTTTCCAAAAGAGTAAATTTCGCGGAAAAACAAAGCTATGCCCCACAGTTCGCTAATATTTGTTTAACTCATTCTCGGAAGTTTAGAATGAGCTCCCATTTGAGAAACTGAGGGATGCTCTTAAAATGGAATAAAAACTTATTCCGAATTTACCTTCGATTAATTTCGTGAAAAAAATCCAATATTATGGACCCTTTTTTCTCCTTCACTGTTGCTACCCACCCCAACTATCGATTTCCCTGATGATATACTGTAGAATTGGCATCATACATACTTTTGTTTACTTTTAAAGGAACCTTTCAATAGTCAAATATCTCGGCATTTTCCAATTAACTTTTTACAGGAGGTGCGAATGCAACCAATCTCTTCTCTGGTGCCGCCAAACAAGGCGATGATGCCTCATCGAACTCAATGCTCACCCTTCCAATCAACTTCCAGCAGCTCATGGAGACCGCTGCACTCGGAGTTCAAATCACCAATGCCGAATAATTACCGAACCAATTTACACCCCCGTCTAATTTTTTTCTTTTTGATATAGCGCACTAAATCACACCCCAAAAACCGTTCCATGGCATAATTACGCATATTTATAGTTTGTTCTTTCAATTTCTAATTTATCCACAATTCTGTTCGTGTTTCAATTCAATTACAATTAACACAAAGTGTGCCTTTCTTTTCGCAAAGTTTTTTTTTCCGGTTTTTTGCTTTTGATAATAAATCGATATAATTGAAAAAAAAACATTCATTCACAAGAATAAATTCTATTGGCACAATGACTACAAATTCGACAATGATTGAAATGGGTATATTATCTGGTTTAAAAAAAATGATTGGAGTGGTCCCGTGTTGTTCGGAGAATGAATCATATCGGATATGGTCAGAAACGGGCACCGACTCACGAGGATCCGCTCAACTGGCAGACCGCGTATTTGCCGGACACCATCCAATCAGTGCTCTCGTCATATTCCTGAAACTAATAAATGTATCCGTGTGGAAAGACTCGTCTCTTAAAAATTATAAATGTTTTTTTTGGTAACGCAACACCACATATTTATGGCGATATGCAACTCTTTTATAATGCCTTAAGAAAAGTTGTGCGCCAATTTTCAAAATGTTTCGCAAACAAACGATTTTAAACTAAATTCTTACGTAGAAACATCACCGATTACTAAATTAGATTTTTGTCTCGTGATACTTTAATATAACTCTTATCATCCAAAAAAAACGAGCACCTTTAACAATTGTGGACCATCGTATTTTTTCGGGCGATTTCGGGCGCCAAATTTCGAAACAGTTGGAATTCGGCTACCATACTACGGATAACCAGCGAAGCTGACTTATCGTAAATCGGCACAGGGAGCTCAGTTTTTTGTGAATGCAATAATTTTTATGTTTGATTTAGCGTGGAACACAATAGGAACGATTCACAGCTTTGCGCTAACATAAGAAAAAAATTGAATTTGGCCTATGTTGCTTGAATTTTCAATAGTCGTCAGTTCGGTGAAGTGTTTCTATAAGATTGAGACATTTCCTTCCGCCGTTGTATCTATGACAAAATTGGCTGTATATTACAAAACTTAATACATATTTCACTTTTCGAGTTATAGTCCGAATCAATCGCTACGCGACCAACTTGTAATAATGACGTACGCCTTTAATTACCGGAATTCACCGCTTATTTTGAAATTTAAAAAAAAACTGAATCTCCACTAATTGTGGTTTTTTAGCTCAACCATTTTAGCTATTGGGTATTCGAAAATTGAGACATTTCAACGATAATTGTGAAGAAACACAATTTTATCGCATAATTAATGAATTTCTTCATGCAATAAAAAATGTTTAAAAAATAACCTTTTTTCCAAGGTAGGGTTTTAAAATGCACATTAAATGAATTTTTTTGTAAATAAAAATAAATTGTATGGATAGGTCTATAAAAGGAATAAAAGCATTAAAGAATCAAAATGTAGATAATGAATAGGGTATCGTGGCGACTGATTCTGACAGTCGCATTTATTTCAAAAACAGACTTTAAAAATATTTGTACCCGAGCTGTTTTTCTTTTTAAACACTGTAGCTTACATTCGTCAACTGGCACACTTTTTCTTTGCTCAAACCGACAACAGTTTCGGCTTTGAGCGTTCGCAATGCCATGAACGGGCACGGTGAAAATCCGCGTAATGAGACTTTGAAGCTGGTTTCAAGGTCCCAATCACGGTCTCCAACTAATTTTCGATAGTTGAGATCTCCTTTGAAAAATGCAAACTTGGCTTGTGCCAAATCTTCGTAAAGATCTGGCGCAGTTCCTTTCATTTGGAAATAAGCGTGCGGATAAGTCCAAAATGGGTGCGATTTAAACTCAATAGTTTTCTGAAAATCGAAATTAATTTTATACTTTTCAGTTTCTTACATCATCTACGCGTTTTTGAAGTCTAGAAGCCAATTTTTGACATATTTCCGTCGAATTCATTAGCGCATTAATCGTCCAGTCGAAATCTTGCTTGGTAACATCCGAAACAAACCAAGGGTAAGACTGAAATCCAATAAATATTCGACATAAACGATTGAAGGTAAATAGGCACTTTTATTAGACTTATGATTCTTTTTTCAAATAAAAATTCACCTTTCCGTGAACAACAATTTTATCAGCGAAGCGCATCGAAAGGAAGTATTCAGCGAGCACGAGATCACATACGAGCTCGATACCAGCGTTGTCAAGAATAATATCGATTCTTCTGTTAGTCAATCCCTCTTTGCTGGAAAATTGTAATGTTATTTTAATATATAATAGTTATGTTGAAATATTATTGCGCTTAACGGAATGAATTAATACGAATGTTTTATTTGTGCTCTTACTTTTTAACTAAGGGGTAGAGGTATTCGACGACAGCTTTGTCAATGTCATTCACGAGAATAAGATCATCAAGTTTTGATGACGCGTGCATAGCAGATTGGTTCTAAATTTTATATATTTAATACCATCACAAGAAAACGAGAGCCTTGCATAATTGTGGATCATCGCACTCTTTAGAGGCGGTAATTTAAATTCGAATTTAAACAGTGGGAATTCGGATACCGTGTTCTAGATAACCTGTGAAGCTAATTCACCGTTAATTCGGCGCAGGGTGCTCGTTTTTTTGCGCATTTAATTATTACTATTCTAAATTAGAAACAAATTGATCCAACGTAAAAGAGCGTTTTTGCGAATTTTTCTCAATGATTACAATCGCAAAAAATCGAGCACTTCGCGATGTTCTCCGTTGAACGGTGCCCGAATTCCCATTGCTCAAATCGAAATTTTAATTATCACCCGAAGAAATAGTCCACAAATTGCGATTGTATTGTCGACTTCGCGCGACGGTGGAAAATTGGCTAAATGTAAAAAAATTAAGGCAAGGTCTCGGTGCGCGTGTGCGCCTTGAACCTATCCTTATGAACAGGATCGTAAATCTACATTTTAGTTTTGCACTAAGATCACTGCCATTTTGTTTTGACATTTAGCCGAAAAAATTTCACTGTAAATTTAAAATACTTGCCATAACTGAATTGTCTCCGCCAGTAAGTGACATGTCCGCTCGGTTTCCCCAAAGACTAGTCTAAAATTTATTTTATAAACCCATGACGGTTTTAGCACTAACTAATACTCACCTTGATCATGCAATTCAATCCAAAGGTCTCGTGAACTGGGGCGCCGTCTTCGACAATCGAGAGAAGGTACGAAATCGAGTCTTCCATGTGAGAAATGCTGCAATTTCTACTATTTCATATTTTGTAATCACTAATTACTGGTCAGTGAAGCTCGCAATTTTGCTAGATTTGAAATAGTCGTAATCACGAAGCTTTATGGTGGAATAAGCGGCTCCATAAATGGTTCGGTACAGATAACATTCGACAAATAACCAATCCCCGCGATACCAAGTTAAAGTCTCACATTCCAGCTGCTGAAATAAATAGTAAAAAGGTATGGATACTTCTAAAGATAATTTTAAGCCATACAGGGTCTTTATCGCGTAGATCATCTAAAAGTTCATTCCACATCGTTGCATCTGGCGCATTGTCGTAAAAATTCGTCAAAGGCTTATCTGTCATAATAAGGTAACGAAGCTTCGAAAGAACTTCCATAAACGAACGAACGTCAGCCTCTGCTTCCTATAATCAATTATTGAATTATTCTAGAAAAAAATCACGTACTTCTCCGTAATCCAGGGTTATTTGCTTCATATCTCGTTTTAAGGAATCCACTATTTTGGTTACAATTTTAGGCCATCTATCTTTGATTGTAATATACGCAAAGGTGCTGAAAACAAATGATACACACACTTTTAAAAATCGCACGCACCCTTCTCTTCGTCCGTTGAGTTTCGGAGCGATTTTGTCCAATTCCTCACATGTCGCCATAGTACCCCGTTTTGCTGGTTCAACCCTACGTTTTCTGTAATCAAAAATATATATTTAAATGCAAAATTTAATAGGAAATACAATGAAACAAGCGAACACAAAAACAAAAACAAGAGAAGTACGGTGTACAAAGATGTGCGCCAAGATGTCCGCAAACATCGCAGTTGACGCGCAAAATTTGAAATAAATATGAATTTTCTCGAATTTTCCACAATTTCCTCGACTGTTGTCTCTATTGCACACACGGCCATTTTTGTCGTTTTTCAATGTAGGCTAGTGCGTTTTCGTCTCAATTTTTGAGTTTTTCATTTTCATTTCTGACATAGTCGCTTCTAAATTAGAATCTTTCGTCGGCTTAATCATTCCCGGCCGCTTGTTGTCGATGATATGTGCAGATTCGTAAGTTTTATGCAGTAAGTTTGCACTTTCTAATTAAATTGTTTTCGAAATGAACTCGAAACAGATTCATAATTTTAATTAAAAAGGACATGATTCACCAAGATTAGAAATCTGTTATAAGAAAATGCATTACTAAGCGGATCTTCGGGGCTTGAAAAGGATACTTTCTCACAACGTGCTTGGAATAATGTAAAACTTCTCAAATTTTGAGTTTATTATGTGGGAACATAAGGTGCTTTGACGAAAACTGCATTTGTCACAATGGTGCAAAGGTATTTCGAATAGTCGCTAAAAATTGTATAGGTTATGTCAAACAAAGATAAGATTTCAGTGTCAATATAAAATTTTTAAAATTGTCACATTAAAATTTCAAAATTGATAGACGAACTCACACAAAATTACTGACAAATTTTAACGTTCAGGTTAAGATCGATAGCAAACCAATTGAAAAAGTTGAAATTCGAATTTTGCAAGTTATCACAAGCAATTTCTACCTGCTTGTATGGTAGGAGATATCATTTTGCAAAACTTATGAAATGCAGATTGCTTATCAAACCCATTCCGTGACGCGTCAAGAGAGTTATTGTGGTGTTCTCGTTATACATAGTTGTCGGGGAATTTGAAAGAATAGGGGAAAATAATTTACATGAAACGTCCTAGGATCAAAAATGTCAAAATGCATATCCATTAAATCAACATGACAAATTTTGAATTAAATAAATGTTTGTTATAATACGGATTTCAGAATCTGAAAAATTAATGCATTTTTTTGGTTATTGCTTATGCTCACAATTATCGTTATTATTTTAGTAATTTAAATCAAACGCGATTGGAATTCATAAATTATAAAAGATATTCTGGAAAGAACAATACGTTTTTCCCGCTTCGATATCAGTTCAGTTTGAAAATTTGTTCAAAACATGTTTCTTTGCTGTCCTTATCAAAAAAATTTCCGCGATAAATTTTTGAATCGATGATATGGGGGACTTTGCAGCATATGTTGCAAGTAGTAAACGATAGAAATTATAAGAAAATTAGGTGAAAGTGTTCGTCTAATGTCGAAAACTGAAGAAAATGAGAAGAGATTGAGAGATACACGTGGCGCTTCGCTACCCAGACATAGAGCAGTGAAACAAAAATAAGAATGCAGGCACGCCCGTTGTAGATATAACTGCGAATAATGTGACGATCATTTCTTATTTACACGTAATAGCTCTATAGTTCTCTCAATTTTGTAATTACTGCGTCCGCGTCGCTCCTTTAATTGATAATTTGCGTGGGAACAGTCGGCGATAAATTCAGTTAAAGTGGAAAACTAAGTTCGGCGGTGAGATTATCTACACCAATTAGGATTTCTCATTTGGTCTGCTTTTATGAACTTTCTAATCCCTCACGGATTTATTCTCGATATAAAACGAAACAAACACCGAATATATACAAAGCTAATCTTTATCCTTTTGTGAACCTTTTATTTCTATTGAGTATCCCGTAAAATATTGCCATCAAAAAGTTATAAACAACAATAACTACCTCAAACACGCTCAGTTTCTGTTAGAGGTAGTATGGTTGCTTAGAACTTTAATAGGCCTGAGTAGGAATATTGTTGGCGTATATGGCAGTTGAATGAAGTGTCTTCGAAGACAAAAATTCTATGAATTGACGGGATGGGCGGAGCTGTATGATAGGACATCGCTTTCTAATCTGGTTCACTCGTCTTCTGCGATTAATTACCTTTTTCTGCCTTTGCTCTCTCTTTCTCTTTATGTTGCCATAGTACATCGTGACCACGCCCACTTCAACACCTTTCCGTTTACGTGTTTCTCTCTGTGAAATTCTATATCTCTTGCTACTTTGAAGTAATAGTGCGATCTTTAGCTACCCATACACAAACGCACGCAAGAATGTCTGAAGCTATTGATATTACACCGAAACAAGACGGAGGTGTCCTGAAGAAGGTGATCCGAAGCGGTGAAGGCATCGCTAAACCAACCACCGGCACCACCGTTAAAGTAAATGCGGAGAGGCTGAGAACGGAATTGAGATGGTCATGATTTCCAGGTTCACTATGTTGGAACACTCCAATCAGATGGATCAATGTTTGACTCGAGCCGTGATCGTGGGGAAAGATTCTCTTTTGTTCTTGGACGTGGGCAGGTAAATTTTCATGAAAATCGAAAGTTGTAACCGAAAACAAAGTGCGCAATTCAGTGTATATGATAATAAAATGCTTATAATTCTTATATCAATTGCGATCATACTTCATGGCATAAAATATTTATGCGGATGTTTTTAGCACTTCAAATAAATATGAGAATGATTTCTTGTTGAGGTTTGCCAACGATTTGGTAGTTTGTAGTTTCGTTGTCAAAGAACTTTTTTGAATTTGAACGCATTCAATTGTTTACTTCGACGCTACTTTGAAACTTTGAACTAACTTCTTATCGCCACATCTTTCTTCACTTTCCCCTATGAAAAGGTCAAACGATAACATTTATATAACATTGCTTAATATACACTCAAACACAAATTTTCCTGTTTTTCCTGTGGAAAAATCTTTAGCACGACTCCTTCGACATTTCTGCATCATATTTACATGTATGCGTGCAAACTAATAAGCAAGATTTCCGTCTCATTAGAATGTCTTGTAGTTATTATAACATAAGCTGCTTATGAGTAATGCGGGATCTCATCATTAGCTTAAATGCGCTGGTCTGTGTTCTTATTAATCTTGCACTTTTATCTGGCAAAATCATCTGCGCAGTTGTGTGGTGATACGTCTTCGTTCTCGTCTCTCTCGCTTTACACAATTCTTTCGTTGGTTTCGAGAATACGAGCGAGAGACGCTGGAAGTCCAATAATCGTGACATTTTTGTAGACTGAAAGTGCATGTAGGGGGCGGCGCCTGCACGGCTGATGTGCCTCTCGGTGCCGGGCCCGATGTTTGTCGGTTTCCTTGGTTTTTTATGTAGACCAACTGTGAAACGTTTAGTAAGCGATTGAAAATCATGATTAGTACGAAATGCCTTCGGGATGTTGAGGCGACTAGTGTAACATGCGCGCAACAATCTGAAGGGAGGGCCGCGCAATGAAGAGAACATTTTTTGAAAAGGACAAGTGTTTTTGTGAAATGCGAAGCAAAAAAATGGAATAATGCATAAACTGTAAATGAATAAATTAGAAATTTAGGTTATCAAAGGATGGGATATTGGTGTTGCGACAATGACACAGGGAGAACTTGCCGAGTTTACGATCCGTTCAGACTATGGATATGGCGATTCCGGAAGCCCGCCGAAAATTCCTGGTGGTGCCACTTTAGTGTTCGAAGTTGAATTGTTCGGATGGAGTGCGGAAGATATCTCGCCCGAGAAGGATGGATCGATTTTACGAACCATCATCGTTGAAGGATGCAAGAACACAAATCCGAATGATACGAGCAAGGTGAATGCTCATATTGTCGGAACCCACAACGGAAAAGAATTCTACAATCGTGACGTCGAATTCTGCATTGGTGAAGGATTGGAAGAACATCTTCCGGAAGGAGTTGATCGTGCGCTTCGTCGATTCCAGCTCGGCGAGAAATCAAAAATTGAAATCAGCGGATCGCGATTCACCTACGGAAATTCGCCACCGCCAGGCACTGACCTTCCGCCGAACGCTCCCCTCGAATTCACTATTTTCCTTAAGAACTTTGAAAAGGTGCCGGCGACATGGGAGATGACCGCGGAACAAAAATTGGAGGCCGCGAAATCAGCGAAAGAAAGAGGAACCATGTTCCTTCAGAAAGGTGAGCGAGAGAAAGATAATTTTGAAAATGGTTTGTCGTAATTGCGACGACTCAAATAACGAAATTTTGTTCGCTTTTGAAATAATTTTATAATGGGAATTTGTTGAAACCGGTTTTGAATTAGGAAGCAGGACTATTTTTTGCAGGCAACCTCAGACTTGCCTACAACAAATACAAGAGAATGGAGGACGTTCTCGAATATGAAAGAACAACGGACCCAGAACAAAAAGAGCAGCGATCGGCCCTCCTTCTTAGCTGCTATCTGAATCTTTCACTTGTCACCTCAAAACAAAATGAACAACTTGAATGCGTTAAATGGTGCGACAAGGCTTTGGAAATTGCGCCGAAGAATGTGAAGGCGTTGTACAGAAAGGCCGGCGCTTTGTTCGTCATCGGTGAAATTCGCGACGCTATGAAGCTATACGAGACCGTTGTTGAGATTGAGCCTGACAACAAGGTAAATGTAAGATGATGTTTGGTAATAATTTTGTTTTGTTTAGGCTGCTGTGCAGCAAATTTTGAACTGCAAAACAAAACTTCGCGAACAAAACGAGCGCGATAAGAAGCGTTTCAAGAACTTGTTTGGCAAAATCGCCGATGAACCATTGCCAGGACCTAGCGGAATCAACGAAATGGAGGAGCCGCAACCATCGACCAGCAACGAGAGCATCTCAAACGCCTAATCGAATAAGTTGTCCATCAATTTTTTACTTGTGTTTCTATTCCCCATTTTTTTCAAGAAGTGTGATCTCTTTCATCCATGTGTTTTTATCAATAATTTATGGCATCAATTAATATTTGAATAATGAATGCATAGCTAGATTATGATTTCTTCGCCGAAATTTCCATTAGCGGCACACGAGTATTCCAACTTCCATCGATTCGAACTGCTTATTTGCTCACCGGCGTCGTAGCTGATGAGCATACTTGACTTTGTCGACTTGATTATTCGCGGAACGTCGGCTGATAATTGCCGTATGATTTGAAGTTTTGGACTTGATTCGGTTGGTCCATTATAAAACTTGATGCGATCACCGGAATCAAGACGTATTTCTGATGTTCTAGAATGAGCTCAGAAACTGAATTGGTTCATTACCTTTAGTAGTTATAATCACGTAATGCCCTTCGATGCATTGAACGAGATAATTTTGTATCAAATATGAATCTGGTGAACTTGGATAGTTGTTTGATGTCAGTATCCCGTACGAGTTTGTGAAGATCTTTAATGGAAGCGGAGTTCTGAATTGAAGAAAAATTTAAATAGAACGGGTTCGGAATATACAGGGCTTTATAAGAGGCAGTGAAACCGCGATCCACAACATCTTCGTCGGAGTTAAAAATGATCATTACTCGATTACTCGGGCAGATTATTGAATAATTACGATGATTGCCGGAAAGTCTGCAAATTGAGAAATGAGGAATAATCAGGTTAACATTGGGGGCATATTGGAACCTCGCCAATGTTCTTCCATTCGTTGAGAATCCGTCATATACTGTTACGATGTCGGTTGACTTTTCAGTCGAGACTTCCACAAAATTCAGAAGAACGCGGGTTCCATTTTCAGTCTTGCAATTTTTTTTCGACGACATGATGAATTTCGCGAACAATTTTACCTTTATAATATATGTTTCAAACTCTTCATTATCATAGTTTTCTGGGTAATTCGGACTCTCGATGGTTGCTTCTTCGGCGGTAAACCAATGAGCATTCACTCTAAATTGTCGCTCGTTTTCAATCGAAAAAATTTAAAACAAAAATTACTCATTGCTAGGCATTCGACACATGAAAAATTGCGAATAATCGCAGCTGATTGCCTTCCATCCGTCGATGTTCTCGTCAATAACCCAGGCAATGCAATCACCCTGTACACTCGGTTCACCTAGTTGATGCGAAAATTTCATAAAATGTCTATAGAAATCACAAAAGAACCTTCAAGAAAATGTAAGTAATCGTCAGCTCTTTCGGAATTTGTCCAGGTGAAATTTGCAGTCTTTTCACTCCAAGAAAGACCAATCCACGAAAAGAAGCTCGGATTTTCATGAATCATGAAATCTAGAAATTTTCGATTTCATGAATGATAGCCTCAAAAGAAACCTCGAACTATCGAAGCTTCATCGTCTGATCGAATAAACATCAAATGAGAATTGAATAGTCTACAATAAGTTTCAGCATCTCTCCAGTTTGCAGGCTGTATGGGCGACAAGAAGCACGAATCGAGCTGGGCAATGTAAGTAAATGCGACCGGACATGCACCTTCAAATTATTAGGACAATATTGTCTAGGAAACACAAATTTCTCTCTCCCTTTTCGACAGACAAATACAGAATGCGAAATGGAAGATTTAAAATATGCCAACTAGCTGAGATGAAACTCGAAAAGAAAATATTTCTAGTAATGATTTCCTCGAAACAACAAATTTTACCTTCAGATTGAGCATGAGTCACCAGTGGAACGAGGAATAAAAGAGTTGCGAGCATCATGTGAATGTTTGAAATGTGTGTAAGACGTATCCTTGTTGTCGAACGGAGTGTGATTTCGAATTGACAAGTCCGCCCTCCCTTCACCTTTCTCCCATTAAATCCCGCGAGCTTCGACTATCGAGTCTCAAGTTCACTTTCATATGTCGCATCTTTTAGGTTCTCAAAATTTGACGTCTACCCGGTCATACGCCGTTTTAGAGTTTACAATGTCAGCTGAGTTACACAAAAACCTGACAGAAATGCGACTTTTCAAAACGACGTGGGTCTTTCTAAATATTCATTGATTCTATTTTTAAACTCGAAAAAAGAAACAAGTTCGAAGCTATTTGTTAAATACAAATGGTGATGAAGAAAGATTCGCCGATTTCTGATGTTGACGTAGCCTATCAGTTTATCTGAAACGAAAATAAGATTATACTTGAATTTACGTCTTGGCTGAAACAGCGTTGTTTTTGTATTCAGTGAAACAATGCCAAATTTTGGGAGAAAGAAAGAAATAAAAAATAGAACCAATTTTTTGTTTCCCTTAAAGACACTATGTTGTTCAAAACCGAAGGAACCCCCTTTCGCCAGTTAAGATAATTATGACAATTTGCAAAACAATAATCATAAGAATTCATCTTCATCCCATAGATTTTTACTTATTTTTGAACAGTGACTAATTCAAACTTTGTATGAAAATTGATTTGTATTGTAATAATGCTTACATAATCTTGAAAGTTCTCAAAGAAGTTATTAATTTCTGAAAAAAACTTACTTTTCTGGGAAAGTGTCAAGTCCCGCAATACGGTACTGGTTTCCCGTAAGGCGATGATCTCTTTTTGAGAGCTCTACTCTGAAAATTCGCAAAACTTTAATTTTTTGCTTTCAAAGAAACCAAACCTTTGTGGAGTGCACATATTACGGCGGAAAGCTCTTCCAACGTCCCATTTGTTGAACGGATAACTCATGTAAACGGCTCCAGCAACGAAAGCGGTTGTAATTATTCCAGAGTAGAACTGTTCGAACCACATAGCTATAACCGATTTCATCTTTTGATTTGAACATATTAAGATGGAAACTATTGTACAAAATATTTTTTAATTTATAAATAAAGAAATAAATATATAAATAAATATATAAACATCCTAAGTAGAAAAATTAGTGCAAAATTATCAAATGATGAAAACGATACAATGATAATTTATTAATATAAATAACGCGAAATTCTTTTACTCGGGCAGATATAAATTAGGAGGCGGGCACACGGGAAATGCGGCGCGCACAACTGCAACCCTACCGCATAGTGTTACGATAGAATTTTTGTCGAGAGTTGAATGAAATTTTGATATTGGAAATTAATTTTCTTTAATTTGGAATGAAAGTGGAATGTGTATTATTGATTAATGGGAAATCTAAAATGGATCTTAAATTACCAATTCGAAGTTTCTACTGCCGATAGAATGAAAAAATTGGAAAAAATTGATAATCAAGAGGTCTATAATTTTATGAATAATTAGGTCATTATTTTTTTATGTTATTGGTTTTGGAGGCTATAAAACGAGCATAATTTTCGTAATAAATCATTCTGCTCACAATGAATTTCGCGGTAGTTTTGCCCATCTTATATAATATCATTATTTCTTATTTCCAGACTCTTGCCTTAATAGCCATATTCTCAATTGCGATGGTTTGCGCGGATGAAATTACCACTACTGAGTCGATTGGCACTACAACTACGGCAAAACTCATCAATCGGTCCAAGGGAGCCACTGGGAAGACTCGATGTGTCGCACAAAAAGATTGTTCAAATGAACGCGTCTGTGAAGAAGGCGAGTGTTTGACCGCTGAAGAAGTCTTCCAGAAGCACATGAAAAAGGGAAATTAATTTGTTGGAATTTCAATAAATATTATTCACGCATCAACCTGAAAAGAGAGCTGTCGAATGTTATCTTATTAAAGTCTCCTGAAAAAAAAACTAATTCTCGGTTCTTTAGTCAAAAATATGTAATACATATATGGCAAAAATTGGTCATAAGATTAAATATGTAGATATTTTCCTTCGTATTGTTTTTGGATCATGCGCGTCATGCTCGGCCAATGTGCCAAACAACAAAATCGGGCGTCAAGCTGTCAGCACGCAAGGCGGATCAAACCGAACGCAAACACGAACCTGAATTGACAAAAACGTTCCATTTTTTCGTGATTCAATATTTCACTCGCTTGCACGTACCTAAAATTTGTATCCATTGCCAAAATATTCGGGAGAAAGCGGCGAGAGAACGACGAGAACGAATCCGGATTGCATACCAGGTCAAATCATTGTTATTATTATTATCATTCCGCATGGCGGGAGGGCGTCTGAATTCACTTTCATTCTTAATTTTATTTTATGCATTTTTGGTGATCCTCTTGTCCATTGTTTCATTCAGATTTTCGCCATTTTAATACCCAATTTTGCAGTTGGAATGACAACAAAAACCGCGCCGAAACAGGGCACAACGCCGAAACAGCTCAAGGAGAAAAGTAAAAAGAAGGCAACAGCTCCGGAGCCTCCAAAAAATGGTCCACCAAAAACGACGCCGCCAAATACAATCGAGAAAAAGGGAATTCTCCGAAGTCTTTCGTTTCAGGTAACATTTCAAAGTTTTCATTTGTTTTGGAAATCCTTATAATTTTCATATTCTTTTTTCTCCCAATTTCTCAAAAATTGATCATTTTCATTATTATTATATTATGCGATGTTTTATTTTTATTTCATGTTAAGTTAATATTTATTTCAGTTCTCAAATCTGACTCGTAAGAAGTCCAATGATTACGATTTGACACCTGAAGAAGATGGTCAAATTGAAGAACTTGGCCCAGTCCTTGGTGTTCAATGTTACGGAATTCTTCTAAAAAAGATTAAGCGAAACAATCGGCCAGCAAAATGGACCAAACGATTTTTTGTTTTGAAAGAGTGTTTCCTCATATACTACGCAGCGAGTTTTCGAAAAGTTTTCGAAAAAACTAAAAGAATTAATATGCATCCGAAAGTAAAAATGAAGTGTCTCTTTAGAGATCATCGAAATAATTCAGGGAATAATTCCTCTTATTGGCTGTTCAATCGTTTCTGGTGGAGATGTTGATAAGAAGAATTGTCTTCTCATTGCGCATCCGCAATTTCCCAGTGCGATTATTGTAGCTGCGGCTGATCATGCGATCCAGGAAAAATGGTTGAAGGCATTAAGAAGTGCCACTAAAATGTATGTTTCGGCTTTTTGTTGATCAACTTTTTTATAATGCGAAAAATGTTTTATTTTTCAGCTCGTACAAAAACACAGTTGTTGGAGAGACTATGATCCGCGAATTGGAAAACCGTGGAGTAATGCTTAACGAAGAAAAGAAAAGCTACGAAGAACGTCTTGAAGCAGAAGCAAAAGCTCGAAAAGAGCAATTGGAGAGAGCGAATGTGAACAAATTATATTGGAAACGACTCGAAATAATTATATTCTTTAGGAATTGGAAAAAGACAAAGAGGAGCTTGAAGCAGAACGCGAGAAATTGATTAAAACAACGAAAAAGCTTAAAGACGATCTACAGAATGTCAAAAAGTGGAAAAATATTTTTTTAATTTTTAATTTCAATATTTTTCAGTGAACTTAAAATGACGAACGAAATGAAGAAAACTTTGGAACAAGAGAAAATGTCGTTGAATTCAAAGACTGAACATCTCCAAGCGAATATGGAGAGTTTGAATATCGAAAAAGAGAAAATCCAGGAACAACTCGCCGATATTGTGAAAGAGAGAGAAAAAGTGCTTATTGACAATCAGAATTTGTCGACAGACAAGTGCCAATTGAGCAATCGCCTCATGGAAATTGAAACGTCGCGAAATTGTATTGCAACTGAAAAAGAAAAAATCGAAATGATGCTGAAATTGAACGAACAGAAAACGTTGGATTTAGAGAAGGAAAGGCAATACTACACGAATAAAACTTCAGAATTAATGGATCATCTGAAGGTAAAATACTTATTTGGATTATAATTCATTGAACTTGTTTGTTCAGGAAGTAAGTGATCAGAAGGAAATGACTGAAGCTGAATTGCGTGAGCAAATGATGGCTCGTATGGGAGCTGAAAAACAATTGCATGCAGCTGAAAAAGCACTGGAGCATCTCGAAATGGCTCTGAAAATGACTGGAGCGCAAATGACTGAGCTTCAAGAGCACATTCTTCCAGATGTCCACAAACTTCGCAGTATTCAAAAATTCAAATTTATAAATTTTGTATATTTCAAAATGCTCAGAGTTCTTCGAACAATGTGCTGAAGAGGCCCGATTTGAGGCGAATCGAACGGGAATCATGAGACAGGCAATCTATGCCAGAAAGTAGGAATTCTTCTTTATTCATTTTTCTCCTAATACATTTATTCATTCAATACCAATATTTAATTATCCAGAAGTCTGTTTGAGTTGGGATTTCTTCAATTGGAAAACGTGCCTTTAAACGAAATCGAAAAAATGTTTGATGAAAATGGGAATAATGTTGCAAATCGTGGGCGTGGAATTAGTGTTGCGGGAAGAACAAATTTTAAGCGAATAGGGTATAATTGAGTGCTCCTCTAGCTTCATTCTATCTTTTTTTTACATACAAATTCGCAGTCTTTCCAATATAACATCATGTTCTACTTTTACAATATTTGGATTTCAGATCAATTAGAAGATCGAAACGTGGATTCCGTTCATCATTGCGTAAGAAGGCAGAAATCCGTGAAAAGGAGTGCTCATCTCCACTTATGCAGCTGTGACTAATAAAATATGTCATTTACATCACCACATTCACTATTTTTTATTATCAGCTGTACATACTATTAATATATTTATAATAAACTTTCTACTTTTGTTTTTGTTATTGTAACATATGAGAAGCTGCGCAAATACAGAACTTCCTTTAAATATCAATGTTTTTTGTATTGTTAGATAAAAATGCGTTTCCTACCAATTTTTTTGTTCAGCTTTTTCTTATTTACTGCCGCAGATGTTAACAGTAACTCAAGGTGAGAGCATAAAGAAATTATCACTTAAAAAAAATTCAAATTATAATCGTTTCAGATGTGCTGACGTATCATTAGAATGCCCAATGAGAAAAAGTTTATGTTCCAATCGAGCGTATGACGGTGTTATGTTCAAACTCTGTCGAAGTACATGCAACTGGTAAAGTTTTAAAAGTGCCAATTTATAGCTCCTTTCTGTTTTTTTAGGTGCAATCGTAAGATTAATGATGTTGTCGAGGGAAATGTGCACTATCGGGCTCCACTCAGACGTGAGTTGCTTATTGCGCCCTTCATAAATATTACTTTTCAGCGGCAACCACAACGGTAAAACTATTAAATGAAAATGGAAATAAATCGAGCACGGGTACACTCTTCAATTCACATCGACTTTAGCAAGAAAAACAAAAAACAATTTAGGAAGATGTGCTGATTTCTCGCTTCACTGTTCTCGATCAGTATCATTATGTGAAACTCCAGACTATAAAGAGATGATGCATACCAAATGCCCTATATCGTGTGGAATATGTTGATATTCATTTTGATTGATTTATTTCAATAATAAACACTAACTTGCTATTATGGTGCTATGTAGATTTTTTGTGTCACCCAAGTGGGTACAAATGTTTGAATACTGATTTTTAAATAACATTTTCGTTAGATTTTAGTTTCGATGTATTAACCAATCGGTCACCTGTAATAATATTCTGGTCAAGATCATAGGAACGCCGGAAATATAATGGGCATGTTCATACAATATAAAATGATTTTCCAAGGCGGAGGGAAGGAGGAATGTAAAAAATGTAATTTTTTTTAAACATTGTTCCATGAATAGTGAATAGTCCTATAAGCCAACAATAATACAAATTTGCATATATTAATTTATTCAGGTATATTGCTTGATTTGAATTTTTTGGAATGAAAAATTTGCGCTTCTTGTGATTCTGTATACAATGTCGGGTTAGACGAAATAATAGCCTCACTTGAACTTCCAGATTTTGAACGATCATGAACTGGATGGGAAAAACGACACTTATCGCCAAAACGGCATCTTCCTTTCAAATAAGCTCTGAGTAAATGAGATTTAAATTCTAAATTTGAGTAAAAAGGCTTACCTACAAGTTGACATCGCCTTCTTTTGGTCTACCGCTGGTTTTTCTGAAAGATCCACGTGCTGACTGAGTGTTTTCATTTGGAAACGTTCCTCTCGCGAATACGAATTGTCAAAAATGCTGCTCTCCTAAATGATCATTGAAAATTCATGTGTGAAAACTAGCGGATTTACGAAGTATGTTCCCAGCTCTGTGACTAAATCATTCGCTTTGCGTTTTCGAATGAATCGATTGGCTTCTGGAATGAATATTTTTATGAACATTATTTAATGCATTGACGAAACTTCGTTATCAAAGAACTTCTTTTCAATTAATTGTCAAAAATTACAAGCATTTCGTATAATTTATTTACGTCAACGAGATAAAACAAACCTTCTGGATCGTCATCTTCATTTGCTTCATCAGAATCACTCGCGTCAGATTCTTGAACAAAAAAGAACGACGCTGCTTTAGATATATCCACTGTTTTCAGCCCATTTTTCGTCTTATATGCAAATAAGTGATAATGATTTTGTTCGGTGAAACCAACCGTCAGTTTCTTCTTCATCTTCTTTTTCTTCATTTTTTCCGAAGAAATCTTCGTCGCTATCTCCATCACTACCATAATTTGCAAGAAGATCCATTATTTCGTCTAAAAATAAACAAGATAGGAGAAGATGGATGGATGTAATGTCATTTATATAAAGCATTTATTTTTTTAATAGTTCTGAGCTGGCCGCTAAAATTGAATATGTATATGACCGTAAATTTCTAGTCCGCGCGTTTTATGAAATCTGATAACAATTTGGTTGGGAAAAATGACTCGAAAATTGAAAAAATTAGAACATTTGAAATTTGTTTAGATTTCAATACCGAAAAAAAAGAAATATAATATTCGTTTCCTATTTCTTTTTTTTTTACTGCATAGAAAATTTTCTGCATTGCGCAATACAGAATAAAATTAATATTAGCAAGGACGATTTCCGAATAAATTTTAAGACAAATACATAGAGGCATGGAGAACTTGGAATAAGAATCAATTATTTTTAAACATTATTTTACAATCGAATCAGGTTAATTTATATTTCATTTTTCTTCGAATCTGTTCGATTTTCATTTACCGAAGATTACACATTAGCTTCACAATTCGGAACTTAAATTTTAATAAATTTTAAGATTTCGGAAAATGTTCTACCATAATCTCACATTTTATATTTCCAGTTCGGCATCATTTCGTTATGGTTTCGCACGGACTAGCTGGATATTTTGCATTTTAGAGACCATTTTGGCCATTTTTAATTTTAATGACGTTTTGAATTTAAGGAGAAAATAAAATCAAGAATAACTTGTCGACTATATGGCAATTTACAATGGTTTCAAAAAATTATAAACAATTAGTTCGTAGCGCTCTCGCAATTTTTTTATGGTAATAATTTCAAATTGATGCTACATTTTATTTAATAATAATCTCATAATAAGTGGGAATTTTTTGCGAATATAAATATAATTTTCCATCAACGTTTCCCAATGAAATAGCTATATAAAATAAACGCATTGAACGAACGCTTCAAAAATGAAATTTGCGTTCATTTTTGTTGCGATTCTCACGATTTCTATTTTTGAAAAAGTATGATTTCGTTAAAAATAAGACAAGCATTACTCTTTAATTTAGGTATTTGGCAATCCTGAGATGAATGATTTGGATATTGAGAAGTTAGAAAATGATTATCTGCTTTTCTTTTTATTGTAATTGAGTTTGATTTCATGAATAAATCTGACAAGATATTCAATGATATTTGATTTGTGACTCGTTTGATGGCGAACTTCGCGATTTATGAGAAGGGTGCCGCGAAGCGAACTGGAATTAACGAAAAATTCCACTATTGTTATGTTATGTGCTTTCGATTCAATTGTTTTTTTTTTTAACTTTCTTAATACCAATATGCCAAAATATGTATTTCGTTGAACCTTAATATTTACAAATGACATCGTGATTTCTTCGTTTGATTGGCATTTGTTTTACCAATAAATACATATCTATTTGCAATTGCAAACGAGGAATTTATTCATTAATTTTGCCGATTCAAACTTAACTTGTTTTGATAAAACTAAACAAATTTAAGTGGAGTTTCTGAGATTTCGAATTGTCAACCATCCAAAACGTTTTTCTCGAAACACCTTGAATCTGTAAAATTCCAAATTCAACGATTAAAGAAACCAATTAACCTCTTATAGTAATTGTCATTTTCATTTGGCTCTGAAATTTCCATTTTTTGAATTCCGGCCTGAAGCAAAATTTATGATTGTGATTTTTGTTTGTTAACCTCATCAGGAATTGAGATTTCTTCATTCGTCAAAGTCTTTATCTTCAATACTTTGAGAAGTGGCCGAATTATCATTCCCTTAATTTTAAAAATTAGTTAATTAACCTAATTTTAACATTAATAAACCTTAATTAATTATATGTATTTTGTACAAGATATTTGAAAACGTTACTTGAATAATAACAGAAAAGAAAATGACCGCCAATGTTGCCGTGGTGAACATTTGCTTTCCTTCGATTTCGTCGGACATTGAAACCACAATTCCAAACGCAATTGCTCCGCGCAAACCCCCAAAACACATGACCAGTTGCTCATTCTGAACCAACCTCCCATACGTTTTCATAATATTAATAATGTATTTACCAGGTTTATTTTCTGGTTTCTCAAACAACCTAAAATCCACGACAATCCCAAAATGGCGACAAATCGGTAGATAAGGCAACTAGCGATTGTTGCAATAACAAACAGCGTATCCCAGTGGTGTGGTACCGAAATCACAGCAAGTCCCAAAAGTCTGGAAAATGAATATTTGTTTTTTTTTCTTCTATATATTTTCCATGTTACATAAATGTAAACGATTCCGATGAGATTGCAAGGTTTCTTGTGAACGTTTTGATAGCCGAAAGCGATTCAGAATCGACATTTTTGCGGATGAACTGTCTCAATGTCATACCACATACGGCTGCACTTAAAGTTTATAATTTACTAGATTTTCTTTTCAGATTTATGTATGGCCTTACGCAATTATTGAGGAGAACGAAAATATTTCCGAAACTACATAGCCCAGGTAGGATAGAATGAATACTATTAATGATGCGATTACAGGAGCGCACTGAGAATACCTTAAAATTTGAAATAATTGCGAATTATTTTTTAACAATTTAAATCATTTTTATCGGATTTGCTTTGACATTTTTCAACTCACTTTGTTAGCAATGCTGTTGCGAATGCGGTCACAACTCCGATCAACACACCACCCAGAGAAACAATGAAAAAACTGATGATTCCATAGAAATAGTCAATATTTTGGACAGAGTCGGCAGCAAGCGTAAAACTCTTGAATATTCCAAATAGAACCACGGAAATTGCATCATTGAATAGTGCTTCTCCGAACACAGTCACGAACAATGGCTTGTTCACGTGCATTTCCTCGAAGACTGCAATCACAGCAACCTATAAAAACTCATTTTTATTTTAAATTTTAAATATTTTATAATGATTAACTGGATCAACCGCTGATATCAGTGATGCGAAAAGTAGCATCTCAGACGTTTTCGGATTGAAGCTGAATAGCTTATATGAGCTCAAAAACGCCAAAGAGCCACCGATAGCGAATGTGTTGAAAACGGTTCCAATCACGGCGAATACCATGATTTTCTCGAAATTATTGAAGAAATCGCGATTTGGCATAAAGAATCCTGAATTCGATTAAATTGGTATAATTGTAGAAAGAATCGGTTTTTGAAAGACCTGCATCAAAAATGATGGGTGGAAGTAGAAATGAGAAGAAGGTGTGAGCATCGAAGTAGTAGAATTGTGTTGAGAATCCAGTTGCAGAGAAAATTGCAGCCAGCGCCAATCCGAGAAATATTTGAAGACCAGATTCGGGAATCTGATTGAATTTCTTTTTTAAATGGGTGAACGCAATTTTGGCGATGCACGTGACCAACAACCATAATGTCGCGATGAATATGAATTTCATTTCATCCCATTTCGGGTTTAAGATCTGTAAAACAAATGAAATTCGTATTTTTGAAAATTGATAAATTACTCTGAATCGATCGTTTGATGCTCCATCCACAAAAGAAAGGAGATTGGTGATTACCACGATGCATTTCGAAGTAGAAGACTTTATTTTGAATACGTTTCGACGGCGGTTTGTCGCAAAATGGAAATGAAAAGAGAAATGTGACCGAGTGAATGCAGCGATAGGTAGAGATAAACTGATTTATTATTCCCGTGATCGGTCAACTATTACTATCACTTCAAATTGACAAACTCTCGTTTTTTCGTGTCGATAAAAATTGGTCTTATTTGCAAGATAAACGCTCGAGTACACAGCAAAAATGGGACGGATATATAATGTGGCCACAGGAATTGTATCTGGTACCCTTAAGGAGGCAATAAAGAATTCAACATCATTAATTAAATTTGCTATCATATAATTTTCACGTTAAACCAAATTTAGTTCATATATGTATGGTACCAATGAAATCCCATCGTCGCATTTTACCTGTATGCATGAGATGCTACTTTTGCATTGGATACGCGAATTCGCGTTAATCAATTGAATTCCATAAAAAATAAATTGAGTGAATTAAATTGTATCAATTGGCTATGTAAATCGAATATATCGAATTATTATTTATCAATGTTCATAGTATCACACTCAATAAATCTATAGGTTTCTGAGAAAAATGTGATAGAGGTTAAAAAGAAGTTTCTATGAAATTGTGTTTGGTTGTTAATTCCAAAAAGAGTATTGTCGAGTACACGCGACTGCAACAAAATTGTCAAAAACCCAGGAATGTTCCCGAGCAGGGTTTTTTTTGCGCAAGCGTAGGCGACAAAATTAGCGTATATAGTGGAAGTTGCAAATGCGCCCCAGCAGTTTCAGTTTTTTTCAGCAGTTTTATTCATTATGATAACCGTATATAATGAAACAAGTTTCCATGAGATATTCAGTTTCAATCAGAGATCGCTTTGACAAAGAAGAGTGTTGTCTAAAAATGTAATATTCATATTGTTTGCTTTCCTGTCAGCATTCCAATGCTAATAATTGCCACCGTAAAACTTCTTATTGTTCGCCAAAGTCCGAACCCAAACCCGCAACCCGGCGAGCGAGGCCAGATCAATTGCGCAATAGAGATTGGAACCGGCTGTGTCCCAATCGTGTGAAGACAGAAATGCGATATGATAATCATCGGGTTTTTTTGTATCAATCGAAGATCAAAGATGATAGTTAGATGCAGTCTAGGATAATGATCACCAGTCTGGCAAATTTATTAATAAATGATAAAATGAAAACCATATGTTTTAAAAACGACAAAAAAACTTTTTTCCAAATGTTTCCATTTCTGTGTAAAACACACTTTTTTTACAGCCAAAACACCTTTTTTACAGCCTCAGAATTGATGTATTACGTTTAGCATGAATCGCTAGATGATTGATGGAAATATCATATCATCGAAGGCATAAAAATAGCATGATCTATGATTTCTTAAGAATTTTCTAAAACAGATTTATTAGCAGAAAAAATTATTTGCAGTATAATCATACACACTACTTAGTTATATCAGACAAAACAATGTGAATTGATGCTCATCAGACTCTGAATAGGTCTTCAGATTTACCATAAATAACCATTTATAAGTAATATAATATAACGATCATATTGTCGACAGCTGTAAAAACGTAATTATGTAGGTTTTCGTGTTTAAGCACAGCGCGCTACAAAATTTTTCCCTAAGTATAATTTTTTTATTAATTCATTCGTAGGATCCAACAGTGAAATCTTGCAGCATTCATAGAATCAAACTATTTTAATTGGAATATATTATATTGTATGGTTTTTTCCAATTTTTTCAAAACCGATTTTTATTTTAATTGATAGTGAAAATGAATTGAACAATAATCATTTATTCTAGTCAAGAGCATAAATAAGAAAACGTTCCATATATACAAACAACTGGGAAGACGACTAGGTCTAACACTTCAATTATCGACCATTCACATTGACGTCGGCATTAACGTTTACGTCTGATCCACTCGAGCTTGAGCTTGACGAGCTAGATGAGCTAGGCGAGCTTAAGATGAACTGGACGAGCTTCCTCCCGATCCACCGCTTCCTCCCTTCGGTTCCTCAACTCCTTCCTCAAGAGTAGCTCCACTATCGGATGTTCCGTCTTCGTATCTGTAGCACTTGACGGTCTTCTTCTTCTTCTGTAAAATCACAGTGTTGTTTCATTATTGAATTGTTTCGTGCTTACGGTTCTGCGGAATTTTCCGCCGCCGCCGCCGCCGCCGCTGTTATCCGAATCTGTCGATCTCTTAGATCTTTCTTCGATGTCACTGGTTCCGTCGACTGAAAATCGAAAAATCTGACTCAAGCACACTTTATTTGTCTTACCGTAATACTCGCAGTAACCGTGCGACTTGTGAACACTTGGAGCGCAAGCATAGGCAATAGTAATGAGGCCAAGAAGAATGATGATACTCCGAAGGGAAATCATGATGAGATGAGATGAAGCTTGCTGAGGCTTGTAGACACCTTAAACTCTTCACCTTTTATACCTCACTTTTTTCGACTCACTTGATACGCAGACAGGGTTACCCACCTTGAACATTCATATCAATTAAATAACGCAAGATCAATCATGTGTCGGACATTTGTCTACATTATGTCAGAGAGCCGACCATTGAAAATGAATGAGTTAGAAATTGGAATGTGCATAGTTGTACAAATGGTCCCTATCGACTGTATTTTATACATATATATTTTGAATGAATAGTTACTTTCAGAAACAATATAATAATATTTTATGCAAATTTTTCTCTAATGAAAAAAATAAATTAAAAACTGCAGTTTTCTTTTTCAAATTCAGTGCACATAATTAGGCCATTATTATTTAATGTTATTAGTTTTTGGGAGTATAAAATGAGTTGAATTTTCGAAATAAGTCATTCATTTCTACTGTTCATAATGAATTTCTTGGTAAGACCCTTTTCCTTAAATTTTCTCCCTCTGTATTCCTCATTTCCAGGCTCTTCTTCTCGTCGTCATCTGCTCGATCGCAATGGTTGAAGCTCTCGATTCGAGAACGATAAGATTCAAACAGCACCGAAAAATTTCATCGAGACCGCACTACAACATCCGCAAATCTTACTCAGGAAGCATGAGATGCCATGAAGAATCCGACTGTCCCGACGATCGAATCTGCGATGACGGATTCTGTTTGAATGTCGATCAGCTCTTCGAGAAATACGACAATTCTAATGAATACTAGTCATTTATAATTCAATAAATCATTCCAACGCAATTATTTATAAATTTCACGAGTCAATCATTATAGGAAAAAAACACAATGTTTTGGAGTCTTCAATAATAACCGCTATGATTGATTAATCCCGTGTTATCTCCAACTATCGAACAGGATATCAGTTACATAACTAAGCAAAACTGGAAGCTTAGATTATTATTTTTCCTGCATAAATAGACACATTCTAAACACATTTCCTTATTCTTTTGCACATTTTGGCAGAATTTCATTAAGTGATCTCAGATTCTTGAATATAAAATATTTGACAATCGCCCTATCTTATCTTTCCGCATTTTTTAAAGCACTCAGATCAGTCAAATTTGTGTGATCATGATCCGCACAGCTTCTTAGGCGAACTGACATGATTTGAAACCCGTTTTTTGCAGACAAATGACCTCGGTTTTGAGTATTATCGCTCTTTTGGGACTGGTTACTGTAGCATGGGTGTGTGCTTCCGGACCGAAAAAGGCGCATGGTTATTGCGAATATTACGGTAATTAAATTTGAACAATAATATTCAATCTGTTTCGTTTGCAGTCGATGGAACAAGTGACACGGAAGGTAGGAAGAAGCGATCAGGGGAAGACAGTGGAAGTGGAGGAGGTGGAGGAGGAGGTGGTGGAAAAATGAAAAGAATGGTAGAACGTTTGTCGAAATTATTGAAATCATCTGAATAAATTTTAGAAGAAGAAGAAAAACGTGAAATGCTTTAAATATGAGGATGGAACAATGGACCAAGGAGCAACACTGAAACCTGGAGTTCAAGATCCAGCAGCCAGTAGCTCGTCGTCTAGCAGCAGTAGCAGCTCTTCATCAAGCTCATCCAGCTTCAGTTCGTCGTCCGGATCTTCTGGAAGTACTAATGTAGACGCAGACGTGACAGTCAATAAAAGCTAGACATCTAAAATATATCTCTTCGTAATTTCCTAAAATGGCTATAATCCTTTTTCATTCATGATTTCCTATAAAACTGATTCCAACAAAATAAGAATACATTAGAGATATTGATAGTATTTAAACAATCTTATTCAAAAGATTCGACACAAATCCACTGATCTGCTTTTCCTTTTTTGTCTGTAGGTTATAGTCGAATATCTGAAATATGTGTTTGTATGGAAACGATTTGAATCAGATTCTTACAATTCTCTTCAAATAATCTGAAATTATAATCTTGCTTGTCGTTTTGCTGCCAATTGCGAACTGAGCCCTTTCGATTGACTTGTATTTGCGGCATTCGTTGAAGAGCAGCTCAAGACGATCCGCAATCGGTTGCTCTGGCTTTTCCATTGCTGAATCCCAATTGGCGAGCACTTGAATTGATCCCTCCTTGATCTTCTCATGCCGCTTCAACTTCTCGCCCTTTTCCATCATATCCTTGGTGAGTGGGGGCGGATCATAGTTGACTTTCGGAACCCCTTCAGGATGTTCCCAAAGATACAATTGAATCTAAACAAATCGGTTTTCCAAAGGATAGTTGAATCGAACTGGAAAGCTCACATTCCGATTAATGAATGCTCGCCGAAGAACGTTTCCATCTGCTCGATATTCTCCGAATGGCTCTTTACATTTATGGAATACCTCGTACATCATTGCGCCGAACCCATAAACATCAGTCAAAGCGGAATATTTTCCAATTCTCAGCGTTTCTGGAGCCATGTATCTGCGGAAGACGGAATTTGAGAACGCGTCAAGCATGCTCACCTGACAGGCAAACGGCCTCCTTTCCTCTCCGATAATCCTTTGCCAGTGGCGTCAACAACAGACAATCCGAAATCGGATATTTTCACCTTAAAATAGACATGAGCACGTAAACACCGAAAAAAAAATCAAACGTTCTCATCACCATCGAGTAAACAATTTCTAGCAGCAATATCTCTGAAATTCTCAAATTGAGAGCTGATCGAATGAGCGAATGAAGGAAGAACCTGTGAATGACACCATTTTCATGGAGATAATTCAAACCGTTTGCAGCACCTAGGAGATATACAATTTTTTGACTCAAACTAGTTCCCTTAATCGACAAAAAGATGCCAGAATTATTTATGATTATCGCGATACCACTTCAGAGATCATGTATTCCAAAGAATTTCCCATGCAAAGTTCCATTGCAATCATGACAGGATCATGAGCCGCAGTTACACCGTAAATTCGAATCACATTTAGCTGAAATGCTTCTATAATTTGCTCGTGGAAAATTTCGAACATGTTTGAATCCTTTCATCATATCAGCTTCTCGTAAAAACGACATTCTTTCTTCTGTTGTAAACTTGTGATCATGCAATTTTTTGACGGCAACTTTTATACGTGGACGAAAGAACGCTTTCTGATAAAACCAATTTTGAGATTGATATTCTAGCGGGTTTAAACCTGCAACAAGCCGATATAGACCTCTCCAAATTGGCCTTCTCCGATTTTTGTGACCAGTTCAATCTGAAAGGGCAACTTATTCAAATTAAAATATGTATGTCAAATTGAAAAACCTGTTCATGATTCAACTGATACTCGTACTTTCTCACTGGATATGTCAGCACCACAAGCTCGCATTTATTCCGCGACCGCATCCTTTCCATTCTCATTTTCTTTAACTCTTTTACAGCTGTGTTACGGTAAACAGCAATGTCTTCGTTCGTGTCGAGACACGCACGAAACGGTGTGCGGGTACTGTAGCAATAATTATTACATCAAAATGACACTATCATACGTTCGGTGAAAATCAATCAGCTGATTGATCGACTTGAATGCGTATGTGTCAACCCAATACAATCGTTTCTAAATGGGACCATTTTCAAAAAATTGATCACCAAAATTGAAACCCTGTTAGTGGTACGAATCACAAAATGATAAACGACATCGTAGTAATGCACACTGATTACATAATGCATCATATGGCCAACCAATGCTTTTCGAACTGTGTTGCTATTTGACAGTTTTGATTTGAAAATTGGAATATTTACTCAAAAAATGGCCAGTGTTTGCCTTTTTTAGTACCGATTCAGCTTCTTCTCTTTCCATAAATCCATGATAAAACATTTCGTCTTCAATTTTCTTCCAAGTTCGAAACCCAGTTTCTGGCACCTAAATCATCGTTTCATTTTTCCAAAAACCTCGAAATTTCTTTCAACTTGAATTAGTGAGTTCTTCTTTTTGTTTTCGACAGCGTATGGACCTCGTTGAAGGGACATCGGAGAAAAAATTTCTCGCGATATCGGCATACTTTTTTGAGCCATTTCGTTCAGTTTTGTTTAAATATAAATGAATAATTGAAAATAAGTTTCTCTTGATAGACAAAACACGTTATATTAAAAAATTGAATCAATTCATTGAGAAAAGAAAAAAAACAAAAAATGTACAAGTTCAATGCGAAAAACACGGTATTCAAAAACGTTCTACATCTATCTATCTATCATAAATTAATACAACAATCGGGAATTTGATTAGTTCTCATCTCCAAACGCTTCGTCAAGTATTCCCATCGGCCCAACTCGCGTCGCCGATATCTTCTGCTCCTCGTTTTCGACAACATTCTTCATTGCACTTTTGATCAGCTGCTTTTGTAGTAAAATCATCGAACTTTGATTATTCATCAGGAATTCTTTGAGTGACAAGAGGCCATCGGCATAATCCACTGAACTGCGTTCTGATGTCATATCGTATCCTTTCGGTGGTCGCAATCCCAATCCCATATAGCGCCGCTTCTTTTTGAAGCACAGAAATGAGCGATCCTCGACTTTGATATCCATTTTTTTGATAATCCAATTCAAAAGTTGCCTATAAGACATAATTAGTCGGGTTAAAGAAAAGGAAATGACAAACCGAACAACGATCGAAGAAACATTCGACAAACAGTAGAAGAAGCAAGCGCCCAGAGTGAGAAGAAGGAAATTGATGAATCTGAATTTAATCTCATAATGGAATTTTGTATAAATATTTGAATTTAAACCTGTACAGTCCTGCATCGATAGTTCCAATTTCCTGCTGATTCGAAACATAATCACCAAACCCGATTGTAGCGAAACTGAAATTCAATTTTTTGTTAAACACCCAGTTATTTCAAATATTTTCCCATGGACTCACTACAATTTTCCTTGAAAATTATACGAGATGGAAAAAGTTTCCAAGAAATTCATATTTTCACATTGTTTTTCGGTTTTCCTGTGGAAAATGCGTGGAGAAAAATTTTAATCACCTGATGAAACAGAAATAAAGTGAGTCGATATATGGCCAACTCTCGATATTCGAATAAACGAGAGCTGATAATGTGATGAGGATGAAGCACATGCTGAACAAGCCAACGAACACTTTGTACACTGATGGTCTCCAGTTATCCAACTGACCTTCACATGAGCTGAAATACAACAATTTAGTATTGCTTTTAGAATTTTTCATAATTTGAATATCAGGTATCAAAGGTTTACCTTGAAGACTCAGCAAAGTCCTCATTATTAATGAGAAGTGTGACTGGCTTGGTTCCATTTGTCTCTTTCATTCGTTTTTGAAGCTTCCTTTCTCGCATTTGTCTCAAAATGTACGACATGCCGGTTACGAGCCTTTCCAGGAAGAGATTGAAGAAGAGAACACAACAAGTGCACCCTACGACTCCATAAATTATTGTCATTAATCGGCCAAACGTTGTCCTTGGAGTTGAAGTTCCGAATCCTGAACATGAACCACTAAACACTTGACTTTCTTATCGGTTACTGTACCTATTGTTGAGATTACTGTACCCGAGAAGAAAAGCGACCCAAGATAATCGAACCTTGGTCTATTATGGAGAAGCCCGCCAGTGGCCCCATCGGCAATCACCTGCACCATTCTGTCGAACCCGCATTCATCCTCGGACTTTTGCTGACAGAACGCTTTTCGATAGTTTTTCATCTGTTCGTCGAACTGCAATTTGAAACAAATTTATCGATTTTTCACCTGCGCTTTTAATCTTTTCGGGGGTGGAAATCGCATTTTCGAATTAAAAATTCATATTCTCAAGAAAAAAAACTGAAGGTTTTTTTAGTCGTATTTCATTGTATTTGAAAGGCTTAAAATATTTGAATTCTACCCGAAAACTTTGGCTAATCTATGCCGAATGCTTATCCGTGCGTCAACTGACTTGCACACGTTATACATATAACAAAAATAATAATATATTCAATTACAAAAAGCGAAATTCCGGAAAAATCCGAGAGTCCATTGAACCCTGTTGGAAATTCATTCATTCCGCAGAATGTCGTTAATAAAAGTGTATTGTTGCTTGTCGGCGAGCCGATTAATTTGGTGTGGTTTTGCCCTCACAATGCATTCGAAATGATCCCTGCATTCCTCGCTTTTATTCATTCATTCATTCAAAAAAATATGGGAAGCAAGAACAAAATGCAGGAAAAACAAGATATTTATAGATGAATGCATGTATATATCACGATAAAAGAAGCCAAAGGCTTGGATTATCATTCGTATTTTGATTATTTTTCGAGAATGAATAGAAGCGATAAAAAACATGAAGGAAAAAAGATATTCAATCAACTGATAATGTGAGGCAATAATTGCTTGGTTTAACTACTTTTTTGCAAGATTTTTTCGAAATGTAAGCAACTGGAAATTTCAGCTTCAAGTTCTGAAATTTGCTTTAAACTAGAACAGAAAACAAATCGTCTAAACTGTTCGCGTTTCAAAAAAAAAAAGATAATCAATGACGCATATTCAAAAATATGTCAAAATCATAACAGGAAGCAAAAAATATATTGCAATAATGTTATTAATATCTTATAATTTGTCAAAATAATATTTTAGGATTTCCCAATAATAATAATATTTAATTGTAGAGCTTCATTTTTCAAAAAAATATTTGTCAATATATGGATTCATCATTTTAAAGATGACTGAGCCATTTAGGAAGAAAACAATAATTTCTACACCAAAATGTAACGACTCTTTTTAAGACTTTTTCATTAATTAACGTACCATTTTCCGTTCGATGAGCTCATTTTCGCGTTCGAGCCAATGAAATAATACAGCTCCGAACATCAAATAACACATTAGAATCAAGCATATCAGAACAAATCTTGCATTTTCCTCATAAATCCGTAATCGCGCGAAACAGCCAACCTGAAAGAAAACCGAATTTGATTATTATTATTATTATTATTTCTTCTTGCTGATAAACTTAATCACGGTGGTAATCAAGTTTGGCGAAAATTTAATTTATCGAGAAACTTTTGATTATTCCAGGTGCTATTTTAATGTTTTTTTTATTCGACTACTATTCCAGAAGAAGTATTTTTTTCATCTAAACAGTTAAAAAATTTTTATCTTGAAAAGTCTTGGAAAAATTCAAGATTTGTCGTGTTGAATGCAAATTTCGAATCACTTTACAGTTTTTCGACGCGAAATTTGCATCGTTGAATGAAGGCCAACAAATTGTGATGCGAAACCAAAAATAATTAATTAGTTGATCATTGATTTGCAACATATGTTTTTTAAATTGTTTCTATATGATTTGTTTCAATAATTTTCTTTTATCGTATTAATAAAATGAGAACTTTATGATTAGATTTTTTTGTATTCTTAACGAATACAAAATCATTTAAATTTGCTTTTATCTACAATTACAATTTGTTCATAATTCGCGTCTAATTTCTATTCCCTCGGTGCAGGTGCCAGTTTGTGACTGAGAATTTTCGAGAAGTTCAAGCCAAAAAAATTGTAAAAATAATAAACATCCGAAATTGGCTAAACAAAAAATGGGAAAGAAATAAGAGATAAAGCTTATCTCGAATGTATTCTGAAGTGATAAACAATGGATAATTTGGAGATGAATAATTCAAATAAAAATGTTTGGTCAGAGAACGAGAAATATCAGAATTGATTTCTCGTTTGTGTGTTTTTTTTTGTTCGAAAGGAGTACTCATTTCAGTTTGTTCAAAATGTTCACAAGCGAGAAGCAAATATTTCCAGAAGCCAGGAAATGAAGTCCTCGGCAATCGGAAACAAAGAATAAAATTATAACAATTTAGTATTTTGAAATGATTTTCATATAAATGTTCTAATGTTGGGAAGAATCGTAAAATGACTCACCTTTGCTCTTGTGATTGATGGTAGAGTATTGGCACGCAGCATTTCGCGTTGCCCAATGCCGCGAGCAAACTGTAATTTGTGCATGACTGTCTGCGAAATAGCCATTCAACAAGCTCTTTCGGGATGAGAGGCTCGTCTTATGATTCAGGTAATGTGTATGTCTATATATATATATATTAGGTCTCGCGGCTTATTCCTCTTCCTCTCGCCTGTGCGGATTTTTGGTCGTTTTCGATCGCGAGTGCGTGAGCGCAGTGTATGTGCCTCTCACTGATAATAATAATAATAATAATAATAATAATAATATTAATAGGAATGCAAATTCATATAAAAAATATAATGTATCTTCTATAGCGAAATGGAAATATTGGGATATGGCGAGTGGAGCAAAAGAGCTACACAAGAATGGCCAGGCCGAGGGAGGCGACAGGTGCTTTTGATTGTGATTATGGCTCGAGCTGCGGCGAGTCTCCGGCTGAGCACTGCCTTTTTTTTCGGAGAGCTCGCTCACCTCGAGCTTGAGACTCGCGCACTCGCCTCCGAGTGGGTGGAGTCGAGAATGAATTCCACTGTTGCTTTGTTTTTTTTTTTAATGTTTAATTTAAAAGATTGTTCGCGAATAAAATGAGTAATTTCTTGATGTTTCATTAATTTAAAGTGAGTTAGGAGAATCAAAAGTTTTTGAGAGAGCTATCCCAAAAGATGTAGAAATTTCCTATTTTCGAGATTTCAAATTCCAGAGAATTCAAATTTTAGATCTCCAGCAACATGTGTAATTTGTGAATCTCTTGAGAGGGTCTCGTGGCGCATTCCCGTCAATTCACCGACACAATGGTTTCAGTATACACTTCACAAATATTAAATAAATTTTTTGTTCAACTAAATGTCTACGATAGACACATTGAAACCCTTTGAAAAGAAATGCATTATTTGTCGCCAAAACTGATAATCGAATCGAATTATTTTCAAGAATGTATTTTTGTTTCTTTAAAACTCAATTTGCTTGCGGCTTCGGAATACGAAAATATTACACCTGATAAGTGATCAACATTATGAATGTACGTAAGAATTTCATGAATCAATTTTTTTCTACGTATCGGGCGAAAATTCGCAAGCAAGACATTTCCGTACAAAATTTGTGTTTTATTTCCCGATTTTTGTTTTGGCTCATTATAAAAAAAAGTGAATTTACCCACTCCCGGAATAATGCAACATTTTTCGAAAGTCGACTTTTCGACAATGCCACCCACAAAAGAGATATGAAAAATTAGAAATTTTGAGGGTTGACAGGTGGCATTTTCGAAAAAAAAAATCGACTCGATGGCACGCTAAATTGAGGGTGATGTGTGAATGGAGTGTTGTACTAGTTTGACAAAAAAAGTTTTTGGAAACTCCGGTTGAACAAAAAAAAGCAACCGCGGTTCATTCTTTTCGAAAAGTTCCGGGATGTGCATGTAAATTTGAATACGATAGTTTGATCTCGAACAAAAAAAAACAATAACAATCTTTGACAGGAAAATTCCGGATTTTCAGCAAAAAAAAAACGGACAACTTAAAACTGTTTTATTATTGTAATTTAGAATATAACATATATATCATTCAGATAACTTTCTAATTTTTCCGTTCACTTGAAAATTTGGGTGGCATGAATACATTTGTCGAACCTTTTTTTTAACCTACAAAAAAAGAATGAAACGATCAATTTGTATGAATTCAATTATAAATATGGAATCATTTTGTCACAAATCACATGCGCCTTTAAGCACATCGCTTTGCGAAAAAAGTAATATTATCATCAAAAACTCACATCTGAATATAATCGGTGTCCGGTGACTGTTGTACGCGGTTATCTTTATGTGTATGCGCCTTTGCAATGGTCTCGCAGCGAAAAGCTGGTTGTTTTGCATTTTAGAAGTCATTTCGTTAATTTTTTATTTATGTGATATTAAGTATTCAAGGAAATAATATACTCATCAAGATGAATTAAACAGTTCACGTGAAAATTTAGGAAAAAGCTTCCAAGTGTAGTGAGACGATTTCGAAAGGCGCATCCCGTAAATCTACCCGAGCTTATCATCTCTAGAACACCGACTAGAGATGATCGGAAATGTATGCTCAACAATTCGGAGTGATATTCGATTTTTTTAATTTCAAAGAAATGTGAGAAATGGAATTCAAGATTCTGTGGGAAAAACCGAATGGATTTAACTAAAAGTTCGTCGAATAATTAATCGAACAAGAACGGCTGATAATAAGATATTTATGTTAATATTTAAGCCGAATGTCTAGCTATTTATTCTTAATTATTTCGCAACCTGACTGTCTACAAAATGTTTCTATTAATATCTCATTTACGTCGGTCAAACCCTTCCGTTCTCTCATTATAATTTTTGAATTATGAGTGACACTTGTGACGTAAAACAATTATGAAATGTTTGACATATCGCCTAAACAATAACACTCATGGGAAATTAGTGCGAACTAAAGTTAGATGATGCTCAACCAAAAACATGGAAAATATTTTAATATTGATATCAACATTTTTTGGAATTCATGCGTATGCAAGTGTTTGCATTTTGTATCATATTACTATATTAATAGGTTTTGAGCTGGAAAAAGCAAGTATTTGTTGAATTAACATGGATCAGAGTAAAAATTTTCGAAAAGTACACAAACCACTAGTGGAGGGTTGAGGTCGGACGAAGCCAAATTGAGAGCGACGCGCATTTAAGTGGAATTTACCATGAAACAAAAAAAAAACAGAAAAAAATAATCTTGGTCTAGCAGGAAATAAAAAAAGGTGATTTTTGCTATTTCAATTATCTTGCGCAAATTAAGGAATTCTTGATTAATTCAGACCGGAAATCAAAAGAAGCGGAAACATGACCGCGTGATAATTAGATAAATTTATTTTTGCTATATAAAAAAAATAAAGAGTTGATAACACGAAAATATTCGTCTTTTTCGTTTTACTCCTTATTCATATAAATATTTCTCAATTGGATCGCCCAAAAAAAAAAGATTATCCGGATTTTTACAATATGAATTAATACTAGTGTCAGAGGAAAATAGTGAGCAACAAATGATGATGAAGACGGAACAAAATTGGTTTGCCTGGATTAGGCACTCACCCGAGACCCAATTGATTTCCTTTTCGACGATGAACGTCTTTGAGTGTCGGTATTCGCCGGTTGACCTACCCGAACTGAGTTTCGCCGGAGAACGTGCACTTCGTCGGACATCCACAACGAGAAACGATGCCCAGTTCGTCCAGAAACCATCACTGAAAATTTATCATTTTTTATTCGTTTGTCTCATTTTTTCCGAGAAATAATTATTAAATAAGAAAATATCCATTTAACTAACTTCTGAGTTTCGTTTCATTCTAAAAAAAATCAGTTCTTCAAACGCGTTGCGGTTTGCGTGCGGCTCTTCATCGAAATTACTTTTCTCTAAAATAATTTAGCAAGGCCATTTGTTTTGATTCTTCCAATATCTTTATTATCTTTAAATATCATTTCAATTAAGTTTTTTTTAAATTTAAAAAGAGAGCGCGCTGTCCGCAACGCGACTAACTACATAGGATTGCTGCCGCTTCTGGTAGTCGTTTTTTTTTTCAGAAACTGGCTTTAAGACGACTAATTAGCAAAACTAGAAACAATACGAATGTTTGAAAAATGTTTTTCAAAAGTTTTGCGTTAAACCGAGATTAAAGAGAATATGTTTATATGAAATACCAAATGAAATATTAGTGGGTTTCAAGACATTTTAGGTCTTGAGACCAACTTGCATACATAAGCAGCTCCTATTTCGAATATTCGATTCTGAATATTTCACACATAAATTCATTAAGACATATTTTAATATTGAAGGAATGCTATCATGAAAGAACTACAACGAATTATCTCGGATGAAACTTCTTATTTCAAAGCAGATTGATAAAAGGCAACACCTCGAATGCGATGCTTTCAATAATTCAACAATTTAAAAAATAATTCAAATAAAGAAAAAATATTATAACATGGACAGATAATAAAATAATATGCAGACTTGCACCTTAAGTCCTATAATGGAATGATTCAATCCATATTTATAAAGCAGTTCTATGCAAAAAATATAAACTAATAAATTTGAAGAAAATAGCTCAAAAAATGGTTCAAAATTCTAAAATCTCGATGCAGATTGCAGAAAAACTACATTGTTTTAACCAGTAAAAAAATTTTTTTCGAAAATCTGCATAGTACCATTAGAATTAAAAAAAAATTCAATTCAGAATATAAATTATCGTTGTTAATGAAAATCGCTCTAGCGGTCCGGTTATTTCTTTTTTAAATGTTAAGCGACAATAATAAAAAAATAAAGTTGTGGCTTTTAAAGATTTTCTATGGATTATGCGAGAGTGTCGATCATACTAATTCGATAATAATAATAATAATAACTGATTTCTAAGAAATCAGGTGTGCATTAATGCGAATTATTGTTGCTGAATTTTTTGAATTCAATCTCAATGTTCTTGAAGCAAAAAAGAATCCTGAATTTTGAATAGATCCGATTATTTTGGAACCGAGGAGAATGTCTGATAAAATAGTTCATATGAGGGGAAAAAGATCAAACTCAACGAAAATGAGAAACCATAAACCATTATCCAGATGGGCGGAGCATTTCAAGAAATATGGTAACTTGTTTATGATAAGATTAATAGAGTATATGGAAATAAAAAGGGTTTCAATCTGATTAGCATAATTCCTTTTTTGTCTTTGTTTGTGGCCCCACGTCACCTGGATTATTTCACTTGAGGAGGAAAGAGAAAAAAAAGAGCTGTCGAGGTTTTGAATATTCGACACTTTTAGCACAATTATGTCACGTTTCATATATGGAATAGAGCGAAGTTTCTTGAATGAACTGGTGTTCGATGCAAGTGGAGAATAATGAAGGAATTCAGCAACTTTCTGTCAGTGAAGTTTGAAATTTTAATCGAATTTGCGATGACACACGTTTGAACAAAAACGGTAGTTTTACAATTCGGGAGGGGGTTTAAAAGTTTTGCAGAAAATAAGAAAATTGATTCGATATTAGGTTGGCAATATTCGAATTTTAGGTCACTCCTTTTCAATTTGCCGAAGGGTAACAAGCTATTCATGGAGAAAGCTTCCTTGATAACAATATCTCATAGATATGTGAACTAGAAGACGCCAAATCCGTGTATGGACACCCTCAAATCTTCAACATAGATTACAAGCCCCGCCCATTGAATTTCCAACGTGCATGATTTCCTTTTTTTCGGCTCTTTTTATATTACACATCATTTCATGATAAATATTGGGAAAGGAAATGAAATAAAAGGGATAGAATACAAAAAAAAATATATGTGAATCAGCACCTTTACGAATCAATCAGTTGAGATGCGATTCTCAACAGGTGGCCTACAAAATTCAAAAACGTCTATTCATTATTGTTTGCAAACCTCATGATAACTATAAAAACGACAACATTTTTCGTTCATTTTTCCAAGTAATCTCTCAGGTTTTTTTTTTGCCAGAACGAGAAACTTGCGTAATAAAACCCACAAAACAAGGTGTGCGTTGACATTGTTTGAAAGTTGAAGCGTGAAAAAGTGAAAGGTAACAACTCAATAACATTTTATTGTGACGAGACGAGAGAAAGGGATTATTGCAAATCTTGTCAAGGTCTCAAACGGTTTATCCAATTGAGTTGCCACAAAAAAAAACTGGTGCGAACGGATTAGTCGACTACGGGAAGCTTATAAATAAAAGAAGAAACTCGCAAAAATCTAACCTCGAATAAAATTTTTGCAAACATTTGTTTTCAAAGCAGCATTGAGAACCCCATGTTTTTTTCCGAAACTTCTTGCGTTTTTCTCACGTCATTGGCACTTTTGTAGCAAAATCACGAGCTCATGGTCTTATTGCGAAAAACAGAAATCGTTTCTGATATTATAAAGCACAAATATTGCAGAGCTGATGATGTCACTGATTTTCTTCGCTTTAATCGTTTCCTCGTTTGCTCAATATCAGCCACCTTCGCAACAAGTTGTCAATGGTCCCAAATACCAGCAGCCAATTTTCTACCAACCACCATCCCACAATCAGCAATACATGCTTCCTTATTTCATTCGTCCAAGTCATCCTTACTCATTCAATCAACTTCCATACACTGGGGTCAACACAATTGGATCTCCCTATCAGATGTATGATCTCGTTGTAAGACCACAACCTAAGCAGATGCCAAAGCCTAGTTATCAACAGATAAATCCATTCCTTGGTATTCCTCGAATTACGATGTGTATAAAAAATTTATTTCAGCTAACTTACCACAGGCAAATAATGTCTACGGAGCACCTGTTGAAAGCCAAGGTATAATAATCTTTTTTTTTTGCTAAATTAACAGTTTTCTATTTTCCAGGAGCAAACAGTGTTTATGGAGCACCAAGCGGAGAGAAAAGTAATTATTTTTTGTAGTCTGAATTCTGCAATTTGAAAGAAATCTGGAAGGATCTTTTCGTTCTCCTTACAAAGCTAATATTTCTCTATTCAGAGGGAAACGCTTACGTTCCTCCAAGTCCGAACTACAATATACCGGAAACTCTGAAAACATTCCCCGGCCAGAGACCACGCTTTGTTCCTCCAAGACCTTCTGTGAACAATTCTACCAATTCAGGCAAGAATAGTTTTTTAATAATAATGCGTCCGGCCACTGCTAAGCGCGAGTAGATTTACGGGCATGTGACTTTCGCTATAGTCTTGCACGGACTAACTGGTTATATTACATTTTAAATGTCGTTTCGATCATTCTTAATTCTAATAACGCTAGAAACTCAAGAAAATAACAAACTTATCAAAAATAAATTGAAAAGATAATACGAAAATGCACACGTACCGAGCTCATTTTGAAAGACAAACCCTTAAATTTACCTGCGTACAGTATTTGCCGAACGCAGACTAAATTTATGCTGATTTGAATATATTGCAGGCTCTCAAGCCATTGAAGACACATGGGAAGCCTTAGAAGCCTCGCTTAACGATGATTTGTAATTTTATTCATTTCCATTTTTCTGTATATCCTCGAAAAATAAACGTTTAATCTGCATCCTATTCCTAGAACCCGTTGAAGACTGAAAATGTCACAAAACAAAACACACACACGGACACAAATCGAGATTAAGCAGGCAGAAGCTCGTTGCTCAATCGTGTTTGGACAGCTTCTAGTCGATTGCGCATCACAATCCACACATCTTCCGACATTTCCTCAAGCGAGCGGTAGCAAACTTTTTGCGTATTGAACATATCAAGAACGATTTGAACGATTTGTTCCTATAAATTATAAATATTGACAATGAAATGCTTACGAAAAAAAATACCTTAAAATATTGGCATAGTTCACCGAGTCGCTCATCAGTTCCGAGGAATCCTAATGTAATAGCAGGCATGACGCATTCCGATAAACTGTAGAATTTTGCGATGAAGCCATCAGGATTCTTCAAATAAAACATTTCATTGAATCAATATCGAATTATACCTGTAATCTCTGTCGTTTTGATTTGATAATCGACCAAATAATTGTATTCAATGTCGAATATTTCATAGAATTGGACATGAAGTAATTTTTTGTGACTGAAATAGAGATAAAAATTGAGCATTTGCAAAAGAAAAACTAACCTGAATAAATTGCAGAAGGTGGTGATTTAAGATCCTCGAACGCATCGAGAATAATGAAATCAATAACAATGTCGTAAAATCCAAAATGGGTTACTCCTCTAGAGGAAACATCTTGTTGGAGCAAATCAAGATTCTTTTCAGACGACGCAAACTCCAGCATGTCATCATAAACGACGTAGAATTTCATGGGGTCTTGTTTCGTGTGTCGGATGAAGTCTGCCAAAAGCGCTCTGCCACATTTCGCAAGCCAAACTCGTTTATGCTCATCTTCAAGTGTGTGCTAAAAAAGGAAAATAATTTCTGAAAATGAACAAATTTTTTTATCACATCGAGAGCACGACGAATGCAGTAAAGTTTGGCAGCGAAATCCAATTCGCTCTCACAATTACAAAACTCAGCACGACTTTTTCGATATTTCACCTAAACATGTAAGATTCAAATCACTAGTTCTGCACTTTTCAATTTTTACATCTCCATTCAACGCAGCATTCATTCCTTCTTGAAGGAACAATAAATCTTCTTTATTCAGCTTTGCAGCATCGTTGGATAAATCAACATCGTCGATTTCTGTTGTCTAAAATACATAATTAGATAATAATTGAAAAATTTTAAGAGTCCTACGAATTCTTCCACCGCCGATTGGAATGAGTCATCTGATAAAACGGATAATGTCCGAGACCTTCCAGTGCGTACACTAACCGCATATCCACTTACTGATTCGTAATCTGACATATTTTTGATTTTTTTTGCTAGAATGAGTTAATTTCTTACTATCAACGTCTTCCAAATGTGGCAAAAGCAATTGAATCTCATTTTCAATTAATTTCAAATTATTCAGGATTCCTTCAACTTTGACGGATCGCTCCATATCTTTATTGCTCCGATTTTTAACCAATTCCAAGTTGTGATACACCTTTTCTACAATTTTGCGCAGTTCCGTCGATAGTTCTTGACAGTGATTCATGTCGACTTCAATTGCATTCATACTCAAACTTCGTTGTGAATTCTGCCGCATACTGCCGCGTAGAGATCCTCGTTCACCTTGCGATGAAATTGGCCTCAAACCGCGCCCGCTTGTCGATCTACGTAACTCTGAATCTCAATAATAGAAACAAAGAACGGATTTCTCCTAAAACCAGCAATTGGCTCATCTTCAATCATGTTCGAAATGGATTCTTCAGAACTTCGAATAACATTATTGCCTTTGTCACGCGTTAATCTAAAGGTTTTCGTATCTCGAAAAGAAAATAAAATAATGCTCACAATCTGACTCCCGTTACGAAACACGCACCGATTCCTATACCGGCTGCTACTGCTATTAAAGTTTTCTTTTGATCGGCCTGAAACAGGCAGATTACTTGTTCAAGTTTACCTCTTTCAATACCGTTATCAGTGACATGAATCCTATCGATTTATGCGCATTTGCACTACTAAAATCTGTAATTATAATAATATTTATTCATAAACTTATAACTCCTATTCTCTAAAATCACGTTATTCAATTAATTTGTCGAAGCAAGTAGAACATTAAGTTTTTCAGGAAGCAAATAACGTAACTTCTTTTAAAGAACTTGAAGATTAATTTGCGAAAAGCGAGAAAACTAAGCAAACAAAAATGGGAAGCGCGGCCGCAAATCAATTACATTTTTTTCCTACGGTGTGCAGTTATTGCTGCTGTGTCTGCATTGCAGAGATGCGTCACAATTGACGGAATCTTTCATTATTTTATTTCTCGCAATTTTGACTTACAAGGGGAGATCTTTTTGTTGTCCTTCTTAAGTCAGAGGATGCTCAATTATTAAAAAAAAGGTTATTTTACACGGTGGACCATGTAACCGATATGTATCAACTTGGTTAATATTCGGTCATAACTCTGTGGCTGTGCAGTGTCTGCGCGATTTCACTACGAAATTGAAAATATTGAAAGCCAATCACCAATGAAATGAATGGATATTAAGAAGAGTTTATTCAACAGAGGTTAATATATTTATAAGTTATTGATTTAAAACTCGAATGCGTTATCTTCATGCTTCACCAAAGCGGATCGAGGAGTTATCAAATTGTCTTGTTGCCAACTCAAGTACCAATACAATCGCCGTCCGCATAAAACATGGTAAATTTTGAAAATAACCATTCCAATTATAAACACCATTAGTGCCTTAATTTAATATTTTGAAAGGTGATGGTCTCGAAAAAAAATCTACCTTATCAACATCTTCCCCGAGTACAATAAAAACGAGCAACACAACTAAGTATGCAAGCGACATGAGTAAATCCATTGAAGTGACGATTAGAAATCCAATGATGAATCTTGTGTTTTTAGAATAAATGGAAACCTGAAAAAATAACATTGAAATTGTATAATTCCCAATGAGTTACCAGTGCAAGCAAATCTGTGAAGACATGAATGATAATCCAAAAAAGGAGTGGGCCGTTTGTAGTGCAAATTTTGTGCTCTGTGAGAACTGGAGATTCATTATATCGTTCCAAAAGTGTGACATTGTACTTCTGACAAGTCATCAATGGATGTTGAAAACCTGAAAGGCTTGAAACTGAAAAGAACTGAAACGACAACAAACCTGTCAAATAGGTGCAGATAATAACGATAATCTCCAATGTGCACAGAATTGCGACATCGATGGAGACATGACAGCACAAAATGCGATATTCAAAATCCATTGAAGTCAAACTGACGACGATCGAGCAGAGGGCTAATAAGATGCGCGGTGCACTTGAAAAATAATCGAAAACGCCTACTCGTCCATTTAATGTTGTTTAAATGCTCTGAATTGACAAAAATTGAGAGATATCTCTGAACTTTGCTGGAAAATATGTATTACGAAAGCAAAATAACTATATTTTTATTAAATTATTTTCAAGTATTTTTTTTATTTTAAAATACATTTTTAACAACCTAAAACACAATAAACAATGCAAATTTTGAGTATTTAACAATTTGGAAATTTGGAAAAATCATTTTCCTTCGTATTAATAATTTCAAAATAAAAACTACAAACTCTGAAAATTCACCTAATAAAGCATTGAAGAAGCGAATCACCGAAGAAATAAAAACCGACAACCATAAATGAAACAAAATACGTTTTTTTTTAACTGCCACGCTATTTTTTCTGTCTCTTTTAGGCTTAAATGTCAGTATAAAAATTCATATGGCAAATATTTTTATTTTCCGTTTTAATCCGATATTCGACGAATTTGAAAGCCAGCCAATTTAAACCTTTCCATCTAATCCTTTGTTTATTTCTATTAATGAAATCATCGGCGACCATTCAATGATCAGCGATTATTCACAAAGAATGAGGGGAGGAGAGCACTAGAAAAAAACAACAATGACATAATACGGTCAAAGAAAACACTACAGCTGATAAGGTAATGATATAGATAGGCATTACCTTTGTATTATTCTGCACCGTTTTTCTTAACATCATGCGAATCGGGGTCTATAAAAGTGTTGTTTACTTTTTACTGATAATTGGTATGTTTGGGATTCCGTTTGAAATATTTCCCTCTGTTTTAGAGATTTGCAACTGCCTTATATGCGAGACATGCAACGGACCAACTTGTTTCGACAAAGAGCTCTGGGTCCAGGAAATATGTGAGCCAGCAGCAAGAAGTTGTTACAAATTATCTTACAAAGGAAAAGGTAAATTTCGATTCAAAATTCTCAAAGAAATAAAATTACTGCAGCATTTCGTCGAGGATGCACAGAATTTTCGTGCAAAGATATTCCAGGCATCAGTCCGCAATCGGAATGTGATACTTGCGGATATGATAGGTTCGTTCCAATCACATCTCATTTTTTCCATAGCCCTGATCCTTTAATTTCAGTTGTAATAAAGAAGAACGTCGGATGCGAATAGGAGGAGGGCGAAGTTGGAAGAAGTCGAGTTCGAGTATTCAACTTCAATTCATATTTGTATTTATAACAATTTTTATTCAATGTTTTCTTAATTCCCCATAAAATTAATAATAATAATAAAATCTTTTAATTTGTCCTTATTTTTCATTCAAAGATTGTTAATCTTCACAAATTTTCAGAAAAAAAAAACATAATAAGAATATATCTAAAGAAAAGGAAGGGCTTCAAAGAATCGTTTCGAATATAAAAATGAGATAACCGCTTTCAAAAAGCCATAATTTCGACGACATGCGGTATCTATTCGTTTTTCTTTTTGTGCTTGCCTACTGTCAATTTCAAAATAATCGAGTTCAGATAAATGTTGGGGTTATGATGTGCAAAAATAATGAGGTAATTGAGGTAATTTTTAGTTTCAACCATAATTGGCAAATGAATCAATGTTTGAATATTGATTCACAATTATTTTTATAGTCGAATAGATTTCTTATCAACATTTTTGATATGATTGGAATATAAAATTACAGGAAATGGCATCAGCTGTTGGTTGGCAAACATCAGCATCCGCTATTGAAATAGCAATGGATCGAATTAAACAGGAACATTTAATAGATAATGTTTTTATCAAGTGAGATCCAACGTCGATTAGAAATTACGAAGAATTTACTAGTTTCATATATGTTTTTGATGATTGCATCGAATCAAGAGCCGCTGGCCAGGCGGCCAATCTTTTTATGAATGGGAATGTGAGTGCTATTATCGGACCAACATGTAACGCAGGTACCCAATAGTAATTATGGTGTGCATCAATACCAGTCACATGTTTTTTTTTCAGCTGGTTTGGCTGTTGCCAATTTGGCGTCATATTACAATACAGCAGTTTTGACGTGGGGATTGACAATTTCATCAGAATTCATCAACAATAGTCGATTCCCAACGTCAATATCGCTAGTTCCCGTTGCTAAATCGTTAGAACTTTGTTTAAAAAGAAAAAAGAAAAAAATTAAGATTTTCAGAATTGCCTTAGCTATAATCGAAGTTATGAGACAGTTCGATTGGGCCGAATTCGTTTATATTTATGTCGAAGATGAAAAGTGTGGCTATTTTCGCGAGGATCTCGAACAATTGACTTCTGATTCGAATCACACTTCGCTATCGCGAACTGTTCAAATTTTTGATACAACATATTATGGCTTCACAAGACAACTTGTAAGACTAAAAACTGTTTCGAGAAGTGAAAATCCACTACTTGAAAATCGAAATAGATTCTTTTTTTTTTAGTTTTTACCGTTTGCCTTCCGGAAGATAGCATTATAAAGCGACAATTCATGCTATCGGCTTACGATTTGGAAATGACATCCGACGAATATGTTTATCTTTTTGCTGGTCCCAAATCGACTGCTTACCGTACTGTAAGCTCTCGAAGCTTAAAACATGCCAATGATTCAGAACAAACATCGTCGACTGGAGACGTCGTCGGTATTTGGGTTGATTGGTCTGAAAATCCAGATGGGAGAGACGAGGAAGCGAAACTCGCGTTTATGAGAACAATGGTGGTAGGCTATAATAATTCTACATATAGCCAATTTTCAGCCAATTTCAGATTGTTGCCACCCCAATTGAGGGTGAGAATTATGCGAATTTCAAAAAAGAAGTTATTGAAAGGATGAAATATCCGCCATTTAATTGTATCGAAGAATGTAATGCAACCAAATACAGCGAGGTCTCGAGATTTATTTTTCGTATATTTAAAATCACTTTTTTTTCAGGCTGCTGAATATGCTGACCAATTACATGATACGATGTACATGTATGCTCTGATTCTGAACAAAACGATCGAACTCCAAGGAGTAGATCAGATTGCAAACGGTAGTAATATGGTTTACAAAACCAGCGGGATTCAATTCGACGGAATGTCTGGACTGGTTCGAATGAATGAACAGGGCTATCGCCTTCCGAATATGATTCTTGCAAATCTTGACTCAAACGCAGCTCAGAGAACTGTTGCAAATATGGATATTGATGCGGTAGAAGTGGTAAATTCCTTAACAATATCCAATGAATTCCGAGGGTTTATGCAGAATTTCACATATGTTCTACAAGATGAGAGCCTAATATGGGATGCGTATGGCGGGGTAACACCTCTAACAAGACCATTGTGCGGTTACAACGGCAAAAACTGTCCTGTAAACTTCTTTACCGATTACTACTACATTATAATAATTGTTGCCATTATTCTATTTCTGTGTATTGTTGCCGCTATAGTTGCTGCATATTTGGTGTACAAGTACGTGACAATCTTTTTACAATTCCATTTTTATTTTTAAGAGCTCGGCGTGACGAGCAAATTAGACTTGATGAACAATGGCAGATTCCTCACGTCATGCTTCAACAAATTGGAAAGAAGGTTTCACAAAAATCAATTTTCGAAATTCATTGAAATGTTAGGAACGTGAGACGCAATCATCACGATCGCTTCAGAGTAGCACAGGGACCACAATAACGGGAGTTTCCCGGCCGGAATTCAACACGGAAACTGATCAATACGCGTATTATATCTACAGGGTGTCATTTAAGTTCCCGCACAAATGTTAGACGCCATGAAAAGCTTGGCTGTCGCACTTTTCGTGCACCAATACAATTTATTTTTGTTAAATAAGGTGTATTTTACTTACTTTTCAAGTTTCACTTCATTCGGATGTGTTTCCGAGAAATGGCGAAGGCTAACATCCATCGCGCTTCCATTATCGAACTTCATAAGCGAAATGAGCGCCCGACAGAGATCATTCAACGCCTCGGTGTGCCTCGTAGAACGGTTTAAGACACCAACAAACGTTTCAAGGAGCTAAATACGACCAGTGACCTTCCCAGACAAGGAAGACTCGTCTCAGTAACCACTCCTCAGAAGATCAACGCCGTCAAAACGAGGATCAGGCGAAAACCGCACAGGAGCATAAGAAAGATGGCGTCAGACATGGGAATGAGCATCTTCGCTATGGAACAAATCGTCTAAACGAAGCTTGGACTGACCCCATATCGTGTCCAAAAAGCGGCAATTCTATCGGCCGTCAGCAAGCAGAGACGCTTCGAAAAAGCAAAACGACTTCTTGCTCGCACGCGGTCTGGAGAACACCTCGTCACTGTCTTCTCCGATGAGAAGCTGTTCACTGTGGAGGCGGCATTCAACTCACAAAACCATTGAGTACTTGCCCAGACATCCCAGCAAGCTTCAGAGAAAGGAATAACAATTTATCCAGCCTCACATCCTGCCAGTGTGATTGTTTTCGGTGCCATCTGCTCAACCGGGAAGTGCCCCTGGTTTTCGTGGATCAGGTGGTGAAAGTGAACAAAGAAGTCTACGTTCGGGACATTTTGGGGAAGCATATGATGCCCTGGGCCCAAACGCATTTCGGTGGGAAGATATGGGTCTTTCAACAGGACAGAGCACCCGCCCACACTGCCAAAACTACTCAGGAGTGGTGCCAGACCCATTTTCCCGACTTCATCAAGTCATCCGAATAGCCTGCTTGCTCCCCAGACCTGAACCCGCTTGACTTCTCCGTGATGGGGTCTTGCAGGAGAAGGTCAACGCAAAACCCCACTCAAGTGTAGAGGCTCTGAAGAAGACATTACTGGCGGAATGGGACAATCTTTCCATCGAATACCTGCGTACCACAGTCACATCCTACCCGAAGCGTCTCCGCGAAGTCATAGCTGCGAAAAGAGGCCGAATCGAAAAGAGTTAATAGATAATTATTTGTTGTACTATAGATAAAAAATATTTCGAGTCTCGTTTGATTTGGACTTTTAGTTTCAGAAATATACGTCTTCAAAGTTGTGCGGGAACTTAAATGACACCCTGTATATGAATGAGCCTGTCTTTGCCCTCAAACACACTGCTCATATCTCATTGCTACCGGAGTATCGTGCGGAACTACGAGAACTCCGCCAATTGGAGAATGACAACATTAATCGGTTTATTGGATTGAGCATCGATGGTCCAATGTATTTATCGCTTTGGAAATACTGTAGTCGGGGAAGTGTCAAAGATGTAATCAGTAGAACATCAATAACAATGGATGGCTTCTTCATTTATTGTCTTATGAAAGATATTGCAAGTGTACGTATCATATTCCCATTATTGATACCATCAACAATGATCACATTTTAGGGAATTCAGTATATTCACCATTCGTTTTTAAAATATCATGGAAGACTTTCGTCGTCTTGTTGCTACATCAATGATCGTTGGCAAGTGAGAATTGGTGGATACGGATTGAATTTCATACAATCACATGAGAAGCCCACCGAAGATGGTAGGATTTCCCAAAGTCTTCGAAAAGAGCCATGTTGTACTTTAAGTGCGTTTGCATATGGCACCGGAGCAGCTTCGAGAGAATGAGACAATCGGTAGTCAAGAAGGGGATATTTATAGCTTTGCGATTATTTGTTCTCAACATATTGGTCATTGTTCACCATGGGATATCGAGAATAGAAAAGAAGAAGCTGATGGTTAATTATTATATTATAGAATCTAATTATTCAATTATTCTTTTAGAAATAATTTTCATGGTTCGAAAAGGGACTAGAAATCCATTACGACCAAGTCTTGACACTTCAGAAGACGACATTAATCCATCACTTGTACTTACTTCTATTAAATTTCTCACTAAATGCATATATTTTAGGTCCTCTTGATACGAGATTGCTGGGAAGAAGATCCTAAGCATAGGCCTTCAATTGATAATGTTCTTAAGCAAATGCGCTCCCTGAACTCTGGAAGGTCTGGCTCAAACGAGAATGGGTCCAGAACCCGATAAAAGCATTTTTTTAAATGATCAATTTTTTAGAAGCTCTAATCTCATGGACCATGTTTTTGCTGTTCTCGAACGGCATGCTTCAAGCCTTGAGGATGAGGTCGAAGAACGAATGAAAGAACTCGTTGAAGAAAAAAAGAAAAGCGATATTTTATTGTATCGAATGTTGCCACAGTAAGTTCGAACTGAATTATTTGCGGTACGGAGCATAGGCGTAGCTACCGCCGAAAGCAGGAGCTTGATAGTAGTTGTTGTAGCCATACGTTGGTTGCTGATACACCTGATTGTAAACTGGCTGAGCCCACGGAGTAGCGTAGCCCCATTGAGCAGCTGAGCCCAAAATCAAAAGTGCGATGATTTGGAAGATAGCGAAGCTCGAATTGCAAACTGTTGAATTGTGCAATTATGGGGGAACTTACTAATGGACATTCATGTTGTAGTATTAAATATCAGATGTCTTTGATCATATTTCGCGCTCATTTTATACTCTTCTCGAGTAACCTTGATGTTTCAATTCCTTTGTTGCCGGGGAAACAAACATTTATTATTTGCAACACCGAAAAATGAATTAATTCGTTCGGAATACTTAATTGGAAGGCAGTTGGGTGGCAATTTCAATTTACAATGTCGCTTGTTCAGTGTTGCGGTTGCTGCTGCTGAATTGGCTGCTGCTGGTGTTGGAATTGTGACGGTCCGAATCCAGCCTCGCGTTTGCCGTAGTATCCGTAGTATCCGTACGATGGATAGGCGTATCCGTAGTAGCTCGAGTAGTATGATGGATATCCGTAATAACCATATCCGTACCATTGAGCCGAAGTTTCGGTCACCATGGCGCAAATGATGAAGGCAGCAACAAGGGCGATGCTGAAATTCATTTCGCATATTTCGTCGCGATTGCCGAATTTGTCAACTTACAGCTTGGCGTTCATTGTTGGTTGTTGTTGAAGAAGATCGTTCGAAGAAACTGATGATTTTAATCGGCAACCAACTCAATTTTTATACCAATTGAGACCCTCTTAATCCAGGCTCCGCCTCGTTTTGAAAATAGCACAGTTTGTTTGCTCACTCTCTCGGCCGCCAAAAGAAATGTTTGGAATAGGAGTTTGACGAAAAAACTGAGAAACAAAACCGAACTAGTGGCAAAAATACTTGTAAAATGGTGGTTGACACCCAATGTCAATACATTCCACACACTTATACACGCGGTTTTTTGAACATTGAGTTACTGTGAGTTGTTTTACACGATCGTCAACAGCCGAGAACATTCTGAAGTGAGCCATTTGAAGAAAACCGCGAAAAGAAAAACTGGTAAACAAAAAGTGAGATCAAACTTCGTACAAAAAAGTTAAGAAACTAACTAAATTAGTCGATAAGATTGCACGACTTTGAGTGAACATAAACAAGATCTGTGTTTGGGAAATATATTTTCAAACATTCGAAAATTTTAAATTCGCAGATTTATATTCAAACAGTCAATTTTAGACAGGTGGCCGATCGTCACAAACTTGGCCAATCCGTCGAGCCTGAATCGTTCGAAAGCGTTACAATCTTCTTCTCAGATGTTGTCGGTTTCACGACCTTAGCCAGCAAGTGTTCTCCGCTTCAAGTTAGCTAACAAAATCAAACAAATGTTGCTTGATCAGCACACATGTTGCAGGTTGTCAATTTACTCAATGACTTGTACACGACGTTCGATGCAATTATTGATCGAAATGATGCGTATAAAGTAGAGACCATTGGCGATGGATATCTTTGTGTGTCAGGATTACCGAAAAGAAATGGACAAGAGCATATCAATAATATCGCAAAAATGTCATTGGAACTGATTGAAGTTTGCGGATTTCAAAATTTGCGATAAACTCAACATTTTCAGAATATCAAATCGTTTCGAATTGCTCATCTACCTCAAGAACGCGTGAATATTCGAGTTGGAGTGCATTCTGGTTTGATTTGGTTTTAAGATTTCATTAATTTGAAAAAGCCCTTCAGGATCCTGCGTTGCTGGAGTTGTAGGACTTACGATGCCACGCTATTGCCTTTTCGGAGATTCTGTGAATACAGCGAGCCGAATGGAAAGTAATGGAAAGCGTAAGTACTATTCTGGCCAGAAAACAGCAATCTCAGAATTCTATAGCTGGACATATTCACTTATCATCTGATGCTCATTCTCTTTTATCTAGTCTCTATCAGGAATACATTTGCGAAAGTCGAGGAGAAGTCATTATAAAGGTTTAATGTTTATCCTTTATCGAAATTTTTGAAATTAATTTTTAGGGCAAAGGAGTCATGGAGACTTTCTGGTTGCTCGGACGAAAATGATTTATTAAATGCACACAAAATACCCATATTCGAACATTATTAAATGTATTATTATTATTATTATTGCTGTGATATGATTATTACTGGCACACAGCGCCAAAACATTCTCGGAACTCGATTTCAGACGGCGGACATTTCAGCGTTGATCGCTTCAGTCGGTTCATTTCGATAGATGCCGGCTGTTCGACCCCTTCGGGATACGGCGCGGGCTCTTCATCGAGTATTTCATTCACATGGTTATCTTTGCCAATCGGAATGAATTCCTCTGCAAACCAAAAGTTGAGCAAATAATTTGCAAAAATGAATCAAAAGTTAGATAAACATATTTTTGACGGCCTTGACTTACGGTCATCATTTGTGTACTTCGGACCAATATGTTTGAGACACGAGCGTTTTCTGGATTGTCGCCCGCAATTGCATTCTCCCCATTCCGACCATTGCGACCATAATACTAAAAAAAAGGTGATAGAGTGAGTGAGTGAGAAAGAGAGAGAGAGAGAGATATTAATTAATTTGATAACAAGATTCATACCTCTTCGTCGGCTTGTGGAGCGTTTCGATCGAATCAGAGCAAATCCTTCTTCAAATGGGAATGGGAATGGTGTTGTGGTTGGGTCTTCTTCTGGATCGCCGATTCGTGTTCCTTCTTCAGTTTTTGATTCATCTTCGACGCGTCTTTCCATATCATTTATCATCCAAGACAGGGCGCGAGCGGTGTCTTCTTCGACTTTCTAATAAATAAAAAATGAAATTCTATTTTAATGTTAACGGAATCAATAAAATTTTGACAAAATTGCATGTTTTACATGATTTTTTCTTTTAGCAAAATTTTAATGGAAATAAACAAATATTTTAATAGCACAAAGTCATTTCGTACCACTTTGTCTTCATCCATTCTAGTCGTACTCCTCTGGGTTGTCACTGAAACCTCCGATGTTTCATCCTGTACCCCCATTGATGCAAGAATTCTCTTGTTCATCTCAACGCGATGCTTCAATGCCAATAATCTTGCTTCCAATTCTTTAGTCTCCTCGATGAACTGCCGATCGTGTTCATTCTGCATCAAAGATTGAGTTTGTTTGGTTTCGTTTTTCTATTCTCGCGCGCAGATTGCTCGATTATTTGTGCCAACAAAACTCAAGGTAACTGTCAAAAAAAAGTTTGAAACTTTTGGGCGGTCGACAAACAGAATTTGATATAAAAATAGGCGGAATGTCGCTACTTCATGCAAACAATTGCAAGTGCTCTAAACATGAATGCCAAGCTGTAAGTTGACAAATTCGGCAATCGCGACGAAATATGCGAAATGAATTTCAGCATCGCCCTTGTTGCTGCCTTCATCATTTGCGCCATGGTGACCGAAACTTCGGCTCAATGGTACGGATATGGTTATTACGGATATCCATCATACTACTCGAGCTACTACGGATACGCCTATCCATCGTACGGATACTACGGATACTACGGCAAACGCGAGGCTGGATTCGGACCATCACAATTCCAACACCAGCAGCAGCCAATTCAGCAGCAGCAACCGCAACACTAATCATATTGAAATGTATATATGTTCAAGCCAATTCAACTCAGCGAATCAATAAATCATGGCATCAATTTGTTTCCTTTTTTATTAAACAAACTAATTACCTGAGCGACAACTGAAGGCAAAGCGGGAACAGCAATTTCGGTTGGAATAATTGCGACAATCTTGTCCTTCTTAGCCAATCGATTGATTTTCTTCAGACGGCGGTTCTTCTTTCGCTTTTTCAGAGGTTTATTGGTAATTTCGACGGTTAGCTTAAAGAAAAAATGTTGAACATTCCTTATCAAATAAAGAGAAATGACCTTAATGGCCAGCAATCTATTTTGATTGATTACATTTTGTACGGAAAAAGAAGTATGACAGATTTAGAGAAAACGAGATTGGAAAAAACCGAACGGAATTGTTAGAACATGATAATTAATTATTTGTAGACATACATTTGGTGGTTTGGTTGCTACAATCGCTTCGGTTTCATCAGAAATAATTTTGGGTAACTCAGATGTATTCGGAATTACTCTCGATCGGAATCTTGGATGATGTCTTTGCTCATTCATAAATCGTGGAAAAGTTTGGAGATTCTGCTGCGACGTAACCAATGCAATTTTGGTGCCTTCTGGAGCCGTATACACAATTTGCTCATGCGTTATAGGTGTCTCAGTCGTATATACAATTTGCTCAGGTGTTATAGGTGTCTCAGACGTTGCCATCGTCGTCGCTTGTGCTCTGCGAATTTTTCCGTAATTTTTTCTTGGTGGTGCTGTTGGCTCTTTTCGAATTGCATACGATCCGACACTATGAATGCTGCTGCTATATTCTTCCGATTCTGTTGGCGTGATTGGAAACGATTCCGGTGTTCCCGGAGGCATTGGCTCCAAATTGTTGGTGATTGTTGGAAGTGGATCAGGCGATTCCAATGTATATCGCCCACTAAATTCAGTGCCTTCGAACGACGGAATTTCAGGAGTTACAGTAACTGGAATTTCGTCAGTAGTAATGACTATATCTTCTGTGGTCATGATTTTAGGTTGTGTGGTTGTGAAAGTTGTTGTAGGCTCTTCTGTTGTTGTGGTGGTTGTGGTTGTAGATGGAGCTTCGGTTGTAATCGTGGTTGTCGGTGTCTCGGTTGTTGTTGTCGTGGTCGTAGTAGGTTTCTCGGTTGTCGTTGTTGTAGTTGTCATTGCTTGTGTCGTTACCACCTCTTTACTCGATGATGGGAATGCCGAAAATGGAAGTTGCGGAACTCGTCGTCTTTCGGGATAATCTTCAATCTCCAAAGACTCGAAAGAAGCTGGCTGATCGAGTGGAGATACCGGAGATGTTGCCGAAATCATGTGGAAATTTCGATTTTCTCGACTTGTAGCTGAAGAAATACAAAAATACAAGCGGCAATTAAATAATTAATAATATTTTGTTTTAAGCGAAAACTCACATTTTGCTTCTTCAGGTGTATCAGGCTCATAATCTTGATATAACTGTCTCATGGCGATCTCGCGATCCGCTGATTCCGCATCCTCGTAGTCTAGATTATTTTTTCTTGGAGGTGGTGAAGTGCAAGATTGAAATTCCTAGATATCGTCATGGTTCGTCTATCTCTTTCACACACTCTCACCTTATTATGTCCAATACATTTGTATCCTCGAACTGTTGAACAAGCACGAACTCGAATCATGACGTTATTCGAGCAGAATGACCACGGAGACCAAACTGACCATGAGGATGATATAACTGAATATGATAGTGAGAGGATCACGAGACGAATAATCGAATACCTGGATCATATTGAGCTTCAACTGTGAAGACAACGACCGCGATGATCGTCGCCCACCGCATTCTCTTAATGACTGAATGCGGATTGAGTGAAGATCCTGCAAAACGTGTTCTTCTCAACTGATACCTCCGATGGATATCGAGAAAGTGGATAACATCATGAAAAGAGGACCGTTTTGGGAAACAACAAAAGAAGACATTTCTCGAAAAAAAAAAGCTAGAAACCCATATGCATCTATCATGATACGTATTTTTTGTAAAAAAAAATGTTTAAAAAATTGCGTGAAATGTGTATTTTTTCCATTCCCACATTTTAAAAGTGTGCAATTTTTCGAATTTTTTAATTGCATGAATCGGTCCAATAGAGAATTCATTTCATTAAAAAATGAAGAGTGCTTTCAATTGATTTGTGTAAAATTGTAAATCACTTTTCTTTTTACATTAATTTTTAATGTATTAAAGTTGAATAATCATATTTGAAACTACATATGTGTAGTGTTTCCAAATTCGCAGAAATTTCTCGGATCTCAATAGACTGCGTTCAAAATTATAATTTATGTGAAATTTTTTTTGCGCATATGAACTTCATATTTAAACTCACAGCGGACGGATCACTTCAAATTTACGTGAATGTCCCGAAGATACCTATGAATATTGGGGTCGAACGAATATCAACGGGTCTCAACACGACATCTTCAGAATTTGTCGACGTTCACTTTTTCACTTCAAAAAAAAACAAGTGGAGCCATTTCCACGTGCTCAGTTATTATACATTCATTACGAAGAATGAACAACAATGAGATGCAAAAGCTATGAATTAAGAGAAAATTTCGTGGTTGTCGGCATCGAACTTTTGATTTTATTGAAACATTTAATAATTGATGGTTTTTTTTTTGAAAAAATGAAACATTTCGAAAAACCTTTGAGAAAACCAAAGAAAACAGAGATTGACCGGGTTTTTGAGACAGTCGCTTAACACCACTGATGGGGGTCACAGAAATGAAAAGTCGCAAAAGAAGGAGAGCGGCGATTCGAAAATTTTCGGAAAAACGAGCGCCTTTGTCATTTCTAATTTCACTTTTCAATTGTTGGGTTAATGATGATAAAATGGAATCATACTGAATTTGAATAAAAACCGACAAGCAGCGACGGCGCGCATTTGGCGAAGCGACAAAGCGAAATGAGGATGACCTTTGTTGCTGAGCGATTTATCTTTGAAAATAATCTGGGATGGCCACCGCAAATTTCTTTGCATCTGGGTTTTTATGAACAAACCGACTCGTCGGCGAACATTTGCCAAAAATTAGAAACACCGATTAACGGAAATTCTAGATAAAACACAAATATTTCAAAAAAAATTTGATATTTGACGGGAATTGTGAAACAATTAATAATTTTGTATATTAAAAACCATTTTTAACTTTGATATTGAAATCTTTTAATCATACTTGTTAATGAACAAGTAAGATTAAAAAATCGCATCTAAAAGAAATTCAATGAAAATTGATCTTATTTTTCAGGTTTTGTATGAAAACTCTTAAACAGACAATAAATATTTCTAAGTTTGAGATTCGCGAACTCTAAGACACTACAAAGTCAGCACAGTTTCTCGCTGCGCAGTTTGTTTTAAGAATTTTGCTGAAATCCCCCTTGTCAGCACTATTTCCCTCCGAGAATATTCAATGGCTTCTTTTGATTTTGGGTCCTTTTTTTAAGCCGGACTTGACATTAATTTAAAAATAACATATTTTTAATGCATGATTCTCAATCTTTGCCGCAATTTCAAACTTTTTATTATTCGCCAAGAATCGCATAATGGTTCGTTGATTGTGTTGTTCATTAATACTCAAATATCACATAAGAAATTCAATTTTCCAATTTGAGTTGAACCCATAAACACGCATAGAATGCTAATCGCAAATTTCGAATATCTTATTAAGTCGCGAATTCCCATTGGAGAAGAAATTAATAACGAGGTTGTGGGTGGTCTCGGGTTGCAAACGTCGCGTGCACCTCACACCCTTTTGGTGAACACTAGTCATTCGTTCATTTTTATACGCGCTATATATGAATGTTTAAAAGCAGCAGTTGCTCTCGAACAATTGTACTCCATTAAATAAAGTTGGGCTCAGAAGACGAGCGGAAGTGGCGAACAATGAAGAAAAGAAGGGTAATGAGGCGGCGACCAGTTTTCCACTGAAAATTCATCCTTATGTGGTCCTTTGAGCCGATGCAATTGCTCATTTTTCACTTTTATTTCCCATTCCTTTCGGGTTTTTTTCGGGTTCTTTTTCAAACCTATCGATTTCTCGTTGTATAGTTCGAAGTCTTCATCATCGACTTCAAATTCCGTTTTTCTTTCTTCTCAACACTACTGAATGCCTCGTGTTGTGCTCAAACCAAATTACGCCTTATTTTGTTTTCTCCTTTAGATTGTTGAACTTGTTCTCTCATTTTTTTTTTCATAAAACACACTACACACCTTTTTTCGTATACATTGTCTTTTGGGAAATGTTCACATATGCATAATGGCCAAAATTTTCCCGTCGGCACTTCAAAAACGTTTTCACGCCTCGTTCTTCAAACGGAAAAAAGCGTTTTTGCCGAATTCGTTGAGGGCGTCCAATTTGTACTATTTCTCGAGTTTTTGCATGCCAAGTCGTTAAAAAATCGCTAGTGCGCAGCTATAAAAACTTATTGGCTTCTTGAATTTATGACATCCTTGAAACACTAAATCATATTCCCTACGATTTGAGTGCGAAACCAAAATCTCGAATGCAAATGTTTTCTCAACTCTTTTTGTTAGCACTCCGTTTTTTCTCTAAAACTATTATTCGTATTATAATGTGGAAAGAGATTTGGGAACCATTTCCTTTTTCGAGCAAAATACTAATCAACTAATGTTTTGAAATGAAATAATTAGTTTCTAATTAGAAGGTCCTATTGTATACATTTATATGCGTTTCATATCTTATTCAAATATTTATGTGAATAAATTAGCAGTTAGCATACTTGTTTATTTTGCCGCCGGTTGCCCTCTTCAACTCCGCTCTACACATTGTGCCTTTTCAACCTCGCAACTCCATTAATGCTTTAAATTTTACAGGCTTTTCAAATGGTCCTTGCTCATGTTATATTGATTTCGGTTCTCTCGACAGTCGCATTTAGTCTCGATTGTTTCTCGTGCGGAATTTTCTTGTCGGCAGTTGAGCCACAATGCCAAGGAACCGTTAGAAATCATAGTTGCGCCCCGGAAAATTTTGGATGTCTTAAAGTTACTGGAAAGAATACGGTATACCTTCGATATGGCGAAATTAAAATACATTTTGAAATCTCATTTTTAGGACGGCACGTATTATGTCGAAAAACGATGTGCCGAAAGAAGCGATAATTTAAGTGATGGATGCATTGATGTCAGAATTAGGGGGTCTGTTGCAGGCTTGTCGAGCCGGGCTCAGTTGTTGATTTCTTTTTATACGTAAAACACGCTATAAACTATTTATAACATGCCAAACTATCACTACATAATCTTGTGCTTATGCAACCTTTCGTCATTTTTATGCATACAATTCATATTAGTGAGAAACGTGTTTAATTATTGAAATAATACCTGCGGCCATCAATCAATACAAATCTTATTTTTCAGAATTACTGCTCAACAATGTTTATGCAAATCCGACTACTGCAATGACTCAATTAGCGCATTCGTCGCCACACTGCCCATTTGCCTTCTATTTTTAGCAAAAAACCTATTGAATTAGCATCTTTTCGCGTCTCAGAATCACAATATTTTCTAAGGTTTCGGGTGCGTTCAAAGTGCGACAATTTTTCTTCTTAAATATTTAATATAATGACAATTGAAGCTTGATTCAATTTTATCTTTTATGATCATTTGATGCAATTAGTTTTAGTTTTACTAAACGGCAAGCTCGTCGGGCGAAATGCGGACATTTCCCGGTTTTGATTAAAACTATCAGTTTTCACCCGTTTCTTCAGAATGTCGTCACCATTTCGCTAAAACCAAAAAAAAAGTTTCGTCCGATTAATTTGTCGAGTGATCCCTAACGCACCCATGAAGAGCAAATGCGCTCTATTGCAGAATGTCGTCCGTCGAAGCTTTCTCTTTTTTTTTTTTGCGCTTGCTCCCCCAATTTTTCCATTTTTCTTTTCCATTTCTTACGAATTTCTCTATTTTTAAGTCTTTTCATTACTTTCTATTTATATGAAGTGTTTAATATATATTAGTGTTTTAACAAAATTTTGCAGTATGTTTATTAAAAAAGGGTTTTTCCTAAAAATTTCAATGCTAACAATTTTCCCATGGTGCGCTGGCTGATAAAATCAGGCGGTTATCAATCATGACTTTTTGGAAATTTGAACATTTGTACTGGAAAAAGGCCAAACTGATAAGTGTTTAGATGTTGGAAATGGTTTAATTCCGGAAGCGAAATTCTAGAGATTAGAGGTCTACCGGTATTAACAATTAAATCTATTTTTCACACAACAATCGGAACACTGTTAAATCGTAATATCATACAAAATGCTGCCATAATGGTGTTGTTAGTTTTTCATTATCTGTAATCGTCCGCCAAACAACATTTCACGTGAAGTCATATATTTCCATCTTTCATTTTTGCCTACCAACAAAGTGCACGTCTGCAGCCTCTGGTGCAACGGATAAAAATAAACATGTGGGTTTTGCAGATTGTTTTTACGAAAATGAGGACAAGTATACTTTTGATTAAACTTATCGAATAAAAAACATTTCCTAAAATCGAACTTATATTCGTGAAAATCTGTCTTTTGTCATCATAGGTCAACAACATTCTTTGTGTGGTGCGTCGTCATTTTCATGGTGCGATTTATTTTAAACGACATTTCTTGGCTTTGGAAGGAGAAATGACGTCATGAGGCATATTTTGCATTTCATGGTCCAAAGAAAGATATTTCTCGAAGTTTCTTCTCTTGAAAAACCACATCACGAAATATTAAAAAAAACCGATCAAAAAAGATTGAAATAGATGGGTATTTTTTGGTTTTTTTCTGTGATATCTGTGTCACGGTGGTTTTTTCTGACATTTCAAATGTTAATAAACCAAGATGAAATTCATTTACTTGCGAGGAAATCTAAATAATATGGAAATCTACAAGCACTGATATTTTGCCGGCGTTTCAAGCTCCTTTCTCATTCCTTGGAAACTTTCAAGTTTGTGTGGTATCTTCAAAGTACTCTGCACTGCTTATGGCCAAAATTATATTATTATCAGAGTCATGAGTTAATTTTTCCGTTGTAATCGGTGAATAGTGATCTATCAATTCTTCACATAAGGCAATAACATTCTTCGGGGAATCCCTTAAACGTTATCAGTTTCGCACAAGCGATCATTCACTGTCTTTGACGTTGGACACAACTATTTTGCAATTAATGCATTTCCTTCATAAGCCATAACCCTCTCAACATTGAACAGTCAATAGACGAACCCGTATATTTTTCGTAGCCCGCCTCTCTTCTGCGCATCCGTCCGTCTCCCTTGTCATCGAAAAAATGTGTTATCACCGCTGGTCGTCCCACCCGCCGTTCACATGAATTGCATCGGGATCCCTAGAGCCTGCTATGTGACCGCCCTTTCTCTCCCATTTTTTTTCTGCACAATTCGAATTTATTTGCCTGCTTCGCTGTCTTCCTCAGTTTCATTTATTTTTGTAGACGCGAAGGGTATACACACGCACAATATTGCAATGGCTTCAGCATCGGCAGCAACCAAGTTTTTGACCGATCGTGTCGCTCTCGTCACCGCTTCGACAAAGGTTAGTATCAATTCATTTCCACAAAAGTACATTTGGAATCAACGAGTTCAACATTTGATTGAAGCACTTGTTGTTTTTTATATTGTTTTTTAAATATAGTATATCAAATATTTAAAATTACGCTAATGAAAATGTAACCTTCTTACGTGTTTAGACGATTAGGATTTCAATATAAGTTTTTGTTTTTGAGTTGTCCATGAATCGATGTTTCTTTTAAGGAATATCATCATTAAAAAAGTATGCAAACCTAAGTGTACATAGTAGGAAATGAATTGTGATTTTATAACTTTGTTATTGGTTACACTTGTACATGTGAAAATTAGAATCGTAATATAGAACAATTTAAAGCACAGATAGAAACAAGTTTTTATTGGAAAATCAATATACAGTTTCCGTTCTTTGAATTATTCTTTTCAAGGAAACTTCATAGACCAAATATAATGATAAGATAAAATTGAGGAACTGTGATAAGAAATGGTCAAATTGGTTCGCAATCAAACACGTAACAGCTTGAAATTAACAAAATTTTCAGGGCATTGGTTTTGCTATTGCGAAACAATTAGGCGCTGCTGGCGCCTCCGTCGTCGTATGCAGTCGAAAACCTGAAAACGTCGACGTATGCTTCGAAAATATATTAAAATTAACTGAATTTGTGTATTCTTTAGGAAGCAGTCGCCGCTTTGCGATTGGAGAATATCGATGCTCATGGGACAACAGCGCACGTTGGTAAGAAAAGCGATCGCACAAAACTAATCGAATTTACTATTGAAAGGTTTGAAATTGTTCTCAGGAAATGAAAACTAATTTGGTCAATGCTCAGATTCAACAAACTCGATATTCTGGTCTCGAATGCGGCTGTTAATCCGCACTATGGAGACATGATGTCCGTCTCGGAATCGCAATGGGATAAAATGCTCGATATCAACGTAAGATTTTTGTGTTCCCTTATTTTGTCTTGATCTGCATACAACACGAACTGTGCCGAGGTGAGCAATTGTCGGCCTCAAATCGCTTTCCTACAGTTTGTTGAATGTGGATTGTCGCCGTTCGTCGCACAACGCCATCGCTACCGACACCACACCATCGTCGCCTCATTGAGTTTGGTGTAGAAATGCGCTTATCCTTTCGCACACCAATGTACAATTTGATTTGCTCAATTGGGTGTTTATCGATAAACAATTGCGATTTTTGCAGGTCAAATCGGCGTTTGAACTCACCAAAGAGGCTGTGCCTCATCTCGAAGCCTCTGGCAGAGGAAATATTGTATTCGTATCTTCTGTGGCAGGTATTATATTAAAATCAGCAATTAATCTAAGGAGATTTGACAAAAATATCTAGGATACTCGCCCATTAACGATATTGGAGCATATTCGGTTATGAAAACAACATTGACAGGACTCAGCAAATCTCTTGCGTTGAATTTGGCCAAGCGAAATATTCGAGTGAACACAATCGCGCCAGGTAACATTTTTTCAACAAATTTTACTTTGTAACCTTTATTATGAAATCTCGATTTGTTAAGCTTAGAGCTCACTTGTATTAGCTCAAAAAATCTAAACCGTTACTATATTTACTCACGAACTATTGCTGCTGATCGGCCTCACGTGCCTGTTGTTTGCCATCTGACGGGGGAGGAGACTTGCAAAAGATGCACGAGACACGTTTGCTTTGGAATAGATGCGAACTTTCAGGAATCATCCGAACGGATTTCTCACAAGCGCTGTTCGCCGACGAGAATGAGAAACAGAAATTTTTGTCACAAATCGCTCAGCGACGATTTGGCCATCCAGATGAGTGCGCCGAAGCTGTCGCCTTCTTGGTATGTAACACTATGATAAATACAATTTCATAATTAAATAAAATCATTAACGACACGTAGCGTAAGAAATATTTTGAATTGAATTTTTAAAAATTAATATGGGTTTATTCCACATCATTTTCTATTGCGCGCCCCATTTTGTCCATCGAGAATAAAATTATATAGATAGATAGTTAAATCCATTTGGTTTTGCAGGTTTCTGATGAAGCGAGCTACATCTCTGGAGAAACGATCGGAATAAATGGAGGAATGCAAGCTCGAATCTAATCAGTGTAGTTGCTTTCTGGTGATCTTCCTATTACTCTCTTGTTTTTTTATTGTGAGCCCTTTCTTGTGTTCGATTTCAACGATTTGTTTTTGTAAAGTATTGTGCTCTGATTCAGATAATTGCAATCTCTGTGAGTTTTGTTGTCCCGATCACTATTCATTTTCTTCGTCGTATTATCATAATTATTGGCTAATTGACTGGTACCTCATTTAATGAATGATGAGATGATATTTATAATGCGTAATGATTGTCGAAGTCGCGCCACTAAGGAAAATTTGCTAAATGCCAAAAAATCAATGGCAGTGGGCCAAAATAAAAGTGTGGATTTACGAGCCATAGCATATTGGTTCAAGGCGCACGAGACCTCTCCCTATTTTTTTAGCATTTAGCCAATTTTCCGCATTCGCGTGACAATATATCTTTGTTGTTTTTATTAAGAAGTTGTTGAATTGAATCGGTATGCGCACATTGCAAACATATTCTTGTTGCAATCGGTATTGATCCAGCCGTCGAGATTGATCACGTATGCCACACAATCACATCCATCGGCTTCTCTTGGATAACCTTCAATATATTTTCCATCAATTCCAAGATTAGGTTTATATAGAAAATTACCTTTATACCAATTGGTGTAACCGTCATATGAATCACCGTTGATGAAATACCATGCTGTTGAATTGTGAGGATCACGACGAAGGCCGATCCAGAACATTCCCTCATTGGGATATTTATCGAATAGTCCTATATATAAATTCTATAATTTCTGAGAAATGATTAATTATTCGGGACCTATTATTTTCTCTTCTTCAGACCGCGATTGAATCGATGTTAATTTTGGCGAATGTAAGAATGTCGGATGATCTGTGAGGCATTCATTCTCAGCATCGTAGAAGCTTTTTTTGTCGCTGGATGGCTAAATTCGTTCTTTTAAAACAGTTTGTGTATTATATTTATAATAACCCTATAACATTTCGCATTGTTTAATTGTTCGTAGTAGGTGAAATTCCAATCAGCGACGCACCTGAAATTTTTCTACTGTTTTCCCAATAAGAAAAATAATGCTCTTCATACGGATCTGCCCAAGATATAGTCGGATTCACCGGCGGTGGCGGAGCGGGCGTCGGAATAACGTACTGAAATCACTTGATTGTTTCGGAATATTAATCTCTGAAATGAAGTACCTGACAGAGTATTGTTCGTGTCGTGCTACAAGCTTCTCCTGAATACCATTTATCCGAATTTTGGTGATCATTGAAAAACGCGCAGTCTGCGAATGATGCGGCAAGAACTTCCGAATCTTCTGATTCTGATAATTGAACGATTTTAATTCTATGAAAAAAATGTACCATTAACTTGTTCGACGTCTAGCTTCAACACCAAATCATTTCCTGTTGAGGTATATCCGAATATCATCTCATCGATCTTGCCCACTAAATTTTCGATTTCTGTTGAGTTGTTTACTCGAAGTCCATTCGAATATTTGGGAATCGCAAGTCCGCTTATATCAATTGCTAAATAAAATAAATAAGTAAATAGCAAAGCTACATATCGTCGTGGACAAATTTCATTTTTTAAAACTGATTAACGTCTTGGGTCTCGTATGGAAAAAAAAACATTTTCCAGATGGTTTTGCATGTTTTAAACGAGAAAGATGATAATTTTTGATGATGCAAAAATATACAATGACTCAGGCAAATCAAATAAAATATTTTGAGAATCAAATACTAAATTATAAACTCTGAATTATAAACTCTGAAATATTTTGAGAAATTCTAAAGTTTATTGATATTGTCGAAAACTTATTGAGACTCGATAAACTTAAAAATATTTTTTAAAATCTGTTAAGTTTTTCTAAAATTTATTGAGCAAATTCTAAATTATCTCGATAAATTCTAAAATCTTATAATAAGTTCTAAAGTTTATTGAGACAAATCTAAAACATTATAGAGACAGTTTCTCAATGAATCTCAAAATATTTTATTCGATTTCCTGAGAATGCCAAAAACGGAAGCATTTTTCTACCAGCATTTTTCGCACAGAATTATCAGCCGCTTTTTTGGAGAGCGCACTATATTGCTTTTTACAGGGTCTATTAGAAACCACCCCCACTTTTAACCCCCACCCCTGCTATTCCACCCCGACATTTTAACCCCGACTTTTATTTATGATACCACCCCCAGTTTTTCACCCCCAATTTTTAGGTTTCACCCCTACTTTTTCACTGCACTTCAAAATTTGAAGTTTCTAACAGTAATGTTTAACAGTAAAATTTTTTAATATTTTCAATAATTCAAGTTATCAAGAGGAGATTCGCAGGACTGATGTCTAAATTAGATTTTTCAGAAACTATGTAGCGTTCTTATGAAAGGTTGACGTTTTGACAAAAGACGAAATTTTTCTGAACCGGGTTTTCCGAGAATAGTTAATTTCTTGTTAAAATTGTCAACCTTTCATAAGAACACTACATGTTGTCGGCGTCAAACGACTGAAGGGAGGCGGAGCATTTAAATTCGCGAAATCAATGTAGATTTAAATTAATCGTTGACTGAATATTTAATGCGCGTACGCTATAATGCAATGGACGCAATCTCGCTGCCTCGAGACGCATTGGCACATAGCCAATTATTTTTTAAATTTCTTCAAGTCGTTTGACTTCGACAATAGTTTCTGAAAAATCTAATTTAGACATCAGTCCTGCGAATCTCCTCTTGATAACTTGAATTATTAAAAATATTAAAAAATTTTACTGTTAAACATTACTGTTAGAAACTTCAAATTTTGAAGTGAAGTGAAAAAGTAGGGGTGAAACCTAAAAATTGGAGGTGAAAAAGTGGGGGTGGTATCATAAATAAAAGGAGGGGTTAAAAAGTCGGGGTGGAATAGCAGGGGTGGGGGTTAAAAAGTAGGGGTGGTTTCTAATAGACCTTTTTACAGTACAATTTAAAGGCCCCACATAAATCAAATTTGTCTAATAAAAAAAATTCTGTTTTCTTCTTTACGATTATTCGGCATTCGGGATAAAGGTCCGATTAAAGGCGCACACCGCGCACTAAGACCACTATCAAAATTTTAGGAATTTAGCTAATTTATTGCATCGGGCGATTCGACCAAAAATTTCTTGTTAATGCGATTTTTGGAAATCACGTTCCTGTATAATGTTTCACTTACATTTGTCACCTACATTTACAGTAATAACACTTGATCTTGGCATTGATAACATGGAAGATGTTGATTTGATGTTAGTTGCATTTCTAGACAAAAATTGTATGATTAAAATTCAATTAATAAGGGTTTTCTTTACGTCGAAGCGCTAAAAAATATCATAGAAATGTAATCGGATTTGAATTTTCGTGGTGAAAATGTATAACGATTGTAGTAGACATTTTCCATATTTGAAAACATTCTGAAATTTCGAAAGATTTAGATTTGCAAAAAGAAAAACCCACGAATTGAAGTCTAATGGATTTGTTCGCAAACAATTTGAAATATATGTTTCGTTTAAGGTTAATATTGCGTTTTTAGTATCTTCGAATGAGCTGATAAATGGAGGATATTGGTTAATCCATTGATTACTCGGAAGCTGCAATAAACCAATAAATGAACACTTTCATACCCATATTCATACTTTTGTGCAGCCATAAAGGAAATAGGCAAATTCGGATGGACCACGATCTTGAATATGACGAGTCAATTCATTTGCAAAATTGATTTGCTAAAATAAATCACAATTCTTCTTTTAGTTGAAGACTTAATTACCGCAATACTGAGTTCACTTGTTGAATAAATCGAAGCGTCTACAGCAATTACTACGGCGGTTGATCTTCGTTGCTCACTTGGAGGTACTAATTATATCATGAATCTTTCAACAACTTCACATGTTTACTCACAAGTTGTTCTTAGAGTCGTCGGTGGAGCCGGCGGTAATGTCGAGATAGGTATCGGAGGATTTACTGAATATATCTACGTTTTCAAAGCAAATTTAATTTCGCAAACACAAATTATTATAATTTGATTTGTCTCCGTTCAACCAATACCACGATTTTCCATCATTTGACACGAATCCGATGTAGGCACTTTCGATGTCAGAATCTAGTAGTTTATCTGAAATTACATTTTTTTATTCCTCGAAGCCACATTTTCCGGGAGTTTCCTTGTTTAATTTTTGCTCTTGACCAATCTCATGACATTACGAATATTCAGTGTTTTACGATAGATCATAAAATTGATAAATTGCAGGCGATAAAAAATTTAGCAATTACCGGTTTGTATTGAATTAATGGAATTGGAACGTAAATAAAACAATGTTTGAGAATTTCGATCATTCGACACACTGGACGATTTTAATCGGTTTTGGAGCATACTAAGGCGATTATTATGGTGTATTATTGTTGAAAAATGTTTGTAGAATTCTGAATGATTTTTGGAAATATATATTTAATTCATAGTTCTGAAATTGAATTTGAAATTAATTACAACAATTCTTTGACAATTCTCCATTTGATCTTTTTAAACACCATTTCTCACCTCTTATTTCAGAATTTTCACCTTCACTATCTATTGACAAAGGTTCAGGTGCGGATTTTGAAATCCCTCGGCACTGTGGTGTTGCTTGCTTGACGGCAAACTGCTTCGAAGTATAGAAAATGCATTTATTTCCAATCTGAACATATTGAAGCATAATATTAAACACACACTTTTTATTTAAGCGTCTCACTTTTGTTAACGTGCTAGCTGTCCCAAAAATTAAATTGTCACATTCGGGGAAATCTGACGATTTTCCGAAGGCGATAAGAAATGACAAAACTAGAAACACGAACATTCTGAAATGCTAAAATGGCGATATCAAACGATAAATTAAGGTAACGATGAACGAGACCATTGGAGAGCAATAAAATTTTTGCATGATAAAACTTCTGCGGGTTTGAAGGGTTCCAGAAAGGAAAGTTCTTATCAATGTTAAGAGTTTTAAAGACAGTTCGATTTTTTTAAAGACAGTTTGTATTTTTTTCGATTGATTGTTATTGATTTAATTTAATTAGCTAGCTAGTTTTTTTTTCTTTAAAAGTAGAGTTTTAAAAAATCTAATACTAAAAAAAACGATGGCGTGATATATATAACAGCAATGAATATATTCAAGTTTCCAGCTATGAAACGATTATCTTCAAATTTCGATGAATCTTTATCAGCACACATCAAGTTGACTGAAATATTTGAAATTTATTGAAATGGGCCACGCCCTTTTGAATGTTTGCGTAGGCAAATTTCGTGGCTTCTGGTTTTATGTAATTAATTGATAATTATCTGCTAAATTGTTTGCAACAAACTACATATTTCATTTTTTACCGATTCGAAAAATTACAATGATCTTCAGGGTTCTCAAATACTCAGTTCTCGATTTTTTGATACGGAGACGGGATATATTAAATTAAAATTTATACAAAGGAAGAATAATAGTACAAATTCGACAAGAGAATTTTAAAGAATCGTAGACTAAGCAGGCAATTCGAAAATCGATTAAATTTGTGCAACCTAGAAAAATATGATGACAATCTTTTTCGAATCAACCATTATGACAAACAGACGAAATATATGTATGTATCAAATTATTGATAACGGATTTTTCGAAATTCCGTCGACATCTATTTTCACATTTTGTTGTAATTAACGGTATTGCCTTTGTGCTTCTTTATCCTATTTCGTGATTCGTTCTGAACGGCTTCATTCCCTATTTTCTTATTTGGACTCATCGAAGAGCCTAGAGTCTTCTTTCGGTATGTGCTCGCTTTCCACGGCGGTTTGTAGGGAGTCGCGGTGATCTTGAGCTGAAATTGATTGAAGAAATGCAATGCAGTTTTTTCTGGCAAAAACAAACGACCACCAGAATCGGCAGCGGTAAAACCGTGTAGTCCGGCACGTTGCGGTACGCGTACGGTCTTTTCTTTTTAAATTTTTTCCTAATTTATTTTGATTTTTTTTCATCGGATTGTGTCGATATTCAAAGAAGATTATACCGAGATCACTCCGAAAGAACCGGAGCCAGTTTATATCACATTAATAAATCTGCAGATATGTTTTTGTAAAAAAAAAGAATGAATGCGGCCGCAACGCGCCTGAAGACAAAAATCTCATGTTTTCAGAAACAGACTATAAAACTATGTTGAAAATTGGGTCAGTGGCCGGTTTTCACGTCTTTCGACAGATTTTTGCAGCCGGGCATTAATCAGAAATAAAGCCTCATCACTCTAATCCCCTTGTTAGTAATTAGTGTGGTTCAGTTGTTAGGTTGTGTATGTTTTCCAGTAAACGGTAAGATTTGAACCCACGACCTGACCGTGTGCGAGCCCGTTTGTTGCGGCGGCGAGATTGCGTTTTTGCTGGAACGAGTCAAGTATTCGATCGAGCATATTTTGTCAAAAAGAACGAGTAAAAAGGGTTCTAATTGTCGGAACTTTTCGTTCGAATTTGTGGTGGTTCTGCTTGCCACTCTTCTTTCCAACTCTTCCCACAAGTGCTCGATGGGATTCAAGTCCGGGCATTGACTTTGCAAGTCCATAACCTTGATGTGCTGACTTGCGAGCCAATCCTCAATTGATGAATATTTGAGAAAAAACGAATTTTCTTAATTTCACAAATTTGGAAGTGTGCTTTGGGTCGTTGTCCTTTTGGTAAACACGACCACGACCCATTGCCTTAAAATGCGGCAACATCTGCTTCTTCAGGATCTCCTTATAGACGAAGCGATCCACAATTGTTTTCACATGGTGAAGGGCGAAAATGCCTTTTCCGGAAAACGCACCCCCAATCATGCAATTGCCTCCACGTGTTTTTCGGTAGGAGTTTGATACTTGGGATTGTATCGAGAAGCGACAGGACGGCGGACCCATTGAATTCCGTAACTTCCAACGAGCATTCATCCGACCAAATAACACCATTCCAGTCAAATCGCGTCCAATTCGGATGTTGCTTAGCCCACTCGACGTCGTCTATTCTTCTCCGAAATGAACGGTGTCTTCACTGGTTATCTTCCGAGCAATCCTGCCGCTGATAAACGGTGTTTGATTGTTGATACCGAAACAGGCGATGGAGAATTCGCAAAAACTTCGTTCTGGATCGCCGGTGCCGTCATTCGCGGATTGAATCTGGACGCTCGTACAATGCTTCTATCAGTCGCACGATCTGTCACGCGTGGAGGTCCAATATGGTACTTCTTTGGGATTCCTCTTTGAGTTTCCCATCTTTTCAAACATTTGAAAATGCAAGTTTTTGTGACATCCAACTGGGCGGCAAATATCTGCAGGGTTGCTCCTGTTTGACGCCCTGCGTAAATTGCCCGTTGTTGTTCAACAGTCAAGTTCCGCTTTTTTTTCGATAATGGAAATGTGTAAAATTACAAAAATAATAACGGCATGCAAAAAAAGCACAGAAAATAGTAAAAAAAAAACTTTTGAAAAAAAATCAACAAAAACCACACATAATTGCGTATGATAAGACTACCGTACCAATAATCTTTTGATTATATTTATTAATATATCTAAAAGTTTCACCTCGATCCATACGGTTTCGATCAAGTTATGCCCAAAAAAACCAAAAGTTTCCAACCTTTTGAGCGGTACTGTATGCAATTTTAGTGATATCCAATTGAATTTCAACATTGATCACCTGTTTCTTTTCTACGCTTTCTGATGCAGTTTTCCTCGCCTTCTCGTGCTTCTGCTTGGTTACTGAAACCGATTGACGTTGATCAATTTTCAATTATCTAATTTGTTACTTTCGGCATTGACCAAGTTCAGAAGAATTTCCTGTGGCGACAGAAAATTTTTCTCATTGGCCTCCGACACTGAAACATATAAATAAATAAAAATAAAAGGAACAACGGTTACTTATATTTTGGTCGATAGTAGTAATATCAAAGGACAAACAGAATGACAAATGAGAGACTCTATTCACTGCTTTTGGTTGATAATGATGGATAAGATTGGCGAAAAAGCCACGCGAAATAGCATGTGTCGGCAAAGAGACACTTCTAGAATTGAGCTGAACTATTATACTAATTATGGGTTTTGACGTTGTTACTAATAACAGCATACTCATGTTGCTCAGAATGCAAAAAAGTGCAAAAACATAATATTTTAATGTATTATTTAAATAAACAACATAATAAATATGAAATATATAACAATTGGGTTCCTTTTTTTCAAGAAATTGAGATTTTATTGAAATGGTATGAATTTATCAGTTTTTTTGTTGATTTGTTCAGAGCAACAATTCGTTTATTAATAGTGTCAAAATACTACCGAATACGAATAAACGAAACATTTCTCTGAGCAATAGTGTGGAATATATTTTTATTCGTTTCGATTATTACATAAGATTACTTTTTTTCGAAAAAAAAACGGTATATACAACTTATCATAATATTTTTTTTAAACATTAAAAAAACCAAATGTTTCGTTGTAATGCAATCAACTCGGCGTTCCTGAAACAGTTGGATTTGCACAATGATTAAATTGAAACCAAACCGATTAAAAATAATTAGAAAAATAGTAGAAATGAGGAACGATAGTTGAATAGACGAAACGCGGTTGATGAGCTGGCGGAAAACAGATGAAAACCCGATGAAGCATGGATCAAACATTTTTAAAAATGACAACATGGAAAAACAAATCCGTGGCACGTTTTATTTTAAATTCCTTTTTTGGTTTTTTTTTCTGAAATTAATAAGCACCCGAATAGTTTGATTGGAAAACAACATCGGTTTGTCGGGTTACAGATGTGAAATGTTGAAGTCACCTTTTCAATTCGGGAAATTTTCTCAATCGAATCGATAAGTTCATATTTTAACTTTGAAATTTTCATAAATTTTTATTTATCAGAGTAACTGTTTGAATATCGTGTTTGATCTGAATTGTTATGGCTTGGTTCAATTCCTTCGAAGATTCAATGGTCTATTAGAAACCACCCCTACTTTTTAACCCCCACCCCTGCTATTCCACCCCGACTTTTTAACCCCTCCTTTTATTTATGATACCACCCCCAGTTTTTCACCCCCAATTTTTAGGTTTCACCCCTACTTTTTCACTGCACTTCAAAATTTGAAGTTTCTAACAGTAATGTTTAACAGTAAAATTTTTTAATATTTTCAATAATTCAAGTTATCAAGAGGAGATTCGCAGGACTGATGTCTAAATTAGATTTTTCAGAAACTATTGTCGAAGTCAAACGACTTGAAGAAATTTAAAAAATAATTGGCTATGTGCCAATGCGTCTCGAGGCAGCGAGATTGCGTCCATTGCATTATAGCGTACGCGCATTAAACATTCAGTCAACGATTAATTTAAATCTACATTAATTTCGCGAATTTAAAGGCTCCGCCTCCCTTCAGTCGTTTGACGCCGACAACATGTAGTGTTCTTATGAAAGGTTGACAATTTTAACAAGAAATTAACTATTCTCGGAAAACCCGGTTCAGAAAAATTTCGTCTTTTGTCAAAACGTCAACCTTTCATAAGAACGCTACATAGTTTCTAAAAAATCTAATTTAGACATCAGTCCTGCGAATCTCCTCTTGATAACTTGAATTATTGAAAATATTAAAAAATTTTACTGTTAAACATTACTGTTAGAAACTGCAAATTTTGAAGTGCAGTGAAAAAGTAGGGGTGAAACCTAAAAATTGGAGGTGAAAAAGTGGGGGTGGTATCATAAATAAAAGTCGGGGTTAAAATGTCGGGGTGGAATAGCAGGGGTGGGGGTTAAAAGTGGGGGTGGTTTCTAATAGACCTTTATAATCTTTCATTTTTGTGTTTTTGTCTACCCTATATAAGATGGAAAAAAGTTTTCCCGAAACGAGAAAAACATAGTCGTTTCTGGTGTCGAATCATTGAGAATTTAACAAGGCCATCAATCTTTCGAATAAATGTTATTTTTAAAAGGAAATCTATGAAGAATAAAAATTAATTTGATTTTAAAATCGAGGTATGCTCTGACTTTTTGCCAATTTATTGGAGTCGCGAAACTTCAACTACAACGTTGACTGGACCAATATTTACGCACGAATCGTTGGCCATCAATTTCAGATCATATCGACTCTCTACGGTTCGATTATTTCTATGATATTTTCTATACACTTCAATTTCAATTCGATATCACAAAAGTCTGAAACTTGCGAACAGTGATAAGAGAGAAACACATACGTATCCCTTTCTGGATCCTCGTATTGTTTTGTTTGTTGTGATTCATCACACCCGTTCCCGGAAAAAGAAACAAATTGAATGTTGTTCGAAATTGTTCTTTATAATTAACATTCAATTCGCCGCAATCGCTGTTTTCGTTAAGGAATTGCATACATACATAGAAATACGTATCACGTCATCCACTCGATGCTTCAAGTTTTAAACCTGCCGAACACTAGACAGTCATTTACGCCATTAGAAACAGTTCACATCCTCATCTACATATATGTATATAAATATTGTAGGAAATGTGTGAACTGCGGTTTACTCATTCTTTCAATGTTCGTCGGAAGGAGAAAAGCACAATCCATGAATCAAGGTTCTCTTATCAATTGACCGTTGAAGAAATAGCAGAAGCTGCAGTGAAACAGGTAGAAATTGCGGCGGCAGAAAAGAGTGTTGCGTCAAAGCGAAAACAGTGTATTGAAGAAGCGAATCCCAAAGAATTCGGAACAGCCAGATTCGTTTATTCACGAGATGAGTTCGACCAGTTCAACGGAACAACAATGTTTGAGAAGATCAAAAAATTACACATTTTCTTCAACATTAAGGCTATTCGTAATTCTTATCTCTAATATCCCATAATTCACGTATGAACCAGAATAATGCGTAAAATAGTCAAATTTTTTCGATAAAATTTTTCTCGGTCTAAAAACTCTGAAAATGTTCATTTTATTTTTGGCGGTTATTATAGATGAAAATGTTCCCGCGGAAACACAAGAATAAACAAAAACCAATCTTGAATTTTGAAAATTATTGCTTTGCTACTTCATTGTAGGTTTTTTGCAAATGTGCCTTTAAACATCAACAGAAATATTTGCTCGAAAAAACGATTTTCGCGAGCAAGATCAACAAGGATTGGTGCCCAAAAAAATAAATGATTTGTCGTCAGCTGGAAAATAAATAAAATTAAATGTACCCTTTTTTCCACGCGAACATCAACATTGCAACATTTCTTCGTAAAAACACGAATTTCCAAAAATGCAAAAAATTGATGCGATAATATTGGAATTTTCACTGTTGGTCATTTATTTTAAATGGCAAAAGCGGACAGTTGTTGCAATACTTCTTCTATTAGTTCTTTTATCTGTTCTTTTGAACTTTTTTCTTTTTTTTACGAAGAACAACAACACAGAAAAAAAAGATAACAATCGTCCGAGCAAGATTTCATCGGTGTCTTTGAATAATCGGATAATTGTAACATAACGCAGCAACCTATTCTTTTGCATGTTTCCACCAGCGCACAGAGAAAATAAAAATGTAGAAACTTTTTTCATTGAAATGGTTCAAAGTAGAAAAAAAACGAGAGAGTTGATTTTTTTTGGTAAACGCGGAAGAATAACATCATCGATTTTCGTGTTATTAGCGAATACAAAAAAAAACCGCATAACTACCGTATGAAAAAATGGAATGTTTAATCACGATTTCTATGGATCAAACATCGTATTGGAAACGGCAAAATCCGAATAATTGTTGGGCATCTCCGCCCAGATTCTCGCAGCTTCATTCTCTTTCACAAATAAATTGTGGCTAACTTGAAATGGGGGTATAGTCCGAATCAGGTGTTTGTTTCGTATGAAAAATCACATTATATATCAGCAGATCTTTAATGAATACCTTTACACCATTTTGGTTTTGTTTGATGCGGATCCCATTTCCCATTCATGACGTAACATTCATTGTCTACTGCGATATTTCCTTGTTGTAATAATGCGTCCGATTGTTGTTTTAAACAGATAAGCCTTCAATTTTCAAACGATTCATACATGAATTTTGCTCTAATGGTATTTAGTGTTTTCCAAAATGTTCACGTCATCTGATAAAGGCGGCGAACGGTGTGAGACTCTCACTTAATGGCGAATAAAACTTGCAATGCATGTGTTTGCAAGGAAACACTTATTATTCCTGGAACACGACTAAACAGAAGTCCTTGAGTCTTTGCCTACAACCTAGTCGGCCGTCAAAGACTATTTTAATTTAATTAATTAGTCTTGCAGTCATTGCTAAATATAATTTGAATATTTAATTAAAAACAAATTTACTTTCAATTAAATCACATGCCATCCATAAAAGCCTAGAAGATTTAACAAAAACAAAATTCAATGCCAGAAAGGAGTTTCGTTGAAGAAGACCCTATACGATAAGAATCTCGCTCTTTTTTGAAGAAGATTTTGACGCGAAAAGCAACAAGATTTTCAAACAAGGCAACATCTCTTAAAAAATCGCAACGGACTATTGAACTTATTGGAAATGATGGGAGATTGTGAAAACTGGAATTTATGGGCTATGCTTAAGACGAAACTCGTTTTCATCTCGAGAATGAATATTATCACGCGTTAATTCAGCAAATTAAAAAAAAAGCAGCACGATGGGTGCCCGCCCATCTGATGCGTCTTGTTTCAATGTCCTTCCTTCAAGCTTTATACGTCAAGTATTCTTTATCACGTGTTTTTGACGAGTCCCTCTTTCAGAAACATCTCATTGAAAAACGTGTTCAACATATTCTCAAAGTTAAGCGTTTCCAGCCGTTTTCTCATCTTTGTTTCCATTTGGTTTGAAAATCAACCATCCGACCAAACTATCTCTTATTCATATTCATATTGATAGATGTATTTTTTTTAATTTTGCAGCAAAGAATACAAATGTCGGCTCACACATTTACAGTCAATTCGACGGATTATGTGGCAGCGTGCTACAGCAACGGGTTCCAAGTCAAGATTTGATTCATTCTTGCCAGTTTTCGCGATAGGATCACCTGCGTTTGATTCGCTTGATGATTGATTTTACCCCAATCAATTAATCATGCTAAATATGTTTTCGTTCCTCCCAAGCCAATAAAGTAGCCCCGCTTGAAATTTCTAAATGGTCAATTCGATGAATAATGTTTTCATTAATATTTTTTTACTGAAAAAAATATTATTTCCGGGTTCTTTCCGGGTTCAGCCTACCTAGATTATTGCTGAGGCTCATTCAATTTTACAGTTTGTCTAATAAATCATAGCATTTCGTTGGAAAAATAATAGTTGAAGCCAATACAATAAAAATAAAATACAACATGCTTAATATTGAATAACAAGAATAAACAAACATTTTTTTCAAAATTGCGAAATTCGTTAGTCTATTTTTTCAAATTGAAAAAAAAAGTTTCTTTTTATGATGATAAATTAATTTCAGGTACCGAAGAATAGTAAAGAAAATCGAAATCTGAAATACGGACATGTTGAAGATGACAATGTTGACATCGCTTATTTGAATTTTCCATTACTCCGTGCTTCTTGTTTATTCACAATTATTTCGTTAACATCCTTTTTTGGCAAGTTTTTTTTTTCTCAGAAAGAAAAAACCCAGTGAATTGAATGCTTAATCACCGATAAGATTTCCTTCAGAAAAACGCCATCATCATCGTTCGCCTCCGAATTTTTTAATGAGAAAACCCATATAAAAAAGGATTATAAAATTTTCATTAGGGTGGTTCTTGGTGAAAAAACTGGTGAAACATTGATCCTGTCAAATGATCAAACATTTCGTGTACTTTAACGTTTTGTCAGTCGTTTGTAGTTTTGATGAATGAAACTGTAATGCAAAGCATTTCGACAACCTGGGTGCTTTACAAAAATCTTTTCGGTTGTTCGCTTCACAATTTTCAAGTGTAATAATCTACGTGTGAACAAATGCTTTAGTAATTGAATAAACATTTTTGGTATATTAGAGAAAAAAATGAACATCAATATTTCTGAAAAAAAAGTCGTGAGCGTCTAATTGATAAAGACCACTTTTGAATGATATCTCCATTATTATCAAGACATATTTCTAGAAATTATTAGCATGTTCGAAACTCGTTATATTTCAAAATATATTCACAAATCGAAATGTTTCATATTTCAGCGGCAATTTATGCAGCATTTCGAACAGATTACAAGCCATTCACCGACGAAGAGCTTCTCGACAATTCTCTCATTATATTCTACGGCTCGAAGCCTTTTCGTTGTCGGGTAAATTCCGCTAATCGCTCTTTCAAGATTCGATAATTTTCAGACACACCTGAAGTTTCCAAAAGATGGTCTTCCATCAATATTGAATCTTTTCGAACTGAATGTGTGGGCAAATGTGATATTCAGATTATCCGCATGTCTCACGGTTGCTGTTCGTGTGTTCCATGTATTTATCCTGAAAAAGCTCGTTATCAACACATGGAGCAATTATCCGAATCCAGTATTACGATGGTTTTGCGATCTGATGCCGATGCTCTCATTTATTGAATCCACTGCGATGGCTTTGTTCAGCATTATTACAATGCACAATGATTTCAAAGGTGACATCAATTCAACGTTTCAGCATTCCAATAATGTATTTCATAGATGTGAATCATTTCGCGAAATCGGTGTTCGCGGTGTCTGGAACCGTCAACATGTTCCTCATCGCCGTGCTTTCGTTTATGGCAACAGTGAACTCACCCAAGGTCTGTTTCCATTCCAATTCTTGTCGGATTCCATTTTTTGGCAAGAATCGTGTTTAGATTCTAAACGCGATAACCGTCATCATTCGTCTAGCTTGCGCATTTGTGTTCGCCTACACCGCGCCACAGTACTTTGAATTCCACATCGGATGGACAAAAGAATGTCTCTGCCATTCATACAGTAGGTCTTTTTCGAATCATCGTCGCCACGCTGAGATAATAATGATGGATCGAATTTTTAGAGAGTTTATCGCAGTGAAAGTGCGTGCATTCCGACGAAGAAGCGCAGGCGTTTTTTCTTTTGATTAAAAAAAGCGAATTCGATACAAACGTGAATTGATTGCGAATTTTCTGCAGAAACCAGAAGAAAATTAAAAATGAAAGTCAACATCTCACATTTGAAAGCATTCTCGTTCGGTTAAGCAAATAAAACGCAAATAAGTTCACAAAGTATTCCGAGTAGGCAATTTAGATGCAATTTTTGTTACATTTAACAGTAATTACCACTTTTTTAATCGAAATTTGAATTTTCTCAGCCATTTGAAGATTTTTGTTTCTGGCTTAATAGAAAAAAATGGAAAAGAAACAAATTATAAAGTTGACATTCTCTTGATTGATTCATTAATCATTTGCAGTTCCACGTGATTTCGCCTTCCTCGAGTACAGTCTTATATTCGCCTATCTCATCTTCTATCTCACATGTCTCGACGATCTCAAACACCTTCAATTCATTTGCTATCCACGAACAAGCAGCGGCGAATGCGAACCATTGGATCCAGCGAATTTCGAAGTCGGCGCCAAATATGAGCATTGTCGTGCTTACGAATTCAATCAGCGACGAATCAACGCAATATCAGACAACATTCAACGAATGTGATTGTAATCGTCGCAATGTTTAGTTATAATAGTGCATTTATTCTCTAATAAGTATTATGTACATAAAAAGCTCAACAACAGGCAGAAAGCTCCTTGAGATGGAATAAATACCCATAAAATTAAAATATTCAAATTATCCATTAAAAAAACATTATGAAAATGAGATCAGGGAATTTGGTTTTGCATTTACACAGTAATGCAGAAGACTATACTTGGTGAAAAGAATAGCTCCGGTACCTGCCGGAATTATAATTTATCTGGAATTCCGCCATATTGATGATTATGTCGGAGATTTGTGTTGTAGAATTGCGGAGAAGACATGTCAGATTTAGCATAAAGAATGTCTGCTGGCTGATATTTTGCGGTCGCTCGGCTATTTCCGAGGCAACAGATCGCATTCTTCCAAGAGGACAGCGTCTTTGTGCTGCACACCCAGAATCCGGAAGTCCATCCGACGATGCACATACAGCATGTCTTCAGAAGAGCAGTGACCAATGACGAGTCTCCTGAAAACGATTGAAGCGTTCAACTTAATAAATATTTTACGATTTCTTACCGATTGTTTGTCTGGGGAAGCATGAGCACAGCTGGGCTTGTTCCCACATCGGCCTATGGTTTTGCTCGTAGAACAGAACGCAAATTATAAGAAGAGACGGGATTGTATACAGAAGGGAGAAGATTCCAATCTTTGACATAAGTTGTGTGAGCTTATGAGCATTATCCAGACTCGGGTGCTGCTTTTGAACCTCATTGCGAATGCTCCATAGATTGAAGAATCCGATCATTAGAAACATAACTCCTAGAATGAAGTAGACCACGAGCGGAGCAAGAACGAAATAGCGTTGAAAGTCGATGTCGGTATTACCGACATAGCAGATTCCGGTGATTGGATCGCCGTCGATTGCATTGAAAATGAGCACAAGAACTGTTTGAGCAGTCGGAACTCCCCATCCAAGAATATGGAAATGGAATGAATACGAGGCGATCGCTTCCGAAGACCATTTCGAAGCAGCAGCGAGAACCCAAGTGAGTGAAAGAATCACCCACCAAACCGAAGCCGCCATTCCAAAGAAATATGTGAGAAGGAAGACCTAAAATCAAAATAAATAGAACCAAATGAAATATTGAAGATTGTTACCAAAAAGCAGAGTGAGCCAGAATTGTCGTCGTGTCCTTTAATTTTCATCGCATCACAAGCGATTTGGTCGTGGCCGACGAAATATCGAATCATGAATCCAATAGCGACCATCAATTGACAAAATGCGAGCATAAAGATTGGTCGTTCTGGATATTGGAATCGATCAGTTTCAATGAGAAACGTGAGGAATGTGAAGGTGGACAGAACACAGCATGTGATCGACCAGAACGCCATCCAATTATTGATCAATCCCTTGTTGTTATCAAGAGCTGGCGAGTGGCACGCATATGCACAATTCGAAACATTTCCAATCTAGAGGAATTTGCATTATTCTTTAATCATATCAACGAATGAAATTACCTTTGTTTTTGGAGAAATAGAATATTGGAATGGCGCATTGCACGTGCACTGGCATTCATTTTCGAGTTCGTCGACACTTATTCCAACTTGCGGACGATTGAAATCAATATCCATTCCTTCAAGTTCGGGAATCTTGGGCTTCAATGGTTTTGGTGTGTCTGGTGGAGCAGCGCAAATGTTTCCAGAAATCATTTGGTCAGACATTTTTGGAAGAGCATCACAATTAAGAGTTTCCGGCCAACGGAATCCATATCTGAAATATATCAATAAGTTTGATGATAAAAGAGTTAATCTCTGACTTGCTCATGATCGGACTGCATCTTTTTTTGGCTTCCAGACACAATTCCATACACGGAAGAATCGGACGATCATAGTTTTCCTGGCAGATTGGTGTGTACATTGTGCACAGGAAGAATTTCAAATGTTGGAAGCATCCGACCTCGACTAGAGGATAGAATTGATGGACCTCGAGCCCAGCTTCTTCTTGTTTCTCATGGCCGTAATTATTCGGGAATGCAGTCATGTTGTAGCCGATTCCTTTGCACAATGGTATCGTAATAGGCTCGCATTTCCTTTTGGCAGTTTCGATGAACGGGACAACGAGAAGCACGAGGACGAGCAACCGCATAATGCCGCTGGAATAAGAAAATGGTAATAGGTGTACATATTTAAACTTAGTATGAATGGAATGAGAATGAAGAGAAGAGCAAACCGGCGAACGAGTGTCGAATTACAAAGAAGGCTGACGATCGGTGGACGTTAAGAGAACGACACCTGATCTCTCCCCCCAAAAGCTTTTTCTCAGGTTGTACGTATTTTGGCGAATAAAAGAACATTTCAAATTAGACAAATTCGTGATAAATGTGAAATCAACACAAAAAACGCGAGATCCTCCCGTAAAACGAAATCGATGCTCAAGTAGTCGTCAAACAAGACAAAACACTTGATTGAACGAAATAGAACATGCCGAGGCGTCGGGGTTACACGCGAAAAGCCGGAAACTCGACGACCAAAAAAAAAACTTTGATAGCGAGAGTAGCAACGAAAAAATGTTAAGGGCAAAGAAAATAGATAGATTCAAGTGAGCCGGAGCAAACAATAATCAACGCGCTGTGCGGGATGAGAATGGTTTGCTGGCCGACTAGATGAATAACCGAATTGAGAGATCGCGAGAAGGCGGAGCCACCCCCCGTATTTGATGCGAGGTGCGAAAAATGGGTGGTATCGATGATGGTAAGCTTTTGGCTCGAACGGATCACTTCTGATAAGAATGTGCGGGATGTCAATCAATCCATTCGCACATTTCATATTTGCTGAGATGAGGAAGAGCTTAATAAAAAAAGCAAACATTTTATAAAAAATTGAAAGAGATTCAACAAGACTAGAAAACAGACTACTATTAATTTATTCAGTTTTTTTCAATTAATTTGGAATTACAGAAAAAAAATTATTCAGCAAATTTTAACTTAATAATAAAACTGCGAAACTTTCTGCTGTCGATAATTGATTCAATGTTCACAAAATTATTTCTCGGCCTGCTTTTTGGCATAAAAATCTCATTGAATGAGAACTATTAATGAATTTTAGGGAAAATTGCGTGACAAACCGAAATCAGCTAAAAAATTGTTGGGGCATCCAAAGTTTCCAAAAATACCAAAAAAGACGAACAATAGGTTCAATCCGACACCTGTTACTAACAGTTTTCAACAAAAAATGGCAACCGCGAAGGTGCTACGATTCGCAGTTCATTGTTCGAAGTGCGAAAATCAAGCGGGCCGTCAATCAGTTAAATCAGCCACCCCCAAATAGGGGCCTAGTGCGATTTTTGTTGGGTGCATGTGTTTGCCAACTGAATGCATCATGCACTTACGGTAGTCGAGTGCTGGTATTAACATTGTTTGAACAGTGGATTTTGACACGATCCATGTCGTTGATGACCGAGATAGTTTACAAATACAATGGTTATGGGTGTCTGTGGAAAGAAGAGACTGGTGAAAGGGCGAAAAGTATCTTGCTCAATAGAAACATAAACAATTCTCGAAGCGATTTGCATTCTTAATATGTCAACAATTAGCGGGTTCTCATAATAAACGGGCCAGCGGCTCCAGAAATGGACAACGGCGGCAAAACGCAAAGCGAGCCGAGGCGTCTAAATTCAGGAGGGAAAGCAAAAATGGAGCAACAACAAAAGTTTTGAGGAAACACACTCACACAGACACCCCACAAAAAAAGTTGCACATACAATAGAGGTGTGGCGAGCTCCAGCTGTGCGCAGAAATTTGAGGCACCCACTATTATTTGAGCAAAGTAGTAGGAGTACTACTAATAGTTGGGGTGTTATTGAGTGAAGGTCAAACAGCACCTCGTATCATACATAAAATTAGGGGGGAGGGGGAGGGGTTCAAGCTTAATCATATATGATTAGGAAGTGGGAATTCTTAATTTGGGCAACAAAATAGAAGAGTCAAAAACTGGCTATGAATTGAGTGGTTTAGATTGCAAATTATAACAAATTCATGGCTTTCAAGTATTGAAGGGAGTTCTTGAACTTTATGCGAATCACAACAAACAAGATCACCAGGTGTTTTGCACACCAATTTGTCGAACCAACAATGGATTAGCAGCAGCAGTAGTGGTGAATTATGACAAGACATGTCGATGATGCAACCATGCCCGTCGTAATTACAATAATTACTGATGGGAGAACACATGTCCCGAGCAGAAAAAAACGAAGGAAATTCGGCACACAGTCGAACTGAAATCCGTCGCAAAACCAAATGTCAATGGAGGAAAAAAATTGGAAAAGCCAGAAATGTTTTTGTTGGCGACATCGCCGCGCGTAATTAAAATTCTGCGATCCTGTTGCCCATATATAGGCATGCGTGAGCTTGTGTATATGTGAGCGTCTATGCGTATATATGTATATGAAATATTGATAGGAAAGCTCGCCGACTAATAACTCGTCGTACTAGCCAACTTTTTATTTCTTGAGCCAGGTGAACCGCGAAAAGCGCTAATTAGAGCCAAATTGAATGGGTGGACAGATGGGATGAGGTGACGAAAAATTGGAGACGACATGTGTTTTATCTCTCGTTTATCTATAAAAGGAACGGATTAAAATATCCAAATTGACTGGATTATGAAAGTCAACTTAATTCATTTCAAAATGTGATGATTCTTCGGAAAATTTCAAAAGTCGACATCATATAAAATTATTGAGCAATTAACGAATGAAATGACGACAAAAATTAGAAATTTCATCATCATTTTCTGAATAGGAATTTAATAATAGTTGCTTCGGGCAAGAAATGGCAACATAAAATCAATTTGCTCAGGATGTGCACATCACATAACACGCTTCCCGTGTCACGACTGCCATTCACACATTTCGCCGACAAGGTCCCGCACCACCAACCGAAAAGACCGCCGCCTATTAGACTAATGTGCACTGGAAAAAGAAACTCGAGATGAGATGTTAAAGACCGCCGACTCGATTAGAGACCATATGGGTGAAAGGAAAACGATTTTTTGTCTCTTTTTACAAAAAAGAAACAATACACAAATTAGAGGGATGTCGACGATTTTCGGAAATTGTCGTTTGTGATGCCGCCCGCGAAGACGACACATTTTGTTGAATGATGTGAAAACTCATTTGGAAGTAAGTAGACGAGCACTTGAAATGCGAAAAAGTGCGGCGAAATTAAAATTGCCGCCTGGATTTATAAGGCGGCACACATTGGACGGAAAGTTGATTAGTAAAACGGCGCGAATATTTTGTGCGCAGAGTGCGACGAGTATGTATGTATATTAAAAAGGCGTTGAAAGCTTGATGGAACATCCAGCAAAGCATGCGCATTCAAACACTCTCGTGAACAAGCGCACGCAGGGATGCAAACGAAATCGAAAATGCGACGGCAACAAAAGTTTGCGGTTGCTCCCGGTGAGGCGATCCGCGGATAATTGGAAATTCTGAAACTTGGGAGAGCGAATCGAGAATGAGATGATTGGTGCGGTCAGCAAAGGCCAGTAGCCGAATTGCCTAGTAAAGGTAAATAAATGAGCAGAAGAACGAGCGAACAAGATATTAATAAGTGCTCGAACGAGGAGTAAACATACACACAGGACCCGACCACTTCACTATATTGTTGCGTCGTTTTTATAAAAACGGGAAATGTCGGCAAGGAAGTTCAATTTCCTGTGAAGAGCACAAAAACACAAATATCCAAGAGAACAGTCTCTATTGCTCTTTTTTTCGCCTTATATTTGTCATGTTATTCGAGCAAATACAGTAGATTTTACGCAATAATTGCGCGCTGCCAGGTCAACTTTATGGTTCTCTTCGATACACGACGCCAACGATTCGTCTCGAGTTGCGGATGGAGCTTGTTTTGTCGAGAAAACGAGCCAGGAATGAGGAATCGCGATTTGAGAACCATTCAAATAATGCAAATTATCGAACGAGGGAATGACACGAATCGAATACGGTTGTCTGTGATAGGTCTTCTTCACATCGTGGGCACCGCCCGATAATCGTTGTGACAGGCGCAATCCGATGAGGCATCCATTTGGCAACACACAAAAAATGCGGCCAACAACTTTTTTAATCCCCACTCCTCCCAAGCGCACGCTTTCATTTGCAAACGACGATTTGAATTCGAATGAAAAAGAAGAGGAAAAATTGAGAAGAAATTGGTTGCCTATAAAATGATGAAGGCGCAAAAAACGTATTGAAGCGCGCTTAAAACGCCACCGAAAAAAAAAACGGCGAAACCTATTAATTCGTAATGAATTGAACAAAATGAGCCAGACGACAAATGCAGTTTTTTTCGCTTCTCGTCTTTTTCCCAATTCGTCGCTTTTTTTAATGGAGTGACTATACAGTAAAAGATACAATTTAATCTGATCTAATTATGTACTATCAAATTATTTTGGTTGAGAACTGTCAGAATAACGCGTCTCTAATTCGAATTCTCTAGAACCAATAAAACAATGTTCAAATGAGGTGCAGAAGACGAAAACGAAGTCAGAACTCGATCGTTCCATACTATTTATGGTCACGAAACTGAGAATAACGGAGAATAAATTTCTATAAATGTTGAGTAATATTTTTTAAGGAACTGCTAAGTTCGTCTTCATTGAGAACCCCTCTGACTCCACGAATTAGAGTGTGTATTTGAGAAATCTCGAAATTTACGAGAAAAATATATGCATCTCGGACATCAGTGCGGGAAAATGATTGGGGTTTTTCCAATGTTATCGAGCACAAAAAATCGATGTCGTTTTTTTCTGCATGGATCGCATGAGTTTACGAACAAAATTAGAGTAATGCTGCCAAACTCGCACGGCGCCGGGAAGGGAGGATCTCGAAGCGTTGGCGTATTCAAAAAGAAATCCAACAGATCAAATGTAAAACAGATTGCCACCGAATTTCTGTAATTAGAATAGATGGGTGAAGGAAAGAATTGTCAACCAATGTTTTTGTTTTGCAGGCTTCCTTTATTCTTATCGTAGCCACAAATATTATTATTTTGAAATTTAAAAAAGCATGAAACGTTATCAATTTTCATGAATAAATTCAAGGTTAATTTTCTCAAATTTAATTGTCGCGGACGGCTTCTCGCATATTCGATTTTGGAACACAAAAATACATATAATGATTAGAAGTGTCAATTATCAGGAATGATCGACAAATGATATTGATGAGGTACGAGCAACAACAAAACGATGACAAGTGGCGCGCGTGGTGCCAGATGACATGGATGCTCATCATTATTCGAGTACTACCGTAGTGTTATATGCGCGAACACAACAACTGGTAACAATGAAACGAACGTCGAGTAGTGCGCGAGAGGTGGAAATAAATTGAATTTGCAATCTGTCGAGATTCTCCTGATGCTCGCGAGACTCAAGTGTTTTTCGCTGACAGAATGGTAGGAATTCGTTTAGAATGGTGATGAATGGAGGGAAACCGAACTAAAATTGACGAATTCGTCTTCTTTTTTCTATTTTTTTCCAGAAGGAAAACGGCACCCTAGTTGGAAATGAAGAATTCGATTCAAATCGGTCAACAAAATTGATGGCAAAAGCATGAATATTGTGGGAGGCCGAAAAAAAAGGCAAAAGGGCAAATATATGAGGCAATCCCGAATTCTCCAATTTCATGAAATGAGATTTCAGCAAAGTTGTAATTGAGATCGAATTTCCGACGGCGACATTTTTTTCGCAGATTGCGATGGCATTATATGAAGATCGTCAGAAATGAATTCGCTCTCAAGTGTTTTGGCCGAAGCCATCCATCGAAGAGGCCGGCTTCTGCTGGTCATTCTTGTGCCTTGCGGCCATTATATTAGCTGTGCTTAACACAATTTGTCGCTAACGAGCTGCACCGCCGCGACGAGACCACTTCACACGCCAATCAGACCGAATCGGCTATGGCTTGGTTTAGACGTTCCGACTTCAGATATATCCACCCATCTATACATACACACACATATATATGTATATACATGATGAGATTTTTGAGTTTCGAGAGTATACATAGATTCGTGCGAGATGACTGGATATTATGCAAAAATATGCAGATTTGAATTGCGCGCGACATTCCAGAAATCGGGAGAAAAAAACACACACACAAACAAACGAAGCAGATATAAAAGAAACACGGAAATTTGGAATGCGTCAAAATATTTTTGACACACACAATTTGGCAATAATGTGGAAGATTGAGTGCCTCAAGATTTTTATCTGATTCCCACACTCCTATGAATGCGTTTGTCCACTGCGCAACCTTCGCGCGAACATTCCATACCTGTGCATTTGGGCGTGAAATCGGCATCCCGGAGCAATTTCTTCATTCACGACGTTGTATTATTGTTTTTGTATAGTTTTTAGTACGATGAATGACCTCGAAGAATGCATTAGAACCAATAATGAATGCATTCGGATAATTGAAAAATGGAACAACTACATTGGGTAATGGGCAATCGAGAGTTTCTTAATTACCCAAATCAATTCTTCTCAGAGAAGGGACCCCAAAAAAAGAGAATGAAATCAATAAATTCGTTTTATATATTCACTTTTCGTTTATCTAATAATGGCTGACCAGAAACCACTTTTAGATTTTATAAAAGAAAATTGGTGTTCGAAAGGAGGAATAATTCAAATTAGGCACCACTAATTATCGCATGTTCAACTTTGTGTATGTGCTGTGCCTTATTAGGTGCACCAAACTAATTTCTATCTTAATAACCATGCAAACAAAATGCTAATCCAATTCCGTCGGCAACCGCCTACCGTAATCAAATTAGACAAATGTTCGCAACCTCAAGTGCACCTGTACACAAGATGAGCCGACAAGTGCTCTTTTGATCATCACCGAATTGCTATTATTAATATAGTATATTGAATATAATATTCAGAGTGCAAAAAGGGGAAAAAACGTAAAACGCTTATTTGTATTGGGTTGACGCTCATCATCATGTGAAATATCAGCGAGATTCATCGTCGCAAAAATCGACAAGCTGTCATAATCCGCTCCACCAGGGGCCAACTGACAACTTACGCGACATATCTGAGCCACCGAATCATCTTTTAATAGAATTTTTGGGTTTTGTTCCAAAGTGCGACAATGATGAAACGCTTGACGATGATGGTCAAGAAGTCTGACAGAAACGAAAACAAATGTAATACTATTGAAAAAAAAATTATTGAATTGTTGCATGTTCTTTTTTCGATTTATTTCACTATTTCTAGAGTTGACATGCCTAAGCTTTATTTTATCAATACGCTGATCGCAGATTAAAATTTGGCAAATTTTCTTACTTTCGTTAGTCGTATCGTCCTTCGCATGTTGAAGCTCAGACCAGAGTATTCCAAGTGTTCGGTCTTTAGCTAATATGAAATTTTTTGAGGATCTTTACCAAGATAGTTATCATCAAAATATTAACATGTGTTTATTGATTCACAACTGCAGATAATCGCCAATTAGTCGGCGTAGACTGGTGAAGCAACTCCAAGTTCGAGATTGTTAGTCTAAATCAAATTAAACTTCATATAACAAAATTATGCCTCTCAAAATTCTCACCAATGAAATCTTCTTCTCATCTTTCTGCTTTTTGGCACTTTTCTTTCGATGCTCTGCCATTGGAGCATCGACGTGAGCACAGAAGCGGTTAACGTAATAACGGAAGATTCGGATTTCTTTCAAATATTCTGGAGTCAAGAAGAAGCTGATCAGAAGTGCGACGGATGTAATAAAATCGCAGATAAGTGGTGAGAAGATAATATGGTTTTCAGCGAAGAAATTTGGAGAAAAGACCCGAACTTAATTGAAACAAGATTAAAAACGTCGATTTTTTGTCTTACCTTGATAATATCCATTAGTTGCCAACGCGACAAAAAGATAGGAAAACATCGAACACAACAATTGACGACGTTTGCAATCACTAGGAGAACTGCATGGCCCAAGGGATTTTTTAATCATTGAAGTCTACGTAAAATTTTTAATTTGAGTTTTTGAAGATATTCTCGAATTACCAGGATCAAGCACAAGAAGATCATTGGGAAATTGACGAGCAGAATTGAGATCAAGACCGAATTGAGCTGCGGCAATACCGAAATGTTGAGAATGATAGAGAATATTGCGGAAATGAACAGAGCCACGCATAGATTTTTACTACAAAAGAACATTTTCGAATAGCGTCATCCGTAGTAACCTAAAAACGAACCGAAGAACGTTGGGTGATTTTGCGCTTTCGTCATATTTGTAAAATGGCCAAATGACGGTTATAGCTCCAAACAAGGAAAAATAGCGGAAGGCGTCGTTGCAGATTTGTTGGAACAATACATCACGGTCGATAAAATGGTAGCTGAATTCCGATTTATTCTTTTTTTTTACATAATTCCCATTTTTAATTTTTTTAACGTGCTCCTCCAAAATATCGAATTCGGTGTTCTCGTGCCCATTAAAATTACAACAAGAATAATTTTTAGTTATATTACATATTCTAGATTTAAAATAAAAAACACATCTTTATAATTATACGTTATCTCATCGTATATGTACATATGTTTTATAGCTTTTATTTTTTAACACATTATATGCTTATTCATAACCCCGTGAACATTCAGGAAACGTGAAACAACGTCGGTATAATTACAGCAATTTTATTATTTAAAATTTACCTTTCAAAAGTGTTGTCAAATTCTTGAATTGGAATATACTGACGATCGAACGTCATGGTAACTATGTCGATAAACTCGGGTAGAAGACGGGCAGTAAGCGGAGCTGCCAAGAAACTCACGAACTGATAGTAAGGTTCAATATTATCCGGAGTTTCGAGCGACGTTCGGATGACGGTTAGAATTGCGACGTCGAAGCAAAAACGAGGCAATGAAGCGAGCAGCATGACGAGGATTGAATGATTACGGCCGGTGACAAGGCTGCGAACAATCAAGTGAGCGTCAACCGAAAGCTCCGAACGGCGGTTTCTCTGGGCAACGAGAAGGACAATTATAGGTAGGAAAAAACACATCAACAATAATAAAAAAAAGCACAAAATCCAGCAGGAAAGTGTAAAAAACTAAAAAGAACAATAAAATGGATTTGACTCAATCAAATACGGTAACTGGAGAAGCGAATTTTAAAATGAATGATCGGAGTGCACAATTCATTTGAATGTTGTGGGATATTCTATCAAATTTTTCTCCTCAAAGTAGCCCTGCTGCAAATTTTGTTTATATTAAAACAAGTATTGTTCGTTTCGAGACCAAACTATCATCGATGGAGTGCATTCTGCACCTGTCTCTCTATTCCACCGTTCTTCGTCTAAAACCATCCAAATGTTTTTTTTTCGTTTTGTTGTTTTCTCTTCAAAGAAATGATAAGAGTGTAACAACACTTCATACTCCAATACCTTCATTCATCGTCATGCGGTTCTTCTCGGTTTGTGACATTTTGGTTTTTATTACTATGCATTTTTTAGGCCATTTTTGTAGTCTTTTTGATTTTGGGAATATTCGAGGCCGCCCCTTCAAGTAAGAAACGAATTGTTTGATTAAACTGATTGAAAAAATACTATTTAGAAAAATGTCCAGAAAATGAAGAATTCAAAGAGTGTGGAACTGCTTGCGAGGCCAACTGCTTCCAAGGAACAATTGTATGAGAACTGAACTGAAAACTACATACCATTCTATTTTCAGATGTTCTGCACACTTCAATGCATTGTGAATGTATGCCAATGCAAGCCAGGATTCTACAGGAACGCCGACAAAAAGTGTGTGACCAGAAATAAATGTTGAATTGTGTTTGCAAAAAAAAATATGTCGATTATTATCAATGAAAAAAATATATATTCATAAAGCTGGTTTCGTTTTTAAACTTCCGCGTGGTGAGAAAAAGAGAAATGTTGGCCGAATCGAATACAACGATCGATTGATATTCCGAAATGAATCCAAAAGTTTTAGCCTAATTGTAATTAAATCGTTTTTTTAAATCATATTAATTAGCTTTTCTGAAATCGATATTTTAATAGTATTTTTTGTTGAATATTGTCGACACTCATATGACGGGCAAACTTTCAGATTGATATGACCAAAATTTGCCCAAATAATTCTTTAAACTATTTGAGGAATTTTACTTGGGAATATTATCACTTCAGTCATATCAACTATTTTTTGGCAAATACACACCCAATTTGAACTGATATCATACAAATTCCGATACTAAAATATTCAGTATCAAGTTTTTATTGAGAATGAAGGTTGCTGATACTTCGGAAAATGTGTTCACCAGAAGTCTCAGCAGTAAGTTCTCATGTTTTTTGTTTTGACACAATCATCTTCCAGTAACCTCGCGAACAGTCACTACCAATGCGGGATTTGTGCGAAATGCCTTTGCCAAAATAAGACCCTACTTGGGTTTCTCTGCATTTGTTCTATTCTTATTGATTTATCATGGGTATTTAAGTAAGCGTTTTATTGTCCTAATAATGCACAAATTCAATTTCAATTGTTTACAGTCGCTGCGGGAATTCATAATTATCAAAAAGCGGCCCCCTTAATTTACGTAACTGTTTTTCTATGGGCCTGCTTTGCGCTGAATTTAGTCACAAAAACACCAATTTTCAAGCATTACTATTCAATTTTGGAGCAAATTCTGACAAACTTTGCTAATCAGCGGAGATTCATACCAATGTGACATTATTTTGAGTGATTCAAAACAGACATTGCATGTTTAGATCAATTCGAATTGCGATAATACTTGGACTCATTGCATACACAATTGTTACATGCCGAAATGAATGGTCCAGATTGAGTGGTCTTTTCGGATATGTCTTCTTTATTATATTTATGATTTTGATATCGAATAATAGAACAAAAGTAAGCCTTTATCAAAATTATTTTGCAGATTTTGAAAAAAAAAAGAACTAAAAATCGATTTTAACTAGTTTTTGCGCAGTCTGCATAGGATATAAAAAATGTTTTTACTGATTTTTTAAAGTTTGTTTTTTACAAAATTTGCATTGTACCATAAAAATAATGTAGTTGAATTTAAAATTTTTTTACTCATTATTATTTATAACTAATTAACTTGTAATTGAAGCAATATTCAGATAAATTTTTCAATAGTGAGCAATGCTTTCATCTTCCACTATGTTCTTGCCATTATCATTTTGCAATGGTCGACCGGTCAATGGTTTTTCCAACAATTAGCTCAATTAATCGTCGGACTACTTGAATTTGCTCAAGTTGGTTTGTAGAATGACCACATTCAAATAGAAAAATTCATAAATGCTAAGGAGCGAAGTTTGTATTCGGATTTATTGCCGATCCGCCAAATATCTGCGATCTTCGTCCCGTCTTTATATTTACGGTAGTCTTGTCAAATTAAAAAAAAAAGATTTGTTTCGTTCAGTCCCTTCAAACATTAATCTACTTCGGAGCAATAGTCTCTTTATTATTTCATTTTGGAATTATCCAGGTAAAAATATATAGCTCATTTTTTGTCGAACTATATTTTTCAGTCAACCCTATCAAAAACCCGCTGGTTTATGAAGGTATTAATTGGAACGACAGCTGTCGAATCTGTCAACGCATGGGCATGCACCTTTTTGGGAATGGTTAGAATCATGAAACTCTTCCGAAAACTGAATTCGTTTCATAGAGCGAAGGTCCTTTGTTGATCGCTCCATATGCTGATAAGCTAACAGATTCTGAAATGTTCGCTGTCGTCACCAGTGGATTCGCATGCGTTGCTGGAACTGTTTTCGCCGCCTACATTGCTCTCGGAGCCTGTCCAATCTATCTGCTTACATCCTCATTATTATCAGCGCCATGTTCTCTTGGTTGTTCGAAACTCATGTACCCGGAAACCGAAGAGACCAAGATTAACGACGACGGGTTTGAATTGAAACATGAAAATGACAATAAATCGGTAATCGATTGTATCTGCTCGGGAGGAGTTTCACTTATTCCGGTCGTGTCGACGATTGGAGCATGCTTGGTCGTCATCATGTCTCTTTTGGCACTTCTCGATAATATTATGTATTACATCGGAGATTTAATTGGCTTCGAAGGATGGAGTTTTCAGGTGAGAAATTTGTCAATTCTAATGCCTATAACATGCAAGTTCAATTCTCTTCAAATTGTTTCTAGATGTTATTCGGGTACGTATTCTTTCCACTCGCCTTTATGATGGGAGTAAACTACGATGTTCATCAAACGCTATTGTAAGTAACCCAAGTATACATAGGGTTTAAATAAAGACAAAATTCGGCAATGTTCAGAGTTGCACAATTAATGGGAACAAAAACTGCTGTTAATGAATTTGTAGCATATGATACTCTTGGAAAACTACAAGCAAATAATGAATTACTAGCAAGTTTAGGAATAATTGTGCTTTTATTAATATTGATTTTCAGCCTAAATCAGTGTTGATAGCGACATATGCAATTTGTGGATTCGCAAATTTCGCTTCAATGGGAATGCAAATCGAATTTCTTGGCGCAATTGCACCAAAAAAGAAGCAGTTTATTAGTCGAACCGTATTTCAGTCTTTAATTGCTGGCTCAATTGCAACATTTTTAAACGCAACCATAGCTGGTAGTTTCACAAAAAAATAGTATTTCACGGACAATTGAAAAATTGTAGGCATTTTGGTTGAAAATCCGATCATTTGCAAACCACCGTCATCAAATTCGACCTGCTTCCGAATTCCGAGCTGATTAAATCTTTTGTAAATATATTTTAAAGTGTGGATCTGCATGAAATAATTGATTTTTGTTTTTTTTACACAAATGCACTTTGCCCCAAGGCAATCTGCGACCGATGGTTTCATCAAATTTTATCAAACATAAAATCATCCAATAAAAATTATCTGAGAAGTCTTATCACGAAAGAAAGGAGCACGAATTGCGATAACAGGCACTCATTTTAACCAAATTCACATTTTAAGCAGCACTTTTTTGAAATTTCAGTATGAAGGCCTTACTGCTTGCTCTTTTGCCTTTGTTGGCTGCTATGCCAGCAGATGTCAGAGTTGATAGACCATCTTACACCATTCCATATAGTGATCCAATTGCGAGAAAGAAGCTCATCTATTCGTCTGGAGCTGCCTACGGAACTAACCCACAACAGTGTCTTGACAAAGTGTTCACTGGAGCTACAGTGAGAACTGATCAAACTAGTTAAGGTGATTCGATTCGGTTTAGGTGAAACGCATTGTTCAAGTGCGATGCGACGACAGCCCAACCGACAAATGTGTCGGATACACTGCCGTCAGTCCACAAGACAAGGCTATCCTCATTGTGTTCCGGTAATTCTTCGAGAAAATTCATTGAGTGAATTGAGCATTTCAGTGGAACAACCAACAATGTTCAACTCATCATGGAGGGACTTGAGACCGTCTTCACCTACCACGTTAGGAATTTTTCAAATGCATAGTTTAATAATCAATTTAGACGCCGTGGGTTGCTGGAGGAAATGTCTCAACATACTTCGACACTGGATTCATGAACCTCTGGAACGGTGGAATCAAGGATGACTTCAACGCTCTCGCCGCTCAATATCCAGGATATCAAGTCTGGGTACGAATGGAGCACACCACTTTTCAAAGTTATATAATTATTTTTAGATTACCGGACACTCTCTTGGAGGAGCGATGGCTTCTCTTGCCGCTTCCTACATCACCTACAACAAGATCTATGACACCAAGAACGTGCAACTCGTCACATTCGGAGAACCACGTGTTGGAGATGGCAACTACGTCAAGGCTTTCGACAAAACTGTACACATGCGCTTGACTAAAATTGAAATTGTTTAGCATTTTAGGTGTTGAATGCCTTCCGCGTGACGCACGCCAGAGATCCAGTCCCACATCTTCCAAAGAAGAACATGCAAGGATACCTCCATCACCGTGCTGAGGTTTACTACAAAGAGAAGATGACCAAGTACTTGATCTGCGATGACGTTGACGAAAGCTCCTTCTGCTCCAACGGAAACATTCTCCCAGACGCCAGCATCAAGGCAAATCGAAAAAAAAAACATTAAGTTTATAATGGAAACATTTTAAGGACCATCTGAATTACTTCAACGAGAACGTCAGTAATTTGGGATACACCAACTGCGCCGGAAAGTAAATGATGTGTCGTCGAAAATAAATTAGCATTTCTAACTATTTCTTAAAATCTATGAAAAATATGATTATTCCTCATTTGTTTAATTGATTTTATTGCAAAATCTGCTGATTGCCCTCCCGGAATCAAAGATGCAAATAATCAGGTTATCATGTGAACACGGAACCCTCTAATCAAATCGAGACTCGTGATAAGTAATAATGAGTCGGCATCATCATCATTGCGTGAAAATAATTTTATATCAAATTCTGAACAAAATAAAATTTGATTAAAAAGCACCTAAAAATGAAGTAGTAAGTAATCAGGCACAGAAAAATTGTAAGTGATAGATGGCAAAACTGGCACAAGTTATGCGTTCTAGAATTGTTATATACATGAAAAAAAACAAGAAACTAAAATTCATAAAGGGTAAATGTGGACAATTCATCTTCCGCTTTCTCAATATTTTCCTCTTCGTACAAATCATCAAATTTGGTTAGAAGCGTTGCTAAAAAAGCAGAAACAGAATGATTTTTAGACGCGGCTTCCTTACATTTAACTCTTTTCTCGATCATGTGCTCTTTGATTGCATATTTGGTTTGAACTGAGCAGTTTTCATCAGCACCTTCAATAATTTTCGGTAGAAGACTGTCATTCAAATTCATGGCATCGATGAATCTGAAAAGACCTGTCAGGAAAATAATTAATAAAATGAAACAGTCTACCTAAATGCATCAACGATTTGCTTCTTTTCCAACATAACTTCGACAATTTCGTCGTTCGCTTTATTTCTCAAAATAGAAATGTTGAGTTTATTATTTCGTTCACGAAATTACCTAGCGAGGATATCTACGCCGCTTTGAAACAATGTAGAGCATCTGGCTTCATACGATAGAAGGAGGAAAGCGAGAGGTTTCGAATCATTCACAACCTTGAAAGTTTCAAATTAAGTTTTCAACTCCTTCTGTTTAGAAGTTATGTAGTTTCTGGTTAAACGATTGCGCGTTTACATGCTTTTATATCATATACACTGGAAAATGAGAAAAACTAACCCGATAAGTAACAATTTGATGTAATTTCGACATTTCTCCAGCTTCAGCCAATGTTTCGACGACCAATTCGATGAAATATGCCTCAACTGGGACATTGTTATCGTATAATGAACGAAGATATTGCAGCATTACATTGGCCACATACGACATATTTAAAGAAACATCATCCTACAAATTAAAACAAAATTGATTAGGAAACAAATTCATAGAAAAAACTCACTCTTAAAGGTATTAAAACACAACTCTGAACTTCCTGTTGGCTTATATGCATTTTCTCAAACTTTGGACATGAGAACACCGGTTTTGGAGCTGAATCTTAAATCAATATTAATATTTTGGGGTCATTTTTTTTACTTACCATCGGAATTATTTTCAGATATATTTGACGATAACAGATTAAAAATCTTCCGAATTTGTCTCAATGATAGTGCTCTTGCTTTCAGGCAACTTAAAAAGGATGAAATGAGTAATTTATTCGCATCCCTTCGCCGAGCCAAATATTCAAGCATTATATTCTTTTCAGCAATTTCCAGCATACAATTCTCGTTTTTCAATTTGATTCCGTACATTACGCCGCCATTCGAATCTGAACCAATGATTTTACAAAATAAGGAACAATTCAAAACCGATAACTATATTCGGCAAGAATGTGAACCAATGTCCTGTGTAGAGTGGCGGAGGAGGTTGATGTTGAGGATTTGCGACTATAATTTGAGTTTAAAATTTAATTAATTGGTGAATTAAACATACCAATCGAGGTAATTACCAGTGGAGATTGATTAACCCGAAAAGAATTGATGGCAACATCGAATATATATGATTTTGCTGTTGTTTGATGATGAACAATGACTAAATTATCGATTACATGAATTCCACATCCTCCAGTGAATCCTATAAAGATGATTATTTGTGTAGTCTGAAAAATTGAGATTACCAAGAACGAGAGAATATTTGAAGACGGCAGCACTCGTTGTATCTGATGGAAGCTCGTACATTACTAGATCAACTGTTGAAGCATTTCTCACGCTATAGCGAAGAACCATAGCGTACACTTTTCCATAACTTAAAAATATGCAGATGAAGAACGAGATTTAAATTTTTTGTTACATTGTGGCAACAGTTACGTCTTTTTCTAAAAGATTTTCCTTTGTGTTTGATGCATTAAATTCCACTTCAAAACTCTATAATCGTATGTTTTTTGAAGAATTATACACATTTTTACCTTCAGTCGTGTAAAATTTGAATGTGCTACAACTAATGGCTGGATGTTCGCACATCCTACACCATTTGCTATCAGTAATAACTGACTTGGAGCCTTAAAAATCAAAAGTAAAAAAAAACTGGACAGTGAATTACATAATAAATCGCCCACGATGCATTCACATTCGTTGACTTCAACACTTTTGACGTCTTTTTTTCTTCGTTTATATATACTAATTCAGCACTACGATTTGTGACAATAAGAATCTAAACATTTCGTATTTATTATTGCACGTTTTTTCCGAATCAAACAATACCTGACTATTTGTTACCCATTCTACTGCTAGTAAAGGCTCCTTGGACTTCGCAGTTACCGTTATTTCCAGACATAAGGAATTTTCAGTTTTTTCGAGAAATATAATGTCCACAGCGGTTGTAGTTCTTTGCATAAGACAAAGTCTTCCATCAGAAGAAAATTTGACGGAAGATGGCTCACCGCGATCCCGTGTTCTTTAATAATTTTCGATGATAAAATAATATACGTAAAAACTTACCGAACATTCATAATTTTATCATCGTTGAAACGCTTTGAAGTCAAGCCTAAAACACCATTGTTTCGCATGGTACATATCTAAATTGATCATCTTGTTGAAATTTAACAAAAAAAACCCTACTCGCTGGCTTGTCATATCAAAGAAATTCCGCGTAATGTTCCCATCGTTCATATATCGATCTGGTTCAAATGATATACAAGGCACACCAAGTTCTAACATTCTAAAAACTTTATAAAACAGTGGATTTCAATTGTTATAGAATCTAAACACATAAATGGGGAAACGCAGTAAAATAAAAAATTTTTAAAATTAATTTTAATAAAAAATAACAATAATCATAATTTTTTCGATTTACTGAATTGAAACATTCATTTTTTTAACTGTGTTGCCCTTAAAATTGAATAAAATTAAATATCCCTGTCGTAAGTTTCTGCGCATGAGGAGTAATCAGTGCAAACACCGACTGCGGACTTGTCGATTTAACAGGCATTTCAAAAATGTTCGCATGCGTTTTTTTATTTCCTGAAAAAATAAAAATAATTTTATCCCCCCCCTCCCCTTTTTTTTGACAAAATTTATTTCAGATGGATGCACAACTCGAAAAAATTTCTATATATAATGGAATTTGTTGTTTTGTTGCTGCGTTTTTAGCCATTCATAGTGCTAAAATCATATCTGCTGTTTCGTCAGTGGTAAATTTGATTAATGATAATATTCGAGAGACTATTTTTCAGGTTAAACTCTTGTTTAAAGAGCCAGTTGATCCAAGAATTGTGGAACTTCAGAAGCAGATTAATGTGTTGAAACGAGAATTGAACTCAATTTCACCAACTGACCAGTTTGCTGCTTATTTCAAAAAAGACCGTGAACTCAACAAATTAAGAGATCAGCTTGCAGTGCTTGGTAAACGATGTTCATTTCTATACAAGAATCAGTTTAAATTTAGAGTCTTCAAGATCTTCACCGTCTGCAACTAATCTGAAAATTGAAGGTGCAACCAGAATTGTTATTCAACTTTGTGGGCTTTTCTTTCTCCGATATGTCTCGTCTATAGTTGCATTCTGCATGCCTGACAATATTTTCTGGCCATTCAATTTTCTTCTTCGATTCCCTGCACTTATTGGAAACGATACATGTCCACCAGGTTGGTTCCACGTGAAGAAAAACTGCCAAAAATTACTAAATTTTTCAGAGTTTTGCGAAGTGTCTGGTTTTGCTGTATTTTTCTTAATATTTCATATAGTTTCCCACATAATAAAGGGCAAACGACAAATGGAAGTCAAGCAAAAGTTGGCGTAAATTTCAACTGAATTTAATTTCAACCGGTTAATTATTTATTTTGAGTTTCGGGTTTCCGTTGGAAATAAAATCGTTAATAAATTGAATTTGATTCGATTAATTGAATGGTTTATACACCACAAAACTACTTGTATGTCTAATACCAATGTTAAAAAATTTGAAATGATTTTTTAGGTGTTGAAATTAAACAAATTAAATAATGGTTAAACTACCAACAGTAAGTTCCTCGTAAAAATTTAATAATAATTTATACATTTTAGACCGGGTTATATACAGAAGAAGGAACTTTATGGCATCACACTATACAGTTTGATCTTAACGATGAAATACGGGATTGGCTTGTTAAACATGGGATTGATATCACACGTTCAAATAAGAAATTCACAGTTGAAGAAACAGTTATCATTTTGAAAAATTGGAAAAGGTAATGTAAATTATACGTACCTTATAAACTATTATTTCTCATTTTCAAGGTATAGCGATAAGTATAAGATACCAGTTGAAGAATGCATAACATATATGGGTACGGACACTAAATACAAGGTAATTATTTTACTAATCATGTCCAAATGTGTTTTGAGGTTTTAAAATTTTATTTTATAACATACATATTGTCGGCGTTGCTCGGAAAATTGGCTAAATGTCAAAAAGTTTAGGGAGAGGTCTCGATGTGCCTCTTCAATTTGTCCGTTTGCTTACGGCCTTATTAGGGCCGTAAATATAAATTTAGTTTTGCTTCAAAACCATTGTCATTGATTTTTTTTTAGATTTAGCCAATTTTAATAGTCGCGCAACTTCGTCAATTATGTATATTCAATTAATTAAACAAGCTTATCTTATTTTTCAATGTTCGCCAAATTGTTACTATTTTCAGAGTACGCAAAAAGAATTAAGAGAAGAGCATAAGTATAATAATTTTTGGGCAGAAATGTGTAAGTAAAAACTTCTGCCGAAAATAGTTTTCAAGTAATTTTAGGTAAAGGACTACCTTATAGAACTTTACGTCAAGTGGCACGAAGAATGGCTACTGTTATGACGCCTGATGTGCTTGAATCCATTGATTGGAACAACGAAAACAGTATTAAAGATGCGGCAGAACGCTTTAATAAGTATAAACCACTTTATTCGAATTTAAGCAATATTTTCAATTAAGACGACACGCATGGACTGCAGAAGATTTAATAAAAATAATGGACTTTGTGGACCACCCGGACAAGACATTCACAAGGGAATGTGCTACCGAACTAGGACTTCCTTTCGCAAGAGCGAGATCAAAAATTAGTGAATTAAAAGCTCGAACGTGTTTGCCGCCAAAACTATCATTTCCTGCGATCTATAACAATTTGAGTATTAGTAAAAAAGTAAAAACTTGATTCAAAAGTCAAGTCTCTTATTGGTAATATACAAGTATTCAGAAGTTAAAAAAGGCAGTTCTAAGCAACGACGAAAATAGGTTGAATGCGATCGAAGAGGAAATTGATTTTGCGGATTTAGCCGTTCAAATGAAATCGAGCAAGGAAACCACAAAATATAACTGGTTTGAATATATAAAATTTAATAATAATGCAAATCTATTTGTTTTTAGGAATATCTTATTTAAAAAGATCAAGAATTATTGTGAATTTCTGCAGAGAAACGAAAATTGTGATCCAAATGTGGCTTATGAAAAAGCCGTCAAAAAGGTAGTTTTAAACATTAATAATAGCAAGAACGATAAAATATTTATCGAGTGTTTCGATTCGAAACATCCCAACAATAGTCTCAAGAAACAAATTTTTCGCACTTTTATTTTTCTATTGTCGACATCGCGCAACTGAAAAAATTGGCCAAACACCAAAAAGAAACTGACTGCAGTATTAGCTCTAAACGAAAATGGTAGATTTGCGAGCTAAACTTTCACATTGCGCGCTAAGACTTTCCCTAAATTTTACTAACATTTAACTAGTTGCGCGACCGAAAAAATATGAATGTATGGTTAACAAAATAATAAAAAATATATAAATGTATGGTTTGCCAAATAACATTTTTGACAAAATATAAATAATATATTTTTATTTAGTACTGTAATAAGAAGAAGTCCATGGGTTCTCGAAACCTTCTCGAATGTTTAGAAGTGCTTTGTCAAGTGATACCCGATGATTGGACATCTCAGAAACGCGAACTTCATGAAAATCTCCAAGAAGCGTAGTATTTATCTTTTATTGCAGTCTTTTGAAGTGTTTTTTTTACAGATTGGACGCTCGAAAGATAAAAGAGTTTGAAACAAAATGCCGTTCGAGTGCCAAAGCCGTTATCGATAAATATAAATCACGTCTCGCTGTCCTTGAACAAGACTTATTTGGAGTTTTAGTTTACAAATTCACGTTGAGAGGTTTTAGATCTCGATAGGAAGAAAATAACATTTTTTTCAGAAAAATATCACATTCTTCTCTGGGCTTACAAACGAATCCATATATGGGATGAGTCCGTAAAGGGTAAAAAAAATGAATTCTGTTTTTTTTTCTTAAATCTCTAATTTTTATGGTTTAGAATTAGAAAATGAAAACCCGGATGCCACGGAACTGACGAAACAATTAGTAAGCACCGAAATTTTCGAGCGATGGATTTCGGTTAGGGATAGCAGTTTTGAAGACAATTTTAATCGGTTTTTCAGGAAACAGGAACTTATAGAAATAATACTAAGCTTTGGACTCGGACTCAATGCGCATTTGACGTTCTAGTTTTATATTTAAAATTTGTAAAAAACGTCGATTTTGTTCCGCCATTTTGTCTCAAATCATTGGTAACTTTTTCATTGCTCTCTTTTTTTTTTAATTTTTTGCATTCTTTAGACGCGCAGTCAAATCATTGAAGGATTTTTCGAGCCTGATAACAACAATGAATTATTAACAAGAAATAAGGTTATCGAGGAAATGTCGAAGAGCTTGGGACACAATGATTTGCCACCGAACACGATTCAATTTTCACCAGTCAAGGTAAAATACAAAATATTTATTTCTCACTATAATGTTAATTTGAAGAGAAAGAATTCATCGGTACTTCAAAATAAAATTAAGAATTTGAAAGTTGCGTGCATTGAAGAAAAAGCGGAACCATCGGATCATAAAAGTAATCGAAAAAAATCTAAAAAGAAAAATGTAAGTATACAAAAACAGATATCTATTTTAGATACGTATTTTTTCAGGAATCGACTTCTGCAGAAGCCGAAAGGAAACTTAATAACACAGAAAGCGGAGATGAAAATATGCGACCCTGTTCAAACAATCAAATTGATGAAGAAATGGAAGATGACGAAGAAGAAGAAGAAAGAAGGAGACGCAGAAAGGAGAAAAAACGCTTGAAGAGGTAATCTAAAATAGGAAGACATTAGAAATTTTCAGTAAATTGTTATCAAAAAACGAGCACTCTGTATTTGGACCATTGAATTTTTTGTGATGGTAATCGAGTTGAAAAAACTACTGAGAATTCGGGTGTGAATCAAATTCACAGTAAATCTACACAGGGATTCTTTTTCGATTTTAATAGTTCACAAAATATATCATTTTGGACGTGAGGCATACTTATATTAAACGTGATATTTTCCGCTGAACATTTATTATTGTTGCGGACGGACGAATTTAAAAGGCGTTGGTGTTTCTCATTATAATTTTGTGGGTTTTGCAGAAATTTTCGATTTTCTCATGTAATGAATTGATAACTACAATAATTATTAAAAGAGTGTGCGAAGATCAAGAATGGTACATGTCGCTGATCATTTAAATTTGTGCCAGTTAACTAATCGAAATATAGTTTTTCTTCTCGGAAATATTTTTTATCAACAAAATTGAAAATGTAACAAATTTTCAGATTGCGACGTGAAAGAAACGAAAGTTTAAGCAACAATTTTGAAGTGACGTGCAAGCAAGAAATTGAGGATGATTCATACGAAAGGTACAATTAGACAATACTGACTAAAATAATAATAGAGCATGCAGATCTCAAGAAGGCAATCAGGATCACGAAGCATTTCGAAAAAATGGCGAGACCGAAGCGTTTTCAGATTCTGCGGTGGAAGGAGAAAGAAATAGGAAAAAGAAAAAGAAGCATCGGAAAAATGAAAAAGAACGGTTAGAATATATTTTTGAAATAATAAATAATTAAAAAATAATGGGAATTTAAAGAAACCAACAAAAAGATGTGTTGGCAACGGATAATTCTAATGCCGATGAGGTTCCTGAGCAGACTGATGGAAACAAAGGGGTTTCAAATGAATCTTTGAATGAGGTGGAAGAGAAAAACCGACGAAAAGCGGAAAAAAGAAGATTGAAGCGCGAATTGGAATTTTTAGATGAAACGAACGAACCGCTCGAAGAATATAGAAGGATTTATAATGAAAAACAAATTAAGGCTGAGCAGAACGCGGAAGAAGATGATGTCCGAAGGAAACGGACGAGAAAAAGTTATAAAAAGAAAAATTAATATGGAATCAAAATATCTTCTAAAGAGCATCTTTTTTTTCTTGTTTTATAAATTTTTTTTGTTTGTTTCTTGAAATGTTGGGCTCAATTTGTGGTTGAATCCATTTTTTTTATCTATTATTTATATTAGCTAATATTTTAATTTTATTTCAATGCTTTTTGTAGATGATAACATTTCCATCCCGGTGTTCTTATTATTTTCAATTTCCACAGTGTGATGTGTGAGTTATTTTTGTTGTATTAAAGCAATCAGTGTTGCAAAATTATAGAGATGTGCACCGAAGAAAGCTTTCGACAACTGGTGGATACTTATATCATCATTTTATGCCGATGGAGATTAATCAAGATTATAAAAATTTGTTGCAGAAAAATGGTAATTATCCATGAGTTGTTTTATTTCTGAACTAATATCTATTAAATTTATTGTTTAGATTCTATGTATAATAATATTTCAGATATTACACTACAAGAAAGTTCTTCATTTTCGAAAATAGAAGATGATCAAATCCGAAATAATTGGGAAGTTGTTTGTCAAGAATTCACAGACGTCAACCCAGAAATCGGCGTATATTATTATATTGGCTTCAAACCAACGCCGGATTTTCACGTAAGAAAATTAACGTGTATGTGTGACAATTGAAAATAATTTCAGGTAGTCTCTCCTGACATTGCGAGAGATTTGCTTTTAAAAGGATTTTGGCCAAAATTGTGCGAAAATTTAAAAAATCGTACGGCTCGACAAATTCAGCATAGAATGGCATTGATATATGATGAATTTTATGAAGAGAATAAAGAATTGGATCAAATCACATTGGAAATAATGAAAGGGTTAGAATAATATTTTTGAAAATTACGAAAAATTAAAAATATTTCAGAATGGTTGATGACAATATACCGGTTGATGAGATTCACGAACGATTATCAATTCCTTATTATTATCCAATTATGGAGGATATTAAAGTGATTAGGAGCATTCACGTATTAACAAAAAATCAATATTATTGTAGAATTTTCACCGAAGTAGGGTAATTGCAAATTTGATAATTTTCAGATGGACTAATCGAAGCGTCAGAGAAATGTGAGAAATCTCTTTTTCGGTGTATTAGAAAAATGAGTGATATAAAAACAATTAATCAAAAAATGCTAGCCAATGTTGATTGGCGCGATGTGGCAAAAAAGCACAAATTGAATAAAATGGAATTGATGCATGTTTGGTATGATGTTGATCGTTTTCTCGGAACATCGTTTGTTGTTTTTCAGGAATTCCATTCTAAAAGATTTTATGAAAAAGAAGCACAAAATTTTATCAAACAATGGTGTCAGTAAAGACGAATATTATCAACGAATGGAAGATTATAAAAAGCTGGTATATGAATTTCTGTTTGTTGTTGGTTTCAATGTGTAAACGCATTCAATTTTCAGTACTTTCGTGAAAAAGACACTTTTGTGGTTCAATGCAAATTACTGAAGTGTCTCTATAAATGTGTGGTGGCTGACGGAGAACAACTTGATGATACAACTGTAGACGTCGAGAAGCTAAAATATAGGTAATCCAAAAAATATTTATTTTATGGATCCATTTTATTGGCAGGTTTAAAAAGAATGATCTGTTTGATTTTGTTGATATGATGGAGGAAAGACCATTCAATCGTTTACTGTTTATTATCCGAGTTCATGGACGCTTTCGGAATCATTCGACGATTTTGAATGCACTTGAACCGAAACCAACGTTGAAAGGTATTTGACCAAGATTGCGCCTTTTTGATTATTTTTTCATTTTGCAGTAAAAGTACTGTTTCTTTATGAAACGATGGTGCGCGCGAGGACGTTTGCACGAGATAACTGTACAAAGATGGTAAATTGTTTTTCGTCAATCTCGACCGCTCTTAATTTAAGCGATCTCGTCTCAAAATCAATGACCAAATGTTTTTCAATGTTGCTTATGAATATTATCGAGCAAAGTATAATTGGCAGCCACCAGACTCGCTGAATCATTTTTTGGAGAAGGTTAGTGGTTTTTTTGAGATCGTTCATAATCATATAGAAACATTTGAGTATAACAAAGCAGTGAGTTTGTCGGATATCACCCCCGAACAACTTAAAGCAATTACGACGGCAAAAAGAAAACATCCAGCTATTCATGATGGAATTAAATTGAAAGTGCGAATTTTAGAACCATCAGAAACACATCATCAGGTAAATTTTCTTCATTGATACCGCGGAGAAGGCTGAGAATGATTTGAAAAATTTTTATGGAAGTTTATTCCGATTATTTCTATTTTTCAGTCTTCGCCTATTAGTAATAATGAAACTCGTGAAGGGTCCGTCGATATTTTTTCTGAGGTACGATTTGATTGTTTTATTTTTATGAATTTGGAACTATTTAGGTTCCAACACCGCCTTCTTCTCAGGAAGACATTTCGTCGCCGATCTATATCTCGGACCAAGAAGAAGAACATGCGTTAGCGGAGGAGCTTCCCGACATAAGTGTATCTACTGAAGAGACTAATTTGGCAAATGGAAATAGGGATTCATTTGAAAATGTAAATTGCCATATAAAGCTGCGGATTACCGTAAACGATTATTCAGGAATCATTTGAAACGCAGAGTACTTCACGGTATGCTTCGCTAATAATTGAACCGCCGAAAATTAAAAAGACACCTGAACCGAAAAAAGAGATTCGGATGCCAACAGGGCCTGTCGATAATTGGCTTGATTTGTTACCGTAAGCATTTTCAACTTGGAAAGCTCATCTGGCGAAACACGGGAATTTCTCGGTTTTAAGCGATTTTTCTTCAACAAACAGGATGCACTGTTTTACTGATTCGCTGAAAACCTTTTTTTTTACCATTGTTTCGCTGAAACCAAAAACCGCGTTTCAACAGATTTATTTGAATTTTTTTTAGTATTTCTTATACTGTATATTTTTGTTATTTTTTGTTGTTACAATTATATTGTTTTTGTTTTGAATGTACAATGACTTTATATACAAACCGAGTTGAACCGTAATATATTAATTATATGGGTAATCATCTAGACATTTGATGCTCTTCGATGATCAACAACTTCTTCTGAAATTATGCAAATTCTTTTCTTTTTTAGTCAATAATTTACCTTCAATTATCTTCCTCTTCTTTCGGTCGTCATTCAAGAAATATAGAACAGTGAGCAGGAAGAAAATGACGACTAAGCATAGTAATGTGTAAATCACAATCAGCCAAGGAGACCACATCTGAATATACAAATTAGAAACATGTTGAATTAAAAAAAAATAATAATAGTGCACACCATGAGTCATTATGATAACACATTTTTTGGTTTGATTCAATGTTTGTATTTGTGATAATGCAACATTAAAGTGTCAGAGAGACGCGTACTGAAACAGAAAAATTACAAAAGCAAGACAAGTTGCGGATAGTCCCGCCTACAATAGAAAATCATTTAATTTTTTAAAATTCGTACGACAGAAAGACCTTTGGAGAACTATAAAACATCTTGAGAGAAAAAACACTAAACAAGTGCCTCGTAGAACTTCAATATATTTCGATTATCAAAGAAAATGACGTTCAACGCTTAATTGGATCACTTTAATGAGAAACAATATTTACACGGTTGAGTGTTTTAAACGAATTGTAAATCACTATGCGAAGATTTCCTTCTTGATGTTAAACACATAGTTTGTCTTTAACAATTTCGGAGAAGGAAGTAAATCATGCCAAAATGGAATATGAAAAGAGAAACGGATCCAAAGCAGAATATGAAATGCGCGAATTGATTTCCAGATCAATGAGCAATTGGCATATTTTGATGATGCGTGGCGGAATGGTTGATTTACAACGAATATCAAAATGTGTGGTATTGATTGAAGAGCCTTTGCCCATAAAAGGGTGTATATTTCAATATTTCCCCGTGTTTGTTTTGATGATTCGTTCATTCATGGGACAGCGATGAATTTCAAATTATGTGTCGTGTATATTATAATGAAGATCTTAATGAATGAAAATTCAGTAAAATTTTCATCCTATCATAAACGTTTTTTGTTGAAAAAAAATCAAAACAAACAAATTTTATTAACATAATTTCGGGGAGGATTTTTCATTAAGATGAGATAAGAATAAATGAGCTAAACTTTTTTTTGAATAAAATTGGCAAGAAAAACTGATGTTGAAGGTGATGGGAAAGTCAACAGGCGCTATCGCCGCCATTCATATATCTTTTATTTACTTTATGCTAACTAGTTTTCATTTCGTGGCGCTCTTGTATTCACTACACGAGTACACACAAACACTAGAAATCATTTTTTCGGGGCCTGCAAACGAGAAAATAAACGATTTGAAACAAAAAAGATGTTTGATGAAAAAAGGCTGACGTCATTGAATTTGATTTGGTCAAAGGAATTGGAAAATAAAAACACAAATTGAATGGTTGGTATTCCCGTAACATCAATTTCTTGAAAATTATGGGAAATTCAAACAAAAATGTTTCATTTTGTCATCTGTTGTATTATTTTTCTTTGAATGCAAATTAATCGAAAAATAGAAATACAGGTTACAGAGCGATAACATTTAAAGATATTTTTAGAAAGCATCATTTAAGCTTTAATGTGACGAATGTCTACCGTACCGGCTAGACTATCAAATAGGCATTTCCATGTAGAAAATCCTTAAATTCCATTGGCTCGAAAAGGAATCTAAAATACTCATGCGATTCTTATTGTCATCCGCTTTCCATTTTCGATTTTTTAACAAAAACAGAATTTTGAGCTGATAATAAGAAACTGTAAACACAAAATGTATGATTAGGCGTTATTTTGACATTGTGATGTACCTAATATCTACAACGCTTCTCATATTTTCATTTTCATTATTGGTATCTGGATTGAATTTTGATCCAGATAAGGCGCTTCAACTTCTCGATGAGCTTGTGGAACACCCAAATGACGTTATTGATAAAATTGTAAGAGTTGTGATTTTCTTTTTTTTTTCTTAACAAAATTGCTGGTAGAAAACCTACCAAATTGATCAACTATTGCGAATTCTTGGAGTAAATGGCTTCTCAAACGCGAATATATCGGAAAAGTGCCGTGAGGAGCTCAAGTTTCTTAGCTATGGGATAATTGATGTCTCAAGAAGATCGCAAAATGTTACGGCAGTAATGACTCCCGACGAAAAGAAACATTACTTAATTCCAAGTGATTCAAAAAATATTAAATACAATTGCAAATTGAATGTTTAGTGCTCGATTCGGCTGGAAAAATAGGACCAGGAATTGCTAGGGGTCATTTAATAAGTACTGGCCAATTTAGTGAGTGCCGAAATGTCAAGGTTTTCTCAACATCATTGAACCGTACAATCAAAGGAGATTATTATCGGTAGAAAGCTTTATAATATAAAAATAATGATTAAAAAATTTAGAATTAATTTGGATATTAAAATGCGAGAATATAATGCCGTAGGGGCATGCGGGATACCGCAAATCGGATTGGATTTCTGTCTGCCATTGTCATGTGCGCAAGACGATTTGACCGAATATTTCCGAACAGGTTTATTATGTTGTAGAAATGAAGCCGACTAAAATATTAAACACTAATTTAAAATTTGAGTTTCAGGGTTTGATCGAAATGCTACCTCCTCCCCCATATGCAGTGTTCGCAATATAAATCAACATGTCCCTTAAAAGATTTTCGCTACTTATATGGTTATGTTAGTTATCAAATTAATTCACAATTATTCAATTCGCTTATTTCAGCACTATCTTGTCTATAATTGCGGCGATATGTTTTGTTGCTGGCATCTTGGATTATTTCGTTTCGAAAAACGGAAAACTTCTCAATTCTGAAATTGATAGCAAAAGTTTCATTTATATTTACATTGCTTAGAAGAACTGTTAATTTCTAGATACATTCTGGCAGGTTTTTATGTGTTTCTCACTATATCGTAATCTCAAAAGTATATTCACGATTCGAAAGACGTCTGCCGGTCAACTAACATCTCTCAATTGTATTCGGACCATTTCTACCGTCTGGGTTATTATGGGGCATTGTTCCGCTCTAACAGCAATTGTATGCAGTATGTCTTCAACAGAATCTAAATTTTTTTATTTGTTAATTTCCTACAGTAAATCCTTTGGATCTTCTCGACTACACTAAGACATACACTGGATTGTTGATGGCGAACGCTTATCTTTCTGTCGAGGCCAATGTTCAATGACTCATACTTTTTGACTTGACTCATGATTTTTGACTCATAAAAATTGTATCATGATTTTTTATTCTTTGACTCATGGTTTTTGACTAGTGATTTTTGACTATTTTTTTTTTGACTAACAATTTTTGACTAATGATTTTCTGAGAATTTTATAAATAATTTAAATAAATTAAAATTATTCTGGTCTGATGAGAATTGCAATATTATTTAAATTTTTGTACATTAACTCAAACCAAAAAGGATTTTTTTATTAACAAAAAACAAAATTATATAATGAAATGGTGGACATCAGAAAATGGGCGAATATTTCCGTAGTTTTTTTATTTTTCTTTTTTCTCCAGACATCGTTAAGCTCGATTCGAAGTTTGAGAGACTTCTAAAAGAATACTAATATTGGTCCAACTTTTGGTTACTACGGTCAATTACCTTTTATTTTCATTTGGAGTTGTCCAAATCTGTGTTGATGTTTCCAAAATATTGGAAACTGATCCAGAATCGGATTCAAAATCTCGATATCTAAAAATTCAAATATTGGTCCAACTTTTGGTTACTACGGTCAATTACCTTTTATTTTCATTTGGAGTTGTCCAAATCTGTGTTGATGTTTCCAAAATATTGGAAACTGATCCAGAATCGGATTCAAAATCTCGATATCTAAAAATTCAAATATTGGTCCAACTTTTGGTTACTACGGTCAATTACCTTTTATTTTCATTTGGAGTTGTCCAAATCTGTGTTGATGTTTCCAAAATATTGGAAACTGATCCAGAATCGGATTCAAAATCTCGATATCTAAAAATTCAAATATTGGTCCAACTTTTGGTTACTACGGTCAATTACCTTTTATTTTCATTTGGAGTTGTCCAAATCTGTGTTGATGTTTCCAAAATATTGGAAACTGATCCAGAATCAGATTCAAAATCTCGATATCTAAAAATTCAAATATTGGTCCAACTTTTGGTTACTACGGTCAATTACCTTTTGTGTGCCAATGTTGGGGTGAAAGAAGACAAATTTACACTGGATTCATTGTTTTGAAGTACACTGTCTTCACTATCATTGTACATTGTCATGCTGAAAGAAAGTGTTCGTACTTCGAATATTTGAAAACAACTTACAGCGATAAATCTTGCAAAAGTCTTCGCCCATTATTTTTACTCTTGTTTGTTCTCTTCCGCATTGGAGCTTTTCTTCCACATAATACTGGCCTACTCAATGTTACCCTTTTTCTCAAACTAACTTTGCGTGCTTCATCGGCAATCTTTTCGATTTCTACCTCTTTTTCTTTTTCCGTTAAAGAACAAACCGCAGCCCATCTAAAATTTTTTGGAAGGTTAGAAAGATAATTTTTTTTTACAAATGCTGGCATATTTTTGGGAATCGTCTCTTGCAGTTCATATCGGAGCATCCTATGCGATTGTCCGAAGATTTCACATCGACAATACTGCTGAAATAAAGTTTCGGAAGTTCTCCAGCAAAATTTCCAGTAAAAACATACTCATTTGACTTCACTATAAAACCTTCCTCATACATTATTATTTTGAATTTCTGAACCTGCTGGTGTAACCATACAACATGCGAATCAGGATTGTCTGTGAAATTGAAAATAAGAATTTCCTCAGAGATTGGTGAGCACATACCTTGGGCTAAAATAAGAGGTAGTTTTAAGATTGGTCTTTCACGAAACCCTAATTTAATTAGAAATTGGGTTTTTTCGAATTCCCGGAGATTTGAAAACAATTCTTGATGCTCAAATCGTACGACTTCGTCGTAATCTATCACAGATCGATGATAGCGATCGCTTTCGTCTGAAAATATAATGAAATACTCACGACTACTGCAATTTACCCTTCAAGAACTCCATAATTTTCAAACAAGCATCATCAGCACGTAACGGCGATTTTATCAGCTCAGCCAAAATTGAGTTGAAACATTCAATTGAATTCGACGATAAAAAGGGTTGAATAACACCAGCAATCAATCGGCTCCGCAAGGAATTGCAATCGAAAAGGTTATCGAAATTTCGACGTACCCTGAAAAAGGAGAAAAAAAGAAAATTTAAAAATTCGTTTTTCTTTCATTTATTACGATTTATTTTTTTTTTAGTTAATATGCTATTTTAATGTTTTTCCTCGAAACGCCAGCATTTCTTTAATCGTATTTCATCGTTGCCTAATATTTAAATTTAAAATATTGAAAATACCAAGCTTTTGCGCCATCATCATCACAAGTCTTCTCAAACAATTCGAGACGACGGTGATAGTCTTGTATGTTCAATGCTCCAAGAAGTCCAGTCTTCAAGTAGTTCGGTCCCATCTGTAGGCTCGTAATTTTAATTGAAAAAGTGAATGTAAATGTTTAAACTTGTCCAAAAACCATTCGGACTATTCTGCGACTATAACTCGAATCCTTAGATTTCACACTATCTGCCAAATTTTTTGATCTGTGTAGTTCACAACGAAGAGTTTGTGCGTGGTCGAATGCGGAAATAGTCTATAGTTCTCTCTTGAAATAGATATATGAGTTAATTGAAGAACCTGGCGATATACGGAGAATGAAGATTCACCGTCACAAATAATTGCAGGAGTTTTTCTTAACTTTTTTGGCTCAAGCTGAGACAAAATCGATTCTAAATGCTGCGCATGGAACGAATGACTTGCGGAATGTTTTCTAGAATGGAAAAGAACTCCCAAAACAAGAAATCGGGGTTTATCGGAACTTCGAGTTCTAAAGATAACTATTTTTTCAAATTCATTTTTGATTATACCGGAATTGTTTTGAGGCAGTCCCAATGATAGTTATAAAAAGATCCGATAGTGTGAATGTTGTATCAATGAATATAACTCCTTCAAACATGTATGCATCTTTTTCCTTCCTGTTCCAATCGTCTATCAAAATTCAAAATAATATCTAATTCTATACAACAATGGCTATCATACCCAAGTATTTTTGAATCGAACTAAGCGGTCCATCGTCACATAATTGTCCAATCTTTTCGCGATGTTGAACTAGTTCGTCTTCAGTTGGCAAGGAATTCAAATAAATGTTACAGTTTTCACGGATTATTATTGACAAACATTCCGATATATCTCCATCACCTTAAAATATTTTCAGAATTTAATGAAACCCAAAAGTAAGTAAGTGTAAGTGAATGAAACATACAATTTTCAATCGAAAACTTGCAATCTGGAATTTTATGAGAAATACTTGACAGTTGATATGGGGTTGCCACTCGTTTTGGGCCTCGTTTCCCGATTACTGCATCGCGCACATACCGAACTTGATTCCGAATCTAAAGTAAAATAGTTCTATTTTAAATATGTGCCATATTTACCTGTTTCTTATTAAATTTAAAACCTTGATCCAAAAGTTGTTTTTTTTGTGCAGTCAACCGTACGCCCCTTCAGCGTTTCTCGAATTATCCGAGCTTCTTGATCTGAAAAAAAAATTTATTTAATGTTGTAGGCAAAATTTTACTTGAAAGCCTCGAAGGCTCCTCAATAAGAATTATGTTCGGAGATTTTTTAATGTATTGGATTAAAAAAATTTCGCCGCCAATCTTATGAATTATCTAAAACTAATAATTTAAAAAATACACAAAATAACAAATACCATTTTTTTCAGATCGGGGTTTTCCACGTATTCGCATTTAATTACTTGGTATTTTTCGTATTCTTGGTTCCAATAAATATAAATGGGAGCAATTTTCTTTTTTCCTAGAAGAATAAAATAAATAATTTAAATTGCAAAAATATTATGAACCTTTTTCCCTTCTTGACCATTTGAGGCCATCGTTCATCGCACTTAGGCCACACAAGGCGTCCTTCTTTATAATGAAATATTTTGAACCAATCCATGTTCCATCAATTTTCGATTTGATTTCGTTCATCGATATCGAATATCTATAAAATACAAATATTGTCGAAGAAGGACGAATTGTACAAATTTGAATGACCAAACGCGTTAGCTATTTTTGAATTTTTGCATGCGCCAATATCTATAAAATTCAATTTTTTCAACTTAATTACTCACCGAATCACGTTTTCGTCGTCGGACAAGAGCAAGCCTAAAGCTTCGTGCTTTTTCAAATAATCCGTTTTAGATTGAAGAGACATAACAAAACCAAATGTGAAGTTTTCCGAGAAGGCGACTGAAAGTGATTTATTAGTGTCATAAAGTTAAACGGAACAAATTTCATCTGACATGTAGTTTCAGCATGTAACTAAGAATTACGGCACGAAAAATAGTGAATGAACGGAGAATTTAGGATTGATAGCAATAAAAACATGAAAACGAAAACGATCTGTAAACACAACGGTATAAAATGCACACCGAGCTTACCGTACCAACCACGTGTATTTTTTCCACAACTACTTACATAATGAACTGCAACGTGTTTTATTTATAAAAACTTATAAATTCATTTTCAAAGACTGTAGTTAAAATATTCTACATAGATTAAAAAAAAGGAAAAACATAGAAAAGCGAAAAGATTAACTAATTTTTATCTAATTAAATTTTTAGATTGTGCACATTTGAGAAAATGTTACCGTAACGCTGCGTCTTTAACTGTCATTTTTTATTTCTTCTTTTTTTTTTTTTTAATTTTTTTGCCACTTTTTGCAGTTAGTTGCTTCGAAATTAATTGAAATGTTTCTAGTTCAATTTTAAGTCTATTTATTATAAATTCACGGCAATTAAGGCTTGAAATTGCGTAAATTTCAATTATTTCTCATTAATTTTTAGGATTTTAATTTTTCCGCAAATTTCGATGTTTACTCCACTTCTCACAGTTTTTTAATAAATAATTTTTTAGGTTCCGTGCGTTGGCAGCACTATTTGATAGATTCAACATTCGATTCTCTACTTCTGTATCTTTTGGTATATTTTTTCCAGTTTTATTGTCTTTTCTCCACGCTAATTAATTAATTTCGGTTTTTTTTGAATAAATTTATTTTTTTTAAACGTATTTGATTACTTCAAATCATTTAAGTTCATTTGGTCGGTTTTAAGAATTTGAAAACAAGCAACATTGCCAAGCAACACTGGACTCGCACAAAAATTATGTTCTTTCAAATACGTTTAGTTTACTATTCATTGATTGCTCGATTGGGTGAATCAAGGAAAAGAAATCAATACTGCCTGCTGCAAATTTCCAAATTTTCTCTATCAGCCGAACAACTAGTTTTATTGCAGTATATATATATATATATATATATATATATATATATATATATATTGAAATCTGCAATAATTTACATATATTGTCGGCGACAAACGACTGAAGAAGGCGGGGCCTTCAACTTCACGAATTCAGTGTAGATTTAAATTTTTTGTTAACTGAATATTAAATGCGCGTACGCTATAATGCAATGTACGCAATCTCGCTGCCTCGAGACGCATTGGCACATAGCCGATATTTGCTTACATTTCGTCAAGCCGTTTGACTTCGATAATATGTATATTCTCAGAAAATCATTAGTCAAAAATTGTTAGTCAAAAAAAAAATAGTCAAAAATCACTAGTCAAAAACCATGAGTCAAAGAATAAAAAATCATGATACAATTTTTATGAGTCAAAAATCATGAGTCAAGTCAAAAAGTATGAGTCATTGAACATTGGCCGCTGAAAGAATTTCTGAATCTTTTTCGAATTTTTCAGCATTTAAAATTTGATCGTGAAAAAATATTATCCCCATATGGCTGGCTACTGTTCTATCTTCATCGTATTTTTAGGTTCAAAGCTTTATCATGAAATTTCGTTGAAATTTTATTATAGAATAACCCCAGTCTATTACATAACAATACTCTTTTTCACATTCGTTTTCACCCGATTTCTTCACGATATGCCGATATTCCTTTCGCCAGCTCTTGACAACGACAGTTGTCAGTACAATTATTGGTTGAACCTCCTTTATATCGACAATATTGTTGATACGGCTCATATAGTAATCAATTGATATTTTCGCTAACATTTATGTTATGTTTTCAGTGTTACGTAATTTCTTGGTATTTGGCTACAGACCTCCAAATTTATTTATTTACACCAATTTTGTTGCTTTCATTTGCCAATTTTGGAGCTGTCAAAGGCTTCATAACAGCCTCAATCGTCTTTTTAATTTCCACTGGCTTCAATGCGTTTCAAATGCTTGCTTGGCATTTTCCACCAACTCAATACCAATTTGGACCAAAAGATTCAAGATATAACAGTCAAAAGTATGAAATAAATTACTAATTATTCAGTATCAATTGATATATTTGAAGACGCTACGATCTTTGGAATTACTACAATCCTCTGATTCGATGCCAAATTTATGTAATGGGATTTGTTGTAGGATATTGTATGCAAAAAATCAAAATAAGAAAAATCAACCCGGCAAGAAAATCGTTTAATTAGCCTAAATACAACAAAAGTTTAGTGGATTGATCGCTTATTGTGGGTAATATCGTTGAGTTCAATGCTTTTTGTTATAATGATTCTTCAAAACTACACTAGTGGAAATCTCTGGACACCTATGGAAAACATGATGTACAGGTAAAATTATTTGATAACATTTTGAATTGCAAATGTATTTTTTTATTTTCAGTTGTTTCAGTCGCGTTGTTTGGGGTCTTGCTTTAAGTTGGGTAATCTTCTCAACATATTGTAGGAAAGGTATCAATGATTGGAAAATCGTGAGCATTTTCCTATTCAGGAATCATCAATGATTTTATGAGTCTTCCAATATGGACACCTCTCGCGAGATTGTCGTTCTGCGCATATTTGATTCATATAATGGTTGTCGCTTATTTCTTCGGAAAAACGTATTCAGAAATTTACTTTACAACGTTGCCATTATTTGTGAGAATTTTAGTTCATATTAATGAATTTGAGTCAATTTCAGTTCGTCGAGACTGTTATTCCAATAACCGTGATCACGTTCGCAATTGCTACACTTTGGTCTGCCATGTTTGAACTCCCATTTGCCAAGGTATAAAAGATTACTTTACCTACATTACAGATTTTTTATTTTTAGATTGAAGCCCATTTTCTAGATTTTCGTTCGAAATCTAATCTACAAACAAATATTAAATATATTCACAATATTCCAGTGAACTACGAAGAAAAAACACATATCTAATCCATTTTTAAAAATTTTTTAATAAATAACCCGGAATGATAAAAAAAACACGTACTAATTTTCAATCAGAATGTCTGGAATGCTAGGAATTGAATCAATACTGTCGACTTCTTTCCTATTTTCCTCATCTTCTTCAATATTTTGAAAGCGAAAATAGCAAATGACAAGTTCTTCGTTGATATCCATTTCAGCTAAAACCCGCTTTTTGATCTGCAATACGGTTTTAACAAACATTAATCGTACTTTATAAAAACTTACAAGATTTAGTGCTAATCGTTTATGGAAGCTCCTCGGAAGGCACTTCCACATTCCCTGCTCCTCAACTTCTTTGATTGCAGATATAATTCGATTTTTCGCCTGAATTTCGTTTTCAATAATGATATAAAAATGAAGTTTACATTCTCAAAATCATCTTGACCTATTATATCTGGATATGCATTGGCAATCACAAGTCTTGAAATAATTGAAATTTGAGCTTCATCTTCGACAGAACAAGAAAGAGCAGGAGAAGTAGAAAAAGAGCACGAAGCTTCAACTGGACACAATTGGAGAGATGAGTGTCTTTGAAGAACCTGAAAAGAGTGCTTACGCTTTTCAGCAAATAAGAAATGATTATACTTCATGATAAGGCTTGTAATAACGTGGCCCAGTGGCTCGATTAGGAATTCGAAGCCAGTGCAAATCAGGATTTATTTCCGATGTTGAAGGGCATACAATCAAATCAACAGGAAGTGGAGCTCTATCGAGAACGTGGCGATTATACGCATCGGTTAACGTCTTGAAGGAAATCAATAAAGACTGTAGTTGGTGTCCGTCGACTGCTGGGTAGATTATTTACGAGGAGCGTGTTTCAAAGGTCTCGCCAAATGGGAATGCTCATTTTGGAATTTTCAGCAAATATATTTGCTATTTTTGTTGGGCATTTTCTTGAATTTCAAACGTCGTGGAAATTGAAACTTGTTAAAATCTGCTCTAGACAGCAGAACAGCAAGTGACTCAGCACGAGACTATTGCGAAAGGTGCATACTCGTAAATCCATCTGCGTTCAGCAGTCACCAGACACCGACTATATGAATATCGAAACTTACTTGATGAAATGGCGGAAGTATAAAATCCTTTCGAACATGATTCGTCAGTGGGCCAACGATATTTCGTAGATTACCATTAGACATATCCGATTCTCTTAGCCCTCTTCTACTGATCGAATGACAAGTATCGGCAACTATATTAGGCTCACATTCCTATTTAAGAAAACCAAATTAAATATGTAAATTGGTTATATTTAAAATACCTCAAGTTTTCTCAGAAGTTCGACTTCACCCCAAGCAATACAAGCGGATAGTATTTGAAGTTCGGTTGCTTGAATAAATTGACTTTCCAGCACTTCGACAAATTGGGACGACGTCAAATCGAGAATATGTGAAGATTCTGCGAGTCGTGAAAATTCAGATTCAATTAATCTGAATTTTTTTTAATGAAAAATTAGATTAGTTTAAAAAAAAAAAACGTGGCACTACCTTTTCGCATTCTTTTCAATGTACTTCGATCCTCCTTCTTTGGCCCATTGATAAACAGCAATACAATTTTCGACGCTCAGAAATTTTACAACAACGTCTTCACAGCCTGGAAAAATAGTTTTTAAAAATTATAATACCACGTGTTGAACTATTCGTACACTGCACAAGTCGATCAACTTTGAAAAACTTGGCGATTTGGAGAATATGAAGGGATTGATGTAATTGAATATCCGGTGATTTACCAGAAACGATCGCTTTAGCTTCTGATAAAGAAGAAATTGTTATTTCCGATGAAGGAACCTAAAAAATATTAATTTCCATTCATGTTATGCAGATTTTGGAAAAAAAACTGATTAAAACTAGTTTTTGTGCAGTGTGTATATGGTTTTCGTCTCTGCGAAATTTTCAAAAAATTCTCGTATGATTCGAATAACTTACCAGCGATAAATCCAAGCAATCTGTATATAGAAAATGAATAAAGACGTGCGCATATGATCGCGGGAAAATGTCTTCAGCGAAAGTCAACGCTTTTGCATCGTTTTTTCGAGCAATCAAACTGCGAAAAACGTCACTACGCGCGGACACAATAAACGAATCGCACGATATCTTGTATTCGTTCTCATTTCCATCTGAATTATTAATATTATACAACTAGAAACATTTGATTAGCCCCAACCATTCTCTTTAGTGTCAGACATAATATTTATCGTCAGATTTCCCTTCGTTAAATCTTTTTTCAATTTTTCTACACAATCGTCCAATAATGTTTTGGTGCAGCCGAATTCTCTTCGCATCTTTTCTAACATCAATGGATCATCATCCCAATATTCCGTGTACACATAATTGATAAATTTTCTTAATTTTTTAATTTAATAATTGATTATATGTATTTCAACCGAAAACCTTATATGGTCCACATTAATTTCTTGAATTGATGTTTGAACGTGATTCACATTTTCCAAGTGTAACTTTTTACATCGAGTTTGGAAAAAATCACGATGGATAGGAAAATGGGTTTCCTTAAGAATAAAACTTTATGTTTATGTATAATAATGCTTGCTCACTTGAAAAACCAACTCAGCGTCTGTTGAAACATTGGTAAGCTTCCACAAATCCTGACTAAAGCTCGTAGTTGGTTTACGAGCAGCATCACTTAGTTGTTTCAGCTTATAAAGATGCTCATTAGCATCAAATTCTTTACGCAATTTTTCAATATCCGCAATTGGCCATCCTTTTATCAAATCAATGAAAGGTTTCGAGTGATTCTGATTTCGTGATCGTTTCTAAAAACGACCATAAGATTTATTTTCGTAAACAATAAACAAAAACCTTGAATGTACATTTCCGTACTTTTTTGGATACTCCGCGTAATGCATTGGAAATTCTGCTGCGATTGCGATTTATTGTCGACGAACCGCTTGAATCACCACTAAAAAATTAAATTAATTACGATACGGGTGATTGGAACTGAAACATTTTTTCCATGCTTAAGTATTACAATAAAAACTGCTTCAACGTTTCCCTGTACTGTTTAAAATGTTTATCAAATAAAAATATTACTCTAGCCATTCGGTGTTTTGCCGAACGTCTTTCGACGATCCACCTCCCATTGATTTTCAGGTCATAAATTTGTTTTCTTCTGAAAATCATATATAAATTGGTTTTTTTTGCTGTAACACAATAAATGAAATAATTTTTGTTGCAGAAAACTTTTTAAGCGCATAAAATAAAATGACGCAAGTGTGCTTCATTGAACGCGTTGCGGTTAAACCGCGTCGCAGTCACGGGTTGTTCAATCATCGAAAATGGAGAGTTCCGCTCGTCGCCACGTCATATTCGCATTTTCTGCAGATATTCCGCTAATTTCTCTTCAGATAATTTACCATCCCCTCTTCGAAATCAACTTGAATAGTATAGAGACCTTAGTTTATGCGTATTTCTGTGGTATTCATAAAACTTTGCGACGAGTTGGTATTTCATAATTTCAAGTTTGGTTTTTCTCGAATATTTTTTCTATCAAAGTGATGCGTAAGTAAGGAAAGCAATAAGGCCAAGCATTGTAGCATTGCCATACAATTACATTTCACAATAAAGAAACCTGCCATTTTTCTTACCTATATAATTTAGTAAAACGCGCGCTAAATGTTTATTCTTTTACGGATAAAGATTTTTCAGTTTGTTTCGTTTCAATTTTTTACGCTTCATTCATTAAATGCTATGAATTGCAAATGAAAATCATTTCAGGGTCTTCTACCGTTCGATTTTTCCGGTCGTCATGAATCCCGAATAGTAAGTTCTCTCAATATCCTTACAGTTTAATCATGAAAATTTAAGCGATTATTTGTTCAAGCTTCTTCTCATTGGAGATTCTGGAGTTGGAAAGTCGTGTTTGTTGCTCCGTTTCGCCGACGACACGTACACCGAATCATACATCTCAACCATTGGCGTGGATTTCGTAAGTTTGAACTAATACTGTCTTTAAACTGGAATTAATGCAATTTCAGAAGATTCGTACAATTGAGCTTGACGGAAAAACTATTAAGCTTCAAATTGTAAGATTTTCAAAAGTTTCGCTGATTTTAATTAAGCCTTTTTTAAGTGGGATACTGCTGGACAAGAGCGCTTCCGTACTATCACATCCAGCTACTACAGAGGGGCTCACGGAATTATCGTCGTTTACGACATCACTGATCAGGTATAAATTCTTTCAAATTTAAAAAAAAATCACAAGTTTGCCTCGTTGAACTATTCTCGTGGACACGCGAAAAACCAGTCGTGGAATGTGTTTTACGAATTAAGTTTTGTTAGAGCATACGATCATACGATTGTGTTAATTTAAAGTTATGTTGAAGCAAGAGTGGATAACTCGTGTCTTATGATTTGCATTAAGCGAAATTGTGATTTATTTTATCGCCTATAACAATAAAAACATTTTGGTTTTTATTGCGACGTTTCCGCCAAAATGTCCTATATTCTCATCATCTTTGAAACAATTTAACAAAAAAATTAATTCAGGAGACATTTAATAATGTCAAGCAATGGCTTCAAGAAATCGATAGGTATGCATGCGAAAATGTGAATAAGCTTTTGGTGGGAAATAAGTGTGATTTGACCGCTAAGCGTGCTGTCGAGACTCAGGCAGCTCAGGTAATGTGAAATTTTGCCACCTCGGTGATGAACTGTTAATTTTACAGGACTATGCTGGGCAACTCGGAATTCCATTCCTTGAGACATCGGCTAAGTCATCAACTAATGTCGAGCAAGTGAGTTCTTAACTATAACGTGGTAATAAATAGTTATAAAATAACGATTCATTAGGAATGCAAATTAGTCAGTAAAGAGCGTTCCTTTACAAAGAGGAAGTCCTATTTATAAAAGTTGTCATTTAAAACACTCGTATATTCGAATTCATTTCAATTCTTATTTCCAGGCATTCTTGACCATGGCGTCCGAGATCAAATCGAGAATGGGACCAGTTCAAGGCGCTGGTGGAGCTTTAGGTGTTCGTATTACGGGATCGCAGCCAGTGCAAGACAAGAAGAGCGGCGGATGCTGTTAAACGATGGTATTGGAATAAAATTCGATCAAGTGCGAGAAAAAGAGAGAAAGTATTGTTCTTCTCGCAATTTAATTCATTTGTATACCTAGATTCTGAGTGGCCAAAATTTTCCCTTTTTGCCCTCGCACTATCATATTCTAACTTATTTTCACTTTTCTGCTTCTGGATTTTTTCTATAAGATTTCTTCTTTATCTTCATCATTTTCGTATAATTATCTTTTATTGTACATCGGCTCCGCTTTTCTTCTTCTTTTCTTTCTTTTTCCCCACTTGATATTTAGAGGATTCATTTTTGTGTGGGTAAAGTGTAAAAACTATTATATCCATTTTCCTGTGCTTACTCGCTCTCCCCAAGATAATTTATATGTAAATGCACATCTTTATCTTTAATTCGTAAAAAAATAGTTTATTTTATTCTACGCTCCTCCCATTGGAATTCGGTATATATCGGGATAACATGCTCGAGAAATTTGACGGTAAACTTGATTGGATTGTTTGACGATTCCTGCAGCTTTACCGTAAACTTCTGTTAGCAACCGATAACGCGATAATTGTATGCATAGTTATCTGAAGGAATTGTGCAAACTACCATCCACACTGTGATTTAATGTATACCACTAACCATGCTTGTCTCCTTCCCTTCCGTTCCCGTATCCAGCACATGAGTTTTCTTTTATATTCGGTTTTCTTTTATAATGTGTTGTGAATAAAATGTCGATCGAGACACTTGTAATTAGCGGTCTGCATGACATATGGGCACTTTGAGGTTGAGTAGTCCAGAGGTGACTAATTCAATTATCGCAGCGGGCTCTTTTCTGCAATTTTTGGCTGTGCAGTTTTACCTAAATTTTTCGTTTATTGTTTTGGATTTTCTTATAGTAAGCAGCCTTTCGCAGCAGCCAATTATGGTAGTCGCTTACTCGGAGAAAGACTAGCTTTAGTGAATTTGTTTCAGAGTACTGTTCTGAGAAGTTTCAGACCATTGTTCTGAAAATTATGCTGTTTTGAGTATGAAGTAACGAGCAGAATTATGCTCGGAAAATAAGCGGAATTTCATTTGTCTGAAATTTTCGCGATTATTGTGAAGGCATCTTCGTGTTTTCCGCCTTTCACATCACATTCCGATTTCATCTTTCAATTCCCATAATTGAGTCGTATTTTCCGTTTTCTTCCAGATGTTGAATGAAAAGGGAAATTTGGAATGGCTTTCACTGGTTCGGACCTGTCAAATGGTTTCATTGTCAAGTTTGAATTGGTTAGACCTTGGCTTGTTATTTCAACGCGACATGCTCCTCCCAATCGTCGGCTTGTTATCTCGTTCGCCAATAAGCGTGCCCTCGCCTTATTTACACTATTCATTTTGTTTTTCGAACGCTTTTGAGATAATATTAATTGCTATTATTCTAACAGCGTTATCAAAGCTTGATATTCGTTCAATTTGCGTTGAATACGGTAATTTCGATTGAAGCGAAATGACGAAATTTTACATTATCATTTAATTGGCACTGTTTGCAAAATTCGCTTTTTTTCATTTTTGTAAGCTACAGCGACTGGAGGATTCGAGTGAAATCGCAATAGATAAATTTCAATTCTATCATGAAAAATAAAAAGTATTATTTTGTAGTTTTGAGCCTCTTCTAAATCTATCTAACATAAGCTTTTCAATATTTGGATCCCCAGAGCCTCAATGATAACTATACTTGAAATTATTTATAAATTTCGTGTTCTAATAATGGTGTTCCATAATACAACTTTAAACCGACAAATTAAGTGAGAAACAATTTTTTCTCAAATAAAATACATCATTGAATTCTCGAGCAATCAATGTATGTACATTATTTATTCTGTATTGACGACACATCTAAAAAAATTATTTATAGAAGAAAATCCGCTAGCAATGTTGTAATTAGTTCAAAAATTATACATATATGAAAAATAATCTAAACCTCCAATAAAACCCTAATTTTCACATGATAAATACACTTGAAAGCACCAAAAATATTTTAATGTGGCTATTTATTTTGTATGCGGGCCTTGTTTTTGACGATGTGTTTTTCCACATTATCACGAATTCAATTCCCAAAATAAGTGTAATTTGTATTCTACCCGACACAAAATAAAATCCTCTTCACCGAAAAAACATTTTAAGCTTAAATTTTGCATATTCCGTAGGATAATAAAATATGGAAGATTGACAATTAAGAAGAGCAAGAGTAAACCATTTGAAAATGAATAGCGTTAATTTAGAAAAGCAACAAAAAATATTCAAGTATTCTAACAAATCGAGTGATTTCCATCCCAAAAAGGCACATTCGATTGTTTTTTTTTTTTTGAACAAAAATATCCAGCAACTTTATTAATTATCTAAAGTATAGTTTTGAAATCCCTAATTTGTAAATACACAATGTATATGCGACGGCTTTTCATTGTTTCCATTTCATTATTTTTCGCAAAAAAAATCGATGTGAGGTCGTTTTGCATGTTTCAGCGCCATTAAGCAGCGTGATTTCGGCTTTCAACTTCTTTTTTTTTTTCTTATTTTTAACGATGTCGAGTGACTCCGGCAAGCACTTAACTATACAACTAATTGTGGATCTATGGCGCATGCAAGTGGTCCCTTCTATTATCCTCATAAAAATATACATATAACTGGGGTAGGATGAATGGTCCGATGATTATCAGGGTCCGATTAAGTTGTTTGACCTTTTTTGGAGATTCTCGTGTCTGATATGACTGTAGTTAGCACCTTGCCGCATGATTTATTAGAGGCAAACATTTTCAAGCAATACCGAAACGTTAGGTTTTCCTTCTATTAATTAGGTTTGTTTAATGAGCAAAATAAATATTTTTAATTCGTTTCATATTGCCTCAACTAGTACAATTGTATGTGAAGCACCCGAAAGACGACGACCTTTTTTTTACTTTAAAAAGTCTTATTAAGAAAATCTACTGAACGAAATTTCCCCAAAAACGTAATTTTCTGTATACCCATTATAACTAGCCAGTTGGTCGTTATCACCGATCTCGAAACATATTTACGACCAGTCGAATCGGACCCCTAATATTTTTATGATCCGCGCAATACTCTGCTCGCTCTTCTAACGAAATACTCTTACCTTTATATCAGAGTGTTGCAAATTAGCGAGCTCATTTCGCGCTCTCGTCGGCCAGATGGCTTTTTATGATTTCGAGTTGTTTCGTACCCGAAACTTTGACACTTTGCCACCAGAGTTGTGCAAATGTGCTTCTCGCCGATTCTCAATTCAGTTTATTGAATTGAACACCAACGGAGATATTTTTTGAAGCCAACTGAAAAACTTAATAGGAATTCAAATAACCAAAGTGCAAACTATTGTTGGTCTATAAATCTCATTATCCTGTATCGAATTCGATTTTTTTTTCTCAAACAAAATGACATTGTCTATTTTGCTCACTATTCTCATTTAATAATTAATGCATTTCATCTGCCCCTTTCAAATGCAACATTTTTTTCATCTTCACATTCTTTTTTTTGGTGTCTTGAGAAGAACGAATATCAATTCCGTTATCCATTTTCTGCTTCATCATCAGCTTCTCCCAAAATCAATTTTACATTTGAGTAATTGCTTTTTCAGCTTCTTCTCGATTCCTCAACATATTTCGTCCTGGATAATCAAGTGTACGTGCACACTAATCTCTAGAGATTTCTCGTAAAAAACAACAACGAGTGTATTGGATTTTTTTTTAAATTGCACTTTTAATGCGAAAACGGCGAAATCGAATTGCAGGTTTTCTTCGCCGAGATTAAAACCAAAAAATAAATATACGCATTTTTATGATTTCTACGCAAAAAAAATCATTAAATTAATTTTTTCGTCGTACAAACATGCATTTGAATGTAAACTCGAAGAATTCTCGTTCGCCGTTCCCAATTATCACTTCCAACCGCAATATTATCAAATTAGAAAATCAATTTTCTCTATCCAATATCCAAACTTCATCGTTTCGGGTTCGCCACCAATTTAATTAGATTTCAGTGCAGTAGAGGGAGCTAGAGGAGCTGGAGCAGCAGCTCCTTTGCTGATTGGGAACTCTGCCAACTATGGGCCCGACGAACAACAATTTCCGTTCCCCCTTCGTCGTCCTTTTTCTTGGCATTTATTCGTTTTTTTTTCCTTCCAACCGACTGGGGAAAGAAAAATGAAAAAGAAGAGTGCTCCCCGTCGAAACTCATTTATTTTGCTCGTTGTAAACTATCAGTAGTCCTCTGAAAACATCTACTTGAATCAATTAGTGTTCGTTCGACGGTTGGCTTGTGATATCTGTGGCCACTGACCTGAAATCATCAATCCTATCCGTCTTCTTTTTTCTTCCTGTTTATTAGTCTTCTTGGAAGCTAAACAAAATGACATATCACAACAACAACAACAACAATCAACACCATAGTAGTGAAAGATCGAATTGCTAGTTAATTGCGTATTAATGGCATTTAATAGAAGGCGTTTTCCACAGAAGTACGTAATCACCCAAACCTACCTTCTCCTTTTATTCGCTTTCGTCAAGTTCTTGCAAGTCCATAAATCTTGAAAATGCAATCCTATACAATTATATCGTCGTTCGATATCACAACAAAACCAGTTATTACTGTATCCACTATCAAAATGAGATTAACTCAACCGATCTCACTCCTTGATTTTGTCACCCACTTCTCAATCCTTTTCGCTGTGGGAGGCCTCCACCATCTGCCATTTTCATTTACCTTTCCATTATTGACTCTTTCTTTTCAAATCCTCCTTCATTGTTTCGAAATCTCGTGTTCACATATTCAATTATTCTACGGACCACCAATATCCGTTTTATCCAGTGTCTGTGTAAAAAATAAACAAAGATGGCCTAGGTGACGCAATAGGCGGCACGGGATCGTCTTCGTCTTTTTTTTTAATAGAACTTCCGCCGAATGGTGTTGGTTTACTCATGTAGGTTCGTCGCGAAAGCATCAAATACGATTTTATGGCGAATAAACATTCCATAAAAGGTGTCATACAGAAATAATATGCGTTAAAACAAACCCTCCGTATTTTTGATTTCGACCCTATCTCGCCATTATTTGGCAGCTCCTCTTAATTTATTACAAAAAATCTGGGCCAACAGATTGTCCGACGAAAACCTGTCAGCCCGATATGCTAATCCTAATCTCTTCCCTCAAAAAAAAATCATATAACCATTGTCGGCGGTTTGTAAACACCCCATGTCATCGCTTCAAATAACCAATCCAATTAAACGAGCGATCGTCCATTTTTTTTGACCTCCCTCGCCTCTCCCGTCGTCGGTGCGAAAAAAAAAGAGAAATGCGAGCGCTTATTGTGGCGCGAGGTGTTGAAAAGGACGCCGCGCACTAGTATTTATGAGCATCTCATCACATTTCATTTGCCTTTTTTATGGTTTATAAGCCACACCACACACACACAAAAAAACCATCTGGGGAATGGGAATGTTTGTGGCTTTTGTGGAATTCAATCAAAATTTGACAAATGAGTAAAAGCCTTGAAATTCATGATTACAGTCGATATTGGTTTGACCTAATGGAAAATTGAGAAGAAGCTTTTACCGCATTCTGGTCGCATCGAATCCATCTGCGTTTGGTAATCAATTCGATACCAATTATATAATAACACGTGGCCACCCAAGGGACCATCGGAGTGCCGAACACCAGCGAAAACAATTATATGTGACTAATGAATAAACGGACGAGCAACACGGCGGGTGTGCGGCCCAAATAAGGAGCGAAATCGGCTCAATGTCTTGACACTCTTGAGTGCATTAATTACAGATCGGCATCGGTGCGCTTCCTTCCCTTCTTTCATTCGTCGTCCCAAAACCCAGTGTATATATAATTATTTCCGATAGCGAGGCGACGTTCCACAACTCATGATCTCGCCGAGTTTTGACCGCTTTCTCGCGTTTTGACCAGTTGTTGTATATACAACACACATATCCGATCCGTAAAAACGTTTTTTTTTTCATTTCGTTGCTCCCGCAAAAATCGCTCAACCGGTGTCAGTTGCTTCACGTTTTCCTGTTACAAAATGAGGCGGGAATGCGTGTCAATGGGCGATGTTTTTCCAACAACACACCCTCCGGCATGTTTGTTGTGCTAATCATCTTGTCTTCGCATTCTTATTAGATTTCAAACTGTACAACTGATTCCTGGAAATATCAACGATTTAAGCACCTCCTTGGTTGATCAAGCCTGTTAATTTAATTTTATAGATTTAGATAACAGAAAAATGATCACAAAAAGGATGAAATTCTAGAATATACAAAAAAAAAAACAAAATTCCCGTGAAATAAAAAATGATTGTAAAAAAATCCAATTAAGTGAAACGTGATGCCCTCAAATAAAAAATGTTCAATTTTCATTTCATGATTTTTTGTTGAGAATCCATTTTTTTTCCTCCTTTATCTTAAATGCAAATCTTGTATTATTTTCCATGAATTTCTATGTTTAAGAATCACCAACGAAGCGAGCCTTCAGTTTTCAATTATTCTCTGTTGTTTTTGGTTGTTAAAATTGCGTGCAACGACGACTAAAAAAAACTTGAAGCGAAACTTATGCTTCTAGTTGTTTCCCTTCGCCAAACCTATTAAACATGAAAAGTCATAAAACTCGTCGAACAACATGCATATCGTTTTTGCTCTTTTTTTCCGCCGAGTTGAACGCACCCAATTACCCCCTGGGCCGGTCGCCTTCTCAATATTATTTTCCAAGCATTCGATTTCGTTTTGTCTATGTGGTTTTTTTCCATCTTTTCCTACTCCGCAGCCGTCGAATGTATAGATTTCCCATTTTTTTTGTGTCCGGGATTCCCACGATATTATTTTTTTAAAGGATACTTCAATCCATTTATGGATCGCCAGTTAATTAGCGGATTGCGTGGCTCGACCAACTCGCTTAGGTATTCATGAGTCTAAACTTTGAATATTCATGTTTCATTTTGGAGCCCACATTTTGAACACTCACTTTCGAAATATTGGATGTTTAATGCTTCATTCGTTTTATTTCATTTTCGAGAAATTCTAGAACAGCTGAATATTACAGTTATTGTTTTTTTTTTAACAAATGCCATTTAATGATATCCGATCCTTCAATATGCCCAATTCGTATTTTTTTAATCATTAATATGCTCACTTCATATTAGTGAGTCACATGAATATGGGTGTGTTATGTCAGCCAAGTTCAGATTTCGGCAACTTCATAGCATTCCTGAATCTCGTTTTTTTCGCCCCTCTTTTCCCCGATGTATGTTTTTCGATGTTCAGTTTTTTGTCAGCGTGAGTCCTTCTGCAGTTCGCAACCTCGGCTTCCGATAAAATCAGAACTTGAGAACCTGTCAAAATAGCGTGTGAGTTTCGGAGAGCCGAGAGACAACGGAACATGAAATTGATGAGGCGAAAATGGGTGTGAAGAAGTGAACACCTTTTTCCAAATCAACAAATCATTAAAAATTGGATTGGATTGGATTCGGCGGAGGTGCGACCGCCTCGATTTCAAATTTATGGGTTCCAATTCCTTCGCCGTGTTGATTTTTAAGCGAAACTTTTTTTCGTGCCTACCTGCACGCCCCTTCAACACATTTGTATTGTATACAAATCGGCTTTGAAACAATTGCAAAAAATGCGTCGAATGAAACAAGTTTCGGCATTTAGCCATGCCATTTCAATTGAAGTTTCGTATCAAATCTAGAATATACTAATTCTAAATCTTTCAATAAAAATTATTACAATATGAAATCATTCCAAAAAATTCAATATTAAGGTCTTAATTTACAATACCTAATTTTAGCTTTAATCCTGCTTTCTCGGAGATTTTCAATTAATAGATTAATTCTGGCTTCGTATGACTCTCGTTCGTCGAGATTTCTATAATCGATTTCCTTCTTAATCTCCATAAACAATTTTGTGCGCAAGTGTCAAAACGTCGTCGAAAATGTTTACCCCATATAAGGTATTCCAAGAATAAATATATACAAAATCGCCAGCCGTTGTGTTCGCCGTTTCGCTTTGTATTTTCGTGTTTAATAATTCTCTCATTTTCGTTTTCATAAAGCATCTGCAGACCCCCAGCCCAACCAGGTTTCTCCATCATCATCCCCTCCTCCAGCTCCCACCGAGTCAATGCCGCTCATCCTCTCAAATCTCCGCTCATTTATTAGTTTTCCTGCCCGACTTTTCGTTTTTTTGCCGCTGGGAAATTGTTGCAAAATTTATGATTTAAATCGCATCGAATATACATTTCCTGTTGGCCAAGTTATTTTCCCATCAATTGCCAATGAAAATTCTCAGAATCGAGAAATTCTCTAGATTCTTTGCATAATTTTTGGACATATACGGTGATATTATTAGTTTATAATGTACATTGATCTCTCAAAAAATATAAAATCAACTACACATTTCTTATAATACGAAATTTTTTGAAACATTTTTCATTCTCAATATAAACTAATTCAATAGCGTTGTTTGGGATAATCAAAATCTTATTGTTTGATTTGACAATACATTCATTTTGCAAATTGAAATTGGTTTTTTTTTGTTGAATTTCAGATTTACTCAATCATATTTCATTTAAATAACAATAAAATAAATGAGAAACAAAAAAGCCAAAAAATAAATTCAGCTGCTGCTTACGACTGATAGAAAATTTGACAGCTATTTTCAACACCTTTTTAATTTATTCTTCAATTTCTCAAAATAATACCCTTTAAAGCATATGTAGTATTTTAAAGCAAATTAAATTGTACATTTGAGGATGTGAATATCCTAACCAGGAAGTATAGCAACTCTCGAATAAATTATATTATTAAAAATCATAAGTAAATAAATAATATTTTCATTCAAGAAAAAACACGCATTAATTTCTCCAATATTTTTGTTGTTTTCGTTCTTATCTTGTTAGAGTACCACTAATCTTCGGGTTGTCGCTGATTGACCGCCGCCGCCACCGCCCCGCTCCTCCTTCCGTCCAAAAAATAGACGGACACGCCCATTTTCCGCGCATCGGCCTGCCCTCTCGCTCGCTCGTGTCTGCTTGCTCGCATACTCCCACCACATCTCGTCCTTTTTGATTTATTTTCCCGCTAATTTTTCGAGTTTTTCTTGGCCTCAATTCCATTAATTTATTATGTTATTTTCATTTCCATTCAGTAATAATTGAATACTTTTTTGGAATTCACCTCACCCCTCCCCCCTGCCTTTTCACATTCAACTACATTTCCATGGAAATCATAAAGCCGTCGACAAATATTATATTTGTGTGCTATTCTCATGCAACTTTTTGTGTTGTTCGCTCTCACTTTTTATCATTTTTTGTTCTGTATTTGGTGTATGAATTCTGACATTAAATGTTTCAGGAATCAAATCGAGACCTAATCAATGGAGGAAGAACTGAAATGCGCACTTTGTGTGCGATTCTTCGACGATCCTATTATTCTGAATTGTGGTCACAGTTTGTGCCGAATGTGTGCTTTAAAAGTAAGTATAAAATATGTTCGAGAAATAATGCTCCAATCGGCCGGGAATTTGAAATAATGCTCCAATCGGCCGGGAATTTGAATACTATTAATCCAATTAGGCCCCATTGATAAAATTTTTGTCTCGCTTCATAGTTTTTTTTTCTTGCGTGTTTTCCACTATTTTCCGAATTCGCTTTTTTCGATTTCTAATTTCTCTCTATGTATATATTCAGTCACACCAACCATGCACGTCGAGCTCATCAATTTCGTCGCAATCCGGAACGCGTCCTTCAACGCCCGGTTCATGCGCTCCTCTTCACACGCCGATTCTAACCTCGAGCCCGCTGTCACCTCAAAGCAGCAGTAGCGGTAGGTTTTTAACAAAAAACAATAACCATATGGCTTCTATCCTCCGACTACCACTCTTCCCGACGACATTATAATCGTTTAACTACAATAACATCGAGTTTATTCTCGATTTATTGTCGTCGATGAAAAAAAAATGAAAGAAATGTATTGAACATATCGATACGTCGGCACGGAAGAGCTATATAGTTCTGGCGGAATTATAACATGAAGAGCACTTTGGAGCAACTCTGCACAAGTCAATAAAATTATTGCAGGCGCTTCGGATACTGTGTCACTTTGCGTGTCGGACGGCGATCATGAAAGCGACAAACTCAGCGTGGTGTCCGAAACCGACTCTGGTGTCGTTGTATGCGGAAGAGGTGAGCAATATTCGGGAAACTCTGATAAATGTTGGTTGTCTTCAGCAAGTCGACCGTCTTCTATCATCGGTCCTCCACTTTCAAGGCTTCATAATATTTTAACACCGTCCACGAGCAGTGTTCAACTAGTTTGCAATTGTTGTCAGAAGACGTCATACTTTTGCGACGAGAATGCTATCGCAAATGCTCCAACCAACTTCGCCATGCAAAATGTGATAAATAGATACTTGGCGACACATCCGGGCAAGGCGACCACATCGACATCATGTTCGGATGAAAAGGAAGCGACATGCCAACTGTGCGAAGACAACCGACGAGCCGCCACGGTGTTCTGCGAGCAATGCGATATCTACTATTGTACACCATGTCAAACTGCCCTTCATCCCGCCCGAGGTCCTTTAGCAAAGCATACGTTGACTGCGCCGCTTAAAAGGTTGGTGTTTTCACCTGTTAATGCGATAATCGAATATGTGGGAATCGAGAAAAAATGCAATACCAGTATTAGTTTTAAGAAAGAAAGTGAAGGGTAAAAAATGTTGCCTGCCAAAATCTCGTCAAAAGTGAAAATTATTTTTTTTCAGGAAACAATCGCATTCAAAATCAGTCCGAGATGGTCTCAAATGCATTATTCATCCGTCCGACGGTTTAACTATGTACTGTTTAGCTTGCAAGATGGCAGTTTGCTCGCGCTGCCTCCAGGTAAAATATCGCAGTCCATTACTTCATTATATTACCATTTAAGGACATTCGTCATACTAGTCACGACGTGCAATCGCTGTCGGCGGCCTGCAAATCGCACAAGGTTCAGCTATTTTTTTTCTTTATTTTGGGGCCGATTTCAAGGTTTCCTGTATGCCACGAGATTTATTAATTATGCGCTCCCCAACTAGCAAAAACCGTTTGTCGTCCTCGGCGTCAATCAAAAATCTGTTTGACCAATTTGGGGGGGGGGATGGAAGCGATTTGGGAGGGGAGGGGGAGGTCAAAAGTTTTGCCAAATTTCCAGCTGACTGGTACCGCATAAAGCGAGTTTAATTAGCGCTACCATGAAACCCTCCGCTCTTGCGCGCATTCAACAACAAATTGTTGTTTGTTTGCCATGTGGATTAACATTGGAGATTCACCTGGTGAATGGGAGGACGAAGTGTCAAACGGGCCATTAAAGGCGCATTATTATAAGGCATTCGAATGCAAGACACCGGAATCGAAATAATAATGAGGAAGATATTCATTCGTCAAACTTCTATGAATTCCTAATAAGGGATTTTACACGGGATTTTCTAGTTGAACGGGATCGTAACCGATTTCAAAAATTGTTCACTTCTTCTCTCTGCTTTTAGTCCTATTGCTTTTGAGGCTTCTTCGCTTTACTTAAGTTTGGCGTCTTTCATAGTACAACTTTTTTCGGCGCGTAACGTCCATTTTTCTTGATGGGTGGTCAAGGAGGCGTCAATGTTTGTTGCTACTTTGCATTTAATAGCCCTCGGGGCCCTTTTTCGTCGGACTAATAAGCAAGAAACACAACAAAGTATATACTAAGAAGAGGACACAACCAAAATCTATATGGACATATAGGCACACACACACATACTTGGCGTCCACAATTTTTTTGCGTGGTCGGGACGACGCGCGCGCGCCACGATAACTTTTCAAGGCAGGATTGATGTGAAAAACGTCGTATTTTATAGGCTTTTCCTTCGTTTCCTTTCGTATATATTCCATAAAATTTGGGACGCGAGGAAAGAAAAAGTTTAACGAAGGGATTGCATGAACGCTAATGTATTGTTTTGTATTGTGGCTCCGAACAATACAAAAAACGCGTTGTTGAATACGGTAATGAATAAGCTTTCATTCGAACAAACAAAACTCGAAAATCTGGTGGTTCCCATGAGATAAGGTGGTTATCAGTTTGCAGAATGGATTAGGCTTCTGGCTAGTAGAGAGCAGTAGTGATAACAACCAAAAACATCACCATGTTCGGATTCTCGGTTTATTTCTTGCTCAACGAAGAAGCTTTCTCGAAAAATTGCTCATAATTACAACCTATGTCGTCGATCACTGCATTCATCATGCACGGCGACCCCATCATTTTCTCCTCAAAATGTGGTGGTTGGCAAGTTGTAAAAGAATCTTGACGACGAGATGCAGTTGGTTCGTGTAGTGTCATCGGATACGCACGCAAACGGGAATGATGAGCTGTTAATAAAGTGTGGAAATGTGGGTAGCGATGTATGCTGATGAAATATGAAACCGATTCGGACACGAGATTCGGCTCGAGAGCGAACGAACACTCGAAGATTATTATTAGTCGTTATGCAACCAACAAGGGGTTTATCAGAGGGCACGCAATTTGATACCCATAAATTAGTCGATCAGGTCATTTCGTTATTACATTGTCTTGTCAAAAATGTTCGCCAATTGTGATTGGTAGCCGTTGACAATTGGCAGATGGCTGCGCGAAATGGGATTTCGTTGAAGAATGGTCTCAAGTGAAAACCACCTTATAATGAAGAGACAGCTTCTACCCAATATGGTGCATTTCAGAAATTGATGTAGTAGAATACTGTTGAGTTCTAGGAATCTCCATTTTTTGGTGAGATTCTGAGTCGTACATTAAACTCAAATTTTTCGATAAATTCGTTCACGATATTTCGCAAGTTTTAGTGGTTCCTTAACCTCAATTCGACCGTGTCATTTTCGCTCGTTGTAAACAATTAGCGGATTTCCCATTTCCCGCACATCATTCCGAGTGGTGGGAACGAGCACGTTGTACGTTGCGCAATTGACACCCACAAATCACGAAATGTAACGACCTCCTCGCTTGTGTGTATGTGTCTACAAGGTGTAGGACATCTCGAACATTTCGTTGAAGCAAGCAAAATGAACGAGATTCAGCGGAGGACGCGAGACAGGTGGCTGTGTTCCCGGAAGGGGCGAGCATTAAAAAAATGGCGGGTTTGCGACAACACATGTCGGTTTGCTCTCGATTGAGCACGTTACTTTGTCATTTGTACATAGTTACACATCGTAAAATTAGCCGTCGCAGTGTCGGCGTTCTTTTGGTGTGTAAGCGTTCCGGTCACCGACACCTCCTTGACAACTTTATAGGTCTGTCTTTGTTGAGGTGATAGTAAAGGTCAAATTGCATTCGGTCCGAGGGTCAAGCTGAATGTAGACGCTCATAAATTTGCGCGAGAAAGCAACGCAATCACGACAATCGTAATAATTCGTCGACGAGGTCCCATACGGAAACACTAAATCATGTTGCGTTGCGCGAGAACGTCTGCTCCGACTCGAGGAATCATTTATAATTTATCTTGTAAACGAGATATTATTATACTCGGCCAACAATTGAATGAAGGGGAGTATCTGGTAACAAATTGCACTCCCTGATATTGTAGATATATTTCTTAATATCGGATTACTCGAGTAAATAGGGAGCGGCAAACATGTTCGATTGTTCTAGGTGTCGAGGGAAGCCAAATAAGAAAACGCGTTCATCAACTTTACTAGCAATATTTGAGATAGTGGCAACATTTCTGGATTTGTACGAACGTCTCTTCCCACATTCTCTCATATTGAGGGTATTATTGTATTAGTTGGTTTTAGATCAATGTTTGACACATTCGCGGCATGTTCGCACAATATCCAATCTTGTAGCGAGATTAATTCAATTGAGATTCCCCCATGAAAGGAAATGGATCCCGACAACGTCATCTTGCCGCTGTCACTCGTACTGTAATTATAAGATTCGCCGATACCAATTTGTTTAGTCTACGCGATGACGGCGGCCTAGTGGTGGCTCAGTCCTAATCCGTTTTGCCACCGATCCGCGCCATAATGTATTACGCAACATTATCGCAGCTGCTCTTTGTCAAGTCATACGAAAAAAAAGCATTGAAGAAGGCGATAATTGAAAGAGACCGAGAAGGGGGGCCGGCGTGGCATATTGTTTGGACGCGGATAACGTCTGACGGCGGCCATTCATCATTTTTCGATTTCGAGATGATGAATGAGGGGCTTCACACGTTTCTTGGAGTAGGTAGCTCTGGTGGCGTAATTGATTGATGCAACATTTCACGAAATCGAATTGTTCGCGAATCTCTCCATTGCTTTTTCTTAGTCTAGGGGGGCTTCTTGAATCTATTATTGCAAAATTTTGCCAAAAACTACCACCAACTAATCTGGTGCCATAAATCGTTGACTCGTGTAGTACATTCATCCTGCCTCGGAAAAAAAACGGACGAAAGTGAAGAAGAAGAAGAAGACGAAACGTAAAATCTACAACAGGGAATTTGTGCATTTTGATGGATGATGACTAGTTTCTGTCGGGGACTTGATAAATCTTGAAATGCGACAACATTTTCTTTTTGGCTGTCGTCCAATTATTTGGCGCGCATTGCCGCGCGAGGAAACCCGATTTCCCATTGGTTCATCAAAATCCGCAAAACTTAGATGGGGACGCTGTTTCATCTTGAGAGCATGAGGTCCTCCTCTTCTCTTTTCGCCAAATTAGCCTAATTTTCACAAGACGATGGACACTTGCTTGGAGTGTATATCTTGTCACATTGAAGCGTATTTTGAGGAGGGTGAAAATGGGCGAAACCTAAGGGTGGAGAGGGGGGTGAAGGTTTTGGTGTTGGTGGTCTAGTATTTCAATTAAGCAATTAATGAGAGCAGATGTTGTTGCGCGAAAGATAGATGGAAGAATTATGGGCTCATTTCAGACTGAACTGTCATCGACACTTCAACAGCTAAGTGAAAAGGCCAAAATGGCTACTGAAGAAATCGGGAAGCTCAAAGGGATGCAAGAAATTATTAAGGTATAATTTTTCTTTAAATATATCCATTTTTCTATTAAAATTGATTTTTTTTTAGAACAACAGCAATGATTTTAAATCAGCCGTCTGTATTCAAATAGATCAACTCATTGAGCAACTACAAATGCGCAAAGATAAGCTAATGCAGCATGTTGATGAGCAAGCTGAGCACAAGGTGAGTAATCGCCGTCTTCATTTCATAATAAATACGCGAATTCGGTCATTTATAGAGAATGGTGTTGAAATCGCAAATATCTCGATGTACCTCAAAATTAGCGAAAACAACTGCGTTGATTCAATTTTGCATCGAAGCTTTAAAGGAACCTGATCCATCTGTATACATGCAGGTCTGAATACAATGTTGTGAAAATGGCAAATCGCATTTTTTATAAAGATTTCGAATACGTTGATTCATCGCTCAACAAGTTTGGAGTTTCTATGGCACAAGGAAATGAAAACGAAACCTGAAACTGACGCTGAATTCATATTGAATCTCGACACAAAGCACCTTCAGTACACTATTCAAACGCTGGATTTCGCTCAACTCAAAGGTATTTCGACTTTGAACTATTTTTCGTTTTTTTTTTGTTGAAAAAAAAAATAAAATGTCAAAACTGTCAAAACATTTAGTTGGTCGTGGTAGACGAATTAAAGGAGATGCGTCAAGAGGTAAATAAAAAGAATAGTGATGTATTGTAGTTGTGAAAAATATTGATTGTTCCCCAATCCGTCACACCGTGAAACACTTGCACCTTGTGGTAAAATAAAAAAAAAAAGATTTTCAACCACAATTTCTTACCATTTAGTTTTGCTCCTTTTCCATTTTTCAAATCATGCTCATTATTTTCCAGTTCCATCTGCTCCGATCATCGAGACTTCCGAATGTTCATCCGAGAACAATTCAGTGACAGTGGTTTGGCGGCAGAAGAATGATGGAAGCGCTGTCGATGGTTTCGCCCTTGAAATCGACACCGGAAGGGATGATGGCATATTCAAGGAGGTTTATTCGGGTCCTGACACGATTTGCACTATCGACGGTCTTCATTTTAACACTGTTTATACTGCGCGAGTCAAGGCTTACAATTCAGCTGGTGAAAGCGAATACAGTGAGCCGATATGTCTGCAAACTGCTCATGGTAAATAGCAAACGAAATACTTTTAAGTCACATTTAATTAATCTAGTGGCTTGGTTTCAATTGACAAAATCTCCATCACAAAGAGACATGGTTCTATCGAACGATTGTGCAACCTTGTCTGGATCTACATTGGAATATCGAACAATCCTTGGATCCATTGCTTTTTCAAAAGGAGTTCACTATTGGGAAGTGACGATTGATCGTCATGACGGCCATTCTGATGTGGTTATTGGTGTAGCACAGCCAGCGATCAACCGGAATCTGATGCTCGGAAAAGATTTACATGGCTGGTCTATGTACGTTGATGGAGAACGCTCCTGGTATCTTCATAATGAGACACATCATAATAGAATCGCTGGAGGAATCGGAAGAGGTTGCAATTTCTAAAATATTTTCAAAGTCTTGAACGTATTCTTTTAGGATCTGTGATCGGTGTAAAATTGGATTGTGATCGAGGCACTCTTGAATACACGATAAATGATAGAAGTCGAGTTTACGACGGAGATCGTCTAGCATTTGCGTAAGTTGTTTTTATAACGATATTTAAATAACTCGGTTTTTTCTTCAGAAACATGCCACGTGGCCTTTATTATCCAGCCTTCTCTGTAAATGCGAATGCATCAATAACCGTTCACACTGGTCTTTCCTGTCCTTCTTCTACCCGATCCTCACCTGAATAAATGCTTCCTTCTATCTACTTGCCTCCCGCAACAGCTTTATTGGTGCTTGCTTTAGATGTATTGCTTAACAAAATACTTCTTTTGTTATTTTAAAATGTTAAATATGAAACCGGTATTCCCCACACTTTCTTTGTATCCATACTAAAATTCAATTTTGAACCTAATAAACTTTTTACAGTTAAATATATAAAATACAGAGTTGAGCAGGAAGAATAGTTATAGATGTTTTTAATCGACTGGGAACTTGAATGGTCCCCGGTGCTCCTTTGACATTTACGTGTGTCTCCGTACCTTCGAAATTTCTAATAGATTTTTTCGTTGGAATTTAGAATTTACGTGTGGTTTTCCATTTTTTTTGAACATTCGTCATCTGAGCGCATGAAACTTTTACCGAAATTTAAATGTTGGACACATCATTTGGAAATATTTAATAACCGATACACACAAAGTCAGGCACAAAAATGCTTCGCTTGAAAAATAAAGCTTGATTATAAGCTGAAAATAAGTCAGAATTTATAAATAACACATACGCCGAACAGCTGAAAACGCCCAATTTCCCCCATAAACGAAAATTGACATTTTTCAAAAATGGCATGTTGAGGAAATTCTCTGCTTATCAAATCTGGCAATCACAAAAAAATCAAATTCAATGTTGATAAAAAAAATAATATCACTTTTTACGTTCCCAAAATTCTTAATTAATTACTTGAAATGAAATATTAGACGAGGACAGACGAATTTAAGAGGCGTTTCTTACGATAGAATTTCTCACCAAACTATTGGCAGTTCCTATGATTTAAAATGACAAAAATACACTAGTGGAATTAGACTGTGAATTGACCCAAGATTTTGATTTTAATGTAGACTTTTTTTTCTAAATGGGACCTGCCAAATGAGCCCAAAAAAGGGGGCCGGCAAATGACAAAAAACGCGTTCACATCGAATTCACACAAAATTGGAAATTTTTCGAAACAACACCGTTAAATTGAAATTTGAATTCAATTGTTTTCACGTTGTTACAATGGTGTGAAATTCATTAAATTGCCAAAATTAGCGGAAATTTATAATTAAAAATATGTTTTTCCTTTAAATAAACAAAAAGAACATAATTTTTCAAAACTAGTCGAAAATACATTTAAAAAAACATGTTTTCGAACCCGAACCCTCTAAACATAGTGACTCTGAATTGAATCCAAGCCGATTTGAACAAATATTTCAAATCGTCCAATGGAACAAACAGAACAGAATTGTATTTATTTGTCACTGAATAAACATCAACTAATATTTTCGACATTTCTGAATTTTATGATATTTCCCGAAAACGGAGAAATGACGATTTTTGTTCGAAATGAAACAAAATTTTACAAATACATTTATTTGGAGAGTAAAGGAGACGAATATTTCATACAAACGAAACCACCAAAAACGCAAGGATTACAAAAAGTCCTGGAGGTGTCGAATATATAAATAATCAATAATTATAATATAAGCGGGTTTGGTTCGAAAATATTGGAAGCTGTGCAGTGGATGGACAGAAGTGCAGAAAAAATTTGAAAGTAGGGAGAATTCACTAGTTTAATCATCAAGAAATGTTGCACAAAAAGCCGGCGAGCCATTTATGGGACATTTCGAGATTATCGCTCAAACAACGGGAAATGTCTAATCGGGGAAAACAATGAAAAGGCCCGTGTGATGTGGTGTTGTAGATTTACGTGTTTCTTTTGGGTTGTGCTAGGCGTGGTTGCTTTTGTTTCTACGACATCTCTAATATATTCAACGGCTGAATGTGCAGGTTTGGAATACATTGGATCGGAAAGAAGTTGAGATTTGGATTGCAACAATAATAAAAATCATCATCGACAAACACAAAAATGATTGAACACAGATACGGGATGTAAGGGGAAAAATTGCATTGATTTATTTTTGGTTACGATAAAAATGATGACGGCGGAAAAACGGAAGATGGATGGTGGAGATGCGGCAATATTATATTGAAAATCAAGCTTCAATTTACTTGGTGGTCATCATTGTGACGAACTCTGTAATAATTCAATTTTTAGTTTCCTTTAGAACGAGCCTTAGCCTAATCACCTTCGTAATTGACTTGTCCGTCTCCGTCGATATCAGCTTCGCGAATCATCTCATCAACTTCCTCGTCTGTCAGCTTCTCTCCAAGGTTTGTCATGACGTGACGAAGCTCAGCAGCAGAGATGAATCCGTTGCCGTCCTTGTCGAATACCTAAATTCTTTTCACTTAATCGGAACTTCTTATAGCTTAATCTTACTCGGAAAGCTTCGCGAATCTCTTCTTCACTGTCTGTGTCCTTCATCTTGCGAGCCATCATCGTCAAGAATTCTGGGAAGTCGATCGTTCCGTTTCCATCAGCGTCGACCTCGTTGATCATGTCCTGAAGTTCAGCTTCAGTTGGGTTTTGTCCAAGAGATCGCATGACAGTTCCCAATTCCTTGGTGGTGATGGTGCCGTCACCGTCCTTATCGAAAAGGCTGAACGCCTCCTTGAACTCTGAAATTACGTAGTTTTAGATATATATGAGAAATAACTCATCAAATATTGAATTTTTTCCATAACTTCTCAAATTACATTATTTATGTGAGAGTTTGAATTGTAGCTTCTCGAAACGACGCCGCATTAAAATTTCTCATCGTAACATAGCGGCTAGCTGGTGGGCGAAAGTTGAGAAACATATGTGAATGAAGTAATTTCCCGATGGGATCCAACTCTTCCCTCACATTTTTCATACTCTAATTTAAAAACGGTAAAAAACGAACCAGCGATTTGCTCTTCAGTCAATTGATCGGCCATTGTTTTCCGCTTATTGATTTGACGGTTGCCCTACAAATTGCTGCGATGAAATTTAATTGAAATGAAATGCGAACGCGGAAATGAGAACAACAATCAATTGTTTCCGAAATCAACCAGAATTACGTGAGACATTATCACCTAATGAAAAAAGAATTTGGCCTAGAAGAAACTAGTTTTCAAGATAGAAGAACGAAATTGTTTTTTTTTTAACATCGGAACTCAAATAACAAAGGAAGACGATGGAATTGAAGAAAGATGAGTGTAATTTAATACAAGTCCGTCGTTAAGTGAAATATTATACGCTGGATTAAATGGATTCACTTATGTAATCTTGAGATCGACTATGAAGAATTAATCAGTTTTCAAAAGTACTTTTCGCTTCAATTGTGACTTTTTCGTTTTTCAAACGTACCCAAATATGTAAGCGTTAGAAGCAATACGAAGGAAAGAATTATAGATCATTGTAGCAATAGAATCACATGTCTCATTGAGCGCGAGAAAATTTTGGAGTAACACGAGGCGGCAAGGAAAAAACCAATGCAAATATTTGCAGTTTTTTTTAAAGTCTTGTGATTTTCAAAAACCGCGGCGCCTCACACAAAACACCAATAGCAACACCAAATGCGGAAGGATAGTTGAAGAATAGAATTGAAGAAAATTGGAAAACAGAGCCACGAAAAAGGCGAATGCAAGACAAAGCACAACGAAATGAGAGGAAACACACATACATACACACAAAAAACCAACAACGGCCAAATAACGATTAATCTGCGCGCAATGCGCCGCGCATTATCGAGTCTGGACAAGGCGGCAGTGAAATGAACACGCGCTGGAGAGAGGCAACCGACGACGAGCAGGGTGGCGGAAGACGCGCGTGCACACGCGGCGCGCCGTTCACGAAAAGGTATGCCATAATTGACAATAGAATTCACATTCAAACTTTTGATGCTTTGACTATTTTTCCACGTTTTTTTACGGACTACTTGAAATAAAGAAGCGGCAATTTTATTTTTACGGATGACATTCCCATTCACGTCCATAAAAATTCGTGTAACGACAACAACAACAAAACATGACGAATTGGCGGGTTGTTTGTCGAAATTATGTCGAAAAATCGTTTTTTTTTTCGTCGAAGTGTACCCCACTTCGGCCTCGCATTTCGGCAACGACTTGTGAAATTCGCGAGGAACACTGAGTCAGCTGCTACTCCATGAGCAAAATTGAAGATAGAGAACGAGGAAAGTTACACACTGTACACACGCACACACAAAACTAATCCGACACAATATTGTGGGGTTATTTTCAACATTTAACAAAGATCTTCGACCTTTTCTGAATTGCTCATATAATTGAGATTGATGTCTATTCGCGGCATGTGTATGATTTATTACACACACACACACACACACACCCTACGATCCATCTCATAAATAAATTCATGACTAATGCAAGTTTTGCCGGAAAACGTCACTCTTTATCAATTCGTCAATAAAAACGAATTACCCTCGAAATAGTTGATGTGCTTATTCCCCATATTGGGAATTTTTTTAGTGAGAATAAAGTGTCTCAGGGAAAGTAAAATGTCGAGGAAATACATAGATCGGTTTTGTTTTGCGGGCCACAAAAATATATGTTGCTCGTATATGAACAATAGCTGCCTTTAAATTGGAATAACCGATGGTTTATGGATGAATAAGCAAATTGAATATTCAATAAATGTGACAATTAACCATTTCGAGAAATTGTTTTTATGTTGTTAATCTGATTCGGTAGCAAAAATCATAGAAAACGCGTTATCGTAAAAAACTTACGTAAGCTAGAATTGTATCTGCTTCTAATTTTGAATATTAATATAAATGTAATTGGTTTGTTTTGAAGAAAAAATAAATAATAAAAGTATATTCTCCTTTCAAGGCAAGAAAATGAAATAAAGTGAAGCAGAGCGTTGTCCGCCTGCTACTCATGCGTCGCGGTAACCACCACCACCAGCGCAATCCTGGAGAGGAAAGGAGACGGAGAAGAAGCTGGAGCAGCAGAAGCGGCCGCGGTGGCGGTAGCAGCAAGAGCACGAGCAGGAGACCGGAGTCGGCGCACACACACACACACACGAAAAAAAAACCCGAAAAAAGGCGTGGCCAACGGCGCAGCGGCGGCGCATTGCGCCCGAGTGTCTGCGCACTCCACCCAGCGTGCGTTCTCTAGCCGCGCAATGCGCCGACACCGATGCAGGACGGCCGCGGCCCCGAATGAATTTAAGTTTTGAGATATGATTTCAATGAAACCGATATATACATACACATGACAAAGTTGAGTAAGCGAGTGATTAGAACAATATAAAAAAATATTGAAAAAAATATATACTGTCATTAATGCATTTTCAATTGAAATTTCGTATTAATTACAATTAATGCTAACTAAAGCCTATTGGAGCAACCCTTTGAGGAAAAGTAGAAAAATGAAATGAAAAAAGTTAACTCCGAAAAAAAAACGAAGAAACCAAATAGATCATTGTGAGTGTGCGATTGGATATGAACAGTCAACCCGGCGCAAAAATGCAGAATATGCGTCTAAATAACGGAATGTTCGCTTTTTTTTTACTTTTTTCGGGTACTGTAGCCAAGAACACCAGATATTCTGCATTTATGCGTCGAGTGCGGAACGTAGAAAAACACACTCTCATACGCTTTTTTTCTTCAATTTTCTTCGTTTTTTCCTAAATGTAATCGGTTCATAAATTGGTAAATAATGATTTTACACCCCTTTTTTTCATTTTGACAAGAATGTTTTAAGATAATTTATGATCTGAATACAGACTGTATATTAGCGGAAGTGGAAAATTCTGATAATAATTTTTAATATTTTTTCATTTTGCCTGTTGAACAAAATAATATTCTTTTTTACGAAACCTCGAAACTGAAGTATTTTCGGGGAAATCTGTTTTTTGTTTTTTAATGCAAATCCCACTAAAGAATTGAAAATTATCTTTGCGTTCGCTTATTCGCGCTGTCACAAAGGAATATTTTATTTGGTGGAATATTCAAAATAAGAATCGAAAAGCGTATATTCATTACATACGCAGATTTGGATTAATAATTCTTGATTATTGAAAACAAAATGAAATTTATGAGTGAACACAGCGAGCATACTTACGTATTAAATATGATATATTTATAGTCACAAATTTTGACGGATTGGCTGGTTGCGCCGCGCAATGCCGCTCGTTCTTTTATGCTAATTTTGGGCAATGCACACACCTTTTTTGTTACGCTTGATACCCCACGCGTCATCATACATGTATGAATGGGTTTTGCATGTGGAATGAGGGTACGAACACGAGGCAGATTGATGATTGTTGCGGCCAGAACTGACAAGGAAGCAAAAGTTCAATTAAGGCGAATTGAGAGATTGCAAAGGAATATCAAATTTTACGGAGACATATAATGTTGTTGAAAAGTGGAATTCGAAATAATGAGACTATAAAACAAAAAAAAATAAAACACAGACTGAAATGAAGTTGTTGTTTACCACAATCATTGCGTGCTTTAAATTTGACTATAAATAACTAGTTCCCAAAAGAATTGGATTATTTACCTAATTAGGGGCGACATAGTGCATTTTTTGATACAACTCGCGTACTAATAAAAACAAAACCCTGAAGCTTCACGTGGCGCTAAAGTGTATCTCACATGAACATTGCGGATTTCAAATTTTGTGACGAATCGAAGTAATCAATTTGGTGAGGATCATATGTGTTGTTTCAATTCCCAATTGATTTTTTAGTATTTTTATTTGAAACGCTGAGATTTTGAGAAAAGAAGAAAAAGCTTATTTCGATTAATCTCCTTCCAAATGTTCACCCAAAGAAATGATGAAATGTTTTAAAATTAAATGTATTTCTTTTTTTCCATTTTTTCGAATTACATTCAATCATATCTAAGATATAGATTTCAATAATAATTATTATTTGTTCAATGATAAATATTCAATTCCTTAAAAGATTTTGATCGCTTACGGGTTCAGAATTGTACTTAATTTTTTTCTCAATTGTACAGGGTGTCATTTAAGTTCCCGCACAACTTTGAAGACGTATATTTCTGAAACTAAAAGTCCAAATCAAACGAGACTCAAAATATTATTTATCTATAGTACAACAAATAATTATCTATTAACTCTTTTCGATTCGGCCTTCTTTCGCAGCTATGACTTCACGGAGACGCTTCGGGTAGGATGTGACTGTGGTACGCAGGTATTCGATGGAAAGATTGTCCCACTCCGCCAGTAATGTCCTCTTCAGAGCCTCTACACTTGGGTGGGGTTTTGCGTTGACCTTCTCCTGCAAGACCCTATCACGGAAAAGTCAAGCGGTTTCAGATCTGTGGAGCAATCAGGCCATTCGGATGACTTGATGAAGTCGGGAAAATGGGTCTGGCACCACTCCTGAGTAGTTTTGGCAGTGTGGGCGGGTGCTCCGTCCCGCTGAAAGACCCATATCTGCCCACCGAAATGCGTTTGGGTCCAGGGCATCACATGCTTCTCCAAAATGTCCCGAACGTAGACTTCTTTGTTCATTTTCACTCCCTGATCCACGAAATCCTGGGGGCACATCCCGGTTGAGCAGATGGCACCGAAAACCATCACACTGGCAGGATGTGAGGCTGGATAAATTGTTATTCCTTTCTCTGAAGCTTGCTGGGATGTCTGGGCAAGTACTCAATGGTTTTGTGAGTTGAATGCCGCCTCCACAGTGAACAGCTTCTCATCGGAGAAGACAGTGACGAGGTGTTCTCCAGACCGCGTGCGAGCAAGAAGTCGTTTTGCTTTTTCGAAGCGTCTCTGCTTGTTGACGGCCGATAGAATTGCCGCTTTTTGGACACGATATGGGGTCAGTACAAGCTTCGTTTTGACGATTTGTTCCAAAGCGAAGATGCTCATTCCCATGTCTGACGCTATCTTTCTCATGCTCCTGTGGGGGTTTCGGCTGATCCTCGATTTGACGGCGTTGATCTTCTGAGGAGTGGTTACTGAGACGAGTCTTCCTTGTCTGGGACGGTCACTGGTCGTATTTAGCTCCTTGAATCGTTTGATGGTGTCATAAACCGTTCTACAAGGCACACCGACCCGTTGAATGATGTCTCTCGGGCTCACATTTTGCTTATGAAGTTCGATAATGGAAGCGCGATGGATGTTAGCCTTCGCCGTTTCTCGGAAGCACATCCGAATGACGTGAAACTTGGAAAGTAAGTAAAATATACCTTGTTCAATAAAAATAAATTGTATTGGTGTACGAAAAGTGCGTTAGCGAAGCTCTACATGGCGTCAAACTTTTGTGCGGGAACTTAAATGACACCCTGTATTTGTTTACTCCTCGAAAAGTTTTTGAGGCATTAAAAAATGTATTCCTAATACAGTTTTTGTATTAAAATTGAATATATTTTCGCAAACAATTATTTTTCGCAATTCTTGTCGCATAATAATTTTTCATGGAATTATTCAAATGCAAAAAAACATGTGTAAAACCTAAAAGTTTCAACCTCGCTTAATATTTAAATTATATGCTAATTCATGTTTATTGTCATACATTCGTTTGAAAAAAAAACTTTAATCCGCGAAAACTACGAATTTATCATGGGGTTCAAATCAGAAGTGATGTTCAAAATTTTCTTTTTCATTTAATTTTCACCAAATAAATTATCTATGGTTCCAAAGATTTATTCTTGAAATAAATTGAGATTTCGCGAATAATGAATATTTGGTGCTTTGTTTCTAAGAAACTTATAATATAATGATTATATTTTTAAACAAAAAACAATGTAAGAATCCATATTATTAACCATAATTCTTGGATAACTAATGATGCTATATAGGATTAATAGATTTTATGAAATCCTTCATCACTTTTCCAAGAATATTTAATAAAATTACATTTCGTAATGCGTTATGAAACATTTTGCAACTTTCGAAATACAAGTGCAACTTAAATTAATCTTGTGAGAAACAACGAAGAGAAAATCGGGGGAAACTCGCAAAAGTGAAGACTAGGCTTCAATATGCTCAATAGTTTTAATTTCGGGATCAGCTATCGCTTTGTAAATTTGGAAATTAAAATTATAACATGGAACTTTACGGAAAGATGATTTCAAAATGCAGACGACACGACACTTCATGATCGCATTCAAAGGCGCACGCAGATAAATCGGCTCAACTCTTTGGATATCAAATTCATACTACCCTGTGTAGGTTCTAATACGTTGGTTATTCGTACTACGGTACACTTATTCTCACAGTTTCAATCAAAATGTGAATTACTCGATAAAATATGATGTTCCACAATTACTTTAAAAAAAAACAATGCCAAGTGTTTTTTTTTGGGTTTATTATTTCCTAAAGTCTTTCCTATTAATTTCATATGAGGTCGGTTTTGGGGGGCTCTCAACGTTTTTTTTTCGGTTGGTTCCGTTAATTGTTTTTGAAACGAAATGAACCGAAACGAAACAAAACAAAAGAATGAAGATGCGCATTGGAAAAGCGCGTTTCCACAAAAAAAAACGGCGGCGGAGGAAGAAAAAAGACGCGACAATTGCAAATGAGAAAAACGAAAAAGAAGCTAATCATCTAAATTGCTTTTGGCTCTCCATTTTCCATTTCCTATAACCGACTTACCAAATTTGTGGAACGAGGCGAAAAATTACACCAACGCAAAAAAAAGCACACCAACGGACTGAAGAAAATGAACCAAGTGAGATGAAAAAACGACCGGCAAACAGACAAACACCCACACACTTTATTGGTTGCTTGTTTTTCGGTTTAACAATGAATCCTTTATTATATTTGCTCAGGACACTACCAAATTTGGTAACGAAATTCGTTTTTATTGGGCTACCGGTATTAAAATGGTGATCGTCGGAATATTGCTTGGGTTTTGTCTTTGATATCCATTATGTACTTGTTTTTGAGCAATCGAAGTGTGATGAGAATGGTGACAACGACGAGCAAGATGTTGAGAATGCACAGAATTGACGTCCATGCTTGATATGTCCGAATGATGGATTCGTATTTTTCAATTGCTGCAATTATAATTCATCAATATAAGTTTGGAGTATTCGGGCATTGGAATTTCATATTGCTTCTTCAGTTTTTTTGAAACATTGAGGAAGTTTGAAGTCAACTATCATCAACATTATTGTGCAATATATCTTGTTTTAAATATATTTTTTAAGCCAAACATCTATATAAAACACTCCGATGATCAGTATCAGAGAGCTCGTTAAAATGCGGTTCTAGATCAGGAATCAAGATAAATTTAATGAGATTCCCATCGTTTCTTGGTTTGATGAGTGTGCACTCACTATAATCCTTCTGCTCCTTCACTTGTAGGGTTTCAGCGACGCTCGTAATCAGACCTTCGCCAATTTCGGTGGAATTCTCGACATTCATGATTGCTTGAATTCGCCGCAATCTTTGCTCGATTGTGAGCTCGCTGGTGTCAAGAGCCCGACGTTTTTTCTGCGATTTTCGACACCTCGGCGGCTGTAATCTATGCATTTTTAGTCTTTACAACAAAAAAAAAACACTGACAATCTGCTGGCGACATTTCGAATCTACTCGACGACAAAGAGATATCATGCATTGAAAATGAACATGATTTGAAGTGGCAAATCTGCAAAAAAGAAAACGAAACATGAAAATAAGCAAGGGATATTAAAAAAAGAACCTGAACGCCTTAGAAGGTGTGTAGATCAAGTTATTAACAATGTCGTATTCAGGAGTTGGCATAATCTCATTATCGATTGAACACCTGAAAACAAAATTGACTAAAATTGAAAGTAAACTAATTAATTACCCATGCTTATCAATTATAGTATACGTTCGATTTGTCTCATCTTTAACAAAACAATTGAAAACTTTAAAAACGAATTCATTTGAGGGGCAGCTCCATCGATGATAAACCTGAACAATCTTCTCTTCGCTCATTCATTTTAACTCAAAATGGCGTACAACGTCTCCGACCATCGCTGTGGCTGTTGGGATTCCCTCATAATTATTCTGATGAATTGAGTAGTTGCAAGTGTTCGCAATTATCTGATTATCAAGCTTAATAGGTGTGAAACGTCTAAATTTGGTAATTACAATACATTCTCATCCAATTATATTCTCTTACTTAACGTCGTATGATGCTTCTACTGTCAAAATCGGCAATTGATAACTGCAAACCACTTTGAATATCTTGTCATGTTCAGTGATCTCTTCGTCGCTATGAGACACTACCAATTGTATACTGTATTCAACTATGCTTGCCGGGACTCCTTTATAAATTTTTCGAACTCCACACTCCCCATTAAAATCGAAAATTGCTTCGATATTTTGAAATTGTGCATTTTCGAACAAAAATGAGCACGAAGAATTCGATTTGTGGTTTTGCGCATAAATTCGCACATTTCCCAGCTCTCCGTTCCATCGGATTCCGAGTTTACCATTCGCACATAAAGCTCGAGGAGCCGTAGATTCTCAAACAATTACTAATAAATCGAGATTTTGAGACGAAGTGAATACCTTCAATGCGTTGGGAAGCTCTTGCGGATTTTGTAGGACTTCGACGAAGTTCGAAGAACTTGGCCTGATTCAAATTGTTGGGGGTCAAATGAACAATGCCAGGAAAAGAAAAAAGATTATTCTGAAATAAAAAATCAATCTTAAAAAAAGTTGATTTGTTATGTTGTCTGAAATTTCGAGATATTAATTTAGAATGACGAGATTCATTTGAATATGTTAAGAATAAATATTATAACTCACATTTATATTGAGGGATTCTGCTAAAAAGAATATTAATAGTTCAAGAATAATATATCGCATTATTCTCCAACTGCATGAGTCTTGTCTGATTCGCAGCGGCACCTGTAAAACTTAGCAACACTTTCCCACAATTTCGATTTCAATAACGGATCACAGAAAATACATATTCTACGGCCGCGATGGCTTCGGCGGTGAAAGCGTCTTCTGAGAAAACGGTCATCTAATAATTACACCCTAATTATTATTGGTATTCCCATTATTGTAGATGTTGTTATTATTGAAAGTGTACTAGGGTTAGGTAGTGTGGGTGATGAAAGTGCAAAAAAATGCAAATGGATATTTCTTGGTGGCTTTTGTTGGCGGATATTGAAACAGTCACTTGAGACGTAAAGCTGGATGACTGAATGGAAACATTTAAGAAGTGGAAGGAATAATTGAAATCATCTTTGATTCGCGTCGGCCACCCAAAAAAGTGCGTAACGTTGATAGCTGACGAGTGACCCGAGGAAAACATTCATTCCGAAAATGCCCTTGAATGACAATCTATTCCAAATTCTTATTAATTCTCAAACGGCTCCCTCGGTTGTTTGCGCAATAAATTGAATTGAAAGCGGTCAATTAAAAAAGTTTAGGTTTCATACATTTCCGATTTACGAATTACACAAACATGGATGATTCGGTTAGATTGTGAACTACTTTCATGGAATTTGGCCTATTTTTTAATTTTCACATTTACATTCTATAGGGATTTTTTTACGAAATAACTATTGAGATATTATTTAAACAGAAACCTAGAGTTTCGAATGACTCTCAAAACAATTCCAATTTAGGCTTTCCAGCAAAATATTCAAAATCCCGATTTATCAAAGCAAAACTGATTTTTTTGATAACAATACAAACATCAGCGACGATTATCAAATAATGAATTTGATTTTTGAATAGTACCCTTATCTTTAATGAGTACCGGGATCATAGATTTCAAGAATTTCGGAATATTAGTTGAAATTCAATTAAGAGCCTAAAACAGTACATTTTCGAACCGAATTGAACGCAATAATACCAACAATAATATCATTATACAGGGTGTCATTTAAGTTCCCGCACAAAAGTTAGACGCCATGAAAAGCTTGGCTGTCGCACTTTTCGTGCACCAATACAATTTATTTTTGTTAAATAAGGTGTATTTTACTTACTTTTCAAGTTTCACTTCATTCGGATGTGTTTCCGAGAAATGGCGAAGGCTAACATCCATTGCGCTTCCATTATCGAACTTCATAAGCGAAATGAGCGCCCGACAGAGATCATTCAACGCCTCGGTGTGCCTCGTAGAACGGTTTAAGACACCAACAAACGTTTCAAGGAGCTAAATACGACCAGTGACCTTCCCAGACAAGGAAGACTCGTCTCAGTAACCACTCCTCAGAAGATCAACGCCGTCAAAACGAGGATCAGGCGAAAACCGCACAGGAGCATAAGAAAGATGGCGTCAGACATGGGAATGAGCATCTTCGCTATGGAACAAATGGTCAAAACGAAGCTTGGACTGACCCCATATCGCGTCCAAAAAGCGGCAATTCTATCGGCCGTCAACTAGCAGAGACGCTTCGAAATAGCAAAACGACTTTTTGCTCGCACGCGGTCTGGAGAACACCTCGCCACTGTCTTCTCCGACGAGAAGCTATTCACTGTGGAGGCGGCATTCAACTCACAAAACCATCGAGTACTTGCCCAGACATCCCAGAAAGCTTCTGAGAAAGGAAGAACAATTCATCCAGCCTCACATCCTGCCAGTGTGATGGTTTTCGGTGCCATCTGCTCAACCGGGAAGTGCCCCTGGTTTTCGTGGATCAGGTGGTGAAAGTGAACAAAGAAGTCTACGTTCGGGACATTTTGGGGAAGCATATGATGCCCTGGACCCAAACGCATTTCGGTGGGCAGAAATGGGTCTTTCAACAGGACGGAGCACCCGCATACACTGCCAAAACTACTCAGGAGTGGTGCCAGACCCATTTTCCCGACTTCATCAAGTCATCCGAATAGCCTGCTTGCTCCCCAGACCTGAACCCGCTTGACTTCTCCGTGATGGGGTCTTGCAGGAGAAGGTCAACGCAAAACCCCACTCAAGTGTAGAGGCTCTGAAGAAGACATTTCTGGCGGAATGGGACAATCTTTCCATCGAATACCTGCGTACCACAGTCACATCCTACCCGAAGCGTCTCCGCGAAGTCATAGCTGCGAAAAGAGGCCGAATCGAAAAGAGTTAATAGATAATTATTTGTTGTACTATAGATAAAAAATATTTCGAGTCTCGTTTGATTTGGACTTTTAGTTTCAGAAATATACGTCTTCAAAGTTGTGCGGGAACATAAATGACACCCTGTACAATATTTGACGAATCTTTACACTTTGCAAACATGCCGAATTCTTTTTTCGTAATATGGTAAACACAAATAAGCGTGTCATCAAGATTTTCGATGTTTCGTTTCGTAAAATAGCAAAGTTCGTGGTTGAAATTAGTTCAAGTTTGTTGACATGTGCATGTTGCCGGTTTTATTCAACGATACCGCTATTCATTTACCTCATTACGTGTAATCAGTTGATTTTGAGAACAAAAAGATCAGATAAGGGAAAGTAGCTGACGTCTTTTCTTTAAATTTGAACCGATTATAAAGCAGACTTTGACACCATGTTTAATGAAATTCTTTGAATTTGCATCATCCAGACAGCCAGTCCACTGTATTCTATAATAATCAGTCGTAATCTTCTAAAATCGAGTTTTAAAATTAGGACACAACGAACTTTACTGTTTGTTGATCACCGTTTAAATTACATATCGAAATGTCGATCTATTAGTCCGAAATTATATTTGAATAATTTATTCTGAATCAAAAGAATTATTTTGATAATATGATTATCCGTTTAAGCTTCTCAAACAGCTACCATTCAATTTCTTTCAATTAATTACAAAAACCAGATGTTTTCAAATTATGTATTTATTAATGAAATTGCATAGAATAAGAAATTAATTAACGCTTAAGGTCTGGGATACCGGCGACGACTCCATGCTCAATTCCGCATTCGTTGGTGCCCCTCAACATACGGAAATATCCGTTCTCTCCCCAGTTGATGTTCCACGAGTTGGCAATCAACCAGTATGGAACTCCGGCGTCGACTCCCCATCCGACGATTTTGACGGCGTGTCCTCCAAGGGAAGCTCCGGTGGTGTGAACGTAGACTCCGGACTTGTATTGGTAGAAGTCCTCGTAGACAGTGAAGGCTGCCTCAACTGGTCCGTGGTTCATGATTTCGGTCTGGATGGCGGCGACCTTCTTTGGAACGGCGTAAGCAGAAGCTCCTATATTAATAAATTATAAATCCGTAGCATTTCATGTATTCTTACCGTAGTGCTTATCCTTCTCATATTCAATTGGGTACGAGTTCTTGGATGTGCAAGTCTTGACGCATTTCGGGGTTGGCATAACGTCTTCTGGGCAGGCTGGCCACGTGACATTGTTGACGGTCTGTCCGCATGGTGCGATCGAGTACGGCTTGCATCCGAATTGAGTCTCGTACGATCCACCGGTGACGAGACCGTGCTTGTCCCACCATTGCCAGGCCTTGATTGGGAATCCTCCCTTGCATCCTTCACCGCACGACAGCATTCCGACGCAGCAGGAGAGAAGATCTTCGGCCGAGAGAAGGGTGTTGACCTTTCCGTTTGAAGCAATGCAGGTACGATCGGACATGGCTTCAGCGGCAGCGAAAGCCCAGCAACCTCCGCAGTCGGATTGATCGCGGATGTTGTTGATCGAGACGCAGTTTGGCCATTGTTGACGGGCATCGAAGCTGTCTGGAATGCTGCTGGCTTCTTCGATTTGCTTTACGTCTTCCTCGCTGTTTGGAGCAACATATTTCAAGTCCATCAGCTTCTTCTGCACCTTCATTTTGGAGAAGTCATAATTCTCAGCCTTCCACAAGTTCTGCGCCCTATTGATCTTGTCAACGAGAGCTTGTCCCTTTGGGGAAAACTCTTAAAACTGTATAGGTGAGAAAATGAGAATCAAAAGTTCAAACCTTTTGGAATCGCATTAGCGGCGACGAGACCAAGGAAAGAAAGGGCAATCAAGAACTTCATAATTGCACTGATAAGTTCGGCTTCCGAGGACGCTTAAGTAGGCGCGTATTGAGCTCCTTATCAAAAACCCACTTTCATTTTCGCTTCTTTGTCGTCATTATCATACGATGATGAAACTGATTTATGAAGACCTCGAAAAAGGATCACAAGAAAAATTCAAATGTTCAACATCAAAAAAAGTATATATACACATTATATGGTTATATATGTAGTATGTACGCAAAAATAGTTAGCAAAATATTATGCGAAGATTATTACACATGAAAATGTGTATGTTGATTACCAAGCGGGTCCCCAGTTAGACGAGTACATGTGATTTGCTCCCCAACCTCCAAAGTGATGATACTTGTTGGGTCCAACGAATGAGCGTGAAGATCCGAATGGGAAGGGGTTAGCCAGAAATCTGGAAAAAAGTTTTCTATTCCAAGGACCATTTTCTGATAGATGATGCAAACCTCCAAAGCATGCCATTATGCGGAGGCATTCCATAAAGAATGCTCTGAGAGTATTGCGGGCCAAATGGTGGGTATTTCAATCCCGGATACTGAAATCAGAAGTTAGAAATTCCACAAGAGAATTCAGCGAATATCTCACATATCCCGAATAACTTCCACGATGGGCGTATGTTGTCTTAACCATTTCGCGTGGCATTGGTGAGTGCTGAGCCGATGTCGGCGGTGGCGACATTGATCGAAGTCGGTAATTGTCCGCTGGAGAGCTTTCCATGGAAGACGGCGCTCGCTGCGGGTATGTATTGTACGAGCGCTCCTGAAGTCATACGAATTTCGTACAAGTTCAAAATTAGAAAAATTTATTTTCCAAAAATAGAATTTTTCAGAAAATGTGCATACTTTTATACGCAAGATTTTACCTTTTTGGGCCGTTATCCGAAAATCTGCGAATTTCCGTAAACATTTCTTTCAAAAAAATTTCCATTCTTTTCGTTTATCAACTTTTTTCATTTTTTTTTTTCAAATGATATGTACATATATCAAGTTATAAATATATTAAAAATGATCGGTAGATCTCATAAATGTATTGACGATATATTAATATTTTATCAGAGATCGTTGCCCTTAAATGGTAAGTTCCGTGTTTCTCGAATGTTTTTAATGATATGTGTCACTCGATGCTCATAAATATTCAACCATCCCCTCGGAAATTCTCACTTTTTATAAATATGCATCTCAGAGGGAGGAAAAACCAAAAAAAGAAAAAGTTTCAACACATTTCGCAGAGTTTTGACAAATTGACGTCTTCGAGGCGAGATTGTGGTCGACGCAATTTTGCGGCATCAAAGTTTCGTTTTTTTTCTCCCGGGTCCCCATATCAGATTCCATGATGCTTAGCCTATTTTGCAGCTGATTTCCTAGAGCAGCTTTTGCACAAATCGCATAAATGTTTAATGTACCTGGGAATACAGATGAAATATTTAGCAAGTTCAATGAAATTATAGATGAGTAATGCTGCGAAAAAACCAAAATTCCAACTCAAAATTTGACCATCATTTTATGAATTGTTCAAACCAAAAATGACTTCGTTTCAAAAATTCGCATAGCCCTCCCTTTCCGAAAAATATCTCAAAAACCAGCAAGGATTACTCTATATAGTGTTTATGACATCTATTTTCTTCTGTTTGGTAATAGAATTCGCCAAAAAATGAAATATTTGTGACGTGTCTATAATGAAAAATATACGTTAATTCATGCGAGCAAAAAATTTCATCTCACGAACAATGTATGGTTACGTCATTTGTCGTTATAGATAATGGCGTATAGTCTAGATAAAATCGTAATTATCCGCTCGAAATAAAATAGGAGTCTGATATTAAACAACAAGTGATTTCATAAAACTTCCCGGAATTATGGAAAAAAGAGAGAGCTCATCCTACATTTTTTTCGGGAGGATATCCGAACATACCGGTGGAACAGATTGCGATCTCGTCGGCCTTCCGCCATTCCGAGCCGCTTCGGCCATATCCGCCGCGGCAATGACAGCTCCATCACGTAAAGTGGTGTGAAGTTTAAGCTTTCCCTTCGATTGCTGAATGGCCTCACGCACATCTTTGTCGCTGGTGACGACCACCTATATGAAAATAAAAATGTGATTGACGTGTTTACAAAAGTTTATGGGCAATCATATTTATTGACCATTTCCGGGGTGATTACCTGTCTTCCATATTGATCAATGAACGCGAGACCGCCTTCGAAATCGGGTCGGACCTCGTGAACTTTTTTGAGAAGAGCCTGAAGCAAAACAATGAGGAAAATTTGAAAAAGTTTCACAGAAAGTCTACATCATATAAATCGGCGTATTCCATCTCATAATCAGAGAATCTCAAAGCGTATTTCTTTCCAAAGTGATTCCATTTGACTTTGCGTCCAGAGAACATGTTGAAGCTGAAAACAATACTAAAGTTTATAGAGAAATAGAAAAAATAAATGAAAACGTTCGGCTTGTCACTTCCATCGGATTTATTCGAATGAAACGAACGTCGTGATTTTACGTGACTTTTAAGGAAGTTCCCACCAGCGTGTGAATGTTTTCATTTTCGAGAAATAAATCAACTTGTAAAATAATATAACACCAAACTAGATTTCGAAGCGACACTCTGTGTGATGATCGCCGCCCTACGATTACTCGTTCGGTCTCGAGAACTCGAGACTCCGCCCATTTTGTTTTTTTTCCCAATGCCTTTGCGTCACGACTGAGACTCCTCCAAAACAAGAGGAAACGCATACATAATTGTGAGTGCTTGATTTTTGTTATTTTGACATAAATAAATATGCATCTTCTGATATATTCCGTTAAGTGGAAGAAAAAAAAACATGTCGGCATGTGAGAAATAGATTAAAAGTAATCTCGAATCGTTAAATTTAAATCTAACGCGGACTGGGATTATCCGTCGATTGTAGAAAAATGTGCGAGAAGCCACACATCGCCATCAATTTTCAAGGAAGAGAAAAAATAAATGGTTAACAATTTAGTTGAAGCAATCTGAATGACCTTGAAGCGGAAAACGTCATTAACTGCATGAGAAGGATGTCAAATTTAAGCCATGGAGGATTATTCAGAATGACAATAGCAATTCCAAAAATAGAAATATGCGAAAGGCTGGAAGATTAAATGGAAACAAGTGCACCTGAATGACATTGAAATTCTCGATTCATACGGCGAATTCAATCATTTCTATTCACATGATAGGTTAATTATGACTCTGCCTCTTGAAGAATTTTGATTATTGGAAACGGCATATCTAAATTTAACATTCTCTTCTCAGTGATTGATGCTACGTAATATTTGCTACAAAGAAGGCATGCGATCATGAGAATTTCCCCCAACTTCTAAAAACATCAATTTCAATGATAGCAATGTTTCAATTTTACAGAAATCGCGTCCTCATCTTGTCGCTATTCAGGGCTAAAGTATTGTCGGTGTAGTTTCCGAAAAACAACACCATTTGAAATGCGAGTTATATGGGAAATAAGCCGAATGCGTAGCACAACCCCTCTAAACAACAACAACACCTTGAATGGTTGGGCTTTTCTATTAGTCGAGATTCACACATCGTTTTTTTTTGCGAAAACGGAAGTTGATATTTCCGGGGATCATAATTAGACGAGATGACCAACATGACTGGAAAGCAGGTGAAATTCGAATGAATTCTCGAAAACTTTCACAGTTTTTCGCGAAATTTGACAAAATGTTATGATTTCGTTTTATTGGAATCCAAGCTGCACAATATTCTAACATTATTGCAAATTAGGAAAGAATTGTGGAATTTCATGAAAGATTTTTCTCGTTTATATTCATTTGTTACGCTCAACAGTTTTTTTTTCTCGTTTTTATTCATTTGTTACGCTCAACAGTCTAAAATCGAACTACTGAGACTTTTCACAATGATTTTTTAATGCATCTTTTCTTTTCTTTCTTTTTTTTTTCTTCAAAAGAAAGATCAACTACGACACTAAAAAGAAGGCCGAAAATCTTCAGAAAGTGAAGCTCTCATCAATTAAACATGTTTCGGTCGTTGCTTCAAAAGGTGAACGGACTTGGCCATCAAAAATTTGAGAAAAACAAACATTTTAAATGTTTAAGGAGCGGTTTGATAGTTACGGCCGGCAATAAAAAAACAAAACGATTGTGGAAAAGTCACTATTTGGCAAAACGACACCGATTTATTTGATTTTCGACAAATAGCAAAAATAAATTTCATTTTTGGGATTAATATTTGAATATTTCTAAATCTTAATAAAGGTCCATTTCTTGGTAATAATTTGTGACGACATCAGAAATCATGATGGAATTTTGAATATTCGAAAATGAGGACAATATTGAACATATTTACATAAATATAATAGAATATGAAAGAATAACCAATTAAGAATGATTCAACGAATCCTTCACCACAAGAACGCGAATTTTTTTTTCTACATGATTGAAAATCAGTGCCTCATTCAAGAGCTCCAACTCATAAAGGTCAAAAATCAAATGTGTTTCGTTATCGTGCATTTCCGGCCTTCAACAATCCTTTTATGTAGTTGTTTGGAAAAAGAGCGCAAAAAATATCCAATTTGACTTTTTTCAAATTTACTCAACCATGAGTTATGCTGTGTGTTACGAATCGTACTCACTCGATTGATCCTCAAAGAATTGGGTTTTTTTCCTCTTAAATAAATGAATCCAATTCCTATTTGTGGAAAATGGCCGAATTATGAATAAAGACAATGGAATCTCTATCTATTCATTATATATAGGTGAAGGTACTTTCGTTCCGCCCATTCAATAGTTGACTTTTGTCCAAAAAAGTGCATTTGACTTCTTATACAGAATTTTGTAGGATTACGTGCGAAATCGTGAGAATACTCCAACTATGAGAAAATCAGTTGAATAATAAGAAATTAAAAAATGTGAAAATTCTAGAGTTCAAACAGCTACAGTTTATGAAATATTACCTCCATATTGTCGAAGTCAAACGACTTGACAAAAATTAAAAAAATTATTGACTAGGTGCCAATGCGTTTCGAGGCAGAGAGATTGCGTACATTGCATTATAGCGTACGCACCTTTAATATTCAGTCAACGATTAATTAAAATCTACACTGATTTCCTGAATTTGAATGCCCCGCCTCCCTTCAGTCGTTTGACGCCGACAATACTTACATACAACAACATACAACATACGTATGTTGAGATAATATTTCATAAACTGGCACTTCGGAATTTGCATGATATTCTGTCTAGTAAACGAGATGCTTCAAATTATCAAAGTTTGCCTCTGGAGCTCATAACTCAATACGAATATTGACGCTCTTCACACAAAAAATGATCATCAATAACTTATTTTTTTCGTATAACAATTCCCATTGCTGAATTTGGTTTTCTCTCAATTCCCTTTGTTTCAAGTAGGAATATGAATTGCAACGACGAATGCTCTACGTCGGAAATTTATTGCGCTTCCGGACTTATGAGAATGCCTTCTGCTCATTTTTTTGTGCCGAATTATGGGAAAACGATAGAGTCTGCGGGTAAAAGAACATAAAACTTACCAATTTAAATACATCAAGTCGAAAAACATGAAGAGCTGAAATGATTTTTCTCGATCAAACGAATTAAAGACGATTTAAAAATATGAAAAAGAAGAGGAATTTCTCAACGAATATTTTCATCGACACCATTTCAAAATGTGCCTATAAATTATAGGAAGAAAATGCGGAACGTTGCCTAGTTGTGCGTCCACTCAAAAATATTTGACAACTATAGAGGCATATGTGGAACTTCTTCCTTTTGTTAGAAAGAAGGCCAAAAAAAACGAACACAATGCAACTGGCAAAAATAATGACCACGGCAATACACACCTAAATGACCTTGTGCTCGAGCTCATACATATCATACGCGTATTTTTGCGGCAAATGAAAGTACTTTAGCCAAAATAGTCGAATGAAAACGAAAATATACTTACGGAGAGTTTGGGCTGTCGTTGGTGGAACGGCTAGCTGCGCGAGAGAGCGGTCTTGATAACGTGTCAAAAACCTAGAAGGAAATCAATTTTTTTAAATCACCAATATTTTGAAAGTTTTATAACCGAGGTTAAGAAACTAAATACTGAAATTGATTTTCTGCAATATTTAACGAAATCTTGTTACGTGTCATTTGTTATTTTTTTTTTGATATCTTAGCTGCGCTATTTTTGATTTCTGTTTTTCCATTTGTAGCTGGAATGAATTTGTTGAAAAATGTTTTCGAACCCCACTTAAAGGCGCATGCTGTAAATCTGTCTCACTCGTACTTGAAACGGGGTTGGTTGTTCGAAAATTCCAGAATTTTTCAAGTATGACTTCATTTGACATTTGATTAAACCAACAATAATTAAAAATTAAAGGAGATATTCCAAATATATAGAAAATAATTGTGACCAAAAAGAATAATACGAAAATGTTTTATCACACACACATTCACAGATAATCATTATTTTTCCTCTTCTTCGAGCTTAAAATAATTATTTAAAAATGGGTTTTTTTCATTCATTAAACAATTCGCAAATCCAGTCCTTAATAAAATCTACGATTGTGATAACGGATTTTTGAGGAAATACGTCGACCGGGTCACAAATTACTAATCCAACTCGCTGTTTCTCAATTCAGGGAAACCCGCCAAACACGATGTGCTGTTTATACGGCTTATACACAATAAATTAAATGAAATTCGAAAAAACGTAAAAAAAAACAAAAAAAAGTTCAAATACATGTAGGTCTTTACAGAAAATTTTCGATCTTTTATCTCAAGTATAAAATTTTTTTCAAATTTGTTTAGTTTAGATAATATCTTTAATAATAAAAATAATTGAATTAAATATCAAGAAGGTTGAACGAATTTTAAGGAAATTTGATAGAAATTGAGAAACCATATCATAAGTCAGCAATCACCACAGCTTTGGCGGCATTTCCAACGCCTCTCACATTTCTTGGAAATTTGCGAGTTTATTGTTAATTAAATAATTTGTATTTATTTTGGTGGTTTTTTGAAGTCGGCGCCCAGCTCCTGCTCTGAACACGAGTCGTATTAAGCATTGGTTTCGCCATGATTTTTTTGCTATTTTCATGGAAAATTTTCAATTAAAAAATTATATTTTGCAATTAATTATTTGTTTTGTTTCTTAAGAACAACCAATGTTTTGGAAATTATTGAAATGAGTTATAGAATGCAAAATAACCAGTAACTTTGCGAAAGACCCTAGCGAAAGGCGCATCGACTCTTTTAACATCCATTTTCAGCCGGACACCCACTAAAACATTGCGAATTTTAATTAGTCAGCTGACGTTGTATAATTTATATAGAAAATGGATACATAAATAAATATTAATTACCTTTTCATGAATTTTTGATTCGCGGTTCATCCAATTGATATCCGACATGACGGCAGCGATCACTAAAAATTTGAATATAAAAATCTGACAACAACTTAAAGATGGGTAAGACGTAAAGTAAACGCGAAGGCGGATTTTTGCGCTCTGAGCCTGTTTGAACAAGCGGGGTGTGTTGGAAAACATTTGCGAAAAAAAAATGTGATGCGAAATTGTATATCGAAATTTGATGAGCATTTCAGCTTTTGTAAAAAAAAACCATTTCGGACAAATATCGCTATCCTTATATGGTATGAGGAAGAATGTCATGCAGATAAATATCATTTAGAACAGTACGGCATTGTTGTGAAAAAAAAAACCCAAGTTAATTTAAAAGCAATGAAAAAAGTCGAGTTGACTACTTGTTAAGCTAACTAAATGAGTATTCAAACATTCGAAAAAAAGGCACGAAAATGAAGTGGTAAAGCGGCACCCACACCTGTTTCTAACCTAAGCATCGAGGCAAACAGTAATAGGCTGGGCAATCGAGCAAAGAAACTGAACACTTTCATTTATTTATTTGACTCGCGGGCGGAAAGAGTTCAAACAGGACGCCGATCCTCTTGGAAAAAAAATGAAACGATTGTTCGGAGTGCGATATTTCAATCAAAGTCGATTGCGCGAAATATCGCGAGCAAATCGGAAGCACAAAAAACGATGAGCTAGAATGTTCCTGCGGTTGAGTGCTTTGAATGCCTCAAATGGTAATTATGAAAAAATTGCAAACAAGAAGATTGATTTCTTTAAATTCTTCCAAAGCAAAGAGAATATAATAAAATATTATATAGTAATAAAAAAAACCGAATTTTCATTAAGATCGTTCTCACTAAAAAAACTTTTGTTTTCAATGGAATTTCTCCGTTCAAAGTGGTTTCGGAGAAAAAAGAAACAATAATTTCGGGAAATTTTTCGGGAAATCGGGAAGCATTTTTATGTTATTAGTCTTCGATTAAAATGTTTTTGGAAGGTGCTTTTTGGTTTTGACGTAGTCAAATCTTATTATTCTAGTAATTTCAAGCAACGTTTCATTGAAACAAATATTGCACATAATATTGCAAATTTAAAATACGTAGTTGTATAAATTTTGGGGGGAAAGTTGAAAATAAGCAAATGCTGAGCAAAAACAAATCGTCAATGAAATTTTTATTTTTATGGTACGAAAAACAGAGGCGAGAGAGGTGAATGAAAACAAAAACAAAATCGAAACATTTTGGGTTTCTTGAAATATTAATAACTGAGTATAATATTATGCGCTCGCCAACTTTGAGCACTCAGCAAACATTCAAATTCTTGTCCCAAAGGCCAGTTTTTTGTGCTTCGCTAATAGTTATTAGATTTGCTTATGAGAAGACAGGTAAAGGACTTCCGGCATGTAAATATACACAAAGTTGGACAAGATAACCCTTGAACACATAATTTTTCCGATTCACTTTACGAATTTTTGGTTGAAAAATTTTCTTAAAAACACAAATAGAATTAGGCAAACAGATTAAAAGAAAAAATTTAATACATTTATATAATAATTAAATATTTAAAAATGTGGCAAGTGTTTTAAAATAAAAATACAATGACCTAAAAACTGAAAATTGAAAAAACCCCGCGATTAATTTGATTAGTTATTTTTCGCTTCTTAATTAGTGCCGCGAAAATGAGATGCACTCGAACTCAAAAAAAATTGAAAACGATTCAGAAGAGTTCGAAAAACTGCGTAACTCATTTTCGAGGCCCAAATTAGAAGGATGTCTGATCGGCTGTTAGATGTTTTTGTTTTCTTGCCTTCCACACTAATAATTCAAACCCTCATTTGCTTCAACAAAACTCGTTGAAAATTCACCAAAATATGAATTTCAAGTGTTGAGTTCATAATGATTTCATTACCATCAAAGAGACCCTTCGGGTGTTTTCGAACCAACGTATTTTCTCGAAGGTTATACAATGACAGCAAAAAAGAGAAGACCATGTATAGATTTTGATTCACATTTTATAGTACCTGCGTAGCACGGTGAGCACAGGTTAAATTCAAATTTGAATATATACCGCCCGAAAATGCGATGGTCCACAACAGGGCTGTGCGACGATGGGACTTCCGATTGTCGAAATTGCCGAACTGTGTCAAATTGCTGAAATGGTTTTTGGCAATTTGTTACCGAAAAAAACCCAAAAAGGGCTTTGAATTTAGTAATTAATTCTCAAATTTTTTATGAATAAATTATGAATAAAATATTTTTCAGAATAAAACAATTGCAATTTTAAGCGAAATGTCATGAATATCATGAAAATTACGCTTTTTATTTAGAATTAAAATAGAGACATTTTATACGGAAAAAAATCCGATTGCCATACAGAATTAGTCTACAAATACTAAGTGTATTCATTTTTTGCGATGGAAAGAATTCAAATCTTGAAATAAATTAGTGCACCGTAGTACGGATAACCTGCTCTGTACATAATTTCCAATAAGACTATCGGCATTTTAAATAACTGGTCAAAACTTAATATTAAGCAATTTTTAATTTTAGTAATAGCAGATTCTGTTATAAATTGATGAGATTGCTATGAAAAATCGGAAATTTGATGAAGAAATCAAAGAAAACATAAAAGAACTCAATAAACCAACTTTTCGGTCACAATTTTGATGGTATGATTACCAAAAATTCTTATGAATTCATTTTATTCTTTCCATTAAATGTGAATAATATTTTGATCTACCCGCTTATCACAGTTTGAAAATACACAAACACATAAAAAAAACTATTCCGGAGAATAAATATATATATATATATTTAAAATTTTGATAGTCCTTTTTTTCCAAAATTGATCCAGTTGTGTTGAAAAACCCGGTAGAAACTTTGGTGTAAATTGAGTTTGTTTGTTTGTTCGAGAGCAAGTTTAAACAGCAGACGAGCATTTGTCTCTCACATCGCCTATTTTTCTGTTTTGCATCTACACCATGCATATTTTGCAACGATTATCATTGACCCCTGCGTTTGAAAGTACACATTGATTGACGAGCACTATTGATATTGGTTTCCCCGCTCTTCGTCCATTTTTTTTCATATTTCAAACTCAAACGTTCAACTTTTATTTTCATTCTAAAACTTGCGAAAAGTCGACTTTTCAAGTATCTTTGAAAGTTATGTGAATTTTGACATTATTGAATTTTTCCTTCAATCATATCAATTTCGCTTGACCCTTCATTTAGTCAATTTTGGATTAATTGATAAGAATGTTAGAAAATCATTTTTGATCAAGAATGGAATTTCAATTTCTAGAATGGGGTTTCATTCTTCATTACAATTAGCGCTTGTTAGTTCTAATCTGCTCTTTGTATCATTTTATTGAAAATCGCAGAGTACACTGAGAAAGATACAAATTTGCTCGTAGCTTTCTCTCGTTTTTGAAACATTACACAAAATAATATAAAAACGATTCAGATGTCCGATCAATTCATTAAGATAGGAAATGAAAAAGGTCTAAATGCTTACTTGCTACCATACTCAGCAACCATCGCTCGCATCACTTTTCCGGACAAAAACAATGTTCAAACGGACTTGATTCTTGGATTTGATACACCTAAAGGTGAATATCGTTGATATTGAATTATTTTGAACACGTATTGTCTTTTAGAATATGAAACGGACACATTCTACATGGGACGAACCATTGCTCGTGTTGCTAATCGCATTCGAAATGCGACGTTTGAATTTGACGGCAGGGTCTATCACCTTCCGCCCAACAATGGATCGCATTTCATACACGGTGGCTCAAAAGGCCCATGCTTCGTAAATGCAATGCATTCGATGGGAAATAATATTGAATTTATAGAAAACATGGGAAATTGTTCGAGATTCACCGGAAAGTGTGTCGTTTAGCTGCAAAGTTGAAGAACTCGAAGATGATTTACCAGGAAACGCCAAAATTGATGTAAGCATGTCTACAAATATTGCTAATTGCGGACCGATAGACTCCGCCCATCGAAGGCCGGAGATGGGATCAATATCCATTCTATCCTTGCTTTTTCCTAAAGAGTATGTCGCTACCCACTATCATCTTATTCCAATAAATTATTATATGGCTTTACGAGAAGATAGTGGAAGCGTGGCTATGAGTTATTATTAGGAACCATAGTAACCAACTCCCACAACGATAAAAAATTTGGAATAACTTAAATTAATCAATAGACCAATTAGGATTGCGTCGTTTTAAGGGCCTGACAGCAGATATTGCGCAATTTCTAATGGCATAATGCCGATTTTAGAAGAAAATCCGGATAAAATAGGAGCTTTGGGCAATCTGAACAGGATTGTTTGAGTTTTTTAATGGTTTCTGAAAAAAAAAACCAATATATTTTATTTGCGAATTCTATAATCGGAGTCGTAGTAAAATGGGCACGATTTTGCCAAGAAAATAATTTTCCCAAATATTCAAAGCATTTTCAATTAATTAACATAATAAATAAGATGTATTTGTAGGTGACATACACAATAAACGATAGAAATCAAATAATTGTTGAACATTACGCGACTTGCACAAAACCTGGAATATTGGCAATTACAAATCATGCGTATTGGAATTTAGATAATTCGGTACGAATCAAATTTTTGAATATTTGCGAAATCGAATTGTTTTTAGGAAACAATATTGGATCACTATCTCGAATCAGAAGCCGCCGAATATGTCGAAACTGATGAGACTGCTTGCCCGACTGGAGCGATTCTTTCTGTAACTTCAACGAATTACGATTTTCGAAAGGCGAGAAAATTAAGATCAATTGCGAACAATGTAACGTTTTCAACTAACTAAATAATATATTCGAAGTCGAAATTTCAGGATTCTGCTGTTTTGCTGGATAATGATCTTGTGCTCCCAACGGTTTCTCCATCTGTTGTGCCTCGAACTCATTTAAGGTAATACATAAAAAATAAAAGCCAATCAATTTTAGAATTATAGATTTTGGTCTGAAAAATCGGGAATCGAAATGGCTATTGTGACATCTTATCCAGTAATTCATCTTTACGCTGGATATTATTTAAATGGGGCCGGAAGAAATGGAGAGATTTATTCCAAAAACAAGGCTCTGGCAATTGAACCGCAATTTCATTCAGCAGCTCCAAACTTTGTGAGTTTTTTTGACAGAATTCTTTCCAAATAAATTGTTCTTAAATTTCAGAGTCATTTTCCGGATGTTTCTTTACGCCCAGGACAAAATTATTCTCAAGAAATTGTATATACTTTTTCTCATATTTAATTAATATTTTCCTGTAAAATAAACATGTATTCTTGTAGGATTCTCTTCTAAACTTATACGTGCTCTATTTCAGATATTTAGACTGATTTGCATCGTAAGTTCTGAAAAATGAAAATGAATTTTCAGTTGATAATCAACCACGCTATCTTTGTGACATTGTCTCATCTTATGTGGGGAAAAGCATAATTTTCCTTTTTTGTTGATCAAGATACTACCTATTATAGGCGTAAAACGACCTAACGATAGCGGGAAACCGCAAAATTAGCACGGATCTACGAAAATATGAATTTAAGCTCGGTCTAAATATTATCTGCGCGTACGTTAAAATGCAGAGTACGCAGACACGCACACGTCTTCGAGACAGTTGGCAAATGGCCAATATTTTTTATTAAATTTCGTTCAGTTATTTGACGTCGATAATACTTGCGGTTCAGTGACATTGAAAGTTTCGACACAATTTTATTATTAAGTCCCTAAATCTACTAATTAAGTTTTTTTCTACAAATTGGAAATGCTTTCTTAGTTGGCTTCAGACGCGATTAGTGTGGGCTGTGCCTCACCCTACTCTCAGTATACCATCACTTTCGAACTTGAGATGACCAACGTCATACTTCGCACAAATCATGATAGTTTTATGTAAATTTGATATTTTTCCCATAGTTCATGACATTTCAAATCATTTCGATGGAAACAAAATGAAATTCGGTGTAGACTGGAAGAGTTCGTCCAAATCTCAGACCATTTTCTGGCATAAAACTCGTTTTATTATTGCTATATTATCGTATGTATTTTATTATTTAATTAGCCTGAACGGAACATGCATTTTTTCAGAGTATCATGTATCACAATGATTCAGTTGAACTCGTTGATTTTCAATTTTTCCGTGATTTGTATGGATGATTTGGTTGAACAACATTATTTGAATAATAATTCCGGTTTCTTAACATCTCATAAACATTTTTGTATAGTCGATTTTTTAGAAAAACATTGGCTTGAGACAAATGCAGACAAATCATTTCTTCTTTCTGGGGTAGGTGTTGGATCATTTTTCGGCTTAATTCCTGCAATACCATTGATAAGCATTCTTGGAGTTCGGTGAGCCTAAATACAGAAAAATTGAAATTTTTAAATAATTGCTTTTTCAAATTAGATGGCTTCTCACCATTTTTGGAATAGTGTCTGCTCTTGCCACAATTCTATTTCCATTTTCTGCCACAGTTGATCGAAATGCAGTATTCTTGTGCCGTTGCCTACAAGGGGTTGGATCGAGCATCCTTCTGACTGTTGTTGGAATGATTCCGCGTGCTTGGTCTCCCATGAATGAGCTCGCCACCTACTTGGCCGTTATTTCCTGTTCTTTCCAAGTAAGTATTCGTCAAACATATGATGCTCATGTTTTCAGCTGGCAAACATAATTTGCATGCCAGTTGCTGGTTTGCTCTGTGAATCTTCAATGGGTTGGAGATCAATATATTATATATTTGGATTTCTAACTTTGCTCTTTCATTTCATCTTCTTCTTCTTCTACACCGACTCTCCAAAACTCCATAAGTATGAATACCCAAAAATTCGTTATAATTAGAATGCGGTTCAAAGAAATGTCTCATCTCTTGAGTTGTCGCGAATTGAGAAAGGAAAAAACGAAGGAGCGAATATTCAGAGCAAGACGCCATACAGAGAAATGTTCATGGATAAGTGCATCGTTTCGGTCTGGATATCAAGACTTGGAGGCAATCTTGGATTCTTTCTTCTAATTCTGTACGGACCAAGCTATTTGAGAAATGTTCTTGATTTTGATGTAAGAGGAACCGGCTTCGCAACAGCACTTCCATACGTTCTCTCGATTATTGTGAAGACTCTTGGAGGGCAGATATCGGACCGAATGACGATGGTTTCAGAAAAAGTGAGATATCAGTTGTTCTGTAAAGACGATTATAATTTTAAGATTCGCTTCACATTTTGTGCTCTTCTATCACAAATCGGCGTAGCGTTTGGATTCGTTATTATGTCATTTGTAACTACTAAATAATCAATCCCCCATAGAATTGAAAAATACAAATTTCAGACAAGAAATAAATCAATTGCTCAATTCGCATTCACGTTGTCAATTGTAATGGCTGGCTTAAATATTGTAGGCACTGTAAAATGTCTACAATTGGTAACGGCGAAATAAAAATCGAAACATTCTTTCATTAAGAGAGCTCGACACCATGTTCACTTTGCAATTTCGATAGTCGGTCTTCTTGGATGCATCATCCTTTGGATTGCACCTATTCTTGTCGGATTCTTTTGTCCTGACAATTCCCCTGAACAGGTTTTTTTTTCTTGAATTTGCATGATCTTCAGCCATTCTTTTGTTGAAGTGGTCAAAGTTTTTCCTCGGAATTGCGGTCATCGTGATCCTCACAAACATCCCTTTTCCATTCTGGTCAACCGACGAAACGGCAAACTATGCGAAACCTTCTCATTGTACAGTAGAATATCGCACAAAATACGAAAATAATAGTAAATAATATGTGATCTTCATTTCATTTTCCAAAATTGGCAAAAATGGAATGAATGAACATTTTAAAATCTCTTACTAGTGCGAAAATAACGTGATGTATTTAATCATTGAATGCCATTTCGAGTTTTATCAATAAATGAAAGCAAAAGAATTACAAAATAAAAAATCATCGACTTCGAATGGATCCTCGACGGCGGCATCAGATAATGTGACTTTGAATTGAAATTTTAATGCAGAAAAAATTTTTTAAAAATTAAAAAGTGTGAAAATTTCAATAAAGAACAAATCTTTTTTTTTCGTTTTTCTGATGTTTTGAAATTTTCTCACTTTTTTCTTATTTTCGTTTTTGTTATTTTTTTCAGAAATTCCTTTAAACTAAACTATTTTTTCGAATTGTATTTCAAATTCAGATTGAAAATGTCGATCTGATGCGAACTCCGGAACCAACCCAAACAATGGATGAAAAGTTTCATTGTCTTGACGATCTTATTAATTTTGTTGGTATGATATTATTCGCATATACGCAGTTTGAAATTTTCCGCGTAGTGTAACACATTCAATTTCAATTTGTCGAAAAATTGATTATAAAAAGGTGTAAGCTACAATATTTTAATTGCGTTCAGGTTCAAGTTATCCATTTTTTCGGGTTCATGTTCTACCAGTGCTAGTTGTTTCATTTCTGATTTTCTTCGTCAGCAGATTGATGACAATAATGCAAGAAGCTAAATTGGTAAGATCTGGCTGAATTTATAGTCTAGCAGTTATAAAAAAGTCTTAAACAAAATTTTAGGCGCATAAAGAAATGAATAAACGCTATAGTATCTATGTCGAGTGTATTAAAGGAAGTAAAGATGCGCAAGATGTTGGAAATGTTTGAATCAGTTTGAACTCTTCAATTCCTTGTAGCTCTCTGGTCAAGCTTCGTTTCTCACTAAAGATTTTCCGAGTTGGGATTTTTCGATAACGCTAATTGCACTTCTCACTTTTAGTTTAACATTGTAAGTATCAAATAAAAAATTGATTAATTTGAAATATTAATAGGAGCAGTCAAAAGAGTGTCGCGATATTTTCGCTTATGTGCCTCGTTCCAACACTGACTTTGCACATTTTCTTAGGAGAACTTCAACAAACTAATACATTGCTTATTCAAATCTTTCTTGAGGTACCTATTAAATTTCGAACTCTGAAAACGATTTTTTTCCAGTTTTATCGCCACGTTTCCATGATAAAAGTAATGGAATCTGTTCCCGCAAACCATCGATTAGTAAGCCTTGGACTTATTGAACTAAGTTTGTTTTTTTTATTCTATTTTAATTTTTGACAATAACTGAATTTTATGAATAGTTGATTTCCGTTACTTTCAGCCGCTGCAACTGGACGGCTTGCAGCAGTTCTGTATCTTCGAGTCTCTTTGGACTATTTGTGTGAAACTACGCAAATTTATATATTTTCAGCAGTTGCTGTAGCCGTCAGCGCTATTTACACTCATCTGTACGTGTTCTCAATTTTTTTTTAGAAAAAAGAACAATACTTGGTAGTTATAATAGTATTTTCAGTTTTTTCCGAGACTCTCTTCACAACTTGTTAGCGTTATCGAAAACCGATCAATTACAAAATGAATTAACAGAAATGTTCGCAGTCGGTATGTTTTGCGAAATACAATCACTGCGTTTTGTTTTTCTCGTTAAGCTGGAATTAATCGACCCATCGAATCAATTGTCGATGCATTGGCGTTTGCCAAAGTCGAATATGACGAATATGCGATCGAGACATTATGGAGAATCCTTAAAAATTGGAGAATTCTCAAAGAAGTGTTCACCGCTGGAATACTCTTGTAGGTTCTGAATTCAATGAGAATCCGAAGGTTTTTCTCAGAGGAACCTGCTCCTCGATTAACGGATTCGTTGAAGAGCAACTTGCTCAAACGTTTTCTCTCCAGTTTTTCGACAAAGGTCTTGTTATGCCAATTTCCTATGGCGCAGCTTCGTTTGTCACAATTTTGATTGCATTGTAAATGATCAAAACCAATTGTTTTATTAATTCAATTGTGTTTAGTGCTTTACCAAAACATCGACTTCTCAGTATTGTATTTTTCGCGCCAATCTTGTTGGCATTGTTAGCATTCATTGATGGTTTGACTCTATACCGATATATGATCGACATATGCATTGAAAAAGTAACAATCACAGGTTTGAATATTTATTGTTAGAAAACGCATCCAACAGGTGAAAAGTGTTTAGGAATCAAAGCTGTTTTTTACATGAGTGCCGCAATAACCGCATCGATAATTACAGATGTAATTGTATTCCTTGTTAAAGTTCATGTGGTAAGTTAGCTTCGAATAAAAAAGAACAACCTTCATCGTTGTTTCAGTGTGAATACGTTCCGACGCTTGCGCGCCTTCCGATGATGGCCCTTCTCACATACATTCAATTTAATTTCAACGGCGACGTTCGAGATGTATTCAGCGATTATATGGCATTCGTTTTGAAATTCAACACAAATTTCAGTTATATTCGGAGAAAAGCATTGGATCTGGAGCTTCGATGGCTCTTTGCGGATTTATAACAATGCTTGTATTCCTTTTAGATGCGCAGAACACTACAATTATGAATGATTACTTTTCTGATTTATTGGTTTGACCCTTTTTTGACTCGAATGCCTTAAAAATCGTTTCAGCCAGGCAAGAAAAGTACGAGCTCTAAAAAACAGAAGAAGCTACTTCCTCCCCCAGAACTTGCATCTGACTATAATGAAATCAATCGTCAATAAAATTCTCAACGAATTCATCTATTTATTGTTGTTTTTAATACATTTTAATTGCAGAAATACGTGAACTCGCATAATACTTCTGGAGTATGCTCGGAATTGTCGTCATCAATGATGTCAGCGATGTCAATCAAATCTGTCGTCATTTTGTTGCACTGTTTGGTATCAGCGGTGCAGAATTTCTAAAAATTGCTATGAATGTTCGATGATCGATTTGGGGATCAAACGTTGACGCGCTCTTTGATGTAGTCGTTGATTTGCTGTTGAGACAAATTTTGCATCCACGCGATTCCGCCATCAGCCTTCATTTGGGCAACCGCTTTCTTGCATGGCTCGCAGAGCGGATTTTCAGCAAAACACTAATGGAATGTTTTGAATCAAAAATCGTTAAAAAACTTACCAAATTAGCGGCAGCAACAAGCAAGAGGATGAAAGTCTTGAAGGAGGCCATTTTTAAGTTTTTACATTTTCAAACTTGTTTATATACTAGAATATTTCTCATTCCCATTCATTAATATTATGAATAAATTTGAAACAGTTCTATTGTCCCATACAGTTGCTGCTTTATTTACTTTGGGCTTCTTCAATCGGCATTGCCAATTTCTCTTTTGTATATTCGGCTGATTCATCTCTGGCCAATATTGGAAATGGAATATTGGTGGCGATGATGAAAATGGACACACAAATAAATAGTCGAGACCACTGAAAATTAAAAAAAAACACATTGGACAATACAAGAAATGTAACTTGTTCGCTTGTGTTGTCGGGGCAGAAAATTGCGATTAAGATTGGAATAATGAATTGAATTATGGCAGCGCTGATAGAGATCATCGCTACTACGAAATGAACGTGTTGACGGGATCTCTGTAGCCAGGAAATGTCGAAGCAGGACTGCGAACTTACGATTTGACAACATTTCACTACTCCCATGACGTTTAATCCCGACGATGCAATCGCAAACGTATAAGCAATCTGAGCAACAGTTTTACTCGAGCTCTGAAAAATGTCAAATCAAATCATTTTGGTTTTTCAAATCACTTTTCATTACTAGTGACATTATGCAGAATCCCACCGCTAGTCCGATTTGAGATGCGATTGCAAATATTGTGAATCGAATCTTCTCCGATACACAGGTGGATCTATCTGATATGGCGCCAGCAAGGAATTTGAATGCTGCCGAAATAAGGAATGGCAAAGCACTTGCGAAGCCCGTGGCTTTAACATCGAAATGAAGAACATCTCGAAGATAAGTGGGACCAAAAAGGACGAGCAGGAAGAAGCCAGTGTTTCCTCCGGTTACCGATAACCATGACACCAGAATTGTTTGGTCGTGAATGATTTCACGGTATGGAACTTGCTGACGTCGGCGCAAATTTTTTCCGACTTCGATTTTTTTTAGCTCTTTATGAGAAACATTTCTTCAAATTTGATGTGTTTTTCAGCTCATTTTTAGAATTTTTAACCTGTGAAATCTAGGAGTATCTCTAAAATATAGGAAAAATACAATGTAAGCAAAGAGCGAAAAAATTCCGAATATGAAATAAATTGACCTCCAGCCCCAAGTTGATTCGCATAAAATCCCAGATATGGGCATACAAAAAACATTGCTCAGCTGAAAAAAACAATAATCATTTAAAGATAATTTCAACGTTGAAAAATAACCTGGAACGAACAGGAAAGAATGGCCAAAAATGTGCCCATTTCGTCGCTTGAAGCCCAATGAACTGGAATGGTCCCAACTACAGTGAATACAACACTTGTTCCAATTCCTTGAAGGAGTCGACAGAGAACCACAAAATAGAAATTGAATTCCATGGTTATTGGGAATAAGAGGGTTCCTAGTGAAGAGCAAAATCCGCAGAACGACAAAACGTATCTTGAAAACAGTCATTTTCAATGCAATGTTTCGATTAAAAACACAGACCTCACTCCAAATTTGGAAATTAATGGGACACTTGGCAAAAGCCCAATCAGAGCTCCTATTGAAGGTGCAGAAAAGAGCATGGACTTTTTGTTCGTTTCATGAATCCAATGGGTACTATTCGGACCATCCAAGTCATTCATACAGATAACAGAAAAATTGAAGGACAACGAGTTCATCAATGAAGCTGTGATACACGTTAATCTTAAATGAATGAAAATCCAACAAAATAAGCTACAAAAGAAAATGGTTACACTAGAATAAGAATAGTCAAACGTGTGTGATTCCAAAAAACTATCGTCGCAGTTTTCCGAATTTGCGGAAAATCATTCGATCCTACTACTTTCATCGATTTGATAATGAAAAATAAAATCAACAAATTCAAAATGGAACAGTTGAAATGTTTTTTGAAAGGGGATTAGCATTTGATTTGAATGTTTTGAGTGTATGTGAGTTACACCACGAATAATTGTGCTATTTCGTGTATTCGGCTTGCCTATCCGTTATGACGAATGGGAACGGTAAATTGGTTCCCACGACGAGAATTGCCACATAGATAAAAAAACGGGACCACTGTTTGGTAAACTATGTACATTAATGGTTACTCGAGATTTCGTACCTGCTCTGACGAATTGTCTGGACAGAGGGTCCCTACGAAAACTGGAGCAACGAATCGAACAATTGCAGCATTTACAGAAATCATGGCTACCACGAAATGAACATGTTGCCTAGCTCGCTGAAGAATCGTCATTTTCAAAAATCTTTTCAGAATATCTCTACCAATTGGCAACATTTGAGGACGCCGACAATATTAATGCTTGATGCAGCAATTGAAAATGTGTATGCGATTTGTGCGATTGCTTGGTTTGATGTCTACAAAATCGATTTGATTGAATTTCTCATTTCTTTATTTACCAAAGACATTACACAAAAGCCAGCAGCTAATCCGAATTGCGACAAAAGTGTGAAAATGCAGCATCGAGCTTTTTCAGAAACACAAGTTGATCTATCTGATATCGGACCAGTTATAAATTTGACAACAACAGCAATTAGGAACGGAAGAGCTGTTGCGAATCCAGTGCCTCGCACATCAAAATGGAGCACTTTGTTTATATAAGTCGGACCATAAAGGACTAGAATGTAAAAACCGGTATTTCCTCCAACTTCGCAGAGCCATGCAGCAAGTACAGTAGGATCTTTGCAAATTTTCAAATATGGAACCGTCTCCCTTTCAGGAATTGTTTTATTGTATTCAATATGCTGCAGCTCGGCTGTCGAGACATTCCTTTAAAACCTCTCCCTATTCAGACGATTTTTAACATTATAAAATAACCTGTGAGATTTTGGCGAATCGAGATAGAACAGAAAAAATAAGCAATAAAAGACCATTGTGAATGCACCGAAAATATAATATGTTGATCGCCATCCGAATGAGGATTCACAAAGCAATCCTGATACTGGCATGCAAATCACATTGCTCAACTACATAAAATGTGAGGTTTATTTCATTTTATTGAAATCATTGCAAACTTGATATGAACATGAGAGGATTGCCAAGAAAGTTCCCATTTCGTTGTTTGCTGCCCAATGAACTGGCACAACCCCAACAACCATGAATAGGACACTTGTTCCGAGACCTTGCAATACACGGCATATCACCGCAGCTCCAAAACCGACATCTATTGAAAATGGGAAGAAAAATGTGCCGATTGAAGAGCAGATTCCGCATACAGTTAACACGTATCTGTATTAGTAACAATTATTTTTGAAGTTTATAAATATTAGAGACCTCACGCCAAATTTGGATATTAAATGAACACTTGGAATAATTCCAACTAAGCTTCCAATAGAAGGAGCAGAAAAAAGAATTGACCGTTTGTCAGTTTCATGAATGAAACCTTCGACATCATTCATACAAATAATACTAAAATTAAATATTGAAAAGTTAATGAGGGATATTGAAGAGCATAACAGTCTGAAATTCAAACTGATCGGCAATAATATTAATGGGCGTACGTCAACAATAATATAGAAACTCTTGTATAGTTCCAGAAGACAAAATTTGGAACTTGACTGCCTTCAGCGGATAGTAGCATCGATTATCAGAGTGAATTGTGAGTGGGTGAATAGTATTGAGTGATTTACAAACAAAAAACATTTGCATACACATAGTTCAGCAAAACAACTCAGGTAAATCGAAATCAATCGGTTTCGAAAAAAAAAATCATTTTTAATCGAAATCAATAATCAAATAAAACGTGTTCAAAACGAGTTCAAAACTTTCTCAATCGAACCATGTTTCATCTTCTGTCTCCCATCTACTTGATTTTCATCTGCTTCGGAATATACTCTCTTAGTTGTTGATACGAACCATAAAATGATGAATCAATCTTTCGAACATCCTTAATTAGAAGAGATCATTATGATTATATTTGGTCAGCTGTTGGTCTGTCTTCTTTTAATAATTTGAACTATTCAAAAGGTGTTCAAATAAAAGCGAAAACGATACAAATAGTTAGAGCGTAGGTGTGAGTCCCCAAAACTTTCCACAATGCTCGCTCGATTTGTTCTGATCTCCCTCGTCTGTATTTCTTTTGTTTTGTGCTGTGAAGATACCGCAACTGCGTAAGATTTCATCAACATTGAATCGAAGTCAATTTCTTAAATAAAACAGTTGTACGGCATGGAATAACAACGGATTCTGTTCATCGACATTCTACACAGAAGAGAAGAAGAGAGAAAAATGCGCGAAAACCTGTAATCTTTGCGACTCTTCTAGTGGAACGACAGCTGATGGCTCTGCCACGACTGAGGCCAATACTGAAGGCTCTACTGGCGCAACGTATCAAGGGACCGACTCAACAGGAAGTACCGCTGCAGGATGCAGCGATAGCCAAAAAGCGTAAGCAAAACGAAAAAGAAAAGATAATTCAAATAATTTTCAGATGCGCCCAATGGAATGCCAATGGCTTCTGCTCCTCAACTTTCTACACCAATGAACAAAAAATGACTAGTTGTGCAAAAACGTGTAATTTATGTTAGATTTCTGTAATAAATAATTTGCTTATGAATTTAATTTTTACGCAACATTCAGTAAATCATAACAAATTTGATCTAGTACATCAAAGCAAAAATATGTTCCATTCGTAGTATCATTTTCTAATAATCAGAAAAAAAAAGAAAAATGTTAAAAAAAAGAGAAGAGTTCAATGAATGAAAATGACAATAATTTCATGTGATATACGACTGGACGTTCTGAATAATTATTGTCATTTTAATTATTCAAATCCTGTCTAAATCCGGCGGCCGAATTTCAAGGAATTGTTGAAAATGATGCAACCCGAACCCGAAACAGTTTCAGACCAAACATTTCCAACACATCATAGAACACCGATTGAAAAAAAAAATCATCATGATGCTTTGAAAATGCAAATTTCCAAAAAAACGGTGAGTATTTAATATCATCGTGTTTTTATTCATATGGTTACTGATTTCCTGACACTTTCGACACGATGAAGGTATCAACGGAAAAGCCGCAGCGCAAAATATCGAGTGTCAACTTCCGAAATAAAACTCGAATTCTAATAATGATTATTGGGTATATTTTTCGAAATCAAATCTGCTATTATTAAAATTCATTTCAGGCTGATTTGTGTGACAATTGCTCAAATGAATTCCCTAACATTCAATTTCTCAGTTATTTGCATGGATGATCTGAAGATTGCAAATTCAACAGGTGAATTTTTTGATTTTCACAAATCCTAAGAATGAAATCAGAACTTCATTGGATTCACGATCAATCCAAAATATCGGCATTATTCTCGGCAACCGGAATTGGAGCTTTCATCGGTCTCCTTCCAGCTGTGCCGTTGTTGTCCAAATTTGGTGTCAGGTAATATGTTTCTTGCAACAGCCCATAAACCCTGCATTACTTAGATACATTCTTACTATTTGTGGAGCTTGTTCTGCTGTTGGTACATTATTATTTCCTGTCGCAGTGGATGCACATTTCTATTTTGCCTTCTTATGCAGACTTCTACAAGGCCTTGGCATCAGTATTATTTTCTCTGTCATCGGAATAATTCCAGTCTACTGGGCGCCAAATATGGAAATGGGAACATTCTTAGCCATTCTTTCTTGCGCACTTCAATTCAGCAATATCATTTGCATGCCGGTGTCTGGAATTTTGTGCGAGTCATCATTCGGATGGCGATCGATATACTATTCATTTGGAGTTGTCACCATTATATTTTATGCAATCTTCTTTTGGTTTTACGCTGATGCTCCGAGAGTTCATAGGTGAAAAAACGAGATGCGAAAATTTGAAAGAAAAATTGTGATGGTTTAGAAATGTATCCGAGAAAGAGCTGAGTCGAATAGAGAACGGAAAAGGATCCCAACAACGAGAAGCAGTTCCCTACATCGCAGTTATGACAGACCTCACAGTTCTCATGTGTTGGCTGTCAGCTTTTGGCGGCCACGTCGGCTTCTATCTCCTCATTCTTTACGGCCCAACGTATCTCAGAGAAGTACTTCATTTCGATGTGACATCTACTGGATTCGCCAGCGCGCTGCCATTCATATTTTCCGCAATTGTCAAAGCATTAGCTGGACCACTTTCTGATCGATTAGTGTTTGTTTCGGAAAAAGCTCGATTTACGATCTGTTTGATAGTTTCCCAATTTGGTATGGCTGCGGCACTTGTCGTCATGGCTCTCACAACGAATCGGACTGTTGCACAAATTGCTTATACGTTAGCAATAACAGCATCAGGATTAAATGTAATGGGCTTGCTCAAGTGTTGCCAAATAGTAAGTATAAAAATTGAAATACGAAGGGCGGTGTCTCATTCAAGCTCGTCTGAAAACAGCACACATTCTAGAGCCTAATAATAAATTAATTTCAGAATCCTTCTGAAATCTAAAATTTGTGTCTAAATTTTATCATCGGGTACGAAAATCTCTTATCTACGGCGTTTAGCGCCGGCAAACAAACCAACTTTTTTTCCAAATAAATGGCGACAAAGGAACATTCTAGATTTTATGCATTTTTTTTATATTGATGGTTAGAAGTGGACTTAGGAAGAAAATTAAAAGACGCTCAATAAAAACGGATCACTTGTACATAAGAAAAAAATATTCAGAGAGCCTGCCAGCATGTTCATTTCGTCATAGCGTTCATCTCATTTTGCGTATGTGTCATTCAATTCGGTGCCCCAGCATTCGTCGGTACATGGTGTCATTTAAGTTCCCGCACAAAAGTTTGACGCCATGAAGAGCTTGGCTGTCGCACTTTTCGTGCAACAATACAATTTATTTTTTGTTAAATAAGGTATATTTTACTTACTTTCCAAGTTTCACTTCATTCGGATGTGTTTCCGAGAAATGGCGAAGGCTAACATCCATTGCGCTTCCATTATCGAACTTCATAAGCGAAATGAGCGCCCGACAGAGATCATTCAACGCCTCGGTGTGCCTCGTAGAACGGTTTAAGACACCAACAAACGTTTCAAGGAGCTAAATACGACCAGTGACCGTCCCAGACAGGGAAGACTCGTCTCAGTAACCACTCCTCAGAAGATCAACGCCGTCAAAACGAGGATCAGGCGAAAACCGCACAGGAGCATAAGAAAGATGGCGTCAGACATGGGAATGAGCATCTTCGCTATGGAACAAATCGTCTAAACGAAGCTTGGACTGACCCCATATCGTGTCCAAAAAGCGGCAATTCTATCGGCCGTCAGCAAGCAGAGACGCTTCGAAAAAGCAAAACGACTTCTTGCTCGCACGCGGTCTGGAGAACACCTCGTCACTGTCTTCTCCGACGAGAAGCTGTTCAGTGTGGAGGCGGCATTCAACTCACAAAACCATCGAGTATTTGCCCAGACATCCCAGCCAGCAAGCTTCTGAGAAAGGAAGAACAATTCATCCAGCCTCACATCCTGCCAGTGTGATGGTTTCGGTGCCATCTGCTCAACCGGGAAGTGCCTCCTAGTTTTCGTGGATCAGGGGGTGAAAGTGAACAAAGAAGTCTACGTTCGGGACATTTTGGGGAAGCATGTGATGCCCTTGGCCCAAACGCATTTTGGTGGGCAGAAATAGGTTTTTTAACAGGACGGAGCAGCCGCCCACACTGCCAAAACTACTCAGGAGTGGTGCCAGACCCATTTTCCCGACTTAATCAAGTCATCCGAATGGCCTGCTTGCTCCCCAGACCTGAACCCGCTTGACTTTTCCGTGATGGGCTCTTGCAGGAGAAGGTCAACGCAAAACCCCACTCAAGTGAAGAGGCTCTGAAGAAGACATTGCTGGCGGAATGGGACAATCTTTCCATCGAATACCTGCGTACCACAGTCACATCCTACCCGAAGCGTCTCCGTGAAGTCATAGCTGCGAAAGGAGACCGAATCAAAAAGAGTTAATAGATAATTATTTGTTATACTATAGATAAAAAATATTTCGAGTCTCGTTTGATTTGGACTTTTAGTTTCAGAAATATACGTCTTCAAAGTTGTGCGGGAACTTAAATGACACCCTGTATTTTATGTCCAGACAACTCACCTGATCAGGTTTTTTTTCCAATCACAAAACCTTTCCAAATGAATTTTTATTTCTGTTGCAGTGGTCTCGTCTCTATATAATAGTTGCAATTCTCGTCGTCGTCACCAATATTCCGTTCCCATTCTTCACTTCAGATCAACCGGCCGAATTCACAAAAACGAAGAATGCAAAGGAGCAAGATATCAGCGTTTAATTCAATCGATTGCGAATTGAAGAATCAAAATTAAATGACCAAAAATTATTGGGGAAATGAAATAAACGAATAAAACAGAATGCAATTGAAAAAAAAACTTTTCTAAAAGGCGATAAGCGGTTGCGATAGATTTAACAGTAGAGAATAAACCCGAAAATTGAAAGAACAAAGGCTTGTCGAATAGCTTAAGCAAGGAAGTCGTCGGAGACTTCGAGAATCTTGATGTCGTTGTTGTCAGTGCAAATCGATTCGCGACGGATTGATGGTTGAGGGCGATGCGAAGTCAGCAAATGGATTTGCATATCACCAACGAACAATTCATTCGAATTCTCAGCAATTGACGGATTCATGTGTTGCTGAATTTCAACCGAAGCTCTAAAAACACTCGCAATTGATTTGCCCACATTTGGCTAGAATCTGTCACCTCATACCAACGTATCTTTCAACTGAATCGAATTTGACGGCTGGAGATTCGATACGAGCATCTTGAGAATCCACACAGACGTTGACGTGATTCACATGAAACACAGATCCTTCCTCGCCGTCCACTGAAAGACAAAATTGCTAGACATGGATTGAGATACATACAGTAACCCACCGATATCCACATCCATCACAATTACACCATTCTCCGAAGTACTTGCCAGATCTGGTGAGAGTTTTCCACGAACCAGCATTGTTTCACCGCTAATTGTCTCAAGAACGCCCTATAAAATTCCATGATTATGCGGCTTTATGAAGAAGTATTACTTGGAATTTAGTGCGTTTTTCGTCGAAGATGAGTCGAGCAGTTCCGCGCTCACGAATATCGTATACGATTCCTTGTCTACGCTGTCTCGGCATTCTCCTTTTCTAAACAAAAACTCGATGTTAGAAGAGTTCGATAAAAATATTTAAGCGAGCTCACGTAAACTGTTCTCATGTTGAATAGGGTATCAGAATGGGAAACCATATTTTTTGAAACAAACTTTAGATCACCACTGATAATAGTTGGATACCACGTGTGAAATGTGATCGAAAGGCGAAAGGCGATTATCAAACACTTTTTTTTTATCAAAAGATGAAGAGGAATAACGACATTTTTCGAACCGAAAAATCACATATTCTCTAAAATGTCTTGCTTCATTCTAATTGTTTCAAAACGTGAAATTATTTATCTGTTTTTTTTTTGGCAATATTCAAATTTTCCTCAGAAATCTCAAATATTCGGTATACACCGTCGATGATGACTATTTATAGAATTTTGAACATTGATTAAATAGGATAAATGAATGAAACGGAAATTAGATGATAAGAAATCGAAAGGTTTTCAATTTGAAAAATGATTTAAAGGATACAGCTAATTTAAGAAAAGAAGTTTCGAAATAGATGATAAAACGCAACAATTGAATAGAAAATAATGTATATTAGTGTGGAAAGAGAAATGATGAGGATGGAAAGAAGCGGAATGGGGGAAAAGAGGTAATAGAGACTGGGAGAAGATGAGAGGGACGAGACGCAGTGGGTCGAGGGAACAAAGAACATCGGCGGGCTACAAACAAACAAACAATAAATATATGTAATAATTGTGATAAAATGATCCTTTGAAGAAATTTGCAAATGCATTTGATCCAATATTACATATAATAGCCTCGGTGAAAAATCAATTCAAGAATAAACGGGAACTTATTTGAACGATAATTATTGAAAAAAAAAATCTTGTGGGCAAAATTTTTTGTTGTTCGTGTTCTCGCTGCAGATCAGAATTCGACATTGTTGTTTCAAAACGAAACTCCCACAAACGTGAAAATAATCGATCTCGCGATGATCTCTTTTCATCAGACGTCAAGAAGTTTTAATAGTGATTAAAAGATATGTGTGAACCTGAATGAACCGAAAGAATCAAAGACCATTTGAATGCGATTTGACATGCTTATTTATCGAAACCGCCGACAAACTTGAAGGTCATGAGCCGAGCGCCTCTGGCTGCCATCGGTTGCACCACGTGGGGAAGTCTGCAGGAAGGACGAGACAAATATCACGAGGTCGCACTCGTCTCATCATTATCAGGTTTTAATGGTTAGTCGAACGAAACATCAAGGGAATAATATGAAATCATTGACGAAAAAGTGCCAAAAACATGCACTCGTATTATTGTTGATAGCAATTGAATAGCAAACAGTCCCCTTTGATTTGTCTCATTGCATCGTAAAGCGAGGGATATGAAAAACAGGTAGGATTGCAGAGAATCAAAAGATGGCAGATCAGAATGTTGCAAATAAATAATTTATTGATCTGATATTCGAATTATCAGTTATTATTTATCAAATGATCCAGTAATTTGGCCAACTCCGTCGAAAATTCGTCCGATGGGACCGGCCTGAAAAAATTATTTTCAATTTGATTTCTACAACAAAAAAAAAGAAAAAAAGTTGATTATCCGGACAGCAGCGGAAAAAAATAAAAGCGATTGCAAGAATAACGGCAAGAAATTTCAGTGTTGGTCAATGATTTTCTTAGAGCTCTGCATTGGTTTTTTTTAAAGAAACCCACGTGAGAAAATTTTTATGAATAAAAATAAAAGCAATATGAAAAATTTGATGAATTTTTCCCAAAAATAATTGAATTGAACGTTTTGTATAAAAAGGATTTGGATCGAAAAATGCTCATCATTCGAACGATGAAGTTCCTCGCTGTTTTACTCGCTATCGCCTTTGTTCTCTGCACGGCTGTCTCGGTAAGATCTCAACAATCAGAATACCCTTCTATTCCAACTATCAATTTTTCGGCTGAGCCACAATTCGACTTGCAAAAGCTATTCGGTGGAATCAGTGGAATCGCCGGATCGTTTGGCAAAAAATAATTGCGACGATTTATTGTTCTGATAAATAAATCATTTTCATTTCAAATCTACATACATTTATTTTCCTAGTAGTCGCTGATACAAATCACATTTTTGAATCAATATGCACTCATAATTATACCCTTTTTTGTTGTGACAAACAAGACGAAGAAAGCGCAAATCAAACGCAGCTCAAGTTCTGTTTCACTGGAATTTTGCTAACATTTCAATCAATAGTAACTCGAATTTCGATTTGGACTCGATAATTGCTGGAAGTTTCAGCGAATGTCATGTGCGTCGACAGGTGAAACATGTCCCCCTGAATTCATCCCAGTTTCTAACTTCATTGCCAACAAAACACAGACACAAAATGCTTTTCGGAGATTCTACAAATATTCCAATAATGGTTTCTCAAATCGTATTGGCAATAATCCCACTATTAGCTTCGCTATTCTGTAGAAAATATATATTCGCAGTTCATCGTTCACTATTCATAGTGCATCAGGTAACATTTTTTTTTGATTGAAATTGCTCGTAAGAAAAAAATGTTAGTTATTCGCAATTTATTATATTTCAACATTCGGCAACCCATATTTCCTTGCGACTCCGAGATCTAACATAATGGTACGATAAAAAATAAATGTTTCTTAAATATTTTTCATTCATTCGTAGAAACAATTATTGGAAAGCGAACTCGTATGTACATGCATTCCCAATATTATTTATCTTTGTATGTTGCACACTGCTGTAAAAATAAACGGTCCCCCATTTTTGGCACTTACTGTCTTCTTGTCTCTTGGCTTTACCTTATTCGGATCATTCAGTGTGTGCGAATGGACACTTCAGGTTGAATTTACGTTCGAATCATCTCTTTATTTTTTTTAGGAAGATACGAAGCAAACCAGTTGTAAACTTTTGTCATATTATCTACTTCATGGTATTTTGAGATATAATGCTTATTAATATTAATCTAAATTTCAGCATTTTTTATAATTCTATGTAATTCTATTATAATTTATTTCATATGGAAATATGAAAGAACTGAGTTGAAATCGTTTTTATTTCATTTCGTCCTAACTGTAAAAGAAAACGAAATGAATGAAATTAGTCAGTCAATAATTGCAGATCACAATCTATATTGCGTATTTTGTTATTTTCAAAATTTCCTATCTCATTATTTTAATGTTCAACACAAACATTCTATTTCCTTACTTAGAATATCTATTACTCGTATTCCCCATCGTCAATTTCACATTTTTGTTCCTCGTCAATTATCAATATCCGAAAGAGCGTTTCGAGATCCACGCATTTTTGAGTGAATTCGATCTATTCGTACAATACGTATAATACTGATATTTAGATGTCTGTGTACGATCGACAAAAACGGTTCCGGTTCCTAGAATTTCAGTCATTAATACTGGAACTGAGACAGGAAGTCACATTGCTAGAACTCTTATCAAAAATCCGTTGCATTCTTTTGTTAAACTACAGAGAAGATGTAAAGGATTGTATGATCTTCAAATGACCGTTATGACTAGACAAGATGAATCAATTAGGTAAATTGTATTTAAATGAAATAAAGTCGGCGTCCGGGTAGATTTAAGCATGCGTCCTTCGAAATGGTTTCGCCACATGTGAACATTGATTTTGCTGTTTCCACCTGAACTGTTAGTCTTTTCTTGATGAGTTGTCATTTCCTTGAATTTCCAACGTCATTCGATTTAAAAATTAAAATACTCAAAAAATGAAAATAACAATTTAGTCCGCGCGAGACCAAAAAAAAGACGCATCCCTATAAATCTACAGCAGTCGCCGACCAGCTGATATAGAAATTAGAGGTCTCTGAGAAAGAACCGATTGATGCTGTTTCAAATTTCATAATGTTTCTTTATATATCAACATTTCAGGGTTTCGAGCAGCGGTGGCACTTATCTCGAAGTTCCAAAAGAAAATTTCGAAACACCCTTTCAACGATCCAGATCGGAGTTGAGTTGTGCTCCGCTGAGCAATTCTGCACTTCTAAGAAGAGCATCAACTGGAAGTATTCCAAATAATCCTCGGCCATTCATTGAATCCAAAACCAACGCGGAAGCCAATATCGAAGTCTACATTCCAAACGACTTGATGTCAATTTCGAAGCTGAACGAATCGCAGGTGGAAATCGAAACGTGATTTTTTTCACAATCATAATTTCTGGATTTCAGGAAACAATTGACGAATGCGGTTGTTCAGCCGGCATGCCGTCACCTTCATCATTCTTTACTCCGAAAATAAACGAAGTGAAATTGGATGCTGGAATTTTAATAATGCCGAATCCGCTAATGGTGAACCGATGGCCGAATGAGAATGTGAAAAGGAAATCAAAAACTGCAATAGCGAATTTCGGAGAAATTCAAAAATGGGTTCGATAGAAAAAATTAGCTTTTAAAAATGGATTCGTTGTATTTTATAAAACAATGGAAAATAGCTGTACTAATAATTTTTTTTGTACCGTATTTTATGATATATGAATGAGATTAGTTGATTTTTCACAAAAAAAGACATCCAGAAGAATGACTTCGATGGAAAAATGATGATAAGAAATTGAGGTGGGAAAATTTTTATGAATAAAAATAAAAGCAATATGAAAATTTAATGAATTTTTCCCAAAAATAATTGAATTGAACGTTTCGCGAATGCGTATAAAATAGAGTTGGATCAAAAAATGCTCATCATTCGAACGATGAAGTTCCTCGCTGTTTTCCTCGCTATCGCTTTTGTTCTCTGCACGGCTGTCTCGGTAAGATCTCAACAATCAGAATACCCTTCTATTCCAACTATCAATTTTTCGGCTGAGCCACAATTCGACTTGCAAAAACTTTTCGATGGGGTCGGCGGAATTGCCGGAGCGTTTGGCAAAAAATAATTGCGATGATTTATTGTTCTGATAAATAAATCATTTTCATTTCAAATCATATTTTCAAAGTGTTTGTGGGTTATCGAACATTTTCTGGTGGTAATTCAAATTTAATTTTTTTGTGTACCGTACTATCTACAGGGTGTCATTTAAGTTCCCGCACAACTTTGAAGACGTATATTTCTGAAACTAAAAGTCCAAATCAAACGAGACTCGAAATATTTTTTATCTATAGTATAACAAATAATTATCTATTAACTCTTTTTGATTCGGTCTCCTTTCGCAGCTATGACTTCACGGAGACGCTTCGGGTAGGATGTGACTGTGGTACGCAGGTATTCGATGGAAAGATTGTCCCATTCCGCCAGCAATGTCTTCTTCAGAGCCTCTTCACTTGAGTGGGGTTTTGCGTTGACCTTCTCCTGCAAGAGCCCATCACGGAAAAGTCAAGCGGGTTCAGGTCTGGGGAGCAAGCAGGCCATTCGGATGACTTGATTAAGTCGGGAAAATGGGTCTGGCACCACTCCTGAGTAGTTTTGGCAGTGTGGGCGGGTGCTCTGTCCTGTTGAAATCCCTATTTCTGTCCACCAAAATGCGTTTGGGCCAAGGGCATCACATGCTTCCCCAAAATGTCCCGAACGTAGACTTCTTTGTTCACTTTCACCCCCTGATCCACGAAAACTAGGAGGCACTTCCCGGTTGAGCAGATGGCACCGAAACCATCACACTGGCAGGATGTGAGGCTGGATGAATTGTTCTTCCTTTCTCAGAAGCTTGCTGGCTGGGATGTCTGGGCAAATACTCAATGGTTTTGTGAGTAGAATGCCGTCTCCACAGTGAATAGCTTCTCGTCGGAGAAGACAGTGACGAGATCTTGTCCAGACCGCGTGCGAGCAAGAAGTCGTTTTGCTTTTTCGAAGCGTCTCTGCTTGCTGACGGCCGATAGAATTGCCGCTTTTTGGACACGATATGGGGTCAGTCCAAGCTTCGTTTAGACGATTTGTTCCATAGCGAAGATGCTCATTCCCATGTCTGACGCCATCTTTCTTATGCTCCTGTGCGGTTTTCGCCTGATCCTCGTTTTGACGGCGTTGATCTTCTGAGGAGTGGTTACTGAGACGAGTCTTCCCTGTCTGGGACGGTCACTGGTCGTATTTAGCTCCTTGAAACGTTTGTTGGTGTCTTAAACCGTTCTACGAGGCACACCGAGGCGTTGAATGATCTCTGTCGGGCGCTCATTTCGCTTATGAAGTTCGATAATGGAAGCGCAATGGATGTTAGCCTTCGCCATTTCTCGGAAACACATCCGAATGAAGTGAAACTTGGAAAGTAAGTAAAATATACCTTATTTAACAAAAAATAAATTGTATTGTTGCACGAAAAGTGCGACAGCCAAGCTCTTCATGGCGTCAAACTTTTGTGCGGGAACTTAAATGACACCATGTACACACACACACCAGGGCTGTGCGGCAATTCCATTGCCGATTGCCGAAATTTATGTTTTCGGCAATTTGATATTTAAAAATATCGGCGAAACAAAAAGGAATATCCATTGAATATTTTGGGATACCGTGAAAATTCGGTATTTATATTTCGAATTATCGTTGAAACATTTAATAGCCGAAATTTTTATTTCGGCAACTTGCCGAATTGCCGAATCGCCGAAATTTCCGATTGCCGCACAGCCCTGACACACACAGAACTAATCTAATCGTCACAGGTTCTGCTGGTTTTTTCGCGATTGTAGGCCTCATTTCTGCAAAACTATTTAAGGGACCATTGCAGAAATAATAGAAGAAAAAAATAAATGTTTTTCATATTTTTTGTTGTAATTTTGTTTAATTTTTGATTATTTCTTTCTTTTTCTCTATGCATTGAACATTTGAATGGCAGAGATTGGTTTTTCATGGTTTTTCAAAATTACCTCGTGATGACAGAATTCCAGAATTTTTTTTTGTGAAAAAATATTATTTGAACATACATATGTTTTGATGAACACTCATCTCAGAGAGAAATTTTATTCTTATGGACCTATTCATGCAATGAAAAAAATTAAAAAAAATCAATTTTTTTCATTTGAATTCCCTATGCACGCACGTCAAAAATTACAAAAAATTGACGCGATATATCGTAATTCTCCGCTATTTATTTTTAAAGGCGCATGCGAAAAGTTGCGCGGGTCACGTCGCGAAGTCGGTACTGTAATTTTTTAATGGCTGTTTTTTTTCGATTTTTTTATTTTTTGAGCGTTTAAAACGTTTTTTTTTTTGGAAATCTGTAGAAGTATTTTATTTAATAAACGCTGAAGGTTCATCAAAAGCGTCATCGAGCGAAATCTGCATCAAATTAACACAAATATCACGATTTTTCATAAAAATTGCTAAATGACAAAAAGTAGACAAATATTGTCGAATTAGGAGTAATTATACCAACAATAATTGTTTTTACTCGTTCTTAAATCCGTTCGTCATTTTCTCTTCGAAGTTTTTGAAAAATACGAAAAACTAGCACACAAAATGAAAAATATAAATTACAGTACCGACTTCGCGACGTGACCCGCGCAACTTTTCGCATGCGCCTTTAAAAATAAATAGCGGAGAATTACGATATATCGGGTCAATTTTTTGTAATTTTTGACGTGCGTGTATTGGGAATTCAAATGAAAAAAAATGATTTTTTTAAATTTTTTTCATTGCATGAATAGGTCCATTAAAATACTGCTATAGTAACCGCAAATATTTAAGCCAATGCGAACAAACAGAAATTGTTCATTGAACTCTCACCAAACATTTTGAACTCGACCTCGCAATAAAGTCAGAAGTGGCACAGAATTTTGTGACCAAGGTTTCTCTGGTGTCTCTATTTTCTCATTGCAGTGGCCAGTATAAATAGAGCGAATCGCTGATGTGAAACGCATCATATTCCCTCGAACATGTCTCGTTTTGCCGAAAAAGTTGTTATCGTTACTGGTAGTTGATTTCATATTTCTACATATATTGAAACCACATTTTGTATTTATAGGCTCATCGAATGGAATCGGTCGAATTGCCGCTCTATTTTTCGCTCAAGAAGGAGCAAAAGTAACGGTGACTGGAAGAAATGTCGAACGACTCGAAATTACTAGAAAACTGATTAGTGATGCCGGCGTATCGGCTGATAACATCAATGTTGTTGCTGCTGATGTGACGACGAGCGAGGGACAAGATAAGATTCTGAACACTACATTGGCCAAATTCGGAAAACTCGACATTTTGGTGAGATACTTATAGTTAGGAATTCTTCAGTAGTCTCATCTCAATATTTTCAGATCAATAATGCTGGGGCTGCAATTGCAGATCCTTCTGGAGCCGCTGGGTCCGAAATGTCTCTTGAAACTTTGGACAAAAATTTCAATTCAAATACGAGAAGCGTCGTTTCGCTCATCCAGAAATGCAAACCACATTTGATTGAATCGAAAGGAGAAATTGTTAATATCTCAAGCATTGCAGCCACCGATACAGCGGTATTTAGTCTAATTAGAATGGTTTAGTAGTAAATTGTTTTACAGGTATCCAAATTCCCATATTATGCAATGGCAAAGGCTGCATTAGATCAATATACCCGCGCAATTGCCGAAGAACTTATCGTCCATGGTGTTCGAGTGAATTCGATTCGCCCTGGAATCGTTCGCACCGGATTCGCTTCAGCTATCGGGTTCCCTGAAACTGCAGCCACCAAAGTGATTTAGTACATCGAAAACTTTAAATGAGTTGCCTTTCAGATGTACAACTATTTCGAGGGAAAACGGGATTGTATTCCAGCAGGAGTTTCTGGAAAACCGGAAGACATCGCCCATCTGATTCTGTTCCTTGCTGATCGCAAACAATCCTCTTATATCATCGGACAGACAATTGTTGCTGATGGCGGATCTACGCTTGTCATGGGATTGCATACTCACGACATGTTAAAGGCTCTGACTGAATAATTAGAAAAAAAAATAATGTGAAACAAAATAAATGTTTGAACCTATAATAATTGTTTGCACAATCTGAAATAGTTTGCTATATTGGCGGGAGCAATGTGAATAAAACTCATTATATGGCTTTAAAAACCTACACTATTTTGTATTTTTCTGTTTTGCAATCATTTTTAAATGGTCGCTGTCTTAGTGTTTCTGAACAATCTCACATTCTCATAATCAAAACGGCGGAATGTCTGAACCGTCGGGTCTCGAAGAATTTAAATGGTTCGAATACATGCGTAGACAAGTTAGTGATGGACCCAACTCGTGTCAACAAGCCAAAAGAGTCAGGCACCAAAGGAAAACACTGGATTCTCGCTCTAATCGAGCAATCATTCGAGCTGAACCTCTTTGTAAGCAAGTGGACAGAGAACGATCAAGAATAAGAATAAGCCGACTCCGCGACTCACAGATAATCATAAAATTCGACGCCATGTGTTCGCATTCAGAAGAATCGCCTCCTGCTTTCAAAGCGCAACTTTGATGGAAGAAGCGTGATGATATGAGAGAGCGTTTTCAGCGTCTGGATTTCTGGAATTGGCTTTCGTGAATAATTAGTTCTACTCTTCGGACTATCAGAATATTCTTGCGCCATCTTCTTCCATTCCAGCCATCTTCTTCCCATATTGTCCTTATGAAGAAAATTAATTATTTCGTATCATTTTCTGCGGTACTGTAAATATATTCATATAATGGCGTGGATATGAAAATTTAAAAGAAATCAGCATAAATTCCGTGGAAATGATCAATAGAGCCAACTCTTAAAATAATTTTGGAAAATAATCAGGCTTAGGTTAAAACGGGGAGTTTTAATTTGTGTTTTTTTTAATAATTCGTTTTATTCAGAGCAACAAGAATAAATTCTGATCATTCGAACAATACTCATTTTTCAATGAAAAATTACTTCGACACGATTTTTTTCGGTTTGTATTCCATCCTCAAATCCCAACATTCTCCCCAGAAATATATCACATCGTTGTTAAGTTTTAGATTCTTAATGTTTCTATCAGATTTCATCTTTTGTGATATTCATATGGTTTTGCATTTTTTGAGCCAATTTATTTAGTAGCGAGTGAGATTAATTCGATAGAGAATGTATCCTCAACTAATCACAATATAAGGGTTTGATAATGAGCTTCTTTGCACTAATGGATAAATAGCGTCTTGAATGAAGAGCGTCTCGTTTTGATAAGTCAGCTCCTTTAAGTAGGCAGATGTGAAGAGTTAATCCTCGATTTGAACTACGCAAATTGGTGTCCGAATTGAAACAATCTGATCCAATCTCTTAATTTTTCTCCCAATATTTGATTTCATAATACTCAATAATACTCATCCAATTCGAGCCTTTCACGCATTTGATTTTAATTCGAATTGAACAGCGCCACCTTTCGACGATAGAAATGATAGAAATGAAAGCAGATTTAGAAATTAAAAAAGAATTCTCACGAAATTCTAATAACGTGATCCTGATCTGTTATCAAAAATTCGCATTTTCATTCATTACGCTTAATTCAATACAAGCAATCACTATGTCGAACGTGACAATGAAGAGAAAGAGCTCAGAAGCTCATGATGATGATAATGCGATCCCACCAAAGAGGGTCTGCTTTAAAAGCGATGTGACTGAGGTCCATCTCGAGATTATTGAAGGTGCGCCATATTTCTTCTTAATTGCCATTTTCTCGCAAATTTTGTTTCAAATCAAACATACTATATGTATTTATTTTAAAAAATGTTAAAAATTCAAGACATATGTTTCAATTTGTAATCACAAGCCAAAATGGTTTTGGGGGGGGGGGGTCGGAACTTAGTAAGTGGATTGGGCTATATTCATTAAAAAAAAACACCCTTTCGCATTTTACGCATTTTTGGCGCGTCGCTTTTTTCGAGCGAATAGCCATAATTACTCTTGAATATTGTGAAAACAGTGTGTAAAATTTGGGAAGAAAACTTAGTTTCGTTTTTTTCTAGCCAACATTTGATTCTTTGAACGACTTTAAAGGTGACTCGGGCGACATGGATTCGGATATTCTTCGTCGTTTCATCTTCGTTCTTCTTCAATTTTGGAAGTCTTGCGAGTTGTTTCCGTTTATTCAGTCATGCGATATCGCCTTTAAAGTCGTTTAAAGGCAAAAAAAATCCGTTCGAGTTCGAAAATTTCGGTCTTAAGATCCGAAAATCGGCCAGAAACGTACACGAACTACTGGCGATCTTATCGACGTTCGCATATCGAAGCTCAAAGATGTGCCGAGCAGCCCCAAACGACCCGCTGTCTGGACCCAGCTCGACATCGAGGAAAGTTTTGGACCGGAGGACGACACGTGGGCCGAGCCAGAGCCGGTTGTTCGGATGTGCCGATCGCAGTGCTCGGAGGCGTCTGGCTGCACCGACAGCTGCCCCTGTCTTCTCGACGAGGTGCAATGTGACGGTACCTGCCCATGCGTGCCCAGTAACTGCCGCAACCATAACACCATGCGGCTGCTGGCAGAGTACCGTGCCCGTCGAGACAGGAAGGCGAAGCTCGTCGAGGCCAATCAGTGGTGGTCAGCGGTTCCGGTGGCAGAGGACCGCCCTCCATTGGTTGTGGCGCCGGAGGAGGAGAAGGAAGAGATGGCGGCCGGCAGCAGTGAAGGAGCAGGACAGTCAGGGCAGACTGAGTTAGTGGAGGCTCAGGAAGAGGTGGTGGTGGCCAATTTAGAGATGGGACACTTTCATCCCGAAATCATGGGCGCGTTGCGAGGTCTCATCACTGATGATGACCTGCCCACGGGATACCAGACCTTGTTAACATCTGGTGCTGTGACGGCCGGGCTTCTAAACCTGGTGCAGTCGCAAAACCGTAAGGTCGGTGTGGTCCTACCGTCGGCCACGAAAGCTGTCATCGAGCGGACGGTGGACGAGGACGGCAAGCATGTTGCAACCATGCTGAAGGAGTGCACTGCCGGAGTCCGAAGGCATTGCGAGGTGCTCCTCATGCCAGTGCACCAACATCAGCACTGGCTGCTCGCAGCCTATACAGTGGCGACCGGCAAGTGCGTCATTTATGATTCGCTTGTCGCAAGCCACTCGCGTAAAACCAAGGCCACCATCTCGAATGGGCTGAAACGAGCTCTTGCCGCACTCTATCCGTCGACACTTTCGAGTGTCAGATGGGCTCCTCAAAAACACCAAGAGGCCCAGACGGACGGGTTTAGTTGCGGCCTGTTCGTGATCGCCAATGCCAGGAAATTTCTGTGCTCAAAATCAAGCAACCTGGCGGCGGCTGAGCGTATGGATGTGGCGAGGGATCTTAACCTTTTGCGAGTCGTCGTGAAAGGGCTGAGTCCGCAAATTCAAACAATTGCGGACGAGGCATTAGCGAATCCGCCTCTTCCCGAAAATGACCCGAGTGTTTCAATAAGATCCAAAAGAACCTCGGCGATTCGCGCAACAACAAAGATCACACGACTGTTCTGCGAGAGATTGGTGTGAACGAGCAACATTTAAAAAAATAATATATAGAAAACAATTATATAATATATATTTATGATTAAAAAAACAAATATTAAAAAAAAAAAAAGAAAAAAAAAAAAAAAAGAAAAAAAAAGAAAAAACAATTAAAAAAAAACAATAAAAAAGAAAAGACAAAAAAAATAAATAAAAAACAATAAAAGAAATTTTTTTAAAGTTATTGATATTATTATTTTTATTATTATGGTCGATTCCTATATTAGGAAACCGTTTATTTTCTAATATTCGTTCAATTACGAATTATTTGGAACTGAAATGAAGCCGACAATGATGCGTTATTTGAGCTTTTCGGCGCTGTCTCGAAATAGTTACTTGTGTATTCTGCTCGAATCGTCTTTTTCACTACTCGAATTTTCGGCAAAAGTTTGGCCAAATGCTTCAAAGAATGGTCTGATTGGATTAATTGCGATCCATTTGTAGTATGAGTTTATCACGATGGGGCAAAAATAATATTTCTTTTCAGTTTGATGTATTATCTGAATTCAATTCCGAAACGAGCGAATTAGAATATCAAGGAGCATGGATCCAGATTAAAGAGAAATGTTCAAATTTCCTCAATATTGTTATTTCCTGAAGAACATATGACGATTCGATGTTTTCCTGAATCAATGCTTTTGAATTACTAGAATAGTACAGTTATTTGTATATATTCTGGTCGGATTCACAACTAAAGGGACAAGAGAAAAGTGCAAATTTTATGGTAATCAAATGTTTTCGGATTCTTCTAAAAATAGTTCTAGAAAGTAACAGGTCTCGATTATAACAGTGTCCGAATTGTTGCCATGATCGATGAGAGAAGCAAACGAACCGACTTGACTCCCGAAGATGTTCTTGATTAAATTTATCTGATGAATAGAGCACACGATCGATATGCTCTTGAGATGGTAGCGATTGTATATTGTTCGTTTTTTAATCAACCATTTAGAAACAAATCCAAATATTTATGTTATTTTGAATCCAAAAAGACGAATTAGATGAAACAAAATAATTCAAATCTAAAAATGTGATGGTAAAAATCGAATATTATTCGAACAATTATTTAAAGCACATAATAATGGTGCAAATTAAAAGGTAACAAAGCAATTTAGTTTCCTCAACCAATTGATTGGTTTTCAGAAAAATAATGATTTAAAAAGAAATCACGATTTTCAAGCACGCAATCAAGGTGTTCATTTGAAGGTAAGGAAATTTGTCTTATTTTCAAAATTAATTTCTTTTTAGTACTCTTAAAATTTATTCATCTAATTTGAATAATTAAAAGTATTGAACGTATTTTAACATGAAAGACGAATTTCCGTTTATTTTGCCCCAATTAAAGACGATGGACAAATTGAATTGTTAAAAAAAAGAGAAAAGATCCATATATCGTTTTGAACTCTCATTTTATTGTATTTCATGTTCCCAAATATTTATAGTTATTCTATAGTTGATTTAAATTCCTCTTTTCTGACAAC